ATCAAGAGCCGCATTCTTAACGGAGAGTACTCGCACGCTTCTGTGCTTGGCCTTAATGCTCTCTTGGCGGAAGCTCCTGCCACTCTGATGGAGCATTTCCCCAGCGAGACCATCACAGCTATTTGCCAGGGTGTTGCGGACAAAGATGTAAGTTGATTCTCTTGCGATTGCACGATCAAGTTGCTAACATATAAACAGCCCTATGTGGCCGACAACAGCGTTCTCGCTGCTGGTAAGTTCCTTCTCTCTGAGGATGGCAACCACAGCTTCGAGACACACAAAACCATCTTCGAAGCTCTGTCGCTCGTCATCCCCCCCGGCGCCAATGCCGATACCCGCCGGTTGACCCTCGTTGTCATCCGAACGGTCAGCCGTCTGCACCCCGAGTTGACTCGCCCTCACCTGGCCATGCTGGCACCGCCAATTTTCGCCAGTGTCCGCGACCTAGTCATCCCCGTGAAACTGGCCGCGGAAGCCGCCTTCCTGTCTCTCTTCTCCGTGGAGGATTCCGAGAGCGAAGTCTTCGACAAGTATATGGCCGGACCTGGTGCCTCGTTGCCCCCCGGCCCAAAGCGCAGCATGTCGGACTACTTTAAGCGTGTTGCTATCCGACTTGCTACCCAGGCTCGTGAGCGCAAAGCTGCTGAAGGTGGCGAGGGTGGTCTTGGACTGTCTCAGGATGAGGTGGATGATGAGAAGGAAGTGTGGAGTATTGGCAAAGTGGATCTGACGGATGATTCGTTTGGCGATGAGTGATGATATGTTTTGATGAGCATCCCAAGGCTGCATCTACACGCATCTCTTGTGTCTATAGATATACCCTTGGGCTCCTTTTGTTCTTGTTTGTTATTCGCATAAAAAGTTGTTATGGCTGAATGTTGATATTCCCTGGTCTTTGGCTGGAGTGCTATGCATATACTTTTTGTTCATTTTACACTGTAAAGAGCATGTGGATAGCTCGGTAGATCAAGATGGATCTAGGTAGGGGCTTGCATCCACTTCTCCAGTGTATACAAAGTCACTTCCTGATTGGGCATTATAGATCATGTGACCTAGAGACATGATTATAGTCACGTGATTGAGATCGTAGATCGCTTCTTCCTTGCGATGCTACATACTAGGCAGATTGGGAGGAATAAAAAATCATTCGAGGGATTTTAAAAGAGTCATTTTACTTCCAAAGTTTCTCCAAAACCACTACAACCACCATAACTGTCATTCTCCTCGTCATCGCGGCAAGTCCGGTTTGTCACCTTACTAATCAGGGTATCAGCCCTAAGCGCACTCCAAGCCCTCAAAGTGGACGGACTCGCTTACAGCACATTAGCTAATCGGCCCGCCCCAAACTCCTCACCGTCTGGATTTCCCGTCGAGTGCTACGAGAACTTCATCCGCCAACGACCATACGCCGACATCAAGATGTGAGTCTCATTCCCTGCATTCACCATCCCGAAAAACACACACCGTGAACCATGTTCCCCGCACTCGTCGCCTACGAGCAGGGCACGCCTGGAGGAAACAACTGAGTGGAGAGTCGATTGTGTGCAAAGGCTGACCATGACATTTTCCTTCCAACAGGGTCAACCTTCGCACCCAGAAGCGCCTCGCCGCCTCCGTGGTCGGCTGCGGCAAGCGTAAGATTTGGCTCGACCCCAATGAGATGAACGAGATCTCCAACGCCAACTCCCGTCAGACCGTCCGCAAGCTCGTCAGCGATGGCCTCATCATCCGCAAGCCCGTCACCATGCACTCGCGTGCCCGCGCCCGTGAGCTCAACGAGGCCCGCCGCATCGGTCGTCACCGCGGTCTGGGTAAGCGCAAGGGTACCAAGGACGCCCGTATGCCCTCCCAGGTCCTCTGGATGCGCCGCATGCGTGTCCTCCGTCGTCTGCTCGTCCGCTACCGTGCCGCCGGCAAGATCGACAAGCACCTTTACCACGAGCTGTACCACTTGAGCAAGGGTAACACCTTCAAGCACAAGCGCGCTCTGGTTGAGCACGTAAGTTACACCCCTCGAATTGGGCCACATACCCACCTGTCTCGATTCCTTGGGAGATGAACAAGACTGACTCGTCTTCACCACTACAGATCCAGAAGGCCAAGGCTGAGCGCGCCCGTGAGCGTGTCCTCAAGGAGGAGATGGACGCTAAGCGTGCCAAGAACAAGGCTCTCCGTGAGCGTCGGGCGGAGCGTGTTGAGGCCAAGCGCAACGCTCTGGTCGAGGAGACCCAGGAGTAAATTACTCTAGCATGATGTTTTTCTCGGTGCGGAGGTTGGAGGTTTAAAAAACTTTCTGGGATGCCCCCCGAAATAAAGGTCGGCCTTCGACTTCTTCCTACAAGCCCTGTTTTATTTACGACACGCCTACTCATTTCTCGGTTTCGCGTGGGGTTTGGGCTTCTGGGAGCGATGGGAAATGGGTCTTGGGGGCAGGAAGATGCATGATGTGATACTCAAGCTTTTCTTGTTGATAACGAGAAGGCAAAAGGAAATTCTTTTCAAAAACAAAAATAACTAAAATCTCTCTCTCTTTCGGCACGGCGCTTGTCTGTTACGAATGTGATCGTTTCCTTTGCAAGGTTTCAGTCTGACCCAGACAACTGCCATGCTGGCTGTCGTAGATCTATCTGTAGTGCATGCCATGGGTGTCTGTCCATCTCTCATATTCCCAGACCATCTAGATGTCAAGTGGTGCTGTGCTGCCTGTGTCGGAAATGTGCCATAGGTTCTAGACTTCTGTCATGATCCCAATACATCACGGCTTTCGTTGGAATGCTGATCTTGGGGTGCGGGGATATATTTTCGTTCCGCACGTCATGCCCGGGCGTGTCGTTAAGTTTTGGATCAGGAGATGCTCCAAGGACTTGATTGCAGAACAGTACTACATACTATATACACCCACCAGCGCATGTGAAAGTACCAAGGATTCACTCATCACTACAGAAGTAGGACAAAAATCTTGGAACTTGCAGTACAACAGATCTAGACTGAAGACATCCGTACTGGGTCTCAAGTGCTGGCGAAACTGGCGGCTTAGGTACATGACCTCGCGCTCGTTGAGAAAGACATAGAGAAAGACGGCAATAAGAACAAGAGAACAACCATCTGCTCGTTCTCCTCAAAAAGGCTGTAGCATATCTTTCACCATATGTGTTTCTCCCGCTGAACAGACTCCATATCCATCAGCTGGCTAATAACACGCGACCACCCCTGAGAATTCTCCCGAACAAAACGACGACCCGGTGCGCTCGAAGGAATCTCCTTTTCCGTGACCTGCCTCACAATCTCTCCCTGCTCTCAAGTCAATCTGGCCAAGTTATATAGATGCGGACAAGCCTCCACTAGAACACAATCAATCGTTTCATCCGAGGGTTCTGATGTTATATGCCCTGCATCTCCTTTGACTTGGGGTAGATATTACCAACTTCAGTCTCATGAATAAAAAAGAGTACTCAATGATTTGGCTCGCTTCCGCCTTTTATATGATGGATAAGGGAAAGGTGTAGAGGCGATGATGAGGAAATCGACTGAAGATCAGTCGTAGGAACAAGCTGAGTCCATTGTTCAGTGCCTCTTTTGGGGGTAAAGGTATGACTCTTAATTTCGCCTCCTTCTCTCAGACCGATGATGCGTATGGTTCACTCATATTAAAATCACTACGAGGATCGGTAAACTAGGCGCCGGAAAATTAGACGTCTTCGTTTGATACAGACTAGAATGTCTGAGGAGATTGCAGTCAAACCGGCGGTAAAAATTGTGTATGGGATGATCTATTTCAAATGCCGCTGTCACGAGCTCAAGTGAATAGAATAGAACAAAACTACAACCAGGACTCGGAGAGTAAAAGTCGGGTAAAACTAAAACGCTTTTGAGAGAGGCTGAGCTGCAGACACTGTATGTAGAGCCGTAGAGTCCCAAGGCACACACACACACACACACACACACACTCACACTCACACACACGCGTCAACTTTAGTGAATGGCAGTATCTTTACAGTACGTCCCGGAACGGGTGTCACCACCTACACTCTTCGATTGTTTCTCGAACCTTAATGTCAAACCTACCATACTACTTTAAGGACAGTCTCGGAATAGCTATTTTCCAGTATCGTTACCTAAATAGTATTATACTTCTACAATTATATGACTCATGTCTCGCCCTTGTATGATCAAGCCCTCGTTAAATACGTGGAATAAGGAAGAGTCTTCAATACCTATGATAACGTTCCCGATAGCCTTCGCGAGTAGCTTTATACTGAGGAGAATTAACGACTTAAAAAAAGAAAGAAAAGCTCAGATAATTCCACTATTAGGTTAATATATCCTTCGATCAATATCCCAATTTCCTCTCGGCCAGAGTATCTGAACAACCGGTTCCTACCAGTCCTGCTAATAAAACTATATCTTCTAAGTCCGCCTTTATTGAACCAATCACTATTCACGGGCTGCTTAATATAGCTATAGAGGAATGTACCGAATAGTAGCAGTTACGCGAGGCAATAAGAAAGCCCACGACTCACGTAGATCTATCAGGATTAGGATCCGGATTTCTTCGTTAAGCGTGGTATGAAAGTAGGTGCCACCCAGTGGTTCGTACGCGATATCAGTCTTTAGGTGAAGCGATGTAGAGAAATCACTTTAATCCTACCTAGAGACAATCCAGTAAATAGAGAATAGCCTATATTAGCAAACTGATTTTTATATATTTGTATAATTTTCAAAATCATACTGTAATATCATTTTACTGGCTCTATTTGAATCTATCGCATAACTCACCTTCGGGGAGACGATATATATATTACTTTGTACACTTAGGTGTTTATGCCGAATTAGGCTTGCGATTATTGTGTCGATGAGGAGTGCCTTGATTTAACGACTATACACGGTGAACTCCATGACTAGAAAAATTACGTAGACAGCGAGAAGTACTAGGCCAGCAATTCGGTGGGGCCCCAGAAAGACGACCGCCAGAAGGGACACAGAGGACACCCAAACTGTCACTAGATCAAACAGAATAAAGGTATCTGACCGATCGAGGGGTTTCCCGTCACCGCGACAATACCGGCACATAGCGTTAGCAGGAAGATATTACTCCCTGCTGTGGTTGCAACAATTATGCCTCCTTGTCCACGAAAGCCGCTGAGCATAGCAATTAACTTTTCTGGCAGGGTTGTGGCAAAAGCGATCACGGTCAAGCCAAAGACAGTTCCTGACAGATGGAGAGAATCAGCGATAGTGCCTGCGCTCCGGGCAAGAATATATCCCGACAACGAGAGTGCGAGCAGTCCAAAAATAAGCTGGAGAACATGATGATAAAGCGGTTGCGGAAGCTTTTTGCCCTTATCCACGGGTGCACTCGCTACTTCCTGCGTCGTATTCGTATTTATTAACAGAGGAGAAGCCTCTGAAGCTGACGGTCCGGCACTTTGCCCTGGTGTTTGTTCAGCGCAAACAACGGTTGATTCATCGTCGCTTTCACTATCTGGCAGCTGAGATGGTTCACTGATACCTCTATAGATGGTATAGCAAATAGACATGATATAGAGTGCGAAGAGAGCAATGAGAAGGCCGCCGGTAACTCTATTTAGTTGCTGAAAATATGCCAAGATGACGAAAAGAGTAGTGACAAAGAATTGGAGCGCAGAGTATATCTTCGCACTGCTATCAAAAGGGCCCTGGCCCGGATAACATAAAAGCCCCAGCGAAAAGGCACCGAGGATATTGGAAATTGCAGATCCCATAACATTGCCCAGGGCTAAAGGAGTGCGGCCTTCTAGGATTGCAGCGATAACGACAGCGAGCTAGGGAGATCTTATTAGCACCGACCAGATAGAGAGTGGAGCTCGAACCAATATACCTCTTCATATTCAGCTCCAGCAGTCAAAAGGGCAATAAGAGTCGGTGAGATGCCCAGTCGCTGTCCTATGATCACAGTGTGATCGATAAATTTGTCTGCACCATAGTCAAGGACAAAGACCCCGGCAATCAACGCTGCTGTGTTAAAGAATAGACTATCCCAATCCATTACATAGGTGTCGGTATGTTTAGTTCTGCAAAGTCGTTCAAAACTTGTATTCCAGTGAAGATTTATCGAGTGCTCGATTGGACATAGTTGTGAGCAGGCGGAACAAGTTTGATCCGCGGCTACCGCTCTCAACGCATCGCTTTCAGCTCCCATGATATATCATGCTAGCCCTTTCATTGGTTCATTTCGCTTACTTATGGCATCCTGAGTACTTTCTTAAGTGTATCGAAGGTAGAAGTGAATACACCCCGCCATATGTCCTGGTTACTCTATAAAAAACAACACAGACCCCACTGACAGGGATAATTCGAAAAATCCTAATATGGTCTAGAGTGTCTTGGCAATTAGGGGTTGAGAAAGAATCGAAGAGTGTAGACGGTGACACCAGTTATGGGACGTACTGTATCTCCAGAACCAATATTCTGACCATATGTTTACTTATACTGGTCATTTCGAGCCCTCTCACCTAAAGTATTGACTCCGATCTTCGTTGAGGCTGGAGATCTCGGGCTAATTCGTCCATTTACGGGGAGCTACGCCTCTATCACGACACTCTTTACCCATGAAATCTTCAGGAAAAACAAGAAATTGGTAGTCTATTCATGAACAATGCTTCATGCGATCAATGTTGAAAGAAGAATGGCCAATGTTCTATGTACAACGTAGTAATCGGAACATCAAGCTCGCTATGACCGAGTCGTCACCAAGCAGGACGCAGCCTCAGATGCTGGCCGTCGCTCGAGGCCATGTATGTACATGATGCGCTGCATCAAATCTTCATGAAAGGCGTGGGTGGGATCTAAGAAAAAATTGGTGGCGAATGGAACTCATGATCAACCCTCGCGGTGAGTCGTACGCAGCTGGTAGTGGAAGAGACTCCAAGTGGCTTTCAGGGCCTCGATGCGGTCGTTTGCATCAAACAGATCATACCATCTGGTACGCTGGAGCTTAAGGATGTGCCATAGCTGGTCAGGGTCGGAGTCGGTGGGGTATGTGCTGTCGCCTCGGGTGAAGACTTCGAGGTAGCGGCGGTGGACCCGGAGGTGCAGGATGGCGATGTGGTGGTTAATCGAGGAGACCATGTATACCTGGATGGAGGTTAGTAGGTTATAAAGAATATGTGGATATGAGGGAATGTACATTGTCGTAAGGGCTGTCCATCGCTCTGCCAATCTGCTGATAGACCATGCGCTTATCCCACAGACTCGGACCCGGCTGCAGGATCTTCCACTTTTCACTGTTTGAGAGCTTGCGCATGGCACTAGGCCGACGCGCCAGAGACGTAGAATACGAGCCCTGGGAGTGTTCAAACTTGTGCCGCTTGCGAGCAGTCTCCGCCTCCGGGGCGGGTGTGGCGGACGAGTTGTCCCCAAGCATAGAGTCAGGAATGGGGATTCCCGCATTCCTGACTAGATCATCCAGGATCCCGTCGTTAGGAGCACCGCCAAACCGGGGCTTTGTAGTCCACCATTGATTCTCACCAGGACGCAGCTCAGCTGCGCCTTCGCGAGCACGTTCCTGTGCGGCAAGAAGCATGCCTCCAACTTCGCGGAATAGATCACACACCTCGCCAATTCCCTTGCCCTTCTCGTCACCAGTGGCTCGGAAGGTGGTCTCGGCACGGCACTGCGCAATCAGGACGGGCCCCTCCAGAATACCCTGTCGGGCGATCTGCCGGTCTCTGGGAGAGCGGGCTACTTGGAAGGACTGCCGCACAGGAAAAAGCAGATTTCCCACCGTCAGACGGGGCGGTAATGTTGGAATGGTAACCTGGCACCCAAAAGGCCATGCGGCCATCTCAATAAAGGAACGAATGGTTTCATCCCGCACGTCGTCGGGCATCTCCGTGCCGGCTCCAATACGGCGACCCGTGTACATAGGCACTGTTGGATGAAGAATCTTTGCCTCGGGCGCCCTACCAGCGGAAGGTGTGCCAGCATTGATTTCAGATCCGTCCACGTCCATCACGTCCACCGAGTCGGTTTGAACTGTATCGAGCACAGGCCCATCGGTCTGCATCTCGTCTCCCTGGTCCTCACACTCCGCGGGCGAAGTCTGCTGCGGCGTCGGCTCCGGCGTAACGGGTCGTTCGAAGTAATTATCGATACTTGTATCCCAGTACTGCGCCATGCGCTCCAAGCCAGTCCAGAACTTCCTGGACTGTGTTATCCGGACACGGCTCCGGCCTTCGCGGGGTGGAAGACGAGCCACTTCGCGGAAGGTATCATCTTGATCAAGCAACAACTCGGTACGGAGGATTTCGAATCGGTCTCTGGGAGGGTAGGGGAGTCCATTGCTCATCAGCGGGCGCGCTTGATCCTCGCCCTCCTCAGCGGACTTGATCTCCGGCTCCTCCTCCCAGGGCAGCGGGGGCAAAGAGCCGGCCGGGTCAGCGGGAAACATCTGCTGGACGTCGACATCGGAGTCGACATGGAGGTTGAGGGACTTGAAGCGATCAATGGAGATATCCTGGGGTCGCTTAATGGAGGCTAGTTGGACGAACAGGTCGCGGAGGGTCGAGGCAGAGTCGTTAGGGACGACATCGGGGAGACGGTAAGCGGGGAAGTCAAGGGGTGTAGCGTCTGTAGGAGGAGTGCGTTCCTTCTCAGGTTCTGAGGAGGCCGAAGACAAGGCTGAAGAACGTGGGTTAGCGTTGGTGTGTCGCGGTGGACAATGAGGGGAACACGGCGCCACATTCCAGGAAGCCAAGAAGAAACATACCCAATCCAGGACCCCAGCCAAACATGATGAGAGATTATGTCGACATGAACATGCTCGAGAGCGAGGGGTAGGAGACAAGAGGTCAGGAACAAAGGTTGTTCCTATTTGGACCCGCGGTACTTTGTCAAGTGGGGAACGAATGTAATCCCGCGTGATGCACTGAGACCACATTCCCATTCCGTCACAATCTGGTATGTCAACTATTCCATTCTACACCTGCGCGAGACTGGTCCACGATCCTGTATCTTAGATTAGAGTACGGAGGTGCACCTCTATAGGCGCCCATTGAGAAGAAACTCCAAGGTCACATGTACCCCAGGAGGGGTCGCATGTCCACTTACGTCCCAAAATCATGAAGCCACTAGTTGACCGAGACATCGGCATTTTAGCGATATCTCATTCGCGGGGATAGAACTACCAGTAGATACTTCGTACTCTGAGAATGCATCAGCTTCGGATAACTAAAAGTAATATGCGAACTCAAATGGGAGCCCACAAATCAATTAACATTTGTTAAAAAAAATTAAAAAATCAAAACTTGGGGGCCAGAATACCCGATGGAGGAAGCATCCTGTAAGGAATGGATATAAGATGACCGGGAGGCAGCTCAAAATACATCCGCTGACCGTCGTCCATAGGTCCTAGCTACGTCAACTGTCAGGAAGGAGAGGAAGAACGCAGGCCCTCTTCTTCCCTCGTGTCCAATCGCTGGAGGCTGATCAATTTGACAAATGCGAACGAAAAAGGCCCAGCAGAGACCGAATAATGTACCAACATAGTATTGCATTGATTGCGGCAGTACCTCGGCACGTGCACGTACTTGTAGGCGATAATAGATTAGCGACTTGACTTCATGCTTATTCTAGGTAGCAGATACAAGGCAGGGCAGGTATCTTGTCCAGTAATAGATCTCTTCTAAGGCAATTAGGCCAGGATTTGGTTCATTGATCGTTTGAGTGTGCATCTGGGAAGTTCTTAGAGGCGACAAAGGTCTTCGTGAAAATTGCATAGATTCCTATGGAGGTAAGGTCGATGAAATCGAGCTTCATAGTATCCGTTTCTGCTTAGTCTGGAACTCAGTGTAGAACAATTGGCAAATTGAGCCCGGAAAGTCAGAACAAGTGAAGTATTGAGCTATATAAGGACTCCCATGTGAGTGTCGCTGGACAAACTCCGAGAATGTTCATTCAGTGGGACAGATGACCTTGATGGGCGCTGTCAAATTTCACGGGGCTTGCTTTGACACACACACATAATTGGGTCGTATCTGTTGTAATTCCATGACGCTGCAGTTATTCTGAAGTCTATAGGTAGTTGGAAAACAAAATACTTTCCATGGCATCAGCCTTGGTTCTCTACTTGCAACAACCGGAGTTTCCCGGGTGAGGTTTGTACCCGGCCACCCGCGACCCCCTTTCTCGCTTTTAAACATGAATATTTACTCGGAAGTTCAGTTCTGGATTGCGACAGCTGACTAACTCGTTGCGTAACTGGTGCCTGACACATAGATAGTTCTTATCAAGCGAAATTAGTCTAGATGCTGCGTTGTCTAAGTAGTAGCCTGACCAGAGCTAGAATGCCCATCAATTAGACCAAGCGTGCCTAGGGTTGACTCTACTTGTGAATCAAAGCGGGACTGATGTCGATAATTTCATAGTTAAGACACATGATTGGTTCGGCTTAGAGTGCCAATTCTGATTCAGCGGAATATAGGCTGGGGAGGATCGACAATAACGCTCAGTATCAAGGATCGCCGCTGGGGCTTCGCTGCAGGTACGTAGCCCAGTATTTTGAATTCGAAACCTAGCATATTCCTACAACGCTTGAGTGTCGTGTCTTTGAGCTCTTAATGATTTCTGAAAAGGAGCAAGAAAAAGAAAAGAAAGCGATAGATTGATGCTCTGAGGAAGGAAGAAGAGAAGAGAAGAAGCTACAATCTATCAAGAAAGCAAGTCAGAAGGAAACGGCGGTGAGACCAAACAATTTCCACAGCCAGACTGTACCGGGCTGACATTAGTTCGTACATACCGTGAAGGGACTGAAAGCGCTTCAATTAACAAGGTTAGTAACTCTGCATGCTTCTCTGCGGGGTTCAATCTGATAGGATACCCATCGAATCATAAGAGACGTGGCCACGCAGCTCAGCGTCGTCAGCATCGTACAGCATGGTCATTGAATCACCTTCTAATTTCATAAGTCTGAGGTCTTAGCGTCTCCGCCTGCCAAGATGTATTCTTCCGATAACTTGGAAAGCTTGAACATATGAGGCGAGGATAGGACAGATTCGGTATGAGGGCAACCTATGGGTCTCAATTCCGTGTCGATAGCCACTTTCGTTCAGGCCGTATATCCTGGAGCCGAGAATTCCGGCACTTCTTCAATCTACTATCCCCAAAATGATACCCACCGACTCAAACTGATGATGTGCCCAGAAGGAGCCAGGAAGAATTGATCTTCGATCCTTAGGTTCGCTGGAAAACAATATATGGAGAATGCTTAATATAATTATGGCCATTGACCCCGGCCAAGGTGCCGAGTCTGAAGTGTCGGGACAAGGTCTCTCAATTCCATGAATGTCGCTGGAAGCGTAACATTGAGCGTAGATGGCACGGCCAGAACACCACATACTTGATCCACACTGAGACACCGTTCTTCAGCACCACCCGGAACGATACCTGTGGTTTGACCCCTGAGGTTACCCAGGGTCCTTACGTATATCCTCCCTGACAGACCCTCCGTCAGGATATGACTGAAGACCAGGTCGGTGTTCCCCTTTGGTTGGATATTGGAGTCCTAGACATGGCCACTTGCGAGCCTCTTGAGGATTTCTTGGTCGATATGTGGCATTGCAACGCCACTGGATCTTACTCCGGCTTTACCGGGCTCTCGCCTAATGCATCCTTCCTTGAACTCCTTCGGCAGCTCAACATCAACGAGTCCGACTACGAGATTGGAGTTACAGACCCGCACACCGATAAACCCACCTGGCTGCGAGTAATGTGGCCCATCAACCGAAACGGCATGATGGAAATGAAGACCATCTTCCCCGGTTTCTACATCGAACGATCTATCCACATCCATGTCCAGGTGCACACTGACTGGAATCTGCGCGAGAATGGAACTCTCACTACTGGAAATACAGTTAGCACTGGCCAGCTTGGCTTCGATGAAGCCCTTGAGGAGAACATAATGTCTCTGGAGCCTTATTCTTCCCATACCCAAATCAACCGCCCTACCAATGCCGGGGATTCTATGTACTCGTATGACACTGTTGGTGGCTTTAGTCCTCCCATTGATGTGATCCCTGTTGATGTAAAGAATGTTACGAATGGAATGATTGGTTACATTACTCTTGGCAAGGATACTACTGCTATTAAGCACGGTGACAACTATGTTGGCGACTCCTAACTTTCAGTATTTGGTACCGCAAGTGAGAACTTTTTCAACTTTTTTTTGGCGAGATACCTATACATAGCCTTATGATAGGTATAGAAACTGTGACGTTCTCCTCAACAGGTAACTATGTGAGTACCGAACAAACATTCTGCTAAAGTGCCGAGGTAATTAGGAGAAATGCTTGCTTCATTCTCTCCAGGTGCTTACTATCTGCAATCGAGACTTCTGGCTCCACCACAAGGCAGAAAGAAGCAAGCGATCTAGACATACAGGTGGGGGGAGATGATCTATACTAGGTTTTGTTAGAAAGATGTTGGCTCTAGTCTTTCCACGACATGCAAGGCACCTAGACCAGTCAGATGTAAAAAGCAAGGTGAAATCAGAGATACTCAGTTAGCCCTCCGTAAATACGCCGTAAATACTCTGTAACAATTGAAAGTTTTGTCGATCCATGGATACAAAGAACCAAAAAAGGGGGCCATCCGGGGATCGAACCCGGGTCGCGCCGAATCACACTGAGTGAACCCAGCTGGATAATTAATAATCCGAACGGCGCATACTACCACTATACTAACGGCCCATTTCTTATGTAACCGCGACCGGAAATAACTTCAACCAATCCTAAGACAAATTCCCTTTTCAGAAGTTAGGGTTCACTCAAGATACGATGACAGGGTACTCCTAGAATACTCGGGCGCTATAGGCTTCGACTTATTGAGTATGAAAATGTGTCAGAAAATCGGCTCCCGGGGTCTTAATACAAGTACATTGCGATAAACAGTTGACTCCCCTGCAAAAATGACGTACGCGAACGTGTTTGACTCCGAACAGACTATCTAGTTGCCTCCCCTTCGTCATTGTTGTGATAATAAGGCTGCATCAGCGCCCGAACTTCTCCTTCATGATACCGATAGCCTTATTGGCCATCAAGGTCATAATTCGTGGCCCAATCAGAAATGTAAAATAAGCTAAGAGCCGGAGATGTGAAAGTATGGCCCAGGATACCTATCTATCCCTCGAACGTAACTACAGTGACACAGCAGATGGCCGTAAAAATACCGTAACGTCCACGTGACTGCCAAAGTATAGCTTGCCATAATCAGTCCAATATTATGAAATAGAAGGAACTCGATAGTTCTATGGTTGTCTTCACCAAGAACGATACGTATAACGAAATTTCGAGTCACATTAGTGCCGCCCGATGCAGAAGGTTTGCGGCCGTGTTTCCCTTCTGATCGAAGATCTTCGTGACTTTCTTTCGAAGAGACAAGTTATTCATCATCCTTATTGCAAAAATCTCTTTTATATTCGGTAATATTCGTGCGAGAGATGTTTATGCGGACTGCCGGGTGGCCCATTCGATTCATCGAATATTTGTTGTTCGACTGCTGTTCATCGAGTTGTTCGAACGTTTGCTGACCGGACATACTCTGCTTGGCGCGCCCAGTCGAGAATAAGCCAGGAATCATTCTTGACAAATTTGTTTTCAGGAAAGGCATATTTGCGCAAATTATAGCGAGTTCAGGCTCAATTGTTGTCCACATAACAACCATCTGAACCGAATATGTGATGTCGGATGTCAATCTCCATCAACGATATGAGACGAATGACGCTGATAATTCAGACCCTGTAGGTTGTTCAAATTGATGTCAGCTATATTGAAGAGGCAGAAAACAGGACACGCCAGCAAAGAAGTACACTCACGAATGAACATAATGGCAATATCCACGTCAACAATTGATTGCGAGTGAAAGTTAGAGCGCATGATTCGACTAGGGTCAGAAGATGACTTATCAATGCTCCGGCGATGATGAGATACTCGGGCACTCCGAGATTTACTCGTCTTGAGTGAAGTGCAACAAGCCGGAGAATGATGGTTATTGTGGCAATGGCACCCAGAAACGTCACCGCAATGACCGGACTTCGAGTCAACGGCGTATTCAAGGCATATGTGGTGGTCCCCATGACGACGCCTATGGCCACAGGTAATTGCAGCGACAGCTCTTCAAGTGAAGGAATACGTCAGCAGTATGACTACGTTGTTGTCGGTGGCGGCACGTCTGGCCTAGTAATTGCCATTTGCTTGACCGAGAACACTCCATCAGTGTCCTTGTTCTCGAAGCTGGAGCCAACCGTGTCAATGATCCCAGAATTGCCGCTCCTGGCCTTGTGGCGATCACTTACTTCGATTATTACTTCGATTGGTGTATTACCACTCCAACCAGGTAAATACTCCTTTTCTAAGCTTCCAGGCCAGTCGCAATCCGAAGGCATGTTCCTCTTAACTGACTATCGTGTGCATATAGGAACATATGAATGGATGATGTCTCGCTGAGCCTTGTGGACGGTCACTGGGCAGTTATTCTGCCATCAACCCTGGGATGGTGATCTACCCCAGCCGAGCCGATCTCAACTCGTGGGAGAAATGAGGGAGAAATGATGGAATGGAGGGTGGAACCGAGAATCACTTTCGCCATATCTGAAAAAGTCGCAGACTCTTATTCCGCCTTCTCTCCAGACTAAGGTGGAATTTTCTCTGCACTATATCGACCAAGCTGTTCAGGGAACCGCCGGTCCGCTCCAGGTCTCATTTGGCGATGGTCCATTTCCGACTTTCTTGGGAGCTTGGCCCAAGGTTTTTGAGAACCTCAAGTTACCGATCACTGGCCATCCTATAACTGGTGTCTCGAAAGGAGCCTTTTGTGACACAGGGAGGATTCACCCCATTACCAGAACGCGCAGCCATGCTGATGTGACATACTACAACGAAGAAGTGGCCAAGAGAGCAAATTTGCGAGTCATTACTGAGGCAGTAGTAGAAAAAGGTTCTTCTTGAAAACATGAGTGACAAGGATTTTGTTGCCATGGGGGTTCAATTCTTTGGCAAGGATGGTATCCAACAAACGGTAACAGCCAAGAGTGAGGTTGTACTAAGATATCATTGCGGCGGAGCATTAACCAATTAGCTCAGCTTAAAATTATTTGTATCTAGAATTGATATATCAAAGGGGCGAGTGTGACATTATCTATTTCCACTCAACCTTGGAGATGGCCGATGAGGCCGTCCTACCGAGCGATAAGTCTACTCTCTACATCAATCTATTTCATGGCTAGGACTGATGGAGAACTTTGACAAAGTGGAGTACAAGCAGCTTTTTGAATAACAGCTGTCATACTGTTTTATAAATTACAGAATAGGATTTGACTTCCGGAATCTTGGAATCTCGATATAATCTTTCATTGAACCTTGGAACCTTTAATGATTCCAAGGTTTGCATAATCATTTTCTATATCAATCTTATACTGTCACTTAACTGTCCTTGCTTATTCCATATAGCATCTACCTGTTTAAGGTATTTGTCCATTCTACATACTTCCGGTTCTTCTTCTACCTATTCTGGTATATCTATCGTTCGATCTTCAAAGACCACACATCAGTCCAGGCGGAGAGACCCGTGAGCCTCGGCCTTGTCCAGCGCATCGGCAATGCGCGACCCCTCTCCCTCAAAAAGAAACCCGTCATAAGTCAACGCGCCAATAACACAGCCGAGAATAGGGCCGAAAATGGGAACAACGAAATAGTAGTTGGCCGCCGTGAACACTTCTGAGCCGTAGACAATAGCAGAGAAAAGTCTCGGGCCGAAATCTCTAGCAGGGTTAAGAGCCTAATACATATTTGTTAGCATGACTTCATAACCTGACAGTCCGGCGAACATACGTAGCCGGTCTGCCAGCCCAATGCCGCACCGATCATAAGCAGGAGCAGGAAAAGAGAGAGATGCGGAGAAGGGAATCGATGGGCATTTCCTGGATCCGAGATACTGAGACAACCAAACATCAGCACAGCTGAGCCCAGCACCTCGGAAAACACAGCCTCCCAGTTCGACGCGAATACGGCAGCTGGGTAGGTCGAGAAGATGCCCGCTGAGTGGTGACCGGTAGGGCTCAAGATTGACCCGCCGGGAATGGTATACTCGGGATCCCAAGCATTGATAGCCGACCGGTAGTTCACATACACCAGGACAGCGCCGACGAACCCACCGAGGAACTGCGCAAGCAGCTTGCCCGGGATTGTCTTCCACTGTCCCGCCGATGGGCGTACAAGAGCCAAGCAGATAGTCACGGCCGGGTTAATAGTCGGACTGGGATCAGACAAGAAGCTTGATAGGCAGACAGCAGCTGCCCAGGCGATGTTGATGGACAGCCAGGTGCCGTACTGGTAGTCGGACAGCAAGCATTGGGCGACGACTCCATCCCCGATGACAATTAGCAGGGCTGTCCCGAGAAATTCAGCCAGATAGGGCTTCAAGACCCGACGAGGTATCATTTCGAAGAATGATAATGGTATTGCAATCTCTCCCTAAAAATGCCAGCGTGTTTATTTAAATCGAAGCTATGACATCATTTCGCTCGGAACTGCCTACCTCGGTAATGCGGGATGCCGATACCTTCTTTAACTAGAACTCGGGCCGCGCAAACACCTGGACCCCGCCCTCGTACATACAGTGCGGTAACTGCGGTCCCCATCACTTTCCGTCAGGCGATGCTAAAGTGGGACTCAAATGTTATACTTTGCACATATGTGCATAAAGTGTAATGTGATTTGTGTAGGAATATAAAAAGGGGTTTGTAGTCTGCGCGGTAAAAGCTCCGTTCCTAGTGTCTGGTGATTGAAAGATTAATAAATGGTAATAATATGCATGGAAGCTAAGGATTTTTTTTCCCCTGTGAATTGTTGCAAGTCACTATGGTGAAAGATAATGTACTCCGTAGCAATTTTGAATATTCCATTCCAGGAGACGTAGCTTGTACCTGTTGGCAGGCTGGCAGGCCGATATGGAATCTTAGTATCTGCTTAGCTACCCAGATGGCTCTGAGTGTTTGTAGGATCACCGGGTGCGGAACGGAAGCCGGCTCAGCAATATCGGACCAACAGTAACAAAGATGTCGGGAATGGTATCTATCGCGTCTCACGGTTATAGATAGTTATCTACGTATATGAAGTGACGTGAAGAGAAACTCAATATGAACGTACATACGGATTGAAACCTAGTCGAGCCAACAACTTGTAGGTGACATAACCATAGCTTGGCGTTCATTCTATTCAATTGATTTGGAAAGAAGAATGCACGCACTCGATGAAGTCCAGCAGCGCATGACTGTCAAAAATGGCACCAGCAAGATATTTCTCTCTTTTCTCGGATCTCCGTCCTGAAGGTTACAATGATTTTTCAGGATATGCTAGTACATACGACCATAGGGTGTGGAGAACAGGGCTTCCCGTCCGCTCAGCCGTACTTAAGCCACACGCCGGCAGGTTAGTAGTTGGGTGGGTGACCACCAGCGAATCCCTGCTGTTGTATGTTTTTTTTGTCCTTCTTTGCTTCTCTTTTTCCAAAGTAAACTTCATGACTCGTTGTTCTGGGAGCATTCTGGAAAAGGAGAATCAGGAGTGTATTTCACGAGGCACGTAAGCATCCTCAAAGCTACACGACTAAGAATAACTAAAATTTATGTTCAATTATTTGAAAGGTTCACTGCAAATTGCTCAAGACTGGTTTAGTCCATTCACAAGAGGCAATTGATCGAGCCAACTCCAACCAGAAACGTGAGTGTTCGATCTTCCGGAAATCGCAAATCTTTCCAATCTCAATCTTGGCAACGGGCTGACTGGTAGGTGAAGTTGTAGATGGCAGACCATTTCGAAGTGCCGTTGCTAAGGTGGACAACGTAATCAAATTCGGTACTTACCCAATAAGTGAGGCCACGACCAAGTCGACCAGTGACAGCTCCGTAGGCAACGAACGCCACCTGAAATGTCGGCTTCGCCAGATCTATTGCTGATCCGGTACCACCAATGGCAGAAACCTATTTAGAAGTTCTCGGCAAGGAAACACTAGTACTCGACAACCATTCGGACGCTCTGATTATCGTAGGAGTATGCGAACGAAACTTCACAAAAATAAACAACCCTGTTTCCTCAGAAGATTGCATCCACGACTGAGTAGTTGCTGGCAGGCACGGAACTCTTATCAATGGTAGTCCCCGGAGAGGGTACGGTCGTCAGACGTTTGGAGATCAGACTTGACAAATTATTTTGTGCAAACTTGCTCAAGGAAATTGTGGAAGCAGCTCCAATAGAAGGAGAGCGAGAAGGCCGATCATGGTGACTTGCGGACAGAATGACAGGCGTCAGCATGAGCTGAAGCCTTCGGAGGCTTCTTTTCATGGATCGAGCTCATTCATTTCATCGCCTGCGAGCTCTGCTCAAACTTTACTAACGATGCATGTTTTCAGCCGCCAGAAACCTTGAAGGGGCAGTTCGTATACGTGCCGGACCTATTTTCCTCGATTATGGCAACCCAGCCAGTGGTCAACCCGAACTACAACGAAGTAAAGCCAGAAACAGATAATTAGGCTACTGAGTATACTTACCTTCGTGTCCTGGTTGAGTGAGTTAGAAAGTTCACAAAAGTCACAAGGTGATCCAATCCAATGAGAAATGGATTTTATGAAATTCCAGGGTAGACCTCGAATATCTAGCCTCCATTTGGGCGCCAACTTCCGACGAAGAGGCACTTCGAATCATGTTTGATTGGATCCAAGCGAAAAAGAAAATAGATAAAGAAAGGACCCAAAAAAAAACATACAACAGCAGGGATTCGCTGGTGGTCACCCACCCAACTACTAACCTGCCGGCGTGTGGCTTAAGTACGGCTGAGCGGACGGGAAGCCCTGTTCTCCACACCCTATGGTCGTATGTACTTGCATACTCTAAACATATCTATAAGTATTGATCAGTATACTAACACTGAATGTAGGGTGAGAGCCGCTTTAGCGTCGCGCGACCAGGCATAACCACCGAATATGTTGTTGCGCAAAATTTTATTGATGAAGAGCCCGAAGGGCCAGATTCTTTATCGTCAAATGATACGGACAACTACGCATTAGGCAAAATGGGAAAACATAATGTCATCCTCGCTGCTTTGCCAAGTGGTGAATATAGAACAGTATCCGCAGCCAGCGTAGCAACGAGCATGTTGAACAGCTTTCCCAACGTCAGAATAGGCCCGATGGTTGGCATCGGCGATGGTGCATCAAACGAGAAATACTTTATAGTGACGGTAATTGAAGCTTTGGAATCTACAATTTCACTGAGTATTCACCGCGGTATATGGGGTAAGCGACAAGAGCCTCATTGACCCTGTTCGCAGTGAATGAGGGCTTCTGCCCCTCTTCACCGCATCCCTTGCCTCGAGTCTTCATGATAGATCTAGCTCCATAGCTTCCATCTCCAGAATCTACATCTCTCTCTTTTCCTCCTTCTCCAGAATCTACATCTCTCTCTTTTCCTCCTTCTATCTCCATAGACCCAAAAAGCAGCAACAGCTTCCTCCACTGCTTTCACATCCACAGTCATTATTCTGTTCGGATCAAAGTCTAGCACCTATACTGAAGTTCCCGAGGGTACGAGATAGTATTTCAAATGATCCACCGTTAGCCTATATTCTAGAACATTGGTGGAAGGCAGTTCACTGCATTTGAATTACGTGAGTTAAAGACTGCTAGTTTAAGAAGATAGTAAAATAGAGTTGTTTCTACCGTTTATTGACCAAAATATCGTACTCGCGGCAATAAACTGTCATCATGTGCTGCTCATTGTCGCGATGTTATCGCATTACAGGGAAGTAATTGCCAGGTGCCAATTTCGCAAGCTTGTCGGAAGAAAACCCCCTCAAAGAGTGATGATGTAGCCTTCTTTAGCGCGGTTACGTTTTTTGAGGATTGAAGTAGTAGCAGATGATAAGTAGTGAGGATACAGCCAAAAATGATGCTGCAGGCTGAGTCTGGACGAGGGAGGAATGAGAGATCAAGGCGAAATAGTTGCATAAGAGAAACAGAGACATGAGCTAATTAATAAGCTTACTTACGGGCCACAAAATTAATATTACCATATAGCAATTTACATGAATCTTAGGGGACACAATCTGGCGGACTTGAATAATTGATGGTCAATGGTACAATATGAATATGCAGCACGAGGCATTGGTGTTAGCCAACCTGGACACCAATTGTGCAACCAAGTGGTTAATTTCTGTTTTGATAGAGGCTGGTGCGAATCAGGTACCAAGCTGCACCATCGGAATTAAGTCTCGAGGTGTTTATACGAGAAACCAACTTGATTGGAAAGAATCGTGATGAATGCCACGACCAGGCAGATAGCAGCTAGAGCACATATTAACAAAGGCACATTGGAAAGCAAGAAACTTGTCACCACCTATCAGAAAAAATGTTGATGTAATAATACCCGATGTTTCCAAAAGGAAGCCGGCCAGCAATGGGCCCAGCATTTATCGAATGAGTGACAAGAACAGGGGAACAGATGAAGATCACAAAATCGTGGACACTCAGCAGTTTGGCGGCGGTATTGGGCGTTTCGGATGGGTATTTAAGAAGGGGCTGATATAGTATATAGGGAAGACTCGGTACCGGGAACCTATATGGAACAATATCTGTTCGCTAATATTAGAGGAATAATAACCGAGGAACGCTATCCACAGATGACCGAGTGCTCTGCAGAAGTAGATATCGCGGCTTTGGCTGAGTGAATGACAGCTTAAGTAGACAGGATATATTCGTCATAAAAGATAGCCAAGATAGACACTCCGCACACTCCGCGGTTGAGCACAGTGAAGCCACCCTTGCGTCAAGCTGGAAATAAAGGCCCTCAAATTCATTAAACGACCCTCGCGTTGATCGACAAAGTCAAATTGATCGATAACGTCGAAGAGTAATACATTCCATATCTATTCGACGAATCATGTGAAAGGAATCTGTTTTGTATTGTGAATCGGGTCTCAACGGGACAAAGGAGCGCCAGTGTAATAATTCTAGCTCCACCAGGAAAGACCCCGCAACAACGATCATTTAACCCACACTCTCTTGGCCCTTTAACTAATTACTAGCCTGAGTGTCCTCCTACGTATTCCGAAACATCCTCCAAGCTGCAGGCCGGCAGAAAATCCCAAGTAGTCTAGCGCCGATAATCGCAGCCAGTGCGCTGGCTGTTGGGCTAATGCACCTGTCAAATGTAGCAATCAAGTTACGATACGCAAGCGAGTGGATGGTGAAGAGTTCTGCCGCAGTATGAATTTCCGTTTCCTCTCCCTCTTAAGTCTCTTAAGTCCTGCCTCTTTTCTTTTACCCTCACCTCAATCTGTTTCCCCTGCCTCTGAATCTGCCACATTCATATCCTCATCATGGGCTCCAAGAGTCCCAACGGCGAACACATAAATGCCAGCCTCCTAAACAACCGAGCTGCCACCTCCAGACACGCCCTCCTAGCTGAGGAGAACTTCTCGGCCAAGAACTATCAATCGCTTCCTATAGTATTTGCTCGCGCTCAGGGCGCCTCTGTCTGGGATCCCGAGGGAAATCATTACCTCGACTTCCACTCTGCTTCCACCGCCCTCAATCATGGCCATTGTCACCCGAAACTCGTTGCCGCGCTCGTCGAACAGGCCTCAAGGCTAACCCTTACCTCCCGCGCCTTTCACAACGACGTATACCCTCAGTTTGCAGAGATGGTGACCAAGGTCTTTGGCTACGATAGAGTCCTGCCTTCGAGCACAGGTGCGGAGGCATCTGAAACTGCAATTAAGGTGGCGAGGAAATGGGCTTATAAGGTCAAGGGTGTTCCTCAGAATGAAGCTATTATTCTTGGTGCGGCAGGCAATCACCATGGAAGGACAGTGAGTAATTTAGCTTGCCTTCACAAAATGCAATCTGGGTGGGAGATCATTAACATCGACATGTCCTTCTAGTTGGCCTCAATTTCCTTAGCTTCTGATGCTATGTCGCGCGAAAGCTATGGCCCACTAGTTCCTAATATCAGCTGTTTCGTTCCTGGAACCAACAAGCCAATCGCCTTTAACGATAAGGCAGTACTACGGGAAGCCTTTGAGGCAGCGGGCTTCAACCTGGCTGCTTTCGTGATTGAACCAATTCAAGGAGATGCAGGCGTCATTGTTGCCGATGATGATTATCTCCAAGAGGCAAGAGCCCTCTGTGACAGGTATAATAGTCTGCTAGTCTGCGACGAAATCCAGACTGGTATTGCGCGAACCGGAAAGCTACTTGGTCACTACTGGAGTGGGATCAAACCTGACATGGTGCTACTAGGTAAGACTATCTATGCCGCGCTGTCCTCCTGTGTGTTAAATATGCCTGACATGATATTATTAGGCAAGACCATGACTGGTGGCATGTACCCCGTCTCCTGTGTTCTAGGCAATAACGAGGTGATGCTCACCGTCGAGCCCGGGACCCACGGCTCAACCTACGGTGGGAACCCGCTTGGAGCGGCAGTCGCCATGCGTGCTCTCCAAGTCGTCGAGGAGGAAAACCTTGTCGAACGCGCGGATCGCTTTGGTCATATCCTCCGCAATGGTCTGAAGGCCATTCAAGCCCAGGTTCCGGGCCCCATTATCCAAACAGTGCGCGGAAGAGGGCTGCTCAACGCATTCCTTATTGATCAGACTAAGACCAATGGACATACTGGCATAGAACTGTGCGAGATGATGAAACAAAAGGGTCTATTGGTAAGCAGCCACCCTTCTCTGCTCTTCATCTCTTCAATTAGTATATCTGGTTCATGGTGCTTGTCTTTAGCTCAAATCCAGCCGGACAGGCGTCATCCGCATCGCGCCTCCCCTTGTCATTTCCGAGGATGAGCTCGGGCGGGCGCTCGGGATTATCAAGGAATCCATAGAGGAATTTTCTAGCCTCCCCAGAGACACGTAGAACCGAATCAGCCTCCTGACAGGATGGAGGCTTAGGGGCAGTGACATTGGAGATGCGTTTCCTTGGGACGCCAAAGAAACAGTACATAAGCTACCAATTAAATTTCCCTGAACAAAGACATTTGTAAACCGCCAAGGAAAATATAGAATATCTTAGTACCAGAAATCTCCATGACATTTCCAGCATACCGGTTTTTATTCTGGACTAATAATCTTTAAAGATGTCCTACCGCATCCCCGACAACTCCCACAACTTCGTAGTTTTCATCTTCATGAAACCACTAACATCCATAACCTCTGTCTCCTCCCCACAAATCTGGTCCTCGCTATCTTGCGGGAAAAATGCCTGAACCGCCTTCGCCATAGCAGTCTTATCCGACCATGTCCGGGGAACAGATTCGTGCTCCTTCAAAATCCTCAGCACAGTGGGTAATTGGTACGCCGGGATGCGTGAGTTCATGGCTAGGTCGCATCGAAGAGTATGCAAATCTATTTTCTTATTATCCAGGCAGTTATTGCTGGCGTGGAATCGTACAAGCGCAGCTGTTCGCGTGTCGCACTGTGGATCTGCGACTGGCAGGATATACCCCTCTGCGACGTATGGGAGGGCAGTTAGAGCAGCCTCGACTTCTCCTCGGGGAACTTTGTATGTGTAGAATTTGAATACTGTCAAAAATGAATGGATGTCAGCTGCATACTGTATAAAACAGGCCGAATGAGAGAGAGAGATGGGAATACTGACAATCCATGTTAGCCCTTCCTTTGAAGATATAACGCCCGTTCTGGAGGATGGCGAGGTCTCCAGTCTTGAAAAATCCCTCTGGATCTAAACGTTTAGCCGTGGCATCGGGGGAATTCAAGTACCTGTAGTAGAACCTTTATGAGTGTCTTTTTTTGACCAAATTTCAAGAAAATCTACACGCACCCAAGAAATAGAGACGCCGTCTTGACAAGAACCTCTCCCTCTTCTCCTTCGGACAGCTTCATAACTACATTTGGAAGAGGCGTTCCCAAGTCATCCTGCATCCAGCTATTAGCCGTTTCGTATAGATAGCGTCCCAGAGCCAAATGGCGATGGCGATGACGGCAATGCCTCACCTCTAGACCTTTCAACCCCATACCACAAACAGCTATCTCCTGCGTTTCCGTAGACCCATACAACACCTTGAGCGGCCGCCCACCATTCATATCTTGCCAGAATTCCTTGATTCGACTCGAAGGCATGGCCCCCGTTGCGCACGCATCGCGCAGGTAACGGGCTCCATTAATATACTCAGCAACCACATCCTCCGGCAATTCGACCGAAATATGATTCTGGAAGTATTTCATCATTCCATACCAGAAAGTCGGAGACAAGACGATCTTGGTGGCCGTTTGCTCACGAAGCTTCTCCCAGATGAGATTGTAGTTGCGTCCGAAATTGTGGACCTCAATGCGAACACCTGTGAGAAGCATCTGGAATAGCTTTGTGAAGTAAATGGACCAGAATGCGCCTCGGGGGATTATGCATAGCTCGTCGTTTGGCTCGGGCCATTCTTTCTGTCGGGCATACTTGTTTATTGTGCGACGGGCGTGCAGAACGCCTTTGGGAGGACCTGTCGTTCCTGACGTGAAGAATAATATACTAGGGATCTCTTCGGAAACTGCGAGCGCTGGATCGAGGATATAGCTTGTGACCGGAAACAGACTTTTGGCGTCATCACTAGTGCTCTCGTCGATGAGAAGCGAAGGAATATTGATTTCCTCTCTGATCTGTGCAGCGAGACTGACTAGCTCTGAGGTAACAAGAAGGCAGCGAGCATCGCATTGCTGAAGGATGTACGACGCTTCGGCTGGAAGTGCGCCTGTTGCTGTTATGGAGTAGAGTCGTTGTTAGTTAACTTTCCATGCCAGTCAAAACATACACCCTTTATGACAGGGACTCACGCATAGGCACAACTACTCCACCAATCGCCAACACAGCAAGAACCCCAGTGATGAATTCATAGCCATTCGGGGCTAAGAGAGCGATGTAGAAGCCGCCGGGGTTGTCCAATATAGACTTGTCGAGGAGCCTTTGCAGCCTTTGTTGAAGTTTCACAGTGCCATCAAGGATTCGACGATAGCCGAACTGTGTGCCACGGCTGCAGTCATTGACGATTATTTTGTCATCTTTTTGAGCAGCTATTTCCAGGAGTCTGGAAAAGAGAGGGTCCTTTGGGAGGGTAGGGGTTTGTGGGACCGTCATGGTCGCAAGAGGTATGCAATTGTAATGATTCAGCTATAAGGGTTCAATAAAACCGAAAGACTTGCGGATTTATAAATGTTTATATGGACCAGGACACGTGCTCCAGTAAAATTACATCATGCCGTGAAGTAGGAACAGTGGTGTTCGCCTTCCAGTGCTTCCAGCCTACAGCTCGTATCCTGTATATGAATTCATCACTATATTTTGCAAGAATACCACCATTTCAAGAAAATAAATTTAACTAATCAGACCACCAGTTGACAGACACTATGAAGTACCTCCACCTCCATCTTTATCACCTTCTAAATGCTGTACCACCACAGCTTTGTTCCAACATAGTCGATGACATCCTGAGCTTTAAAGACAGAAAGTGTGTCAACTTAGCCACCATAACAAAAGAAGTGGAATGAAATATGCCATACTTGTCGTAAATTTGTCCATATCTTCGTCTGTGATGTATATGTCAAACCTCTAATTTCGAGGTCAGCAAGATATCCCCTAAAGAATTCACCCGTGTTAGACAACAAACATCTCGAATTGCGGCTAATATCCGCGACCTTCTCTGATTGTCTACGGTCAGGTCATCTTTCATGTTGGCGTTGGTGGTCACCTAGACGGAGATCATCCTCAGCACTGCTCTGGTGGTTAAATTTTAGAGCAATAAAGCTTCATACCTCATCGACGGGCACGTTGGTCTGTTGTGCAATGATAGCTCTCATGTTGCTCTCGAGATTCGCCATTTCTGGAAAAGCCATTTTTGTAAATCAAAAGCCCACGATGGATGTTCTGAGATTCTAAAGTAGCAAAGAGGAGAATCGCAGATACTCAGATAAACACACTTTACATTGGGCCTATTTAAGCAAATAGTATGGTAACGCTATATGACAACACTGATGTAGCTCAAAACAGTAAAGTAACGTCTACCAAATAATGCATACAATTGGCAATAATTTCATTCGACTTCGCTAGCTGCAGCTGCACTTCCCGTTAACCTACTTAAGAGCCGGAGCACCATTATTATTTTGCCCGCGTTGATGGCCATTGGCTCCAGCTTCACAGACAGATCCAGCTTCACAGACAGAATTGGTGTATGTCTGCAGAGACTGAACCGCCGATGTGCATATGGCATCAATGTCCCCGTGGATGATGAATGCATTCCAACCCATTTCGAGCCGAAGCTCCACGCCGGAAGGTGAGATGCCGAATCCCATAATTGGAAGATTATTGGTTTTGGCTGTGTCCCTGATCTTGCGAAGGGCAGAGAGAAAGACTGGTTCGTCACCGTCGAGAGACCCATGGGCTAATTGCAGGCACATGCGTAGATCGCCGGTGCCGATAAACAGACCGTCAACTGCAGTGGAGAAGATGGGGTATCAGCGCATAAATATCCTTGAAATTTGTTTTGCTTAAAACTTGGAATGGGATGGCAGTACACACCACCGGGGACTTTGCAGATCTCTTCAATATTCTCCAGCCCCTCCAGATCTTCAATCTGGCAAATCACAGCACAATGCTCGTTCCACACGTTATACGTCGTTTTGCCTTCTGGCGTTAGATTCTGCAAATCGCCAATCAGAGCGGCTGGAGGAAAGCTCCTGTCCCCTTGTGGCGGAAACCGACACAGGCGCACCAATTCCTCTGCCTGCTGAGCATTCTGGATGTGAGGCATGACCACCCCACCGGCCCCCGCTCCCAGAGCATAATTGTATAGTTCCGGTGAGCATCTCGGGATCCGGACACATGGTACCATCGAGCCATTTGAGTGGTATTGGATCGTTCGGATGAGACTGACGAGTAAAGTCGCGTTAAGAGGCGCGTGTTCCTATACAGTCAATTAGACTTAATAGTAAACTATGTTAATAAGCACTTACGGCGTCTAAGAAACAGAAATGAAATGGCGTGGCAGCAACAACTCGCGCCGCTTCTGGATGGGGGATTCGGCATCCAGTGCCCCAGAGTAGCTCGCCGGAGTTCAACATGGCCTTGAAATTAGTGGGCTGAGCCAAGCTCAAGGCATTGTAGTCCTTTGTGTTGAGCATTTTGGCTTTCTGCTGCATTGTGTTCTGGTGAGAATAGTGATTATTCGTTGGATCTCGAGAGACTAAGCGTACCCTTTCATTTATGTATGTATGATCTTGGACTGACACTCTCCCAGAAAGAATGGACGATCTTCTACCTCATTCTTGTAATGCTCCGGCACGTAAGTTTCTTTGATATCCCACTGGTGGGTAGATTGTGGCCACATGAGGCGATGATAACGCGCAACGAATATGCAATAGCACGGTAAACCAGGGCTGCTGGCCCACATCACTATTACCGAGAACAATTGAAAGACTATGCGTGCTGTCAAAGAAAATCATGGAGAGAATGAACAGGCGTGAGGATTTAAAGCAGATATCTCTTCAAGTTTCCAATTCAACCACTCACTATACTTCTTTCTAACGTCACCAACTGAATCATTTTCGAAAATGGCGTCTTCCATAAGCAAACAAGCAGAGCTGAAGTCGATCTCGCTGGCCGGCCTTCTGGAGGGCAACATCGATGCCGTGAACAATCTCGTGTCTGCCTGTAAAGAAAACGGATTCTTTTATCTCGATTTCCGTGATGATTCCACTTGCAAGACATTGAAGGACGTCGAAGACCTTGTCGTCGTTGGAAACAAAGTGTTCAAGCTACCGTTGGAAGAAAAGGAGAGGTATAGCACTGAGAAACACCTGCCATCAAGGCTTCAGGGGTGTGTTCACTCCTTCCCTTTGCAATTTCTGTGAGGCTAAAGTAAAAGTCTAGATACAAACGGGCCGGCTGTTCAGTTGGACCATTTGCTGAGAAGAAGGATGGCTATGAGAGCTTCTCGGTATATCCCACTCATTCCTCCCAACCGCAGGTTATCTAACTTAACATGTAGATTCACAACAACGGCATCTTTGGCCAGGACACTTTGCAACTCCCGCAGGCCTTTGAAGAAAACCTACAGCTGGTGACGACCTTCATGAACGAAGTGCACAACTACACCGAGCGGATTCTGTCGATCCTATCAAAAGCCCTTGATCTTCCTTCTGACTTGAAAGACTGCCATCACAAAGATAAGCCCTCGTCCGCCAACATGGCCATGCTCAAATACCTCCCTTGGAGTAGCAGCGATGAGAAAGTCGGGAACATGGCACATACCGACATGGGGACGTTGACTGTTGTTTTCACTCAGTCTGAAGGGTTGCAGGCGTTACTGCCTGGAAGTTCGGGGACGGATGAGTGGTCGTACATCCCACCCCACCCCGGGCATGCTGTGGTCAATGTGGGCGATTCGCTACGCTTTCTGTCCAAGGGGGCTCTGACCTCGTCTCTGCACCGTGTTGTGCCGCCTCCGCCCCATTCGCCCGGCAAGGATAAGTTTTCGTGCATCTACTTCCTGCGGCCGGAGTTCGAAGCCAAGTTTACGGACCATGCTGGGAAAGAGATTAATAGCGTGGAGTGGCATAATAAGAAGTATGCTCTGTTTCGGGAGGCAAGTCTTGATGCGAAGCAGCATGGGGCGATGTTGACGGGGCGCAACGGGTATCTTGGGGCATCTGCTCAGAATGTCTAGTAGTGAGTTGGCTATTCTACATTGTTGTTGGCTATTAATCAAGTGTCAATTCATGTTCAATATATCGGCTTTCGAGTGAAACTTGCAGTAAAGTTCTGATCAAATACAAGCCCTGAGGATATAGCGCTTTAGAATCGGAACAGCATGGTCATGGTTTTATTGTCCGCTATGGGAGGAAATTCGTATTTTGTAGATGACCTTAAGGACTCATGCTAATTCGCAGCAAATCCACCGTATAATGAATCCTGATACCACTCAAAGAATGGTGTCAAGGAGGCACTAAGCCCCGGACTGAGCAAAACTCCTGAATACGTAGATTGGCTCAAATCAACTACTTCCATTAGCGTACAGAATTTGAACACGAAGAAAGATCATGCGTACTATTGTTGAGAGATTCACCATATGCAACTGCACAACCATCTGCTATAGACCTGCTTGGATTTGTGCTGGTAGAATGACCGCCGGGGCGGTGGTCAACTGAGTATTCCGTTGCCAGCGTGGGGTTTCCGTCGGTACTGGCTGCCAGCGACCTTGGGGGCGTAGGGTTTTGCCTGGGATGACCAGCAAGGGCAAGAGGGGCCGGTGGTGTACTCGAGCCCGACATCAACCGTGATAATTTGCGAAGACTCTGAGTTGTCTCTCCTAAATTGGGTAGGTATAAGCATCGTGATGTATCACCCCAAGGACTGAAGAGCTTGCCAACATCCTTCCGCTTCCTACTTGTCATTGCCCTCAAAGTCGTTGCCATGTGATTGCCCAATTCTGATAGTTCTAAGCTTTTCACGAGCTCATCGATGCCCTGGCTTTTAAGTCTGAGGGCGGCTGCGTGCATTCGCTCTTTGGTGCATCTGGATGTGTACCTGGATCGACTTGCTAAGCTTGCGTTGCTCGGGGTGAGTCTTAAGTTGCTTGGAGGGGGAAGGCATACGCTGAGTGAGGCACATCTAGAGGCAATGCGATGAGATATCCCAAGTCTGTTGTTCTACTACTGAACAGTCCAGCCCACTCATGATATTTGCAGCCCTGATCAACCCAGTTCAAGCACTTATTCGCGGTCTTCTGGTTCTGGAACCGCTTGGGGAAGTCTTGGCAGAGCTTGTTCGCCAATGCAGTGCGCATGTCCCTGATCCAGTATGTGCCCGTATGGAACCCGGCCTCAACAACGTGCCAATAAATGTTATAACATTCAAATCTATGGTAGATCTTCATACGGTCGCGCATGTCAGCATTCTCCTCCTTGGTGGCTATCGCGGCTTCCCAGCCTTGCCCGGTTGGGAAGGCCGCTTTTGCTTCTCTGATTGCACGCAAGAATTCTCCGCGATCTGTCTTACAGTCCTGAAAGAGCCGTTTCATCATTGGTGCGAATTTGAGTGTGCCAAAGGTGTCATCTTCGGTTGAAACATGGAGGGTCGTCGTTTCTCCTGCAGTCGGCAGTGTTGTACTGGTAGCTGGAGTTGTTGTAATGGTATTTTGATCAAAATTCGAACAGGCAGTGGTGCTCTGGCTACTAGTATCGAACTCTTCTGGCCTCGAGCTACCAATGGACATATCTTGCTGGTCTCTATCTCTTCCAGAAATCGAAGAGAAGGCACGATGGTCTTCGAGCGACCTTTGTTGACGGTCGCATGTAGCATGCAAAATAGGAAGAGACTGCTGTTCTTGGACAGGGTCATTGGATGCCCTTGCAGATGCCATTTTCGCCACCGAAGGCGCATTGTCTCGCCTTACAGCTGAAGAAGGGCAGGTGATAGTCTGGCTCTATCATTTCGAGCTAGAGTTAGAGTCCAAGATAGGGAACTGATACAGAGGAAAGAAGGAGCACTGACCCAATTGTGGTCTAACAATAAGCCGAGCAGGCGATCTAAAGCTGCGCTCTCCCTCGCTGGAAGAAGCTCCAGGCATTTCGATACTTGATCAGCCGAGATGTTGGTCTCGTTCGCCCTGTAGAATCTAGCGAGTTGGACAAGCAGGTCTTGTAGCTCTGTTTCCGAGCTCATCCTGAGAACTTGAGAAACCCCAGCTCCACAGTCGTTATCGCCATCTGTTAAATTGATTGCAAAGTTCCTCACAATCCCTCCAGCCAGCCACCGATGTTCCCCCAAGAGGACGATCGGTGATTATCTGAGGAGGTGGCGCAAGGCAAAAGACAGATCTCGTGTGTCTGATGAATCACCTTCATCTATGTCTGTACGCAGGCAGTACTCATCACTTCGTAAACCCACTTATGCATGAATCTGGAGCAAAATCATGAGTATGTGGGGCCTTCAACCGTCGATGGCTGAAGATAGGCTCGGCCAGAAGCTGCAGGCTGAGGCCGATCACTTGGATGCTCAGATCTGCTTCCACGTCTCCTATTCCTCTCAGCACGTTTCTCTAGTGCTCAACCGGCCCTGGGCGAGGGTCCGGTAATATATGTAATTTACGAAAGTGGCCGGTTAGACGGTGACCCCTCCGAAGTGTTGGTGCCCCCTCCCCTCCGGCCCGCCCCGGGAGCCCTTAATTACATAATGTACTGCTAGTGTGCCCGATGAATATTCAGTATTTCCACACTAGTGTTGTCGTGATTTGCATGATGGGTTTACGGGCATTTACATGCGGTACGGTCCATATTGGATACTACCGGTTAGGGCGGTGAAAGAGACAGGAAGTTACTCATTTAAAACATCACGTTTACACAAGTTGTATGAGAACAATACGACATCATTACGGTACTCCTTTGACCCTCTACAATATATACGATAAAGAGCTTGATTATCTGTCTTCGCTACTCTGCCTGACTTCAACAATGGTCCGTAAGGCCCTCAACAACCTTGATAAACCCACTTCCAGCTTATAATGTACGTTCTATAGTATTGTCATCATCACACTCTCAAGTACTTAATTGGATATGCACGTACTAGTCCGTACTGTAATGACCACGTTCCGACATAATTTCTTTGCATTCAGTGTGCAGCCCTATTTATAAACCTTTTACTCCTTTTAAACTATTGTAAGATTTATTTGGTCAGCACAAGTATTTAAAATCTTATTGATATCTTGCTCAGTTTATCGCCGTTTGTTTAATCATGGCTATCACCAAACACCTGCCCAGCTTTGACATCGAGGCGGTTCGGAACCAATTTCCGGGCCTTGACAAAGGACTCATCTGCCTGAACAATGGCTCTGGTGCTCTTGTGTACAAAGGCGCCATTGAGAGGTAAGTTCTTCCCTTTATTATGATACAGAATGAATGTTGTATTAATTGACAATCAACAATACATAGTATTGTTCGTACCATGTCTGCACCTCATATGAATCTGCGAGGTCTGGACTCAAAAAGCTTGGTGGACGTAAAGGAGCGTACTGCCCAATACGCGAAGCTCGCTTCATTTATGAATGCTGACCCGGATGAAATTGGTAAGAGATCCCTTCTATAGTGAAAGTTTCTTACAGCCCTTGACGGCGGCTGATCACCTCTTACTAGCCTTTGGACCTTCCACGACGGGCCTTTCAAGAAATCTTGCCGCCGCTCTCCGTCCAAATCTCAATGCAGACTCAGAGATCATAGTATCTGTTCTCTGCCATGAGGCCGGCGTAACGGCGTGGGTTGCCTTGGCAAAGAGCCTGGGGATCTCCATCAAGTGGTGGATGCCAGCCGGAGGGATGGGAAATAACAGAGATCCTAAGCTCGACCTAGAAACACTTCGACCTCTCCTCTCCCCCAAGACCCGCCTTGTATGCTGTGGACATGTTTCAAACATTACCGGAACCATCGAGCCTATCAAAGAGATTGTAGACCTTGTCCACAAAATCCCTGACGCGTTGATCTCCGTGGATGGAGTGGCATGGGCTCCTCATCGCCCAATCGACGTGAAAGACCTGGGCGTTGACTTCTACATTTTTAGTTGGTACAAGGTATTTGGCCCTCATATTGCACAGGTCTATGCTCGCCGGGGCGTTCAGAAGCGCTACCTGACCAGTCTCAATCACTACTTCTTTGACCCTACCGCTTTACACGTGAGACTGGGCTTGGGGAACAGCTGCATTGAGCTCGAACATGCTGTTACCCCGATTATCAGTTATCTCGTCGACCAGGTTGGTTGGGATTCTCTCATCATGCACGAGCAAGTCATTACAGCAGAGATTCTCGGCTACTTGACGGCGCATCCAGACCTTTACACCGTGTATGGATCGCAGTCAGCAAACCCGGACGTCCGGGTTTCCTTGATCAGCTTTACAGCGAATGGACTTGCGTCTGACAAAGTGGCAGAGATGATTCATGAAACCTCCAGCTTTCGGCTAATCACTGGTGATTGTTGGTCTCCTCGTACTGTTAATGATGTTCTTGGACTGCCGGATTTTGGTATCATTCGGACAAGCTTGGTCCATTATAATACTGTGGGTGAGATGAAGGCCTTTATACAAACATTGGATCAGGTAGTACGTACCTTGATGCAATGACTGTCACCTCGGTGCAATGACTGTTAGCTTTTATGATGTACATATGCAAATCAAAGCATGGACATCGGTAGACAGTAAGCAAGGTATAAAACTAACAGATCTATGTAGGTACAACCCACTGTCCATTGCTCACTAGACGACTTCAGTAACTAAAATCCCATCCTAGTAGACTTCGTTAGCCATTTCTGTCACTCGGAAGAAATTAAAATATTACAACATACCTTCCAAAACTGGTATCAAAGTCAGGCAAAACCGTCCGGTATACTAGATCTGTATTCGACCTTCAAGGTCCAACCGCAGACGTGGAAATCTTCACAATTTCCCCCTTCGGTTCCGGACTCGCCTGCACCCAGTCAAAATACTCCGGATTACCAGGATTGATCGTATTATCAGCGATAAACATAAAGTGCCCTGGTGTCAAGATATCTAATTCGTCAATCAGCCACCACAGATCCGGCAAATACGCCTCCTTGCAATGGTAGATCAGAATAAAATCGATCTGCTTAATCTCTTTCCGGTCTCAATTCGGCTCCTCCAGTACCTCAGTACGCGAGCAGACATGAATCCGAACATGATCGCGCAGTCTGGCCAGGTCAACAAGCTGGTTTGCCACCACCGCCAGTTATGGGCTTTCATCAATGCTTAGGTATTCACCTGCCACCATGAGCGACGACAGATTCACTAAATAAAATGACTGAATAGCCAATGCAGGTGTCTAGCTCCATCATCGAAGAGGGCCGGCACTCAGAGATCAGTTTCTTGATGAAGGGGCGTTGACTGGACCAATGGTCATCATTGGAGTTTGTTGAACTGATTCGTGTAGTCATCAATGGCTGAGATGACTTTTATTGGACTTGCACGCACTTATTTAAGATCTGGCCGGGAGTAGATGTAATGGAGGAGATCAATCTCGAGGCCATCCTATCTTCGATATCATGAATACGGTGGGAAATCAATTTAAAGTGACTAGTCATAACATACTAAAGCAATTCGGGTGCTTGGCGGGGCGCGCGACTTGGTAATTATTGTGCATGAAGCCAGGACTTACTAGACTGTTTGAAGGCCAATAGATGGAAAAGTAGTCCAAATTTATAGTTGTCCTTTCACCATTTATTTGAATTTAGTGGTACATATTTTATCCTTGCTTCCCGCCACACTGGGGGGGGGGGGGGGGGGGAAGTGAGAAAGCCCGTGGCTGTATGGCGACTTGCATCATGACCTCATGTCATCTCCACCTCAAGCATAAATAGAACTCGATCGGAAGAGGGGCCCGATGTTTCTTGGAAGATAACAACATTCTTCCTCTCTATGGGGTTGTCACTTCAACTTGTTTCACTATGACCGTCACTCAGGACGTGCCCCCGGCACCGAATGTCCACGGCCAGAAAACATGTCTCAGGGAACCGCTAAAGCTGAAGGGTCTCCTGGACAACTACAAGTCTTTCAACGTCACACCCACAATCGGAACAGAGTTTCCAGACGCCAACGTGGTAGATTGGATGAAAGCTGCAAACAAAGATGAGCTCCTCCGCGACTTGGCTGTCACCAGTAAGCATACACATCTTTCGTTTAATAGCAATATAGCGTATAGCTAATGAGAGGCAGTCTCTCGTCGAGGCGTTGTTTTCTTTCGTGCCCAAAATGACCTTACTGACGAGCTTCAGAAAGAGTTGGCCCAACGTCTAGGTGTTCTCACAGGCAAACCAGACTCCTCAAGACTGCACATCCACCCTCTGACCTACCACAACCTTGACAAGGATCCAGAACTTAACGTTATCACGACCGACCAAGCTGCAAATCCTGCAGAAGACCTTTGGAAAAACAGACCCGCCGACATCAGAAACAGCTGGCATACGGATACCAGCTACGAGCCTAATCCCGCCGACTACTCGATCTTGAAGCTCATCAAGCTGCCCGAAACTGGCGGAGGTATTTATTATCTGCCACAATGATCTATATGATACGCATCCTGATAGTTAGCATGCAGACACCATGTGGGCTTCATCCTGCGAAATTTACGACAAGATCTCCCCCGCCTACCGCTGTTTCCTCGAAGGCCTAACCGCCACCTTCTCCCAGTCCAGACTCCCCGCTTCCGCTGCTGCAAAGGGCTTTGAGCTCTATTCTAAGCCTCGTGGGTCCCCAAATAACGTCGGCACTTCCCTTCGTACCATCCACCCAGTTGTTCGCACCAACCCGGTTACCGGGTGGAAGAGTCTTTTTGCCGTGGGAAACCACGTCGAACATATCAACGATGTGACCCCTGGCGAAAGCAAGCGGCTGCACGACTGGTTCCTGCAGATGATCGTGGAAGAGCATGATGCTCAGCTGAGGCATCGGTGGGAAAATCAGTATGATATCGGTCAGTACTTACTTTACTAGGTCCTTCATCCCATCTCGTACAACTTGCACGTATGGATCTAACACTAATCATGCACGCAGCTATCTGGGATAACCGCACCGTCTACCACACTGCCCTTTTCGATTTCGCTGGCTTAGGTGCTCGGACCGGTCATCGGGCGGTTGGCATCGGCGAGAAACCTTACTTCGACCCGAACAGCAAGACCCGGCGCGAGGCACTTGCTGAGGAAGGAGTGGGCTGCTAGTTCTAAGTAATTAGCCAGCAATTGTTTTGTTTTTCTGCCGAGCAGAGCCTATCTATTTCGTGAAGGATGTTCATCTTTCTGTTTGAATGAATCTGAATTTATCGAAGAGGAAACTTGTTTCGCAATATACAACATGCAGATCCACTGGTAAACCGTAGTATGACACTGGCCTCGTCGGATTATCCTAATGGGCATGACCGTTTACTGTTGACCATTTGAAACGTAGATTTAACATAGCTCCATTTTTAGCCCATACTTCTTAAACGTACTATTCGAGCCAGGAAGCAGACTGCCCATGAACTTCCGGAATCCGAGGGTGCGAGTATCTCTCCTGCTAGAAACTCGGTTGGGAGCGGATTAATGCCTTGCCAAATAGCTAGCTTGAATTTCATTTATGCAGTGCCTTTTGTCAATCAATTTCCCTGAGACAGCTCTCCATTGCCATAGTGGTGTGTACTGTTAATGGATATGCGCCGCAGGATGCATGGTGTTTGATGCAGGGTCTCACGTTTCGTTTGTCATTATTCCTGGCTTTGGCCATTTCTCATGTGCTTCAATATAATACAATAGTACACTTGTAGGAAAAATAACGGTCTTTACCGTTGGGAACACGGGGGCTTAGCCGGAAGAGAAGCTCTCAGTACATACTTAATGCCAGGTGTTATACCGCCTTCAGGGAAACGATATCACAACGACTTCCTTTAGGTGGCTAGATCAACCGTTGAAAATATGTCGGGACTACGCGAGTGTCACAGGACACAGAGATCAATGCCTCAAGGCCGGCGTAATTTAGGCAGGGACAATATTACCCAAAAATTCTAAGAAGATACTCCCAGATTCGAGAGCATCATGATGAGTCCGCTTATGTTTTTGTAAGCTCCAGTGAGCATACAGTGCTCGGTTATCAATTTCAGCATACCCATGTTACTATATTTTGCTCGAGATGAGATTTGAACTTACAACCTAATCAGCTTCAACGATTCGCTCTACCAATTCTGCTTCTCAAGCGTACAAAAATATATAAACTTGATTGTGTATCAATGGTTTCGAAGCCCTGCTCTGGCCATATCGATATCACGAAAAGCATTATGGCCTACACCCTGGAGCTCTTAACGTAAAACGTCTTTGCTTAGGTCGAGATATTCTGCCAACTAATACAGCCGCCAAAGCCTCCTCGTGCGCCCCACAAGTAATGAGCCTTCAAAATTCCATGGGTCAAGTGTCATCTTGTCAGTCCTTCCAAGCTCCAAAGAGGAGTCCAACAAACGGACGCCACTATCCCCCCTCAGGGGACAGATGCAGTACCAGGACAACGCGATACACAAATGTGTAGAAAGTGTCACTCATGAAGTATTTGGACCATGTCTAAAATCAACGCGACTCCGACTCAATATATCGCTTCATCTTTTGTTGTCTTTCTGCTCTGATGTCCATTTTTGAAATTATTTTTGGCCACTTTTCTGGTTGTCAAAGAAAGGTGCGGAGGTTCATTGGCAGTACTCTAACTAGCTTTCCACTTATTTGAAGAGGCTCTACTGTAAAAGACTGACGACTAGTGCGTCAGCGATACCTCTACTCCCTGTTCTATCTTCTCGAGAATTTGACAAGGTTACTTGACCCCCAGCCCTTCAGGCCGGTGACATGAAATCTCAACCTCTTCGGCATTGTGATGGTGGCATTGAACTATGTGAACCATTCTAGGGAAAAATATTCCCCTACTGCAATATAACCTAGGATAACTGGGCTGTAACAAAGGTTAATGCCCGTGATCCGTACTCGTTTATATAGCCCGCGTGAGTTGCGGCGTTATTGCCGTTGCAGCAGTACGGATCGCCAGCGTCACAGTACGACTGGATCTTACTAGCTGACGGGCATGAAAAGCCGGCGGGGCGTGCGTCAAACTGAATTCCAATTATCAGACTCAACTTTCAAGAACGGGTAGGTAGGGAGCAAAAGACTTACACCTCCTGCAGCGCAAGTTCCAACATCGTACGGCAAGCCAGCCTTGAACAGTGGGTCACCCATGAAGATGGCTGCCTTTACCATATTTACGGCCGAAGAAGACAACGGGATCGCCGTGTCAGTGTATCCCTGGTTGGGCACACCACCGCCACACAAAGCTGCGTCTATGATTTCACCACCCTATAATAGGAATCAAGTCACGTCAGAAAATTTCACTTTCAATGTAAGCGGCTATCTAATAGCTGACCTGGGAGTATCCAACTAAAATAAGCTTTGTCTGGGGGCATTTCGAGTTGAAGGAGTTGACAGCTGACGCGACAGCTTGGATGCCTTGAGAAACTGAGCTAGAATAGCTGGCGCCTCCGCAGGAGGATTGTCCACCGCATGCAGGGTAGCTGATGGCCTCGGACGTGGAGCCTGGATAAGCACTCAGAACCTCATTGACAATTGTGATGGTTAAACCGTAACCCGGAGGCACAGTGGTCCCGCGAGCACCGAAGACATGGACGCCAGGGCAGCTTTGACGCTTCTCAAGGTCGACGTCAAGTGGAATAGCCAGACTGCTACTGACAAGTAAGGATAGCGCGACAAGATTGGAAAGCATTTTTTCTATAAGAAAATTCAAACGATGCAATATGCTATCGCAGTGCTGGTATTGTGGTGAATTTAATGCGATTCTTGAGTAACGGAGGCGGTCACTTAAATAATCAACGAGTCTCGGAGTACAAAGCCGTTCCTTGTTTCCGCAGAGCTCTATTATCAGGATACGAAGCGTAATCCTCTGGCCCGAAGACAGAGACTTGCCTAATGTCGAGGCAAGTGTGAGGTTTCAAGGACGATGTGTCAAGTTTAGCCGGAGGATTAGCAGCATCAAAATTAGCCTGAAACGGTTGACGTTTCGGCGCGTGCCGGCCAAGATGTTTTAGTATAGATGGCCGGCCTGTTTCAGGCTATTGTTATCTTATGTGACGCAAAACTATGCCAATTTTCGAAATCCCCCGCATTATTTCGAGTAATGAATTCGCAGATCCTCCCGATTGGGCAGCCGAAATTTTCCGATCCGGATGATCTGGTGGAGACGAATCATGATTTGCTGGTTATGATTCAACCTAACGACTTTTTTGCACTAGGTACGGGGCATATAGATCCCGCTCCTCTAAATATGAAGCTTGAGGATTTGCCGAAAGGGAGACCCACAAAGGAACGTGGGCCTGATATCAGGTCGGCTATTAGTCAACTCAAGCACAAAATGCGCCCTTGCAGAGCAGAGCCGAATTCTGTGAATAATAATTGGATGAAGTCATTCAAGTCTTTGTTATTAAGAGAAAGAAAGTGGAAGAAGGAACGTGCCACATCTACGTGAAAAAGGTTGTTCGTTACCTATGTATCTGTATTTCAACGTTAAAAACAGAGCCATGTTCGCTGAAACATGTGTTTGACTAATACATGCATCACAACCTAAAGAGGAAATATGCTTCTTTTTTAGACTTTGAAGAGTCCGTAGGGCCGTGACAAAAACGATTGGTTTTGTTGCCGAAATTAAAGTTGAATAATTCCCTGAGTACATGTAAAACTCTTTGACGTCGCTTTGGCTACATGCGCTACTTTCTAGACGAGAATGGTTTTACCCTGGAATTGCAAGTTCTCCGGCGGACGATGATCCCTTGGCGAGTCATTTGTTGGAGCCTAGCTTCTCTGCTTCAACCATCGTCGTGTGACGGAATAGAAATCATGCAGGGCTATGAACTTGATCCAGGCAGGGCTCTCCACATCGTTGCATTAGCACGCGTGACACAAGTGAAGGGAAATGTGCCAAAACTCGGGTGACAATTGCATTAGTGCGGCGCAGAATAAGGGTCATTTACTAATATGTCCGAAAGCCACTTACGTTTGAGATGCCAAGCAAAGCGCAGGCTAATCCAGGTACTGTTTTAAGGTCATTAACTTGGGGGATGACCCTGATGTCCAAATTGTAGACTTATTATCAACATAATAGGGGTTGGGACTAGGAAGAAGGAAGGAGAAAAAGAGAGAGATATAGATTCTGGAGATAGAAGCTATGGATATAGATCTATCATGGAGGCTAAGGCAAGGGATGCGGTGAATAGGGACAGAATCCCTCATTCACAGCGAACAGGGATAACTGGGCACTTTTCAAGCGGAAAATAAGTCAAGTCCAAACTTATCCCCGGAGCCAAAGGGGAGTTCTGTAGAGTGACTGGCGTAACGGCCTCGAGCGATCGTGCGAGTTCCTTGGATATAGATCGGTACAGGCGAACGTTCCCACTACTGAGGCTCGACTTCAAGAGATACTTATTGGGCTCGGTCACGGACCAGGCGTATCCGTCCTTGGCTCGTGGCTGGAGACGGATCTGGTTGGGAGCGACGACGAGACCAAGTCGCAAATCTGGGGTTGTCAGCCTCACCAGTCGACTGGATTCAATTTGGACTTACGGATGTGCGCCGCTAAAGCTTCTCGGCATTTGGTTCTCTCCAATGCGCGCTTTTCGCTGCTTGACATAGCCATTGTAATCATCGGACGGTGAAAGACAAGTGTCGTTCTTTTATTCCTGGATAGACTCATATAGGATAAATCACTAACACTATCAAATCTCACCGTTCAAACGTTGAAGGCACCGAGAGACAAATAGTCTCAAGCCGCGTAAATCATGTCGCACGTTCTCGGGATACATAGGGGGTATCATGCCCACACTGTACGAGTATCCCATGATGTCCTCAATTGCTACACAGAATATGGCCTTTTTTCCCTGCCAGACAGGGCGCAAAAGCAACGGCAACGCTACTAACACTGTGCCTCTGCTGGAACCGGCCGATGAGAAAACCCGTCGCAACGGTACAAGCAGCAACCGGGCGCCCGGAAAGAAATCGATACGACCGCGACGCGATCAGGCGCAAACCACTCTTTCATTGCTGCTGTTGCATAATTCCGTGAGTTCGGAGGCATGGTGGACTCCTTGGAGGGCGTCCACAACAAGAACCTCAGCGCGCAAAGAGCACCGGCGAAATTGGTTGCGACGGCTGCGCCCCTAGGCCCATCGGCAATGTGCCCTTCGCAGAGGAAGCTGAAAGGTGAGTAGACGGTTCTTTGACGGGCGCGTATACGTGTCCTTGAAGAAAGAGTATAAGTGTACTTCTAGATTTGAGCACGCTCGAGGGCTCTGTCATCTACAAAGACATCGGAATAAGAATTGAGCTTTCAAAAACAAAAGAAGAAAGAGATAAGCAGAGGTTCAACTTCCAATCAGGAATTGGAATTTCCATGTTCCAATATTAGCTAGCGCCCAACTTGGCAGGGTGTGAAGGGTCACGGTCGCATCCCAGGTCGCATGCTTCACCGACACTCTCTTCTCGCACAACACGATCAGGTGGCGACGATGCTTGAAGAGGCCTCCCCATTACTTGGTGGACAGCAGAAAGCGACGCCGAAGTGGGTATCAATCTACTGGCTGTCCACCGTCGTCTTTTGCCTGTCCACTGCGGGGTCCATTCTCAATGTTCCTCTAACGCAACTCATCGAGGACAACATTTGCAGTCGATATGCTCAACAAGGCACTCCAACTGAAAGGCACTGCAAAACTGATGATATACAGTCCGAGTTAGCCTATCTCAATGGCAACCTCTCCCTCGTGGAGGCAGTAGTCGGTATAGATCGCCCTAGTATCGACATTTGCAGGAAGACTTCCGATCTGACTTATTACCTAAGGTCTTTTTGTTGCATTTCCATTTGGTGTCTTGGCCGATAGGTGAGAGCGATATTCGAATTCACTTATAGGGGACTAGGAACTTACTTCGCAGAGTTGGGCGAAAACCCGTTATGATTCTATCGGTAATAGGAGCTTCACTTGCCTTAGCCTGGGAATTAGCTGTTATAGCGTTTCCAAAGATAGTTCGAGTCCAGGCAATTTTGGCTGGTCCGCTGTTTACGGTAGTTGGGGGTGGAAATACAGTGCTCCTCGCTAATCTGTACTCGATCGCATCGGATTTGGTGACTCAATCAGACAGGTACCCTCTTAAGGACACTAATTTCACTAAACTGTGAGTTAACTAATATAATTATAAGGGCATCCGCTTTCTTCCTGATGGCATTTTCTAGCCTAGCGGGAGCCTCTCTTGGCCCAGCGCTTTCCGTAAAGCTTATGGAAACATTCTCTCCTTGGGTTGCAGCCTTCGCCAGTTTCTTTGTCAACCTGATCGCTTTGATTCCGCTATTTTTTATACCCGAAACACTATCTATATTAAAGCCGGCTTCTACCACCGCCAACGATAATATCGGTTCGGAAGAATCACATCCCAACACGTTTAAGTTCTGTCTATCTCAGTCCTTTCAACTCCTCATCGTTTCCTTTGCGTCGCTTAAGTCTTACTCCATAATCCTCGTCTTGGCCACATTTCTCACGGTTGCACCCGAGATTCTGGGCACTTCTCAGTTCATGGCCCAGTACATAAGCAAGCGATTTGGTTTATCACTCGCTAGAACGGGCTATCTACTGACTCTCCGTGGAGTCATTCACATGGTCGTCCTCCTGTTCATACTTCCTTTGCTCTCCAAGCTGCTTTTGCAATATCGCAATCCAGCCGTCAAGGATCTAATACTCGCACGTGCATCGGTTGCCTTTGCCGCTGTCGGGGCACTTTGCATGGCGGCACCACAGATAGGGATGGTAATGGTCGGGCTGGCAGTGCATAGTTTAGGGTCGGGTCTGACCGCGCTGTGTCGGTCACTAGCAACAAGCTATGTGGCACCGCAGGACACGTCTAAACTGAACACGGCCATTGGTATAGTTGAAACAACAGGCTCGCTGTTGGCTGGGCCTGCCCTTGCCTGGTTGTTTGAGACGGGAATGAGGTTGGGAGGTATGTCACTTGGGTTGCCTTATTTTGGTCTTGCAGGGTCGTTCGTCTTCTGCCTAATAGATCTATTGTTTGTCCAGATCCCTTCCTCGGAAGGGGCGAGTGCCAGTGACTAGTTTACGAAAAAGTCCGGACAATGTGCTAGAGTTCAATTCCAGATGGATCAAACTTTTCACTGTCCATGATGGTCCCCATGACTCAGCCCATCTGACCTCTGTAAACTCCCCGGCATCTTCAGTGAATGGTCCTTGGCATGTTCCATCCCAGTACCTTTCCCTTTCAATGCTTTTGAAGTCCTCTCCAAGGACCATTGTAGCAATGCCTCAAAGTCACGACATGTATGTGTCGTGCGAAAATCGGGACCGAATGTTTGGGCACTTTGGTACCAAGTGAGTGGGACTGGGGTGATGTCGGAGTTGCACATGACGGCTTGCCGGATGTAGTCGAGACAGTGTTCTAAAATGATCAATTCAGGACTCAAAGTACCCACGGGATGCTCACGCTTACCAACATGAAGCATTTCGGTAGATGCTGACTGCTCGGGTTTGTAGTATTCGGGATATAAGGCCTTCCGGATCTTGTTCTGCATCGGAACCAAGATTAGTTCTCGTCAAGTATCCCGTTGATAGATTTGATCACACCAGGCAATGAATTTGATGGATTACATCAAGACCCGTAAGCCAGTACCCGTCGAATAGCAAGGTTTTATCTCTCACGGTGTCGGATTCCGAACCCTCGAGTAGGATAATCGATCCTTGCAGTTTAGCAGGTCAGATCTGCGTGAGATAATTCAGTTGAGTTCCTACCTGATTCCACTCGATCCCAAAGAGCGTCTATCTCAGGAGTGGGATTTCCCACCCATTTCTTTTCACCAGGAGTAAACTCTATTACCAAGTTCCCAGTTTCATTGTATGCGAGGGCTCCGCTGAATCTCATTTCCTGTTCCTTCAATTGTTCTGATGCCGATTCTATAAACCAATAGCATAATTAGTTCAAGCGTACGTTCGCAGTCTTATTTGTATTGAGCATCACCCACCCAGATCTGTCTTTCGCCACCTGCAAGCTGGTGCACAGGCTGGCCCATTGTCCGATAGAGAGACAATGTATAGGATCACAGTAAGACATGCGAAGAAAAATGTAGATAAAATCCAAGGCCAGTGGTAGAGTAAATACTCCTGAATCAATTGGCGCTTGAGGACATTGTGTGTTGGGGCTTTTTCATTCTCTGTCTCCTCATCCGAGGATGGAAGGCGGACCCATAAAGGGCGGGGAGATTTCAACCACAACTTAATATCTTGAAAGTTGAGTGCCATTTTAGTACATCTGCACAGCTTGAGTCTAAGATCAAGCAAAGAGATACGTGTTGATAGGTAGAAGAACTGTGACAAGAGAGTGTAGAAGACCTGTTTGCCAACGGCTTCGGGATCTGAGCTTTTTACTCAGGTAGCCAGCCTGCCCAAGCAAATACCCCGAAGAGTTGGGATTAATTTCCGTCTTTGTGCCGGTATGAGGCAAATTGCATAAGAGAGGGGAAAGCGACGCATCGGGTTCTGATGATCCACAGGGAGCCTCGGCCATCTGCACGTACTTTAGGTCACAACTATGGCGGCCCCAAATTTGATTTTCTTACAAGCCATACAATTTAGGCTTGGTGGAAAATTTCATTCAGTTCATGTCGAGCCCAGATGCAGGGCTTAGTGCATGCAGCAATTCGATGTAACGCTGCCAACGTACTTAGGTAGACGTCTTTGGTGCTTGTGGGGTCATTTTGCGTGAACGCTCAAGCGTTGGCGGCGATGGGAAGCAATAAATTCATGTCTAAACTCTAGGTAGTATTCAACTCTCGTATCTCTCGCCAAGCAATCTACATGAAGTTAAATATGCACGCTTGACCGAGGTCACACGAGCTAATGAGGCTGAAGACCCTTGTACCCATGCTTGTGCGCACTACGCTGTTTAGCCCAATCTTTGATCTTCCAAAAGTTTCGACATGTGTGCTCCACCTGAAAGTCATTCAGAGGACGATCTTCTTTCTCAGCCCACAGGACGGGGATTGGCGTCACATCAACGTTGCACATCAGTGCCTGACGTAGATGGTCAAGGCAATGGTCTAGGTGAGAAATTCAGCCTAGTGAAGCCTTCGTTATAGTATAAGAACTTACGTATATGTGTCGTGTATTCGGGCTCTGGATCATGTCTGGTATAGTAATCTGGGCGCAAAGCTTGACGGAGTAGGTTCTTTATGCGACGAAGTTTTTCATTAGATGCTTTCCGGTCAAGCAAAGGCTACAAACAGGTGCATACTTACCAGGCAATGTAGCTGATGAAAGACATCTAGACTTACAATCGACCAACCTCCCGGTTTCTCAAAAGTCTTTCCGTATATTGACTTGGCTTCCTCCCCGCGAAGATCCACCCCGTCGGCTGTCGCTCAGTCACCAATTATAAGTTGTTTCATTCAGGAACCGGTTGTTTTCACTGGTTCACCTACGATGTATCAGAGTATTCCAGAGATTGTCTAGCTCTTCACTCGGCTCGCCGGTATATTTTGGTGCATCGGGGTTCCAATATGTAGAAATGAGATTACTCTTATTATCGAACTGGAGCGTGCCACTGAAACGGACTTTCGTGACTTCGATTGCAGGCTGCACAGACCCTAGAAAATAATCAGCTTTGATCATGAAGACTGAACTGTCAATTCGCTCACTCACATAGCTCCGTGGAAACAACATCAGATAGGCCCTCGCAATGGTGTCCTCTATGCCCTGAGATGTACATTGAAACAAAAATGGATAGAATCCATACCACGGCAAACAAGAGATGTGTCAACCACCGGACGTAATATTGCCTCGAGGTGTTTCGAGACGAATTGTGTCGTTTTTCTCCCGAGATGAAACCATCTTCTTCAGATGCCCTGATACCAATCGAATCCTCATGTTCTTCTCCGTTCAAATAGGATAGCACCGGATCATTTCCATGCCGAATTTGAAACATGATGCTACTTGTAGTTAGGTGGACAGAGAGAAGAGTAATAGGTAGCTTTGAACGAGACTTAAGAAGAGAAAGAAGAGACAATTTCGCAAATCAGGAGAAGCAAAAGGGGGGTATTCAATCTCTCCTCGAGAGCCCAAGTAAGCATGCCATACTTTGGAGGCCTTTCCTTGGCTAATGCTACCCCCGCTCAAGGCAGAGGTATAAATGGCATTATTTTGACCCCGGTCAATATACTTCGGTCAATGTAGACCGCTACGAGGATGTTGAGATGAGCAATTGCCACACAGGGGTTGCGTCAGGCATACCATCAACCAGCTAACTCACCCTGCCTGAGCGTTGCCGATCACAACCTCGGAGTGTTCTTTGCCTCTGGTTCGCAGCGTGACACAATTTTCCCGTCTTGAATTCCCCATCTCGTTGGCTGAGACTTGCATATACGCTTGCATCGAGCCCCGCCCAGGGAGATGCATCTTCACCTCACGAGAGGGGCACTTAATCTAGCAGTTCCTGTCAGCATATCGATGATGACTTGCACAACCTTGTCCCCATGGGCCTCTGCGCTATTATCACTTTCTGTGTTAGGCCAAAAGCGACAAACAGTTGAGTGTGCGGGGCTTGGTTGATTGCACCGGTTGTTGATCAGCAGTAAGCCCAAGCCATTCGATATTAGTAGTTAAAGCAGCCCGTATTCTATAAAGGCAGATGGGCAACCAGCAACCACTTGAGAAAATATAAAGTGTCTAAATCTCAATCCCATAAATTCCAACTTCCTCAAATCTTCATTAGGTCAGACATATTCTGATAGCCTGACAAGATGCATCTCAAGCTCATTGCCCTCACTGCTTCTCTTGTCGCCAGTCTTAGTCTGGCTGCGCCTGTCGAATGTACTATCCATGCTTTTTATTTCGTTCTTGCTGCGGCTCTTTGCATTGCTGATGAAGATATTCACAGATTCAGTTCAGGTTGCAGACGCGGATTCAACCGTTGGACAGGCTTTCTACGACAAATACAAGGAGGCACACAAGCGTGGGGAGGCCGAGGAGGATTCAGCTGTGGGCCAGGCTTTCTACGGAAAATATACGGAGCAGCGCAAGCGTGAGGATGCAAAGGAGGATTCAGCTGTAGGCCAGGCGTTCTACGGAAAATACAAGGAGGAGCGCAAGCGTGAGGATGCAGAGGAGGATTCAGCTGTGGGTCAGGCTTTCTACGGAAAATACACTGAGACCCCCTAGCCTGCGGCTTAAATTCTAGGGTGCGGGATCATCCGCAAGGGTCTCTGATCATCAATTCCTAGATTTGTTTGGCGGGGTTCATCAACGTTTCATTGCAGCCCCTGGGAGCAATATAGGAATTTTTTCTACTTAGTTTTTAGTCCATGTTAACTTTAGCAAGAAAGCATTCAACATGTTCTTCTAAAGTTGTTATTCTTTTTTTTTCCTCGGGGGTCTTACCTTTCGGCCTGAAATCACTTGAATTCCTTCAGTGTTGCAAAATACCTCTTTGCCTCTACGCTACATGTTCCTTTTTCCTAGAAAACAGTTTACGTTTCAAGGCTAGGTATAAATTTAAGGTCTGAGCTCATTTTCTCCTATCGAGCCAGCCTTGTTCAGTTGGCCGCGTTCGAGCATCAGAATATGCGGGTGAAAGCGAACGGTCACATGAACTTAATAATATCCTGTTACATCGACCTGGAGCAATCCGGAACACCAATGCCCCGGCGGGGCATTCTGCACAGTCGAATCTAAGTGAGACTTGGCAAAAGACCCGCCACTGATAGAGTAAAGAGGAGGCGAACTTTTGGGGGCCATGGATACAACATAACCAAATTGACCAGGGTATACACATATGCATATGCCGTCGATATAGGAATGATTGGCTGTCAAGATGTGCCCCGTATACAGCTCTGGGTCTGGACTCGGGGTGCTGTCGGATCTCCGGCGGCGAACCTCAGGTTCCTGTGCCAAGAGCCTTCGATTGGTCGTCACGGCCTTGGCACATTTGGGTCTTTGTGTAAACCCCAGGATACCGAATGACCACATAAAATGTGAATGAGATCATGATTGCCTATATACATGCCAACTGACAGATCTCGCTCACAAAGTACAATATTTCGTCAATATTGTTGCAATAACCGGACTTATAACCATCAAATTCACTATGTATCTTATCGGCCAATCGGAGACTCTCTCCCCAAGTTTATATTGTTAATCTACTATAAAATCGAGACGAAAATTATCAAAACTAGCCAGAACTGAGCTAGTGAGTTGTGCCAGATAAAGGTGCTTAGCTCCCACCTTGGACCTCTCCTTAATATAACCTCTCTAGCAGGCTACTTTTTTGTCCCCAATACTTAGCGGGCTACACCTGCATCGTAACACTAGCACAGAGCCCGCATTTATCAGGGTCTCAAAAGACAAACTGCGAGCTGTTTGTAAGACGATAACAAAGCTGCAGATCACTGTGCAAAGGGTCCTGGGGCAGCAGCTGATCATTTTCGGAGTCGTCAAATGCACCATTTTTCGTAGATGAGAGCAACTTCCTTGCTAATTCTTACCGGACCTCCATCAGCTCTCTCAATTCAACGTTCTATTCTCCCTTTCCCTGCCCGCACTCTGGTCTCGCCATGTTTTTGACGCGGGCCACGGGCACATGCGACGATGACCAATTTGGGCCTATCGTCACTGCAGCGGACTGTCGCGGAGGATTCGACTTCACTGTCATTTTCGAGGCCGGTATCCTGAGCCTCGTTCCGGCCGTTTGTTTTCTCCTTGTGGCATCTATTCATCTGCCCCACTTGCTCAGACAGCCTCGGAAGGTGCTCTCTTCGACAGTCCGAGTGGTCACACTGGTGAGTAATCCCCTCTTCCCACTACCTATGTGTGGTCTCAATACGGGGACGACCAAGTATTAAGATTTATCTTAAACTAGAGTGTCTCTGTGATTTTTGCAGCTATTCAAGTTGCATTGCTTGTGCTTGTTGCGAAAAACCACCCCGTTGGAGGGCGCACACTGCTTGCAAGTGCCGTTCTCGACCTATTATCGGCGCTGGGAGTTATACTGCTTCTTGACCTAGAGCACGTCCGGTCAATTCGGCCATCTTTCCTTGTCTCTGCGAATCTGTTCATCACACTGTTCTTTGACCTTGCGCGTGTGCGCACAGCGTGGCTGCTACCGGAAAATAAGGTCTACTCTGCTTTTCTTTCTACTTCTTTGGCCATCAAATTAGTTCTTTTATTGCTAGCTAGCGTTGAAAAGCAAAAATGGCTTCTAACTACCGAGAAGTATTATTCCACTGAGAGCGTGAGTGGGCCTTTCACCCGAGGCTTATTTACCTGGCTGAATGGGCTGCTGTGGAGAGGGCACTTAGCGTCACTGGCTGAAGGTGATCTCCCTGCCGTTCACGAGAAGCTATTGTCTTCGCGGTTGTCTGTCCGATTTGCAGATGCGTGGGTCTGCTCCAACAAGGCTGGACAAAATGCGTTACTTTGGGCAGTGATCAAGTGCCTCCGCTGGGAAATGGTAGCGATCGCCTTCCCGCGGCTTTGCGTAGTGGGATTTAGTATTGCGCAGCCATTCCTCATTGGAAAAGTGGTCAGTGTCTTACAACGGACTGACTCTTTCTCACTCGACACCAGCTATGGCTTAATTGGAGCCACTGCAATCGTCTTTGTCGGGATTGCTGTAAGCTTGTTGTCATCTCGTCGCACTGCTGGAGGTAACACTGACATTGCCTTATAGGTTTCTAGAGCTTCTTATGAGCACCTGGGATACCGTGCTACAACTATGATCCGAGGAGGTCTGATGAGTCTTGTGTTCCAGCATATGATGGATCTGCCACTGGGCAGCACAGACGAATCCAGTGCAATGTCGCTTATAGGCTCTGACATAGAAATGCTTGCCGAATATTTTTATTCGGTCGTCTGTGAGACTTGGGCAAACGCGCTCCAGTTAGCACTGGCTACGTGGTTGCTAAAAACCCAGGTCGGTGCGGTTTGCATTGCTCCGATTTTGGTAGTGACCAGTTAGTTCTGTCCATTTCCCTGACCAGTCTCCCAGACTTCCAATCATCTGACAACATCATGTTAGTATTCACAGCTTCCTCATTTGCGATGGGCAATGCTGTTTCCACTCGGCAAAAGGAATGGCTTCGGGCCACCGAGAAGCGGATCAACTTCACAACTTCCATCCTTGGGTCTATTCGCAACGTTAAGTTTCTCGGTTTAGCCGAGATAATGAGTTCCAAGATCGAGGCATTGCGCGTGGAGGAGCTTGAGGTTTCGAAGAGGTTCCGCCGGATCCAGTCAATTCGTGTCTGCATGGGTGCGTGCTTACATTCGCCCCTATCCTAAGCCCATTGGATTACTCTGATCAGCACATGATCGTACTGATGTTCAACTCCAGTCAACTCCCCCATAATAATCGGCCAGCTTGCTACATTGGCTGCATATGCGATAGTAGCATTACTGCAGGGCTCTGGGGGCCTTGCTGTAAATCAAGCCATCTCCTCGTTGTCGCTTATTAGCTTGATGATCACACCACTAAGCTACCTCTTGTTGGCGATTCCAGACACATTTGCTTCAGTAGGATGCCTGCATAGAATACAGGAGTTCCTTAAGAGTCAGAAGCGCCGTGGTGAGAGCTTCAATCCCCAATTTTAAATTGTTTGACTGTTTTCTGGATTTCCCGGATCCTGAATCAGACTCTTAAGTTTGTCAACGAGAGCTAATAGGACCCTGAATAACACAGAGAAGAGACAGCTTCTCCGTCCATTGTTGGCTCGCTCCACATCATCCAGCAACATCTCTGGTATTGAATTGTCTCCCCTCTCACAGCTTCCACACGGCGAGAGAGATGTAGTCCTATCTCTACGGAATGTCAAATTTGGCTGGAAACCTCTTTCTATATCAGAGGGAAATGGTGTAACATTCACTCTGAATGATGCCGATTCTGGCCAACTTGTCATCCTTGTTGGTCCAGTCGGCTGCGGAAAATCTACCTTTCTCAAGGGTCTGGCAGGTGACACGCCTGTGTTGGAAGGGGAGCTCTTCGTGAAGTACCCAGACTTGGCCTTCTGTGAAGACACACCATGGCTATCAAATTCTTCAATACGGAGTAATATTGTTGGCGAATATTCATCTTCTACCTTTGATCCTGACTGGTATCGCACCGTTGTAAGCGCATGTGCGCTGGACTTCGATCTTGAGAAGATGCCGGCGAACGACAAAACACTAGTCGGCAGTAAAGGTTCTAAGCTGAGTGGAGGACAGAGACAAAGAATCGTGAGTGATGACTTATGTCTATACATCCAGAAAGATTCGGCCTCTCAATTAAATTCTGGTGTGTATAGGCCATCGCACGAGCGGTCTATGCTCGTAGACGCATCGCTTGCTTTGACGACGTTCTAGGTAGCCTGGACAATGTCACGGCCCGAATTGTATTTAAAAATGTCTTCGGCACAGCTGGGCTCCTGCGTCAGCTGGGCTGTACTGTTTTTTTGGCTACTCACACTGGTATGTATACCTTGTTTCCAGACTATTGACCTGATTAACCACATTCTAGCCCATAATTTGCCCCAGGCTGACTTGATCATGGTGTTCGGGGACAATGGTCAAGTGGCCAAGCAAGGCAGCTATGCCCAAATTCGAGACGGCATTGATGGCTTCATTCAGCTGAATGATGCTCAACTCACACAAACAGATGAGGCAGAAGAAGGCAAGAAGTCCGCAGATGTGGTGGTAGAGCCTCCGACTGCCGCTTTTAGTGCTTCTTCTTCCACATATAACAGTCGACGGACAACCGACCTTGCTGTATATAAGTATTATTTTTCTGCACTGGGTTGGTCACGAATTGCTTCGTTGCTTCTCTTCCTAGTTACAGATGCCGGTATGGGCGGATTCCGCTGTAAGTTATAATAAAATGCCCCACAGTGCGTCGTTGACAAGAACTACCCAATCGCGACGGAGATTGTGCACTCGGCAACTTGAAACTGATTCTTTCTCAGATGTCTGGGTCAGCATCTGGTCCTCCAGCAGTGACAACGATTCGCGCCTAGGCTACTGGCTTGGACTGTATGGAGCATTCTCTGTGGTCCAAGCCCTTGCGCTTGTACTTGCTGTATTGTGTGTTCAATATCCCCTTCGATCAATGTGTGCGTTCGATGAGCTCTCTAACCTAGTTATAGCTGGACATGGGTTATTATTGTCCCATTGGCCTCCAGGAACCTTCATACAACCGTGCTGAAGACTTGTATTGGGTGAGTATCTCTAAATACTCGTTGCGATAATTAGCTAATAATGGTAGTGCTCCCTTATCCTTTCTTTCTAACCTCGATACGGGAGTTCTAGTAACACGTTTCAGTCAGGACATGAGGCTAGTTGATATGATCCTGCCTCGAGGCTTCATATCTACAGGGTTCCGTCAGTGCAGCGATGAAGCTTGAAAGAAAAATGTTTGGTATGCTAACTTTGCCAACCTCTAGAGTTTTTCGGAGCTATTGCTCAGGGCGCCACTGCCATAGCCTCATTGCCCTATTTAGCAGCCGCTTTACCTATTATAATTGCAGTCCTCTATCTGATTCAGAGGTTTTATCTTCAAACATCTCGTCAGCTGCGACTACTAGAGTATGTTGCTTTTATGTGCTTTCCTAACACTAACATGCTTCATATGTTTGATTATACGATTCAGAAAACTCATGCAAATCATCTACAGAATTGAGCTCAAGAGCCCCCTTTACACCCACTTCATCGAGTCACTGGCGGGACTCACCACTATTCGTGCCTTTTCCTGGACTCATGCTACGACAAATCGAATGCTTTCTATATTAGACAGCGCCCAAAGACCATACTACCTCCTCCTGTGTATCCAACGCTGGCTGAGTCTTGTGCTGAACCTGATTGTGGCCGGCATAACATTGCTTCTGGTTGGAGCATCCGTCGTTCTTCACTCTCACTTGGACCCGGGTCTACTAGGGATTGCCCTTGTCTTGATGATGGATCTGGGACTGGTTCTATCAGAGCTGATCCAAAACTGGACATTGCTTGAAACGTCACTGGGAGCCATTTCACGCATCAAAGAATTTGCCGAGGAAACCCCTCATGAAAAGAGTAACATGGCCACTCAGACTTATGATGAAGTCTCGGAATGGCCGACAAGCGGCGAGGTCGAATTTTTAGATGCAGGAATTGCTTGGAATTTTGGTGAGACGAAACCTCTACTCAACGGCATTAATCTTCGAATTGGAGCCGGACAGAAGTTTGGCTTGTGTGGCAGAACCGGAAGGTGATAATTGTCCTCAGTGGAATTCATCCTTTTTCATTATCCAACAATTGGGCTGACAGATTACTTCGAGCTAGTGGCAAGAGTACATTGGCACTGTCCCTCCTTCGTCTCAATGAGATTGTATCCGGCCAAATCCGCATTGATGGACAAGATATTTCCTTAGTGCCCGGATCATCAATTCGACAACGCATTAGCTGTCTCAGCCAAGAACCCTTCATTTTCCCCGGTACAGTCAAGGAAAATGCCGATCCCTTGGGCAAGGTCTTGAATGCGCAGATTGTTGCTGCTCTGCAATCTGTGCGGATTTGGAGCATCCTGGCAGCAAGCCACAGTGGTACCGACGAAGAGGTGCTGGATTCAAAATTAGATGACAGCATCCTATCCCTGGGCCAGAAGCAGCTGTTCTGTCTTGCCAGAGCTCTGCTGAAGAGGAGCAAGATATTGATTTTGGATGAGCCAACAAGCAGGTACGTTTGTGTTGTTTTGACTTGTTTTTCATTCCATTCATTGTGTGGTAGCTGACGAGAAACCATGTAGCCTGGACTCTGAAACAGATGCCAAGGTACAGAATGTCATACGGGAGTCGTTCCATGGCTGCACCGTAATAATGGTGGCGCATAGAATCCACACATTGCTTGACTTCGATCAGGTTGCTGTTCTGAAAAGTGGTGAAATTGTGGAGGTCGGAAATCCTCATGATCTACTCGATAAGCCTGATGGGGAATTTTCGAAGCTGCTGAGCCTCGAGCCGTGACATCCAGAGCTCTAGGGCATTGCCTTTCGGGTTTTGCTTTTGCAACCGGGTTTCTTTTTATTCTTGCTTTTCTATTTAATTTGCGTTATCTGGTCTTGGAATACTCAAAAGATAAACATGCAATTCGCTTTTGATAGCCATCATTCGTCATTGAAATCAATTGCTTTTTCAGTCGAGTGGTTCCTCTAGTCAACATTTTTTAATAGAGTAATGTTTTCCTCATCTTGTTTATGCCATGTTTCTTACTGTTTTCATCCATCACTCTTGCGATTCATGAATCCATTACTGGCACCACAATCTACTAAGGCACGTCAAAGAAGATTCAAATTCAAAGTTTCAATAACTGGTACCTGCATCGGCAGTCTCATTGGGAATAGATATATATGAAAAAAAACGTAACACCAAAACCAACCAGAGATATCAAAATGCAACCCAAATATAGAAAAGAAAAAGAAGAAAAATGTATCTCAGACCGATGGTTTATCGCAATGCAAAAAGTATAATGGCCTTAGTGGGATTCCAACTCCGAGAGAAAATCCAAAGTCGAGGAAGATCCCTCGGTATATCCATTTCCAATGGAATATCCAGTCCGTATCGACAGATAGGACGAAAGGAAAGTAAAAACGCAGAAGGGGCCACCCTGCACATTCCACATTCGAGGTAATGAAAAGGGGAAGTGAAGATAAAGGGTTATACACGCCGGTTGAACACTGAACACCAGGAACCTAAATCAAGAAACAGGGCTATGGTATCATCGTGGAAAAGCGAGGCTAGTTGAGAACGGGGTCATTGCCGAAGATCTTCCTATATATTTCGGTGAGGATCTTTGCGTCGGCGCGGAGGGTAGGTGAGATGTTTTCGCTGCGGAGGAGGAAGCGGATTGTGCGTTTGAGAAGGCGTTCAAGAACGGAGCGTTCAACGAGCTCGGAGAGGCTGGACATATATGTTGCGGAGAGGACAAGCATATTTCCGAATTGACTGGGTCGAGTTAGTACTACTGGGTAGTTTTAGTTAGGGTGGTAGAGATGAGGCGCTTACGCATGGGCTGTGCCGAAGATATTGGTCACGACGAGGCGATCGGGGATTCCGTCGAATGCTGTGGTACTTAGGATTGCGGACTCGATGCAGACTTTGCAAGCGCGGCGGAGTTTCTGTGGAAGTTCGCGCAAGGCAACGGTGGGTGGGGTCCAGCCGTTTGCAAAGGAACTGAATTCGGCGGGCGGATTGCCTATGTTGCTCATGATCCGGGTCATGCCTGGGGCGCGCTGGCCGGCCTGCGTCATTGAAGGCGACATCTGCTGTGTTTGCGAATTGTTGGCAGATCCGGTGGGTGAATCGACTGAGGTCTGGGCAACGGACCCGACGCGGGCGCCTGTCTGACCATAGTGGAGCGCATGGTATAGCAGAGGTCGGTGAATGATATACCGAGCTCCGTAGTACTTGGCTCTCATACGCGCAGCGTTGATGTCCTTGGCGGGCGGTTCCTTGTCGGTCCAGCTCATCCGGGTCATGCCTGGGGCGCGCTGGCCGGCCTGCGTCATTGAAGGCGACATCTGCTGTGTTTGCGAATTGTTGGCAGATCCGGTGGGTGAATCGACTGAGGTCTGGGCAACGGACCCGACGCGGGCGCCTGTCTGACCATAGTGGAGCGCATGGTATAGCAGAGGTCGGTGAATGATATACCGAGCTCCGTAGTACTTGGCTCTCATACGCGCAGCGTTGATGTCCTTGGCGGGCGGTTCCTTGTCGGTCCAGCTCATGGTGGTGGGGAGACTAGTTCGCCAGAGGTCGAGGTTCATGCTAAGAGCTTCCTGCACATTGGATGACCAGCGCGTTTGACCCTGCTTTTCAACTTTGTATAGATCTGTATGTACTCGGTTGAGAACTTTTCGAAGGTGAATCTGGGCCGAGTAAAACATCATCATGATGGTTGAAGGTGCGCCACTCTCGTCGGGTAGAGGAATGAATACCCCCTTAGGAAGACCCATCCGACCCTCGGAACGGGAAATACCACTTGCGGGAATATCGAGCTCCGCGAGCAGATCACTCTCCAGTTGCAGGCACGTCCAATAGGCAAAGTTGTAGAGATCCTTTATGGTGTTGTTATCGTCAAGTCGCTCATATCGCTTTTGTCGAACGAGGACTTGACACGCTCTTGCAGCCTGGCAGATCCAGCCATGGCTTTGGAAAGGGTGTGCTAGCTGGCCAGCATAGAGTCCAGCAAGTAACCCTGCCTGTACATGCTCTAGCTCAACGCCGCCTTGGAGAAGACCTAGGACGGTGGTTGCGTAACCATAAAGGGACAAGCCTGGAATAACCTGCAGATTTTTGACATGACCAAATTCATTCCTCGTACGTGGAATAGATCGTTTTGACGCGTAGTTCTGACCTCGAATTTCAGTTACTGAGGACGGGAAGGACTGGCTCGTAGAATGAAGTTGCGAGTTATAGAACGATGCTGATGTTGGCAGAGCAGAATCCGAATTTGCAGGGGAGGGAACACCATTATGGACATGGGTGCCATTCACGGCAGGAGGGGGCCCAATAGGCGGAAGGGGTTTAGGGATTCTTTCGTCGAGATAGTCGGGTCTGTTCATTATGGGCCCCGGAAGGGGAGACTTGGTCTCGCAGATAGCACCGAGCGCAAAAAGCAGCAGAATGATAGCATTGTCGATATTCCGGCCCACGCGTGGCCGAACGGAGGCAGCAGCAGCGTCCACAGACCCACCGCGGATACCCTGCAGATCTTCATGGGAACGCTTTCGTTTCATCGGACGAGAGTTCTCTCGGCAAAGAGTAGAGTTCTGTTGAAGTGGCGAGGTGTCCCGGGGGCAGAAAGATCTGATGAAAGCTTCAACCTTTCCATCAAGCTCTGGCTTGTTGAGGAAAGGATGAAGCTGATGAATCTTTTCCAGGTAAGTTTGGTAGTACCGTCGAGCCGTTTTCGCATCTAGGCTCAGCCGGCCGAAGCTGTCAATATCAACGTCAACCGGATCCGATGTCGCACCTGTCAGAACATTGGAGTCTCCGTTGATACGGGTCTCATCAAAGCTACCGCCGTCGCGAGTAATTGGGGTTGAAGGAAGTTGGGTGTCATCGGCTGTCGACGAAATCTCGCCCTGTCCATATACACTGATAAGGCCGCGCTCTTCCTCCAATCTCATAACGTAGTCCTCGTCATACTCGTGAGGGACAATTAGTCTCTTAATAGAGGGCCACATCAAAAGTTTGTGTGCGGCGGTTGTATGCTCCACCGGTATCGAAAGCTCTCCCTCATTGTCATTCTTCACATCGTCGAAACTCGAGTTAGGGTTCAGAGCAGGCTGTGCTGGCTGTCCGAAGAATGGACTCTTGTCGTCAACTATGTCCGGTTGAATGGGCTGCATAGTCTGCATAGCCTGCATGCTTTGCATGGCCTGCATAGCGGGGGCTTCGGTCTTCAAGACCGGGTCTCGAGGCGGGATAGGAGCATTTGCGCGGTATTTCAGCGCGCGGGTTGTCTCACTCGGCCCCTGACCCAGAAGCTGTTCGAGGATCTGGCCCTGATCAGCCTGGTACTTCTCCACTCTGCCAATACGATCGATGAATTTGTCCTCCATCTCCATCAGTCGATCCAATAACAACTGAGCCGTTTTCTCCTGCCTGTTCATTGAATTAATGTTAATTTTCCGGTTTTGCCTCATCGTTTGGGGAGGGCACAGACTTGTGAGGTGGTACTTCTTTGTACACGCAAATCAAGTTGTTTTCTTTGCAGTGACTACAAGCCGGTCGTCCCTCGTCGCATTTAGCCTTTCTCGCACGACATTGATCGCAAGCCTACAGCGATCTCAAATTAGTCGATCATCATAACAGCATGCTCACAAAACTGACTTGGGTTGCTCGCGCCGCCTTGCGCTGGCGCGCCCCGTAAGCCGGGTTCTGATAATATCCCGGGTCATAGGGACCAGGCGTGCCCGGAGGGACTGGTGGCGCCGGTGTCATAAATTGAGATGATGGAGGTAGAGAAGCAGATGTCGGTGTTGACTCAGTGGGGGTGAGCTGCTCGGGCGGTTGAAAGCCCATGCGCGCCCGATAGTCTGGTGGGGCAGAGTGTGGCGATGACTCGTGTGGTGTTCCATTTATCGGACGATAGCTTGCGTGTACTGGACTTAAGTCTTGTGCCGGGTGGGGAGGAGGGCCTGATAAGCTACTGGGTCGGCCGTAGGGACCCTCTGGTCCGGAGGGGGAAGCTGCGGTAGCTCACGGTTGGGGTTGACTGGGTATTGGGGAGGCAACGGTGCTGAGGCGGTTGAGGTACGGCGGGAATCCGGCGCGTGGCCGTCGTAGGGTGCAGGATGGTATGGAGGGCGCCATGCATGCTCGTAGACACCATGCGGGCCGGGAGGCACATGGTGCCCATCGGGAGGTGGCATGCGTTGCATCGGGTTGAGTTGGAAGTCGAGTCCTCGTCCGAAGATGGTAGAATTCTGAGCCCAGTGTCAGGCGCAATGATTCGGCTCAAATCACCCAGTGATGCAAGGTCGCATACCGTTTACAGAAGCAATATAGCTTGAAAAGATCGCTTAGATGAACATGACGAGACCAAGGGAGAGAACCAGGCCGAAATAGTCGAGATGGTCGAGGTCGAGTTCAAGATCGAGGGTGAGATTAGCCGCACCGGTTACAAGATCGGTGAGCCGGGGTGTTGGCGCAAAAATTGGGTGCGGGTCGGGATGCCCGTTGGAAGCTCTTTGTTAAGCGGGTGGAGCTAGAAACAACAAGAATAAGAAGTCAGATAGGATGATCGAGCCAAAGGTAGAGATGTAGAGTAACCTTGAAAAATGACGAGAAACAAGAAACGGGAGGAAAAGGTTCCAGGACGTATCAGATAGATCGCACAGGTGGAGGAGGGGAAAAGGGAAGCTTGTACAGGGAAGGTGGATGTGGAGCATCTGAGCACTCGGAGTGTACAAGTGTACGCTCCGTACGCGTGATGTACCGCGTATTGGTATGTAACGGGTATTGAATTGGGGGGGGGCGGTGATGGGTGACGGGTGACGGGTGATGGGGGATGGGATCGGATGGGGTCCATGGACTCAAGTTCAAGCAAACAAAAATGTTAGTCAAATTACCTTTGATCGTAAAACCCAATAGTCTCTTAATCCCAGTGGAACCCAGATCCTTGGGTTCGAAGGCTCTAGTGTAGTGGGAGGAAAGCTAAGCCAGGCTGGCGGGTCCTCAAGGCGAGCAAAACAACGAGGTTCCAGCAGTTTGGGTCAGGAAGGAAAGGAAAAGGTAAAGAAGCGAGGGAGCGGGAATATAACTGGGGGGAAAGGACATAAGTACAGCCTAACATGGTCATTATCATCTTAATTACGTGGGATCGGCCCGGTGTTTGCCCCTCCCTTCCATGGTCTGCTCCTTTTCGATTAACTCATAGGATGCAGTACACTCCTCTAGTCCCTGGTCCAGTCAGTCCAGTCCCTGATGAGATCGCAAACGCCAGAGTTGACAGGTCTTTTCCCGTTCCTTTTTTGCCTCATGACAGACCGCACGGTGGGTCCAGGTGGAGGATTTTTTTTTTTTTTTTCTATTTTTCTTGACATTTGGAATAAATGAAATGCAAGTGTAATGCTACAGTGAGACCATCTTCTACCTAGCTTCGTAGTCGCCCGATTTCCTAGACTTGCTATACGGTATACGGTATTTAGACTGCTTTTTTAAGTCGCGCCTTCCCAGGTGGCAGGGCTAGTCAGAGTGTTCTGCTTCGTCTCCGTTCTACCGAGGAAGACCAAGACCATTGCCTGCTCCGTGCTCCAGTCCTAGTGTTCTGCGGTATTCCATTCTCCGGCCTATCATCGCATTTACCACGAGAAGAGCAGGGATCACTTTCCAAGACCCAGTCCTTGGGAACACCTTACAAGAGATAGACAATTAATATCAACACATTCGTCCAATCGTCTTCACGAAGTGTCCGATCTCATCTCGATCAGGGCTCGGGGATCCTGCACACGGTGCGAAGCGAAGAGATCAAAGTTCGATTACCGCACCGCAAGGGGCGCTGGGCATTGAGCGAACTCTATTGGACTCTCGATTCACAAATCAAGTGGATACAACTCCAGATCGGCCAAGTTCTCGAAAACACCCGGCGAATCCCGTGCCGTCCTCTCCCAAGGGCGGCTCCAGGAGTGTGGTTTCTGGCAGATCAACGGGTGTGGTTGACCCAGCATCTCGGTTGATCTGAGTGTGAAAATTCGAATCTTATTTCATAATTTGGATCAAGACAGGTCAAGTCCGAAGGGTTTACCGTCCATGGTTGCATCCAGGGACCCGTAACTTCGCCCATGGGTTGAGCCACGGGAGTCTCCACAAAGAATCCGAGAGAGTAAACAATAATGTGGAGGATGATGTTAACAGTATTTAGGTCACATTTGAACGGCTAGCTGTGGAGCAACGACATGTAATTATGGCCCGGTCTCAGTCCAAGCTTGCTAAGCATATATATCGTGTCCATATCGACTCTACAGCACCTAGACGTCGTCCTAGACCTTGTAACCCTTGAAATTGCCGAGGACTTGGGAAAAAACTTCAAGAGGGTTAATCCAAATAATCTGTCTAACCGTGAGCACAAGCCACCATCTATATAGAGCCCTAGCCAAGAAAGACCGAATCATGTCCCTAGTAGCAGAATAAGGAGCGACCCGAACTGAACCAAGGATGACTTCATACCCGCGGTGTGTCCACCACGGTGATCTCCCCTATTATTGGCCTACACCTCAACAACCATGATTTCAGAACTGGAGCCTAATCTAAAGAATCCGGCCATCAAACCCACCAGCAACTAAAGGGGGGCACCAGACAAAGCAACGGTGGCACAGAAGATCACCCGAAAAAAGACCCATTCCAACCTTCAGCCCTTCGGCACATTGAAATCTCAAAATCAAGTCACACAGAAACCCAGAGACTGGCTATTGCTTCCTTCTGGCCGTTGGCTGTATGTGCAGCCGCCCATAATGAGGATCAAAATCCAGGCAGGACGAAGGATTCGGGGTGGGCTCGGTGGAGTCGTGATGGCGATGATACCCGCATGCGCGGCAAGTTACAGTACAATAGTTCTGACCCGGCCCCATCTTAGGCAAGCTATTCCCTATTTTTTCCACTCTACTTTTCAGACTTATTATTTGACGTGTCCTCAGAATTGCACTATTTTAGAAATATCTCCATTGACTCCATTCTTGGCAAGGTCTTGCTCTCATCCGCTGCGCGGGTATCATTGGTGGTTGGACTGTCACATTCGCCACCACATCAATTGTATTCGCAATAAGGGATAAACACCGTTAGCACCGACTTTCCCCCCGATTGCTATATTAATATTGCATTGATTACACCTAGGATAGAGTCCTGATTTTCCGAATCATTTCCACTATCCGGTCTCTCGGGTCCGTTGGGCGCATCCTGCCCGATGGCACCTGGGCAAGAAAAAGGACCGAGGAAAGAAAAACCCCCCCACCTCCTCCCCCCGAAAAAGGGATCGCGTTGGGCGTCAAAATTAAAAACACTCCTTTCGGTACACTGCGGCGCATAGAGCAGCCAGATTTCAAAATAAACCAGGACCTGCGCCAGATTTCCGCTCGCAAATGGACAATACTGATTACATATTCTATACGCGAAAATTACCTGAATACAGGACAAAACCCGCTCACTCAATCCACCTCCTGGCCGATTCCTCGAGCAGCAGGAATTTCCACTTGCCCTGTGCTCTGCACGCCATGCATGAAACACTGTCTAGCGGTGATAGAGTTTTGATGATGAACATGAACAGGCCTTACGCAAGGGGGCGCGCCCGATGACCGAACAGCACAGCTACCCCGGAAATGAGAATTCTCCTGGTATGGAGGAAGTGGGCTGGGGTTGGCCGTAGTCGCGACAAGCCAATACCTTGGCGCGTGTCTCTTTGTTTACAGTGAGATATCTGTAGCTAGATGGGCATGGGCAGAGCCTATACCTGTAATTTTAGATATGCAGGTGAGCTTCAATGCTTCAATGCGTGATCAATAGGTGGGTCTGAGGTTCACGAGACTGGAATGTGTCGACTATCTGGATATCGATCTTCGCCCCCCTAGTTGAGAATCTGTTTACTATTTACTGATGCGGGCCGGCGCATGAGTTGATATACTGTAGGGAGGATCATCTGCATCGCCCGCAAACGGTAGGTCTCATATTCCTAGCGTCGGCGCCTTCGAGACACGCAACGAGGGTCGTGGTTTTGCTTTTTGCTTTTATTCGACCTCTGCGGCTGTGGCGGTTGATGTAGAGACTTGGGGGGGGAAGATTCGTTATCACGAACCCAGATCAAGATGCCTGACTCGCATCAGGGCCCGGAATGCTCCAGGTCATGTGTAGGCAGCATAGATATGGCAACCCCGGTAGACAATGAATCACAGTGGGACCAACGGCTCCATGTTTCAGACTGGCAAATCAAGGGGATTATCACGAGGGGCGTGTCGCGCCGTTCAGAGCGCCGTTAGGGCGCCTCCAAATGCTGATCGGAGGAGGAATCTCCGAGTGGCTATGGAGAATGCTGGGGAGACACATTCACGTCGGAGATACCACCGTTGAGGCATGACGCGACGAGCCAATGTGCGCTGTCAAATAGTCGCTACCATATTTCCAATGACGAGTTCAAAGCCCGTATTGGAGGGTATTGGAGGGTATCGGCGATAGTTCGTTCTGATTTGTTGCAGACTGAATGGATCGGGGTAGCGAGATCAGCTGAAAGAGGGTGTGGCACAGCTGATCCTCGAACGCGAGCTCAGCTTCGTGACAGCGGGATCGGCCGTCCCCCCCGGGTCCGTATCCATGGTCTTGGACTGTCCTCTCTTTACAATTTGGGGGCTAGAAATACTCCTAGTTCCAAGATTAAGTCTATGTACTTTTATTTCTCGTCCGCAGTTCTCGTGTTGCCTTCTGAAATACAGTTTTACCCCTCAAATGTGATGTATGGTGTACACGTCGCACAGCGCAGGTCCTTGCCATCGCTGTTTGGTCGCTCCATTTGCACTCGCTGTTCAGTCGGAGGCCCTTGCCACCGGTCCTGCGACCGTGAAACTGACGCGTCGCACGACGATATGATAGCAGCGTCCACGTGGGTCTTCATCCCATGTGGTTCGAACTGATTTCAGAGCCGTTTCACCGTGCTTCGATCTGTTTTTGATCTAGTGCGATTGCCGTTAGTGATGCAACTCCAATAATGGTCGCTAGTCACTTAAGCGACCTTCCTTAGTTCATCTCCAAATCCCTCGCCCATGGCCAACTGGGCAAATTTGCATGTCCAAGAGCCTCCTTACGCTGCAGCCACCCCTTGATCCCGTGTGATAGTAGCCTAGCAAACACCCACAATTAGGCTCGCAGGAACAGCTGGTCCGTACTCAATGCAAGGAAAATCAACGCGGCCTTTGAGATCTTACAGATTCCCTACTTCGGGATTACTACATCACTACGAGTCTATTTCACCCAAACCTTAGTAGTAGTTGCATCCTCAAACGGCAAGATCGAGCCGAATCATAGCGCTTTCTCCATTCTGCGGTGTGTAAACTCTACTTCAAAAGTTTCCGATCTTTCCAAGTGACTCTTCACCGATCTGAAGTGGAGAGCAGTGAAAAAAGTCAAACCGAGGCCGCGGGCACACCAACACACTCACACCTACATCCATACCCATCTGCGGGAACTGGCGCAGACGCACGTCATTGCTTGCCAAACACTTGCATTCCTAAGTGCAAAGAATTCTCTTCTCGAAGGAGCGAGCTGCATAATTGTGATTTCCGATTCTTCCCCCGGTTTTATCTCGGCATGTTTTGGTTTTTGTTTCACCTCACCCTCAGATTTGATTTCCAAGTCCCCATCTCCAACCGCCGAAAACTCTAGGAATGGAGTTGACGGTGTGCGCAAAAGTACGTAATTTTCCCATTGGGGTTCCCTAGGTCCCCGAGGTCCCCGTTGTGGTCCTCAAAAGTCCTGCGCCACATGGCGTTTCGGGAAAGTGATGACAAAGTACTTTCGGCCATCGCGCGGTTTCTAGCGCTGTATTTTACGATAGCTTTCAAACTCGTGATAGTTGAGCAAGGCAGCGTTTATTGATTCTAACCCCTGAATATTTATCGCCGGATATTCCGATTTAAACTGGTCCGTCAATGAACGAGGTAGTTCGTCCGGTGTCCTGGTGGGATGTGATGGCCACGCGTAGATCCCGGTTGGTGGCATCTTACCTTCCTAGATGGGATGAAAATGCCCAGTGCTGCAAACATCACTTTGTTGGTTCAGTTGCAGGAGGCGACTGCTCTTTTGGGGACTGTTTAATCACTTTAAGAAAAGCAATGTCTAATTAAGAGGGAGCAAACTACATCCCAAGACAGATTCATCAACAAACACACATATATATATCGAGGGCTATATCGTACATACCCAGGCCAGGTAATTAATTACCCTACTATAGATTTCCATCAATTCTTAAAGTACTGACCGGATCTAAAGCGCGCTGGACACGCTGAGAGCTTGCACCAAAAACCCCAAACCCACCTCTCCCACATATCCCCTCACGTCCGCTGATATCATAATGCACCCCCAACCTTAAGAATTTTCTGCACTGAAGATCCTGGAAATATGGGTTCAGATCTACTTTACGTACTGCAACCTCAAAAACAGGGTTCACATCAATCCCCCCTCACCCATGACCTCGGGACCCAAGAATCTGAGCGGGAGTTACGGAGGCCCAAGCCGTGCGATAAGCGAACCCCGTACGCTGGAGAGTTATGGGGGGAGAAGTCGCTTCCGTCCTTGCAACCCGCCCCACATTCGCGCCCGAGCATAATTTGCGAACCCCTCGAAGTATGGTGTAGGAAGTTAAACTCAGCAGCGACGTTCTGTCGCATGATAGATGAACCACAGCTCGGTAGGTTCGAGTAGATTCGAGTAAATCCATGTCCATTCGCAGCATTGCCCATGTACGTCCTCGGAGGATTACTTCTCCAACGGGGGCCATGCGCGGCTCTAGTACACTCTTGGAACCGCGCCTCCACACCTAGACCGATTTCTGGCACTGGACCCGGAGATCGCGGTTGATCGATCACATTTCTCCCACTGGGCTGGGTCAGGTATATCCTGGTCGTGAGATCGTTAATCGTGGTCCCGAACATGTCCGGCTCGGCGGTACTTGTGTTCCTGGGTCAAGGTTTCACGGTGCTTTCTTCACGGCGAAGTAGGTTAGATTTGGCCTGTGTGGGTATGCGAGGTTCCTGATTATTGGGAGATCGCGGTGCTTGGTGCGCGCTATGATGTCTTTCAGGGCAGTTGGGGGCTGGGGATGGAACGTGTCGTTAGTACTTTTGCTCTTCGGTCTTTGGAGTGGAGAGTACCGGTAATGAGGTTGCATGACTCTTACATTTGCTGTTTTCTGTATAGCAAGAGTGTATTTACTTGTACGGTGTTATGGGAGATGTAAATGTTACGGGAAGAGGTACTTTTGTGTGGTTGAGTTGGTTGGATACCAGGTAGACATGAGACATGCTGTTATATCCAACGACAGTATCCGGGGTTAGTGATGATGTAGTGAGACGAAAACGATTGCACGAAAAAGAAAATCTTGTACATTGATATGAATTTTGCAATCCAAGCCTGCTTCCCCGGTAGCGTCTCCCAGCAGACTGGATCCTGGAGATCCCGTCGGCCCTAGGAGTCAGCCGCCGAGCTCGCCGCAATAAGCAAAAGCAGACGTGAAGGAGTAAATTGCCATATAATTAGACAAAACTAACAAGAACAACACCAAAATCTATACACAGCTAGCAACCATTTCAACGTCAACAACTTGATGTCTAAAAGCCTGCCGAAGCTTCAAACCCTCCTTCGTATCATCCTTCACCCCAAACCAACCGGTCAAACTCTTAAGCACAGCCTCCTCTCAACTCTTGACTCTAGCTTTTTCTGTGAATGCTTGTCCAACTGTGCCTATACTGCATGCGTGTTGTGAGCCCGTGAGAGACTATTCTTCTCCAACTTGAAAACAGGCTCCCAAACCCCAATCTCAAGAACAACACCCAATGCAGAAATATCGTGGATCTTCTTGAAAATCTCCATTGTTGGCCCTGTTGGTCTGGATGTCTGTATATATCGTGTGCAGGCTCAAAATCGGCTTGACCCATCGAGAAGAATGGTTTAGACCGGCTAAATTCGAAGCCTAGGACCCATGGGGAAGGGTAGTTTACTGCGATTCGAATTCCTAATTCTAGATCTGGGGTCTGGTAGAGGAAGAGGAGGGCGTTGCCGCTTCGGAGACTTTCGTAGACCTCTGATTATTAGCTACGGGATTTAGGTGACTGTGAAGGAAGTGGTTACCTACTGGACTATGTGCATCTAGGCGATACACTTTGAGAGACCGGGAGCTAGGCGGAACTTGTCACCTACTTTCGGCTAGAGATCATTGTAGTATAGGAGTCTCTTTAGATTGACTAAGGCACAGAAGGGCTTGGGCTGCACTTTGAAGAAAGCTTTGCGTTGGAGGTACTTCCAGCCTACGCAGGGTAGAGCGCGGAAGACTTGTTCCTTTGGCTGATGCATGAGCTTAGCTGGCGATTTAACTCGACTTTGGGTATGTGAGTTGACGCTACCACCTGGGATGAGTGTAGGTGAAGGCGTCGAGGTGGTATCGTAGTGGCGATCCTCTTGATTGTATGCCATGCCATCCTTAGAGAATATAGCGAACATGCCCTGATGCTCGATGGGCTCTATGTTCTTGGGACATGAGTCCCCTGACTGATCAAGTAGCCCAAGAGAGTTACTTGTTCTTCCTGCATCTGACTGGACTAGACGCAAACATGCGTCTTTAGAAACCGAGCTCTCTGGAGGAACGATCCATCTGAAGATGATTTAAATGGTCAGGGGAGACGACAAGCTGCGATACAAAACACCGTAGCACTTTCTTTCTCTTGAGACGTAAATTACGATTTTGGAAAGGTAGTGAAATGACCTCTACTCTCCTCTTGTCACGAAATGGCCATCTGAGGAGACCTGGAGAGATGGGCTTGCATGGCCTGATGGCCGCTGATTGAATCGGTCGGAGAACGCAGTGAGCCAGATAGAAAGCCCTGAATAGAAGAGGTCGGATACTCTCGCGAGGCACAATATCGGCGCTCTAAAAGTCAACATATTCCGGTTGATTGCCACGCAAAGGAGTTCAATCTGCCGTTGGATGTCAGAATCGAACTGCTCGAAGAGAGTCTTCCCGCCGCACACCTATTCTAAGTCAGAGCAATAGGGAACTCAGAATTTCACAAACCTTTCTTCACCACCCATGCACTCGGAGAAGAGTAGGTTGCGAAGAGGTTTCACTTGGATGTTCTGATGTTCTCATCATTGACCAAGTTCAGCATCTCACTCGAGTCCTAAACTGCTGTTTAGAATAGTCCCACACTTATACGATATCCAAACTTACGCTTTCAAATGAATTTGCATCATGAATAAGCTATCAATTTCTTTTACCCACTTTGATAAGTGCGTCGATGATAGCGATCGCCAGCCCTGCAACGGACAACGGATCAAGCATGCTTCGAGGTTGTGTCGAGTTGGGCCGGATTTTGTTAAACGCTGACACATCAAAGCCGCGAACTTGAAAGAGTCAGTAAGCTGAAGGGTAGCAAAGAGTGTTCAATGGAAGTAACCAGGTGTGCTTCTACATGGGCACGGAAGTGCGTCGTGAAACGCGCATGCTTACTTAGCGCTTAACCTTTTGGCCCCGCAGAGGCTCAGCTTCTCTTGTTCTAAGCTTACCACTCTACCTCTAACGCGAACGCCATTCCCAGACCCGATTTTTGGTCCCTGCTAGATTGAGGTGGATAGTCATAATGCCAACATCCTTCAGCGAAGACTGGCTTTTGGTCCCCGAGTCAAAGAACACTCCGGCCGACACTTTAAGATGGACGACATCGATTTCTCGATCTCGCGTATCAACCGTGGACGGTCTCGGGTTCAGTGAGAATGTCACTTCAGAGGCAATGAACAGCCTCGAAAGCCTGTTACGAGCCGTTCAGGAGTTAAAACTCAAGAGACTCTACACCTCCGATCTAGAAGAGCCCCAGTTCGTTGCTGCCGGAGAAACCTTTTCTGTTTCTCAGTGCAGATACCAAGGCTCTGTGGTCGCTATCAAACGCATTCGAATCGACGAACATGGCAAAGAGTCTGATAGGCGACACTTCCAGCGACGGCTGCAATCAGTCTTGCGCGAAATTCTGATCATGTGCCATCCGCCGCTGGCGCATCATCCCAATGTCATCAGTTTACTGGGATATGGCTGGACTGTGGAAGAACAGCGAACCTCGCCCTTTGTTTCGGTTGAATTTGCTTCGAAGGGGTCACTCAGGGAGTACATAAAAGAGGGGCAGTCGATGAAGACAAAACTTATTCTCATGGGCGATGTTGGCGCTGGGTTGATGGCGTTGCATAAATGTGGCATTATCCACGGGGACTTGAAGATGGACAATGTCGTTGTTTTCGCGTCACTAGAGCGCCCATCGGGGTCAGTCGCCAAGGTCTCGGATTTTGGTCATTCAATTCTGGCAAGCTCTACCCCGAAGAAGAGAACGCAGTACTTTGGCACAGCCCTGTAAGTCCGGTCGCTGGTTTTATTTATAAAATCGCTGACTTCGCATGCAGCTACAATGCTCCGGAGGTGAGTACACAGAGAAGTCAGCCAATTCCGGAAGATCAGCTTCATAAATGCGACATCTGGGCATTTGGCCTGTGTGTGTGGGAGATCCTGGCAGATGGGCAAGTGTATTTCCAACATACTTGGCAAAGCAACCCACTTTATAAGCGGTCTTCTTCTAACGAAAACTCTTGGACCATGGTGAAATCATCTTCAACCTCGGATACCCATGATGAGACCCTTGAAAAGGGCGGTCAGCGAGTCTCTGGCCGCTTCGACCCCTCGAACCTCAAGATCCTCGCCGTTGAATTTGTGAACGGGCTAAAAATACCCGGCGTGGGCTTCGAAAAAGGAATGCTACGACCGTTGCTATCACGCACTCTACAGACTGATCCTAACAAAAGAATCTCCGATCTGAGTCGGCTTCCAATCATCAGCTTCTGGAACAAAGCACCAGGTGGACACTACCTTCAATCGAAACTCGCGACATACACTATGTCGGGAGATATCCGTTACTCTATTTTCAGTAGAGATAACGGCCCCTATATAATTTGGGAACAGCAGCAACAGCTCTTACAGGACTTTGAAGCAGGGGCCGAGAGAGCTCAGCCTGGAAAGAAAGATGGGTCTGACGCCTTCCAGACAATGTTGTGCTATGTCAACGCCTTTGGCACCTCCGGAAATCTGGCGAAGGCCACCAAATTTCTTCAAAAGGCTGAGGAGGAAGGAAATTTGATTGCTCGGCTTTTGGGCCCTCGGATTCTTGATGGATTTACCAATACCTCATGTCTTCGAAAGACCTATAGTGAGAGTCTGGCACTGTGTTTCAGCATTACCCAGCAACCCCAAATGCCCTCCAACGTTTTTGACTTCAAAAGCTCTTCAATTTCGGAGCATTTGAGTTACGAGGTATTTCGAGAAGTAGTGCTCAGTGGGGAGCTTGAAAAAGATGTTATCGAGGTGAAGGGCCTAATTCCCAACACCGGATCTTCTGTACGCCTCCGCGCACTGGACTTATCCATTCAGCACGGCGACTGTGAGCTAGTAGATGCTCTTCTACACAAAATTGAGAGTAATGACGATTTAAACAGCGAAGGAAAGCTACTTGTTATACAGGCCGCTTCTCGGGGCCACGGTAGTATCGTCACTCGCCTCTTAAAAGCGGGAGCCCCCATCACCCCGCAGAAATCGAGCTCCCTTCTTCATTGGCTTTTCTGCTTGGACGAACAGAGCTTGACAGACGTTCAGTCACATCTATTGGAAAACTCTTATGACTTGCCCCTCGAGGCCTTGTTGAACGAAGCAAGTACGGAGAAATTTACCGTCCACTCGCAATGGCCATTTCAGGTCCATGGAACACCCCTTGCTATTGCTACTGCAGCTGGGAATGTTGCAGCTGTCAAGGTACTTCTGTCATTAAACGCAAATCCTCTAGCCCCAGCATTCGCAGTTGTCGAGGGCGACTCGTCTCCTTCAGTGACGCCCATCCATCTGGCAGTACGCTACCATTTCCCTATGATTCTTGAATTGCTATGGCAAACAGCCTTTAGCGAGAAACAAATTACCGTTACGAGGCATCATCTGTCTCGTTGTTCGGCTCTGGGTTCATTCCCAATTGCTTGTGCCCTGAGCTTACTGACCAACGCCGAACGGTTTGCAATCCACAGCAGTACCTACAAGGAAGCCCTTCGAATAACAATCCTGCTCCTCTCCACGGACATCCTCTTCCAGTCATCTCCCGAAGGCAAAAGTGCACTCACACAGGCAATCGATCTTGAAGACGTCGATACCGTGGAGCTTCTACTTCAGCATTGCCCCGTACTTGCGAGTAGAAAGCTCGAACAGCCAAATTGTCAAGAAATGTTCACATATCCGTTACACTTTGCCGTGCAAATTGGTTCCTGTCGCGATACCGAAGAGTCCGTTAGTATTTTGAAGCTTATTCTTCAACTCGATCCTGTCGCAATCGATCGGTTGGACAGTTCATCGGTTAAACCAATACACGTCGCAGCAATGGGGACATCGACTCGGATCATGGAATACCTACTCAGCCTCGGCACGTCCTGTGATGACCTAGACTGCCATGGGCAAAGTCCCTTACACTTCTGTATCACTGCGTCCAACGCAAAGCTGCTACTTTCGAAAGGTGCAAACATCGACCAAAAAGATAAGCTGGGCTTCACTGCGGCTCATTCAGCGGCAAGCAAGGGCAACGAGGACGTTCTCCAAGCTCTCATCAATGCGGGGGGCAACCTATCCTCCCAAGACAATAAAATTGGGACTCCGCTCCATTGTGCCATTGAGCGGAAGTCACGCACAATGGCAGAGATGCTCCTCAAGGCCGGAGCTGATATCAATGCCCAAGACAAGCACGGAAGAACACCACTTCTCATGGCTATGAATATCGGACGCTCAGATCTTGTTCTTTTCCTATTTGAAAATGGTGCACACCCCTTCATCGAAGACAACGCTGGCTCCTCACCGTTCCTCATGTCCCTAGCGTGGGAAAGCTCGAACATTCTATCCAGATTCCAAAACCACAGCTATTTCGAACAAATTTCTTGGGAGGCCAAACTCAAGGCCTTGTACTTCGCAGCGGAGAGCGGCGAGCCAAAACCCTTGAAGGAATACCTACGAAAACTTCCGAAGCCGCCCACCCAGGTCTACGACTGTGAATATCCCGGCATGGTATCGGCCATCCACAAGTGCGCTGCTTCCTGCAGGGCAGATCTCCTCGAGGTGTTACTATCCGCCGGCTTTAAAGTGGACTCCCGCGACGCTGCTGGGAATACCCCCCTTATTCTAGCCAGCCGGGCCGGTCGAGGCAAGAATGACACCCACGCATACCTGCGCACGTACACGTGTCAGAGACTTATAGAAAATGGAGCTGATATTCTCGCAAAACATAATGGAGGTTTGACTGCTTTCAAGATTGCTCGCGCTCATCGCGATTACCCGCTCATGACACTTTTTCTTGAGCGTGTCCTGGAAATGAACGACCTTGATACACAGGCAAGGCGGTCTCGGATACTTGATTCAATCACGGACCCAAGCAAAGAAAAGGAATTCTGCAAAGAAGCCAGAGCAATGATCGGGAATGAAATATTTGAGGCAAAGCTCATCCAAGACGCAGTCCTAAAGGAGGAATGGGACTTCATCATGACCTGCATTGGCGGCTGCTTTATCTTCAATGACCAGTTTGGTTCGAGAGATTTCAACGGGAACGCTGGGTGGGGTATGACTGATCTGGACATGGTCCGCTACTATTCCGCTCTCAAAGACCGGGACATGGTGCGCTGGATTTTCCTTGAGATAGGGGACCCGAGATTTGAAGGAAAGTGGGATGTAGGAGGACGAAACCTGAACATGGAGTTCCGTGAGACGAAGGGCAGTGCTGATGAGCTTCTCTGGCCGGGGCAAGCCAAAATATTATCGAATCTCGATAGGTCGATTCTAATGGGGCCAATCCAATATATTCATGCGCTGGACACCGTGCCAGTTGGGCGAAGAGTGTCAATGGGTCTGAGGTCGATGAAATTCCAGGCACCACTTGATCTGGAAGACGTCTCCGAATATGAACTTGATCACATGATAGACATGATAAGGATGAATATTCAAGAAGTGGATGCCTTGTCTAAAATCTTACAAGACTGGCACAATAAAAGGAATCAGATCAGAGATCATGGGGATAAGATGGACGACCTGGAATGGGCTCGGGGGCAAATTGAGAAGATTCAGCTTAATTTGGATGCTCCGACGCAGACGCACTCTTCTTTGATGACTAGTTGTTCGGCAAAGCAATCAAAGCCAGAGTGGAAGGCTCTATATCAACGTGAACAAGCCGGGTCAGAAAAGCTGACAAATTTATCGGAAGCAGTCAATACAGCTACTGAGCAGCTTGACCGGGCACTAGACATGAAAAGAGGTAATGTGTAAAGGTGGCTGGTAATAATAAAAATTCATTTTTAGGGAACTCCTGGTGACTCCGAATCCTTGCCGCAGTTTACTCATACATGAAGTCCCCATTAAAAAATAAATAGATTCGTTTCCATGTATGTCGTTCAGTCGTAAACAGTCGTGAATAAATGATGAGCCGGGTATCGCAGAAGAGAGAAACAAGAAACGCCGGGAACCCGTGGGGTATGCAGCGCGTATCAACAAGAAAACAAGTCGGAGATTAAAATCGATCGCCCCAGCGATTGGGATAATGGGCACTTGGAAGATGCCATTGGAGAGTGTTTGGAGGCGGCTCCAGGTCGAATGGGTCGCTTCGTCGGTATGCGCTCTTGGGAGTATTCAGGCATCGGGAACCACTGCCGAGAGTCTCGAGGGTGAGGGTACTGGGCGTGGGCCCAGTGCAATTGTATGGTGAAAATCCGGAAGAGTCGTGGCTTTCGGCTACTTTGAGACCTGCTTCTAACGAGGATCGGGAGTAGATGGAGGCTGTGCGGGTTGGTGGTGAGATTTCGATGATGGGTGAGAGGGGGCGACCGAGGGCCCGGCTGATGGGTTTATCTTCTGGGTCTGCGAATGGGTCGACGTGCGGACTATTTGGTGTTTCGCCGTAAGAATATGCTCTGCCGTGTGACAGGTTCGGATAGGAAAGTCCGAAAGGTGGACTGGGGCGATTGTCCAGTGGATTTGAGAATCTGCGCTGATGGAAGATTGGCGCGGAGGTCATGCCAGAAGACGGAGGGGCTGGCGAGGGTTGGGAGGACCGTCGACGGTGACATCCTTCGATTGAACTCATGGACTCGCTTGTTCGTAGCAGTCCCTGTCTGCTGGCTTGTCTTCTTTGCGATCGTGCCCGTTTGCGACAGAAGAAGAGGATACATGCCAGGAGCCCTAGGGCTACGGCGGCCGTTCCGCCAATGACACTGCCAACAATCACGCCCGTACTCGGAGAATGATGATTGGTCTTGCCAGACGATGAGTAAGACGACGAGGTCTCAGGTCTCACACTGGTCGATGGCGTGTGTGTTGGTGAATGAAATGGAGAGGATGGCTTTGTAGCCGAAGAACAACTTGCCCACATCTTGCTGACTGTTGTGCTTGTCGATCTACTTGGAGACATGCTCGACAGTACATTTGATTGTCCACTGAGCGAGGGGATCAATGAAGTTGGCGACAAGGATGACTCTGGGCTCGATGGACTCGAAGCCTCCGACGAGGTGGATGAACTCGACACAGACTCCCAGGTGGTCGGAATAGTCAAGGTCCCTAAGAAACCTGACCAGGCTGTTGTGTGAGAAGCGGAGTTTTCCATTGGAGCAGTAGTAGTGGCTGGTTCATGAACTGGGACAATGGTTGAAGCAGGAGGTGGAAGTGCAGTATCCATTTGTAGAGACTGCATGCTGGTCTGCAACGCAGATGTCTCTGCGGATTCAGCACCGTATGTCGCGGTCTTGGGGGAAGAGGTATCCTCGGTTACCGAAGTCGTATAGACAACGACCGATTCTGTGAATATCCAAGTCGGTCTTACGATCTCTGTCACAACCGAGGTGACTAGGGCGCGCGCTACCTGAGCAAGGGCAACAACCCGCGACTGCGCCGCGGTGTCAGTTGGATTCAGCATGACGACCGCGCCCACCGGCGAGGTTTCGAGAAAAGAATTGAATTTTGAGGCAATATGGTGCGATCCACGTTAGTGGGGTTGGGAGGAGAGAAGTGAAAGGTCAACAACCGTTGAAGGCCGTCACGCGTTCTTCGCTCACTCTCATTGTGATATTTTCCGAAGTTGTTCAATAAATTCCCTAATGGGACCAAAAGGAGAAAATAGAACCATCACGTCAGACTGCAGGCACGATGTCTTATAGTATTTCCCATCTACTCTTCGACCCTCAGGGGCCGTATTCCCGCCGTTTCATGTTGGAGGCGGCGCTTCCAACGTGTGAGAGATGGGCAACTTGGTGGCCAGCGCTTAGTCTCACACAATTCTCTGACCCAATCCTAGCCCATTAAATCACCCGGGGCCGATCATCCCCGCGTGGGGCTAGACTAAAGGGGCCGAAATGAGACGAGTGTGAGACGTTACGCCCGATCCATCACATCTTACCTCCTGTCCCGCCTTTGCACGCCGTTAGAAATGGGTATCACCTGACTGCCCGAGACCTGACGGAATGCCCTGACTAAGCTCACGTCAACTTGGAAAACAGCCCCATGTACGTACAGCCGCAGTGACCCTCAGACTTCCGCGGTGTAGCACCTGTTGCCGTGTTCGAGAGCCGCACAGTGCTATCATTGGAGTTAGATGATCTATCCACCACCCCAACCAACATCTCTCCCCACGTTCTACATTCGAAATTTCAGTTAAGGTTGACCCACGTCGGCCAAGATTCGGACATCTGCATGCTATCATCAAGCCACCCAAGAAACATGTCATGATTGTCAAGATTGACACTGTTCAACACAATTTCATCCGGATTTGATAAATCATCTGCTTGACTGTCTGCTCTCATGTTATAAGAGAGCGCCTCGGTAGAGAGTACTTGATCGAGGATATGGCGGATCGTCCTCTGCCCTTGTTGTGCAACATGACAGTTTCCTTCTCCGTGCCCGAGTAGGAAGTCCCTCAAGACCTCTATTCAATTATTTGCGCTTCCAGCTAACATGGCTATAGGCAAGCCTCTTGGTCTCGCTGCGCGGGATCTTTGGTATTACAATTTGTTTGGTATTGATGCCGGTCTTCTCCTTCCTAGCCGTCAAGTACTTTGATTTGCACGGCAAATATAGAGACCATCGCCTGAGCCAGGGAACTGGATTACTTTCCATTGTCGGCTTTGCTTCTATGGGCCTGGCACCGGGCCCCGTCCTATTGATATGCGGGCTTCTCGTTCTGTCGCTTGGTTCGGCCTTTCTGATCACCACCCGCAGTTTAGTTACTTCTTTAGTAGTGCCCAGTCATGTCGGCAAGTTGTATTCAGCTATTGCAATCTCCCAAGGTGTTGGTACATTTATTGCCAGCCCATTGTTTGCCTACCTCTTCAAGCTTGGAATGCACCTGGGTGATGCTTGGATGGGCCCCCCATTCTTGCAGGCGGCTTTGTTTTATGTGGTCGCCACTGTCGCTATCTGGCGCATTCGGATATATCGGTTATCGCCACCGCAAGATGAAGAACAGGAGCAGGAGCAAACATCCTTATGCTCCGGGTAAATCCGACGTTTCTCCCAGCCATATGCAAATTTGTCAATTTAAAGAATCTAAATTCACCCTATCTGATAATGCCACGACTATCAAAATGAGATGACGCAATTTCACCTCGCTGGGCCATTGATCAACATCACGTGAGGAAATAAAGAAATATTAGATTCCTGTAACTTTGGGGCCAGAATTACTACGTCACTGCAGCTGCAAAACTTATTGATATACGAGCCTGTTTGCCTAGTTTATGAATTTAAACCAAAATTCCTTCACAATGATCGCTGTCACAGATGATGTTTTTGCTTCTCGATTCGCTGTCCTGCAAGACCTGTTCAATGGCAGTATATCTGCACAGGAAGCTGCCGAAAATTTGGCTTCGATCTCGTTATCGACTGACCCGGAACCTGAAGGAGGCGTTACTCGTCTTTGGAGCCTGATAGTCAACTGCGCCTACACATTTCCTGGGCACCACGACAAGCTTGTCGATACCCTGGTCCAACTCTCAAGACTTCCAGACGCGAAAACAGCCAGCGGAGGCCTAGTTCTTCTCTACGACATGCGAATCTGGAAAGACTTACCAATGCTAGGCTGGCAATTGCGTGATGAGTGGAATATATCTGTACCCACTGGGCCTTCTGATCACCGACAAAGCCAAATCCTGAAAATTATCAATCGAGACAAATTCACAGCACTTTTGATGGCAACCGAGGAAGCTGTGTTCAGATACTCGTGGTTTGCACTGGTCACCCTCCGCAATGCGCTGGAAACACCCGCAGACCAGTTGTCACCAGTTAATCCTTTAGAAGCATTGATTCCTGCTGCTGCTGCATGGATTAGTACCCTCGGCGTGGAGATCTATGAATGGGATGAAGATTTCAATGGCCATGCAGGCAGTGCCCCTGGAAGAGGAGGCCCGCTCTGGAAAGGAAAACATGGCTTTTGTAAGGGCAGATGGCAGCTTTGGAGGGAGAGATTTGGAGAGTTGGCTAGAATGGGAGGTGAGATTGGAGACGAGGAGAGAAGGGCAGCAAGGGATGCGGAGCAAATGATGCGGGAGATTGAGGACGGAGACGTGAAATGAAAAATTTACTTTCATATACAGCTAACCGTTGCTGGTGCAATGAATACAGAATCTGGAAGTGTGTCACAATGTACAGTCGGTGTGGTACATGTAAGATGTCTTATTCAAATGTTCCTAATATCGATGACATCCAAATGGGCATCCCCACAACGGCTTCTCCTTTTTTTGCGGTCACAGTCCAACTTATTGAATGACCCGCTGTCCTTTCCTATCATTTTGTCGAACCAATCCTCCATTTCTAGATTCTATCAGTAAACGCAGGGACTAAATAGGGAAGCACTACTAACCTTCGTATTCCTTTAGGTCTAGAATGCGATATCCCGGACAGGAAGCCGCTGGCCTCAAATCGGAAATCCATTCTCTCAACAGGATACCAGTGCTGCGAATGTCAAAATCCACTCGGCCACTTGGTTCGATTCCATCGTTGACCTTTTGAAATAATAATAATTGCCGTCACAGATAATATCTTCCAATGAGAGTATTTCTAGAGATAGCGCGTTCTGTAAAGTATCCAAAAGACTAGACACACAAGTCACCTTTTGTTCGTTGCGTTTCCATGCCATTTGGGTTTCCAAGGTCGGGCAGACTGAACCAGCAAATTCAGGTGGAGAATATGGGTGACAAATGGATGACCAGTTTGCTATTAGATATTCATTTGTCATTGGCTCAGATGATTCGGAAATCGAGGAATGTTGTGGGGATGGGGGAGCGCTTTCTGGTAGTTCAGGTTCGGCTGCTGGCGGAGCTAGTGTGTACGACGGCGATGTTGGTTGAAAGGATGGCGACGTTGGTGAAATTAATGGCAGTGTTGGTTGAATGGATGGCAATGTTAGTGCAAACGACAGCGATGTTGTTCCATACGATGGCGATGTTGGATGAAAGCCTGGTGAAGTGGGAACAAATCCAGGGCCGTCAGGTGTGTAGGTAGGCATTAACGGGGTAAAGCTTTGATTTTCTTGGTGGTTGGGAGATTCCCTGTGTTGCGAAGCAGAATCATCTGCAGCTCTCAACTCCTTAGTGCGTAATGTCACTCGCTCAAGTGTAAGAACGACCAGGTTTTTCTTTACACTAAGCAATAGTGATATTAAAGAGTTGAAATAGATATCTAGCTCATGAATATGAAGCTCCCGGAGTCGAGTGAAGTTAATTTCATGGAACATGTTCCCAACGTAGCTTTTTGCAGGATAGGCAGGCATATGATCTTGCGACAGAGTCAATCTTTCCAGCTGAGGTGCAAGATTCGTGATAAGCTTCAGCCAGGCGGCCTCATTGAGATCAATACATAAATGAAGATCCTCTAGGCTGTTTAAAGTAGACAGTAGAGAGTCAACTTGTTCTTCAGAGAGGGCAATCTTGGGGCCGACATCACCACAGAAATTAGAATCGCAGGTATACAGCTTTCGGGGTTTGCAGCTTGAGCCACATAACGCAAGAAAAAGCTTCGATAGTGCTAAGGAGTTCAGTTTCCTTATCTGACAGTTCTTATTGGTGTGGGTTAAGGATTGCAGGCTGTAAATATCGAATCGAAAATCAAGTTGGCTCATCATTTGTCGGCTTGCCAGGAATGAAACCGTCTGCTGCCGTGGATCAAGCAAAAATTCCGTGCTGTAATGTGCGAGTCCTATTGTTTGGAGGTTTTGAAATCGATCCATGCATTCCCGAAGTCGAACACTGAATGTTTCTGATTCCAACAGGTTGGAATTATCCGCGATCATCGCTTTGTGAACGGCATGTCGGGTATTCAGCTCGTCGCCTTTCACTTACCGGCAGCTTTTTGATGATATAGATACCATGCCGATGGGCTTTTCCGTGCCACTGAACACAGTTGGTATCATCCAAAGCTCTTGGACGTGCTCGTGGAGACCATTTGACTTGGATAGCTCTTCCAATTCGTGGAAACTTTCGCTTGTCACAATGAAACGAATGTTTTTGTAAATAGGTTTCCGCAAAATTCTCAAGTGAGTCTCCGTACAATGCGCGGCATAATAACCTCAGAGCGGCCCATTGCTGGGGGTCTAGATGGTTACATGTCTTTGAGGTCAAATCCACGGGAAGAGATGCAATGGACATTTTGGCTGCGTGTGTGGCGTTTTAAGGTTGAGAACAAGAACAATGGGAACCTGGAAGCTCAGTTTGTCATTTGCAGAAAGACATAGTAATCAGGCTCAATCTCCAGGGCTCCCGGTTCCCTTTGACGAGAAAGCGAAATCAAGACAAGTTTTCTGCACTGAGAGACAGAGAGAAGAGTATTATTGTGCAGCGCTGGAGCGGCAGCCCCCATTTATAGGAGACTCCGTGGACATGGGCAACTGGGCAGCGGAGAAAGCCGTATTCGAGGCCCGCAGAAAATTAAAATGCCTGTAATACCATATCATCAACCTGGAGCCCTGATACTCGGTGAAGTAATAGATACGCTAATCGCATCTTGCCATTCTCAGTTCTCCGGCTTAGAAGATCAATGCCTATCCTTTGCTGTCTTAAGTGCCATTTACACATAGTCATAATGTGGCTGAAGCCGGATATTGCAATCACTCAATGAAACCTTGCACGTATGGTACAAGACCTACCATCCAGTATAGGAAATCTGAAGGCACAATTTTGTACCAAGCTCCACATGAGACGGGTCGATTCCCGGCCTCGCCCGGACTCGGAATGGGCAGGAGGTGGTCCTCACAAGCAGGTTGAAATAATTTTCAGTCGAAGACCCGGGTGCAGAGGTATTAGGAAATGCACGGACTCGCGCATTGGGTGGAGAAGGGCTTGTTGAGTAGCCAATCCTTTATTTAACTAGAGGAAAGTGTATCAGGGCGTAAGTAGGTTACTGAAACTAAGCAGCGCGGTGAGTTTTGCCTGTCTATAGTATCGAAGATCTCGAAAGGACTGTGTTACGTTGAAATGGGGGTGGGCTGATCAATGCCAGAGGATGGGTAAACCTCCCCTGAGCTGTCAGGGCAGAATTCATGAACCAAAAATAACAGTACGAGATGGTAGTTGATTACACATTGGCCATGAGGTTTTGTTGAAGATATTCGAAGGGATACGCCGTTTTAGGCTGCCGCTGCTACAGTCCGTTTTGTCGAGCTTCTTTGGGGGCACTATTATATCGAAGATAATATTAATTCCAATGCCTCATAATTTCCCTCTCCACTGATCGATCAGATCAAACAAACAGCTCCCAGATATGACGACACAAAATCAACCACGACAGCTGCAGAAAAGCTCTTATATCAACTTGGAAGTCACACAAATAGACTCAAACTTGATTGATTCGAGATCACAGTCGTGGGGTTGCAAGGGATGCATCCGCACCATCAACCGTGCCCTTCCCAACAGCCTGCCGTATCATAAACCCAGAAAAGAACCGCGACATCTCCTCATATTCATCCACCTCACCAACCCAACTAACATACTGATCTGGACGAATAATAACACTAGCGCCACGGCTTGGGTCAATACCATAATTGGCATACGCTTGCCCATGCCCTTCATGATAAGACTCCTCATCCACGTAAACTTTCCAATAATCCCATCCAATATCGCTATGATAGGGATGGAACGCGTTAGGAATTTCCAGAAGCTCGATATCTGCTCGCGGCCCTTGATGGACAGTCAAAACTTCGATCACGCTGTCGATGGATTGCTCTGGCGGTGTATAGCGATGGACAAACGAATCTGGTGCCTCGAGCTGTTTGCCTAACGTTTGCAAGCGCTGCATGTTGCATGGCTCGGTTAGTCGCCCTGGGAACACAATGATTCTCCAGCGTCCATTGCTTTTCAAAAGTTCTTGGAGATGCCACGGTCGCGCGTCGGCGTGATTCAACACCTTGAAGCTTGGCATGCGTTTCCCAATGTCGATCCCCGTCGCTAGCTGTGGTTTGCTAGATATCTTGCCCTCCTTCGCAACAATTTGACTAGCACTATAATTCACCGCTGAAAATTCGAGATCAGCACTGAAGGGGGAAACAGGTCCCGAATGGTGAGCAGCTCACCTATGCCACTTGCAAACTCATTGCCTTTCTCAAACGCCTTCTGGAACACTTCCATGCTAACTCCCTCCTCATCCATGATATTCTTAGCCGGACGGCCCGAGAAAAGTCTCGAAAACCGATGATCAAAAGCAATCAGATCCTGCGCGATCTGTCTTCTCTCGGATTCATAAGTCTTCAGAATCGATCCTTGGCTATACCCTTTGATCACATGCGCGAGCTTCCATCCAAGGTTATATGCTACTTTCGTAAGTCCATACTCCAGGAGAGTGAGAGAGAGAGCTTACTATCTTGCATGCTAACATTCATCCCCTGTCCAGCCTTCGGCGAGTGCGTATGAACAGCATCTCCAGCCAAAAAGACACGTTCCTGCAACGAGAAATTGTTACCGACACGTTGCCCAATCTGGTATGCCGTCCACCAGTCGCAGTATGTATAATCCAGCTTATAAGGGTGCAGGATACGCTGGGCGGACTGTAGAATAATACTGGGAGTTATCCACGACCTATCCGCCTTGATTCCAGTCTTGTTATAGTCCGTCGTTTGCAGCTGGATATACAGTCGAACGAGCTTGTTCTCTCGCGGGATCACCATAACGCTCCCCTCGCTAGCCGAGTGAATCGCGCAACGATGCCTGATGTCGGGGAAGTCGGTGATGGGGATTATGTCGAGCACACCCCAGATGTAATCAGTCGAGTCACCTTCCAGCTTGTAGCCGACTTGGTTTCGGACCCAGGAATGGGCACCGTCACATCCGACCATGAATTTGGCTTTGACTAGCTCTTTTTGGTTGGTGGTGTTTTGAGTTGATCGGATCAAATCGTCGGTATCATCGGCGACTAGATTGCTTCGAAAAAGCCCGTCTTCAACAGTTGACTCTTGACCATTGGCAGATTTGTGATGTTGTTGGCGTTGCGATGGTGTGGATTCCTGGTCGGATAGCGTACGAAGCTCGACACTTATGGGGTAGTCGTCGAAATCTCCTGCTTTGGTCTCGTCGAAACTAAAGGATACGGGAAGAACACCGCGCTCGACAGTCAAGCCGCCGTGTTCCTTCATTGCATCTAAGAAGAATCGCTCGATACGGCCTTGGTGCAAGACAACCTGCTGGAACCGACTAATTCCGGGAATAGTGTCGGGAATGCGACTGGATCGTCGAATAATGCCATTCTCATCTGGATTCCAAAGACAGATCTCGATCATGTGGTTTGATTCGCGCCAGACCCGATTAGCGAAATCGAAGGAGTCGAAGATCTCCAGAGTTCGGCACTGCAGACCGTCGGCTTGTCCGTTGAAGATCTGCATGGTTGTCAGTACTTGTTCAATCTCTAATTTGCCCTTGTTTTACATACCTTGGTACCACGCTTGTCAACAATGCGAGTCTTGATGCCGCAGCGACTCAGCCAGGTCGATAACATGAGACCGGCAGGTCCAGCACCTACGATGAGGACATCGACGTGGTCCTCTTTGGTTGGGGAAACTCCAGACATGATATATAACGAAGAAAGAATAAAGAACAGGATAGTGATCTCTATGGATCTACTATTACATCTTATATAGACACTCGAACCATGTTTACTATGGAATTGTCGGTCTATGTGGGTTGAAATCGTCGGCGGTTATGTGGGGGTGTCGTCCACCCCGTACCCCGCAAAGGCATATCCCCACACATGCATTCATATTATGGGCCAACTGAGCATCTGGTTCGTCCGCCTTCTGTCGGGTCTTCGGAAAGTATGACCTAGAGAAGCTTCCGGTCGGATCGGTAAGATCCCCGACGATGCCGATACTGCAGCACTCTTCCGATATGAACTACACCAAGCAATAACGTAGGATAACCTAGGGCTTTGGGCATTTCCAAGAACTTTGGCGCTTCCTGAAAGTGACATGTGGGAATTGTTATGGTAATAGGCCAATCGCTCATAAGGTGAATGCTTCCCGCTTTCTGCCAATTTGAGAGGACCACCTCATAATTATTCTCTTACCCCTGAGTCTTAATTACTGTCACCTCTTCTCCAATTATTCATTAATTAGTGATCACTTTTCCGCTGAAAGGAGGGGGGAAAAAAAGGAGAAAAGCCCGAGTGCTTCCTGGAAGACACCATTGTAGTGTAGAAGGGAGACTCGAGGTGGCCGTGTTCTTATCGAAACCGGATGGTCCCAAAATAAAGTGGGCGCAGGGATGACATCGCTATTTGGCAGGTTCAGTCCAAGGGTGAAGTCAGGGCGCCGCTCACTATCAAATGAAGATCGTGATGGATAGTGTTTGGGATACTTCCAGAGAAGCTCAGATCATCAGTAAAGAGTAAGCACTAAGCTAATTCGGGATGCAAGCCTCACGCAAGCTTGGCAACCACTCTGGCAAGCAGCACCTCTGCCATCTCTGATTCCCTGCAGCAAAATCAAAGAATGGCATCAACAATGGCCCCCATGCCCTCAAAGAGCGATAGCCTACAAATAATAAACGCAGGCCTCTTCCGCACCGCCACAAAATCAATGGCCCTTGCATACCAAATACTAGGCTTCAAAACCCACCACGGCCTCCTCGAAAAAGTGACCGAAACGCCCTGGATCCAACTAGAACAAGCCGCGGAGGCAACCTGGCCGAACGCGCCAGGTACCCGACCTAGAAAACCCTACACCCGTGGCGACTGGAGCGCACTGTGGGGCGGATATGATGCCGTGACGGACCTGGCATCTCCTTTCGCGTTGGAACTCATCAAAGCATACCCAGAAGCCAAAGTCGTCATCGTCCAACGCGACTTCGATAGCTGGTGGCCGAGCTTCAAGGCCGAGATCCTCGACCGCGTGATGCTTCAGCCTATGGCAACTATTAATGGGTTCCTGGGGTTACACTTAATGGGTATTCCGGCCGTGCAGGCAATGCGGAAGATTCATTTTGGATTTTTCGGAGCGCAAAGTCGGGCTGAGATCCTGAATAATGCGAAGGATGTGTACGAAGAGTATTATGCTGATGTGAGGGCTGCGGTGCCGGCGGAGCAGAGGCTTGAATATAGAGTTGGCGATGGGTGGGAGCCGCTGTGTGAGTTTTTGAAGGTAGATATTCCTGATATGCCGTTTCCTAGAGAAAATGATGCTGGGGAGCATGATGGGGAGGCGAAGGCAAGGACAAGGTTGATTTGGGCTAATGGGCTTAAGGTGGTGGTGCCTATTTTGGTGCTTGGCTTGGCCGTTAGGATTGCGTTTAAACGATCCTAGGTTGATGGTCTTATTCCTGAAACTGAATGACTCCGTGATTACTCTCATGTTAATACCCAGCTTTTTTTTTTTGCAATCTCTGTAACTACAAGCTAGATAGTTGAGAGTTGACGGGGAATTGTTCAATATTATGTTCCATTACTTGACACTTTAGCGGCCACACCAGAGGTGCAAAAGGCCTAAAAGACATTGGATGTTTAAAACTCGTTTACAGCCGGACAGCGAATGGATGTAACACAAAAGGCGGTAAATAAGCCACTGTGACTTATAACTTCAGATGTTTCCGTTGTCATTTCAAAGGATACCTTCGAAAAGGAACAGAAAGAGGTCTAAAAGGAGCTTTAGAGTGGGGCCGAGAAAGATACAAAAAAGGACTTGAAAATCAATTGTGTATGTAGCCTTACTCATAATATATTCTGGGTCAGGTTGTAAAAACGTCATAGAAACCATAGACAGATACAGAAGCGTTGGATGAATAAGCCTAAGGACTAACGAGTCAGCCGGGTGGGTCAACCTGGCTTAGATCAATCAACAAGTAAGAATGCTCTAGACTCATGGCAGTCTTTGACGAGGACATACAGTGATCAAAAGCTAAAACTCGCCAGACTTTCCAAGCAACAGCAAATCAAGTCGGCCGTTGGCTTAGAAACAGTAAATGTGCCGATATCACATATGTGTCGGGATAGCTCGTATGCAGCAACGGCTATTTTATCCGCACCTGGGGAAGTGGGCGCTGTACATAAGATAGATTACTTTCGGTTGTTGAGTAGTACAAGCCTATAAGGATAGCAGGAAGCTGGTTATGCTGGGTCAATGCAGAATCAAATGCACTTTTGTGCGCGGACCTCGGCTTCCCCGCATAACGTAGATCAGGTTACACTGTAGATCAGGACTTTGCTTGAACCGGCATACTCATCGTGGCTTTCAGCTCTTGTCTGGCTGAGTTCATATTCCAATCTTATCTATACTCTGCGGGTCACATTGAACAATCACATTCCCTTAAACATGGCATCTCCAGCGAACAAGTGGCCCTCCAGAGAAGGTAGGCGGATCCACGTGCATCGAGCATGTAGCTGCTGACACGTTGAGATAGGATTTACTGCGGATGTGGTGGGAAGAGTCATCTCGCGCACCTTGCTAGATCCCTGGAAGATGGTGCCTCTGTTTGCTCTGGCTCAATATACTGTCAAGGGACGCGAACTCTTCGAGGCGCGACCCCATGCGTTGAAGGCACTCAAGACATTCACCTCACTGGCAGTCCTCGGCCGACTCGGCGCATGGCTAGATCGCCGTACGATCAACAACGGCTACAGAGATCAGTACAACTGGAACCGAGAGATCGTTGTCCTGACCGGTGGCAGTAACGGCATTGGCCGACAAGTGGCCCAATTGCTGGGCGATCGCGGTATCAAAGTAGCCATCCTGGATATATCGCCACCGGCAGACACCCTACCCAACAGCGTCCGTTTCTACCAATGCGATATCACCTCCGCTGAAGATATCGCCTCGGCCGCTCAATCCATCCGCGCTTCCTTCGGACGCCCCACCATCCTGATCAACAACGCAGGCATTTGCACCGGCAAAACCATCCTCGGCACCACACCCGAACAAACACGACGCATGTTCGAAGTCAATACCTTCGCTCATTACTGGCTCGCGCAGGAATTCCTCCCTGATATAGTCGCCAGCAACCACGGGATGGTAGTGACCATCGCCTCACAGGCAGGATACACCGTGACGCCGAACATGGTGGATTACTCGGCTAGCAAAGCGGCGGCCATTGCTTTCCATGAGGGACTTGCCGCCGAGCTGGTTACGCGGTACCAGGCGCCAAAGGTCCGCGCCGTCTTGGTGACGCAAGGCTTCACGCGCACGGCGCTCATTAAGAATCTCACCCCGGAGGATACTTTTGCTAATCCTCTATTGTGGCCGGAGACTGTTGCGGAGGCTATTGTTAGTCAGGTGCTTACTGGGGAGAGTGGCCATGTTCTTGTGCCCACTACGGCTGGGTGGATCGCGCAGCGGCTCCGCGGGTATCCTCTTTGGTTCCAGCATTCGCTGCGGTGTCGGCTTGAGAGGCTGATGCGTGCGGATTAGTCTTGAGCTTATAGTTTTCCTTGGCTGAATACAGCCCTCCCGCGAAGATAATGCAGAGGGACCTCAATACTTGAATCTTCTCATCCTCGACATTTTTCTGGGCTTCCTAGGAAGGCTCTTTCAATTCCTTTTCTATTCCTTTTCCACGGTACGCTCTAAGATGACTTCGAATACGTCCGAGAGGATAGGTTAAGGCCACCTATAGATGGCCGTTTATATTATGTATCCTCTCGGTCGGGCCGTAGTAAGGCGTTCCTAGGCTACCGCCTAATTGTTTGTTGTGATTGGGTTGACTCGTGGCGGTATATATTTGCGTGGCTCAGCTGAAAGGCAACCGAAGCCGAGTACATACATTTCCGTCTTTCAAGGTTCCTTACATTGAACAGTTGAATGAAATCTCAACATATATATACTTGGAGCCCTGTATCGTCACAGACTGCACATACGATAGATATCCGACTCCATAGTGATCAATCTCAGTGAAAACACAGTAGAAACACAGCTCTGGCTTGAGAAAGTGACGGAATCGCCAGCCCCGTCCATTTCGTGGCACGTGCACGGCCTTCACCGCGACTTCGATTGGCTCCACTTGCTGAACAGCTCATCCTGTGCCACTCTTTTTTTCACGCAGGTTTTGTCTGCAGTGCTGAGTTAACCTTCTGCACGTTGCAATCTGTCATTTCAGTCATCAATTCAAGCTGAAAGACGAGATTCGAGATCGACTCCAATCTGAAAGTTGGGGGACCCGATCGTCTGGAGCAACCAGTTCAGCCCAAGGCTCCGCTTCGGACGAAGATCCACGGTTCGGGTCCGTTGTTTACTCCCCCCAAACAAACCATAACAACACTTTCATCTCATCTACATTCCGATCTCTACGCCCTACCCTCCTCTCGCACATTCCTCTCCTTCCACATGGTGGCCTGTTCTATCGGGGCATTCCTCTGATTCATTGCCCACCATGTTTAAGGCCCTCATGGGCGGGGGCCGGTCGTCCTCGGACGTCCGCAGCACCACCAGCTCCAGCTCTAAGAGTCGTCGCAAGACTGATTCCAAGTCTTCACATAGCCGCAAATCCTCACGGGGTGACGACCGTGACCGCGGCCTGGGTGACTTGTCGGCCTACGAGCCCTCGGCTTCGAGCAGCAGGCGCGGACCTGCGAGTGTGGCTGGCGAATCCGTCGCATCCACCTACGTGACGGCCGAACCCGACGAAATCGACCCCTATACTGCTATCGTTGAGCGAACACCAAAGCGCAGAGATAGTGACAGGGATAGCATTCGTTCTCGCCGCCGCGACCGAGACCGAGACCGATCGTCAAGCAGAGATCGCGACAAAAGGAAGAGCCGCCGAAGCACCGCTGACGCGCCGGATGATGACTGGGAGCGTGAGCGCGGCGAGCGCGACCGTCGCGAGCGCAGGCGCACGCAGTCTGGAGATCACTACATGCCGCCCGTCTCCACCTCCATGCCGTCCAGTGCGCCAGGCGCCCAGTTTGCCGCCGACATTGCGGCCCCGGGCTTTTCGCAATTCCCCATGCAGTACGATAATATGATGGCCCCCGCGTTCTCCCCGCCTCACGATTCTACGCCATTACCTTATGATCCCCACGTTGCACAACAATTCCCTGGCCAGTTCCCTACTGGGACTGCGGAGCCTTACCTACCTTACCATCCTGCCGGAGCCGCAGCGGACTACTACGGAGATCAAGGTCAATCTGTTTCAGAGCAACCGGGTATGCGACCGCAAAAGCCACTCGTGAACAGCCAAGAACATCTGATGGCGGCATCGCCATCGGTCAATCCTCCACCCGAGCCGAGTAGTGTTGGCCAGGTTGGAGCGGCAGCCGCGTACTTCGATGATGCTGCGCCCATTCAGTCGGCCAGCAACCCGCCATCTGGGTCATCTTCCAAGCCCCCAAAGCCCGGGAAGACCAGCAAGCCGTCAACATCGAAGCCATCAAAACCTAGCAAACCTTCGTCTTCAAGTGCCATTCCCGCTGTCGCGGCGGCGGGAGCTGCTACATATGGCATTGGAAGTATGATGGCTCATGAGGAGTCACAATATTCATCGACAAGCGCATATCAATCTCACTCGTACTCGCAAGGAGCTGTCCCAAGTTCAAGCAGACCCCCAGGTTCCAACAGGCCTTCAGGTTCAAACAAGCCCCCGAGTTCAAGCAAGCCTCCCCATTCCTACGGCGTCGGTACTGGTATCGGTGTTGCAGCAGCTGGCGCAGCGGCGGGCTACATGCTCGGCCACCATGATCACCATGATCACCCCGACAGCCCTGCGCACAACGTCCAGAACTACGAACAATCATCCCAATCTGGTCTGCCGCCCTATGCATCTGGTAGCAATCACGCGATGATCGCCACTGGAGGTGCAGGCTATGAGGGGCCAACCTATGCGCAGCATGTTGCTCACCATGGCCCTGGCTACTACCCACAGGCAGTGGGAGCCGGCGCTCTTGCTATGCAGCACCGCCAGCGCGGCCCTCTGACCAAGTTTGTGGACTTTTGGCGTGATCCAGAGGGCGTCGGTCGATTTGAAGATTACACCGAGACCATCGGCGTGTGTAGGTATTGCTTTGACCCTCAAAGCACCTCCCTCAATGCGCCTCGCAAGCATCACTATAACGCACGCCGACATTCTTCCGACCGCTACAGCAGCAGTAGCAATTCGAGAGTCAACAAGCTCAGCCGATACCACTCGTCGGAAGACGAGAGAGGTCGACGCAAGAAGTCAAAGAAGTCGTCTTCGTGGCTTCCCGGTATGCTGACTGGCTATGCCACGAAGTCCATTTTTGCTGGCAAAGACTTTGATGATACTTACAGTGTCCGCTCTGGCCGGCCCTCTGGAGAGCGTACATCATCTCACGACGAGACGATGAGTTACACTTCCCGTGGTGTCGTTCGTCGCTCTGGACGAAACTCGCCGCGAGAATATTATTATGATGACAAGAACTCTCGACGCAATCGCTCTCGATCTTCATCTCGATCTCGCCGTTCATCGTTCATGAAGGAGGCAGCCTTGGGCGCGGCAGTGGGTGGAGCCGCGCTGGCGGTCTCGAAGCACCAACGAGACCGCAGTCGATCTATCTCGCGGGTTCAACGCCGGAAGGAATCTTCATCTAGCTCCTCCTTTGTCGATGTATCCCGGCCTGCTGCCAAGTCTGTTGGAGGCTTTACCTCCTTCTTCACTTCTTCGTCTGAGAACCGCAGAAATACACGCGCTAAGCGGTCGAAGAGCTTTTTCTCATTCCGCAGCTCGTCTTCTTCCTCGCTTGATAATGACCTCGCCTTTGGAGATGGATTTTCTAAGAAGCCTCCAAATAAGCTGAAGAAGAAGGAGAGGAAGGGTAAGAAGCCAGAGAACGTGGATGCTGCGCTTTTGGGCCTGGGCGCCACCGCGACTGCTCTTGCTGCTTCTCATTCTCATGGCCGCAGCCGCAGCACGGGTCAGATTCTTACTGCCAGAGAATCTCAATATCGTCACTCCGATTACGGCACTTCTGCCAACGAAGGCGACGAGTGGATTGACGCCGAGTCGGATGACCTTTCTTCCTCTAGTGCCAACTCCGCCCTTGCCTTCGGCGCTAGTAATGGTAGTTCTAGCTCAGACTCAAACAGCGGAGGATGGGGCTGGGGCTGGGGCAAGAAGAAGCAAAAGAAGAAGGACAAGAAATCATCTATTGGTAAGACTGCTGTGGCCGCTGGCACTGGTGTCCTTGGAGGCGCGGCTTTGGCCTCGGTGGCTCGCCGCCGCGATAGCCGTCCTTCAAGCAGCGCTGGCAGTCTTCAACAAGTCTACCCTGTCCCCACATCCGACCCTGGTCACTTCGATGTTGGCAGATCGACCCAATCCGTTATTTCAAACGATGAAACACCCCTCGTTCGCCCTGGACCTATCCCTCTTCAGCAGCCTCAACCCGTGACCCCTGTCTCCCAGGCCATCTACAGCACACAGGGAAGCCTGCCGGGATCAATTCCCGCGTACAGCGCTCCGGCAGCTGTTCCTCCCATCTTCGCCAATGAATTCGACCGCTATGGGCCTCAACCCCAAGCATCTCGTGACGCGCCCTGGAACCCTGATGATGTTAGCTATGCTGAGCGGCGCCATCCGCGCAGAAGCAATTCTTCTCCTGTGTTCCCTCTTCAGGAGAGCTCCGTCTCTAGTCAAAAGCGCCGGTCTACAATCAAGGACCAGGCTTCTGTGTCATTCAACCTGACAGAGGAGCAGGCGGAACGCGAGCGTCGTCTCAGTCTCACTCGTCGTGAGAGGGAATCTCGTGAGGATTTCAGGGATGATCCTGTCCAGTTGATTGATCGCGAAGAAGAATTGGCTCGACTCGAGTCTGAGCGACATGATCGGGATCGGGAGCGAGAGGAACGCGAACGCGATCGGGAACGGGAACGCGTGCGGGAAGAACGTGAGCGTGAGCGCGAACGCGAACTCGAACGGGAACGGGAGCGTCGTCGCAAGGAAAAAGATGATGAGAAGCGGCGAAGCGATAACGACAAGGAAACGGAATCTTCCAAATGGGTCGAAGCAGCTGCCATTGGTGCCATTGGTGCTGCCGCTGCCACTTCAATCATCTCCCACAAGAGCAAGAAGGATGAAGAGGATGCATCTGAAGCCAGCTCAAGACGCCGTGAACGACGTCGTGCCGAGCGCCGAGCGGAATCTTCCTTCGTCTCGAAGTCCGATATCTCCACACCAGTCGAAGCCCCTGAGCCGCCTGTGGACTACACAGACTACCGCGAGGAGCCTTCTCGCCGCAGCCCTCGTCCAGCCCAGGTCTACGATGACTACGCCGAGTTCTTTGCACCCGAAGAAGTCCGACACAGCCCCAATCAGCAATCGCGCCGGCGCGGCTCAGCTGAGTCCGGTGACGAGCCTGAAATAATCGAGGTTGTTCCCGCCAGTGAACGTGAGAAGGAAGAGGCCAAGGATGAACCGACTGATCTTCCCCAGTTCGGTCCTGAGCCTTATGAAGATCGCGAGCATCTCCCGTGGCCGGTTCCACGACTGAACTATATCGAACCTACTCCCCCCCAGAGTATTAACGGGTCTGTTCGTGGTGCTGCTTCGCCTGTTGTGGCGCCTGTTCAGAATGGCCAGAATGAGCCTCCAGAGGTTGTCCGTGAAGAAAGCCGCGATGGACGCCGCGAACCTCGTTCAGAGCCTCGCTCAGAGCCTTATGAAGCTCCCCAAGAAGTACCCAAACGTGAACGCTCAAGTACCGGTTCCCGAGTATCTTGGGGACCTCATTCAACCCACGAGTACGAGGTCCCCTCATCCTCTGAACCCGAGTTCTCTCCCACCCCCGACGACTTCCAAGACATCAGCATCGACTTCCCTGCGAAAGAAAATGCTGAGGACCTCTCCAAGTCAAAGGACACCAGAAAAGCTGATTTCGGTGACGATATCGAGTTTGCTGCCACAGTCGCTGCCGCAACCGAAGCGGCTGGGTTTGATCCTTCCTTCGTGATCGACGACCCTAAATATCACACGCGTACTTCTCCTCCCGGATCAGAGGATGAAGGAACATTCTCTCCCACTTCGAAGTGGGCCCCGGTATCCGAACAACCCCATGGTTTCGTTGAGGGCGAGATCGAGAGCCCTGGTGTCTCCAAGTCTAGGGATGACAAACCCCGGCATCTCATTGACAAGGATCCTTTCTACGCTGAACCCGAGTCTTTTTGCAAAGAAAATGAGTCATCCAAGCGCCGGGAGGTCTCCATTGCCCAGGAGGTCATGGAGCAGCTCAATGAAAAGCACGGCAGATCTAGCTCTCTGGAGAACGACGTATTCTCCATGCCTGGAGGCTTTGATAGCTTCAACGACTCGATAGAGGTTGAATCTCGCGATGACCGCTCAGTCTTCTCCGCTCCCCCTGTGAGAGAATCCGAGAGCAAATCCAAGTCTAAGAAGCCTGGTCGTCACGGCGACGATCTTGACTTCGCTCGTGATTTGCCACGCGAGTCATCTCGTGATGTCTCCCGCGACATATCTGTTGATGATGTCTCGCCCGCCGTTGAGAAACCCGAGATCGATGTCAAGGAAGAGAAGCGACGGAATCGTCGCTCAAAGCAGGATAGCGATGTCTTCGCCGTTGACGATGATGCCCGGTCCGCTATCACTTCAATTGAAGATGTTGAGAAGTCTGAGCGACGCAAACATCGTTCCTCCAGATCGCGGGACTATGATGATGCTGCCTCTATTGCATCGTCTCCCGCCAAGTTCGATGATGCCAAGGGCCCTATCACTCCGCTTGAGGACGAGGAGAAGTCTGAGCACCGGAAGCATCGCTCCTCCAGATCGCGGGAGTTTGATGATGCTGCGTCTGCTATTACCGCATTTGAGGATAATGAAAAGTCTAAGCGTCGTAAGCATCGTTCCTCTAGATCTTCCCGGGATGCGTCTCCTAGCACTCCCCTCGACGACGAAGAGAAGTCTGAGCGCCGCAAACATCGTTCAAGATCCTCCCGAGACTTCGATGATGCCGCGTCCGCTATAACTACGCTTGATGACGACGAGAAGTCCGAACGTCGCAAGCACCGTCATTCGAAGCGTGACAGTGATACATACTCAGTGGATGATGACGCCAGATCTGCCATTACCTCTCTTGAAGACGGTGAGAAGTCCGAGCGTCGCAAGCATCGTCGCTCCAAGCGGGACAGTGATACCTTCTCGGTAGACGATGACGCCAGATCTGCTATCACTTCAATTGATGATGTCGAGAAGCCCGAGCGGCGAAAGCATCGTTCCAGATCATCACGCGACTTCGACGATACCGCATCTATCTCCTCTTCTCCCGCCAAGTTCGACGAGACACGGGAGAAGCGACGCAGCAAGGATGATAAGGAGCTGAAGGAAAAGAGCTCTTCTGGTGGATTAATCCGGAGTCTCTTTGGCTCGCGTGTTTCAGAGCCAGCCCGCTCCCGGTCTAACTCCCGGTCTTCCTCTGTGGATAAGCATCCCTCGCGTGAGGCCATCTCCGAGGCTGGAGTTGACGATGAACGACACCGCCGCAAGAAGAAGCATCGCAGCTCCAGTGGAGGAGACAGTTTGCGTGACGATGGATCGGACAAGGAATCAGTCCGCAGTGTGCGCAGTTCTCGCAGTGAAGCAAACCTGGAGGAGTACAGGTCCAGCAGACAGAAGAAGGAAGAGCGACGTCGACACAAGTACGAGGATATTGTTGATTCGGGAAGACGCGGAGAATCTGAGAAGGTATAATATTCGAAATCTCCTTTATTGTTCATGTTGTTGCTTCCTTCCTGTACATTTTTGTGTGCCATGTAGTTGCCCGTTTTCTGGATGGTCTCGCCTTCCAACCCCCGACTTATCCAATGCACAAAGAACCAATGCCCCGAAACAAGTGAATCTCTGTACTAAGCATTTCTGGTTTTTCCAGGACGCGAAACCTTCCGATTATAATGATGACAGCGACAAGTCTTTTTTAGGGGATCGCTCCGAAATGCCAGCCGCGGCTGAGCGCGACCAAAGTGGTGCTTCGGGGCTTGAACAAGGAGTAGCTGCAGTTGCCGGCTTAGCATTGGGAGGGAAAGTCTTACACCAGCTGTCTCGAAGCCGGTCTACTTCCGCCCCTGGTGCGGAACGAACCCTAGATCTAGCCCCGAGGTCACTCAGCAGACCATCGTCGCCTCAGATGGTCCGTGAACGAGACGAATCACCTAGGGGACGTCGTCCGTCTGTGGCTCGATCCGTCACCGAGTCTCCCACAGCTGTACCTCTACACTTCCGTCGCCCTCCAACATCCCCAGGTCTTTCGCGGGCAGTCCCTGTCACTGAGTCTCCCACTGCAGCCACTGTCTCCCCAGGCTCACCCACCCAGCCTCGTCATCGCCGTCTGAACTCTGTCGAATTTAGAAACTCTCGTGAGATCCGTCCTCTGTGGCTTGTCGAGCGTCATGGCGCAACAAAGGGCGAGACTGCGGAACCTGGCGAACCATTACCATCCCTCCCATCCAGCAAAACGTCCTCCCGAGCGCCGTCAATGGAGGATCTTCGTGCACTTAACGACGAAGATGCCATCCAAAGCTGGGATGCAGTTCACTTCAGCCATTCCATGTCTGACCGGCGCCGACCAACCGGTCTAACGATCTCAACTGACCGAGCCAACGACGAGGGTGAAGGTGACCTACTTGACTCGCAGCAAGCTACTCCCACAGCAGACGGCTACGGAGTGAAGAAGGAAAAGCACTATGAATTCCATTCTCCTTCAGAACTCCTTCGGGATCCTAGCTCGCTGCCAGATGTGCCTCCCTCACCTACGATGGAGGCTCTACCTTCCGCCGAGGGATCTGTGGTTGGAGCCAAGGACCTCAACGAGGGCGAAGGCCCCGAACGGACAAGAGACTTTGACTTGCAACAGGCCGACTCTCAGCATACGGCTGGTACTCCCACTCAAGAAACATCACCATTCGACGTCGGACCCGGCTTCGCAGGTGTTGTCGATGCCGCTGTCGCTGCTGCTGTCACGGAAGACGAGAAGCCTGCTCCAGGTGAAAAGGAAAGAACAGAGACTACCGAACAAACCATTTCTACCTCCAGTGGTCCATTCGGAGGATTCGCCGACATTGTCAATGCGGCCGTTTCCAAGGAGGTTACTCCCGTGACAGCATCTGGAGAAGAAGTAGACAAGCCTGGCACTGCCGTTGAAGAGAATGTCCCCCATCTTGAGATGAGTAAGGAAGTTGTTCCAGAGAATACGGAAGCTGTTGAGCCTCAGGCACAGCACGAGGAGCCGGTCGAAGAGGTTGCAACTACGTCGGCCTCCAAGAAGAAAAAGAAGAAGAAGGCGAAAAAGGGTCAGTCTCAGAGTGTTGATGAAACGACTCCTGGACCACTGGCTTCCGAGCAACAGGCTGTCGAGGGCGAAATACCTTCTATTGAGACCGAGGCTGCTTCTTCTGCTGTAGAGGAAGAAGCCGCTGTTCAACCGGAGACTGGAGTTGAGACTCAGGTTTCTAAAAATGTTGAAGCAGAGTCTTTGCCTTCTGAAGTTACCGAAGCTGCTGAGTCCATTGGAGTCATTGGAACCGCTGAAGCTGTGGCAGTTTCTGAACCCGAAGTCCCCGCTGCCCCTGCTGAGCCCGTGTCTGTGGAGCCTGTTACCGCCAAGCCCCAACCCGAGTCTACGGTTACCGAGGATGCCTCCGCTGAGCTTGAGGTCCCCATGACCGCCGCTGAAAAGAAGAAGGCTAAGAAGGCGGCAAAGAAGAAGGCTAAGAGCATCTCTTCCATCGAGGAGGTTGGTGACGTGACTCAGCCATCTGATTCTGCAGTTGTCGAAGATGTCCCGGTTCAGGAAGAGAGGGAGGCTCCACAGGATATCAGTGTCCCGGAGATTCCCCCGACTGAACAAGATGACCCAGAGTTCCACGACTCCCGCGAACTTGTGGAGACAACCGAGCCAACTTCTACTGAAGAGCCTCAATCTGGTGATCTGAGCAAGGATCTTCAAGACCCTGTTTCTGAAGTACAAGAGCTCGAACTATCTCAGCCCTCTCCCGCTGAAGCCGGCGAAGAACCTCAGACTATGGAAGCGGTCGCGAAGTCATCAGAGGACGCCACTCCTACTCCTGCAGTCGATGAGACCCCCGCAGAAGAAGATAACTTCCAAGAAGCCGTCGAGGAGCAGGCCGAGCAGCCAAAGGACGTTCCAGCTGATACACTTCTCGAAATTACTGAAACCCACCCAGCCGAGCCTGAAATTCCTCTTACCGCGGCGCAAAGGAAGAAGGCCAAGAAGGACAAGAAGAAGCGCCAGTCTCTTGCTTTTGAGGAGGAAATTGCGACTGACCCAAAGGCCGCCGATCCCGAGCCAGAACAAGACTCCAAGGATCCCGAACCTGAGGAAACAGCTTCTAGCGAGCCTATTGATACCCGAGCTTCTCTGGCTGGTGGTGAGATACTGTCTTCTGAACCTGAACAGATGGCCAAGGATGTCTCTTATCTGCCTGCTGAAGAACCTGTTGCTCCTCAAGAGCCAGAGTCTGTTCCTTCTGGTGATACTGAGCCGTTGGCCCCTACGGAGCCGGTCGAGCCGGTCGAGCATACTGATCTAGCTCAAGAAATACCAGAGACTCCGACCGTCGAGCCTACCGTGGAGCCTGAAGCCGAGTCCGAGGTCCCTATGACTGCAGCTCAGAAGAAGAAGGCTAAGAAAGACAAGAAGAAGTCCAAACAGAGCGTTTCTTTCACTTCTGACGACGAAAAGCCCACCGAGCCCGAGTCTGCCGAACCCCAACCCGAGATCGAGTCAGTTGGGATTACTGAGCCATCCGTTGAGGCCGAGGTTGCTCCTGCCGATGTCACCACAGAAACCCTTGCAGCTACTGCAGAGACGTCTACGGATACGGTTCCTCTGGAAGAGACCAAGGAGGTTTCAATCCAGCCCGAGCAGCCTCAGGAAGAGCCCGCCCTTATTTCTGTCGCAGATGTCAACCAAGAAGCTCCCGCTAGGGACTTTGTCGGCGAGCTCGCACAAGAAGAGCCCGAAGCCTCGCGAGAGGTTCCTGTTGATGATACCCCCGTTGATCCTGAGGTCCCCATGACAGCGGCCGAAAAACGGAAAGCCAAGAAGGCAGCTAAGAAGAAGCAACAAAGCATGAGCTCTATCGCTGACGACCCCCCTGTCGCTGAGGCTGAACTTGTTGAGACTCCGAAGGATATTGAAGCCCTTCCCGAGGCCGAGACTCCGGCTGTTGAGGAGGTTCCCCCCCTACTCCTGAAATTGAAGCTATTGAGCCCGTCAATGACGTGTCGGCTCTAGCTGATATCCCAGTAGAAAGAAAGGTTGAGCCCCTTGACACCGACCAGCCTAAGGATGACCTGACCCCGGCTACCGCCGTCGAGACAGTTCCTGAAGCGGTCGACCCTGAAGTCTCGATGGAACCCGAACCTGATTCTGCCGTGCCAGAGGTTCCTATGACTGCCGCGGAGAGGAAGAAGGCCAAGAAGGCGGCTAAGAAAAAGCAACAGAGCGTTAGCTCTTTCGCTGATGAGACGCCTGCCACTGAGACTACTGCCATCTCTGAATCCGAGATTGTTCAGACTCCTAACGACATTGAGACTGTCCCCGAGGCCGAAACATCGGCTGTCAAGGAGGTTCCATCTCCTACTCCTGGGAATGAAGCTGTTGAGCCCGTCAATGACGTGTTGGCTCCAGTTGATATTCCGGTTGAAGAAGGAATGTTTGAGCCCCTTGGCGCCGACCAGCCTAAGGAAGAGGACTTGACTCCGGCTACCGCCGTCGAGACAGTCCCTGAGACTATTGAACCTGAAGTCTCTACAGAGGAGCCTGAAGCTATCGAGGCCAAGCCAGTGGTGCCTATGACTGCAGCGGGAAAGAAGAAAGCCAAGAAGGCTAAGAAGCAGCAGCAAAAGCAATCCGTGGATCTCGTCGACCCTATTCCTACCGAAGAGGGGGAGACCGAGGAGACCGTTGAAGTTCCGCAGGCCGAGATCGCAGCTCCCGAACCTACAGAATCTAAGGCTGAGACCACTGCCGATGTTGAGAGGGATGCTGCCCCGGAACTGCTTATCGAAGATGCACCTGCTATTTCTGAGCCCTCACTTGAGATCTCTAGCGATGTCCAGCCCGTCTCCGAAGAAGCCGTGCCTGAGCCCGCACCATTCGACACTCCTGCCGCCGAGACTGTCCAGGAAGAGAACATGGAAATCTCAACAGAAGCCGCACCCACCTCAGATAAGTATCCTGAGGTTGCTCCCGAACAGCCTGTCGATGAATTGGCTGTTCCTGAAGCTGCTCTCCCGGATGATGCACCTGCAGAGGAGGCTGAGGTTCCCATGACCGCCGGTCAGAAGAAGAAGGCTAAAAAGGACAAGAAGAAGCGTCAATCTCTTGCTTTTGTTGAGGAGCCTCAATCTGACCGCCAGCCGGAGCCGGTTACGGAAGAGCCTGTTGATTCTCTCGCTAACGAAGGAGCCTCTGTTGAGCCTGTGTCCTCGAATTCTACTTCTGTCGAGCCTATCAAGACACCTGCTCCCACGGAGAATGCCGAGGCTTCCATTTCCGTCGAAGAGCCTGTAGTTGAAGAGCCTACAGTTGAAGAGCCTACAGTTGAAGAGCCTACAGTTGAAGAGCCTACAGTTGAAGAGCCTACAGTTGAAGAGCCTACAGTTGAAGAGCCTACAGTTGAAGAGCCTACAGTTGAAGAGCCTGCAGTTGAAGAGCCTGCAGTTGAAGAGCCTGCAGTTGAAGAGCCTGCAGTTGAAGAGCCTGCAGTTGAAGAGCCTGCAGTTGAAGAGCCTGCAGTTGAAGAGCCTGCAGTTGAAGAGCCTGCAGTTGAAGAGCCTGCAGTTGAAGAGCCTGCAGTTGAAGAGCCTGCAGTTGAAGAGCCTGCAGTTGAAGAGCCTGCAGTTCAAGAGCCTGTGGTTGAAGAACCTGCCGCCGAGCCCGAGGCACTGGCTGACCCCGAACCCGAGGTTCCAATGACTGCTGCTCAGAAAAAGAAGGCCAAGAAGGAGAAGAAGAAGCGTCAGTCTATGGGCCTTGAGAACCCTGAGTCTGAGCGGAAGCCCGAGCCAACAGAGGACGAGCCTGCTCCCACCGAGCCTGCTTCCACTGAAGTCACTGAACCGCCCATCTCAAACGAAAACATCGAAGCCCTTTCCGTCGGAGAACGAGCTCTGGAAGAGGCCGCGAAAGATGAGCCTGTCACGGAAACGCCCATCACCGAGGAGCTCATTGCGGAGCCAGAAACCCCAACTGAGACCCAACCTGAGCTTGAAGTTCCCATGACTGCAGCTCAGAAGAAGAAGGCTAAGAAGGACAAGAAGAAGCGCCAGTCTATGGGTCTTGAGGAGCCGCAGCCCGAACCAGTCAAGGAAGAGACCGTCACAGAAGAACCCACCGAGGCTGCCCCGACTCAACCTGTGGAAACGCTCGAAATGACCGAGAATGTCGAGACTCCTGTTTCTATCGAAGAACCAGCTCCTGAAGAGGCTTCCGAGGATTTTCCGGCCGTTGATGAGCAGGCTGCTGAGTCCGAGACCCCAGCTGAGCCTGGATCTCCAGCTGAAGCAGAGACCCCGGTCGAGGCCGAGCCTGGAGTTCCTATGACTGCTGCGCAAAAGAAGAAGGCTAAGAAAGACAAGAAGAAGAATCGCAAGTCCGTTGCCTTTGAGGATGAAGCTCAGCCTGAACAAGAATTTTCTGCTCCTGCCAAGACAGAGGAATCTCAGGATCAACCAACCCCCAATGCCACCCCTAGCCAAGAGCTGGTTGAGGTACCTGTTGATGCTGATCGGGTTCTTGAGGTGCCTGCAGACGAGGAAGTCACTGAGCCCGAGACCCCAACTGTGGACGCGGCTGAAGTTGCGACAATTACCGAGGAGCCTGTTGCTGCAGACGTCCTAGTGGAGGAAGCTGTGAACCAGCCAAGTTCCGATTCACCAGTTCAACCCGAAGAGCTAGCTGGGTCTCTGGAAGAGCCTTCTGAGAGTGCTGAAGCCAACGAATCCTTGGCCGATGCCTCTTTGTCCGCGAAGGAGCGTCGCAAACTCAAGAAAAAGGACAAGAAGAAGGGCAAGTCCGTGGATCTGACTGAAGAAGCCTCTTCTCCTTCTACTGAGGCGCCCCAGGAGACACTGCTGCCTGACACCGAAGCTTCCAAGCCCAAGGATATCGAGGTCTCTTCGCCAGCCGACAAGAATGTGGCAGTTATTGAAGAGGCTTCGTTGCCGAAACCTGTTCAGATTGAGCTTCTCGAAGACATGACTGTTGCAGTGGAAAGCGGCCCCACTGAGACAGCCAAGTCTGCCGAACTTGAGACGACTGCAGAGCCTACGGATGAAACGCCCACTACTGAGACTGAAGTTGAGCTCGGACCTACGCCATCAAAGGAGGAGGAACCTGAAGCTGATGATGGCCTATCAGCTAAAGAGCGCCGCAAGCTGAAGAAAAAGCAGAAACGCCAATCCAAGAACATCGACGCGGACGACAAAGCCGCCGAAGCCCAACCGGCACAAGACTCGCCTGTTCCCGAGACTTCCCCCGTCGAATCTTCGCCCGCCGCCGATGAAGCCGAAAGATCACCCCCAGAATCGGAGAAACGGGAAATCACTGAACCCGTAACGGCACCCTCGCCTGCGGAGAATGACGGTAAAGAACTTCAGTCCCACGACACAAAAACGCCCGACACACCGGCCCAAAAATTAGCTTCGACTGATGAGTTCTTGTCTTCGCAGGTAGAGCAGCCGCAGATAGAGAGTCGTTCTTCAGATTATCCTCCCCAATCCGTGCTTGAGCGTTCAATTGATTTTGGCGATGCGACGACGAGTGACGATGCGCGAAAAGAGGAGGATGCGGTTCCACTTATTCCGGACGAGGAGCGTTTGATCGTGAAGGAGACCCAAGTTGGTCATGTTGAAGGTGATGTTGTGACGTCGGAGGAAGATGTCTCGAGGGAAGCGACTATGGAGGAAGCAAAAATGGAAGGAACTGGTTTATTGAATACAGACGAGTCAGTGTCCAAAGAAGAGGAAGTTATCCAGAAGGAGCCAGAGGGAGAGCCTCCCACTGGGACAGCAGTAGATGCTCCTGCATCTACTGACCCAGAGACGGCCGCGGAAGAAGTTTTCGAGTCAGCCGTGTCCAAGAAGCAGAAGAAAAAGGACAAAATGAAGAAGCAGAAGCAACAGCAAAGGGAGGAAAGTAAGATCGAGGAAGAATCACCAGCCCCTGAGGAAGTGTCAGCAGGGACGGAGACAGAGGAGCCAGAATCCGACCGTGTCATGCACGAGGAGACCGAAATCACGCAAGTCCCCGAAACTCCAGTTGAGCCAATTCAGGAGCCTGAGACCACCCCAGCTTCTCCAAAAGCTTCCGCAGAGCAAGCCAAAGATGCCACTCTTTCTGCACTCCAGCCTTCTGAGGAGGTCGAAGAGGTCGAATTCTCCAAGGAAATGAAGCACATCGAGGATGAGCCCGCTGCCGACGCCGAGCGATTCGAGGCGCCCCTTTCAAGAAAGCTGAGCAAGAAGGAGAGGAAGAAGCAAGAGCGCGAAGCCCTTCTTGCTCAACAAGTCGCCGAGGAATTGCCCGCGACCCAGCCTGCTCCTGAGCCTATAGAGACTTCTGACTCCGTTCCCAAAGTGGCAGGAGAGGTGATGGCGTCAGCAGAGGAGACGCCCCTTGGTGTCTTCGATGAGGCAGCAGTCCTGACTGCAGATTTCGTTGACAATGCGCCGAATGACATTTCAACTGTGGTTGAGGAAGAGCAGCCAGCGGCTACCCAAAAGGCTGAGCAGGCGGATCTTGCAGTTGATTCTACGGCTAGAGAGATGAAAGAAGCCCCGGATTCTATCAAAAACCCCTCTGCTGAAGCTCCTGCTGAGCCTTCTGTGGAGTTTCCCAGCGTCTCTAGGAAGATGAGCAAGAAAGAAAAGAAGACGGCTGCCGCTGCTGCCGCCGCTACGATTGAAGAAGAGAAGCCTATCGAGTCGGAGCCCAAGCTCGATGAGCCATCAATCAACGAGCCAGTTCTCGAGTCTCCAAAGGAAGAGGTCGTCGCCGATACTTCCCAGAAAGCTGGCCCAGACTTCAGCGACCTCGCCATCGAGCAGCCGGCTGCCGAAGAAATGGAACAAGCCCCGGTATTTGCTGAAGGGACCCTCGCCGAGTCCGCACCTGAGCCTCAGGAGGAGTGGCCAACCGTCTCCAGAAAGATGAACAAGAAAGAAAAGAAGAAGGCCACTGCTGCTGCTGCTGCTGCTGCTGCTGCTGCTGCTGCCGCTGCCGCCGCCACCGCTACCGAAGCTGCAACGGAGGAAGAGGAGCTTGCAGGGTCCGAGCAGACAGACGCTGCTGCTCCCATCGAGTGGGCTGGCACAGAAGAGCGAAAAGAACTTGTGCCAAAGCCTGAGTCCGTCCCGCAGGATGAACCGGTGGAAGCTTCCCGTGAAGTTGAGCCAGAGACTCTTGACGCACCATTTGCTCCCGAGCCTGAACAATTTCCCCAGGAAGTAGAGATACCTCAGCTAGAAGCAGCCAAGGATGAGGCTACAGTCTCCCTGGAACCATTCGATATACTATCGCCCACCGAGCAGCCAAAGCGAAACCCCTACGACTTGTCTGGAGAAAAGCAACAAGAACAAAATGAGGAGATTGAAGCCAAGCTGCGAAGCCAGGCACTCGAAAAGGAAGCAGACCTCGAGGTTGCTGGTGATTTGTTTGAAGACCGACCTCGAGAGCCGGAGGTGACTGCGCCTGTTCTCAAGAAATTATCGAAGAAGGAAAAGCGCAAGGAGAGAAAACAGGGTATCGAAACCCCCTTGGAGCAAGAAGAGTGGCCAGCTCAGGAGCCCATATCCGACAACCTCAGGGAAGTGGAAACACCGACACCAGCTCCGGAGCCTGAGCTCAAGACAGTCGCAGAGCCAGAGGCCCCTGTGGGGGCACAGCCCGAGCATGAGATCGAAAGCTCCAAGGATATTGACCTTGCATCGATTGAACCACAACCTGCCGGTGAGCAGTCTACTGAAGTAGAACTCATTGCGCCTGAAGCAGCTGCCAAGGAGCCAGAGATATCCCTTTCTCGCAAGGCTTCGAAGAAGAAGGCCAAGAAGGCCAAGAAGGCTGATCTTGTGTTGGACGAGGAACCAGCACCCGGCAATGCTCCCGTCGAGCATGAATCGATTGCTCCCTTTGAACCGGAACAATATGCTGAAATACTAGACGCTGATATTCGTGAATCAATAACGCCCGAGCTCAAGCAAGATGAGGAGGAGTTCCCTACGATTGAATGGGAGCACAGCAAATCGGACAAAGCAGAGCCTGTTCATGAGCAATTCCCTGAGCCCAAGCCTATTGTTTCTGTGCCTGATACAGATGTCATTGGGCAATTTGAGGAGTCTGCCATTTCGGAGGCTTTACAAGAAGCTAAGAAGGAAGCAGAGGAGCCTGTTGAAGATTCTTGGTCTTTGCCACTGAGCAAGAAAGACAAGAAGAAGGCCAAGAAAAACAAGAGAAAGTCAGAGCAAGCCACTCTGGTCGAGGAGTCTTCCGAGGAGCCTCCCCACAAGATGGTCGAGCTAGCATCCGATACCAAGCCAGAGCTCATGGATGAGTCAACTTCCAAGGAGATCGAGACCGAGCCACCGGTCAGAACTACCACTCCCGGAGGCTCCAAGATCGCGAACTTATTCCCTGGCTTGGAAAGGGCAGGTTTCCGGCGTTCAGCCATGAAAAAAGACGCCCCGTCGGTAAAAGATAGTGCTGAGGAAGAGACCGCAGCGGACCTGGAAGCGAATCGCGACATCGCGATCCCCGTCTTGGAAGCACTACCCCTAGCGACCACTGAAACCAGAGACATCCCCGAGACCAGCTTTGAGCTACCTACGGCGAAGAAGAATGTGTCTACAACTACAGAGAAAGAAACACCGATGGAAGATGTCACTCCCAAGGAACACTATACGGAGCCAGAGCTCCCGGTGCACGACAAGCGCTCTATTGCAGACGAGTTCCCATCGCCTGAGCACCCTGCTTCGAATGAGCGTTCATCTATGCTCTTCGGGTCGTCCCCGTCTACTCGCACCGAAGAACACGCATCTTTGCCCCGGCACCTCCTGCCCTCTCAGATGGAGGCTGCCTCTGCTACTCCCAGTGAACTACGTCGATCGCCATCCGTGATTCACGGGAAACACCAACATACCCCCCGCACCTGGAATTTGGAAGATCAACCCGTGCAAGCCGTGAGCAACTCTTCTCCGCCGCGATCGCTCTTCGGGCCATTTGAGCACGATCGGCCCCGGACTCCACTCGACACCATTGCGGAGCATCAACCAGGGGCCGGCCCCAAGGCGACCACGGCGCGATCCGGCATGCCCCGCCTGGAGATCAAACCGGAGCACGTCTTGCCTCGACCTGTGACTCCGGTGCGCAAATTCACCGATAATGCCCTGGAGCGCAAGGCGTGGCCTACCCCAGAGAATGAGAGTGGCAGTGCTACCACCAGCCACGATAATCTGTCGAAAATATCAAAATCTCCGCTGCAAACCCCCGAGCTGGGGGCGCCAGTGCTAAGACCCAGCGACAGCAAGGGAAAGCTGCGTCGCACGAATCGCAGCACTAGCAGCGATCTGCGGGCGGCCAGTCGCGCACTAGACTCTCCCCAGCCTCCTTCCGATCTCGATCAGCTTCCCTCTTCTTCCTCTTACGATCCCGTCACCGACAAGGGCAAACGTCCTTTGCGAAATATGTCGGACGTCTATGTAAGTGTTTCTCTGGTCCCATCTGATTTTTTTGTTTTGTTTTTGTTTACTAACTTTTCCCAGGAGGGTTGGGGGGAAACACCCAACTCCCCGCGGTCGCCCAGCCGACCGCCTAGTGTCCGTCGCCGCCGCAGCATGCAACACTTGCAGGATCTCGAAGGTCGACTCGATCAACTCATCTCGGAAAATCGTTTACTCATCGCCGCTCGCGATGAAGCCGAAGATCGATTGCGCAATGCCAGCGTCGGTCGCCGAAAGAGCGATCGAGCTTTGCAAAGCAGTGGCGCCGATCTGCGCGACAGAGAAGCCGAGGTGGAACAGCTCAAGAGCTCTGTGGAATGGTTCCAGATGGAAATGAGCCGTCTGACTCAGGAGAATGAGGGTTTAACGGCGTCCAATGCTGCCCTCGCTGCCGCCCACGCCGCCGAAGTCACCCAGGTCCGCGAGACCTCCACGCGCGAACTCGACACCTTACGGTCGCAACATAACGACTTGTCATCAGGCATTGATGCTCGGGTCCGACAAGAGATTCAGGCAGCTTTGGCGCAAAAAGATACTGAATTGCGCCGTCTTCGCCAAGAGCTCGAGGAGGCTCGCGACAAGGTGAAGGAGCTACAACAACAGATCGCCGCGTCAGTCACCGACAATGCCCTTGTCTTCCGCGATGAGGATTACTTCGTTGCCGCGTGTCAGAAGCTCTGTGGTCACATTCAACAATGGGTGTTGCGCTTCTCCAAACACTCCGATCACCGTCGCTGCCGCTCTCTAAGTGAGCTGAAGGACGAGAAGATTGCCGATCGCTTCGACAATGCCCTCCTTGATGGCTCCGATGCCGATACTTATCTCGCTGACCGTGTTCACCGACGTGACGTTTTCATGTCGGTTGTCATGACCATGGTCTGGGAGTATATTTTCACTCGGTACCTATTCGGCATGGATCGGGAACAGCGCCAGAAACTTAAGTCGCTTGAGAAGCAATTGGGAGAGGTTGGTCCTAGTCGCGCAGTCCACCGCTGGCGCGCCACCACCCTGACCCTGCTGTCCAACCGACCGGCTTTTGCCTCCCAACGCGACAGCGACACCGAAGCGGTCGCTCTGGAGATCTTTGGCACCTTATCGCTCGTCCTTCCTCCTCCTTCCCATGTTGAGCCACAGCTACTCGACTCCTTGCGCAAGGTCCTTCGTGTCGCTGTCAAGCTATCCTTGGAGATGCGCACTCAACTGGCGGAGTTTATCATGCTCCCTCCTCTCCAGCCAGAATACGACACCAATGGCGACCTGGCCCGCCAGGTTTACTTCAACGCCTCTCTAATGAACGAACGCAGCGGCGAGACCAGCTCCAACGACGAGCTGGAATCTCAACAAGCCGTTGTGCGTATCGTCCTCTTCCCCCTCGTTGTCAAGAAGGGCAACGATTTCGGCGAGGGTGACGACGAAATTGTCGTCTGCCCTGCGCAGGTACTCATCGCCCGCCCCGGCAAAGACAAGCGACTATCGCGGATGACCAGCGGTGACCGCATGTCTATTGACGGCGCCCGCTCCGTCCACAGCGTGGCACCTTCTATCGCCCCGTCTACGATGGACATGGGCAATGCGATTTGAGGCGTCACACTCAGATCCAGATTGCTCCCATCGCGGACTACCTTTTCTTCTGTTTCTCGGACCTGGCAATTTGGCGTCCTTATGGGTATGGATTCGTCGGACACTGACGACGTGGATAAATTTGGCGTTTTTTTGTTTTCCTCGATCGTGTTTTCGTTTTCTCTTTTTCCCTGCAAAATAACGGCCGCTGCATGTATTTACTATCTTTGATGCCTGATGAGTGATGACTTGTACTTCTCGCACGGCAATGTAATAGAATCAAATTATTCTGCATATTCATCTCCAGCAATCTATTACACAGCTTTCCTGAGAAAACAATCTGAAGGGTCTCCCATACTTGATTCTTCAGCTGTGTCTCGACATCATTCTGGGCACCTCTTTTGGTTCCTTTCCTAGGTATAGGATCTCTTTAAGCTGCTTTGAATACCAGAGCTGTACAGCCGTCCAAAGAGGATGACTGAATACGGAGATATGTGAAAGAGTGATGACTTTGTGCTATGTGAAATATACATAGGCTAGTCAGACTATGCACAACAGCAAACAAGCGTTGTAAACACCCTGGTTGGCATGCGATCGACTGAACTATAACCTTGGACCCTCGGAAGCTATCGCCACTGTTGGGCCTACAGTAGGTGTATGTGAGGGTGACTTGGAATGCCAATGATCCAACCTAATTATGGTGAATAAAAGCTTGAGTATTAACACATATTATAAAGAACATGGATTGCCTAGATGAGACAATCGCATTGTATAGGAAGGGTTTTCACGATGAGAGCTGCTGACCTCATCGTCCGTGTTAGGCAATGCAGATAAGGAGGCAGCCATGGAACCCAAGCCGACTCAGGGAACCTAAGCTGAACTTGCTCACTTCCCTTTCTCACCTATGTATTTGCCTGTACACACGAACCTGAAGAACCGAAAGAACCGAAAGAACCTGAATCGATCCTGGTTGTTTCATGCGGTCTACTCTTATCGAGCTTCTCATTCGCTCTGCCCAGTTGACGGTCCTGTCTGATGTTCCACTTTCGCTCGCCACACGCGTCATTCTCGGCGAGCAGCTTCGGCTCCAGCTCCAGCTCCAGCTCTGGTTCGAGCCCCTTTATGCCCCAATGCTGAGCTGGCCGTCGAATATGCCGATAACCATCTTACCGTGATCAACGCTATCGCAACACACACAGCACAGACGCTGCACCTGCAGCCCTTTGTTTCCGGAGGGGAAATTCCGCCGAATCAGTTGATAGGGCACGATCCCCTCCTCATTGACAGATTCTGCACATCACCAGTCCGATCGCCCTGGGCTTACAGGGCTCATCGCGCAATTGATCAGGACACAGGATAGTCTATCATGGATCCTCCTCTGACCCCGACCCCCGGTGTCGGCGGCTTCGAAGCGCGCATGTCGCCGTCGACCTCTAGTCCCTCCAGCCCAAGAAAGCGCCCCCAACTCAGCGATTACCCACTTTCCACTGATAGCAGGACTGGGAATGGTCCAATGGGCGGTCGAGACCCAGGACATGCTCCGGCCACGACGACCGAGACCCGCTTAGAGTCCCCCGCGCCTGATGACGGTGGTAAACCTTCCAAGGCTTCCAAACGCAAGAAGAATCGCAATCGCAAACGCCGCAACCGCCAGGAATCGTTCCTCACGCCGGGTCGGGAAGATTCTCATGATCGCTCGGGAACGAGATCAACAGGGACCGGTGGGGCTAAAGATTCGACGGAAGGCGAGCTGCCAACAGCAATGGACCGTCCGTCATTTTTCAAATTGGGCAGTAATTTGAGTAACACTAGCATCGAGAGCAATGCCTTGCTAGACCATCGGTAAGTTTGCTCTTCTACATTTCTAGACCATTGCAATATGGACTATGACCCTAATTACTGCGGCGCAAACAGTGAGCAACCTATGATGCGACCTCGGCGAGAGAGCCGCACTGCCACAACATTCCGCCCTTCATTACTCGCCGGTACCTTTAGGTCCTACGAATCTCGATCTCGGAACACAGCAGGAGGGAGCCGAACACATAACAATGGCGGTGACAGCGATGACGAGACTAATGATCGGACACCATTAATGCGCCCACCTTCTGGGACTACCTCCGGTCTCTCTCGCTATGGATCTGATTTGCGAAGCCCGTTCTCTCGTCAGCGACGAGCGTCTGGCCAGACAGACTCATCACAATGTTCGCCGCGAGGTCACCATAGCCCACCTTATACTCCCGATGTCGAGCGCGACTATGATGTAAACAACCCACCATCGATCCCGAGCTCGCCGAAGCTGGGGCCAGAAATGAACTACGATGATGCCGTGGTCACGGGTGCCGATTTTGACTTCGCGTTGGCGCGGTCCATGGAGAACCGTCACGATTCGTCAGGACGCATAAACGATGCTGTGATCGACATAGAAGGTTGTGGACTTGAACAACATTCCGCGCCGTCTTCCCTTCGCTCCGGGCATGATTCTCCGGCGGAATTACGGCGACGCCGAACGGTGGCTCTGCCAGTGCAGGAGGATGTATGCTTCCCCACCGAGATTTCCGAAATTGGTGACGAAGGCCCGAGGCTGCCTATGAGTGGTGAGCGGCGACGTCGAAGCAAGCGTCAATGGCCGGACCTGTCCGTTCTTGAAGAATGGAGCCGGGAGGAGAAAGAGGAACGAAGTGGAGATCTACGGGTGAAAAAAATCAGCGAGCCTATGCTCATCGAAGGCCGCCTTCGTCCCCAGTATAAAACGTGGAAGCGCGAAGAGGAAGAAGCGCCATATCGATTCACCTATTTCAACGAAGAATTTCAGAGCACCATTCATGCTCAATCTATATCAGAGTTGGTTCAACCGGGTGGTAGCTTCAAAGACCTCTTCATTCCCGACCCGCCTGAACTAGAGGACTCTTCGGATGATGAAGACTTTGAAGGCGATCACGCGGAGCACGGTGTTAACCACTGGGCTCCTCGCATGGGTACCAGGGTCTCGCCCTCCCACAACGACTTACGGTCTTCAACTGCAACCAGTGGCACCGCAACCCCTGCCCCAGATCATATGAGAAATGGAAATGGAAATGCAAATCCGCCAAGTGCCTCGAACGGAAACCGAGGTCACCCACGCTTGTCTGTGCTGAGTGATGAAGGTCCAGGATCTCAACGAGAACCATCACCATCGCAATCCAACGTCCCTCCAAAGCCGAAAAGATATGGTCCTCGTCCAACCTTCTGGCTGGATGTGCTCTCCCCGACAGATGCCGAGATGCGTGTGATTGCCAAAACATTCGGCATCCACGCCCTAACAGCAGAGGATATCATGATGCAAGAAGCACGAGAAAAGGTGGAGCTGTTCCGCAGCTACTACTTTGTTAATTATCGCACGTTTGAACAGGACACCAACAGCGAGGATTATCTCGAGCCCGTGAATATGTACGTGGTTGTGTTCCGAGAAGGCGTTTTGTCCTTCCACTTCTCGCAAACACCGCACCCAGCCAATGTACGACGCCGAATTCGCCAACTTATGGACTACCTGATCTTGAGCTCGGACTGGATTTCCTACGCTCTCATCGACGACATCACCGACGTCTTCGGCCCCCTCATTCAAAACATCGAGGATGAGGTCGACGAGATCGACGAGAAGATTATGCAGATGCACTCCTCGAACAAAGAAAATGCCTCTGGAGACAGTCTAACCCCCTCCTTTGCACCGGGAGAAATGCTGCGACGTACCGGTGAATGCCGCAAGACGGTCATGGGACTCTACCGACTACTCAGCAACAAGGCCGACGTGGTCAAGGGGTTCGCCAAGCGCTGCAATGAGCAGTGGGAGGTGGCGCCGAAGTCCGAGATTGGCCTGTACTTGGGTGACATCCAGGATCATATCATGACCATGACAGGAAACTTGACTCATTACGAAACGTATGACACTTATCTTGTTTTTTTTTGGTTTTTAAGTTTATCTGGATCTGGAATTGGCTAACTGTTTTGGTCTAGGATCTTGTCTCGTGCCCATTCCAACTACCTGGCACAGATCAATATTCTCATGAATGAGCGCCAGGAGCAGACTGCAGATGTCTTGGGCAAGCTGACGGTGCTTGGTACTATTGTCCTGCCGATGAACATAATCTGTGGCATGTGGGGTATGAACGTCAAGGTTCCGGGTCAGGATATTGATAACCTGTATTGGTTCTGGTCTAGTAAGTTGCCCCTCCCGCTTCAGTTTTGATTTTGCATTATGGTCAGGTTCTAACGGTTTTTAGTAACTGGCGGCCTGTTTCTCTTTGGTCTTGCCTCGTTCTTGATTGCCAAACGAGTCTATAATATCGTCTAGGCGATGAAACTGTCTATGTTAATGTCTCCAAAATAAAGCTTAATACCCTTCATGTCTGGCGTTGCCATATTCGTGGATATTTTTTTATTTTTTTTGTACATGATTTGATCTCCCTGCCTAGATATACGTGGTGGTTTAAAGGAGCATGCAACGGCGTTAGATACTGGTGGCGACATGGTCATGCATACGGGACCTTTGTGGTGTTTCCTTGATTTTTTTGCCCTCCTATTTCCGGCTGTGAAGGTTAGATCTCTGGCAAGTGTACTTGAATTGTATATTTTCAAGGATGTGGACCAATGTACATTGTATCTTACTGTGTGTGGTTCGGCAAGGAAGCCGCACTAAGACGGAAACGATGAGGTCACCATGACCTGGTATTGGCGATACCAGTGTATTGTGGCCATCCCTGCTTGTAGACCCTGTTTTATTACCCACCTGCGTCATCACTCTGTCCTGTATTTCCCCAGGTTCCAGGTTCCAAGTTCCAACGTCTTTCTTTCTTTCTCCTGTGGAAAACATACTTGTCCCCATCTTTTACTTGTTACTCCGTCTTTCCGCCTCGCCTGTGGGCATTCCTCCTTCACCGGCACTTCTCTCATTCCCAGTCCCACGGTCTAGACCATTGTCCGCGTGCCTCCCCTGCAGTGCAAGGCCCCTTCGACCCTGACGTGGGCCGCTACGATTGGCTCATCCGGACCGGCCCTGACCACTTCGCACCGAGGCTTGGTCACCGACTCTGCAGCGGAGAAACGCTAGAAGACTAGAAACTGCGTGGCGTCCGTTTCATGGGAAAAACAAGTCAGCCGAAGCCCAAACGTTGAACCGGATCGGCGGACCCCCATCGCACTTTCCCGCCAACCAACGTTGACTGCCGTCGTTCTAGACGTTCTTGCTTTTCTGCCTTCCTTCTGCTTCTCTGAGAACAACCAAGACCAAGCTGCTAAGATCGGCTTATCTTGGATCGTCACTTCCCAGATCCTCCTCTTTCTCCTCGATCTTTCTTCCCTACCCAAACCCCTGCCTGCATGCTGCAGCGACCCCATACGTTCACTCGTTCATTACAACCCCGGTCTATCCGTCTTTCAAGCATGTGGACGTCGGCTATTCGCTTCCCTGCAACATCACCTGTGTAATGACCTGTATCCTGCGCAACATCATCATCCTGACAACTCATATCTTCACCGTCGAAGCCATTCCCCGTCTGGCGCCGCACCTTGCTTTGTGAATTCCCTTTTCGGGTTCTGATTCCTGCCCAACTGTGAGGCTTCCTCTCGGGTCTCCTGACTAGTCTCCGTTCAAGTCCAATCTGAATCAATTAAAGACCATGGCTGCGGAGTCCGAGAGGCCGCCTTACCTTAATGGCGCCTCTGCGCGACCCAGGCTGGCCATGTATGCAGCGACTTCCGATCCTGTGCATCGGACGGTCAGCGAGGGCGATGCTGCGGAGAAGCCGCATCCGACCGTTAAATCACAAACCCAGGCCATGGGCCAGGTCCCAAAGCTCCTTCCGACCTCTTCGACTAATACCTCCGGCTCCGCTTCCACAACTACCTCCGCCGTCTCTTCTCGTGAATCCTCCCCAGTCCGAATTTCTTCAAGGGCGGCCAATCCCTCTTCCGCTAGCCTAGGGCCTTCTCGATCTTCCAAAAGCAGCCCGACCCGATCGTCCTCCAACGGCCAGTCCTCGCCAACTCCTTTACCCTCCTCCGCGTTGCCCGTTCCCCGTACGCATCCTATCGACACACAAATCCCACCTCCCGCCCCCGAGCCCCCAGTCAATGTCCTCAGCCCGGAAAAGTCCAACATGCCAGTATGGGCGGGGAATCGCCGTACAGATCAAGCGTCTACACCACCGAATACCTCCCATAAACGATCCCAGCTGCCTTCAGAAGATAATGGAAAGACGGACAGAAATTCACCACGCACGGTCACGAGGGGCGTCAGTGGACAGGGTCCTTCCCTGGAGACAGTCCAGGAGATGACCAGTAATCCGTCTACTCCGTCGACTGAGACCCCTACTAAGCCGAGCACCCCGGACGACTCACGGTTGCACACGATTGATGAGGACCCGACACCTCGGGCCTCAAAACAAAGTACAGAGAGTGGGAGTGACAGCGGTGGCAACCGCAGCTCCAAGGAAGACAAACCCAATGCCGCCGGTGCAGGCAAACCCTCTGGGACCATCATGCCAAAGCGATCAATGACCTCGTTGAGCGGCGCTCGTGCAAAACCCAGTGAAGGCTCGGTGCGTAACATGATTGTGGAGACCGAGACCGTCAGCTCGATACCTCAAGTCTCCTTGGGAGTTGGGTCTGGCGATCGAGGCAACGCCGGTCGCGCCGATCAAGGTACTTTGCGCATGAAGCCTTCAACGGAGACCATTCGGCCCCGCAAAGAGAAGAAAAAAACCCGCCGTCCCAATGCCCTGAACACAGGCCCTGCCTCGACGAAAGCAGATATCTTCGAGGCCAAGGTTGCAAGTGCTGTGGATGAGGCCGACGTCTCCGACTCTGATGAGACATTCGTTTATGAATCTAATCCACCCGACCCATATCCTCCTCGGCAACCCCGATACCACTCCCGAACTCCAAGTGCCACCTCCATGGCGAGCCAAGTGGACCAGCTGGCTGGTCGTGCCCGTGGAGGTCTTCGGGATGGCGCCCACAGCGTCACCGGCAAGCGCAGCATGAAGTTCACGAATAGCGAATTTGGGACTCGCGGATATGCCCCCAGTATGGATGGCGAGTCTGCAGACGCAGAAGGAACCCGCAATGGTGCCGCTAACCCCGGCAGTGGAACGATCACCCCTCGACACCAGCACATTGGGCGCCATGGACGTGGCGGTATATTACACGCTGGGCTCTTTGACAATGAGCAGCCCTATCCGCCACAAAGCGGGATGAAGTCACCGCGGCATTTCCTTGGTCATGTCAACCGACATTCGCGAAATGGAAACCCTCGCTCATCGCCCAATTATAAGAGCATTGGCAACCAGAAGGGGGGCGAATCTTTTGATTTCGATGCTGAGGGAGCGGATGATGAACGCACCCCATTGGTGGGCGCGCGGCATTTGAACCGCCGAACTGGTCGACGCCCAGGCAGCGCCAGCTTGCGCCAGCTCGAATATATGGAACGCCAACGCGGATTCTTGCCTCGTTATGGGTCATGTGTTGTGGTCCTGCTGCTTCTTCTCATCATTACTGGTGGTGCCGTCTCGTTCGTTATCGCCGCGACTAAGACTCTTGTGGACGTCCAGGTCCTTGCTATTCAGAACGTGCTCGCATCTGAGCAGGAAATAATGTTGGATCTCAACGTGCGAGCTGTGAATCCGAATATCTTCCCTGTGACCATTGATGACACTGATATCGACATATTCGCCAAGAGCCGGTATGTTGGAACGGACAAATTCTGGCGCGAGCACGGGCAAGACGAACTTGATCAGTTCCCGCGGGTTGAGCAAAGGCGGAAACGCTGGCAGTTGGCTCAGATCGTTCGGTGCTTGGGTAATATGGAATGCGTCGAATCCACCAGGTCTAGTGTTTCTGCATCGAAGAAGGCTAAAGACAAAGACGGTGTCGATCACGGCACCGATCCTATTCCCGATCCCGAAGGAGATCCGCGGTCCATGCTGCTCGGCAGAGTATTCCACTTTGACTCGCCGCTTTCGTTCGAGGCGTCTCCGTGGGGAAAGCATCACTCTACTTCCAAGGGACAAATTCGACTTCCCCGTCCTGGCAACAGAACCGAAGAAGGTGGCACTGAACGCTGGGAACAAGTTCTCGAACATCCATTTGAGTTGATCGTCCGAGGTGTTATCAAGTACCAGTTACCCCTCAGCTCGCACTACTACTCTGCGTCCATCAGCTCGAGCGTGAAGATCGTTCCCGATGAGGAGATCCATAATCCCGCTAAGCTCCAAACTCTATCAAGCAATGAAACGGCCCGAATCTCCTTCGCCAGGAGAACCACTTCCGATCTCCGCCTGGCGGACACCAATACCCCCGAGCATCGATCGGGACTCTCTCAACGACAGTTTACGGCCTGAAACCTCTTTTATTTGCAATTAACATTAGCGATAGATTGATGTCCATTACGACAGCCCTTTTCCTTTAACTATCCCTTCTTTGTTTTGTAACGAGACGAAAAAAACAAGCAACCCGACCTCTCCAGGCTCGGACTTCCACCGTCTCTTGCTCCCGCCCCGCTGTATACCCATTTGCAACGCGTTCCTTTTTTCCGTCATGGCTCTTACATGACCGACTTCGAGTCCGGAGCATGTGTAGCAGCTTATCTTTTCTCATTCTTCTCTTCATTCACAGACTTCTATGTATATTGGTTCCATATCCCCCTGCTAATGGTTTGGATATGGACATTACCATGTTTTATCACGATCTGATTCAAGCTTGAGTGAAACGGTCTTAGATCGCTCGTCCTGGCACCCTGCCAACCCTTTTTCCTTGCCTCATGTATCTATATTATATTACAATACTGGAATTTAATGGAAGGCTTGTGGCTAGGTGACTCTAGCTCTGATTTGGTATTTCTGTGTATTAGTAGTGTGCTCAGATAAGTATAGAGTAGTACTTTAGTTTCTCGTGGCTTTCTACCGGCATGAGTAGCGGCTGCTAGCTTTCCACCTAGGTAAGAGGAATACCCTAAACTAGGGCTTATTCTTGGACCGAGGTACGCTTTTAACTGATTCTAGCTAGTAGGCTCGTTTACAGCCGAGAGGCTTAGGGCCGAGTATGGAAGAGCGACGTCGATAACGGATGAGCAGCATCCACAATAGAAGAGCACCATACCTAATAGAAGAGCATGAATACCTCTGAGGACAGCATCATAACGGGCAATGTAGGTACCGTAGCATCAGCAACATACTTGTATATTTGAAGAATGAACCGAATCCTACACGAGCCCAATTTAAAAAAGATATACAGTCGTAAATTCATCATCATATCGCAGCTACATAAAGTCATGATCGAAGACCGAAATGAAAGATGAAAAAAACATCAAAAGCAGCAACGCAAAGTAGTAACCGTCAAAAGAAAAGGACATCAAGCGTGACAGTATAGAGCGTCGATAAAAGCAAGAAAGCGAGCCATGAAAATTAAAGCAGCCCCCCCCTTCCCCCTGTAAAAACGCGATCCAAATTAATGTTTTTGTCTTCCGATCAACTCCAAGCCTACTTTAGAAATCAGAACAAGACTCGCGTGAACTTGTTTATCAGATCTTCGATTTTCTCAAGAGCCGGGTCCTCCTTCTCTTTGAGAAGACGGCCATAAGAGTCAAATCGATCAGGCAGATCAATAGTTGAATCTGATTCCGATTCCGAAGGCTGGCGATGACCAGACTGTTTTTGTTGGGAGTGGTGGTGGCGATATTCACGAGACTGAGGCGGAGCCATTGGTGGATACGGGACAGATGACGACCGACGACGGGAATAATGAGGACGAGAACGTGACCGGATGGTCGAGTCACTGTCGTCAGAGTTGTACCCGGCGTCTTCATCTCCCTCTGCCTCCGGGGTCAGGTTGAAAGTTACTGACTTGGGGGGTGGGGGTTGACTGCCGGAGCGCGGAACGGAAGGGCGGGGGTTGATTAGACCTATAATTACGAGTTTCATGTGAGCAATTGTCACTAGGGACCGAGCACGGTTCCATGAACCCACCGGAGCGCGTGTGGTACTTATCAGTGGGAGTACTAACATTCTCGTCTGCTCGCCGGGGCCGTGGGGCATAGTGCTCTGGTCCGGGTCCGGGTCCTGGTCCGGGTCCAGCGGCACCGTAGCTGTAGGGTTCAGCCGGAGGGGCAGCGCCTGGTGGGGGAGGGTAGTCTCCTGGGTTGTAGGGTTGAGGAGTGGCGTTCAAGTTTGTGGTCGAGTCAGGTGGGGGAGGGAAGTATTGGCCGTGGGGGTAGTAGTTCGGGTCCAGGGGCGGTTGGTGTGGAACAGCATGGGGAGAGACGGGGTAAGGCTCAGGGTCGTAAGATTCCTCGTACGGGTCGCGGGGAACACTATGGTCATATCCTGTTTTGGAGTTAACTTTGTCTGTGCTAGAAGAGAGAGGAATTGTGACGGACTCACGGGTCCTTGAGCGAGAACGTGAGCGTGAACGCTCGTCCTTGCGATCCCGGCTCTGCTTGTACTTGTGTGCGGCATATCCCAAGCCAGTGGCACCAAGAACGCCCTCGGCGATGCTGCGAGAACGGCTGCGGTGCTTTCTGCTGCGGCGACGCTCCCGGTCTGAGCCAGAAGAGCTGCTGTAGCGAGGAGCGCGGCTGCGACTGCGGCTGCGACTGTGACGCCGGCTGTGACCTCCGTCCGAGTAGTATGCACCGCTTTGGAGGGCGGGTGGCTGGCCGTAGTAGTGCTCAGCGGGGATGCTTCCTGCGACAGGATCGTTGCCGTACTCGATCAAACCAGCCGAGTCACGAGCGGGATCGGGGTACATCTCGGAGCCACGGGCACGGCTGCGAGATCTGGACCGGCGATGTTCACGGCTCACGGGCTCTTTGCCATCTTTCTCGGCTTTGTTCTTCTCGTAAAGTCCAGTGATACCAGCAGTACCTAGACCAGCGGCCAGGATAGGAAGGGCCTTGCGGATCCGGCTCTGAGAACGAGGACGCTCACCCTTGCGAGATTTGGAACGAGATCGAGCATGCTCAATCAACCCGGCCGCGGCCGCACCAGCCAGACCAGCACCGGCGATGTGCTGACGGCGTTTGGACTGACTGCGAGCATCATCGGTCTCTGAGCGAGCAGTGCTCAAGGCCCGGCCGCGAGAGCGGGAACGGGTACGAGAGCGGCTCTTGCGCTCATTTTTGTTTTTGTTGTTACGTATAGCGGCCACACCAGCAGCCACTGCAGCGGCTCCAAGGCCAAGCTCCAGAAGGGTCTTCGCACGGCTGTGAGAGTGGGAGCGGCTGCGGCTACGACTGCTGTGACGGCCGCGGCTCCGGTGGCTGTGATGGCTGTGACGGGAACGTTCATCGTCGAAGGAGTGTGCGCGATGACGGCTTCGGCTTTTGCTGCGGTAGTAATCGCGAACGTGACCAGCAGCATTGACAGCCACAGCACCTAGGGCACCAGCACCGGCGGTTTTTGCAGCACGGCCGAGGCCGTGGCTCACATCTTTGCCCTCACGCTTACTGCGGCTGCGCATCAGTTCAGCAGCACCAACAGCTACCAGGGCGCCTTCTGCGAGGTGGCGTTTGTGGTGAGGGTGGTCGTCATCATAATCACGGGTGGTCTCTTTGCGGATGTAGACCATACTGTCGTCACTGCTGTAATCATCACGATCTCCATGACGACGGCTAGCCTGGGAGATGGAATCACCCGGGCTCAGTTCACGGCGCGAGCGGCGATCATCGTACTCGCGGACACGGCGGCGACTGTGATAATAGTAAGGGTCCTCATCGGTCTCGGAGCGGCGGACAACGTCATACTCGGCTTCTCGGGCTGGTCTCGTTATTATTGTCTTTTCTCGAATGATGTGTGTTGGGGCCAGGTTCCACCCGGGATGCAAATGGTCTGCGGATCTCGCGCGATGGTAATTGTTGTAGGGTTGTATGTACTCACGTTCGTAATAGTCCCGCTCGTAGCGGCGCGGCTCGTACTCGATATCACGCTCGTAGCGAGAAATGGTCATGGGTTCCTCGCGCTCCGTCTTCCGACGAATGACGAGCTCGCGGTCGCCAGCAAAGTCGTCTCGACTCATTGAGAACTCGCGGCGGTCCTCACGGTCCTCGGATGGTACAACGTACCGCTTGATGGTGACCGGGCGGTCAAAGTCCTCGCGCTCTCTCTCTCGGTAAATGTACGACATGATACGTGGTTGAGAGAGAAGAAGAAAGTTGGAGGGGCAAGTATGAGGGGGCGAAAGCGGGTGAAGAGAAAATGAGGGGCGCAGGGCGACGCAGGGCGAGTGGGGTCAAGAGGCTGTGATCGACTAGTGCAGCAGCGGATCAGGCTGAACTTCCGATTGGGAATACCCTTCTGGAATGAAATCGAACAGCTTTTCCCGATGATTCAGGCCCAACGCCGAGGCCGAGTTTGTTCCGCAGTGCCGGGGATCGGCAGGCAGCACAGATTCCCTTGGGCAGCAACTGTGAGGCTGAAGGGGATGAAAGAGAAACGTAGGTGTGGAGGGGAGATGAAAGAGATGAAGTGAGAAATCGTCGAGAGATGAAGCAAGAGATGGGTTGAGTTAGGGGGAAGACGTAAAGAAGAAGAAGAAGAAGAAGAAGAAGATAAGAAAGAAAGCCACGTGAGGCTCTCACAGTGAACTCACCGACTGCATCAAGTGTTCCAAGTATCGTTGATGTACTACTTTGCTACTATTTTGCCCGGGCACTCGTGGCAAAAACACGGTGTGCCGTGGCTTAGACTTGTTTACTTCGACCTCTACTTCCACCCAACCTTGGGTTCTTCCCGCGCGCAATCCACGGAAACTCGGTGGGCCGCTGCCCAGTGTTTGCGACTACGCGGAGTCTAGAAACGGGGCGCTACACGGAGCATGAATGAGACTGTGAATGACAGCGAGGCAGCCCTGCGCCCCACCCCTTTTACACTGCGAGTCGGCTGCGAGTCTTTGTAGAACGTGGTTGACAGAATGCGAAACGCAAGGGAGCTGCATCGATCCCCGTGGCCATGGCCTGCATTGCAGGAGATTCGCCCGCTTCCCGTATCTGGATTCCGCCTTACCAGTCGAGTTAATGCGACGGCCTTTTGCCTTTGCCCCGTCCATGATCCAAAGGTCCATGATCCCAGTGTGGGGAGCCTCCAGTGACGTCAACGGCTTCACGGGAGGACGGGGTTCTCGGCCCTGCTTCGAGACTGTGGACTGAGCCACGGTCTGGAATTTCACAGCTTTAAAATATGTGTCTTTCTTTCGTGCTAGAACGAAATAAGCCATCGCTGGGATAGCCATCTTAGATATCTTGCCGGGTGCTACAAATGACGAGTTACAGTGTGGAGGGATCAGACGGCACGCTAAGATGCTGAAGGATGACGTATCCCCCTCCCGTGTCTACGGGATGTTGCAAATTGGTAAATGGGCGTAAACCCTTGTCCTGCTATTTATTTTCCAGATATTTCACTAACGGTCTTTCTAGAGATATCTGTCTTCCTTTCCTGTATTTCCCGCCTCTTTTCGAATGGCTCCAGGTCCACCAGGGCAGTCAAGTTAGGTTCATAGGCCCACTTGCAATATCGTCTGGGTCGGGAGGTACACGCCGTGTAGCAACCGGTATGATCGGCAAGGCTACCTGAAATCAGTTTCACCACTTGACTACCTTTCTCTGCAATTCTTTATTAAACTCAGTTCGGAAACACAGCATTCCATCTTAGAGTAACATCTTGTGATACAAGGCTAAAGAAAGTCACATGATCGGTCGTTCTGTATCTCACCTGATTTCAGAATATGATGCGATATCCATATCCCGAGGCTTCTCCTCATGATTCTTGAAATGAGAGCAGTCCATCTTATTTAGAAATTAATACAGGATACAATAAACACGACGATATTTGCGCAAGTAGCATCGCGTATTCCAAAAAAAAATATCCCCCGGAAAGTTTGCCTCTGCGGCCAAGTAGGAGATTGAGATGTATCCTTAATTTGAGGGTCCAACTGGTTTAAACATCAAGCCAGGGCTCAATGTATCATTTTGGGAATCATAATGCGGCAGAAAAACGTTCAGCATTTTGTACATACACCTATTCGTCTGATGTTTATATTTTTTCTCTTGTCGGTTTTCTCTCTCCCCCACACCCTGGCTGGGCCCAGTGCTCTACCGTCATCCCTACAGTGGTCTTTGCCACTGTGGATGATCTGATGTATTAGTCGTCGCTAGATCATCCTCTCTGCTGTCTCAGCCCGTCTGATTTGAGAAACTGCCATTCAGCGCCCCTCTTCAATAAGTAGATAGATACAATAAGTAGATAGATATAGTTATGTTTGAATAATGAGAAGGTGCCTACGAACCCACAAATATCAGCACATAAGCTGTAACATTACCATTTCTGTTAAATTTCAACGACATTACAAGGCATCAGAAGATTATTGAGCAACATAACTATCGACCAATGCTCTCATAGCTTCCATGGCAACTCAGGTCACCAATACAACTCTCTTGTCATCAGATACCACTGAATTTAAGTATATAAACAGGCTAGATCAGCAACGCACAATACAAGTTCCGTCTTTGCTTCAGAGCTAATACGGACTGATTAACTAAAAGATGACAAACGGCTTCAGGAATTTGCAACCTTTTATCTCCCCCACATTTGTGGAACTCGCCCGACTATCTACAAGACCGCTATTCGTTAAAGGATGAGCCGAATTTAGTTGTTCGATCCTCAAATCCCTTTAGTAGAGGCTCCTGCTACCTATCCACCACATCTTCTCTCCCTTTGCCCCTCCGCCAAGCTGATACAAACAAAACACTCTGCCCCATCGCAAATATACCATTATCAAAAGCGGGGAACCCAACCAAGGTATACCAATACATAAGATTATCAAGAGCGACCACCGGCCATGACCACGTGCCCCACCCCAATCTAGCATTTTCAATCGGAACGCGCCAGATCCATGTAAAAGCCACAGCAGTAAAGACAACAGCTTGCATCGCCAATCCGCAGATACTTAGAGCATTGCCCGGTGGACTCGATAATTCTGAGCTCCTTGCACTTTTGATTTCTCGTAGCTGCGAGAAAACAGCATATACTACCAACACTGTTACGAGCGGGTTCAGCAGACACATGGAGAGGAAGAATATTCCCGAAGCTAGAGGATCACCGTAGGTGTGATCTGGCGAAGGGAAACCATAGAGGATATCTAAGATTGGAGGGATGATTGATATAGGGATGTAGAGTGCGTATGCGATGATATAGAACGATTTGGAGGGTGTGTGTCGTAAGCAGGCACAGAAACTGGGTTATATGTTAGTTGAGACTTGCTTGATTGTGACTGTAGCCGGGGGGGGTCGGGGGTCGGGTATTACTGACAGTGTAAAAAATGATAACCAGACCACGGCAGTCTGGTACATATTCAGTCTATCTCCAAACGTTGAGGGATCATAGACGAGTGGGATGTTTTGTTCAGGGTCCTTGGCTTTGAGAAGATAGACAAAGAATTTGAATTGCTCTGTTGCGCAGAGGAGGTTCCAAAAGATGTAGTCCGTTGAAACCCCTTTACTGGTCTTTTGTGTCCAGATGCGATGCAGTTGAGGGAGAAACGATAAAGCGGTTAGGATAGTGAGAGCCCTGCGAATTTCCAAGCTTGTTAGTCGTCTTGTGTTTTTTGTTCTTGCTAGTATTGGGACATACACTCGGAGACGATCTGGTATGGGTATAAGCAGCATTTTGGGTAGAAGTATCCCATATGATACATACTGGATAAGTAAGGTACTCGGAGAGATCAAATGGGAACGTTGAGTGGTTTCCCTCGGCTGTCACTACTTGCCTCTTCCGGTATGGCGCCTTTTCTTTGGCCCCCAAGTTTGTTCGACTCGTTTGCCTGTGATATGCTCTAGACAGGCAATATACCATTATTTCAAATGTTATTGAGGGGTTTGAATACTGTCAAGAAGGGGAGTCAGGGCTAAATGGCATTCCAGAATAGGGCTCGGAAACAATCTATGTCCAGCAGGTGACCCCATTCGCAATGGGTTCAAGCAACAGGCCCCAAGATTGTTGGTACCTGGAACTTGCATCAGCTCCGACCATGCGGCTTTGATTTCTTCATCATGCTCTCCTCCATCTCAAGTAACATGGGGAATCGGGACCAGGCAAACTACGCCGCGGCGAATAGCTTTATGGACGCACTGGCCCATCTGAAGGCGGGCAGTAATGAGGCAATTTATGGAGAAAATTGTGCTTAAAGAGAGTCTCTTGTATCAATCTGGGGCTTGTGCTAAATACGAAGGGGCAGTGCGGCAGAGCACTCTTCGGCTTCAAAGGAAGGCATGGACATAGCTGATCTAATTAAAATAAGGCCAGAATCGAAGAGCAGTCCTGCGAAAAGATTCGATCCAATGGCGCGTGTTAAGAACCTTAGATGTATATCCCGGAAACTATGTTCATCGCCATGTTCATTTTAATGTGCCAGACACTAGATTGCACAGCCAACAGGACTTACTTTCCAGACATCAAGTCACAAAGGCATTTTTGTTGCATTTTTGGAGAACATATTGGCTTTCATCGTATCTTCTCTTCTTTTTTTCGGTATCCTCTCTACTTCCCATACTGGCTCACTCTCATTATCTCTATTCAGACACATTGCTCTGCTACATCAAATCCAAATTTCATTCAAGACTTATTTTACTTATTTTAACCCCAAAATAAGTCTATGATAACATATTCGAACCAAAACCCCACAGCCAAGCCTCCCCACCGTGTCGAGAGACTCAGTGCCTGGCTTTAAAAGCATTCGGCTCCGGCAGCGCAGTCGGCGTATCATCACGCTTAACAGTGCGAACAAGATGATCAAACGAAGGAGAAGCCCCAACTCGCGGAGTGAATGGCTCAAAGTCCCAAAGATAGCCCAAAGTGCGCAAAATAGAAGAAGCCGAATAAGAAACTGTCTTTCCATTCGAATCCTTACCCTTCTGCTCAACCAATCCCTTACCAACCCAAGGCGAGATCAGGATAGTAGGAATACGACCACCGAGACGATCGAAGGAGAAAGTGTAGTTCTGGCCGTTAGGCGCAGTTTCGGTGTACGTGAGGTCATCGGGTCGGGCAGCCAGCGGGGGCGGGACGTGGTCATGGAAACCACCCGTTTCGTCGAAAGTGAGGATGAAGAGGGTTTCATCCCATTGGGGCGAGGCTCGGAGGGCATCGTAGACGTTCTTGATGAATGTCTCGCCGTCGGAGATCAGGCCCGTTGGGTGCATTGAGTTTGTGCCGACACCGCAGCAGGATGGGTCGATGAAGCTGAATTCGGGGAGGGTGCCGTTGGCGGCGTCGGAGTAGAAGGATGTTAGGGGCTGGGCAAGGCCTTTGTTGCCGCTGGTGATGGTCCAGTTGTAGAACCAGGCGTCGACCATTTCGGTGTTGGTGTAGTAGTTCTTCCAGGTGTGGTTGGTTTCGGAGAGCTGTTGGAAAATGGAGCGTTGGGTTAGACCGTATTCGTAGAATGAGTCGTCATTGGTGCCATGGCCGGAGGAGGTACCGGAGAGGACGAAGGCACGGTTGGGGTTGGTGGGCTGTTCTTGTTAGGTCTTGCTGGGGTCTATGAGTTTGCGTTTTATACTTACGCCAGGATGGTCGGAGTGCCAGTGGTTGAAGGTCAGGTAGTTCTGCACCAAGGATGTGAAGACTGGGACCTCATCCTCGGTATAGTAGTTGATGACCTGCTTGGCCAGTTCTGTCTTGTCGACATCGTCACCATAGCGGCGCAATTGCTCGTGAACGAAGCCCTTCTGGTGGGGAGTGAGCTTGCCGGAGGCAATTGCCTCGTTACTGGGAGTGAATGTGCCGTAGAACTCAATGTTGTTTCCAGTGACCGAGTGATCGGGGTCATCAAGAATAGAGTCGAAGTCCTTAGCTCCACTGCAAACATGACCCTGAGATGAGTCAGTCAGGTTGTAGGGATTACAGTAGGGTCCATTGTTGATAGGGTTCTCGAGGCCCTTGAGGGTTTGTCCTCCGAGAAGGTTGTCAAATGAGCGGTTCTCCATCTCCAGGATAACGACATTCTTGATGTGGTTCTTGAGGTTCTTGATCGAGGAAGAGGAGTGGGCATTCTGGTGATGTGAAGGAGCAGCGGAGACTGCGGCCGCAAAGGCCAATAGCCCGAGAAGAGCGCTGGGATTCATGATGAATCTGAATGGAATTGATGAGGATTCTTGAGTTCTCGACCTATTCTTTCTGCCGGGAATTGCAGTTTCCTTTTATAGCCATCTAGACTACACATTGTCGGCGACGTCGGCCTTGACACCGAACGACAAGGCATAGGCAATATTTCCTAGTGTCCCACGTGTTATACCCATGGTCGTCATCTCGCTTGCAATCGAGATGCAATCGAGAGGCCGGGCCTGCGGGGTACACACAGGCCTCGAAGCTCGACCGGAGCTTCAACAGATACCCAATTGGGATGCATTGTCTAGCAATTCATTTCATCCGATTGGCAGTTCATTGCGGATTCTTCGATCCCAATGCGCCATTCGTGGGGATTGACAGGCACGCTGCCGGAAAGACGGTGGTGCAATTGCACACCCTTGCAAGCCATGGCCACTCCTCATGACAGCAGTGGGGAGTAGACAAGGCGCTAAGGCTTAGTCTTATGTGCCGAGGCTGTGAAGAATAATTCCGAGCTAATCCTTAAATCAAATCAGAGTAGACGGTTCCTGCTCGTGCAAACCCACCGACAGCCTAGTGGCAAGTGAGCCGGCCATGCCCAGGCTCTAATGTTTGACGAGGCTTGCCAAGATTAAGGTTGTTTTGGCGGATGGATAGGCATGCCTTATGCGATGGTATCAATGTCGATCAACCATCCCGCCCCGCTTGCACGGTTGTGGGAGTTACCTGGGTCAACTAGTATAGGTAAAGTGTTGTTTCTTAGTAACTGCTACTCGTGCTTCGTCTGGCCTTTCTGATTGGACCAGTGTTCCTGATATTCGATTCGATATGTGGAATCATCCTAGAAATCTCATTTATTCTCTGCAGGTTAACATCAGCTGAATGCGACCGATCAATTTACCTCCCTTTGATCCTCTGGCCTCGGGACAGCAGCGAGAACGGTAATCTGTTGTGGGGGTCCAAATCCTTTTTTCAAAGGAAGTTGTTTTCAGACATAGAAACCAAGACATGAACTAGTCAGTTTGGCCGAGTGGTTAAGGCGATGCACTAGAATTATCTACTGAACTGATCACAGTTCGGCAATGCATTGGGTTCGCCCGCACATGTTCGAATCATGTAGCTGACGTTTGATTTCTTTTTGCTTTTCCCGCTACGATCCCCAACCAGTCTCCGGAACGCAACGAACTTTTCTTTTTTCTTTTCGGTTTCTTTCTTTTATAAAAAATTCAATTAGACCCCCGAATATATCTACTCTCATGTCAAGTCTCAGCCCTGAAGACAACATAGCTACATAGGTCATCCGTCGAAATTCAGCCTTTGATCTATAATGATGTAAGTCTGGTGCCGCTGCTATTTATATCTTCCGCTTCACACATAGATCTCAAAGTAAGCCATTCTGGCTCGATGGAATTCATTTATCATAATCTCGTTACAAATAACGGCCCAACCCATACCAAAATCCCGCCCTTGTTTAAATCCCGCCTTTACAACCTTTTTAACCCGAAATTTAACAAAAAAGAACCGAAAAACCACCCATATGCTAGAAACCACTTGCAAAACGCTTAATCAAACCCAAACTGCCCCATCGAGGAACCTAGGGTATCCCATGGAACAGAGGTGGGCCCGATCCAATTCTGCGGTTGCAGCGATACCCCGAAACTACTCTGCATAGTTGGATCACTCGATGACGATGCGATAGTCGGGACTGGAGAATGAGATTGCTGGTGCGAGAGGACATAGCTTTCGTGCATGGAGACCGAAGAAAGATTCGGGCGGAAGTTGGTGAGCATAGGAGTCTGAGTCTCAATCTGGGAGTGTTGGAGTTGGGGGTTGGGTTGAGTGTGATAATAGGTTGAAGCGACATCTCTGTTAGAATTGGTCAGTTTGGTTCCAATGAAGCGTTGAGGGGTGCGAAGAACGTACATGATCTGTCGAATGATGGGAACGGCCTTGCTGCAGAATATACTCCGCACCGAGAGCGAGGCAAATAAGTCTAGAGCTTTATTCAACATGTCCTTGGTTTCGTCGAACTCGGCTTGGTTCTCAGGATGCATGAGCCCAATGGCGAGAACAACGGCTGCGTGGAATGCGTGGAAGCTGCCCAGTCCACTGGTATACCATTTATATGGTGCGAATTGGGAGGATTCCAATAGGGCTTGGAAGATTGAGAGAGAAGCCTTTGCAGATGCCATGCACTTGGCTCTTGCAGCGTAGGTCTCGGGCGTTGTTTCGCCTTGGAGGAAGCGGCATAGACTGGGGCGAAGAAGGAGAAGGAAGAGCTGGTTGATCTGGCTGTAAAGGATGTTGAGATTGGCTTGGTGGTGCACCGGGAGAGGATTTTGGGCAGAGTCGAGCTGATAGCGCGAGTCGCACATCTCTCGAATTGAGACGATTTCAGCCTCGAGTTGAGAGACGGAGAAACGGGATTGAGGGAACGTGAATATCGTTTCGCAGATTTTGTTGGAAACTCTGTATAGGCGGAATGTGAGGAGGAGATAGGTCATTTGTGTTGGTCGGATCGCTGATGGTGAGGATGAAGGGTCGGATGTCATGGATATCATTGGGCCAGTGAGGAGGTCGATGTCGTCAACGTCGGCTGGCATTTTCACATCTTGCATGATCGACTGTTGATCTAAACTTCCGAATGATGTGTTTTGGATTGTGTAGAGCATCATCAGGCCTGCCCAGACTCGACGTCGTTCTTCTCGTTCAATAGGTCCTAGGATAAACCTCTCTGGGTCGATATGGCAGCCCATGGATATGGCGACGTGCTGAGTGAACCCAAGTAATGTCCAAAAAGGTAGCCCACGATGGAGGCGTGCATAGCTGATGAGCACCAGTGCTTGCAGGGAGTTGATTGAGTGCCGAGTCATAACGCTGTCGGCAGCCAGACATTGAAGGGCGGCAGATCGGTAGCGTGCCGATAACAACTTGATATTTCGACTCACAGTCCTTTCCCGGCCAAGATCGGACAGCAGTGGGTCGTCATCATCAAGTGCACTGATTGAGATAGCTAGTATCGCAAAGAGCAAGGCGAGCCAAGACTTTGATACACTGCCAGGATCATGACAGAACTGTTGATACTCGGCTTCAAATGTCAAGTCATGGAGGATGTGAAAGACCTTGGGAATGATAAGCCATCATCTATAACAAACGTACACTTCGACTTACCGGCGAAAATACTCGGAAGTATACCTCCTTCAGCCTATCACAGTATAGACTCGGTGGCAAAATGGCCAACAACTCAGCGCGTGAGATACTGCCGCTTCGAGCGAACGGGATCTGCAGATCATCGTCGTCTACGATGTCCGAATCGGGGCTTCGCAAGCACTCGGCAGCGGGGCTTTTAGCAACAACTGATTCCCACTGCGAAGCAAGCGGCACATAACGCACATGGCCTGAAGGTGAGGTGTGGAGAGTCCCCACGTTACCCAGCATCGGACTTCCCCAAGTGTCTAGTCCAGGGCTGAGATCAGAATCCGTAAAGCTACCGGAGACACTTGGAGGGCCCAGCGGAGACCCGCCTACGGGTGTTCCAGCTTGTGAGTTGACCTGTTTTTGGAGCATACTTTCCAGGTTGCGGATGCGTGCTAGAAGTTCATTCTGCACATTTGGATCTGCGGGTGATGTCTGTTCGGATGATAGTCGAGGCTGGCCAAGGTAGATGCAGTCCTCAGCGCCCAGTCCTCGTCGTACACAGGTCTGGCATGGACGCCCATCACGCGAGCAGCGGATCTTTCGTGTTCGACATGCCTGGCAACTAATGGGTAGGCGTTTCCCAGATGAACGGGAAGAAGAAGCCATGAGAGGCGTCGCGGAGATGCTCGGAGGTCACTCAGTTCCACTTGATGCTAGACTTGGGTTGTAGTAAATGGAACCAAACAAACATGAACGCGCCAGCAATTGACCTGACGGGAAAATGAGACTCGGCAATGAGGCTTGTGGACCAGCGGATACTTTCAGATTAAGGGTCCATCCAAGTTCTGGAACAATGGAAAGAATCCACCTTGACAGGCGGGGGGGCTCCGAGTCTTTAAAGTTAGGATGAGGAAACAGTGTGCGTCATGGCAAAAACTAATCTAGGAATGAACGGACCGGATGGAAAAACATCGGAAGAGGCAACAAGTCAGCTCAGTGGGCTCGCAGAGCTGCAGCGCCATTCGCCCCTTTCTTGAGTTATAGCATGACATTCCTAAATAGACTAGCAGGTACTCGCAACTAGCGCGGAATGGCCGAAGAAGTGGAGCCACCAAAGGCTTCTAGAAAACATCTATGGATCCGCCCGGCCTACAGGCTAGTCCACGAGTTTAGGTTTTAGGGGCATGCATCAAATTCCGATGGAACGCATCCGACGTGAACTGCAGGCCCCCTCCCCCAATGTCGCTAGAAGGACCGTAGACAACAATTTGATTGAATCGACGATCAATGCAGGGGGGGGTGAAGGATTAACCGCAGGGGTTTTGCGGCATCGACTATACGAAGGGCAACGGGGCACCGGAGAATACGCATCAAGGGATGCCGGACAGAGAATTCAACTGCCAAGGCGGTTCGAAGGAAACAAGGATCCCGGGGACCGGGTAGTGGGTAGTGGGTAGTGGGTGCCTGATGACACGACTTGTGTCAGCACAAATTGCCACAAAGGGCCCATGCGATCGTGCCGATCGCATGCTAAAGGAGATCGAGGCTGCACCTTAAGCCACCGTTGGAAAAGCATGACAGCATCTCTGAGCGAAAACTCTGACTTCCCTTTACTAATGTACATACTGTAAGACATAAGTACCCCGGACACGTCAGAGCCAGCTCTACCAGGATGAGTTCATTGTTGCCACAACAGTTTTCCTAGTAGGGCTGAGCTGCCCTGAACCAGTTCCACACGATCATCTGAAAATCAAATCGACTGTAGATCACCACTAGCTGGTCCCCCAACCCATTAAGATGAACATGAACATGAACATGAACTCGACCTCGAAAGCAAATACAAATCATGCAAGGGGCGCCCCGTTCCATTCAACACATGGAGGATCATGTCCCATTTGTGCGAACTATCGGCTCTTAGCGAGGGGCTCGGGCCTCATGTTCCTGAACCCCGGAGAAAACGGAGATCCAGCATACCGGGGAGAAGGCCATGGCCAACATGCTCAAGATCATCGTTGAACGATCATCGCATGGTTTTGTGGCAATTATTGTCCTCCCCGGAATACGAACAGTGAGCGATGATCATCGGTGACAGGGTTATTGCACATGGCGATTAAGTTTTTCGGATAGCCTGGAGATGCATCGGATAGGGAGGCTTGACTTTTTTCAGATCTTTGATCCCGTGTCTGATTGGCGTGTTTGACATCCGTGTTAAATTGACGGGACTGAATTCCGTGATGCATATTTGAGGCAAGGCCGGAAACCCGGATGTATAGGGGGTTACGGAAACGATCCGAATGGGGGTCTGTGATAGAGCTGAAACAACGACATCCTAGCACACTGACCTCTGTACCTACTACCTAAAAGGATGATGCCTGCCTATAGCTTTCAAAGTACGCGGCTGACAAAAGAAGCAGAATCAAATATGCAGCGACATCAGGAAGGTGGCATTTTAAATTCCACGCGACCTTCCTAGTTGGGAAGGTGGCTTACTGCAGGCTACGACGTCTTCATATCAGGAAGTCTTCACGAATTTCGGTACTTTTGTCAGTCATCTTTGAGTACCTAAAAAATTGCAACACTGAAAAGACAAAGGCCAACGCTTTATCCACAAGGCTTCAGCTACCGGGCTCGAAACCCAGGATTTCAAGGCCGCTTCGGTACTGCCGATTCGAGGTGATCCGCTTTGCCGACAATTGAAGTGCCCTTGGTGTCCTCGTCCGCCAGAACGACACGGTCGCCGAAAGATGCAGCGACTTCCTCGAGTGTCTTCTGCTTGGTTTCCCTGTAACGGTATTAGTGTCATGTCATAGTCAATCGTCGGGCTCACTGACGGGAAATAGAAGTAAGCGATGACGAGGAAGAAGAATGAGCAGGCTACAAAGACATAGTAGTAATTCTGCTTGATGTTGGCGAAAGCACTAGGTCCAGCCTCGGTGACTATCGAGATCTGTCAGCGGTGAGACTTCATGACAGACTTGTCCTACTTACGTGCAACGTTGACGATGAAATGGGAGGCAGCGGCGAGACCCATGACCTTGCTGCGTAGAGCAATGGGCAAAACCTCGGCACCGTACAGCCATGTCGTACTGTTCAGCATGCCGTCTAAAGAAAATCGTATTAGCCCGACAATCAAGTTTAGATTTCGATAGGGAACTCACAGTAGCAGACGACGAAGAGGTAAATTCCTAGAATAGCGAACCCCTTGCCGACACGGTTCTCCGTATCCTGGAACTCCATCTGCATAATAGCGGCATAGATCTCAATGAGAACGATACCACCCAGACCCGTGAGGATCATACTTTTTTGGTCAGAGGCGGACATGATATCAATTGTGGAATAGGTTCACTCACTTTCGGCGACCCCACGAGTCAGTCAGATACTTCGTGGTAATAGCATTAGATAGGAATGCAATGGTGCCGTACACACCAGCCAGAGCAAGAATCATATGCGCGTCAATTCCAAGCGACTTGTATAGAATAGCTGCGAGATGGTAAGCAAGAATCAAGTATCCGCAGGCGAAAGACCCACTCTGATAATACTGGATGACATTGACACCCGTCAGACTCGTCATAGTCTGCACTGCAATAGACCTAAACCGTTCAATTAGCATCAAGCCTCAACATCCCAGTGAAGAAGAAGATATACTCACACCAAAACCCGATGTCTAAACAACTTGAAAATTTCCTTGACAGACGTAATCTCCCTCTCCATCTCATACTCAATCTGCACCTGCATAAGCTGGAATTCCTCTTGCACCTCATGCGCTTCGAACCCGCGCCTGATCCTCGTAAACTCGCTCCTAGCCAACTCAATCTTCCCATTCCGAATCAACTGACGCGGAGAGTTAGGCATAAACGTAGACAGCCCGATGAACATAATAATTCCCCAGGGAATCTGAATACCGAGCGGTAGACGCCACTGGACGGGGCCGTAGGGCGCATAACTGCACGCGAAGCCAACCCAGTTGGATGCCATCGTGCCGAAGGAGATACCGCAGCCTGAGATACCGCCGATCAGACCGCGGTAGCGAGGGTCGGAGATCTCACTGAGGTAGATTGGGACTGTGGCGACGAGGCCTCTGAATTTTAGGGTGAGCATTCCTGTTATAGCCGGAAGATGAATGGATGGATGGTGGTTAGGGCTAGGATAAGACTTACCCGACGGCGAAGCCGGCTAGGACACGGCCTGCTAGGAACATGCCGATGTTGACAGAGGCGGTTTGGATAACGGTGCCGATAGTTACGATGATACACATCAGTTGCATGAAGCGGATACGGCCGAGTCTGTCGCCGATAAATGTTTGTGTTAGGGCTCCGACTGCTTCGCCGGCGATGTAGACTGAAACTACCTGTATACCTGTCAGTTCACAGGTATTCTAGGCTGATAGAGGGAAGTGGATTTGACATACAGCGCCGGTGAGACCCTTAGAGGGGTTGTCCATATACTTGATCCAGCTTCCATGGGCGATGGCTATATAATGGTCAGGCTGTGATGAAGGCTCATGATATGATATGAGTTACTCACTGGTTGTAGCAATGCCAGTATCAAAGCCCTGATTCAGTCAGCCATGTCATCCATGAAAGCCCGGGTAAACCCCAACCAAAGTCAGCAGAACACATACAAACAAGAACGTGCCAATGGCAGCAAAGAAAGCGATTCCCAAGGAATACCAGATCGCCATGGTGAAATTCGAGAGCTAGGGACAACCCAGCAATCGCAATACAAGGTAAATCAGGATGAGAAAAGAGAGAAGAGCAGATCTCGAGCAGGACACAGGATTATCTACACGGTCAATGTCCGAGGAACCGAGGGGGCGTGACACCGCATCAAGAGTAGTGGCCCAGCCATCACGGTCGGAGGAGAGCCGAGTTGGCAATGATTTTCTGGGGGATGCGGGGGAAGACCGGGGCAGATGGAACCGACAAATACGAGATGTACGAGATTTAGCCTCTCGCAACTTACCAAGGATCCTGCCACATCCTCTCCCTAGGTTTAGCCACTACAGCAGGACTCATTTAGCGTTTCTGTACTGGCTTCTGGGCGTGGGGGTGCGGGGGTGCGGGGATCAGCAAGGCGAAATGTGCATTCCACGGTTCGGGCAAGGCATGTCCCTATTTATCTGCATGATTCGATGACGGCAGTGAGATTACTTTGAGGCTAGAGATTTTGTTGAGTCTTACTTGGGTTGTTTCCCGTGTGGTTGTGGAGATGGACTTCATTTGGAGTTTGCTTTGCCCTCGGCACGAAGTCGTCGTTGTCTGTGCGAGCATTGACACCGAACACCACGAGCCACTGGCGGTGATGAGTAACTAGATATGTTGGAATCCAATTCCTTACTTTCATACTGAGCAGTGACTATGTTTCATGTTGAGATACGTAGATACTGTAGTTGCGTGCCTAGTTGGGCCGGTGACTACTCGCTGTTTACCTGGGCCAGTGACCACCGAGATTGGAATCTGAGATCACACGTAGACAATCTCCAGGACCGAACAGGATCATAATACAAGCGCCCGAAAGAAGCCCCTCGACTATGGGGGTGTGGCCTAGATCGGACACTCTCCGAGTAAATGGAAATGACCCCCCCCCCCCCCCCAGTCCGGGGACACAAGGTTTAAGACCAAGACCACAGGGCTAGAAGCGTCGGTTCAACCAAGGCTGCGCACTACCAATCGGCCAAAGAACTACGATCCAGAGAACAGACTCATAAAATGGTAGTCGTTGAGTGTTTTGAAGGTATGAATTCCTATCTCATTTTTCCATTGCCACCGTCATATGACCTCCACTAAGGCAGCGAAGCGTCTTGTGCAATGCAGGAAACCCAGAAGCCGAACAAGGAAATCGAACGCTTAGAAGACAAGAGCGGCACCCTTGGTCTTCTTGTCACCACTGTAGAAAGAAGAAGATTAGTATCAGCCGCACAAATCGAAGGATGTGTCATGACGTACCCCAACTCGAAGTGCTTGCAGCGCTTCAGGGCGAGCTGCTTCTTGGCCTTGCAGGCAGTGCACTCGAGGCGCAGGACAACCTTCTTGGTGGTCTTGGCCTTCTTGTGGAAGACGGGCTTGGTCTGACCACCGTAACCACTCTGCTTCCGGTCGTAACGACGCTTACCCTGGGCGAAGAGGGAGGCCTAGGAGAGAGATATCAGCACTTGCGAGTCTGCTGGTATTCATCGGGAGGTCTCACCTTGCCAGCCTTGTACTGGGTGACCTTGTGCTGGGTATGCTTGTGGCACTCCTTGGACTTGCAGTAAGTCCGGCGGGTCTTGGGAATGTTGACCTAAACGCGGAAAATCCGTAAGCTTCTGTTGTGCGTGCGGTGATTAAATGTGCAAGTTGTGTGTCTGAAGTCCGGGATAGAGGTTTCGCCGTCACGTCAGTCGCAGGTAATGTCCGTGTCGAAAATCCATTGTGCGCAGGCAGCACGGTGTAGACACGATCGAGATTCTTGACCGTTCAGTCTCTGAATTTTTTGTGTCCTCGGGTTCTCGATCGCACACACAGCGCGCACCTCGGGTTGCCATTCGTTCAGATTGATGTTTCGTTGTAACCGGCTTTCACGTCGTCAAATTTTGGATCAAATACCGCCAGAGGTGTCAAGCTGATTGCTGCCGTTCGTGGTGTTCGCGACGTTCGGTTGGTCTTCGTTGACGGTCTCGAGTTCGGCCACACACACACATCAAATTCCTCGCACAATACCTCCGCCGACGGGACAAGATTGGAGAGACCGGGACTTCAGGACACATTGATTTGGAGCATAGAGAGCAAAAAGCCTTACCATTTTGACTGACTTGCCGGGTAGCGGGTGGTGGTCGTTGAGTTGTCGCTTGTCGGAGAAGTCTCAAGCGGATGGTTGGGTTGTGGGATTTCGTTCGCTTAGGCCCTATTCGGGTGCGCACTAAACCACTTTTGGCGGTCACCACCAAGAATTCGATGAGTCATCATGTGCACGGACGGTGTTTCCCGATTGGGAGCTCTATCTATTCATGTTCGATTCTATGTGCTCATTGCTATGGAAATCCCTGGCCGATCAGGACCTTTTCTCCCGTTCCATACCATGCTACGCCTTTGTTAAGTTCCAGGCCTTGTTCTTGCCCAACAGTCCACTCGCCTCGTGAGGGATGCCCAAATCGTTTCCAGTCATTTGATCGCAATTCCTGGTTGATGTCCTCGAGTCTCTCAACAAGCTTGACTACATTCCCTTCAAGAGCGGCTAGCTCTTCTTCATGTGTAGATCCAACAGGAATGACCAAGCGTGCAATTGTAATATGCGCCGAGGGCACACAATACCGGGCCCCAATCTGGCAACCAGATTGAGTGACCCGGTCGTAGAGGTCTCTGCGCAGGTGGTGGTAAGAATAGCTGTCATTTACAGCCTCATTCATCTTCCCTGCGTCTTCGAAGACAGGAAGGAAGCTCAGGGCCAGTGCAGAGGCGTCATAGCTGACGACCGGGCGCCCAAGTCGAGCACGATGTGTGAGGGTGTAGTTCACCAGTTCCTGTAGCGGCGCATTGGCTTGGAGAAATGCGGTGACCTCATCAACATCTGGCTGTTTCTTCCCGGAAACCATTTCAAGGGTGGTCATGTGCAGATTCTCTGCAGGCATAAACCAGAGACCTGTAATCCTATTAGTATGGAACGGCCCCTTTGGAGGAATGAAAGAGACTCACAAGAGCCCGCTACTGCTGAGATCTCTCGCTGGATATCGGAGACAAGTTCTCTGATATGATGAGGCGGCCGAGTCCAGAAGCCAAGGTTGTGCCTGGGATCGATGTACTCGACCAAACCCTTTTCAGCCTTCAGCACGTTGTGCAGGATCTCATCAAATTGCCATTCTCGAAAAGCGGGGTTTAGGAGACGCTCTTTGATCTGTGCGTTTCGGTCTGTTCGATGCTTCTCATAGGCACATTGGAGTTGTTTCTGTTCACGTCGTCAATTTTGATGTTTGCACAGTGGCTCAAACACGGCTTACCGGGTCGTTCTTACACGCCGTGATCAGCTGCTGGAAAGGATTCGCTGGTGCTTCCTGTGCATCTTTGATGGTCATAATTGATTCAGTCCTCACTATTGATCAATTGTTGAGAATAATCCTAAGGCTGCACCCCTTGAAGAGTGGCGATTTCATAACTCGCGGTGAGTAGGTCCGGGCGTAGCGGAGGTCATTTGAGACGATAGCCGGTGGATATATATAGCACTCAATGCTCTCTATCAATCGATGCACCATACCAGACAGCACAACTAACACACAAACCTTCCAAAGGTTTATAAAAAACCAATAGCTCAAGAAGGTCATTTACTGGAGTTTAAAGTAGCCTACTTGTTAAATGTTGTGAAGCTACAATCCACCAATGAGAATGCGAAGAAGTAATGTCGCTCAAAGAAGCGATGAATGTACATCTGAAATTCGATCTCTAGACTACTAGCAGAGGGAGTTTCTACCTTCAAGACTAATCTCGTCACTGGAAACAGCCAAAGAAACATGAAGAGCCTTTCAGGCTCGCCCTCAGTATCAATCAGGCAATAAGGCCACGGGCCCCACCAAAACCCCGCCAACGCGGCTCTCTCTTTGCTCCAAGACACTCATTTATCTCCGAGCTCCCTCTCAAGCCCCAGACAAACCTCCCTCTCTATCCCAAATCACCACCGAGTGTGAAAGCCCCCAACCAAAATGTTGATCAAGTACGTTGCCGACCCTACCCTCCCCACCTACAATTGCATCATCGAGGACCTCGACGCGGAACACCTGAAAGACACACCGCTTACACGGAACCCTTCGCAGAGTCCGCACCCTTACCGGAAAGGAGATCGAGCTTGATATTGAGCCTGACTACAAGGTGAGAGATACCCACTATTTCGCGGAACGAACAGACATGGGACCGTCAAGCTCTAAACGCTACATTTGTCCGCACGCAGCAGCAGCTAATATAAAGCGATGATACTAGGTCTCCCGGATCAAGGAGCGCGTTGAAGAAAAGGAAGGTATTCCTCCGGTCCAGCAGCGTCTGATCTACGGCGGAAAGCAGATGTACGTCACCACGAACTGAAAATACTTGCTAAAACACTCAGGCTGACCTATGTGTGCTAGGGCGGATGATAAGACGGCATCGGAATACAACCTCGAGGGCGGAGCTACGCTGCATCTTGTCCTCGCCCTGCGTGGTGGCTGCGATGCGTAACCAGGTTTGCCGATTAGATACCACCTTTTTTTACAGCAAGAGCAATACGATTTTACATTGATGGTTACCGGCGCATAACTTTGCATTTGAGATATGGGGTAATGGGAATGGGGGCATGAGTGGCCAAGTGGGTTGCGGAGCTGGAACGGCGTGAGGCGCATTCCATAGCTTGGGCTCCTGGATTGTCGACGAGATCTGATCGGGTCATTGTCTTATTGAACAGCTAGGTCGGGCTTAAAGTCACGATCTTGCTCACTCCTACTTGTCCGCATACTATACCCAATCCACACGCTCAAGACCCTATTATATCGACACGAAAGAAGCCCATGGGTCTTCTGTCTAGTGAGAAACCAGTGAAGAATATCATTCGAACTATTCTCGAGTATGTCCAGCATAACACGACATAAGGCCCCAGACCTAAAATCATATCCCTGAACCAAAATGCAAGCCACAGACTGATTCACCACAGACAAAAAGAAACTCACTTAGATCAAACTCCAGAATATGCAATATGTTCACAAGCAACATGCAAGTGGGTAGAAAAGAACGCTAAATGAAAAACAATAATAGAAAGAGTCAAATCTTAAAGCACCCGCTTACGCTTCGGACGAATGAAGATATCGTCTTGTCGCTTGCGAACAACAGCGGGACGGGGGGCATTCGTAGATGTGGAATCAGACGCGGAATCACCGGTGGCTGAAAGTTGAGGCGAGTAGGAAGAAGTCGGGTGAGGCGAGGTTGCCTGACGCTTGGGAATGGGCTTCTTGGCCGGAGAACCCACTTCTCTGGAGGTGACTGGGACCTTTCGGATCTCACCCGCTCCATGAGGCATAGGTTTTCCAGAAGTGAGAGCCCTCAACCGCGCCTCTCGCTCAGCTAACGAAGACCCCTTATCATCACCCTGCGCAACAGGCGCCTTGGCTTCGTCCCTCTTCGGCGCAGACACAGGCACCAGATGATCCTCAATCAAAGACCTCGGTGCCTGCCTAACCTGACTAGCCTTAGTTTTCAAATGCTTAGTCGGCATAGCCAAACTAGTATTCCTCCTCTGCGGTGTAAAGATAGTCGACTTCCTCGGCTGCGCATTAACAACCCTCTGACGAAAACTAGGCCCGATGCCACCGATTCGTCTAGCCCTCGTCCCCGAAATGATCTTCGGCGTCAACCTGGCGCGCTCAGACTGGATACCGTCGATGGCCATCTTCATTTTCTCGGCGTCCGCGTCTAGAGAGCGTTGAACCATTTCGCGCAGGTCGCAGTAGATTTCGTACCATTGGGTTGTTCGTTGGGGTAGGTCGTAGGTATCCCATTGGGGGATATCGCGCTTGATGAATTCAAGCCATATTTCTTGATCTTCGGATGCGATATGTGGGGACAGGAGTTCCATGGTGTGCTGGGGGGTGGAGTTGAGTTAGGGAGTGGTCTCTTTATGAAGTTTAGCTGTAGGTGGTTGGGTCTGACGTACCAGTTTCTCTGGGTTGTCGACTTTCAGTAGGATGGGGCGAGCTAGGGCATAGGGGAGGCTGCCGATGTCGTTTAGTACTGCATGTAGAGGAATGTATTAGTAGGTGTTTGTATATAAACCGATTGTTGTCTGGTGTGCTCACCTTTGACGTGTTTGATCGCTGTGGCCGTGGCCAGGTGTTTGAGTGACGGGGCTGGCATGACGGCTTATAACGGTAGAAAGCTCGACCGGAGTTTACAGCAATGAAGATGTCACATTGAAAGATGAAAGCGTAATCGAAGGGACAAGGTAGACAGCTCTTAGACTCGGGGTGTAGGGAAGCAAATAGACACCTTGAGGCAAGTGCTGCGGGACGGCGGATCCCCGAGCTTCGGGTGGGTCCTCATCGGTGTGTGATTTGCAGCCTTAAAGGGATATTCATATCTCCCTTGGTTTTATAGGCAGACTCTCTAATGCATTACCCAGAAGTAATATAGCCCAAGTTACGCTAGTGTTGCCCTGTTCCAAGGGGCAAGGGCTACATGATGCGAATGGTAAAAAGGGTCGTAGTCAATCATAGAAGGACCGTTGCGAAGAGAATCGAAATTGAGACGAACGTCAGCCAAAATCGAGGATTTTGTGCAAGCATCATTAGCGAGGATCTACACTACTAAGCGTTACAATCTTCCAAATCTCTCGGATATTTTCTTGCTCGAATTATGAGACTCAAGCACGTGAGGCCCCTCGTGCAAACACAGCAAACAATTACGATCATGAGGGGCTCTCCCTGATATCACGATTTCCTATGATTCGGATTTCCAATCAATTAATTGAAAAGAACAGAAAGGTACGTCTCATGTTCGAACCGATTTGATATTGCCAGCGCTGCATATTCTATTGGAGAAGATGCCGTCATGCATACATAGCATGCAGCTCTCTGAAGCTCACGACTGACCCCCGAACAGATCAATCACAATGCCTCGCTCCCAGCTTGAGATTACGACCTCTTCGGTCATCCGCCTCGTCAAGGAGGAGGCCTCTTACCACCGTGAACTGCAGCAGCAGACTGAGCGCCTCGCCAAGATGGAGAAGGACGAGAGCAACGAAGACGAGAACAAGGAATACGTGTTGAGACAGGAGGTATGTTGAGACTGTTAATCCTTTTATTTAGATCTTTGACTAATTTATTTCAACAGCGTCGGGCTCTGGAGGAGACCAAGAAGGTCATGCCCACTTTGAAGAAGAAGATTGTCGAGACCGTGGCTGACCTGCAGAACCTCATTGTGAGTCCAGCCACAGCCGAAACATAGTGGATGCGTTATACTAATTATCTTTGCAGACCGAGGAGGGCCAGAAGGGATCTGAGAGCAATGTCGAGCACATCACTGCCGCCAAGGAAGCCATCGCCCAGGCTAAGATCGCAGAACGTGAAGTGTCCTAGGATATGAAGTTTTAATACCCAAAAGCAATCAAAGTTCAAAACTCAATTCAAAATGCATAGAATCTAGACCCGAATGACCAACGCCTTGGTAAACCTAACACCATGCTAGTAATGTACACGCGTAGAGAATGCTCATGAGATATCCATCTTCTCGCGGTAGTCCGGCAGCTCCTCGCCTTCTTCTAATTCCGATTCCTCCCCCTCCTCTACTTCACCCTCATCCACCATATTCGTATCCTCTGCAGGTGATTTCCCTTCAGCTGTAGTCACCTGCCGCAATGGCGAGACTCCCCGGACATTGCCAGCGGTCTTGTCAATACCTAGCCGGCTCTCATCCTGGATCTGTCCAGAAGGTGTCGCACTATCCTCAGGACGCGGACTGTTAGGTCCGCTAGTCTTGCCCTTGGAGCCAACATCACCATCATCCCCATCCTGGTCTTCCTGCATACCCTCCCGCCGCTCAACCTCCTCCTTCTCATCGCGTATCAACCGCCGCAGCTGCATGCCCTCCTCCACAATACGACCGAATTGCTCGCGTCGCTCGGTCCAAGTCTCAGCATAATCCTTACTCTCCTTCTCCAAATCAGCAATCTCAATTTGCAGCTTTTGCAGATTCGCTTGTTGATCCTCCCGCGGCTTCAGCAGACGATTGCTGGTAATCTTCTCTGCAAGCTCATCATAGCTCTTCCGCATAGCAAGAACCCTCTGTGCCTCCTCGAGCTGCGTGCGCAACTCATTCGTGTTCTCCCGGACAGAGTGCATCGTCTCCAGAATGCGGAGCTTCTCAGTCGCGTAGCGTTGGCGCTCTTGTTCGTTACTGGTGAGAAGGAACTGAATGCGAGCAATGCTTCCTTCAAAGGCGGCGAAGTCGAGGGTCACATCGTCGCGGAAATGGCGCCATTCTTCCAGGCGCTTTTGCTTTTGGGCTTCGGCTGCTGCGGTCGCATCGGGGTCGGCGTCTTCGGGGGGTGGGGTGAGCGTTTGTGAGGGGGAGACGACAAATGATTCAGGGTTCAGGAGGCGCTTGGAGATTCGCTTGAAAGGCTTTTCTTCGACGTTGAGGAGGCGCGACTTATGGAGCGCATCTGCGGGAATGTTAGTCTGGGAGCTGGGTGATTGGCTGCGATGAAATGGACCTTCTTCTGGCTGGCCCAGCAGGCCGTAGGAAGCCATAATTGAGATATAGAGATTGGAGGCCTCAAGATACCTCAGGGCTGAAACGGAGGAGTCGACGCGTAGGGAGAGGGGGGTGAAAGGTGACGTGGGGAGAATAAGAAAAGTCAAGGTGAGCGGTCTGCCGCCCGTTAACTCTAAGCTGCTTCCCCAGACAATCGAGGAATGAGGAACGTTCACTCCACTTGTCCGCGATCCACCGTGATTTATACCTAGGGATTCATCGATATTTTTGCTGTGACCGAGTTGGTAGCTCGCTACAGACTTTACTCGAGAATGCCCAGCTGAAACTACGCCTCCGTCCTTGACCAGCGCGTCTGCTATCCTCGTGACTGGGTACCCTTGCGCTTTGCGGACTGCACCCTGATGGAATTTGCTGCCTGGGTATTGTCGACTGGCTTCTCGGTTGCTCGGTCGTCTTTACCCTTGCTGCGTGCGTTTCCGCCACCGACATGACGGAACTGTACTCGGGGCTCCACGTGGGCCAACGGTTTACCTCCCTGGAAGATTTCAAGACGGTCATACGAAGTATATCGGTCAGACAACATTGGGAGCTTCGGGTGATTCGAAGCAATAAAAAAAGTGTGGTTATTGGCTGCCGTTCTGGGGCCAATTGCTTCTTTCGCGTGGTCTGTCGGTCGAACAAGAACTCGACCTACATCACCAGCCTTCAAGACAACCATAGTTGCCGACGGGGTGAAGCGACAGCGGGCATGACTCCTGCGCGCTCTGAAGCCTCGCATGTGCGGTTCTTGCTTAGTGAAATACCCAAGCTGTTCGACATGAACACCAGGATCAAAGGCCAGGAGGTCGTCGACGCTGTCAAGCGATACCACGGATATGACATCTCTATGAGACAGGCTCAGCGCGCATTGACAAAACTGCAGCCACGGCAAGCAGATAGCCAAGGCGAGCAGTCACTGGATCTGGATATGAGTGCCGTTGATCAGCACTCACCTGCGCACTCTCAGCCTGAATCGCAAGCAAGTGCAGGGCCAGCATACCGTGACATATCGGAGAATCGCTGGATGCAAGAGCCTTTGCAACCACCACTGATTGACGATACTTCTGTGGATCCAACCGAGTCCTCAACCAACCACTCCAATGCACCAGCGGCAGCTCAATCTATCCGGTCATCTCAGATAGCACAAGCGCCGGGCCAGTCTGTTCTGGGAAACCCACGCCCTATAACGGTATCCCAATCAGGCGTTGGATACTCAGCAGGTCCTGCTCTACCAATCGCGGCCCCAGGGCACCCTAAACCCTCAGACTATACGCAACGCAACGACCACGGCGTCCCGCAAATGGTGCTTACGAATTTCAAGATTGAATTTACTTGCACGACCTGCGGCTCTCTGAACCAGAGCTTTTTTCCCAACCAGGGCAATGTTACAGGAGCTGGCTACATGCCTCACCCCTCCGTGCCAAACCAGAGCGCTGTCACGAGACATCCAGGTCCTGCTCCCCCGAATGGACCAGGGACTGGCAGCCACGAAGTTGCTGAAGATGGCGGATACGCTATCAGTGCACTGAGCGCCCGCGACATGCATAATGCATGGGCTGCTGGTGGACTAGGGGTTCCTATTGATCCGAGTAATACCTAGGGCTTGATCCTCAAAATCAGATCATGCAACTACGGGATCCCATTTCTTGTTACCGCAAGAGGCCACTTCAGCCCGATCGTAAGCAGCATCGAATGGCAGATTCCGGAACCCAATGGCTGTGAGAAGATGCTGGTCCTCAGGGATATGCTTCATGTCTATCAATTTGGGCCAAGGTTTCCTCAACAGAAGTCCAAAACCTGGATTACTCGCAAGATGTTAGACTTTGCATGGTTGACACTTGTTTCACATACTCTGGATAAAAGCAGAGTTCAAACAGTTACGATAATGACGAGACACGATATTGGATGTTGATTGATTCCCCTTCTTTCCTTGATACCAGTTTTGAGTCAAACATCTTTTCCCCTCGATATTTAACTAGTTTTCATCCAGCTTTCTGATGGCGTTTTGCTTTGAAATTGATGTCACCTACCCTTACTACCGATTGCTTCAGACATGAACTTGATACTCGACACTAGGTCCAAATTGGCTTCCAATCATATATCACCGGCTACTATAGCCTTAGGACGTATAACTAAATCGGACTTAATGAATCATGCCTAGGCTACCCTTGGATTTTCCGGTTTCGAAGGGAAAACACTGCGTTCGGGGGCCCGCTTCTCCACATTTTGCACGCTGATCTTCCCCACCCCCAGGATCTCATCACTTACATAGCTAGACAATTCGCTTAGAATTACACGAAATACGTGGACTCTATCACCAAAGGAGTGATGCACGGACATAGTTTCATTCGAACCAGTCCAAGGCCATCGATCGCTCGGACAAGGCTCCCGGTCCCGCCAATACGAAGCACCCAGCTCTTCATAGCTCACAGCCATGGGGTTACAAATATTACTTAGCAGTGACCATGGGCCTTGAAACCCCAAATTTCCAAGCCTGACTCCTCACTTAGTTTACATTGAGCCCACCGGCTCGGCTAAAAACATTCACCAATCAATTCACAAAGCTCATTCGACTCTTCCCCACGGGCATACTCAGCGTCGATCATGGGACTGCCAGACTAGACCTTTAAATCCCTGCGAGTCAAGCCCGACTCCGCATGGCCCCACAAAGTAATGTGCAATGGGGGCGTTCAAGCTGCGCCAGCTCGAGGACGGTAGTGTCCGGCTCGTTTTGCAATTCTCCTATAACCCCTAGACGTGCTACACCACTGAGAGCCTAGATTTCCCGATCTATCAGGCCAAAGCGTGATAAATTGGTATTTATTATCTTTGAGGATTCGATATTCATTTTGCTTCAGAGAACCTAAAGGTGGAAAATCTACTAGCACGATGGCTGAGAATCAGAAGAGTGGCCTTCGGCTCCATTGGAAGTCGCTCGCGGCTTGCTCGTTGATTTCAATGTCGCCGTTTCAGTATGGTGTTGATTTCACGCTTATTGGGGGGTTTCAGGCAATGGTTGGGTTTTTGAAGGTGACGATTTCTTCTTGCTGCAACTTCATTATACGACAGATCTGATGTTTGTTTTCTGCAGATTTTTGGAGAAAAGGATGATGAAGTTTCACTTGGATGGAATATTCCTTATGAGCGCCAGCAATTGATTTCGTCGCTGATGACACTCGGTGCTTTTGTAGGTTCATGCTCGGCAGGTATGATGCACATCACCAAGCTTTGATGCGAGAGCTGACAGAAGTTAGGACCGATTTCAACATTTATGGGCCGGAAAAGTGCTCTTTATGTCTCAGTTCTCTTGATCTATGTAGCCAACATTGTAATGATGACCACAGACACCATCGCTGGTCTCTACGCTGGTCGTTTAGTTATCGGACTGGGTAACGGGCTCCTGATGACGTTTTCGCAGCTCTACATTCAGGTAGATCCACTCCATATTAATCGATCAGCACCAGACAAAAAGACTAAGCAAATCTTCCACAGGAGTGTTCCCCAGCCCGCTACCGTGCCCTAATGCTGGGCGCCTTCCAATTCTGGACCTCCTTCGGCTCCCTCCTCGGCACTGTTATTGATAATTTCACGTCTAAGATAGACGGCAAGAACAGTTACATCATTCCTCTTGGTGTGGTGTTCATCATTCCTGCATTCTTATGCGCAGGCATGTTCTTTATCCCAGAATCCCCACGCTGGCTTCTACAACAAGGAAAGACTGAAGAAGCTCGCAAGGCCTTGGTGTGGTTGAGACCGGATCAGGAGACAGCGGGGAAGGAAATGGAGGATATCCAGCATGCGATTGAGTTGGAGCATAACCTTGCTAGCGGTACTTCGGTTTGGGACATGTTTGCGAATCCTGTTGATCGTCGGAGGACGATACTGGCTGTTGCTGCTATTAGTACGCAGGCTGCTTCTGGCGCTATGTATATGATTGGTAAGTGTGGAAAAGACTGATTGAAATATGGCTTTGGGTGCTTTGAATGACGCTGACAGCTTGCGAACAGCATATGGAACATATTTCTTTGAGATGGCCAATGTTGGAAACGCTTTCGAGAACAGCTGCATTCTCACCGCGGTGGGCGTGGTGGCTATTTTGATCAATCTTGCCGTGGTCACGAGAATCGGTCGCCGGAGACTATTTTTGACTGTCGGGCTTATTTTCTGTGGCTTCAGCCAGCTAATCGTGGCTGCGGTTTATACTGTCCATCCGGGAACCCAGGCCACAGGCAAGGCGATTATTGGACTATCCGTGCTCTTCATCTTTGGTTATAATGTAAGTGGACTCCGGTAAGTGCGGGCTTGGCCCAGCGGTGTATCTGACTCCTAATATAGGGAATGATCTCAACTTACGCATGGGTATCGGGCGGTGAACTTCCGTCTCAACGACTTCGATCTTACACATTTGGATTCGCTGCAGCTATTGGGTTCTTGGGAGCAGTAAGTATTTCAGCAGGAAATAATACACAACCACAGAAACTGACCCGTGTCACTCAGTGGCTAACTACATTCACCGCACCGTATTTCATCAACCCCGGTTCGCTTAATTGGGGGTAAGAAAAATCCAATGCCCCAATAACCATTCGCAGCCTAGACTAACACCTCAACTCAGACCAAAATATGGCTATATCTGGTTCCCATCTTGCCTCATTTCAGCAACATTTATCTTCTTCTTTCTACCAGAGGTCAAGGGCCGTACGCTCGAGGAAATTGATGAAATGGTCAGTCCCAGTCTTTTTATATCTTCTTTGTGTCACTAACGATAGTGTCTAGTTTGAGCAACGCCTTCCTGCCCGCAAGTTTGCCTCCTATAAATGCGTTGGCCCGGCGGCGCTAGAGGCACGGCGTAAGGAGTCGAGGAGTTTGAGTGACGATGCAGGTACGAGGGCTTCTGCTGACTCGGAGAAGGGTACTACTGAGTTTATTGAGGGAAAGGTGTGAGATGAGCGACTGAAAGAGAGTATGTGTTGTCATCATCGTGTGGATGGCCGTAATTTCTAGGAAGATATTTGCTCAAATTGTACTCCCAAAGGAAGTGCTTCAGATGTTGAATGTTCCAATGGTATCAAATATGTGATTACAATTGCGTTATCTAAAAAATCCGACTGGGAATGATGCTTGCAGTAACGAAGAATTAGATATCCAAAGAAGAAATCTTGTCAAAGCCAACATCACAGAGGGCGAGGATGTGTTGTTTTGACCAGGTACCAAAGAAGTGGCCTTGAGGAAGCCAGATAGCGAGCTGAAGTATTTCTATTGGAGAATCTCAAAAACTGGATGCCTACATGTAAGCCTTAGGTTCTCTCACACACCGTGATCTCAACCTGGGAAATATCACAGTCGAGGATGCAGTACTGGTGGGAATTCTTGATTGGTAATTTTCTGCCTATCTTCCGGTGTGGTATGAGTATATTCCCACTTCCTGGAGATGAACTGAGCAGGATGTGGAATGGAAGAAGCTGCTTCAAGAGCATTTAACTATGCACAGTGATGGACACGAGGACGCAAAGCCTTCTGGACAATCTGCATCATTTGAGAAAGTATCCCAACTTAGACGAAAGGGGCAGAGAAGCTTTAGAAAATTTGTCTTCGAGTGGGGATGCTCAGTGATTCATTAGAACTGCAGGTGTCACCAAGAGGATATTGCAAATCACAAAAAGGACTGAATTACTCAAATAAACAGCTAAAGACAAGGACAAGACTTAGGACTTAATTCACTTCCACCAACTTCCCAAACCTCTCCTCCGCATTCTTCTCCGCATCGAACCTGAAAATCCAATCCTCCCTCGGAAGCTGAATAGACTCCGGATCCTTAGAAACCTCATCCCAATCCGCCTTATGCCACATATCTCTCGTAGTCTCACCTGTCTTTTGCACTGCTCTCACGCGCTCATACCTGCGATCCTACATGTCAAAACGTGCCAAGAATTGCGAATCGGACCAGGGGTTACCTACCGAATGTCTTGATAAGCCCGCACGGAGGCTGGCACATTATCCTTACCACCCCGCTTCAGACACACAGCCAGCACCACTCCATCTTCCATTGCCTGTGTCGCACCTTGGGCGGACGTTGGAAGAAACGGGTGTGCCGAGTCACCGAGAAGGGCGATTCGGCCGTGGTCGCTTACCCATCGAGGGAGAGGGTCGCGGTAGACAAGTTTCCAGTCAACGACCGAGGGTGTTTTTTCTACGATGGCCTTGCAGATTGGGTCCCAACCCTCGATTACTTTGTATACGTCTTCGAGGTTGCCGGGGAAGGACCATGATTCTTCGATGTCGGCTTCATCCTGGTTGACATTCGTTTAGCTGGTTAACTGGGGCCGGGAGGTGAGAGACCACAAACTTTGTGTGTTAAGACCCAGCAGCAGTCTTGTCCATTCTTGATGGTAGAGAATAGGAAGTGGACATCGGGTCCGATCCAACCGTTGAATGTATCGCCGTTTTCGCAGAAATGCTTTGTGCGTGGGTCACGGATCATGTCCTTGTTGGAGAACCTGGTTGAGTCAAGTTGTGAGACTATAAAGTTACATTTGATCAAGATGTTGAACTCACCATGCTCGGAATACAGCGTATCCACTGGACTTGGGCTTGTCGTTGTAGCCCAGCACGAGCTGTCGTGCCTTAGAGCGGACCCCATCTGCGCCGACCACCATATCTGCAGTAACCTGAAGAAATGTCAGACCCAAACATCTCATAAGAAACTGGCGAAACCCACTCTCTGGCCACTTTCGAGAACAATTTCAGCTTGATCCTCATCCTCGAAATACTCAATCACTCTCTGACCGAGATGAATCGGGATACCCAGTTCGTCTTTGGCATAATTGAAGATAATTGTGTGCAATTCCCCTCGGTGACCGTTGAAGGCAGGCGATGTTGGATCGTATTTGGGAGTAGGCTGCGTATGAACGAGTTCACCCGTCCATTTATGAATTTTGAAGCCATGATTCTCCAAATTGATGCTGAGTGGTCTCAGACGCTCTGCAATGGCGCCGTCAGACCAGCGACGAAAGATTCGGCCGGCGTTGGGTCCGAAGGAGATGATGTCTCCCAGCGACTTGAGCTCTGTATTGAGTTGTAAGGGCTGTTTTAGTTCAACTCCTGTCAGTTTTACTAACCAGGAAAGGACTCATAAATTTCCACACTATGTCCCTGGCGATGACACTCAATCGCAGCAGTCAAACCGCCGAATCCTAAGATTCTTAAGTGAATGAACACAGAAACTGGTCTGGTCACATACCAGCACCGACCACAACCACCTCGATTCCAGTCGGCTTGACAAGCTCGCCATTCTCGGGTTCAGAAGCTGACATGATTGGTAATATGTGTTATGAAGATAGTTTACAAGAGATAATAGACACAGAACTTTTTCGAAGAGCCAGTGCTTTAAATCTGGCCAATACTGCATGCATGACCTTACCCCCAAGGAACTGGAATAACCCCGAGTCTCCACGGAATCAGCCAGATTCCAACTGCCGGCGACTATGCTGAAAGCAGCACCGGATCAGGGCTCGGCTTCTTTTGCCGATTCTCATCGCCAATGAACATTCAAGGTGCACGTCACAGAGGGACAAGTGGAGAGCTCTCTTGCGGGGCCCCAGGTGTCTCTGAAACAAAGTGAATCTAGATGGCAACGCCCCGCACCCCGCAGATACTAGTGTCATTTGACATTCCTCAATCATGTGAATTATTGAAGATCGATTCGTTAATGTGTAGGTGGGAATTGTATCGCTTGTGGGGCCATGAAATGCCATGAACTGGGCTTTTGCGGGGTTCCCGTCGAGCGCTGCGGCGCTCGAAATGGCAGTGTCGATGCGGGTGAAAGCCAATGGATAAAGTAGAGCCAAGGGGACGATTCTAGAGATCAGTAACCCCCCAAAGAACAATATGGCTACGTCTCATCTTGAGTACAACGAGAAGACCTCGGCGACAGAAGTCGCTAGTGTTTTTGCTAGTCACATTCGCGACAAGAATGGTAAGTGAGTCGATTCTATAGTTACACGAAGTATAAAATTAACAGATAAAAGTGGTGATTACCGGTGTTGGACCCAATAGCCTGGGCGAAGCTCTTGCTCTAGCCATAGGGAGCCAGAAACCCAGAAATCTGATCCTAGCATCACGCACGAAGGCCAAAGTGCAAGAAGTCGCTGCAAAAGTCCAAGATCTTTCGCCGGAGACCTCAGTTGAAGCTGTAGTTTTAAACCTTGCTTCTCAGAAATCCATTCACGAAGCGGCGTCAAAGATCCAAAGCCTGGTCGACCGAGTTGATACTCTGATTAACAATGCTGGCATGATGGTGCTGGAACGAGAAACCACCGACGAAGGCATCGAAGTCCAGTTTGGAACGAATCATGTTGGTCATTTCTTGTTTACAAATCTGCTTATACCGCAGTTGAAGAATGCTGCCAAAGTCTCTGGGCCTGGGTCAACCCGCATCATCAATGTGACCAGTGCTGGCCATCGGCTGTCGCCTGTTCGCTTTAGCGATTATAACTTAGAAGGGAAGGATGTTCCTATTGATGAGAGGCCACCTGACGGACTGCCTCCCATGTTCAGCACGACAGCTGAAGGCTATAACGGATGGCTGGCTTACGGACAGTCCAAGACAGCCAATATCCTGTTCACAGTGTACTTGTCCCAGCACATGGCTTCTTCTGGAATTGTTTCCTACGGCGTGCATCCCGGATGTGAGTCGGTCATTATTTTGCTTGATTGGTACTAACAACGAGGTAGCAATCTGGACTGGGCTGAGCCGGGGCCTTGATGATATTGGATACGAAACTATGTCGAAAACAAGCAGTTTTTGGAAGAACGCCGACCAGGGTGCTGCGACTATGCTTGTGGCCGCTTATGATCCTGCGCTCAAAGGTAGGAAGAATCTTAATCCCTTTCCATGCCCACTTTAACTTACCTGAGCTAGCTGTCTCCGATCCATCGGAGGTGTATCTCAGTGATTGCCAGTTCGCAAAAACAGCACCTCACGCAGTTAATATGGATTCTGCTGAGCGGTTGTTCCATCTTAGCGAGAAGTTGGTTGGCATCAAGTTTGCGCTTTGATATCACGCCCTACCGGCAGTATCGGAAGCTCCGATGTAATGGCATCTTGCTGAATGCAGAAGCACTTACATGGTCTGGACCTCAATCCTAGATAGTGAAGAACATTACACATCAATTATCTCACCGCTCCCCGTAACTCCCCAGGATTCTAGAACCGTCAAAGCACTAATAATGGACCTGTCACTGTCGCGTGAGACTTTCTCCGATGACTAACTACCGATCGGAGGTCCGAAGTGGCGGATCCGCAATTTTTGCTGCGCACCAACCACATCGACGATGACGCAGAATTGAGCCGACGGCTTTCTGGATCGACGCCCACCGGTAGTCAATTAGGTCAAGATGCAGGGCTTTTTCGACCCCGTCGGAGCCATTTCCGACTCTAATCTTGTTTACGCGGAGGCAGTCTCCAATCGATGTCCAGATAACTTGCCGATGAGCCGGATTGCACTAATGGCTGCAACATACTGGAAAAAAAAATCACCCTTTGTTCCTGGTTCATATATGATCTGGTATCCACCTCAAAATTGCATTCCAAAGGTGTCATCTGTCTCATCTCTCATCTGTCGCGTGTATACCCACGATTTAACTTTCGGCCGAGCATTCTTTCTTTCAGGCTTTCGCAATCAAGTTGCGTACTTTGGAATTTGTGATGTGCCTTGATACCTTCTTAACTCCAAGATAATAAGACGAGTCACCCTGGTCTTAACATTCCAAACTCATCATGAATAGACAACGTGAGGCCGAAAAGGCCCTTCACGACCAAACCAACATCCTACCCTTCGGACAATTGATGGTAGTTTTCACTGGTCTAGCCATCTCGCTGTTGATCACTATGGTCGACCAGAATGGAATCAGTGTCACATTACCAACGATTGCCCGCGATCTAGGAGCCGCAGATACTATTTCCTGGGCCGGAACCTCATCTCTGATCGCCAATACTATGTTCACGGTACTATACGGCCGGCTATCAGATATCTTCGGTCGAAAGATCGTTTACATCTCAGCTTTGTGTTTACTTTGCATTGCCGATTTGATTTGTGGTCTCTCAGTTAGTCCGGCTATGTTCTACGTTTTCCGTGGCTTGGCCGGTGTTGCTGGTGGCGGTGTCACATCTCTCACGATGATCATTGTCTCAGATATCGTCACTCTCGAAAAGCGTGGCAAGTACCAGGGTATTCTCGGTGCTTCTCTCGGCGTGGGAAACATTATCGGTCCGTTCCTGGCTGCCGCATTTATCGAGAAGTCAACGTGGCGAGGCTTCTTCTGGTTGATCTCGCCCTTGGCTGCGTGCTCTGCTGTTGTGGGGTACTTCCTTATCCCGAACAACGCTCGCAAGGATAGCTTCCGGAAGAATATACGCCGGATTGATTGGTTCGGTGTTTTTGCTTCGTCTCTTGGAATCATTTTCATTTTGATTCCCATTTCTGGAGGCGGGTCTTATTTCAACTGGGACTCTGCGATGGTGATTAGTATGCTTGTCATCGGAGGATGTTCTTTTGTTGCATTTTTTTTCATTGAGTGGAAGGTGGCTGCACTTCCAATGCTTCCAGGTATGTTGTTATTTCAATGGTCTACGGAAACGGCCTTGGCTGACTGGAATATAGTCCATTTCTTCAAGAACAAGGTCATCTCGGCTCTGTTCCTGCAGAGTTTCCTACTCGGAGCTGTCTACCAGTCATATCTCTACTACCTGCCGCTTTATTACCAGAATGGACGTGGCTGGTCTCCAATTGTGTCAGCAGCACTGACTGCTCCCATGGTGACCTTCCAGTCGATCGCGTCTGTATGCTCTGGGCAGTATATTTCTCGACTAAAACGTTATGGAGAGATTATCTGGGTTGGCTTTGGCCTCTGGACTTTGTGAGTCTTATCTAATTGACCGTTTTGTGTGCGATTTGATTCTAATAGTTTCTTACAGGGGTGCCGGCTTGACTCTTCTCTTCGATGCCCATACTCATCCAGCTGTTATCGCAGTTATTGTCGCCATTACCGGCACAGGAATCGGGTTCACTTTCCAACCTACTCTCGTCGCATTGCAAGCACACTGTACCAAGTCCCAGAGAGCCATTTCCATCTCCAATCGAAACTTCTTTCGCTGCATGGGTGGCTCTTGTGGCCTGGCTATCTCGGCCGCCCTCTTGCAAGCAACGCTGCGCTCGACCCTCCCGACGGAATTTTCCTACTTGACGAAGTCATCCTATACCCTACCATCGAAATCAAGCGTCACAGATACCCAGTGGGGAGAAATTCTCACTGCATACTCCAAGGCCTCACACTCCGTTTTCATCCTCCAAGTTCCGCTAATCGGTGTCTGCTTCCTTGCTTGCTGCTTCGTTCGCGATCGGGGCCTCGAGCGGGTTAAAGATCCAGAAGAGATCGAGGAAGAGAAGCGAGCACAGGCTGAAAGGGATGCGGAGGCAGCTCTCGCCGAGTCACAGCCTGTTGAATGGGAGCCAAAGGCCGAAAGCCCCCAGTCTACCGCGACAATTGAGAAACGACACTCAACGTCGACGCTCGCGGAGTCTTCTTTGCCTATCTCACACGCTGAACCGGGGCTGGCAAGTCTAGAAGAAAAGAAAACCACCGAGGGTAGATAGAGGACAGAAGATTTATTGGCGTTTTTATTTGCATCTGATTTGCGTTTCTCTCTGCATGGCGTTTGATACCAAAAAGCACATAGTCATTTTGAAGAATAATACTAGCATCGGAATCAAGATATACCGTGAAAATTGTATCAAAGAACCCCTTCCATCGAGAAACACTTCTTTTAGTGGTAAAATGAGGGTAGCATACAAATGTCTTGGCATTCCCTGCATCTGCCGCGTAGACTTTCTCCCCGACATTCTTCCCTCACGTTCACCCCTCCGACACGGACTCGGACAGTGACGTGATGCGCCCTTGAGCGGCCTTGTAATACCATTCTGAAAATGTACGGGCTTGCACATAGCCCGGCGTCGTCCAGACAGACCAGTCCGGCGTCGAAGGACTACAATCCCCGCAAACGCGGGAGAACGGCGTGCACCCGCTGCAAAACGAGAAAACAAAGAGTAAGTCCACGACCAAAGATTTGGGCTGAAACCCCGAATCTAATCTCTATGATGTAGTGCGACAACGAATATCCAACTTGCTCCAACTGTCAGAAGGCGGGGGTCACGTGCGACAAGTCGAGCGTGCGAGAAGATGGTGACCGCGAGAACGAGTGAGTTTACTTGAATGCGATCTTGAGTGTATGAAATGCAAATTTCCTGACTTGTGTCCAGTTACACACGCGCTCTTGAAGAACGGGTGGCGTTTCTCGAGGGGAAACTGGGCCACGAGTCGATCACTGGCCAGAATGTCGGGAACGTCGGGGGCTCAGTCTGGTCACCCCAAGGAGGCCAAGCAACGCCTCGAGCAGCTTCCGGCCTTGAAACCAACCCAGTGGGCGATATTGTAGGTCTCCTTGCACTGAGCTCATCTGAAGCCCCTGCCTATGTTGGCTCAAGCTCTGGCCTCTCCCTAGCCGCCAATCTGGGCGAAATGGTCCAAACCAGTGTATGGAACCAGTTCATCTCCAGGATGCAAGAACAGCAGGCTGCATCATATGCTGGACAAATTCAGAATCCTCCTGGGGGACCGCCTGGGATACCGAGGCCTGAAAGCTGTGCGCGTATTCGAGATCGCCCTAAGAGAATGGAAGAGCTTTTGCCTGCCAATCTAGAGCCTCCATCCAATGAGATGGGATCAAGAATACTTGATACATATTTCCAGCGCTTACACTCTCGGTACCCGTTTTTGGACCGCCGGCAAATGTGGCGCATTCACGAGGAGAGAGGGAGGCTGTACAAGACTAAGCGTGAAGAGCTCTCGCAATCTGATCGATTTGCTATCTTCAAGCTAAATATGGTCTATGCCATTGGTGCTACTATGCTTAAATTGAGCGAAAACGAGAAATATTCATATACTGCGCCTGAGGTAATTCCTGTCTTCAGATTATCAATTATTACTCACTGACGAGTTTCTAGCGATACTACACATCCGCACTGCAATATGTACCAACAATGTGCGATGCTCGTTCTGTTGAGAATATCGAGGCAATGGTACTTCTGGTGGTATATCACCTTCGCACAGCCTCCAGTCACGGAATGTGGTACATGATCGGATTAGCCATGCGAACTGCAATCGATCTTGGTCTCCACCGCAAGGCGAACGAGATCAACCTGGACCCATTCACTACTCAAATTCGAAGGCGATTATTCTGGGTAGTCTACTACCTCGAACGAGTTGTATCAATGTCCCTTGGTCGTCCATTCAGCATCTCCGATCGTCACATTGACCTCGACTTACCACTAGACGTGGACGACGACACTTTAGACCCGGCCCTTCTCACAAACCCCCAACCGCATAGCAAGCCAACATCCTTAACCTTCGCAATTTATCTTTTCAGACTCCGCCGCATCGACTCCCGTATCCAACATAAAATCTACCGCGCCGACCGGCCCCTCTCATCCCTTCGCCCAAAGATGGACCCTCTCTACCTCGAACTTGAAGAATGGAAAGAATCAGCCCTCCTCCGCTTCGCCGGTTCAGACCTCGACTACCCAATGCTCCACTACAACCGCGCCGTTAGACTCCTAATCCAACCGTTCCTCCCCCTTCTTCCAATAACAGACCCATACTACCACATCTGTCTCCGCGCCGCCGGCGAAATTTGCCAAACTCACAAACGCCTTCACCAAACTTTAGAATACGGCCACTCCTTCCTTGCCGTTCAAACCATCTTCATGGCCGGTATCACCCTCCTCTACGCCCTCTGGACCCACACAGACCAAGTCTGGTCCGTCCGAATGTCAAACGACATCCGCGCCTGCTCAACAGTTCTCTTCGTGATGGGCGAGCGCGCAGCATGGGTAAAAAAGTACCGCGACGCATTCGAACTCCTAGTCAACGCCGCAATGGAAAAGCTCCAAGGCAACGAAACAGCCCGCAACGCAAATATGGCCGAATTAATGACCGCGCAGCATGGAGGCGTCTCGCTAAACACAGCCGTGCCGGGGATGTCAGCGGGTGAAAAATTCCCGCCTGCGGATCCGACGGGACTCGCGCCGGAGGGGACTACGCAGTATCCGGCTGATGAGGCGGATCATGCGGTTAGAATGGCGTTGCAGCTTGCGCCGTGGATTGATCAGGATCAGAGTGATCCGTTATGGATGCCTGACTTTGAGACCTTGGAGAATCTTTCGGGAAATTTTTGGAGTCATGCTGATACGACCCTGTTTGATGCTTTGTAATTGTTCATGTACAGAGAATAATAATAATTATATGTCTGGGACGTCTGTGAACCAGCTTGCTAAGTCTGGGAGGTCGAATCTTCCTAGGAATCCAAATTCCTCTTGTCCTAGGCCTGTGTCTTCCCAGCTCATGAAGGGGTTGATTGGGGAGTTCGACTCGGTTTCGCGAGAGGTGTGATCTTCGTGTCCTGTAGTCTGAGTTGGGAGCTCATGACCGGATTGGCGTGTTGCTCTCCGCTGTGTTTGGTTCGGGTCTAAAGATATGGTGGTTTCGTTTCGAGCTGCTGGTCTTTTCTTAGCCTCCGAGCGAACATGCAACCCCGTGAAGTTAGGAGACATACCGGTGTAGTTCTGAACAATATGCGAATGCGTAACTTTCAAGAATTGAAGCGAGTTCCGCGCAGAAACACTGAACAAAGACATGACTGAGAGAACTTCTTCGCATTTGCGCCAGCTCTCGTCGACAGTGCGGGCGTCTACTTGGTCGAGTATCGAGTGGCAGGAATACGACATGATCAGGACAAAACCGGCGGTTGACGTATCTTTCCTGAATCAGTTTAAGCTATTTTAGAGCTTGTGGGTCGTGTCAACTTACAGAATCCATTGTACCACCATGCATCCGTCAGAGATGTCCGATACGTTTCGTAGACAAGTGAGACCAACTCCACAGCGGCCGTGACGCATGCAGCTGCACAGTTCACAGACATGGAGGAGTAGATAATGTTTTTATCAGGGCGGGTTGTGCTCTTGTTTGCCTCTTGGCCGGAATTTCTGCTCAGGCCGAGGCGTTCCTCTGAACATAGCTGCGTAAACATGGGTCGGAAAAGCAGGAGCCGGAGATGGATGAATCTGAGACTGTAAGCAATCTAACAAAGCCTGTGAGTTGCGGGAGATTTACCTTGCACGCAGCACATTTCGTTGTCGCTGAAAGATCGATTCTTGGGAGGTAGTTGTGCTGAATGGTGGGTGAGGGCGTGTCCAATTGAGAACTGCAGGGATACTCGCTTCATAGGCGGAAAGCTTATCATCGAGCTCCATGATGACATCCAGACTCTTGTGCTTGGGACCTCTAGGAGACATTGGGCGGTGGTGACGTGAGCTAGATTGCCATGCATTGTAGATCTCTGACAGGATCGACTCTAGGATTTTGTAGAGCTCAATTGTGGAGACGTAGAAGGTCATGTTTCCTGATCGGTGATCGCAGGGTTGTCCGCTTAGCTCGCATGGATCATCTTCTTGTGATTCGGGTCTCATGCCGGGGAGCGGGACGGGCGAGATGTGCGATGTCATGCTTGGCCTGCCATAAGTCATGCTCACGATCCTGGGTTTGTCAGTAGATTCCCTTCAAAAAGTGATGCGGGCCAAGGGTGCTCGTACATATCCATTATGACACATCCATGCCAGGTGCGTCTTCGTATCTCTTTCTCCAACGGCTTGATAGATCGCTGAGACGATTCTTCATGTAGACCAAGACCCTGAGCAACACGACAAGCGACACCGATACTGTTCCAACATCGCATTGGGTAAGGTGTACTTTGAAGTAAGATCGCAATAATGAGTAATGTCTGCACGACTCCAATCGTCCCACAGTCTAGAAGGTCAAGACCAACAAACCGCTTCGCCCGAAGAAAAAATGTATACACGGCAGCTTCGCGCTCCGCGGCAGGGATATCCGAAAAATGACAGCCCAAACCGAAGATAGCATTGAGAGCACAGTGAAAGACAATAGACTGAGGGCCCGAATCATACGAGCCGCCCAGTCCGATGTTGAGCTCGGGTAGCTCGGGTTTCGGCCACTTGCTCGAGCCCCAAAGATTCTCGTATGCTTGTTCAAAGCTCGGGCGGTGGAAGAAGGGGTATAGGCAATGAACTCTTTCCCAGTAACACTCAAGGAGATGGTCTGCCAGGGCTCGAGGAGGTAGAGAAAAGTCGTCGAATTGGAGGCCCAATGTTGAATCGTTACAGTCCTTCCACAGTCCCGTTTCTCGATGGGATGCATCAGGTGCGTCATTTTCCATTCGCTTCAGAGCTTGTAGATACGTCCGGATGGGCATGGAGTCTCTTGCGAGGCGCATAAATGAGGCTGTGGATGAGTTGCCATAATATTGCTCTTGGGGAGAGTCGGTCGCCGCGTCCTCTGCGACAGATATTGCACCCATGGCAGTAACGTTGCCATGTTGATTGAGGGATGGGGAACGGTAGACATTTCCAGATAGCTGCATGGCATCGTAAGAACCCAAAGTCGTCTGCGGTGTGGTACCATCGTATTCGGAAGGCCTCCTGCTGGGCTGGGATGGCTGCAAAGTAGCTAGATTACGAAGCGGTGGTAGGGTCGTCCCGGGTGAAAGAGAAGCCAGCGAAGGATGTGGGCCAGGCACCACGGGAGTTGAGCCTAGCCCAAGAAGCCCCTCCACAGCAACAGAGGTTCTAGACTCCGTGCTCAAGCGATCCACACGAGATTGAGGCTCCGGAATATCGTCGAGTCTCGCTTCCCCGTCAGTGACGCTGTGGGGCGCAGGAGGAACAGCCACACCATTCTGGGAGCATATTTCTTCAAGATCCCGGATTCGACTGTGCAGTACTTTCAAATATTCGTCTTTGCTGGCCGAACGAGCATTTTCAAGTTTGTAAACGCATCGATCGATCGGATAGGATCGTCGTTCGCAAGGCCCACATATCGGCTTGGAGCCGTCACATCGTATTTTCTTTTCTCGGCATGATTCACATGCCAGTGAGACTTTGCGCCGGCGGGGTGTATCTCTCTTGGAAATCCCATGTCTCGAAGACATGATTTTGGAATGACAAGGTGAATTATTTTAGCTCATTGCTTTCCCCAGCATGCCGGGAATGGTACACATCAATCAAGGAGCGATAAGGGGTCACGTATGCCACAGGAACCACGGTTTGCAAGAACAATTCAACAAATGCGGGGCAATAGAGATCCTGAACTGGTGCTAGCCGCTTTGATCCTCTTCAGCTGGAACACATGAATGTTGGGAAGGAAAGAGTGGGCAACGCGATGTCCGGAACGCACCCGAAGATCTCACGTGACATCACAAAGCGCACATGTCGAGAATCCGGGGGTGGAATGATCGAGACACGATTGGATGGAGGTAAAATAAACTCATAGAAATACGAGAAAACCCCCAGAACCAAAAGCGGAGGTTCATTGTGACCATGCCGCAATAAGTAACCACGCTGCAGTTGGGCATGTGGCCATCCGGGATGCACCCGGGCCCATACCAAAAACCGGGTGCTTTCCGGCATTGACGTATGATGGCAGCCTACTAACTCGCAAACCCTCGCAAGGTGAGATGAATTCAGAGGATCGACATTCTCAACAATGCGTTTTAGGACATTAAGCCCCGGTGTCTCCGGAAGTACTTAATTTTGGTTATCTCTTCTCCCTAGATTATATGTAACCCTTTATGAACGAGACAAGATACCCCAAACGTCAGCTAGACAACTTCCTCCTTTCAAAAGGCAAATGCCCATACATCGCCTGAGAACACAAACAAGACCTGATAAGCTCGTTCCTTAACACACCGATAGCAATGTCAGCCATACACGCGACACATACTCCTGAATTCGACGCCGGGCCTTACCTAGGCCAAGATGTCGCACAGCGACGGGATACACCAAAACATCAACCACTCGATAACGGTCTGCAATGGGGCTCAGACCCTAGCTTCTGTTATCATGGGTTTTCCTGCCCCATTGGCACTTGGACAGAGGAACGCTTAGTCCGAAACCTGATGCGCAACATGGCAACCATGTGCGACAGCGTGAACATTGATTTCAACTACGACCTTGAAATTCCAAATAATACCGAATACCAAAATATTGCAGAGCCGGTCCAGTTGAATGGATTTGATTTCTCCCGCCATCGCCAATACCGAAGCGAAACGCCTGGATCGATATCCTCCGCGAGCACATCCGGTTCTGAGAAGCGGAAATCCATGACCCCACCAAGCTCGAATGAGACTCACGCGTCGCCACCGAGTAAGAAACGGAAATGCGTACAGAAGCCTGGTCAGAAACTTTGTCATTGTCGATCGGAAAAAAAGAGGAGGGAGATCATCTCGCAGGGGTATCAAGACATTTCGAATATTGTCCCTGCGCTTGGGAAGCATAATTACACCCGAAAATATGTCCTTGAGGAGGCGGCGAAGTTCATCAAGTCCTTGACGGAGGGTAATGAACAATTGCGCCGGCAATTAGATGCGATGAAGGATCAAGAGGAAAGGGATATGAAAGATCTCTTCCTGGGGAATAAATTGAAAATGTGATAACTATGCAATGTCCTTGAAATGCCCTATTCAGTCCGGACACGACGGATTCACCCGATTAGAGGCTTCCACAAGAAGACGTATGTCCAGAACTTGGTCAGATAAGAAGGTTTCAGACTTTGTTACATCGTATCCAGGGCCATCTGGTAGTACTAGCGTTAAATCGCGCCGTATGTTGTTCGTAAGTGTCTGAGATGCACTTACTGGCAGTAAATATGGCGCAGGTTAAGTCACTGCAAGGGGCATCATTAGTAACATCGTCAGTCACGCAAGGTAAAATAATAACTAGGAAAGCCAGCAGGATGATACTGCCAAAGATCCAGGTAAAAGGCTAAACAGGGTTTGAGATACGGTAGATTCATAATGGGCGGCCGGTTTATTTTAACAGCCTTGGAATTGGAGATACATTTAATAAAGGTTGTGGAATTGTCTACAGACACCTGGGGGTTCAAGAAAGTACATAAAGTTGGTCATGCCTATTTTTGCATCATACTGCGATTGCACCTGGATTTGATTGCTGGGTTTTAAATAGCGTACACGGATGCGGCAACGACTTCTGATAGTTCCTTGCTGTCCAGGAAAAAGGACGACGAACCAATGATTTATCAGATCGTAGGTATCATGCGCATCACATACAAATAAAAGCATATTATATTCTAAGCAAAGCATATCAAACAGCATACCCAAACCCACAGACTTTCATCCCAATTATCAAGCTTCAAGAGCCGGTGCAATAGTAGCCAACCCCTTCGCCATCCGAGTAATCTGGCCCGCGTAATAAGTCTGTCACCAAGGTTAGCAAAATTCTCAAACTCCGCCAAAAATAGCTTCAAGGCAGAAGAACAAAGACTCACGCTCTCAGCTCCCGCCCCAATCAAATTCCTCGGCAACCACCCCAAAAACCAAGGAGTAGGAACCTTCTCCAACAAAAGCACCGCCTCCTCATCCTTGACCCCCTCATCCAACAACCTGCCTGCAAACCCTGGCTCGACCGCACTCGGCCTCCCGATACCTACAAGATCACAAGCCCCATCCTTGACCGCCGCCTCAGCCCCAGCCCGACTCCTAAACCCACCCGTCAGCATCAACACGAGATCCGGATGCCTCTTCCTGACTTCGTGAGCGAATTCGAGGAAGAAGGCTTCTCTTGCTGCTGTACGTTCGGATTTAGGGGCCTGGGATTGGGATACGGGATATCCCATCATTCGGGGGTCCTCGTAGGTCCCGCCTGAGATTTCCATGAAATCGATCCCGGCTTCGACGAGGAGGGAGATTTGCATCATTGTGTCTTCGAAGGTTGATGAGGAGTGGTCTGCTGAGTTTAGTTTGATACCGATTGCGAAGTTCTTAGGGACGACTGCGCGGGTTTGACGCAGGATTTCAAGGATGAATTTCGCGCGTTTGGTGGGTGTGCCGCCGTAATCGTCTGTTCGAAGATTGGTTTTTGGGTTTAGGAATTGGTCTGTTTATAATGTTAGAGAATCAGATGGAAACTGCGATTGGAATGGGAATGGTCGAAGTACCCATCAGATATCCATGAGCACCGTGCAACTCAACGCCCGAGAACCCAGCATCAGCCATCAACCGTGCCGTATCAACGAACGAGCGAATCGCCTTCTCGATATCATTCGTGCTCATCTCGCGCGGCTGAGCCCACGCCAAGCATGCAATAACGCGCTCAATGATACTATTGCCGATATTAATTGGCACAGCGCTAGGAGCAATAGTCTGTCCGAAGATCCCGCGTCGACCGGCAGGGCGGAAAGACTGGCGTCCCGGATGGCAGATTTGGACAATTGCAGGCGTTCCATGTTTCTGGCATGCGTCGGCGTATTTCTTCCACTCTGCGACAAGGGCAGAGTCAGCTGGACCCTTGTATTCGCCGTGGAGGGCTGGGTCGTAGGGGCTGCCTAGGTGGGTTACGTCGACTTGGACGTTGCCGGTTAGGATGCTGCCCCAGCCGCCACGGGACCATTGGTCATATGCGGAATTAAGAGGTTCGTTAGGCGTGTTGGTTGTAGCCATTTGTTCGGCCATTGCGGCCTGGTTGTTTGTCAGTGCTTGTCGCGCAGTTGGGGTTGGATTTTATGGATGGGATGCTGACCTTGGAGAGGCGGTTTGGGAAGACCAAGCCGCATGGGAGCTTGACCGGGTCTGCTAGAACTGAATGCATGCTGTATGTTGGGTCTTTGGACAAGCAGATGTATGTATAGTCTAGGCCTGGGAATGCGATATAGACTGAAGCTGCAGATCGGACAGGGGTCGGTCAGCCATACACGCCAAAGGGATAAAAGTGGCGTACAAACCGAAATTTTATGTACAAATCTCGATCAGAAAGAGAAACAACTGCATAGAGTAGTGAACACAGGCCAACTGAAGAAATTGACGAAAGATATGAAAATAAGAAATCTTACGATTACGACGAAAATAGCCTCGGTTCTTAGTCATCGTTATGCGGAGAGATTCACTGCGCCGTGTTCTTCGCTGTCGATCTACGCTGGGATCCGGTGGGCCTCTGAGCGATCTAAGGTCAATCCAGAATGCAATGCGAATGCTTTCTGCAGTTGTAAGTGGGGCATTGTACCAAGGTGTTCCGTGTTGGGAGTCGGCGTTTTTAGTTCCTCCGACGGCATGTGATCCGAGCTTGGAAGGTTGGCCGGTGCTTTGTAGGCGCTTTGTAATTGAGAAAGAGAGTTTTATTAGACTCATAATCAACTGATTTGTTCCCATATGGCAATATGTCAGAGTTTCCAGTGGCCACTAGAGAAGTAGATAGGTACAGAAGTGAATATGCTGTTAGATAGAGACTTGTGGAGGAGTCGGTGCAAAGGAAGGTTCTTAGCTACCTACATAGCCAGGTAGACATCATGGAAGTATACATAATCAGTCTTTTCTCGGCCGAACCACAGGCCGGGGGAGGAAACAGAATTTTTCGGTCGAAGTGTAGCTGGCCCTTACACTAGTCGCAAGTAGCTAGGTTCAACGCGAGGTCAACTGCGGCATATTCTATCCAGAAGCTGGACATAAAATAACAAGATAGACATTAAGTAACAGTGTCTACGGCAAGTGGACGTACGTTTAGATAGAAAGTGGAGTGAAGTTAAGTAGATGGTCCAATTTTATTCGATTCAACGATCGACATCCGATCCCAAATGCAAAGGCATCAAGCCAAAGTGCAACAATGAAGGGTATTCCAAAGAAAACCAAAAAAAAGAAAAAAAAAACCATATCCAATCCGAAATGACGCTCGAAACCAAACATAAGCAAAAGATATATACTAATCAAAGTTCACGGAATGATCCTGGGTCCATTAGAACAAGAAGAAAAAAGAAAAAGGCGCCGGTAATGAACACATGAAACCGCAGCTGGACGGAAAAGTCTTACAGCTTGTACGGGGTTCCGTTGACCTCCTCGGTAGGGGAACCGGATGAGAAGGGGGTGAGGTTGCCCAGACTGGAGAGGAGGTGGCCGACTTCGCGCTCGAGGGAGCGGACCTCAGTGTGGGGATCGTACATGCGGACCTTGATGTAGTTGTCGAGGTCCTTGTCGGACATGTTGCGGAGGGCGACCTCGCGATCGACCTTGTCCTCTTGGGCGGCGCGCATGACATTGCGGGCGACGACGACACTGACTTCACGAATGCGGGTGATGTCAGGGTAGAGGAGGCCGCGCTCGATCTCCTCGGCGGTAAGGGCCTTGGAGAGAGCTTCGCCGGAGGCGTAGATCATGTTGTCGGTGACACGGACGGCCTTGGAGAGGATGCTGCCCAAGCCGATACCGGGGAACACGTACATGTTGTTACCCTGTCCTGGGTAGTGGGTGTTGGTCTGGCCCTGGGAGTTGGTGAAAGACATGGTGGGGAAGGGGGAGCCCGAGGCGAAGAGGCAGCGGCCATCGGTGGCCTTGACGGCGGTCTCGAAGTCACATTCGGACTTGGAGGAGGGGTTGGACAGGGGGAAGATGATGGGGGTGGTGTTCCAGTCAGCCATCTTGCGGAGGATCTCGGGGGTGAAGACACCGCCCATGGTGGAGAGACCCATGAGGATGGTAGGCTGAACGTGGTCAACAACCTCCTCTAGGGTCTTGAACTGCTGGCCGTTGTTGTTCTGGCGAGCAAAGTAGACCTTGTGGTCGGCGAGCTTGTCACCACGGTCAGCGGTAACGAGACCCTTGGTGTCGACGAGGTAGAAGCAGTTGCGGGCATCCTCCTCGGACATGCCCTCGCGGACGAAGAAGTCGACAATCTGCTTGGCGACACCGACACCGGCGGAGCCAGCACCGAAGAAAACGGCACGCTGGTCCTTGCAGGCGAGACCGGAACGCTTGACAGCGTTGATGACACCGCCAAGGATGACAGCGCCAGTACCCTGGATGTCGTCATTGAAGCAGGTGTAGTTGTTCTGGTAACGCTCCAGAGCGGGGAAAGGATTCTTGAAGTCCTCGAACTGAATGACAATACTAAATTAAACTTCCCGTTAGCATGCTTCGGACCTTGCAGATCCCCCTCAACCCGGGGTCGTTCCGGGATGACACGAGGATACGAGGAGACGAGAATGGGAAAAACTTACCCAGGCCAGCGCTCGGTCAGAGCCGACATCAACTCGTCCAAGAATTCACGCTCCTCCTCGGGGCTGATCTTGTCACGGCGGGAACCCATGTACAGCGGGTCTTCCCGGAGGGTCTTGTTGCTAGTACCCAGATCAAGGGTCAAAGGCAGGGTGGCCTCGGGACGGATACCGGCACAAGCCGTGTACAGAGCGAGCTTGCCAATGGGGATACCCATGCCGTTGATGCCCAAGTCACCCAGTCCGAGGATGCGGGAGCCATCGGTGATACATGTGATCTCGACATTCGGCTGGGGCCAATTGGCGATGACGGCCGCCAGATTTCCGCGATCTTCCCAACTCAGGTACATACCTAAATCGGAGTTAGCGCGCCGGTTCATCTTCGTGCGGAACTTGAGTCATAAAGTACGTACCTTCGGGCTGCTGATAGATCTCGGACCAACGCTGGCAGGCCTCGCCCACGACGGGGGTGTAGATCAGAGGCGTCAGCTCCTGCAGGGATTCGTTAGCTCATGCTAATTCCTGGGTCTGGCCAATCATGGCCTCGGATTGCATACCCTCAAGTGGTCGGTGACCAGACGGTAGAAGAGGTGAACATTGTTCTTGCGGAGAGTGCTGAGGTACTGGAACTTGTCGATATCGGTGTTCTTCAGGCCAAGCTGAGACAGGCAACGGGTCTTTTGTGTTTCATAGCTCTCGGAGCGAGGAGGCGTGAGGCCGTAGGTGCGCAGGTACTTGCGGATATAGGAAGGGTTGGCGGTGTCATAGTTGGCATCTCTAGAAGAGTGTCATGTTAGTGAACTGTTTCGATGTGTCCCTGAGGAGGTCTCGAGGCAATGCGAGAGACCATGCAGGCTCACGCGACGGCGACATACGAAGGAGTGGTGGAGTGGTTCATGAAGGGAGTCGCGTGAACCGGACGACTTTGTTGAGGAGAAAACCGAGCCATTGTGTCAGACGAAGAGCGTAGCTTGTTCGTCGGGGCAGAAGATGAATGATAGAAATGAGAGAGACGGGGCGTGAGAACAGTGATTTTATGTACTGGCCGCAGGCTAGGCTTCCCCCTGGGGCAATCGAGCGCACATCATCCCAGACATTCCGAGTGAAAATTAACCGGACCCGGACAAGGACGGTCAAGGCTCAGTAAAAACGAGGACATGATTTGGAGTCGGGAAGAGTCGGGGATGCAGGAAGGGATGAGGGTCAGGAAGGGGACCCAGGATGTGGATATTTCGGTGCTGGCAGCGAACCGTTGCTCGTGAATCGACGGTGGAATCTGGATCCCTCACAAAGCTTCTTTTCTTTTTTGGGAAACGACCCAAGTAAGGAGGGGGGTTGGAATCGCCGTGTGGAGTCGGAAAGCGCCGAGTGACTCCAATCTTGGTTGCGGAGTTTGCATCTTTAGGGCTGGTCGGGGGGCCCTAGACTGTCTAGACTGTCTAGACTGTCGAGACTGCGTAGACTGCGTAGATCGACGATGGTACATTGATCCTGCACACTCTCTACACGGTACATTCCATCCTATCTCACCGAGATCAGCCCCGGGAGCCGAGCTACACTGTACAGCAGGGCACTTGGTCGGACTCCTAGCTGCAAGTCAGAGTTCTACACGGTAGAATCTCGAACTACGAAAATGTACTCGCGTGGGCGTCCGCTCATCTGGCACCTCACTGGTTCAGGAGGCCGGGGGGAAGCTAAGTATGGGTCTGCCCAGCCATCGACCTCCACTTCAACGAGCTTCCAGAGCCGCAGATACTGCCGAAGTGGAGCCTGTCGCCGAGATGGAACTTTCAGCCTAAACTCCGAGCTTACAAAAGGAACCCTTGGCCTTCTAGAAAAAAAAGACACAAGAGCCCCCCTGCCCGCACGGAGCCCAGCGGGAGGCGGCAAGCGGAGCCTGCCGCCGATGGCGACTTGCGTGATAGGAAAACACAGCGCCGGACGGAGACGACGGAATGGGAAATGGGACTTTGGGCTGTTTCGTGTTGGCCGCGTTATCAATACCGTCCGGCTTCCTGAATGGCTTCCGTCGCCGACGGGGACGTCCCGGCACTTATATTTCCTGCCCATTCAGCCCCCAGCACGGCCTGCGTGGGTTTTGATTTTGATTTTGATTTCTTTTTCATTTCTCTCGGTCTTTCAACTGTGGATTCTCGTTCCCGACCGAGAAAATCGGAATCCAGGGGCAGTTGATTGGATCTTTGGTCCTAGTCTCCCTGCAGCAGAACTGCAGAAGTGGTGAGACCGTTGGGATTGAAAGGCTTAGCGCTGAGAAATACGCGTGGTTTCAGTCATGCTTGGCATGCCAATGCTCCGACGTTCGACACTCAACAATACTCGGGGTTTCCTCTTTTTCCCTCATGTCCGATCTATCATTGCGCAGTCCATTCCCTATGATCTTCAGGTTGAACCAAACGCAAGGACTAAAAATACACAGGCCAACCTTGGAAATTACATAAAATTGACTGAATTAGGATAAACAGAAAAAGAAAAGAAAAGAAAAGAGAAGAGAAGAAATACAATACAATAATTGAATTAATTTCTGAACCTAATCACTTCGCTATGTCTACCGAAAGCAAGTAAAAGTCTAATTGGTGCAGCCTGGTTACGTGAAGAGCTTCCCCAGATCCGCCGATCGCTGAGGGATTTCCATCCCGGCTACGGAGTATGCATACCTAGCTCCTAGCTGTCCTCCCTATGCTGTTATAATTGCCCTCAATTCCAATTCCCTCATCGAAAACGCCCTTTAAATGGGCTCTGGCCGAGGGCTATTATAATAGCAACCACGTCGTTACACTTGTGCCAAGGTGTCGTCATCGCCACAAAAACAGGGTTGCCGTTTCCCCTCCTTGTAGCTGTAAGCTCGTAGCATAGCTCCTGCCATCAACATCCCATCAACATCCCACCAACATCCCCTTTCCATCCCTTTGCCATCCCAAGCACACCTACACGCATGCCCAAGCCCATATCAAGGGCCACCATCAAACATGCCCTCCGAAACTGAGCCCCTTCTCCCGCGCTACGAGGACGACACCTCGCGCCAGCGCCGCCTTCACCAGAAGCTCCACTCCTACCAGATGCTACGCGCTCTCTCCGAGGGATACATGCCAACAACAGAACAAACAATCGCAAACCTACGCACCCTACTTGCCTCTGACGTCCTCAATCTTCGAAACCAGGAGATCGGCTCCCATGGCCGTCAACTCGTTCGCGACGCACGGCTGTGGTTGACCACCTTTATCGAGCTGCTACTTGAGAAGAACAATGATGACCAGCTACAGGAGTTCCTGTGGCATGTCGTGCGATCACGCGTGGAGATTGATGGGGATAAAGTATCGCAGCAGGCTGCACGTGTGAAGGCGCGTGCGGATACTAGAGCTGGTGGGTCTTCCGTTGACGGAGGGGCTTAACTGGGTCTTGGCTAATACGGAGATTACAGCATATGACAGTTTTCGGACCGTGGGGAGTTTGCTGTTGACGAATGCTGATTTCAGGCTCTTTGTCGATGATGTCGCTACTGTTGGGAAGCAGATCTTTGCGGATACGGCCGAGTCGCTTTCTGAGACGTCGAAGCTGGTTGCGGAGCAGGTCAGACCTTCGAAGAATGAGGAGGAGGCTCTGATGGGGGCCGGAGCCGATGAGGGCCGTGAGGTCTCGAGAGAGGAAGTCGTGGAAGAAGTAACCACGGTTGCAGGGGTTGCGGGGGAGGGGATTGCTCATACTGGGGAGGAAGCGCTGAAGAGTGCTAAGGAGCATTTCACTGGTCGGGAGAGGGATACGCTTCTGTTTCGACTTAAGAAGACTGTTCAGCAATTGAGGCAGAGGACTGATTATTCCGATTCTGTGTCGACGCTTGCGCAGATGGTTCAGCGATATGCTATGTTCTATGCCAATGCCGCCGAGGACACGGCTTCGACAGCCGGGGAAAATGTCGAGGCTAATGCTGATCTGAAGCAAGCGGTGGACCAGTTCTGGGATTTACTGCGCATGTTCGGCAGTGCGAAGGAATGGGAGGAGCTCCAGAAGAAATTCCAGAATGTTATGCGCCATGCCAACAAAGATCCCGAGTTTGAGCAGATGATGGGAGAAGTCGGCACATCTCTGCAGGATATGCTCACCGATCCCGAGTTCTTCGATTCCGCCCCCGAGAAGCTCGATGAACTGCAGAAGCAATCGGAGAAAGTGGGCTCAGAGACCGGGCTCCGCGACGACATTGTGGAGTTCCTGGCACAGACCAAGCGTACATTGCGCGCGCTACCTGAGGATGCTGCTATTTCCAAGTTGGTCAATGCTACCAAGAAGCTATACGATGATGCATGGGGCGCATACAACGACAAGAGCACCGATCTCCCAGCCGACTTGGTTAATGTCTTCCTTCCTGTCGTTCTGCGCATGATCCAGTATGTGCCTATTCCCCGTCTGGAAGTCGCAGCTCCCGAGATGGATCTTCTTCTGGAAAATTTGATCCTGGAACCGGGTCATACTGTCAATTTCTCTTCATTCCTTCCGTACCGCATGCACCTTACCACTCGCAACGACATCGACATAGTCAAGAAACACTCTAAACAGACCCAGACGGACATCAAGACCGTCTTCAGGGTGACAGTCCAAGGTCTGAACATCAGTGCCCAAGACTTCGGATACTGGTTGAAGACCCACACTCTTTTCTGGCACATGAAGGATGAAGGCATCGCCAGCTTCTATCTTGACCGCCGAGGTATCGACATCAGCCTGGAGGTAGAGGTCGGTCGCGGCAACCTGGAACAAATCTTTACACTCCGCAACGTCCGAGTGCGCATCCACAAGCTCGACTACAAGGTCTCACAGAGCAAGTGGAGGTTCCTCCTCTGGCTCACCAAGCCATTCCTGAAACATCTCGTCCGCCGAGTCCTTGAAAAGAAAATCGCCGAAGAGATAGTGGGTGCCGCCCACGCCTTGAACCGGGAGCTGATATTTGCCCGCGAGCGTCTGCGTGCGACTCGCATCGCCAATCCGGAGGACCTGGGGACGTTTGTGCGCGCCGTACTCGCACGATTGAAGCCCGCCGACACGGACGTGGAAGCTCGGATCGCTATTGAGCCTCCAAAGTCTGGAGTCTTCAAGGGTATTTATGCGCCCGGTAGCATTGTCAAGACCTGGCATGACGAGGCGACCCGAGCTCAGGAGGCGATTGAGGATGGAGATGAAACCCACGGTCTGGGACATACCTGGCATAATGCCATTTTTGATGTTGCTGGAGCGTGATGAGGGAATATTCGTTCTTATTCTTGAAACCCTGCGTTAATGATTTACGATTGATATCAACCGCTCATGAGGACACGATGGCGCACCTATGTAACAAACAGCGCTGTACTGAAATATTGAACTTCCTATCACTTTAACCAACTTCGATTATTTCAGATGTTTCATTTCTTTCAGATCTCGTCCTCTCATCCGTATGTACTCTTTAAAATAAACCTGGGCGGGCCATGTATGTATAACATATGTATACCACCCACGTGACTTCGATAAGGATTAGCTGGCCATTTCTCGCGGCGACATCCAACCTTACACAAAACCCCCATCACCCCATTGCGCGATTAAACAAACAATCCGGGTTCCCCGATCGCCAACCCTCATGACTACCACCTAATCGACACCCACGCCAACCCCACCACCCGCAGCTCCAGCTTCTCGAAGCTCAAGCACTCACGAGCGGGAAACACATCTCCCCGACGCCAATTCCCAACACACGCGACCTGCTCGCCCACACACAAGATGTACATAAACCGCCTATTACTCGCGCTTGCTGTAGTACTGTTCTCAGTACTCGTGCTCGCAGCAGAAGATTACTACAAAGTGCTTGGTCTGGACAAGTCGGCTTCCGAGAAAGATATCAAGCGCGCGTACCGCACGCTCAGCAAGAAGTACCATCCAGACAAGAACCCGTGAGTCTCTTTCAACACCTACACCCACACAATTTACTCAAACCATTGCAGCAACGACGAATCAGCCCGTGAGAAATTCGTCGAACTCGCAGACGCATACGACGTCCTCTCCACCACCTCCCTTCGCAAAATCTACGACCAATACGGGCATTCCGGCGTCGAACAACATCGTAAAGGTGAACAAGCTGGCGGCCGCGGTGATCCCTTCGATCTATTCTCACGCTTCTTCGGCGGCGGCGGACACTTCGGACACTCGTCCGGTGCGCGGCGTGGGCCGGACATGGAAGTGAAAGCGCAATTACCGCTTCGGGATTTCTACATGGGTCGCGAGATCTCATTCCTCGTTGAGAAGCAGCAGATATGTGATTCGTGCGAGGGGTCCGGATCTCGGGATCACAAGGTTGAGACGTGTGATCGGTGTAATGGACGGGGAGTGGTGATTCAGAAACATATGCTTGCGCCGGGCATGTTCCAGCAGGTTCAGATGGCTTGTGATAAGTGCGGAGGACAGGGGAAGCAGATTAAGAATCCGTGTCCTGTTTGTAAGGGCGCGAGGGTTGTTAGGAAGGGTGTTGAGACGACTGCTGAGATTGAGCCGGGCATGGAACGGGGACACAGACTGGTGTTTGAGAATGATGCCGATGAGAGCCCGGACTGGGTTGCTGGTGATTTGATTGTGATTCTAGATGAGAAAGAGCCTGAGTTGGGGGTTGAGATGGAGGAGAGGACGGATGGGACTTTCTTCAGGAGGAAGGGGAAGGATCTTTACTTCAAGGAGACGCTATCTTTGAGAGAGGCGTGGATGGGTGGGTGGAGCAGGAATGTGACGCATCTTGATGGCCATATTGTTAGGCTTGGGAGGAAGAGGGGGGATGTTGTGCAGCCCTTGGCTGTTGAGACGGTGAAGGGAGAGGGTATGCCGTATTACTCTGTTGGTGGGTTGCATGATCATGATCACCAGGAGGGTGATGATGAGCCGGGCAATCTTTATGTTGAGTATGTGGTTGTTTTGCCTGATGAGATGGAGAGTGGCATGGAGAAGGAGTTCTTTGCATTGTGGGAGAAGTGGCGCAAGAAGACTGGTGTCGATCTGGCTACTGATTCCGGTCGACCGATGCCTCCGCCGGCGGAGATGAAGGATGAGCTGTGATGTATTGTATATTTTACCAATATTCCGATGGTTGGAACCGATCGAGAGGTCGGGCTAGATAGACTTGCTTCGCTTCGACAACTTAGACTCTTTCTCTCAAGTGTTCTTCCAAGGTCCTCACTGTGTAGAAAATTACTGCTTCGAGCTAGACATTGCGCAGCTCTCATCGACTAAGCAACCCTGTGGTTGAGTTTGAATCTCTCATGCCTTGGATCCTCTATTGCTTTTTGTCCTCCAAGAGGACCATGTCTATTTTGGCTAGGTACATAATTTGCTCGAATGAGACCCAGACTAGATCTACTACACGCTCATGGCACTGTCAAATAAAAACGAAGACCACTCGATAGACCAATCCACAGCATTATTATCCATGGCGAAAGAATCGAGTTGCTGCTGGTCTAGACTTCCCACCGCGCTGAGAAAATCCAACATCGGAGAGAAGTTGACAGGAAAATGGAACAAAAAGAGCACACGCTGTTCCTTATCATCTAAGACTGGTGCAGGGAGTGAATGCCACAATATATCTGCAGATGAAGAAAATTCCCCCTCGCCGGGGTTTCTGAGTGTTTCCAGCCGGGTTCGAATCATAACAGCGGATGTGTGCTTCTCCCCTAGCTTGTCCAGCACCTGCTGGCTGATTTTCAGTTCGTGGGCTCGCTCCGGGTTCAACGTATCGCTATCAGTGAATGCTCGTGGGATAGCTGCAACCAAGTTCACCCAAGAGTGTATTGGGAGGAGATATGTGACTTCTTCGTGAAGGAGAATTTCTTCGTAGAGTCGGGAGATGCAGGATGAAGCTGCCATTGACGCGTATTTGAACAATGATGGATTGTCGCGCCGACTAAGGAAGCTGGCTAATATGGTGGTTGCCAGATAGATGACGTGCAGTTCAATAACTTGGCGATTATATGGTTGCCTCGTGTTCGCAGATATATCGAAAAGCTGCAGGTCCGAAGGCAAGCGTTGTCTCCATAGACCAAGCTTATCCAATGTTGAATCAACTTCTCCCTGTGAACAGCTATCGTCTTGGCCATGCTCCAGGATCACTCTGAGCAATTTGCAGAGGGAGGTAAGCTCGCAGAAGACCCGGGCGCCAGTGTCTTGGTGATCGAAATCACTCGGGACCGGTAAGCTCACACGAGTCTGCTTCAAGGGGAACACCCCAGGGCGTCCGGAGCAGGCCATTTGTAATGTATCGTTGTTGAAGAGATACCACCATATCCTTCTAATCCTTCCAGGATGGTGTAGTGTGGCATATGTTTCCTGCTCATGCAATCGCAACTGGACAGCCAGCCGAATGGCCATACCTATCCATTGCCAACAATTATCCAGAACAAAGTCTTCGGGGGAGTAAGCGAGCCAGATACCCAAGATACAGAGGCTTGTGAGCATATGAAATGGAGCAGGGTCATGCCGCAGGAAAATCAACGTCTTAATGCGTCCGTAGATCGCGGATGGAGACCATTCGGCAGGCTCGGTCGACTGCCGCATGATGCTCCCAGCGAAGCATATGCATTGTTGTAGCAAGATAGAAGAATCTATTTCCGATTGCCCCCGATCGATGACTGGTACCAATGAGAAAAGCTCCTTGAAGTAGAAATCGCTCAATGCTTGTTTCATCGTGGGCGTGGGAAGATTGGTCGCTTGGCTGATTTGCAATATCATGTCGGCCCCAAAAACCAGATTTGGTAGATTTGTATTAGAGCCATTGTTTGCCCCGGTGCATTGGAAAGTGCGGTCGTGTAGGACATAAGGTGAAGGTGTTGCTTGCTGTGGTGTCGTCGGGACTAGCTGTTCCCGCGAGGTTTCAGAATGCGGTGTTGCCAGGGAAGTGCGAAGTGCTTTCTGCTTTCGGGGACCAATATGTGCACTAAGAGGGTCAATTTTGGAGCGGGTTTAATTGATACATGATGCGTACAGGCATTGGTAGCCTTCCCGTTGACAGCGGCTGCAAGGGCTACTTGGCAGGCGACTGTCAAGATCGCATCGGACCTTTGGATTCAGAGTTAAAGTCACAATTTGTCGTTCGCATAGAAAGATCTAACCTTAGAGCTATGACATCGAATACAAACCGTACGCGCTCGACGTCGCGCATCTGCATCGGGAGCCCTCGGCATCGGGACGGCAAAGACTTGTAGAAGAGAAAATCAGGGCGGCAAAGATGAAGACTTTGCCGAGTGCCGGCGGAGTTTGCCGAGAGCTTTTGTCTACCAAGCCCAATATCTAATATTAAGCCCATTAAGCCCTGCCTACTGTACCTAATCATCATTTTATTCAATTCTTGGAAAATATTGGATAGTCTGCCATTTATGACTCCGCTAGGGGAATCATTGAACTTGATTGATAGGTCGACCAAGACACCATGCCTCGACAGTGGCCTTTCCAGTAGCCTCCAGGTTATGCAACGTTCTTTCAGCATACCAAGCGAGGTGAGGCGTCAAAACCAAGTTCAACTCCGCTGCTTCAGGGCTCAATAAAGGGGAGTCTCCTCTTCCACAAGGTTCTATGGCGTACACATCGGTGGCCGCTCCTGTAATGGTACGGCATTGAAGAGCTTCAAGCAAAGCCTGCTCATCGACAATCCCGCCTCTTGCAACATTAATCAACAAAGCATGAGGAGACATCTTCTGGAATTCTGCAGTCGAGATCAAGTTGATTGTTTCCGGGCTTCGTGGCAAGCACAAAAACAAAACTGTCGATTGCTTCAAGGCATCCTCAAAGGCAATCCGGTCTCCTCGAGGAGCCACCCCCTTTCGCTCGGCTATATTTACCTTCATGCCAAGACCCTTAGACAAGGCTTCAATGCGCTTTCCTAGCATTCCGTATCCAATGATACCGACAGTTTCATCACTACACAACAACGGGCCCAGTCCATCTGATCTAGACAATCTCGGCCGTAACGACCCGTTCATTTTCCACTCGGTATTAAGATCCGGGCTTTCAGGCACAGCAACGGTTGCATTATGCAAGGTGACAAGCTTTCGTCGCGTAGCGAAATAAAGTCCAATGGCGTGCTCACTAACACTGTCCACATTAGAACCTGGACAGTTGCACACGGGGATTCCTCGGGCCTTGGCTGCTGCTAGATCGACACAATCCGTGCCGGTTGCCATGATCACGATCAGACGGAGCTTTGGAGTGGCTTCAACGTCTAGAACCTCCGAAGTCAGACGAATTGTCGTGGTGATGACGATTGTGGCATCTTTGATTCGCTCGATAAGCTCGGATGGCTCGGTCCAGCGGTGGACAGCCTTGGTGTATGCCCCAGGTATGTCGAACTCTGGTATTTGGTAATGAAGGGCCTCGATGGCGACGACATGGTGGCGTTCTTTTTCGTGCGACATAATGAAATCGTTGGGAAAGAGGAGCGATGGGTGGGTCTGGAAAGCTGCAGATAAACGGCAAGACTTGGTTTATTAAGCAAGACCGCGCCCTTCACTTGACGAGCGATCTTGGGCGAGTCTAACCGCAGGCTGTGGGGCAATGGAGATCTCTTTGATATCCGAAATCAGCCGAGATCCGCCGATATGGAATCTGGGGGATCTATGAAGCTAAAATCGGTCCGGGTTGACAGTTAGTTATGTTCGGAATTGGATCGAGGCTTCGGCTCCCCCCGCGCGTGCCGATAGAACGAGGCCGGCGGTAGCCGATTCCATTATTTTGATACTGACTGGGAAACCATAACTTAAATGGAGCCTAGGTTCAACCGTAAATCAATATTTTCGCAATTTTTGAAGTGCCCTAACTAATTTGTACAAATCACTCTCATGTCTGACGAAAAGGCACCATATGGTAAAAATACCTTCAATTCCTACAAGATGATTTGTACACGATCAGTTCCCTGGTACCCTTGATGTATTTTCGACAAAGAGGTAATTTCCTCCATGCAAGATGGGCTATAATGAGGTTCAATTTCGACCAGATTCAAAGGAATACATGTCGCCATCGTAATTCTCTCCGATTCATGTACTACCAAAATCTCGGTACTGTTATGGAAGGTGAGAAAGGGACCTGGCATCTCCCAGTGCGCATGATTGCCATTGATCTGGGAGATCCTGCTTGTGGTGGCGGAGGATGCTCTTGGCTTATCTTGAATTTTCGAATAATCAGGAGGGCCGAACCCATTGTTCCTTTATCGGCCAGGGCTCTAAATATGGGAAGAGATAGTCACATTATTGTAGATGTACCGGTAGATGAAGAAAGGACGGGCGGGGTTTGGCTATCAAACTTGCTGGGCCAGCGACATTTGTTGCGGAAGGAGGCATATTAGCGGATGAACGGTTGGATAGCAGCCGTATTTGCCGAACTTTAAAGACGACCTTTATCTAGAGACCAAGTTTGGCAATGCTGTAATGTAAGGTTTTTGTGGTTGAAGTTTGTAGGTATCTACGACAAATTATCTCCATTGAGCGTTAGCGCCGTTCGGCAAATACGGCTGTCATTCACATCTCTTCGGCTAAGTACAAGTTCGGCTGACCATGACTTTGTTATCGGCGGACTAATTTATCCCTTGAACCCATTCGGGTTAGCCACTTTAAATACTTCGACGAGATTCTCATTGTGAATGTTCATCATCCTGAATACCTCCAACTTTGAAAGCACCAGAGAAGCATAATGGCGTCAGGACCAAGGAATGAGGATGTACAGCTGACGTTCCTTACGACAGGGACGGTCCGCATCAGACCATCAATGCTCTCCCAGCCCGCAGGCAACTTTGCACTCCTTCGCCGTCTAAGATGCCTCTGTGATAGAGGATGGACAGATTCTCTCCCCGTGGGGGTGTTTCTCATCCGTCACCCAGAAGGCCTATTTCTATTCGACACAGGCCAGTCCCCCAGCTGCAACAATTCTGGCTATTTCCCGCGTCTTGGCCTCTTGAACGGTCTTCTCTCTCAATTCACCATTGAGCACCAAGATGGTATTGTCGAGCAACTTCGCAAAATGGATATCAAGCCTACCGATCTGAAAGGCGTTGTTCTGAGCCATCTTCACAATGACCATGCGGGCGGCCTCGAAGGCCTGATTACAGAGGCTCCAGATCTGCCGATCTATATCAGTCGCGAGCACTGGAAAGCATTCGGCGAGCATCCGACTTTTGCAAGCATTGAGGGAGCAACTCCCAACCATTGGCCAGAAGGCTTCACACCGAAGATTGTAGACCTCCAAGACAAGCCGCTTGGGCCCTGGAAACAGTCATATCCACTGACAGAAGATGGGAAGATCTGGATCGTGGACACATCTGGTCATGTTCCAGGGCATATCAGTTTGGTAGTATATAGTGACGAGTGCACATATAATAACTGCGTCACTTACTTTTTGCCTGGTGACGCGACCTATGGATTAGCTCTTCTGGATAAGGAGGAGCCAGATGGTGTCAACGATGATCCCATGCGTGCTCTACAGACCTTGAAAATGATCAGACAGTTTGCTAGAGAGACGGAAGTGGTCGTCTTGCCCAGCCATGATCCTGATACCCCGCGGCTATTGGCTGAGCGTGTACCATATCGACCATCAGATTGATGGGAATTTTATCCATCGGGTCAAGCAGAAATGCACTAGCAAGGTCCCTCGTGGGGAGCTTTGAATCTGCCTAACCCACTCACTGGCAGGTGCCTCAGGCCTCAGGCGCCTCCGCGCCCCCGCGCCCTTTCTATGTATAGTAATCACTAGATTGCTTCTCCTCTCCTATATCTCTGAATTCCAACGTTTTTGGCGCATTCATAAATCTTACATCGCTAGAAAAGGGCCTATTTTAACTTGATAACTAAAAGGAAAAGGACCGTCACGAAGGTCAGCCGACCGACAATTCTTTGACACAGAAACCCGACAGATCACTCACGCCTATCCACACATGCATGAATAATCCATGCACATAGAATGCGCCACTTGCTTCTATTGAATTCGGAGTCCGATGCATGTGCGAAAACGCCACAAGATTCGGCGTTTTCGATAGTGCTCAATTGACACTCTCCTGCTTGAAAAGGGGCGATCGTCAGCGCTATGGACTTCACAGCGTGGTTCCCGGTTGGTGCCTCGGGGTCTTGGCAGGGTCCACGGTTCGAACTATTAGCCCAAGACAGCTCGATCACCAGTCTCATTTCGCTTGCAAGTGCTTGGGGCCTTTCACACTAGAACATGCTTTCCTTCAAGTCGCTTTTTACCCCAGTTGCCCCACGAGGCTGTCGGAAAGGAGATGTCTCCACACCTGGCGATCTTGGATAAAAGTATTCGAATGCTTCGGGGAAATTGAACCCTTGCTCTTTCAGAAACTTCTAGATCACGAGATCACGTTGTTCCACGGCACTAGTGATGTTTTTTTCACGGCTGTTGAGCCTGGCTGCCATTTTGGCAAATCTAGGAGCTGCCGTGGAACTCACTGGTTATGAATATGTCGTTGTGGGATCAGGAGCTGGCGGAGGACCGCTGGCTGCCCGTCTCGCTCTTGCTGGCTACAAGACCCTATTAATTGAAGCTGGAGATGACCAAGGACTTAACGCTAATTATACTGTACCTGCATATTCCGCCAAGGCATCTGAAGATGAGGGTCTCGCCTGGAACTTTTTCGTCCACCACTACGCAGATGAACAGCGTCAGGCTCTGGACTACAAGACAACTTATACCACCCCCGATGGTGAAGAATACACTGGACTCAACCCGCCAGAAGGCTCAATAATGAAAGGCACTCTGTACCCTCGTACGGGAACCCTTGGCGGCTGCACTGCTCACAACGCTTTGATTACTGTCTATCCGCACGAGTCCGACTTTGAATATATCTCAACCCTCACCGGCGATGGATCCTGGTCACCGGAGAACATGCGCAAGTACTTTGAGCGCTTGGAGAATAACAATTACCTTTTGCCTCTTATCCCGGGTCACGGTTATGACGGTTGGCTGAGCGACGAAGAAGCTCCTCTTGACCTTGTCCTAGAAGACCCTCAGCTGTTGAGTATGGTCCTCGGTGGTGCCTTTGCCTTGGGCAACCAGACTAACGCCGTGTTCAATCTCGCAACTGTCCTGGCTGCTGACGCCAATCGGGATTCCAAGTCCCGCGATACCAATCCAGGGTACTACCAGATTCCTATCGCTACCGATGGCAACAAGCGCAACGGACCACGCGAGTTCCTTGTCAAGGTACGAGATGCGAAGAATGCGGATGGATCAAAGAAGTATCCCCTCGATATTCGCACCAACTGCCACGCGACCAAGGTTACTTTCGATGACTCCACCACGCCACGTGCTACCGGCGTGGAATTCCTCGACGGCAGGTACCTTTACCGCGCAAGTCCTCGCTCCAGCACTGCTGGCAAAGGCAGTCCCGGTAGTGTCATAGCCTCACGTGAGGTGGTTATCGCTGGAGGTGTATACAACTCGCCACAGCTGCTGAAGCTGAGTGGAATTGGTCCTGCCGATGAACTCCAAAAGTTTGGAATTGATGTTGTAAAAGACTTGCCTGGTGTGGGCACCAACCTGCAAGATCACTACGAAACTGCGGTACAAGGCCATCTGCCTCGGAATTTCAGTGCTCTCGACGGGTGTAATTTCGGTTTCGGGGGTGAGACAGATCCGTGCCTGACCCGATGGGAGAATCCCGGCCTGGGTAACCGTGGTGTTTACTCTTCCCCAGGCTTCGTCAGCACTATTTTCTACAAAAGTTCCGTTACGGCAGATGATAGCTACGATGCGTTCATCTTCGGCGGACCTATCAATTTCCGAGGCTACTTCCCCGGCTACAGCATCAACATCACCGAGCGCCATGACTGGTACTCCTGGGCTATTCTGAAGGCACACCCGCGCAACACTGCAGGCTCTGTGAAGCTCCTCTCTGCTGACCCACTCGATATGCCCCAGATTGTCTTCAACTACTTCGACACCGGTAGCGGTGACTATTCAAAGGACCTTGAGGCAATCACGGAGGCAATTCATCTTGCCCGTGACGCATTTTCTCGCCAGCTTGTCGAAGTCAAGGAAGTTCTTCCTGGAAAGGACATCACCTCAACCGAAGATATCCATGACTATATCATGAACACGGCTTGGGGTCACCATGCTTCATGCACTTGTCCTATTGGCCCCGATGAGGATCCAATGGCGGTTCTTGACTCAAAGTTTCGAGTCCGTGGCGTGAATGGCCTTCGTGTTGTGGATGCTTCGGTGTACCCGCGTATCCCCGGGACTTTCACCGCCCTGTCAACCTACATGGTGGCGGAGAAGGCGGCAGAGGATATGGTGAATGATGCGAAAGCGAGCAACTAGAATAACTTCCTTGCTGACTCAGCCTCCGATTGGTGGTTGAGTACTCGTACAGGATAAAAAAACGTGGATTTGTGATGAGACACGATTGCTCTTGCAGAACCAGGCTTGATTCAAGGGATGTAAATACCGGAGATTTAGCAATTACTTGACTAATTCCAACAATGGAAGTACCGTGGCAGGACAAAATTGTGTAAAGTCCCCAAATGTAGGCCAAGAACTCGCAGTGGCGCTAATGTAAGTTATTGGTTCTCCAGAGGAATAGTCCTTTTCTAAGGTTACACCACATTTGAGGGCTGCATTGGGCTTTCAGACCTCGACTGACTTCTTTTCTCGACTATAAACCACAAGAGAAAGCATTTGACTCGAACAAAAAGAGCTTTATCAAGTAAACGGGAATCTTCAACTCTAAAGATCAATGAATACATTGTTCAAACGTGGTCCTCGGCAGAATATCTCCTCGATAAACAAAACTTTGCATGCGACCAATAACTTTTCATAGATGCAGGATCGTCGCCTACGTGCCTAAGTGGGTACCGAAATACCATTTTCAGATTAAGAAAGTATGTATACTACGTGTTCGCGGGCAGCTCTCAGCCCTTATCGCAGGATTTCTGATCTCAGCACTAGAAACCTGTAATTCCCCCCAGACCCACAAAGCTGACCACTCACATCTGGTGCAAAGCTTGCCATTTTTGTATGGAAGCATAAAGTGATATCGCCTCGACGTAATAGGCTTGCTCGAATAAAATGTGGACTGGCTGATGGGACCAAGACCGTTCTCGGTTCTAGTTTCCATCACACAACCCACGCACAACGCTGGGGATAAGAATAGAAACAGTCAGACTCGGTCTTCTCGGTTGCTTGGTGTGCAGTACACTGCATCAATGGGGCATGCACGGAGGGACCACACGATACTTGTCGCGCTGGAGAGGTATACGATGGTATATGATAATTTACCCGATACTTTTGTCCGCTGTGGTACCCCGCACGAGGGATAAATTTTTCGACAAGGCATCTGCATTTTTCTTGTATGTTCAGTAAGAGAACTAAATTTTCGATTTGATCAACATGGAGAAAGAAAGGACTGGCTTTTTAACTCAGCAGGAATGCCATCCTACTGATTTGGTTGACGGAGGAGTAAGTATTCGAAGCCTATTATGATGAAAAAATTACGATGCTTGAATTGGCTAACGAACACACTTTGTATAGCATCTGAATAAAGAAGTTAGCGTCCAAGAGCTTCGTAATGCCATCCCCGACTATTGCTTTCAGCCAAGCCTCTTCTGGTCCTTCTTCTATCTCGCCCGAGACCTGACTTACTCCGCTATCTTACTCGGTAGTCTTTACTATTTGCTTCATACTGAGTTCGTGAGTCAGTCGACTATTGCGTACTATGCGGTGGTCAACGCGTATGGCTTCACCCAGGGAGTTGTGTGGACGGGGTTGTGGGTTATTGCCCACGACTGTGGTCATAGTGGTTTCTCAACTTCCGGTCTTCTGAATGACTCTATTGGCTTCACTCTGCACTCGGCCTTGCTTGCACCATACTTCTCTTGGAAGTCAACGCATCGTCGTCACCATATTTATGCCAACCACATTGATAAAGATCTCAACTATGTCCCACCCCGACGGGGTGACTATGCTGAGAAGATCGGTCACGCTGCGGAGATGCTCGAGGAAGTCGGCCAGGATGCCCCTCTTGTCCTGTTCCTTCGTATCATCCTACAGCAGACCATCGGATGGAACTGGTATATCTTATCCAATATCACATGCCCTTCCACAGCTGTGATCAAACAGGGTATGTCTGCCTGGAGACACAGCCATTTCGACCCGTGGGGTGCGATGTTCCGCGAGTCGGAGAAGATAGCCATTGTGTTGTCTGACATCGGATGCTTGACGACAATCGCTGGGCTGTATCACCTGTACCACGTGTTTGGCTCCTTCGAGACCTTGTTCTGGGTTTATATTGTCCCCTGGACATGGGTGAATCACTGGATCGGTAAGTTTCACAAGTTCCTGGCTAGACCTTGCGACTAACAATGCATGCAACACCGTAGTAATGATCACCTATCTTCACCATACACACCCGTCAGTGCCAAAGTACACTGCAGACTCATGGACCTTCCTTCGTGGTGCCACGGCCACCATCGACCGCGACTTTGGTATCATAGGCACGCACTTCATGCACCACATTTCCTCCGACCATGTCACGCACCACCTCTTCTCTCGAATTCCTCATTACTATAGTCGAACTGCAAGCAAAGCGATCATTCCCCTCCTCGGAAAACATTACCACGGTCGTGGCAAATTTCGCTACGAGGACCTCCAGATTGCATTCCGTGATTGCCAATGGGTCGAAGAAGATGCGACCAAAGACAAGACATTAGGGCTACGTAAAGAAGGTGAGATCCCTAACCGTGACGACGAAGCACTATGGTACCGCGGTGGCATCAGCCCAGCACCTGAGTTTAAGATGCGAGGATCGGCCCTCGTGCACAAGAAGACCGCATGAAGCAATGCATGTATGCAGAACATTGAAAGACCAATTATAAACCCAGACCGAGAATTCAACATTGATCGCCTAGCCTAAGAATTTGTAATCGCTTCAATCAGTTTAAACACCTTAGCCTCCAGCGCCCGCGCGGCCACATGTAGCGCCTCGTTCTCAGCCGCACCGGCGTGTCCGGCGACTAGACCATCTGGCAGCAAAATTACCATCTTTGCCGAGCCGTCATTTTGCTCGAAGAAACCACAGTCCAAGGGAACATGCATAGCTGCCTCGATGCTCTCACGAATCATCGTGATCGCGAACAGAGGGTTTCCAAAGATGAAGCGGTGAGCTCCATGTCCAACGCCAGCTGCCTCAGGCGCTGTGGTAAACGGAGGGAAATGACTGATCCAATGCCCGTGATTGAATTCGTTGAATAGTACGAAGCCTGTTGTTGTTGCGGTGTCGCGAACTACTGCCTCGATTTGGTCGGGGCTAGTTGCATTGCGCAGGTCACCCAGCTTGATAGGTGGCACCAGGGAACGAAAACGCTCGACAGCTTGTGCGTACGGCGTCACGATGTCGATAGCTAGTCGACGGACTGAGATAGTCTCTACTGTGGCGTTGGGTGGCAGTGACATTGTTGAAGAAACCAGACGGGGAGAGCGAAGGAGGTTCGGCGACCCGACGGGTGGATGATGGAAGCGGGGCAGCAATGCAGCGCCTCGGGCATCACCATCGGTCACATGACACCTAGAAGTGTCAAATTGGGGCCAGCTGTCCAATATAGCTATAACATTGTTGTCAAATTCGGGATCACCATGTTCCGTCCAATCGGCCAAGTGTATGTGTACATATATGTTTTGTAGTTTGGATGATGTGGACCCGTTCTTCATCGCCTGTATTATCCGTTTCATGGCTAAACACTAACCCTATTCCGACCATGTGAAGCTGACATGCAGCTGGGGGCGAAAAGCCGCGGAAGACAGTTATTAGAGTCACACAAAGTCCGCCTTGCAGAATGGGGGTTGTTTTTCCTTTTCTTTTAATCGCTTATAGGCCACAGCTGTGATGTCCGCTTCATTCAGTGTACCTCCTCTCGAGGCCGACTTTCCTTTCGACATCATTTCTCACCTCATCCCCGTCTCTCCATTTCGCGAATACCCGCATGCCATATCGGACGAAAAAAAAGGTGTCCACTTATCGGTCAAACAATACATTCCTCGAAATGAACCATTTAGATACGAAGACACGGTCCCGATTACCATCCTCGCATCAGGAGGCGTAGGATTCATTAAAGAGCTCTACGAGCCTCTTTTTGCAGAATTACTATGCAAAGCACGCCAGAATGGAACCATCATCCAATCAATCTGGATCGCAGATATGTACAACATCGGCGAAAGCGCTGTGGCAAATCGACACAACCTAGGTTGCGACCCCGCCTGGACCGACCACTCACGCGATTTAATGGACGTGATATACCACTTCCGCGACAAAATGACGCGACCGATAATCGGACTCGGCCACTCCTTTGGCTGTAATCAGCTTTTCAGCTTGTCAAACTGGCATCCCAATCTCTTCCACTCTCTCGCGTTCATCGAGCCGGGTATTGATCCTTTATATGGAATGGGAACGACAATCGGTTGGGCGAACGCGATTCTGAAATTCAAAGATGCGTATTCGACGAGACAAGAAGCGGAAACTCAATTGTTCAGGTTGCATAACGCCAAAGCTTGGGAGAGGAGCGTCAGTGAGCGGTTCAGAGAATATGGTGTTTATGGAAGAGAGGGAGAGAAAGGCGAAGAGTGGGCTATTACAACGCCCAGAAATCAACTGGTTGCTTTGATAGGTCGGATGAACCCGACAGGCGTTGGTCGCGGGCCTGGTGGTATGGCTGATGTGACTCTGGCCGATCGAGAATCCGTCCCTGATGCTGACCCGGAGGGACATCAATTGGGTCATTTCTACCGACCTGAACTGAAGAAAGCTTGGGATATGTTGCCGAATATGCGACCATGGGCACTTTATATTGGGGGAAACAATTCGCCTGCCTTTGGGCCTGTGAAGGTTCGGGAGGAGAGGCTCCGTCTGACTGGGATCGGTGTTGGAGGAAACGGAGGAGTGAAACTCGGCGCCGTGAAGCAGGTTGTGATTGAAGACGGGGAGCATACTATGACTTTTGATCGCAATCTGTACAAAGTGGCAGGTCATGTGGCGGATTTCCTTGCTACCGAGTCTAAGCGTTGGGCAGAAGGGCCCAAAATGCGGCAGGATAAGTGGCTGCAGAAGAGCTTGGAGGAGAGACAGAGCGTTGGACAAGATTTTGTCGACGGTTTGGCAGAGGAGAAGAAGAGGATGAGACTGGCTCAGAGACAGGGCAAATTGTAGAGAGCCAGCTGTATGTAATTGACATCTTGCACATACTATATTTCTAGACTTCGATAAATCAGCACTTGATCCTGGCTGCCTAGTCCAGTATCAAATTATATGTTTACAGCTATCTGTAAGTTATTAATTGCCCTGTTTTAAAGTCTATCACTACACTAGGTTTAATATTGCCGTAAGCTTATTGACCGCCATGCCCTTGAGTAGACCCCCACCTCACGGACTGTCCAACGCGAGACTTGGATAAATCTCACTACCACCTAGCAGTATGTCTGAGTTACAGATAAGCTTCAAAGACATAGGTGGGAGTTGGAGCCTTCTGGCTGGAATCTCCATCATCATTGTCAGCAAGCACCCTCTGTTATTGCTGGAGCGCACAACTGATAAGCACAGGTTTCCAGTACAATCTTATACCGACTTTACTTCAACCATCTTTCCAGGTACCCAGGACCCATTCTGGCCCGATTATCTTCCATACCGCACTATTATCACGCAAGAAACGGCGACAGACATGAATGGATCCACAGTCTTCACCTTCGATATGGTATGTTTTTAATCAAAACAATGAACCGTCAGCAACTTGTCGCTCACGACATATAGGCTCCGTCGTGCGTTTTACTCCGGATCATATATCCTTCAATACTCCGACAGCAGTTGAAACCATTTACAAGTCACGCAAGTCCAACGTAATCAAGTCAGACTGGTATCAAACAGTCCGAGATTCAGCTGGTGGCTTCGAGAGCACCTTCACAGCCAGGGAGAAAAACCGACATGCGATCAAACGTCGACTATTGTCTCATGCATTCTCTGAAAAAGCGTTGAAGAATTATGAGCCGAGGATCTGTAATCTCATCGATTCATGGATAGAGTGTCTTGGTGCTGAGGCAGAAAAGGATGATGGATGTGTTGATCTGGGAGAGTGGTGCAATTACTTGATCTTTGATATCCTGGGGGACCTAGGATATGGGCAATCTTTTGAACTCACAGCAAAAAAGGAGAATCGTTCAATTGTTGGACTTGTTCCTAAAGCCACAGCAGGCTGGACATCTGTGAGCCTTGACGGATCTCTTCCCACAGCAGCCAGTGTCACTGATGGAAGCAGCTGGGCTACCACCCTTTCACCAAGATTTTGCGATGGATTATTTTCAAGACAAGACTAGGTTCCATACTAGGAGGCCAATCGTTCCACGACAACGCCCGATTCCGAGACTTCTGCCTCCAGAAACTAGAAGCCCGACGCCAGGCCTGGACCCAAGATACCTCCAACGAAAAGCGAAGCACAGACATGTTCGAATACCTCCTTAACGGTCGCGACCCAGAGACAGGCCAAAGCTACACAATCGGTGACCTAGCCTGCGAAAGCGTCCTCCTGATGGTAGCAGGTTCACAATCAACATCAGGCGCTCTATCCGCAACATTCTTCTATCTAGCGCACCACCCATCAGCCCTCTCAAAATCACGACACGAAATCCACAACACCTTCCCACACCCTAGCACAATTCACTACACCCATGGCAACCCACTCGTAACCCTCCCCTACCTACGCGCCTGCATCGATGAAAGCCTTCGCCTCTCACCCCCAACACCAGGCCACCTGCCGCGGGAGATCGTGGGCGAGGGACTTGTTATCGATGGATGTACGTTCCCGCCGGGCACAAATGTCGGTGTGAGTCCGTACGCAATTCACCGAACGGGAGTCTTCCGGGATCCGTTTGCGTTTGTGCCGGAGCGTTGGCTGGATGGAGAGCACACGCTAGGAACGGCTTTTCATCCGTTTAGCGCGGGTGCAACGGGTTGTCCCGGCCGGCAGCTGGCGATCATGGAGCTTTCTTTGACTGTTGCGAGGTTACTTTGGAAGTTTGATTTGTCAGTGGTAGGTGGCACGGGGACTGGGATTGGTGACGTTGAGTATCGGATGAGGGACTTTTTTGTGGGTGAGGGTGTCGGGCCTAAGCTCCAGCTGGTTCTTTGTCCGCCGTAAAGAAATCGGTGTACTCCGTAAACCTTGCCGGTGTCCCGTGAATGATGAGAGAGGGGTAAATTGACATCTTAGTCTAACATTTGGGTGGCGGAGTGCTGATAGAGGAGCGGGTGGATATTACCTGGACTGATTCTGGGCCTACACCGTATAATGAACTTGTACGCTGTTTAGTGCTGCACAATTGAGACAATCCAGCTATGGCACCCATTCTAAGATGATACTAAAAAGTTCCATCTATATACAGTCCCGAGTGTCTGGCTCTGGGGTTAAGTTACCAAGAAACCTCCCCCGACGGGAATGTTTCCATGTTTCCCTAGGTTCCACAGCTGTCAACCCCGCTCGCCAGAAAAGCCCGAAAGAGACCCAGAAAATGACATTCCACATGGCAGATAGCCTGTGTCCAACCAGCTCTTTGAAAAGCTGTGTCTCCACTCGAAGGGGTTCGTCCGCTCCCGGTGGCCATCAAAATCCAGTAATCCAGATAGACCGCCACTCAAAGTCTATCAAGCATGTCTCCAGCGTCAGATAGCTCGATACGAAGCCCGTACAGAGATCTACTAAACGTGCATCAATGATAGTATCATCGTGGAAGGTCCAAAGCGAACGCCGTGCATGTCGGACCCCGGACCCGAGCTACCCTGGTTGCATGTTCGCCTAACGGGAGCTGCACGATGTAGCTCTGCCGGGATTGCTTTCATGCAAATTCATGCACAGGCATAAGGCACCGGATCGCCTTCTTGCGATCGGCCAATGCATCGCGACCACGTTCAGTGGCGGGTGGTCGGTGCAGAAAGGCACAAACCTTACTTATTTCAGGAGAATCGAGGCCTCGGGGACCTCACGAAGGGGGCAAATATATGGAGGAAAGGCGCCGAGAAGAGCATGCTGCATGAAGGGCGCATATCTGACGCAAAGGAAATTATAGGGAGGAATAAGGAAAATTTGATTAGGTGGCAACCCCATTGGATGAAATGCATCAAACCCCGCTCGTCGGTAGCCGAGGCCATCGATAGAGCTAAGTGGAGTCTGGCCTGAATGATGTCCCGCCTTCCACGTTGTAAGGTCCTTAAACTCTTGCCTAGTCGAGTAAGGTCTCGAGAATGACGGCAATCAGTTGCCATGGGTGGCTATGTGCGATGTAGATCTATGGGCTGATTTTGCAGGAATCGTGTCGCGCACTCTACGCAGGAGGCCGGAAGGGTGCGGCTAGCAGGGGGCCCTAGGTGGTTCTTTTTGTGTTGTAGTGTTGTCGCCAGGATGTGATCGCTAGGGCGTTGCCAGGGGCCCGGGGGAGGATCCCTGGTTGGCGGTGAAAGAGACCACGGTTGATTGTTCATAATTACTACTCAATTTTTGACGTCTGGGAAGGACACAATATACACGGCAGTCAGAAATCAAAAGCGCCCCAGATACGGACAGGGATGGACGATCACCTGCAGGGAGATCCCCTTAGTTGAAATTTCTTCAGCGAGGCCACGCGAACAGGGTCGAACGCGAAAGCGCGTCCATGTGGGTAAACACTGGGGATACGGGAAGTCAATTGGCCAATAGAGGAGGATAATGGCCGCCGTTAGAGGCGAGAAACCTGGAAACCCGGGGATCGGCGTTTGGATGCTGCAGCATGCTGCAGCTAACAGTACGCGCAGGAAGTGGATTCCCCCCTCCCCCGAGCTACTAGAAGGTGGTCCCGGCCCAGGACATCGGAGTCCAGACTCCGACACGCTGGTTCCTGTGGCTCGACCGTTTGGGACCGTTTGAACGTAATTTCAACAGGGAGTTTCTCGTACGACGAAAGGCTCCACCCCGGAGGCCGCGTAGAGATACGACTGGCTGATTTCACGTGAGGGAAATAATCCGGTTCATACGCTGATCAGGCAAAAAAGAAAGGTGCTCGTGCTTTGTTCGACGTGGAACCTCGGGCTAGCGTCTTAATCACCCCCTCTCTAAGACTTGGAGTCTAGAGTCTGGATTTGCCTAGAAATATGGCTGCTCCTCCGACTTGGGGAAGGCACTGAGTCTTCTATCATCATGCGGCCCCTTCTGGTCAATGGCGTCACCGGCCATGGGGGCACTCCGGATGCTTTGGAACCCATCGCCGTCGTTGGCCTTGCTACGCGTGTCCCCCAGGCCACCTCGACCGAAAGCTTATGGGAGATCCTATTGCAGGCACGATCAACCTGGTCTTCCATTCCGAAAGAACGATTCAATGCCGCCGCATTCTACCATCCAGATCCTGAGCATGGAGGCACGGTGTGTGATGCTCTCCCCATAGTTACGAGATATCAAAATGCTAAACCCAATCTAGTTTCATGTACAAGGAGGTCATTTCCTCGCCGAAGACCCTGCGTATTTTGATGGATCTTTCTTCAATATCACCAAGAATGAACTGTTGACACTCGACCCGCAACAACGGCTGGTCCTAGAGAATGTCTTCCATGCGCTTGAAAATTCTGGGATTTCCATGGCTGATGCTCTGGGCTCAAACACGTCTGTTTTCGTCAGCGGATTCAATCACGACTACCTCAGTATCCTCAATTCTGATCCTGAGACGAATATCAAGTACAAGCCCACCGGAGTCACGAATTCAATTCTGTCGAACCGAGTGAGCTGGTTCTTTGACTTTAAAGGTCCCAGTATGACCATTGATACGGCCTGCTCTAGTAGTCTGGTTGCACTGCATCTCGCGGTACAGAGCTTGCGGGCTCGTGAAACAAATATGGTGGGTAAAGGTCTTTCATGAAACGAGATTGGGTCTTTGGGCTAACTGCTCCTCGAAAGGCTCTTGTCAGCGGCGTAAGTATCCTAGAGAACCCCGTAGAGACAATTGGCATGAGCCACCATGGCCTGCTGGGTGCTCACGGCCGGTCGTTCAGCTTTGATGCACGAGCAGAGGGCTATGCCCGGGGAGAAGGTGTGGGTACGATAGTCCTCAAGCCCTTGTCCATTGCCGTGAGAGACGGCGATACGATCCGCGCGGTGATACGTGAGACTGGAGTCAACCAGGACGGCCGAACACCAGGTATCACTGTGCCAAGCGCAGAAGCCCAAGAGAGATTAATACGAGAGGTGTACTGGAGAGCCGGCCTGGACTTGGAGGAGACGAGGTTCGTCGAGGCTCACGGCACTGGCACTCCAACGGGTGATCCGATTGAGGCAGGTGCCCTTGCCCGGGCATTTAAATGCCGACGAGACACTCCCTTATACATCGGCACAATCAAGTCTACCCTCGGCCATCTTGAAGGTGGCTCCGGTGTTGCGAGTCTCATCAAATCCATTCTCATTCTCGAGTCCGGCATCATTCCACCCAACTTCGATCTGCAGAAAGTTAACCCGAAAATCCCAGCGGAGGATTGGAACCTCGCCTTCCCTACTAAGAATATCCCCTGGCCTTCGTCGGGCCTCCGCAGAATATCCGTCAACTCTTTTGGAATCGGGGGGACCAATGCTCACTGTGTCCTCGACGATGCTTACCACTATCTCAACCAACGACGCATCGCAGCTACCCACAATACAACGATGACAGTACCGAAGCTTTCGATGCTTAGAGGGAGATATTTAACGCCACAATCAGACAATGAGACGTCTCACAGTAGATCAAGCTCAGCCGATGAAAGCGATCATTCCGCTAGCAGCGGTGCCTTTGTCGACACGCCTACAAGCGATGCATTCTGCTCCTCTCCTGTCCTCGGAGCATGGGACTCATACACGAGCTTGATGAACGTCCCAAAACTTTTCATGTTGTCCGCTTTTGACGAAGATGGCGTCCAGCGAAATGCGTCAGCGTACGCCCACTACCTCGACCGAAAGAGGAGCGCTCGAAATTCCCTCGACCGAGTCCTCGATGACCTCTCCTTTACCCTTTCGAACCGCCGCTCGTTGTTTCCTTGGAAAAGTTTTGTCATGGCATCGACACCGAAAGAGCTTGCTTGGAACCTTTCCGAATCAAGATTCACCAAACCTGTCAGGTCGACTCTTAGACCGGAGGTTTCTTTCGTCTTTACCGGACAAGGCGCTCAATATCAGGCGATGGGCAGTGCTCTGTTGACCTATCCGGTGTTCCAAGAGTCACTAGAGGAGGCCTCCGAATACATTCGTCGGTTGGGAAGCCCATGGTCACTGATCGGTAAGGCACCTTCAACCTCTATATATTGACAAAATATCAGCTAACATGATGTAGAGGAACTGGTCTCCGAGAGAAAGTCTCCCCGTGTCAATCTTCCTGAAATCGCCCATCCGCTCTGCACGGCACTGCAAGTCGCCATCGTTGACCTGTTGGCCAGCTGGGGTGTGTTCCCGAAGTGTGTGACTGGTCACTCGTCCGGTGAAATCGCTGCGGCATACTGTGCTGGTAAACTATCCCGAGAGGGTGCATGGAAGGCTGCATACTACCGCGGATATGTTTCCTCAAAGCAGCTTTCTGCCAATGGAGCAATGATGGCGGTTGGACTAGGGTCTTCACAACTGGAGCCATATCTCGATGCCGTTCGACAGCAAACCCCTGGAGAGCTTATAATCGCTTGCTACAACAGCCCCAAGAACAATACAGTGTCTGGTGACGAGATAGTGGTTGACACGCTAAAGGAACTCCTGGATTCTGACGGTGTCTTCGCTCGGAAGCTAAATGTTAAGAACGCCTACCACTCAGCACACATGGTCGCCATCTCTGAAGAGTACTTACACCTTATGGGCAACATTGCCAACGGAAAACACCTGGCCGCACCCCACATGGTGCACATGATCTCGACGGTCACAGGGAAAGAGGTTATGGATGAACACCTCCCCGGCCAGTACTGGGTTGATAACATGGTATCGCCTGTGAAATTCACCGATGGCCTGACTGCAATGAACACCCAGTCATCTGATGCCAGCGATCACATAACCCATATCGTGGAGATCGGGCCACACTCGACATTGCAAAGCGCCATCAAAGAGACGCTTGGTCTGCACAAAGATCGATCGGCCACCAAATACCTTGCAGTCTTGAAACGCAATGACGCTAGTCTCAATGTCTTGCTGAATACAGTTGGGTTTCTGGCTGTCAATGGTTGCGCAGTAGATTTGCACAAAGTGAACATCGCTTCTCGGCCACGTGCGAGGCTGTGCAAAATGCTGGTCGATCTGCCTCCTTACGTCTTCAAGCACACAGAGAAGATCCTCTACGAGAGTCGACTCAGCAAGAATGTGCGGCAAAGAAAGTTCCCGCGTCATGATCTTTTTGGTGCCCCTGTCGCGGACTGGAATGTGAATATCCCGCGGTGGAGACATTTCGTGCGATTGAACGAGAATCCGTGGCTTAGAGATCATGTGGTGAGTACATGGAGTAGATCAAACCGATAAACTTTGCTGATCGTTATTAGGTCACAGGAAACTGTGTCTACCCTGGAGTTGGGTATCTGATCATGACCATTGAAGCCGCTCGTCAATTGGCTGGTGATAAACAAATCAATGGATTTCAGCTTCGTCAAGTTTCCATCAGGAGAGCCTTAATCGTCCCTGATACCAAGGGGGGAATAGAAGTCAGCCTTTCAATGACAACGGCAGACAACTCCTCTGAGTCGAGACTATGGCGTCGCTTTCAGATCAGCTCCTACAACGAGTCCAGCGATGAGTGGACAGAGCACTGCTCAGGATATATCCATGTTGAACTGACATCGTCACCTGATCCCGTCGACAATGGCCGCGATAAAATTGAGGAATCACGAGCTTGGAAAGCTGATCTGAAGCATGCCCAGGAAATATGCACCCGACCAATGAACTTCCATAACACTTACGACAATCTTCAAAAATCTGGACTCAATTTCGGTCCTCTTTTCCGTAATCTGGGCAATGTTAGATCAAGTGGATCACGACTCGGCTCCATTACTGGTACAGTAACAGTCCCTGACATCGCGGAGTCCATGCCAAAGCAGTACATGCACGACCATTTGATCCACCCTGCGACAATGGACAGCATGATTCATATGATGATTGCATCGATTCTAGATCAGACCGGCAAATCCTCTTTAGAGATAATCAGACTTCCCACATACATCCGCGACATGTGGGTTTCGGCAGACCTGAATTCCACACCACAGCACAAGTTCACCGGGCATGCATCCGTGACTGTTTCCGCAACTGAGAAGGTCGAAGGAGTGATTCGAATCATGGATGAAACAAGCAATGAAAGTCGGATTCGCATGGACGGAATCGAGCTCACGCCTCTTGAGTCCGGTCTTGTGGAAGACATCGAGCGTCAACTTTGCACCACCCTGGAGTGGAAACCGGACTTGAATTTCCTGGATTCGAGGACTGCATGCGAGCTCAACATGGCCAAGACTGATGAGCATGATCACAATCGGTACTGGATCAAGCGTCTTCAGCTTGCTACAATGCTTTATGTCACTGATGCTTTAGATCAATTGGCTGGGCTTGATGTGATGACACTTGACCTTCATTTGCGCAGGTTCTGGGACTGGATGAAGCATACGCAAGACACGCTTTTCAGTGACAAGATAATTCATCTTCCCTACGCCGAGTTCAGGCAGGTCGCCCAAGATAATACATTAAAGTATGCTGTCTTTGATGAGATCGAAGGACACAGTTCAGAAGGTGCAATTACTGCTCGCATGGGTCGCAACATTGCTGGCATCATGCGGCAGGAAGTTGACCCTCTACACTTAATGTTTGGTGAAGATGCAGTCATGGAAGGTGTCTACAAGGAAGGTCTCCGTCTTTACGATCTCCCGCAGCATCTTATCAGCCACCTTTCTCTTTTGCGTCATCAGTACTCCGAGCTGAACATCCTGGAGATTGGTGGCGGCACAGGAAGTTTCACAGCCGAAGTTTTAAACGTGCTTTCGCCAGAGTCAGATGCGACCCGAGGAATTGTCGCACACTACACGTTCACAGACATCTCCTCAGGATTCTTTGAGAAGGCAAAGAAACGCTTCCAATCATGGAGCGACATAATGACATTCCAGTCTCTTAACATCGAAAGAAGCCCCATCGACCAAGGCTTCGAGACTGGAAAATACGACTTGATCTTCGCTGGAAATGTCATTCACGCCACCGCCAACCTCCACAATGCCCTTGGCAATTTGCACTCTCTGCTTCGACCTGGTGGTCAGCTTATAATGCAGGAGGGCATCAGACAAGACTTTTTGTGGTACCCTCTTGTCTTCGGTCAGCTTCCTGGATGGTGGCTTGGAAATGAGCCTATCAGAAAGTGGTGCCCTTATATACCAGCTACCGAATGGAACAAAATTCTCTCGGAGTCTGGGTTCTCCGGTGCCGACATCGAGTACCCAAGCTCGACACAAGAGGACTTGAGCTGGCAAAGCATTATCGTTTCTACAGCCACGGGTGCAAAAGTCAAGTCTTTTGAAAACATCTTCATTTTATCATCCGGATCACCTGCAATGGCAGGTACAATCGACGTCCTTCGCCAGATGTTTCCACAGATAAAGGGAGCCCCCAATGTGACTGTAGTGAACCCATCGCAGCTTGATCAGTTGGCTGCCCAAGGCGCTATCATCATCTCTCTAATCGACCTTGAAAAGAACTTTGTTTCCGAAATGGACGAACCAGAGTACAAATCTCTTAAGAAGATGCTGATGGAATACCAAAACATATTGTGGGTGACACCCGATCCGCGCGACGAACCGTTCGCCAACATGAGCATGGGCCTACTTCGCACCGTTCGTTGGGAACGGGATGCCGATGGTTCGAACATTGTGACTCTGGCAATCGCTGATTCCAAGGGCGTTTCCTCGAATGTGGTGGCTATCAACATCCGCAAGATTGTTGAGCGACAGTTCCTGGAGCAGAATGATGATGACCGCCATGGAGAGTATCATCTCAAGGATAGCACAATATACATCGGTCGTCTGTGTGAATGGAAGAAAGCGGACAATTTCCTCACTATGCAGTCTTCAAATCTGGCCCTTGAAATGAAGAAACTCTGTGATTTGGAAAAGCCCATTAAACTTGTCTCTGAGTCAAATGATCTGCACTGGATCGTGGATGACTCTCACCAGACTCCCCTGAGCGACACAGAAATTGAGGTCGAGGTGCATGCAGTTGGTCTTAACTCCTATTCCAATGCGGCCGGTCTATCAAATGAAGCTTCCGGTATTGTCAAAAAAGCTGGCGGCGCAGTGGAGGGCCTCGCCTTAGGTGACCGTGTCAACTTCCTGAGCGCAGAAGCTACTTGCTTCCGGACCTTGGCTCGAGTTGATCAGACTCTGGCAATCAGATTGCCAGAAAACGTCACATTTGAAGTCGCTGCTGGGCTGTCTTCGAATTATACCGCTGCTTTATACAGCCTGAGAGAAGTGGCCAGACTCAGCGAGGATGACACTGTCTTGATCCACTCAGGCGCCTCTGCCCTTGGTCAATCAGCCATTCAATACGCCAAGATGATCGGAGCCAAGATTTACACCACGGTGTCAAAACCTGAAGATCGATCATTCATCACTTCCAATTATGGCATTCCCAATGACCATGTCTATTCAAGCGGCGATCTCAGCTTTGCCAGGGGTATCATGAGAAGCACGAAGGGTGCAGGTATCGATGTCATCTTCAATACTCTGACCGGTGAAGCCTTACAAGAGTCTCTGAGCTGCATTGCCCCGTTCGGCCGCTTCATTGAGGCATCCAGCAAGAAGTCTCGGAACAATACCACCATCGAGCTTACTTCACTAGAACGCAATGTGACAATGTCTAGCATCGACATGTCACTCCTGATCAAGCAACGCCCGAAGGTTGTTCGGCGTTTGTTGAGAGACACGCTGAAGCTATTCTCTGAAGGCAAGATTGGCCAGGTTCACCGCACGGCAGTCATGGATTTCACGCAGATCAAAGACACCGTACAGGCTCTACGGGACAACCAGAGCCTAGACAAGATGGTTTTCGTGCCTGATCCTTCGAATGCCATTCTTGTTGCCCCTGATATCATGCCTCCTTTCCAATTCGACAGCACTGCATCCTATCTACTTGCTGGCGGTCTTGGTGGGTTGGGACGCAGCCTGGCTCGCTGGATGGCTTCCCGTGGTGCACAGAATCTCATCTTCCTATCACGAACTGGAACTGTGACTGAGTCGGTTGAGGAGATGATTGCCGATCTGAAGATTTTAGGGTGCAACACTCACATCTTCGCCTGTGACGTTGCTGATGCAGATCGCCTTCGCGCTGTTGTCGATGAGTGTTCGCTTACATTGCCGCCAATCAAGGGATGCTTTCAGGGGTCCATGGTTCTACGAGTAAGTGCACAAAGTCTTCCATTTCATAGCCCTTGCTAACGTATTATCTAGGACGGTGCTTTTGCCAGCATGTCGTTTGATGACTGGAAAGCCACAATCTGCCCCAAGGTACAGGGCTCGTGGAACCTGCACCAGGCCCTTCCACAAGATCTTGACTTCTTCGTGATGTTATCCTCGGTTGCCGGCATCTTCGGTAACCGAGGCCAAGCCAACTACGCAGCCGGAAACACCTTCCAAGATGCACTAGCCGCATTCCGCACTTCCAAAGGCTTGAAAGCATCCAGTATCAACCTGGGCAGTGTTTCAAATGTCGGATGGGTTGCAGAGAACCGAAACTCGATGCCCACGAACACCGCAGTACTATTCGAACTTTTGCGCGAAGACGAGGTCCATGCCGCCGTTGAGTTCTTGATCGATACCAGATACGAGAAGACGGCCGGACGGGATGCCCTCTCTCAATCGCAGCTGGTCCTTGGTCTCCCAACCACTCAGATGTGCCAACAAAACGGCATTCCACCACCGACATATCTCAATTATTCTCTATTCACGCAACTTCGCACGACAGCTACCGCCAAAGCTATTGGATCAGGAGAACAGAAAGCGATCAGCACAGCCGCGCTTCTCGCCGCAGCATCCAACAAAGAAGACGCTGTGGCCGTTGTCTCAAACAGCCTTATTGAACGACTATCCTCCCTCCTCGCCATCCCAACAACAGAGCTCGACCCACAAAGGTTCGGCTTCGGAGGTATTGACTCATTGGTCGCCATGGAATTTCGCTCTTGGATCGTCAAAGAGCTGAAAGCCGAAGTCTCCCTCTTGGATATTATGGGTGCGCAGAATATTTTTGGTCTGAGTGAGAAGATCGCTCAGACTAGTCGACTTCTCGTCGGTGAATCATGATTTAATGACTTTCCTTATGTTTGTATTGTTATTCTTGCATTTACATTTACGACCCATCACCAGTATGACCGATATGACTCATGAAGCTGCCTGCGATTTTTAATATGACTTTGACTATTTTATGAATTTATGTTATCTAGGTCTAATAAAGTACAATGTTTTTTTAACTTTTTGCTTCTGTCATCCTAGCTTTGAAAAACCACAACTACCCCACTACCAAAGAAGCGGCAAGCATAACAAGTCCACCAAACCCATCCATCCCGGAACACCACTCTTCCCAACTTGCACTACTTCTCGGGGGGCTTTCGGATGTGATGGCCGTGTGGACCATCATAGACCTAGAATCCCCCCCCAACCTCACTAGCTCACCACTCTTCGCTAATCCAAACTCACCTCTCGCCTCTCGCTCATTCTCATTCTCTTTGGTCCACATACTTTCATCACTCGCCTCCCAAAGCTCCTTCTTGGCTGGCAATGGAGCTAGGACCAAGTCCTTGGGCAGATTACACATTGCGACCGGCTCGAAATAAACCAGCATGTTGATGACTCGATAAATTAGCGATAGTCTTCGTCTCGATTCCTCATAAAGCCAATCTTTCCAACTTCGGTCAAGGCGATAGTGGGACGCAATGTCGTTTTGGTAGGTTTGTAGCGCCAGGATCTTTATTTTCTGATTAGCGCAAGCTAAAGAGAACAATAGGGGCTTGACTTACTGCGAAGGTGCCAATTAACAGTGAATCGATGTCGTTGTGTTCTGTCTCTCCCTCATCTAACCTGATGAGAATGTAAATAGACATGGCTTGCATACCAGCGAGGAGCTTCCAGTTCGAAAGTTCCCAAGGCTGCACCACAGAATTAAATTAATTGTTTTGAATTTTGTTGTAGGCGTAGTTTTAACCTACCTCACAGCGCAGGCGTTCACATTCTATAACCACGTTCCTCCAAAACAACTTTCGACTCCCTTTGATTCCACTACTGATCATATGCACCAGGTTTATGCAATTATCAAGTGGCTCCATATCGAAGGCAGCTGATGCCGAAGCGGGATGGATAAATGGTGGTAGGGAGTTTCTCCGTAACATCGTCAGAAGATATGACTTTAGAGTGTGCAGAATATGAGTTGTGATTATTTGGGCCCCGGGCCTTGAATCGGATCGCTTGTTAAGGATTCGAGGGCTTGATATCGGTAGTGGTAAAGACCAGTTGGTGGCCTGTATTTGATCGACCGTGGGCGTTGACATTGTGTAATCAGTCAACGCCAACCCGCTCGATGACTGCTCTAAGACGTTCTCATTGATCTCTGAATTCAAAAGGTCGCCAAATTCAATGTCCGGAATATTCCAGTCTATAAATTCTGCATCAATGCCTGTGAGATTTGTTGATGTGACAAGCGCACTGTCGCTACTTGAAGTATCATCATTGCTTGTTCCAATATGATTCTGAAAGCTCGAAGGAGTGAAGGGCGATTTGTTCCCGGCGCGCTTCAGTCCGGCTGCCACCTCGTGGGTAATTTGAGTACTTTTCTTTGTAGTTTTAGCCGGCCTTGCGATGTAATGACATTCAATGCCCTTGGTTTTGCACCTCGCGCATTGAGGCTGCGTTTTGTCGCAACGTAATTTTCGGTTTGCACAAGAGATACATGATTGAGACTTGATATTAGCACCACGTCTTCGAGACCGACAGTAGTATCCGTGCCTCTTTAAAGTAGATTCTAAAACGCCATACATTATTAATGACGAGGCATCGCGGCACGCTTGTTGGAGTACCACTCACGCTTGTCGAAAGGCTTGTTGCAATCTCCGCATCGTAAAACAGAGTTCAGTAGAGCGTTTCTTTCGGACATTTCAAGTTGGAGCAAATTGCTGTAAGGCATTGCAAACATGGTGCCAGGAGGATCTCGGGTTACTTTGGGTGTGGTCGATTTAGGTGGCATTTGTCAGCTCGGGGCGGGACATTTTGTAAATGCCGAGCATGGATTACAAGCCCATCGTCATGCTTGACACTTCTCTTTTGTTGTCAAATTGCACTTTGAGTGAACCATTTGCATTTTCGAGATCATACGGGTATGTTCAAAATAACAGGGTTAGCCTCTTCAAATTGTAAAACCCCGTCGCCGAGTTACAGGTGGATTTCGATCCTTGCTTAAATATGGCCATCCGCCGTTCGTTGCGATATTCCAAACGCAATTACCATTCCATTATATTCCAAACAACAATTCATTGACTCTCCTCTCATCCATTATGGCACCCTTTCCATCCCCAACTTCAACATGGCACTCTGAGAGTTACCCATCGATTTCTCCCACCCGCCCGGAACTTTCTGCTAAAGGCAAGACGGTGCTTGTGACTGGAGGTGGTACTGGAATAGGTGCAGAGACTGCTATGTCTTTTGCAGTGGCCGGTGCTTCTCGAATCGCTCTTCTTGGCCGCCGGGAACAGCCCCTCCTTGCAACCAAAGCATCCATCCAAGAGAAGTTCCCCGAGGTTGAAGTTTACGTAGCTTCGACCGATGTCAGCGACCGGAGTCAGGTGGATATCGCATTTTCAGCCTTTGCTAGCCACAAGAATATTGATGTCCTGGTCAGCGGTGCAGCTGTGGCTGGTCCTCTAGGTCCTGTGAAGGGTGTGGATAGTGAGAGGTTCCTCGAAGCTGTCCAGAAGAATATCAGAGGATCTTTGTTTGTCGCGCAAGCCTTTCTTCGCCATGCATCCCGAGATGCAGTTGCTATTGATATCAACTCAAGTGCTGCACATGTGAATGTTACCGATGGGTTTGCGGCGTATTCCGTCGCTAAGCTGGCGGTATACCGACTTTGGGATACTCTGGTCTTCGGGAACCCCAATCTTAGCATCTTCCATATTCAACCCGGTATCGTGGACACGGACATGAATAGAGAAGCCGGAGGTGTCAAAGCTATTGGCATCGAAGACCATGGTAAGTATAACCAATCCCGAGAGATTATTTTTTATGCTGACTATGGTTTAGTTTCTCTGCCAGCGAATTTCTGTGTCTGGCTTGCTAGTCCCGAAGCTCAGTTTTTGAAGAGCAAGTTTTTGTGGGCAAACTGGGATGTTGATGAGCTGAAAGCGAAGGCGAGAGAGATCGAAGCCAGTAGTCAGCTCAGCATCTGTCTTGGGGGATGGCCGTTTCAAGATGCCGACTGGAGTCCCACTTGGAACTCTGATGCGTGAGGGCGAATAACTAGATAATTAGTCTTTCGTCTAGTATAGGCAGTATAACACATCTTTCTGAAGATTTCGCGTTATCCATTCAAATGCCCAGATGTTGAAAGTCAAGGCCCTAGCTTCGTAGCCTTTGAGATAGACCATAGCAGGTTCCCAGGATATGTTGGACTTAGGATATCCACTTTCATCACCCATCTTGACAGTTTCGCTCATTTTATCCATCGGACTAATATATGGGAAGACACATTTTTAACGGACATGGAATAACCGCACCATCAAGAAAATCAAATACACTAGCGATTTATCGCATTCGCAGTAGCTAAAATTGAAAGAGTATCACGTGACGCAAACAGCGGCACGGCAGAATGCCACCGCCCAGATAACAAATTTCGTTATCGCCGTCTTTTTTCACGACTCGTCCTACTCAGCTGCAAACTTCCCAAATTCGCTCCTCTCTTGACCGTGGTTGATCAGCCAAGATGGTTCGTGAACTCAAACACCACGAGAAGAAGTGAGTTTACCAGTCCGCACAGACGCCTCGGTGTCCACTTGCGTTCAATATTTCTAGCCCAAGAACAATCTCTGACCTCGTATTAGACTTCTCCGGAAGGTCGACTTCCACACCTACAAGTCCGATGGCAACCACCGCGAGCACACGATCCGCCAACGGTACCTCCTCCAAGATCCTATGGACTACCGCAAATACAATGCCCTCTGCGGTTCCCTTCGCTCGCTGGCCCACAAGCTCTCTCAGCTCGACCCAGATTCCGACCCCGTTCGCAGGAAGATGGAATCGGAAATGCTGGACAAGTTATGGCGCATGGGTATTTTGAAGCAATCGCGCGAGCAGGGCGCTGGATTGTCTAAAGTTGAGCGCGAGGTTACGGTCTCTGCATTCTGCCGACGCAGATTGGCCGTTTTGATGGTCCGCACCGGCATGGTGGAGACTATCAAGGCTGCGGCCACTTTCATCGAGCAGGGACACGTCCGCGTTGGAACTGAGGTTGTCAACGACCCGGCATTCCTGGTGTCGCGGAACATGGAAGACTTCCTCACCTGGGTCGACTCTAGCAAGATCAAGCGCAACATTATGCGCTACCAGCAGAAGCTGGATGACTTTGATCTCCTGTGAGTGTGAATGGCTACGAAGAAAAGCAATCTCCGAAAAGCATTTTGTGGTCTTGTTTTGATATACCCGGCGCTTTATGCATATGTCTATCGGCCTGGCGTCCCGAGGAATTTACGATATTTTGTCTCTATGAATCTTTCCCTGTAACGATAATCAAATTTTGACCTTCCATCACCATTTCCAGTTCGGCAGTGGCCATAGGGACAAAACGACACTAATTCATCCCATGAGCAACACAGCTGCGTAAAATACATCCAGAGCCCGCGGTGTGGCCGATTGCAGTAGTTTAATACCAACAGGAACAGCGGGGCGAACCCTCCAAGGCGCATAGTTACGAAACTCCAACACCAGGTTCCTCCTCGAAGTCCCTAGAAGGCATCCATTTCACCGCAATAGGCTCATGCTTGTTACTTCGTATTCTCCTGTCCTTGGACCACAGCTGGAACGAGAGATCCGCAGGTCCTACGACGACCTTGACATCAAAGGTAGTTCTCCAAAATGTTGGCTTCCTGCTGTACCAGTGTCTGTTTTTCAGCTTCTTATCCACATTATCGGTGGCAATATCGAGGCTGCAGACAAGATAGACACCGCTTTGGCTCATATTTCGGGGAAGTCTGTCTGGTGGAAGTGTCGACATAACGATCTGCACCTTCCACGGTCCGTTCTCTCGACCCGGGTCCATTTTCAATTGGAATTCCTTTCTGACACCGGTATAGGGAATTGGGTTGCCCTATTAAGAGTACCGGCATTGGTCAGATTTTGAGAAAAGTGACTGCAAGAAGTAGATTTGAATCTTACCTGGATGACTAGCCAGTCCACTTGATCAACAGCAAAAGTCTTATTATCTCGAGGATCAAGTCGAACCAATTGGCCGACATGATTCTCCGGATCGTATATCTTATCACAGATGATACCATAGCTCACAGGGGAACATCGTGATCCGAAGGTGACAACTCCGCGTTTGATTTGTTGGATCCGATCGAGGACCAAACCGTGGACAACTACAAGCTGTCTTTGCAAAAGTCAGATAGGCTGTGTCAATAGCATAGTACTATACGTACGGCTCATCTGCAAGCAGAACCTGCATCCCCTCCGCGTTGGGATGGATATGTCCACTGGGTCCACTATATCTTTCTAGAAGGCACTTTCGCACATATGGGGAGCTACCAAATCCGCCTGATAGGATGAGGTATGCCTAGTTCGAAGGAAGTTAGTACTTCCAGGGCTTGTTGATCATCGAGGCGGGTAGGGGGGTCACGAACTATTTGGTCATAGGGGTACTTGGTATGCATCTGGTTAATGTGCCCATCCAGGAGATCGCAAATTTCATCCGCCTTCACATCAAAGCAGTGTTTGACATAGTCCCTATTAAAATGTCAGTCAAAACCCTGATAACAAGGCTCCATAATAACATGGGCATCATGTACCATGCAATACGCATCTGCCCATTGGATATCTCCGCTTCGGGAAGATCCATATTGGGGTCTAGGAAGGGAACATCAAGTTTCAACCATGGTGTCAATGTAGCTTCTGTACCGAATGCACATTTAAGTCTTTGAAAGCGACCGGAAGTCATCTTCCACGCTGCCTCACTTGGTGAAATCTTTATATGCTCTTTGACCTTCTCGAGCCTTTCGCATATAAGTTGATGGATCTTTCGGTCAATGAAGACTGACCCAATCGGCTGCCCTGATCTTCAATCAGCTCGTGTTTTATTGCAATATTTGTGCATTTGGGTATTACCTTCGACGTGGCCTAATTGTTCGAGGCGCGTTGGCTCGCCCCTAGATGAAATGAGTTTGAGAACATTGACATCCTGTACTTGAGATGAGCATATCTTCCGTCTAGTAGATGTAAAGAAACCACTTACCGTAGTCCCTCCACCAGCATCACAGACAAGAATAGTATCGTCCACGTGGTAATGCTCATTTCCAGCATACACTGCAGCTGCTTCCGCTTCAGTGAGACCGATAGACGCTCGATGATTGGATGTCTTCGCATTAATCGCGCGCTCGAGAAGTCTTCGTGTTTCCTCAACCATTCTAACATCTTTCCAGGTGGTGGGGACACTGAAAAGAAACTCAACATTACGCGAGGCAAATTGAGGAATGGAGCTGTTGAAATGAGAGACCACATGCTGATAGATGCATTGAATATAGTCTTGAAACCAACGCTGAGCGTCATGACGACTGGGAGCTTCGGGGTACTCATCTTGATACTGAGGCGCGAGATGTAGCTTGAAAAACTCCTTGATGTTCGAGCTTTTGTCTTCAGGATCACACTTGAACCCCCAATTTATGACCGACTTGAACTCGGAGTCATATTCGATGCAGGTTGGCACTTTGTTCGCTAGTTCTCCCGGTAGCTTTCCTGGCCAACGTTGGATAGTTTTTGGCGGAAGCCATTCGGGCGCAGAGGAATACGCAACACCTTGAAATCCGTTATTATCCATCGAAGCATTGAAAATTTCCGTCTCAACACCGTGTTAGATTTGAGCCGGGTTTGTTTACCAGTATAGGTCATCCCAAAATCAATACCCACCACAATATCTGGGACCCATTCATCCCAGCTTTCAGCTTCCAATACCACAACCTCTTTGTCGCTCATTGTTGAGGCTGTTTAATGACTTTTGGGATTGTTTCCTTTGAGCAGCGGAATATCTGTCTCAGGGGAAGACCCGAGCGTCTGGGTTTGGCCTTTTTTTCATGTGTAAATATTGTTTTGGCCCCCTAACAAGGGTGTAACTCAAATTTACTTCGCTTCGCCCTAGCTCGATTCAGCCTTCAACTAGTGCAGCTAGGCCTGCGGCTACTGTAGGAAAGTGGATACATTTTTGTTGGGTTCCTATCTGACGCTTTAGTTTCATGGGTAACTCAAACTATCCTATTGTAGTAAGAAAGCAGCCTCGGCGAGTCATGTCGCCTTTAAGTATGTCTCAGTTCCCCGGTCGCAGTTTTTAGCACGACTGATTTCTTGCCCTGCTTGAAAATTTCCTTCAGAAATGAGCGAGAATATTGAAGTTCGACAGGCAGAGGCCGCAGAGTATTCTTCATCTGTTGCGGGTTCTAGTTCATCTGTTGTGAGTTCTAGTTCATCTGTTGCGGGCTCTAGTTCATCTAGCGCGCTTCCTTCAGCAGAATCGCCATCTTCGTCAAGTATAGCAGCGGGCGATTCCACCAGCGCGGCAAGTGCAGCAGCTGCAACTACTACCATACAAGATGCGGGAGCTACTTTGATCACCACAACAAAGCCTTCCGCACTCATTCCCACCGCCACGGTACAATCATCATCAAGAACACCTTCGAGCACTCCTAGCGTACCAAACGTGACGAGTAGCAAATTTTCATCATCAGCATCGCAAAAAGGAAGCTACTCCAGCGGGACCTTGGCAGGAGCCATAGTGGGATCCATTGCAGGAACCTGCCTTATAGCTCTACTGGCCTTCTTTTACCTACGTCGAAGAAAGGGAAAGATTGCTCGTGGAACGACTCGAAGCTCTACCACCGACACATCTGAGATACCTAAGCACCCCGGAACAATCCAATCTCGCTTCCTCGGAACAACTGCTGCCGTCCCCTATGAAAAGCACACACCTGTCCCGCCCGCCATTGGGTCTCAACTCTTTGACCTGGCCTCATATATCCCAAGTCCCGCAGATGACAGTGCCGTTTGCATGAGAATTCAAACACTCTTTGATCAGGCCAGTCTACACATTGACAACTACTACTCGCGTCCGAATCCAACGGTTCGATTGACACCCAATGCCATCGTCTCATTGAATAAATTCGACTCCCCATTCCTGCCGTCTCCTCTGGCAACTCTACTTTCGAACCCAAGATCTCAGAGACCTGCCCTTACGCACGCCTTGGTTAGAGCTTTGCTACATGCTATTCAACCTGGAAGCCAAACAGGGTCCCTTCTTCCGCCATGCTTTTCAATGAGTCCAAAGAAACAGCTAAGTGGCGGTATTGATTCTGGTACGCTCCTGATTTTATGCTAGCTCCGTTTATACTAACGCCATTAAAACTTTAGATGACTACCAAGCGATGTTTGCCTGGCGTATGTTAACAGCAAGCATGTTTACTCGGAGCCGGGACGTTCAGAGACCTATATCTGTAGTACCACAAGGAGTTGCAATCACTGCGCTAGCGGAAAGCTTCAATACAGCGTTCGCGCCATATAGTGATCCCCATCTATCTGAGGCTGGTCGCCTCGGCCATCTCCAAAGCGTGGTTGAGGCAACGGCCGAACTTGGGGCTTGGCTCTTTGCTCAACCCTGCAGCTTTGAGTTCCGGTGGACCCCTTTGGTCACTCCGTTAAATCAAGTCATCGTCTCACCGGCCGTTGTTAAAGTTGGCGATGAGCAGGGGCGCGCACTTTCAGTTCCACATACATTGGTGGAAGAGACCTTGGCACGAATTTGAGTCTATCCTCTCTGGGTATCTCGAATAAGCCAATTCATATCATGTACAATCTTGACTGGGCAAAGACTTTCACATGTGATAATAATGCGTAATTAGCTGCGAAATACGAAATTTGATGTATTTTATTGAGAAAATAATTACTCGCACTAATCCTGGCTCAAGACTGATCACAAGGCCATTCATTTTTCAAGGCTTAGGGTCAGGGTCAAAAAAGGCAACTGGTAATTAGATCGAATAACAAGCAAGATATACCAACTAAAAAAAGGAAGGTGTACAAAAAGAGGCTATCTTGCCCATATTGAGACTCTTGGGCCGATATCCAGTTTCTCCGTGGTAGCGCCCGAGCGGTGTTTTGTCTCAGCCAAAGCTCCCTTAGACCGCCGCCATGCCAGCATATCGTGCATCTCGTTGTTCAGGGGGCTTCTTGGCCCCATGACCTCCTCCGCATTCTTTGTGGGTCCATTCGGTTCAGGCCGCAGCCTCTGCCAGTCTGATAGGCTGCGAGTGGAGTCCATTGACAGGGTATCGGCAAGCTCATGAACGACGGGTGATTCGGGCGTTGTCAAGTCGGGGGAATTCAGCCGCTGGAGATGCCCCAAAACCAACATTAAGCTGTGGTGAGACGCCAATAGCCGTTGATTCTTGCTCTGGGCTCGTTGGTTATCCCGGTAAACCCAGCGCAGTTGCCGCCCAAAGGAGACTCTTCCGTTTCGGGTCTCTTTTTCGACTCGCATGGGCTCGAGGATGATGGCTGCTTCGTGGGCCGCATCTGCGACATCTTCGAGGGTGTGATCAATCCAGCTGCGTTCGCTGGCTTCTAGGAGAGGCTGCTTCAGCTGACGCAGGCGTTGGGCCTCTTGAAGCTGAGCGAGGGTGTGGTTTGTTGTCTTCAGTAACTCTTCTGTTTGTTCGCTGACAGACGACAGGTGCAAATCTCGCCCTAGTGCTCGCCGAATTCCGAATGTTCCTCGCGACGTTTCATCAGTGGGGGCTGTTGAGAGGCGATCATCTTGGAATGAGCTAGCCTGTTTTTCTTTCCGATGGCTTGAGAAGGAGAAACGTGCTCGCCCCTCAGTCAGCTCCATTATCGGTACCAGGACCTGAGACGGCCAGGGAGGGCAATGACTTGATTATCATGAAGTACATGAGGCACCCGTCCCCGCTTTATCATTTCCTCCCCTATGTTGGAATGGCTAACAGGACCATAGGTACCTTTTAATTTCGGATTGCCCTGCCTAATGACTAGGTGCATGTTCATCCATGGTAGCTCTAATTTAGTGCGGCCAAGGACCCATAGAATTCGAAGTGCGGCTAGCCTGTTCTGGCCTGTGATGTGGATACCTGGTCTATGAAGTGCAAAAGGACCAAAAATATTTTTGAACCCCCATGGCTCAAGAGCATAGGGACGAAGATAGACAATCGAGTCTCCTTCACTACTAGGGGGATAGTAGCTAGGACTTCGAGAGTGCGACTGGCGTGTGCGAGTGGAGACAAATGAATGCTCATGCAAGTTTGACAGGAGTATTTTTCTTCCTAAGTATCTCAATACTATTTTCGACTTGGTGTCGCTTTCTACTACAGTGAATCGAAAAGGCATCCCAATCAAGGTGAATTTCCGCATACGGATCGCGGAATTTGTCATTCCTCGTCAATACGAACACTGCCGCCTCAACCGTAGTGGCGGGCCCATGGCGGTACTTTTGTTCTGGGCGTAGTGGAGATAATTCGCAGGTGTTACCCATGGATGAAACCTCCGTCGCCTGGGCCCATGCGGTTCATGACTCGCTCAATAAGATAGCACGTTAGGGTCGGTCCAGCGGCTAAGTCTTCATTGGTTTGATCTCAAACAATGTGAGGCTGTGTTGGTCCATCAGCTAGCGCCATGGATACTGGAGATTCTGACTAGCTGTGCTGCGAGATGGCCTCATACATTAGTTGTGATTGCGAGGATCTCAAAATGGGGGCGGAAAGTGTGTGCTTCAAAATCCCCATGAATAAAAAGATCCCTAAGAGCCAGAAATCGAGTCGGTGAAATCCGTCGTTCGAAATATTATCCAATTACAGTTCAAATCCACTACTCAAATACCCTTGACAGCAATGTCGACATCTAGTGAAGACCACGCGTTGAATCAATTGCAGGGGGAGCAGTCCAAACTATTAGACAAGATCGATGAGCTGCGCAACCTTGGCGTTGGTGGCCTTGTTCAGCTACCTCAACTTATCGTCTGCGGTAGTCAGTCGAGCGGAAAGAGTTCCGTCCTTGAAGCTATCTCGCGGGTGCGATTCCCAGCCAAAGACAATGTCTGCACTCGTTTTGCCACTGAAGTAATTCTTCGTCGCAACCCACAAGCCAGAGTTAAAGTATCCATCGAACCGGGTTCTTCGCGTACCAACCCAGACGAGCAAGAAAAACTCCGAGCTTTCAGCTCCCAGTCATTCTCTGCTACCGAGGACCTTCATAAGTTGATCAAGGAGGCCGAAGAATGCATGGGAATTGGCGGTTCAACACATTTCAGCGATGATGTTCTCAAGGTCGAGATTTCCGGCCCCGAGAAGCCAGAACTGACTCTGGTGGATCTTCCCGGGCTCTACACCTCATTCAGTGAAGAGCAAAGCAAGGAGGGTTTGATTACGGTTCGAGAATTGACGAAAAAATACATGATGAATCCTCGCAGCATCATTCTGGCTGTCATGAGCGCAAATCTCGACTATCATCTTCAGCAGGTCTTGAACTTGGCAGAAAAGATCGACCCAAAGCATGAGAGAACACTTGGAATAGTGACCCATCCTGATCGGGTGTCTCCAGGGTCAGATGGGGAAGACACTTGGATCAAATTCATCAAGAATGAGAAGATCCAGCTGCAGCTCGGATGGCACGTACTTCAAAATCGGAAGTTTGAAACACGTCTCGAATCAGATGATAAGCGTGATGAACTGGAAAGAGAGTTTTTGGTCACGGACGATGGGCTTCACTTTCTCGCGAGATTGTGGGAATCGACAGCCTAAGACGGCGCCTGAGCAATGTTTTGCTGAAACATGTTCGCCACGAACTTCCAAATCTTATTCACGACATACAAAGCAAAATCGTGGACCACGAACAGACTCTAGGAAAGATGGGCACTGCGCGGTTGAGCGTTAAAGAGCAGAGAGGTTTTCTCGTCGGCATAAGCAGCAGGTTCGGTCGCATTACACACGAAGCCTTGAATGGAATGTATTCCGACGATTTCTTCGGTGATTTCGGTGACCGGAGGGCAACCAACGATGAAACCAACGATTTCCGTCGACTGCGGGCAGTAATTCGTGAGATGAACGAAAACTTCGCAGAAGCAATAAGCATCCGTGGCTGCCGGACTATCATTCGTCAAACAGAGACAGTTTTCCCCTTTCAGTCTCCCCAGCAGCAAAGTTTCAACCCTTATATGGAGGGGTGGTCCCCTACATACGTCACTGAAAAGGCTCTTCAGGAGCAAATTCAAGAGCAGGCAGTCAAGAATCGTGGCATCGAACTTCCAGGAAATGCCAACCAGGTGCTCGTGGGCAAGTTGTTCCGTGACCAGTCTGAGCCTTGGGAAGAACTCGCAGAACGCCATTTGACAGATGTCTGGAGTACAGTAAACTATTTTGTTGGACTTGTACTCCAGCATCTAACGGATCAACACACCTACACTTCGGTGATGAGCGACCATATAATTCCGGAGATGGATAAACTGCGAGCATCGTTATTTGAAAAGCTCAAAGAGTTGACTTCCTACAGAAAGGGTGGCCATCCCTTGCCCTTGGGAAGAGACTTTCTGTCTAAAATCCAAGAATCACGTCAAAAGCGCCAGTTATCGGCGTTGAAAAAAGGTCTTGGTCTTGGTGGATTTTCATTATTCGCGAAGCCAGATGCTCCTAACAAAGTGTTTGATACCAATGACCTTGAAAGAGCGGCTTCGCAATTGCAGTCATCCAGTGACCAATTTGCTGCAGCAGAAATAATCGATCAGATGCAGGCCTACTACGACGTAAGTCCGGGACAGTGTGAAATTATATGAAGCCTCTAACAATAACCTCCATAGACCGCTATTGTGACTTTCACTGATAATATTGCGATTCTTGCGATTGAGAATTGTCTACTTCGACCCCTGGGGCAGATTTTCACTGGTCAAACTATCATCGATATGGACGATGCTCAAATTAAAGGCATTGCAGCAGAGCCTATCAGTGTGGAACTGGATCGCAATCGTCTCAATGAGGAATTGAGCAAGTTGAAGGCAGGCAGACAAACTCTGAGTGCTTTCAGAATCGACGGACCATCGCTGCCGCCACGACCTGCTTTTGGTACGTCTATGTCAGCATGGTAAGGATGATTTCGTGGAGCTAATAGAAAATCCACATTAGTATCACCTTTGGCATCTCGGTCAGAGACATCCAGTCAGTCAGGTCATGTGAACAAGCCTCAACAAAGTGTGTAGTTCCAAAGTGAGACGAAGAAAGATTCTGATAGCTGAAACTGCCAGGAAATTCCAAAAGCGGCCATTCACAGGGTATTTTAGCCTCTGCTACCAACAGGGAGAAACCAAAGCACCAGGATTTGGGAACACCCAAGAACATACCTATACTTGGAGGAAGTAGCTCTGATGCCGGGAAAACATCTCCTTTTAGTAACACGAAACCCAAAAGTGCAGATGCTTTGAAAATGCCTGCAAGCGTATTATTTTCCACGCCACAGACCTTTTCTCCAACCCCAGCTTCTCTTGGGACCAGTGTCAAGCCAACTGGTGGACTCTTTGGCTCGCCATCACCGGGATCCTTCCCAGCACCTACGGCCTATTCTCCAGTCCCAGCTCCTATTGGGACTACCGTCAAGCCAACTGGTAGCCACTTTGGCTCGCCATCACCGGGATCCCTCTCAGCACCTACGGCCTCTGGGAACCAAGGGATTGTAGGCCGCCCCCTCTTTGGACAACCTAGCATCCCAAGTGCCTCAAGCCCAGACGGAAAGCCACAGGCGTAAGTGACGGTATGTACCTTGAGATATGCTACTCTAATTTATGTTGATCTTGAATAGATATCTCGTCGAGAAAGATGCAAATACGGGTGTACTTAACCATTATCAACATATGTGCTTTGAGAGATCTTTTGGAAAGAAATCCCCTGAGGTTCGTGAGCTCTTGACATGATTTACAAATTTTGAAGTTTTTCCAGGACATTCGCTTTATTCTGACACTCGTCTGGGCAGGAACATCGACTGGTGCACTACCGCACCCAGGCGGCTTCTGGCCGATGAAGACCAATTTTGGAACATTAATATCATACATGAAGTACTACATGAGTGGACTAAACGCTATCCCCTAACAAGAAGAAAAACGACAATCAGGACAATCAAATCGTCACTGATTATGCACTACGACTTGTATTTCCGGTCATATTTTAGGTGGTGTTCGAATTTTTTATTGAGCGCGGTAATTAATGTATCTAAAAAAATCCTGATCAAGATTAGTAGGGAAATTGTAGAAGGAGTTACGGGAAAACTGTTTCTTCGACGTTATATTGGCTAGGTCCTCGACCCTGCTTTAATTACACGCAGCCCTTCATGATTTGAGGTTAGGTTGTATTAGAATTAGTCTCTAGTATATACCGATACTACAAACAAGGAGTGATAGTTGAACAAAAAGATGAATTCTTGTGTAAGAAAAGATCAAAGCAAATTATACAGAAACGCTATATAAACAATTCAAACAAAGACAATTTTGCCCTGTAGACTCCCATCTCAGACAAATTGTTATTGTATAACAAATACATAACTTTCTTACAGCTCTTCCTCAACCTCCTCAGTAGGCTGAAGCTCAAGCTCCCAAGAGATGAAGTCCAGCTTGAGAGTATCTTCATCAGAAGCAGCCTTGCCCGAGCCGAAGCTCTTCAAGTTCCACTTCTCAACACCCTCAACACCAGAAAGATCTTGCGAGAATTCAGAGAAAATCTCGGCGTTCAGACGCTCATACTCGACGTAGTCCTTGGGCCAGTCACCAAGACGCTGGACGGACAGCTTGAGAAGCTGCAGGTGCTGGCGGATATGGTCACCCTCGGAAACGGAGGAGAGGCCATTGGAAGAGTCAGCGAGGTCAAGGTCGACGGCGGAACCGTCCATGCTGAAGGAGCCGTCAAGGCGGTCTTCGAAGTCTTCAAAGTCCGAGTCAACGAAGACACGGAGGAGGTTCTCATGCACGGAGGCGGACTTCTTGTAGTACTTATTGGCCATGTGCTGGCCGCCCTTGCCGGCCTGGTATTGCTGGGCAATGCCGGTATACAGCTGGGTCAGCAGGGTGGACATCTCCAGGGTGCTGTGGTGGCGGGCGCCGTTGACGCGGCGGCAGTTGTACACGATATCTTCAGCGAGACGGGAGGCCTTGAGGGCGTCACCGACCATGTAGCGGGCCAGGATGTAGCGGCGGGCGAGCTGGATGGTGATGGCAGGGGACCAGTTAATCTGCGAGTTCCGGCTGTTCCAGAGGCTAGACAGGAGCCAGACGAGGTTCTTGTAGTCCTTCTGCTCTCCAAGGAGACCGATCAGGATGTTCAAGTAGGTCAGGTCAATCTGGGCAAGGTTGATCTTCAGGTCGTTGATGGTGTGGAGCACTTCCTGGATGATAACAGCGGAGATGCCATTGAGCTTCTTCTGGGCGGCGGCATCGGGCTTGCTGCTGATGGTACGGCCGGTGACGAAGACACCCAGGGTGAAGACGAACTTGACAATGGCAGGGGTGCGGTACACATCGTGGGCGGTAATGTAGCGGAAGGCAGCGATCGCAAGGTCTGCGGCGTGATCGTAGCTCTTCTTCTCGAGAAGGCTAAGAACACGGTAATTGGCGGCGATACCGACCGAACGGACGAAGTTCGAAGACTGGTGGGTGTTGAAGTGGTCCAGGATGGTCACCAGGAGGATCTTGACCTGAGAGTTCTCGGTCAACTTGACGCGCTTACCCTCAGTTCTGACGAAGTAGGCAACGTAGTCATCGAAGACACGGGTAGCAACACTGTGGCGGTTGCTGCGGAGCAGGAAATGGTACAGGCGAGAAGCAGACAAAGAGACCGACTGGAAGGTGCTGGTCTTGGAGACGGCCTGGCTGCGGAACTCCTCGAAGTACACGTACTCAGTGGTAAGCGAGGCCAGGATCTCGGTGATGGTCGAGCTGCTGTGTCGAATGCTGTGCTCGAGCTGGGCAAGGAAGATCAGGCTCTGGCGACCCTTGGTGGTCAGGTCGAACTGGGACTGCTTGATCTTGGTGGTATCCTTCATGATCACCTGGCGATACAGCTCCTGGGACAGTTCAGTGGCCTTGGAAACCTGGTTGGTGGCAATGTAGCTACTAGCAATGGTGACGGCGGCGGCAGCCAGGGCGACCGAGCTAGTCTCCGAGGACAGGATGTGCACAGTAGATTGCTTGAGTTCCTCAAGGACAGACTCGATCTTGCTGTGCTTGTAGTGGAAGTTGACCATCTCAGTCAGCTGAGACAGAGACTCCTCGTGGGCCCAGCCGTGCTGCTCGCGGATGGTAGTAACACGCTTCCGCAGAATCTTGGAAGCACGGGAGACCATCTCATCGGAGACTGAGTCGGACTTGATGGCGATGGAGGTCTGCTCTTCATAGATGCCATCAAGAGTGGCACGGATCTCTTCGTGGTCAAACTCGTCAGTTTTGATCTTGAGGAGCTCCTCGTAGAGAGAGATGGCAGTGGACTCGTAGCGCTTGGACTCCTGGCACACCTTGGCGAGGGTCAGGGTAGCCTTGATGGTGATCGAAGCGGTAGCACCAAACACGACCTTGACCTTGGACTGGAAGTCAGTGGTGACCTTGTGGATCACAGTGTAATCAGTGCGAACGCTGCGGAGGCACTGAGTGTACTTGGTGAAGAAGTCCAGAACGAAGTTGGTGTCCTGGAACTTGGGGCTCTTCTTGGGGTCGTGCAACCAGGTGGTGAACAATAGCGAGTAGTAGGACACGGCATCAGTGTAGCGGCTCTGGTTAAAGAGCTCGGTCAATACAAGGATCAGAGGCTCAATGGCATCGGGGTGGCAGTGAGGCGAATCCTTGTTCAGAGCACGGATGATGCGCTGGTAGTACTCCACGGAGATAGGACGAGGGTGGGTAAGCTTAGCCAGGGTCCACAGAGTCTTGATGACAATGGGGTGATCAGGGCCGTAGTGCTTGACGTAATCTTCGAGGATCTCCTGGCGGGTGCTGATGACGAGGTCGGGCTGGGAGGAGCTCTCGTAGAACTTAACCAGCTCGGCAGTGATGCGCTCGCGAATCTTGTCATCAACGGGCTTAGCAGCACGGACGGCACGGTAGACGCGGATGCGAATGTTCTCCTCGCGAGCGAAGCGACGGCGGTAGTGGTAGCACTGACTGAAGCGCTCAGCAAGTTCAATGCACTTCTCCACGTGCTGACCAGGCAAAACAACGTCCTGGATAGAAGGAGCAAACAGCGAGGGCCAGAGGCTCTGAAGAACCTTCTTGACAACGCGGGTAGCATCCTTCCAGCGGTGCTGACCAACATAGAGCTCAACCAGAGTGTAGGTGGCAGTGAAAGAGCTCTGGCTGATGCTGGAGCTGGAGCTGGAGGCCTCATAGACAATCTCCTCCAGAACGGACTCCGACACAGTCGAAGAAGAAGAAGAGCTAGCCGACTGCATGACATGCTGTTGAGTCTGCTGGATCATCTGCTGGACCTCGGAGTAGGAAGACGACTGTGTGCTGTTGGTGCTCTGGTAGTGGTGCTGGACCTTCTTGAAAATGGTCAGAGCAGCAGCAGACATGCCCACAGCTGTCATGATCTTAGCAATCTGATGGAAGTGAGAAGCAGTGCTCTCGGTGACAGTTGTGGTGGAAGAGCGGTATTCCTCGTAAACGGAGGACAGAATAGAGGAGGCCTCAGTCTCACGCTTCTGAGTCTGAAGGAACTGAGTGTATACAACAACAGCCTTCAGTTTAATCTGCTCCCAGTGCTCAGAGTACTGGGTACGGCACTCCTTGCTGGCGCGCTGCCAGATCTCGACGTAGATGCGCTCAGCTTCTGTGATCCGGCCCTCAGCTACATGTTTCTGGGCCAGCTTGACCAGAGCCTCGTAGTCGAAGGCATCGCTGGTAGATTCATCCTCCTCGACGTCGAAGACGAAGCTGATACCAGTCTCACCACGGTGCTTGTGACCTTTGAGGTGGACATGGAGATCGCGGTTGTCGTTATCCTCACCCGCGTACTGGCCAGTGATGGTCTGGATCTGAATCGTAATCTGCTGGATCTTTTGCTCCTCCTTGGTCAAGCGGTAGTGCTCGATGAGAGTGCGAAGAGTAGTGACAACCTTCTCAGAGGTGGCACCATAGTGGATCTTGTAGGACTCGATCAGGACCAAAAGAATCTCCTCGCGCTTGGTCATGATCTCGGTCTTGCTGGAGGTGATCTGCTCAGTGGTGATCTCGAGGAACAAAGTGGCCATCTGCATAGTCATAACGTGCTTGGTGGTAAGCAGGGTGTTGCTAAGAGTGACAATCTCGTAGAATAGAGGGATGGCCTCGGGGGCTCTGTTGATATCACGACGCAGGATAGCCAGGGTAATAAGAGACTGCAGAGTCACAACATTATTGGGGGTCAGGATATGACGGCACAGGTTTGTGACAGTAGTCTGGAAAGTCAACAGCGTCGGAGTGGAGATATTTTGCCAGAGGGTGTTCTGGAGCAGCAGCAGAGTGATAGAGACAGGGAAGATCTTGCTGAACTCCTTGGCTGTAGGGGCTTCACCACCAGTGGTATAGGTAGAGGTCTGGGTCAGGTGGTAAGGCCAGTACCGAACAGCAAAGTCGAGAAGAGGGTTTCTCTGCACCAGCGAGCTGGTATCATGAGGGTCCAAAGGAGTCAACGAAGGAGTGTGCTGCTCAGTGATGGTGTTCTTGATGTAGACCAAGAGACGGGTGACGAAATCATGGTGGCGATCCTTGATGGTCGGCACAAGCTTGCCCTTGTGGAAGATATCCAACACGGCAGTGCGGATCAGGGCGTGGCGGAGGTACACCTGACCATCCTGGACGAAAAGAAGGGGAGCCAGAGGCTTGAGGACCTTCAGGGGCTCAATCTTCTCGTTCAACACGGTCTGCTTCTCCACATTAATATTGGCAAGGGTGGTGAGCTCCTTGATCATCAAAGGGCGATCAGAAGTAGCAAGCCACAGGAGCATCAGCTTAGCCTCCTCGGCGACGTCAGGAGAAGACAAAGCGGAAGTCACAAAGTCGGTGATGGTTGGGGGGCTCTTGAGAATAGTATCGAGAGTCTTTTGGAAATTTTCCGGGGTGTGCTCAGCGTGAACCTTCTTCGTGGCAAGCTTGGCCCACTGGAAGGAACCGCGAGAAGCCTCAGTGATCTTATCAACGACAGCCTCCTGCTCAAACTCGCCCAAGTCACGGAAGATCTTGCTATGCTTCTGGAAGTTGGAGCGCACAACAATAGAGACATCATCGTATATACGTTCCTCACTGACGGGAATAGTCTGAATACCCTCGCCGGTATGCTTCTCAGCACCGAGGGTGATCACCTTCACGTTAGTACCGCCAACAGTGGCGGCAGTGAGCTTCTTAAACAGGGTGGATTCATTACAGGTGGACTCATCAAGGCCATCCACGACAATGACTAGCTCCTTAGCGCCGGGGAGAGCGGCAGCCAGAGCGCGCTGCAAAGCGGTCCACATAATGCTCTCGTACTCGGCTACATCGGTAGTCTTGCGGCTACGCTCGAAGGCCTCACCAAGGATCTGCAGAAGTTGAATATTGCCAATGCGCTTCTCGAAGAGCTGATGAAGAATGGTCTTCGTGATTGAAATGGCAGTAGTCTCGGCCGGGATGCGGGCATTGATGGGGACAAACAGACTCTTGTAGGTGTAGCCACCAATCTGCTCCTGGAGTCGGTCAACAATGACGGATGCCAGGACTGTCTTTCCGGAGCCGGGCTTTCCATAGAATGACAAGGTACGCTGCTTCTTGTCTTTCAGGAAGCGAGTCAGGTAATGACCCATCCACAAGCAGGTCAACTCCTCACGCTCATGAGCAAGTTGGGAGGAGTTCTCGGCGAGGTGGTTAAGGACGCGGTCTTCGGGGGCAAGCCAGCCACGAACGGACTTGACAACGGAAACTTTCAATATAATATCAGATTAGCAAGTTCGTTTGTAGGAATTTATTTGAAGAGGCTTACCTTTCTCGGTGTCAATGTTCTCCTTGGCGAGCTGGTGGCGCCACATGGTCTCCGAAATCTTGGAGCAGCGGTCCTTGAAGCTCTGGATCTGGCCAGGGAAGGTGTCGTAGATGTTGACGGTCACCTCAGCGTCTGTCAATCCACTGATAGCCTGGTGGAAGTGGGTAGACACGCCAGCGACTAGGGTAACCAAGTCAGCCAGAGCCAGGATGAGCTGCTCCTTGATATCCTGGGAGACATCGAACAGCTCGGTCCGCTCAAGGAGGTTAACCAAAGTGGACGAGGTGCTGTAGAAGAAGCCAAAAGAGACCATCAGCGCCGGGGCGTTCTCCTTGCCAAGCTACAAGAGCTAGTTAGTATGCGACCAATTGACTCCATTTAGACCATATATCAACGAACCTGAAGCAGCATATAGCAGTAGCCATAAGACAGCTGCGCAGCAAGGTAGCTGTCTCCAGCAAAGCCTTGGATGTTCTCATCGAACCTGTTCAGGCGCTCAATGAACAGCTGGGCCCAGGCAAGCACTTTGTCATAGCTGCTTCCCTCGGCAGGCAGGTGGCTCATACGCTGGTTCCGAATCCAGTCACGAATGTCTTGGTACCGGGTGTTCATCAGAGCGTATGTATCAACGCCAAGCTCGTCGCCACTACGACGGTGCAGGGACTGCACGACGCTAGTGATATGGGAGTTGCCAGCTCCATTGTACTTCCGCTGCATGGTGGACTCGCGGCGGGTGGAGCGGCCATGGTTCGAGATGCTGTCATTGTCGAACATAGCAGATATTCCGGACACCTGTCGGTGGTTACCAGGCATAGTGGAGTAGAAGGAGGAGGTTTGGTTTCCCGGGAGGGGAGAGACGAGACCGGGAGCCATTTTAGAGATAAGAGGCGTAGTTTCGGTAATGTTTGTTCTGATCTTCTTCGTTATAGTGGGAGGGACGGACACGTTTTCAGTAGACAGTCCTGAATGTCTTTTCGGAGGCGTGGAGATCTTGCGGGCAGGAGGAGAAGGTTCGGAGATAACTTCTTTCTTTGAGCAACAGCTCTTAAAACAACACAGTAGTCGACACAAACCCGCTGCTTAATCGGGTAAAGGGCTATAGAAAGATGGATAGCACACTCAGGGGATATTATGAGATGGGAGATGGGAGATGAGGGAGAAAGAGGGGAGTGCTGTGTTCGGGGGGCACGAGGCTTTTTGTAGCAGAGCCATGGGTAGGATCCGAACCTGATGCTATTGCTTTTTTTCTCTCTTTTCTTTTTTTTCGTCATACGCCGAGGGCTGGGTACAATGCTTGTGGCAATGGAGCTTCACCTCACTATCACTGCATGAGTATGGAAAAGTGGGGATAGGTTTAGCTCCTGTGGACTCGGGATACCTCCTCCACTCCTCCATTGTGTTGATCAGCTGCAAGATCAAAGCCCCAGGCAATTAGGTGTGGGCCGAAGACGCAAAAGACTCCCCAGTGGTAAGCATACTGGCGTCAACCCCTCCATCCGGCACCTCCAAGGTTTCAACATGCATTGGCTGCGCCCGGACCGGGTCGTTTTTCAGGTCTAGACAGTCCAATTGAAGGCAGCTGCACGATACGGAAAATGCGTTTACTGGTACCAATTATCCCGTGTTCCAGCCTGGTGGAAGTGAACGTGGAGAGGCGAACGTGGAGCAACGCAGGATAGGCTGCATGGCGATGACAATGATCGTTAATCGGCTACCCACTTTGAGCATCATAGACCCGTATTATTTAGCAGTAAACACAGAGGAGCGGCAAAATTGGGTCCATTCAAGCTGGACCTGAAAGGTGTCACAAGTAAATGGATTGACAGGCTGATTTTCGGGGTCGCCGCCGAGGCGCATAAGGGGCTGCTCTGGCTTCCATCTTAACCCCGGTAGGCTGTGTCAAAAGGTATAGTTCACAAAACGCGACATTTGAACCGTGCACGAATGATGGCTGGCTAGCCATTATGTTCTTTTGGTACCGTGGCATCTCCTGGCCTTCTCTCTGTGGGGGCTCGCTGAAGCTATGGACCATCGCCGTGGTAGCCAATTGTAGCGAGTACTCAGGGCACCGAATGGACAATGCTGGACGAACGGCCGAGCAATTGGCATGGGAACCGACCCGTCCGATCACATCCTAGTCACGGCATAGGCAGTGAATGTTCGCGCGGGGTTGGATGTCTAGGTCCAGGCATTGCCGATCGGGGCATGGCGTATGAACCATGCAGGATCTGTGACGCAAAGGTATCCACTAGCTCCCGCTCCTCCCGAGATCAACCCCGGCTCAGCTCCCTTTGGTTGACGGGAGCCACCGTGCGAAAGGCCGCACATGCGGGCAAACCCTCCTCATTTTGCGGTAGCATTTCAGCACTGTTTGATTGAGGCGGAGGCGTAGGGGAAAGCATCTGCATCCCAAATAACGGCGGTGCGCATAAGATCCGGAGAAAGCCGTCTGAGAAGGGCTGGGGCTTTTTCCGTCACTCGTCTACGAGGTGAGGTGCATTAGCACGATGGGTCAAGTGGAGTGGGTAACGAGTGAACAGGTTTGTCCCGACGATTTTAGCGCCCCCCGCTCCCCACACGACCTGAAGAGCCGGGAGATGGGAAATAATAGGCGGGCGTCAAATGGAAGATGTGGAAAATGGTGAGCTGAATCTGACCCCACCCCACCGGATCCACCGACAGTACCAAACTGCCACTCTTGTAAGTACAGTGTACCCCCAGCACGTTTCAATCCGTAAACATTGCCACCTGTCAAACAAATTCCAAATCCACTCGCACAGTAATCCTATACATGATGAATGATTCAGGCCAGGGTGGCTGGTCTCGAATATCTGACTTTCTTTTGACTGCCTACCTCCGTTCTACGCACCATGTTATTTCTACATTCCCGCATGTAGGACACACCCTAGTTCAATCTTACATTCCCCCATCTAGGACACACCCTAGTTCATTCTTACCCTCCCTTGTATCGATCTAAGTACCCTGGTGAACTGATCCCGGAGCGGGTACCCGGCCCTGAAGGAAATCGCAATTTAATCTCGGTAAATCGTGCAAGGCCCATTTCCTAAAACCTCAATTCGCAAAAGTGGACACTGATCGGCCTGCCACTAATGGGTCCCATCTGCGAGGATTCCGATCCGGGAATCGCTTTATACGCGACGTACGTCACGGATATCACCCGTATCCGCAATTCCACCAAAAAGGTACCTTTCGCATGCGAGATGATGTCGCACGAACCCCTGATCGGGGAATATTTATACAGTTTAACTCTGCGCTTGACGCGAACTAGAGCCTTGACTTGGCACCACAAACCAAGGCAGCCTTGCTTAAACGACATACATACTTGCCACTCCTCTATTTTCCATTTCCACTAGCAGTCAGCACCTTCTTTCTTTTTTGGTGCTCTTTTTCAATTATTGGTCCCCGAAGAATCCTTGTTAGTTGCCGATTGGCCTGCCAATTGCTTTGGGCACTTTCTCCACCCCATGCTCAGCTGCCCCGTAAGGCGGGGGGGGGGGGGGGGGGGAGTATTTCCGCATCGTCAGTCCGAGGTTTTGGGTACATTGCGAGGCAGGGGCTTCAGATCGGGAACCCTGTAGATCCACAACTGCAATTGAGCTAAAGACTCACCGTAAATTGGTCCCATCTTCTCCGGAGGGCAGGTGCTCGATGCCCTGAGAATGATCAAGCGTATTCCATAAAGATTTTGAGGTATCAGTAGCCGAGGATGGCTGTCCTGGCTCCCATTAGTGCTTATTACATACGAGAGATTGAACACCCCGGTACTGGCCAGAAGTTCTCCTGCAATGCAATGCATGTTTACGTGTGGAACTGCCGTGAAAAGGAAAAAATCGAAATAAAAAGAGAGTCGATGCGTCTGCATCTGCACCTGCGCTTCGGAGTTTTGACAAATACAAATGGAGGGAAACTTTTCTCCTCTTCTGGTAAACCAATCCGCTGCGCCGGTATCAAAGTAGAAGTACGCAGCTGAACTGACAAATACATCCCTGAAACTATGGTTTGTGTATCGCACGAGCGGGTGGGTAAGACGATTTCGAGATCCACCGACGCCCTACTGTGAAATCCTTACCTTGAATTCCGAAGATTGACTACCAAGATACTTGATCTCAAGCACGTACCCACTCATGATGACGCCAACAAACTTTGTAGTGGAGTGAAACGAGAGTTACATACGGAGATAAACTTGGTATAGATGTCACGTAGCTATAATTTTTATGTAGGATGATGTCGTAATGCGAACATGATCATCAGTATCTGAAAGCTCGGATTCTTAGGCAAGTGGAGTCTTCCAGCCACCTGGGCTCGAGGTGTTCTTAGTTTCCTTTTACGGATAGAGTGGAAACCGTCCACAGATCATCACGTGGGTTTTCGGAGAGAAGAATCTTGACGATGGACACATCCCAGGAAACTTGACTAAAGATGATTTTGCATATGAGTTGAGGCCACTATATTGTAGTTTCCAAAGTGATACTTGTCCAGATTATAGAGAGCATTGGCCATCACGTAGAGCTGAAGATGTGGGTGAATGAGTAGTTGATGCGAGGGCGATCAACGTCAACGCAGCTAATGCTACCTTAAAGGGATATAGTAGTTCGTCTTTTCTGTGACTTTGTTTCCTACCATAGAAGCTAGCTTGATATTCCTGGTAACTTGAATTGTGCTTAATCGATCATGTAGAACGTCTCAGCTCCCCATAGGCCACAACGACCACGTTACGAACCAGGATCCGTAACAGAAAGCAGCCAGGAGCCTTCTTGAGCCAAGTTGGAAATTACTCCATAATCAGCACGCCACACCCCTAGCCCTGTAGAAACGCCATGTGCAAGGTGGCAGCTCCCGACCACATGGCCTCGGCAGGGTTTACCGAACAATTCCAGGAGATCGAAAGCAGGCTGGTGGATCAGGGACTGCACGACATACACTCAGGGATCTTGCTGGAGCACCCTGTTTCAGCCATGGTGGAGATCAGCACGTTCCATTCGGCAGTCGTCAGATCCTCGCCGAACATGATGCCCTCGCTTCGGTACTTGCGGATTGGCTTGATGATGTTTCCATCTTTCATGGCTGCAGCCGCTGGATCCACTATGATCAAGTGGTTCATTTCAGCCGATGTGGGTATGATTTTGGGCACGATGCCCCGTTATAGTGCTTTTGCTGGTGCAGCAGTGACAACCTAGCGGTCCACCAGATTAGAAAGTTCCTGCAGGAGGATTCCCAAGAGATGCTTGTCATGTTCCAGCAGGATGGGTCAAATGTCATTGATACTTACAAAAACGAGGTGGCGAAGTATTTTCGTGGAAATTTTGCTAAGCTCGTGTTGGTAAAGCTGGACAGCCTTCTGTTCGATCTGCTCGAGCCACGCCTCCTGGATCTGCGGAGGTGTCTAGCTTCTTGTAATGAAGTCTGTATCCAGTATTTTTGTTTTTGTTTCTGTCTTCTGTTAGACAGGGATTGGCGGTGGAAATGGCTCTTGGAGGGAAATTTGAGTGACGCGTGCGATGGGCGAGGAAGACATCAAGGGACCGGGACTTGTACCCGTCAGTAAGGCAACAAAGGGACTGTCGGTATCAAACAATGTGAAATAACATTCAATAGACTATTGAAGTAAGATAGGGTAAAAGGATCTGATAATATCATTCCGGTTGTGGGGATGGTTCATGCATACCTATTCCGCCTCCACAGACGCATCAAGGCATCCCGCTGACAGAACCAAAGCATGATACGCCGCATGACCGTAGCCAACCTTCTGCAATGTATTGATATGAAAAGTCGAGATCTTATCTCGCAAATTCAAAAATTCAAACTTGACCGTCCTCTGATATCTCCGCCGGCGACTCGAGGAGAAAGTCGATTCTCTAGTGGCCTTGGCATTCGCTAAAGAGGTTCACAAGACCCCGCTCCTTTTAAAGTTCTATCCACTGTGTCCAATGGATTATTGTCTCTCATCTCACTTGTTGTTTCGAGTGGGTTTGCGGAGGGGGATGTCGGGGGACGGCGGGGAGTAACTGCTTGTACCTGCAGAGTATCTTTCTAGTGAGGCTCCAATGGCATCTGACGAGGGAACTGGGCCTTTAACAGTCCACCATCCGTCCACAGCCCCTGCAGAGGTGATTAATACTGCATCATTTAGGCATCTCAATGTCTCAATAAATTGCTTGAGACAAGAAGAGGGTGTGAGGAGGCTCGAATGAAACCGTTTGGGAGCTTCTGGCTTCCTTTGCTCAGCGCGGCCAAACTGGCAAGGAGGTGGTCATTCTGAACGATGTGCACATTCTCTGTTACTATTTGCCGAAGCGCCTCGCGACCAGACGTATCCTAGCTGTAGCTGTAGCTGTAGCTTTAGCTCGATCGCACCAAGTTTGTAGATCCTCCAGTAGTTGATTGTTGGTTGGTTGATGCCATTTACCCTGGCCCCCCGCCAAAGCGTGAGTGTCTGTTATAGGGAGGAATGGGGGCGACCGTAAGTGTGTACTATGGACATCCGGCTACCTAGGCTGGTGAATGGTGTGAATACGTTTATCCGGACTTTCGCCGAAGCGATATTCTGTTTTTAGTGCTTCCCATTAATGAGTCAGGTCTGTTCCTGATCCTCTTTTCGCTGCAGTGTCTGACCCTATGGACGGCACCAAACTACATCTAGGTCTAACTTCCGTCGAGCCCCGAACTTAGCGCGGCAAAGGACGGTCCGTTCGGCGAACCCTAGCACGGAGGGTGTGCGATGACTGGCTCCCGCGATGGCATTAGTCTGCTTCTGGATTGTGTCGGAAATTGTGGTGGACGGTGATTGGCCCATGCTGGTAGTTGAGAGAGAATTCAACTGAAAGCAACCAAAGGGTTCCTGGGATCGGGATCGTTAGTAGAAAGATAGTAGCGAGAGTGGGCACAGAGAAGAGGCTACAAAGGTTGCCTGTTCACCCTCCGCCCCATTTTTCCTTCGGTGTTTGGAAACTTGCATCCTGCATCTTTTCCCTTCGCGGCGTGTCCTTTTTAGTTCAATCAACACCACTGACCAGTATCCGGAGAATTTCCCGACGATCGAGATCTGTGTGGTCCGTCAGTCATGTGGGGAACCTCCATCTTGCCGCTCGCCGCCTTGGCTGCTCTGCCGTGCGCCAATGCCATCACGCTGCACAAGCGGGACGATCCGGCGGTCTTCGGGCTCCCAATTGTACGCAGTGAACGGTCCCAAGCTTTACAGAAACGCAGTTCCAAAGTCGCCAGCACGGATTTGTACAATGTGGTATGTATCATGTTTCGGATCCCATCTCGGTTATTTCAGCTTGTGGTACAAGAGAAAGAGAGAGAGAGAGAGAGAGAGAGAAAGTCTCCACACAGAGCGTACGATTAATGATAGAAATATTGTACTGAATTTCCGAATAGCAAAATATGTATTACATGGTGAACATCACCATCGGCACTCCGGCTCAAAATGTCTCCCTCAGTCTCGATACCGGCAGCAGTGATATCTGGGTTAACGTCCCGAATTCCACCTACTGTGCGGCAGATGATGATCCCTGCTCCTCGACCGGCTTGTTCAATCTGAAAGACTCCTCCACGTTCAAAATGCTAGACTATGAGATGAACGCTACCTATGTCTCTGAATTCTTAGCGGCAGGTCCCTACGCTACCGACACGCTGGTGATTGGAGGCGCCGCGGTGAAGAATATGGAGTTTGCATTGGCTGAAGAAAGTAGAAATCCCCGTAAGTATATGGTTCTTTGATTTCTTTATTTATTTGAAAAAGAAAGAAAATGGCATCTGGCTAATGCTGGGTATCTCCGGTCCGTGTACAGATGGTATTCTGGGAATCGGATATGCCGCGAGTACGAATGCCGCCGGCAATCTCGGCAAAGAATACGCCAACCTTCCGGAAGCGCTGGTCAGTAGCGGTGCTATCAAGTCACCCGCCTATAGCCTGTGGTTGAATAAATTTGATGGCACTGGGAACCTTCTTTTCGGGGGTGTCAACAAAGCGAGATATGAAGGCGAGCTGCAAACCGTGCCTGTCTTGCCGTTATATGGCAAGTACTATTCTCTGGACATCGCCTTGACAGATATTTCTGTGAAGAGCACCAGTGGCACTAAGAGTTTTGCATCGGGACTTCCCTTGGCCGTCAGCTTGGATAATGGGAGCCCTTTTATCGTGCTGCCCCAAGATATGGTGGACCCCATCTACAAGGAATTCGGCGCGGGTTATTCCTCGACCGCCAGCGCCGCCTATATCCCCTGCAACATGGCCAAGGCCGATTACAATGTGACCTTCGGCTTCTCGGGCGCCACGATCACGATTCCCATCAGCGAACTGGTTTTTGAAAACTACACCGAGAAAGGGTTCTCTAAAGATGACTGCATCTTCGGGATCTCCTACAGTGAGCCCGGAGTGAATCTGATGGGTGACGTGTTCTTGCGTGGCGCCTACGTGGTCTACGATCTCGCCAATAACGAGATTTCACTGGCGAATACCAACTACGACGGGGGCGATGATGATATTCTTGAGATCGGCACGGGAACAGCTGCGGTGCCGGGCGCGACGCTGATGCCCTCTGCAGTCACCTCGGCGACGGGTAATGGGGCCAGTCAAACCATTGCGGCCTCAGCCTCTTTGGGACCCGAGACGGGTGGAACCACCACAGCATATGTCACTGGCACTGCGACTGTAACGACCAAGAGTGGTGGTGCTACTAGCACCTCCTCCAAGGGACTGGCAGCGTTGCCCACCAGCAAGCCGAACCATCTTCTGCCCGGTATCTTGGGCGCTGGCTTGCTGCTGGCATTGTAGGTTACTCACCAGTGATTAGTGTATTGGAGATGCTGTTTGATTACTTCTTTTGTACCTATCTTTACATCTTCATTTGTATCTAATGAGCTTGGGAGCGGAACTTGATTTTTATATGTGATATTCTCGTCCGCTAACGACTGTCTCAAATTAAATGTCGAAAGATACGATCTGGACTACAAAATAGAATAAATGATAGCAGAGCTTGATCACAGAATAGTATTACTATATGCTTGTATATTATTGCTACTCTAACGCCGTCGATAGGTTAACTCTCCACTCCTAGGCATCCGGACCCTATTGCTAGTATTGTAGAGGACACAGCGAACAACTCGTCACTATTGCTTTACACTATTGCTTAAGAGAAACTAGCAGGTACATCAAGAAATAATGGTGGGACTTCCCTGACCAAATACAGTTTCGCTCGATCTGAGTGGGGCGCCGGGGAAGAAAGCGTGAGTGTCTGTGTGGGTAAATCTGTTTTCGAGATTTAACTTTTCTTCGATTGGAGAAACGGGACTTTCGAGGTCACCGGTCGAGAGAAGATAGATCTGGTTGATTATCTCGAACTTGTTCATATTGAGAGCGTGCCCACAAATCTTAGCCCTCGTTAACGCCAGAGAGTCTCGGAGAAAACGATGTAAGAAGAGAAACCCAATTCCAGGCAATGGTTCCTTCATCAACACTAGAGCTCTGTCAAAGTGTAATGGCGTTAATGGAAAATGAAAGAGGGTGGTTCTCTGCATGAGTGGAGGTGTCGATGTCTGGGCACCTAGTGAGGGCTGCTACCCTCCGGCGCCGTCACAATCATTGAATCGTTTAATCTCAATTCCTGAATATCATGACCAGCCAAGCCAGAATATTAGACTAATTCTCATTCCTCCTATCAATCTGGTGTAATTGTGCTCCAGAATTTTAGATAATAGATTGAACTTAAGGACCCGTCGACAGCCCTGGTACTTTCATCAGCCTTGCACTCCGCTGCCTTGTAAGTTCGGCATGACTCCATCCCCTCGGGGTCCTTGTCTTAAATGACCGGTTCATGCATATCCAGTTATCTGAAACAAACTTGGCCTACATTGAGGGGATGATTTGCATGATGATGTGGAGTGGATCCCAAAACCAATGAATTATATATCTCCAGTCTGGCTGGTCATCATGCTAACTTCGGCTATCTCGAACACCTCGGCCAGGCCATCATTGCCCTAACTCTCCTGCGCCAAATTCGATGTTTCCTGAAAGAATTGTGCAACCCAATGATTGCCTACCCCCTATGCATATGAAAGGGCTGCTTTGGCCGGAGTGGTCCTGAACATCACGGTCAATGTTGTTCATCCGCGGTAGCGTACTGATGGTTCCGAAGCGCACTCCAACAGCAGCGGCTATTAATGCAGTGCGATCGAAGCGGTCTTTTACATTTGGATCAAAAACTCGTGCGGAGAGCAGCTGCCTAATGGCTCCTCTGGCAGCGCACTAAACGAGTGGCTGGCGGCCATCACAGTCGGCAGTGTAGCACATACCCAGGTGAGGCATGCTGTGACCATACCTTCACCTTCTTACGGAGAACTGACCACCACATCTCCAAGTCAGATATCTTTGATTAGCTCACTGGTAAACGTGGGGCCAGGTGCTGCACCGCTAATTCCGACCATCAGACCAAATCGAACTTCGCGCTTGCGGTTCAGCCTTCAGCATCTTCGTCTCGTTATATGACGTGGCGAGTATCAGCCCCAGGTGGTAATGGACTGCTTTAGTCCCTCATGGTTAAGACACTTCCGTCCCCGCATCTCTCAGAAGCAAAGATCCTTTTCCACTATTCATCTTGACATTGGCTACTCGTTCAAAGACGAGCAGAATGTCTATGGGATATATAGGGGCTGTATCTGTGGGAGGTTGCAATGTTACATTTTTAGGTTATGATGTGTTGTCTTGTCACATTTTTGACATAAATTTTCGCATGTGATTGTATCAGGCCCACGGTGCATCAATGATTCCTGATGCCCAAGCCAAATCCCCGACGGGCCTCCAAAGTTAACCGACGGCACTCAAATTCAGGCAACAACCTTTTGCGTCCCAATCTGGCTTGCTAGGTTGATCGAGGGTTCTGTTTTCAGTGTCCATGAAAGATCCAGATAGGACTTGGTGAATACGTGGCACAGAAGTATTGGAATAATATGACGATCTCAAATAGTATTATTCACACTATAGACAATAAGATAGGTAGCAAAAAGGAAAAGTAGATAGAGTGAAATGTAAAGAAAAATTAATGAAAAGGTCCGCACGTATAAACAGCGAATTCAATTCAACATCGGGGTATCTCAGTCTCGGTACGTGATGCGATAATAATGCCAAAGCCAAAGCAGACAAAAAGAGTAATCAGGGATATAGATAACGAGGAACGAAGGGAAAGCGTCTCATCAAGAGACGAGACCAGCCCAGCCCGTGGGATAATTAGCCAAGGGGGGGAAAAGGGAAACCATGCATAGGAATGAGAATGCAAGCCACGCGCAATGCAATGCAAATGCAAATCCGTCGGGTATCATGTAGTCGTGTCTGGTGTCGGGTGGGGTGTCATGTTTTAGGCGCGATGTATAGGTGGAGGGAGTGCTAGTTGGGAGTAGTTTTCGATCGACGATATGCCCAGCGTCGAAGTGCATATCCGTCTGAGTTCTTGTGGAGATCAAGGAACTGTGGTTCGGGTTGATCTCGCTCTGAGCCGGATTCTTCGTCTGGGAGGTCCATTCTGAATCGACGGACGCTGCCTTCGCCGTCCCTTTTTGCCTTCTTCGAAGAAGGGCGCTCGCGAGTCGCGCTGGCACCAGCGTGGGGCAACTCGGCGCCAGAGCCCTCGAACACCGCGGGTAGAGCGGTCAATTTTCTCGTACTCGCGTCGCCGGGTCGTGTCCGATGTCCATTCCATCACTGTCGCTGGGATGTGCATGGAGGAGGCGGAGGGGCTGTGGATGAGTCCGCTGGCTGTGCCACTGGGGAGGGTGTTGGAGCGGTCTCTTGGGTGGAATGGAGGGGATGCAGCGGCCGAGCTTAGTGAACCGCGGTGTTCGTAGTCCCGACGACTAGACTGGGATGAAGCGATCGGAGAAGGTGGTGCTGAGTAGCCTATATCGGATGAAGTATGACTCTCTTGTCTAGAGCGGTAGGTTGTTGAGAATGCGCGCTGCAGAGTAGGTCGTATATTATCTGCAGACTCCTGGCCCTCGAAGAGGCGACATGACTCGCGGTGTAGTGCCAACAAAGATTCCCTTCTTTCATGGGGTGTAGCCCTTGGCGGTGGGACGGAGACGATACTAGCCGTCGTCACGGGCCGTCTGGTCGAATTAAAAGAGCTATGTCGACTCGGCGGCCTTGACCTCGCCGTACTGCGAGATGCAGACCGAGAATGCTGAACTGAGTTGGCCACAGAGGACGTACGACGGCCCGAGTGCGTTGGTGACTCTGGGCTATAATGAGGCGGATCGATTCTCTTCACTCTTGGGGTATCCATCTCAGGCGAAGACGGCTGAGACGAGCCCGAGTCGACGCATTTCTCAGAGATCTCGACCGCAGGCTGGATCTTGGTGATGATGTTCAAGGGACCCAATACATCCATGTGAAGATCGCCACGGCATGTGACAGACGCCATCGTCAAGGTTTCCCTGAACACCAACTGCAGCTGCCAAACTTGAAAATAAGATTAGGGCTGGACGTGAGGGGCAGGTCCCATGGCGTGTTTGGAGGTCGGACCCGTGGTTCACTATCTATAAACCGAGGATATATTCCCGCGAGACCCCTCCAAGGGTGTGTGCCTTGTTCCCGAAGAAAAAAAACAAAAAGAAGAGTTAAAAGAATAGTTCAAGAAGAAAAGAGCAGAAACTGACAGGGGTGAAATGGCGGGCGTGACATTTTTTAAAGTGCTACACCGCTTCTCAGTGAAATTTCCCTGGAGGTTTTAGCGGAGAGAGTGGGGGGGCCCTCCACCGAAGGCGCACGGTCTGGATCACCGTCTATCGCCTATAGACAGCGCCCCTGCAGTGAGTAACATGCAGGGGTCGGGTTTATTTCCAGAGCTGGCGCCTATTGGTGTCTCGCGTGCCGGTTCGCACCGTGTGGCATCATCACTGGTCACAAAGAAGTCTGGTCGGCGCTTCATGAGACCCCTCCTCGGTGGAGCCATCATCACAAATACTTCGCGCGTGGGCGGTTTGATGCCGATCATTTGACTTTCAAGGTTATTTTAGAACTATTGAACGACTGGGTACGAAGAACCTCGAGTAGCCGCCAAAGCTCTCGCTTTCAGGGCTATGTACCACGAACCCCGCTACTATGAGACACAAATTCAGGATTCGAGAAGGTTGCAGTGCAGTGGGCACGGATGAAACGTGGGGTGGGTTCAACATTCAACATTCAACATAAGCTTATATACAGGCCCTAAGGCCTTGGGCGAAAAAGTTCTTCCTAGAGCCGGCTTTCACAGCGAATAAATGAAGTCGGGATTCTCCCGATCCGTTAGATCGAGCCACCTGCAGATTTGGACGTTAGCGTGCGTCCTAAACCCAAACCAAGTCAAAAACAAGGCAACTTACTCCTGATTTTCCAGTCGTACATAGTCGGGACGAGACTGGATTTCCGATTTACGAGCATTCTCCTTACGATACCACCATAAGATAAAGCACATGATGCAGATGGACACGCCCAGGCAGACGATGATGGTAATTTCGGCGGGGACGTAGCGCGGGGCATCTTTCGGGCGGAAGGTTTGCGGGCCTTGGCAAGCTTCGTTAGAGTGCGCTAGCATAGAATGGGGATAGTTTTGCTCACCGATAATGTTCCCAACACAGTACCCAATCAGGTACATGGCTGCGACCGTGGTCTTCTTGGTGTATCCTGCCACGTTGGAAGAGATCATCGACAACAGAGCTACAAAGGCTGTCGGGCTAGCTTGGGTCATGTAGTATCCAATCAAACGTCCTACGTTGTTACCCTCGGGCAGAGCAACAATGAGGATGATTCCGACCAGGGCGGAAACCAATCCGCCCAGACTGCAGAGGATACGCTGGTCGGTTTTATAGCACATGTAGCCGTTCAGCAGCAGAGCAATCACTTCAACCGCGCCTCCTGGAACACCCAGAATCAGACTCTCCTCAAGAGTGAACCCGAAGCTGCTAATCTGTGGGGCTGTTAGAGAAAGTAACGGCAAAAATGACGACGATGACGTACCAGTTGACTGAAGAAGTTGGTGATACCGCCATTTGGAATATCCGCAATGAGTGCAAAGAAAAAGAACGCCCAGCTCATCGGGTCCAAGAGGGCTTCCTTGACCTGGTAAAGCTTGAAATGCTTGTTACCGATACCCTGTTGATTGATGCGCACTCGGGCAATAGCCAGAATGCGGTCCTCCTTCTTCAGCCAGCGTGCATTCAACTGGTTATCCGGCACAATCCACAGGAAAACCAGGCCTAGAGCGATCGTCAACAGACCGGTGAACAGGAAGATGATCTTCCACGGCTCGATGGCAGATCCATGTTTATCAGAGCCAACAGCGATCCCGTAGGCGACGCAACCACCAAGAATCTGACCAACGCCGTTGAAGCTGAACCAGATGTTCACGCGGCTACCTTGTTCTCTCTTCGTATACCACTGCAATAGTCGTTAGTAATCGTCTAAGGCTCGATAATAGTGTCGAACATACTTGTGAAGTGAGCAGCGCAAAGCCAGGCGTAACAGCCGCTTCAAACACACCCAAGAAGAATCGAATAGCAATAGCCCCCGAGTAACTCTCGACAGCCGCAAAACAGCTCAATACAATGCCCCATATCAAGATACACGCACCAGAATACTTTCCCAATGGCAACCGCTGCAGCAGACGGTTAGTGGGATACTCCCACGCCAGATATCCTATAAATCAGTAAGCCTAGTCGTCCCCGGATGCAATGGAGCGAAAAGAAACAAAAAAAGGGGGGATCAAACAAACCAAAATAAAACAAACTGCTCAACCATTGATACTGATCCTTGACAAGATTCAAATCCTTCTTAATGCCCATAATACTCGCATACGACAGTGTAGTCTCTGTTTCCCCGTCAGCACCTTAACCGCAACGCCTCCCGCGCCCGTGCGCCATCCCTTACGGAACGGAGCAGACAAGGTAGATGAGGGAGACATACTATCCAAGTAATTCATTCCATAAATACAACACATAATCGGCATCATATGCCAATCAATAATCCTCAACAACCTCTTATTCGTCGCCTCGTCCAACTCGATTGCTTCACCTCGCATTTCGTCAAAGGCTTTCATCGCCTCGTCTGCATCGTGCGCGTGCTTCTCTAGCGTCGGGTCGATGGCCATTGATTTGGCTGTTTCGACATCGAGTGCCGAGGAGACGCCGACGGCTTTTTCTTCCTCCATCTTGGGTTGGAAGGGGTTGGATAGTATAGGGTGGTGGGTAAATTGATTGAATCAATCAAAGGGTAGATCGTAGATCTACGACCTGAGTAGGAGGGAGGGGAAATATAACAACTCTCAATGGGGATGAGGGGAAACAGAGCCTAACTACAAGGTCGCTGTGCAACACCCTCTTCGTGGCCGTTATCTCAATAGGACCTCCTTTCCTCGTCCTATCAAGCTGGCCATGTGGGTCTCCCCACGATAAGCCTGTTTATCCTTTATCTGGGGTTGTCCGAGGTGGATTCGTGATTGGTTCCGCTCGGGAGGGGAATGAGGAGAGATCGGCACGCATGTCTTCATAGAGCTCTCCTTATCGAGTTTACCGAAGCGGCGAACCAGGTTGCTGAAAGGTGGGGGAATGTGATGTTATTTCGGAGGGCAGATGTAGGTCCGAAAGGTTCTTTGCCGAGGGCGAATTGGCTTGCGGGGTCTACAGGGGGTGCTTATCACGAGTGGCGCCGGCAGAGGTTGATGTTGGCGTTATCTGTGGATCGCTAGGGACTATTTCTATGTGTTTAATATCAGATTCGATTTCTATCTTATCATGGAGTGTCGGGTCATGGTGGGAGTTGGGGGTGTTGAGTGGGTCAAATTCTAGTCTGGGACGTAGGCGAGCTATGTACTTTTGCATGGAACTAGGTTTGTTCTGGGTCCGAGCAGAGGATGAATCTGTGCTATCGGACTATGCTCCGCAGATGTCGACGCGGAAAGTGTCCGCGCCGGTGTTCCAGACGGGTTGGGACACGTGCAACTGATCTTGGATACGAACTGGTGAGAGGAAACAGCCGGGCAAATTGTGCCTATGGGATCATTTTATCATTCTATCATGTGATTCATTTATCAAATACTTCTAGTTTTCTGATTTACATATACATTCGCTCGTTGAATCTACTGGCCCCCAACACGCGCCATATAAGCCTCCCACCCCTGCTGCTGGTACTGCTTAGCCGCCTCAACGGCATCCGGCGCCGCATAGATACCACGACCCGCAATAATGAAATCCGCTCCACGCCCAATAGCAGACTGAGGAGTCTGATACTGCTGACCGAGCTTATCCCCCTTCGAAGAAAGGTTAACACCAGTAGTGAAAACGACGAAGTCCTCATCCTCGTTCTTCGCAACAGTCGACTCGACCTCGCTCAGCGAGCGAGTCGACACGAAACCCAGCACGAAGCTCTGGTACTTGCGCGCGTAGTCCACGGATGCGGAGGTGTAGGAGCCCGTCGCGAGGGAGCCCTTTGATGTCATCTCAGCGAGGATGAGAAGGCCGCGGTCGGAACCGTAGGGGAAGTCTGGGGACTGGGCGGTTTGAGTGAGGGCTTCGACGATGCCTTCACCGGGGAGAACGCTGCAGTTGATGATGTGGGCCCATTCGGAGATGCGGAGGGTGCCTTGGTGGTATTGCTTTTGGACGGTGTTGCCGATGTCGATGAATTTGCGGTCTTCGAAGATGAGGAAGTTGTGTTTGGCGGCGAGCGCGTTCAGACCGTCGATTGTCGCCTGGCTGAAGTCGGAGAGGATATCGATGTGGGTTTTGATGACGGCGATGTAGGGACCGAGGCCTGTAGCTTGTTAGTATCTTGGTCTCTAGGTGGGTTGGGTGTTGGGGCGTACGGTCGGCCAGGTCGAGGAGCTCGGCGGTGGTCGTCACGTCGGCAGAGACAGTCACATTGCTCTTCTTGGCCTCGGCAACCTGAAAGAGCTTCCGGGCCAGCGGGTTAGGGTGGTTGGCGGCGCGAGCGCAGTATGTCAATTGCGACCTGGAAGACATGGTGGAGGGCGGGGTTGGCGGGGTGAGAGTGGTGGTAAAAATGACCGGGGAAGGTAACCAAGTATGATCAAACGAGAGTTCTCAATGTTCCGGTGATTTATCGGTCTCGAAAGAAAGGTATACCCCAATTGACTCAGGTTGCAAGCAGTTAACGAGGTGAAGCGTTGTCGTCGCTGACGCGGAACTTTTTTTCTGACCGCCACAGTGGAGCACAGGAACTAAAGACTGGGGATTTTATCCGCGCTCTTTGCTGATTTACAAGGTTCATGCACATCATGCGGGATCTAAAAATATTGTTTCTTACCATTGAGCATTTGATTATCCCCTATTTCGAGGCATAATGATGAGAAAAAGTTGTCTCAGATCTCGAAATTTGATCCATACAATTAAGTACAGACTGATATAGCACCTTGTCAGAGCCCCCAAGTGGTTAAGGCGGTTGTTGACTATTCGTCATTCTAACTCACCTAATTATAGGAACTTAGGTTAACATATTCTCTCGATTTCTCAGGATATCACCTCCTTTCGAAAGATGCAACCAGGCAGTCCGAATCATGCAGCTGACGTAATCATCTCTTTTTTTCCCCTTTGTCCAGTACGAGTAGTACTAGTATTAAAAAGCAAAAAAAAATTGATGAGCACTGATATAGAAGGCAATTGAGCCTAAAATCATTGGATACTAGTATCCACCCAGCCCCGAGCGATATAGCTACAATCAAGGTTCAAGATCAAAGGTCAAGCTCGAGAGAGAGTTCGATTGTCAACTAGAAATACAAAACTACAGCATCAACCTAGTAAGAGATCAAATCCCTCGCAACACCGAAAACACTCAATCCCCACAGCGCACCCTGCGCAAGCCAGAAGAACCCACCCATCATACGGCCCTTACCCTGGGGCTTGCCCGAGTACACATACCCGTACAGGAATAGCGAGCGGAAAACAACCCACAGACCTGCAATCCCAGTAGCGAGCTGGGGGTACTTCAGTCCAGCGACCAGGGCGAAGAGCATAGTCTGGGGGGCATTCTCGAGGAAGTTGGCGTGGGCGCGCTGGGCACAGTTGAACTGTTCGGCCTTGGCCTGTGGAGGGTCAGTACGGGTCAGGGTCAACTGGGAGGCATAGATATCAGGACGTACGTTCTCTTTGCACTGCTCGACGGTAGCATAGCTGTGGGGGTAGGGCACCTTGGCCTGCTTGCGGAAGGAGCCGGTGACCATGCCGTGGATGAAGCCCAGGACGGGGATAGCGCCGAGCGCGACGGCAATGACGCCGCTATTCCGTGTTAGTGACAGGGATTGGGGCAGGGTCGGAATATGGGGTAAGAACCCCGGGTCAGGTACATACCCATAGTTGGAGGGGAGGGTGATTGCGACCATTTTGGAATTATTTCGTGATTGTGATATAGTGAGGATTCGAGGCTACAGGGAATTTATACGTTGCTCTTGCTCCTTTCCGTAGGGGTTCGGAGCTGGAAACCCCGGCGGGCCATGAATCTATCCGGCCCGTGCCCAAAAGTGCCTGTTTCGATGGACTGCCATGCGGTTCGACCGTGCACTATGTTTCTGAATCCAGGGTTTCTTGGGTGCCACTTGATTTGCCGCCATTGGGCTCCGACTGAATCGTGTCCTTTTGGATCCAATTATCTCCGCAATAGCTTGTCTTGACATCCAGTGATCCCCCACCCAATGTTTAGTTCTGATCTTATGGTTGGAGATTTATTTCTGTTGCTACCTCTACAGTGCTACGAGGAAGCTTGCTTCTGTTGCAAAGGTAGGAAAGCAGGGAGAGGAAATCATTTCTAAGTCATGAAATGCCGATTCACCCGCGGATGAAAATTCGGACCAATGAGTGAGATTATAAGGCCGACACCGACAACAGGTCTTAAATGCGAGGAAATCCCAACCAAACACGTGTATCAAAGTCGTTATTACCAAAGATCTCCATCATAAATTCAGAAAAAAATAAAATTTGCTCAAGGGCGCATCTTACTCACACTGCCGTACTTCGCCTGCCACGCAAAGAAGTACAGCAATGCTCCCAGGGGCTGACCAACCAAACAGAAGCTGACCCAGAAGATACAGTTTCCAATGGTCTTGCCAAGGGGGTCGCGCATCTTCTCCAAGGGCGCGGTGAGTGCTATCAGAGGCAATTGGAACATCATGCCGACAAAAGCAACGCCTGAGGTTGGTTAGTCCGGATTCAAGCAAGCGCAAGGCCACAACATACCGATGAAATTATGGGTAGGGATTCCCACCAGCATCTCGTGCAGAATAGCGGAAAGTGCAAAGACCATGCCACTTGCTGCGAGAGGGCTCCAGCCGCGGCCAACGAGAGGCGAGTAAACGTGTCTCTTCATGAACAGATACACGGGTCGATTCCAAGACCGCCAGTACGTGCCCAGGCTAGAACTGTTCCACCAGTCAGTGTAGAACTCACGGTCACCAAAGCGCATGACTTCAGCGAGCGCGTTGAGCAGGGCTTGGAAGAGAGCGAAGAATCCTGCAAGCCAGATAATGAGGGAAATGGTGGATAGTTTCATGACACGCTCCAAGATGGATGCAATGTCCATGACAGCGATCTTGTCAATTGAATTTCGCAGGACCGGTGCTGCATACTGTGCAGATAGAAGCCAGATAAACACTGCCAAACCACCGAACTCTGCCAGGCGCTTTGCAACGAATGACCAGCGAATGGATTCCGTGCGCGGGTAGACCGGCTGGTAGACCAATGTCGGTGCCATCCAGAAGTACGCGAGGTTCTCGAGAGTGACGTTTCGGGGATAGGGACAGGAGGCGTAGATGTCTGGTAGACCCGATTCGGCTGAGGGGTTAAGGAAGGCAAGACGCAGGTCTCGGTTGGTGAAAGCATAGGAGCAGTTCTTCAACCACACGATGATTGCATGCATCTGGCAAATGGTGCCAATGCCTGGGTGATGGATGTAGAAGTAAACCACGTAGCTGGTCACCGCAAGACACAGAGTGGCATTGACAGTGTGAAGGAAGGCCGTGTAGTGCCAATCGGAGCGGAAGACCTGTTGGTCGCGTTCCTTCTCTTCATCTGTCTTTTTCTGACGACCGACTGTGTTCTTCGCCGCAGCTGCAGCAGTCAATTCGACAATGTATGCGACGAACAAATGACATGGGACCAGCGCAGATAGAATTAATCCAAGGACGATGTCTTGCTTGCGATAGTCGTGGCATTTGATGCAGATAAGGACACCGTACTAGACATCAGTCAGAGTTTTGTATTCACATGTCAAACAAGCTCTGAACGACCCACCTTCATAAAGTTCTCGATGATCAGTCGGAGGTTCATCGCCACTATTGCCAGACATGAGTACCACTAAGCCTTCGGAGCTTCCCGGGGCATCAATTCATACCGAGCACCAACACCATCAAGTTCCTAAATCCAAGGAAGCTCGTAGTCACGCTGGACTCTCTGCTCAAGCTCGAGTGGCGCGTTATGGAATGGTAGGCAGCGACATGGCGATACTTGCTGCGTCTCCGAGCATTGGGGATTTCGGTCGGTACCTCCTCTCTCTTGGAAGTCACTCTGTCCGGTATCCCTGGAGCACTCGAATGCTCCAGTGTAGCAGCCAGCGCCTCGGTCTGCGAAGCCATCTCCAACGGCAGGGAACCCTGGTCCTTGTTGAGTGTTTCGGAGAAGTGAATGGGGCCAATGCGAAGGTCAGTCGGGCCGAGCGGGCGATCTGGGCAAAGGGACCACAAATACCAAGAACACAAACAACCCAAGAAGCTCAAGAAACTGGAGGACTGTTCAACATGGTAAAGGGAGAAAGTACCCAGGACATTAGGCCCTAGGATATAACGCAATGGCGGGGGATGTCATAGCGCAGAGCAAGTAACTGACGACCCTCTGCACCAATCAACGGGCCGTGAGCTTCCCCCAAAGGACCAAATTGCTGCAAAGCTCCGACTCTTCTCCCAACGCTCCTGCATCCAATCGCAACCCCGGCCGTTACCTCCCTCATGATCGCGACCTGATTACCCTCCTACCTCATATTCCCCCTTGGCCATGGCCTACTACGACGAGAATGGGGGCGACTCCTTCGGGAGATTTAACAAGAACTTCGATGGACCCGTCGGTCCCCGTCGGCCGAGTACGTTTGATCTCTACGTGATATCGTCCCTTGGTCTGCTGTCTGTAGTAGGACTGACACCCATCGCACACAGGACTGGTAACCGACTATGGCTCATCCATGGTACAATGGATGCGGACGCGAAAGCCGCGCTTTCGCGGTGAGCACCGAATAGAGACCGAGCGACCGAGCCCGAGCTTCGGGGTCGATGTGAGTGTGGCGCAATATCTATGCTGGCTTCTGGGATGACAGAGACTGACGTTGAAAAGGTGGTCCCGCCCATCGCGCGAACCTATTCCCCGGCCGACACGATCCCCGTGCGACAATTGCATCAATCGATAGGAAAGTCGAAGAAACCAATTGTTGTGGTGCGATGGACTCCAGAAGGGAGACGTCTGTTGACAGGAGGTCATACCGGAGAGTTCATGCTGTGGAACGGCACAGCTTTCAACTTTGAGACGGTCATGGATGTACGTGGTCCAATATCTGGATGGCCTGACACTGGCTAATCTCTGTTATCTCTACAGGCGCATTACGATCAGGTCCAAGCAGGCGTGACATCTTTGGGGTGGTCCCATAGCCATGAATGGCTGATCTCTGGTGGACAAAGAGGTGATATCAAATACTGGCGACCAAACTTCAATAACGTCGAGACCATCGACGATGCACACCACGACGCTGTCCGAGACCTTGCATGGGCACCCAGTGATACGAAATTCCTTTCTGCCTCCGACGACACAACTTTGAAAATCTTCGATTTCACTTCTCGCACTTGCGAAACGATTCTGTCCGGACACAACTGGGATGTCAAGTCCTGTGATTGGCACCCGACGAAAGGCCTACTGGTTTCCGGATCAAAGGATCATCAAGTCAAGTTCTGGGATCCGCGCACCGCCAGGTGCTTGACAACTCTTCACAGCCACAAGAACACCGTCACGTCAACACGGTTCTCGCGTGTAAACAATAATCTTCTTGCGACGTCCTCGCGAGATCAAACAGCGAGAGTATTTGATCTTCGTATGATGCGCGATATTTGCATTCTACGTGGACACGACAAGCCCGTCTCTTCATTGACATGGCACCCTATTCATAGCAACTTGATATCCACCGGTGCCGAAGACGGTTCCTTGTACCACTACTTGCTCGATGAGCCCAACCTACCTACGGGACAGATGCCTACCGTGGCGCCATATGACAGCCCCGATCCGGCCAATACTCCGCCGCAGGTGATTTACCCTGCGCATCGCGTGCAGTATGCCCACGGCGCTACGATCTGGTCCCTGGACTGGCACCCACTCGGCCATATTCTTGCATCCGGATCCAAAGACAACTTCACTCGATTCTGGTCTCGGGCGAGACCCGGCGAAACTAGCTACATGAAAGACCGGTTCCATATCGGCGAGGAAGCAGCAGAGGCTCAAGGCACTTGGAACCGTGGCTTTGGCCGCAAACAGGCCCGTGATGAAGAGGAGCAGGAGATGCAGGATGAGGCCGAAAGTCTGGTCGACCAGCGACGACCTGACGCAGCACCCTCCCTGCCGGGTATACAAAGCGGTCCTCAGCCTAATGCTCCAGGATTCCTTCCTGGCATCGGTGGTGCTCAGCCTCCTCCGCCCGGTATGCCTGGGATGCCCGGCGCTATGGGCGGGATGGACCCTGGCCGACTAGCAATGATGTCTCAACCTCCGCCTCAGTCAGCACCAACGCCTCCTCAGCCAATGCCCGGATTCCCAATGCTCCCTGGAATGGGAGCTCCGCCTATGAACATGGACCTGGCACAGCTGCAGAAACAGCTCGCCGCTCAAGGCATCCAGATACCTCCGAATATGAACCTTCAAAACCTAGCAGCGGGGCTGGGCGGTCTACCTGGTCTGCAGAGCGGCATGTCTGATGGACGCAGATAGTCAATTGAAATGGTTGGATTGTGCATGTCAGATTTGGATTGCGGGACCGGCGTAACGGACATATAAGCATGTGAGGCCATTCGGGCCCGGGATGACGGCGCTTGCGATATTCTCCAGTGTATTATAGGAGCAGATACCAGCTTTCAAAAATTTTTCCCAGGCATGGGAGTACTGTCGTTGATCGCTCGTAGTTCAGTCATGGTCGTAGAAATTAATTCGGAATCACTCTTCCGGTCGTTCACAATCCGCCCTGCATCGGAAAGCTAGTCAAGATGAGAACCATCACATTGACACCACTCCAGATCAATGGCACCCAGGTCGACATCCGGAAATTGCCCGCTTCATAGACCGCGCCGAGCCTGTACAGTATTAGTCACGCGTTCGTCAATCACAGAAGCGGCACACAAACACAAGTCCAACAATACTCCCAGCTAACACCGCCTCCAGGCCAGCAACGAAGCTATAGACCAACGGCACGAGCCATATAACACTCCAATTCCTCCCATGACTCAAAACCGTACATGTCGCAACAGGTAAGTGCGTAGCAGCATAGAAAATCAAAGTCCAGAAGAGCGTGTACCGCCAGATATCCTTCGTGTAGTAGAGATAATACGCTTGGTGGTGATGCGACGGGACGGGGTCGTACAGCGAAGGGAAGGAGGGGGTTTGGTAATTGATCGGGACGCGATTGTTGGTCATTGTCAAGACTGCGGCACTGCGGTAGCTGCAGCTAGACGAGAAAGGATCTCGCTCAGATCATGGCGAAGCTAGAACGGCTGAAGCAGAGCTAGGAATCAACCACGTTGGACCCGAATGACGAGAGGTTTGCACCGTTTGTTGCTGTCACGGGCCTCGGCTCCGTCTGGGGTCTCCGTCTCCGGGCCCCGTCTCCGCGCTTCCCTCCATCATCCCCTCGGGCTATATAGACCTGGGGCCTATTGTCCAATACAGGGTATTTCGATATGGCAACTGAACGATCTCTAGCTGCTTTGCTACGGTCGCTGCAGACGACTTCCAGCTTTGAAGATGCTTCTGGGTATGATGATCACTGTTACTGGGTTACTCTACGGCAACCACCGTCGGCTAACGATGCATTGTTATTCGCAGTCTCCTTCCCACGGCGACCAGTTTCCTGTCTATTCTCGGCAACCCTTTGAATCTAAGCTTGCTCGCGTCGCAGCTCCTTTCCGCGCCTGCGCTGTGGAATCACCCCGTTGATTTACATGCTTGTCGCAAGATCCTTAGCGTGTTCAATACAGCTGCGATCGCGGTTTTGCAGAATGATACGGAGGAGGAGGCGCAGATACCCCACGGACGCCATCGAAAGATTGAGCGTGAGGCATGGGTGAAGGCTGTCGTGGAGGGCGCGGATGATAAGTCGCCGCGCTGGAGACATATGCTTCTCTTGGGTGGGATACTGCTTGGGTTTGAGGGACAGAATAGACAGGGCCTTCCCAGGAATACTCGAGTCAAGCTTGAGTCGGCGCTGGCTACAGCGGCGCAATTGGCGCTTGAGGAGCTGGATCCTAATGCGGGGGTCGATGGGCACTGCGTCACTATGGTATTGAACTATACATTTGAGCTCTTGTCTGATATGGAGAGGAGCAATATCAACTATGACCTCTTATTGCCGGTTATGATAAGATCGACTTATCTTTCGCCTGAGGGGCTTGAGGGGGGTTACTTCTTGGGCGCTATTGATAAGGATGTGGTTGAGGTGCCGGGGAGGAAGTTCCGATGGGCAGCAAACTCTGCGACGTTTGGCTATGTCTCTGCGATTGGCTCTCGTCCTCTGGTGTCTGCATTGGGGCCTCTTTCTCGCCTTGCCTCGCATGCTGTTGAAAATGTGCGGGACCCGAAGCTGGTTGCGCAAACTATCGACTACTTGGCGGACTTTGTCCGCACTCTGATGGTCCAGTGGCGGCAAAACAAACTGTCCGAGATTGATGTTACAGAAGAAACTGAGTTTTTGGAGCCGGAGTCTATGAAAACTACGATTCCCACGCTATGGAAGGTTCTCCGAAATTGCTTGTATTCGGTCGTCATTATCCTGCGCGCCGTTCTGGGGAGAACGATCAATGATCCGGCCCTCGCTGCTGGCAGCAGTAAGTCGCATCGCTCAATTGTTTTCCTTGCGATACTGACAGATATATTTAGGTGCGCCATACCTCTCAATGCAATCGCTGCATATCCTCCGCAACCTCTATTTCATATCCTCTCGCACTGGTCAAAATGCGTCGTCACAGCAAACCTTTGTTTTCTTAGCAGCCATCGATATTCTCTCACAGTATCCCGATTTGACGGAAAATTTCTTGCGCAGCATCAAGCCCAGCGACCTCGGTCAGATCCCTGACCATCCAGTGGAGCGGTGTTTGGATATCTTCTTCTTAAACGTGGCTGAGCACTTCCCTTTGGTTTTATCCCCCGAAGCCAATGAGGAATTGCTTCTTTCTGCCGCCTTCCCATACCTTGCGGCTGGTGCAAATAGCCTGCTTTTGGAGATCTTTGAAGCTGCCCACAGCTTGGTACTAGTCGTGTTCGCTATCCCTCATAATGCGGATCTAGCTGCGAAGCACCTGCCCTTTTACATTGAGAACCTCTTTGCAGTAAGTTTGACCCTTTTTCATCAGATGCTTTCGAAGTGTCTAACCTTGCCCAGGTATTCCCGGAAAACCTCTCAGCGAGACAGTTCCGTCTTGCTTTCAAGACAGTCATTCAGGTCACAGCACCTCCTTCACCATTAGCAAACAGCCAACCACTACTCCCATCCATTCTACTCGAGGTAGTCCGAGATCGAGCTCTCCACGCATCAACTACGCCCATACCCCCCACCGTACAGAACAGCTCGACGCCCGACCTAGGCAAAGCGCCGCCACTCTCCGCACAAGCTGTACTCACACTTGCCTTGATCGACTCACTTTCCTTCCTCCGCGTCGATGACCTGAAAGAATGGCTCCCCCTCACAGCCGAGCTAATCAATGCAATCCCCGATCCCGCAATGCGCCAAGCCTGCGTCGACCGCTTCTGGGAAGCATTGAGCGGCGGCGAAATGGACGTGGACCGAGCGCACTGCTGCGTGGCCTGGTGGAGCACCCGCGGTGGGCGCGAACTTCTCCTTTTCGGAGCCCAGCCAGCACCAGGCGCCGTTCCGGACGATGATAACGGGCCGTATATGAGTGGGGCGGTGGGTGGAGTGGCACCGGAGCATAAACTATGATCTGACCAGGCCTTGTTGCATTGTACGAGCGTTGACATGTTATATACTATATACCAGGACTTCTGTCCAGAATCAATTCACTTCTAAAAAACATTGAATAAAGTGTCTACGATTGAAGCGCCATTCCATTTTTGCAATGAATCCCCCCCCCCCCCCCCCCCTTAGTTTGATTAACGAATAAAGGGGATGCCAACCGGTGTATCCTTCCGGTACTGAGCATACTCGGCACCGAAAAACCGAACCAAGAACGTCTCCTCACCTAGAACAAAGAAGTTAGCTCGGTCAAATATCCCAACAAAAACTATGAGACTCACGCTTAATTCTCGTCGCAAAGAACCTCCACAACACAAGCGCATACCCAACAAAACAAACCACATTCCCCAGAACCAGCTGCGTACCAAGCCCCCACCAAAAGAACCCAAAGTAACTCGGATGTCTCAAAAACCGATACAACCCAGTCTTCACAAGCACATGGCCCGACCTATGCTCACTCTGAACATGGTGATTAAAATTCCCCGCCGCAGTAGCCATCGCCACTGTCCTAATAACCTGGCCCACGACCGTGAGCACAAGACCTAGCACAAGTAACAGCGATACATGACCAAACGGCCCTTCGAACGAAAGCATCCTGCCGAGCCCCCATTGTCCAGGAAAGAAATAATGCGAAATCAAACACTCCACCAACGCAGACCCATGAGCAGCATTGTAAGCCCACCCGTTCGAAGAAAGGAGGAAAGCCTTCACTGTCGCAAAAGGCGTATTATACTGCGCCGTGACGATGAACTCGAGGAAGTGGAATAGACTAAGGGCGCCGATGAAGAACGGCATGCGCCAGAAGGGTGTAGGGAGGGTTGCTAGGTATAGTGTCAAGCTTGTTGTTAGGCCGAGGCTTGTACCGAGGAGGAAGGCGCGTAGAGAGATTCCCGAGAGCGATTTCGTGCCGGTGGGGAGGTTTGTAGGGTCGATTTCAGGAGTTTCGGAGCTTGAGTTGGAGATAGAGCTGGAGATGGACGGGCTGCGCTGCGAGGTGAATGATGGGTGCCATTCTTCTTCTGGGTGTTGGGGGAGGCGCTCGGTGGGCCAGGGGATGTTTGAGTCGCCTGGTTCGGCGGAAGTGGAGGAAGATGTCATTTTGAGGGTATCCAGGACGTCTTGGAGGATTCGAGGGAGTGTGTGTCTTTCAATGGGCGTTAGGAAGCCATCTTGTTGCTTGGAGAACAATACTCGAGAGATCGATTGTGAGCTTTGAGCTTTGAGCTTTGAGCATTCCGTCCCCACTTAGCGCATGGCCCTCCGCGGGGACTCGGGTCTCGGTCCGATATGGTGACAGTTGTCTCTTAGGAGTTCTCGTTATACGTTCTTCTATGGGCAATATTGGCTATTGTGGTCTTTTGCTGTTTTGAATTCTCTAACATGGCCGAACCAACCGAAAAGGAAAAGATGCTACGCGGCGAGCTCTTCCGCGCCTTCACACCAGACCTAGTCGCAGCACGAGCCCGCTGCAAATACGCCTGCAACCACTTTAACAAAACAGACGAAGTGCCTCGCCGACGACTAGTCGAGCTATGGAGAGAGTGAGTGCACTTTGCCAATTGAACATCAACATGCCACACCCAAGCTCCAAAGCACATTAGCCAACATAAATAGTATCATTGACGATCACACACCACTTCCCGCCCAATTAGACGACCCCGTCGCAGACGAAGAACAATTCAAACACGAGCCATGGATCGAAGCGCCTATCAAAGTGGACTACGGGTTTAATGTGACGCTCGGCGAAGGCGTCTTTGTCAATTTCAACTGTGTTTTCATTGATAGTTGTCCTATCACTGTTGGTGCGCGCACGATGTTCGGACCGAATGTTAATTTGTTTGCGGGGACGCATCCGCTGGATCCTGCGTTGAGGAATGGGACTGAGGGGCCGGAGATGGGGAAGCCGATTACTATTGGGGAGGATTGTTGGATAGGGGGAAATGTTATTGTGCTTCCTGGTGTTACTATTGGGAAAGGGGTGACCATTGGAGCGGGGAGTGTTGTTACCAAGGTACGTTTTTCTTCTTTCTTTGTTTTCCTCTTTCATCTTGTGAGCTCTTTGAGAGAGCTGTTTCTGGTGCTCGCGTGAAAGGTAACTGACGTTGTGCTTACAGGATGTGCCGTCGTTCCATGTGGCTGCTGGTAACCCGGCTAGGATCATTCGCAAGATTGAAACGGCTATGACGGAATGATACTGTACTTAGGTTTTGCTTAGAGACTTGCAACATGTGTAGAGATAGAAATTATCACGCTTCCATTAAGGCAAGGTTTGCATATATCTCAAGGTAAGTTGGCTGTAGTGCATCATGACTGTTATCGCAGTTAGATCTGGGTATGCACGGTTGGTACAAACAGCGATGTGAACCTTACGATCGTGATCGGATTGGAATTAGCTCTAAAGGTCTAGACGAACCATCCGTTCGCGGGGGTTCATATGGAGATCCTTTGGTAGTTTAAGATAGTGTCCGCGCTGTGATGCCGCCCCCACGTTTACGCTCAATCAAAGGTTCCTACTGCATCCCGCAGATATATGTTGTTGGTCAAAAACGCCGGTTTGGCACGTGCACAAGTAACATTCAACTTGAAGCGGTAGCTTCATCAAGAGTAAATGAGAAACAAATGAGGATAAAAATGGATAGAAGTTAGTACCTAGGTATGAATAGCTGGCTGATCCCGTGCATCTCTAAGTGCTGTTCGGGGCTCTCCACAGCACAACGTCACCGATCTCCTCTCGCATCCTCCCAAAAAAGCTGTCGACCGCTCCGCCAACACCGGACACCTCCACGGCGGACGTCTCTCACTTTGCTTTCACTCCGATTTTAAGACTCGTAATCTACCCCGAACATTCCGATTACCTATCACCACCTTCTGAACCGTCAAAACGTATCAACCTAGTCGAACAAGCGAGGAAAATGTTATGGCAGATCCCCCGCCAGAGAGCTCTCACTCAACGCCTGGCACTCCCGTGAGCGACTCCACGCGTCTGCACAGCTCGATGGAAGACCCCGACTCCGAGGGCCACCGGAAACGCCCGCGTCTCGACAGTGGAAGTCGCGTAAGAGAGAGCTTGTCCATCGACGCTGCCTTCACTCCGGCCGCGCCTGCCTCCGCCATGGACCTTTCTCCAGATTCGCGTCCCAGCAAGATGACGATAAATGTCAAGTCTCCAACATGCGACATGAATTCCGAATCCATCGAACCCGCGTCCCTCCAACCAGACTCTCCTCTACCTCACTCTATCACCGACCCCGACGCGAACCCGGACAATGTCATTTCTATCTCCTCCTCTCCTGCACACAGTCCTGAGATCGAAGTCGCCGAGCTGGAGGATATGGATCAGGATCCAAACACCTCCAGTTGGAGGCCACTGGACGAGGCATTACGAGACCAGACCCAACCTGAGGTGATCGAGGTCGACGACACGCTCTCTCCCTTGGACTCTTTCCCGTCAGTACGGGAGAATGCGACCGCATTTGAGAATTTGCAATACATGATCGCGGTGATCGAGAGATGTACGTGACTCTGTGGCTCTACTGAGATGACCCTTTAGGTACTGACATTGTGAGCAGGTGACCCGCGTGATGCCTTAGCACTTACTGCCTTGAAAGTGTGGTTGGCCGACTGCGCAAAGAATCTCGATCGATTGACGGCTCCCGCCATTACTGAAGATCTTGAATTCTGGAATCGCTTACCTTTCCTTCTGGAAATACTCCTCCGCAGACAGTATGATTCCTTCCTCGACTATTGCTTGTTACTCTGTGCTGACCCGAACATTAGGCAGGAGCTCCTTATTGACGATGGAAGCGAGGTATTGAAGGGCCTGGAGGACTTCTTCATAGATTATGTCAAAATCGCCGTCCACATGATTCGCCTAGACATCATGTTCATGCGCCGGTTGGGCGAAGAGCCGGATACTCAGCTGCCAGATAGTCCAGCCCGACGCTGGATAACACCTCTCGCGTGGCTGCTGGGATCACAGAACATTCCTCTCTATCGTGCTATAGAGACACAGTACAAGACCAACACTGTGGATTTAGTACGACGAATCCGCGCGAGGTCTTTCATTCCCCCTATCGATGCCCCCTCAGTGGTGGCAGAATACACTTCTCTTCTGCTGAAAACCATGCTCAAAGCTCCTTCTTTATTGAACGCTTTGAAAACTGTTCTGATTTTCGCCACTAGCGTGGCTGACTGCACACCGGATAAGACACAGAATGAGCAGGACTCAAATACAGAATTCAGTACTGACCTATCGGCCGACTCATCTTTCTTAATGGTCATATACGACACCGTCCGCCAGATTGATGTCCAGTACCAGGAATGGGTGACAAAGAAATCCGCTCTGGTTTCAAGCGAGAACACTGAACATATGCTTCTCCAAATACCCCGTGTCTACATGTTGCTCTGCAAATCTGACCCTGTGTTCATCGATCGAATCGCACAAGACCTTGGAATTGAGCTTCCAGAAGGTGCGAGCATTGCTAACAAGACTGACATCATTTCCTGGGGCTGGAAACTTGGTGTTTTGAAGAAGCACATCATGGAGGGCCGCATGGAGCTCCGGGTTTGCGGTGTGGAAACAATGCAATCACACCTGGTGAAGATTTGGGCCGAGCGCATCTCCAACAATGCTACTGCAGTCAAATCACCAGAAATTCAGTACCTGGTCCGATATATCCGAAGCAACAAGTTCGTGGATTACCTCGTGGGGGTAGAATCTCACCCTCAGTTGATCTGCCGCAGCAGCAATATTGTTGGATTCCTGGTCGTGGCGAGCTCCTACACGAACCTGGAAACAGACGTCATTTGGAAGGCTGTGACCGAGAGCCAGGACAGTAGGATCGTTTCTGAGGTGTTAGCCATGCTCACCCGTACGCTCTACATGCACTCCACTGCCTCACCGGCTTTGCTGTACATCTGCGAAAAGGTCCTAAGGCATCCGCTGGAACGGTTTGATGCTAATGTGCTTGAATTTTGTGATATCCTGCTCGGTCGAATGTATCACCAGCCTGGCGAAACCGGGTACTATGACAACTCTGGCCTCGACCGCGTGAATGCGGTCGCCTTGTGGCTCTGCGTGCGTCTCATCCGAGAAAGCACCGCAGCGGACAATCTCTCCGATGAACAGAGGACGAAATTACAGGACCTCGGCAGCAGGCAACTCGCAAGCTGCATCAGAGCTGGCGTCAGCGGGACGGACCGGGCGGAAATCTACGAACGCTGTATCCTTGATATCGCCGAGATGAATGCTTTCACTGCGGGTAGTATCCAAGTACTGAATGCTCTCGTCCCCATTCAAGATGCGCAAGAGATTTACAAACTCGACGAACAATATGACTTGACTCGACTGGTGATCACTGACCTGCTTCACACTGTGAATGGAGACCAAGTCGATTTGTCCGATGCATTTTCACACCATGGCCTTGTTTCCCGCGTTATGCTCCTCTTCCGGCTTGTTGACATGGCCCCGGAGACAATCACGCCCGAGCTCGGAAAAGCCTTCTGGAATGACATTCTTTTGTCAAGCAAACTGGGAGTTGATGGGCACAAGTCTGTTTGGGGCATGATGTCGACTGCTTTAACGCACTGCACCAAGGCCAACCCTTTTCTTGATCGATGCATTCATGAATATCTGCCGGGGTTAGTCCCGAAAGACTACTCTCCGGAATTGCTTGCCTTTACAAAAATGTCCATCACCTACCAACTTCGCTTTTACCCGCCTCCCGCCGCTGTGGACAATGAGATTGTGACCATTCCGGGAATGGATCGCATCTGGAACTTCATTTTGACATCCCCCCCTGGTACTATCGAAAACGAGGCAACGGATTATGCCATCAAAACATATCTGGATCATCCAATTATCAGGAACTCACCGCCGTCTGCTGTTGAAGCGACACATATTTCGATCGCAGGTCGTTGCATCGAGCAACTCAAAAACTCCGCTGCAGCTTTGCGGACGTCACACGCTACGAACGGTGATTCTGCGATGGAAATAGAAAATATCGATGGTGCTATCGGTCCCGAAGAGCTGCGTTTCAGGCGCTCGCTTCAGTTCCTCTACCGATTGCTTCACGGTCTGCGGTCTCGCCGACAATACGTTTCCCCTCGAGGATCTCCACCAAGTCTTCCAGAACGCCCAGTTAAAGGTGATCCGGTCGAGCTATCCTGGCAATCGTTCAACGGCAATGCTCACTCTGGTGTCAAGGTATTGCAGATCGGCAGCCTTTCGACAGCTACCGAGCTCGTAGAGTTACTTTGCCAGCTCACCGGTTTCTCCAAGTTTTCGGCAATCTGCGGTGGCCAGCGGCTCAACCTGCTCGAAGATCCGGGAGCTCTTGTGGGAGAGATAAAAAAGCTCCAAGGGGGCCTTCTAATTCTCCGCAAGGCACCCGATGCCCAGGAAGTCGCGCGTGACAATGGCCAGCACTCTCTTACGTCGGTCGACTTTGAAGTTATGAAGCATTTCGACGAGATTTACGAATTCCTCGTGCTCAAGGAGGATGTCGCCCGCGAGGTATGCCATGTCATTTAGCTTTGGTTCTTTGGTGGATGCTAACGTGATTTCTACATAGGTATTTGATTTTCTCGCCGTGTTCCCTCCTCCCGACCGCATTGTCGATCTTGTCAGATCTGAGCAAATCGACGAAAAGACATTGTTCCCCTTTGTTACGCCCTTCATTGCATTTTATTCCTTCTACGTGCTGCTCATATGCCTGCGCGATGAATCGACGGAGGCAATCCCCAATCGGGACTTTGCGTCGCACAGCATCGAAAGAGTTGTGGCGTTTTTGATGGCCGATGAGTTTGCTGGATCCCTGATTCATGATTCCGTCAAGTTCTGGCTTGCCACAAAAGCGCTTGAATCCCTTCAAGCGGCATTTAACGTCTATGGCTCTCCAAGCGACGACGCCACACTTGTCCAGGACCCGGCAAAGCTGGTGAAGCGTCTTCTGAGTTTCATTGAGATGGCCCAGTCTGCACCCAGCCTTCCTTTTAGCGTCCTGAATCAGAATCTTATTCGTCTCCCCTTCGCCCTTCTCATCGACGGCTCAACACGGGATAGCAAGTTCTGGAATGCTGTCAAACAGGAAACACACTTCGGCCAGTTGATCCAGTCGCTGCTTTTGAATGAAAGCCGCTCATCCGTTCGCATCGACGTGGCAGAGAGGATCAAAATGACATGTGGTCCTTTGAAATCGCAGAAGCAGGTGCAGAAGGCTAACGAACAGTCGCAAAGCCCGACCCCTGCCGAAAGTACCGACAGAATAGACATGCTGGCTACTGTCTGGGATGCCTTCCTCAAGACTATCCCGAAGGCTCCAGAGTTTGCTTCGCAGTCTGCGGAATTCTTCACAACTGCTCTCTGGGTTTTCCGTGTGGTTGCGGAGAGGTCTCCCCGAGATATCATCTTCAGTCAGTATCTCAGGGATTGGAGTTTGGTCATGCTCCAGCACCGCACTCAAGAGGTAATTGAATGCCTTTCATTAAAAATGGAGCTTTTGCTAATCATAGTAGTTTGTCGGTCGCGAGACGATTGATCACTTGATGCATGGATTTGCTCTTTTGTTGGAGCTGTGCCTTGACCTGGCAGAGAAGGCTAACGTTGATCTGGGAGACTGGTAAGTGTTCCGGAATATGAAACCAAGTACCCTGGACTGAATTTCTAGTGATCTCGCGGAGCACATTCTGGGCATCTATCTCTTCCCAGACCTGTCGCCGGATATAGAGAATCTCACGGCCCCGCAGCTTCCTGTCTTGCATTCACCCACTCGCCAGAAGCTGTACAGTATTGTTGGCCTCCTATGCAAGCGCAACGATGTGAATCTTGCCCAAGTTATTGATATGCTGGAGCCTGTTGTCCCTCGAGGTTCGTTCAATCCGCCTTTCAATCCCGGAACAGCCTACTGATACTAGTCTCACAGATGTTTCGTACGGCCCGAACTCGAGCTGGGATCGATCAAAGATAATTCGAGCCCCACCAGGGTATGCGGGGCTTAAGAATCTCTCGAATACCTGTTACTTGAACTCCTTGATGACCCAGCTTTTCATGAACATCGAGTTCCGAGATTTCATCCTGAAGCTTGACCTGGTTGATCCACATTCATCACAGAGACTTCTCAAAGAAACTCAAAAGCTTTTTGCAATGATGCAAGACACTTTTACGAAACATACGGATCCAGCAGACTTTGTCGAGCAGATCAAAACCTACGACAACGAAGCAATCGATGTCACTATCCAGATGGATGTCGATGAGTTTTACAACTTGCTCTTTGACCGTTGGGAGGCTCAGATTGTGGATCCACAGGAAAAGAAGAAGTTCAGATCCTTCTACGGCGGGCAGCTCGTTCAGCAAATCAAGTCCCAAGAATGCCCCCACATTTCGGAAAGAGAGGAACCGTTCTCTGCCATACAATGTGATATCAAGGGCAAGGCCAGCCTCGAGGAGAGTTTACAAGCATACGTCGAGGGAGAGATCATGCAAGGAGGTTAGTGAAATTTGCTTTTGCTAACCAGACACATGCTAACATGGGAACTAGAAAATAAATACTCCTGCACGGGCTGTAACCGCCATGTTGATGCTGTGAAGCGGTAAGTTGGCTACCGGGAAGAGCCCAGGCAACATTCATTCTCTGACCTATCTGCAGAGCCTCTTTGAAACATGTTCCCGACGACCTAATTTTCCATCTCAAGCGGTTTGATTTCGACATGGTATCATTGACTCGAAGCAAGATCAACGATGAGTTCCAGTTCCCGGATCGGATCGACATGACTCCTTACAAGGTGGAGCACCTCTCAGACCCAGAGGCTCACATCGAGCCGGACATTTTCGAACTGGTCGGTGTTTTGATTCACACGGGTACGGCCGAGTCGGGCCATTACTACTCGTACACTCGGGAGAGACCCTCTTCGGGAACTTCAACCTCATGGGTCGAGTTCAATGACTCGGATGTTAGCTCATTTGACCCAGCAACCATTGCAGACCAGTGCTTCGGAGGCCCGAGTGGAACAATGGGTGGCCAAATGCACAAGGTCTGGAACGCCTATATGCTGTTCTATCAGCGCGTTTCTACAATGGAGGCGTCCAAAGAGATCTACAAGCCGTTAAATCCTGGATATCCAGTCCGAGCTTGGGTACCCGATGATTTGACAAGCCTTATCGCCGGAAACAATGAGATTACCATCCGGTCTTATTGTCTTTTGGACCCGCTCTACGCATCTTTCGTGCAGGGCCTGCTCCAACATGTGCAGAGCTTTGCAGTCAACTTCGAAAGAAAACGCGATCTTGAATTGAAGGCGATAACTGTCGCATTGGACACCTACGAGCAACTGATTGCACGGTCCAAGGATCATTCATGCTTGGATGCGATTTCCACCGAGATCTCTGATCTGATCTCTCGAAATGTACATGCGGCACTCGAAGCACTTCAATGGTTTCACGAGAAGGAAACCTCGATGCGCAACCTGGTCCTCAAGATGCCAAATACGGAAGTTCGGAAGCAAGGCATCATGTTCCTCATTGACGCCATGGGCATAGTTGAAAATTATCTTCGCGATCCAAGTGTTGACGAACAGGAAGGGATTGACATGCAAGTTCGCTTCGACGGGCTCGTGGAAGACATCATTCGCAAACTGGAGGATTTGTGGCCTGCTCTTCAGACCGTTTCTCGTGTCTGGGATGATTATTTCGACATTCTTCTTAAGATGATTGCGGTGTCACCTGGAACTGTTGACTTTTTGCTCGAGAATGGCTTCTTCGTCCGCTGCCTGGAAATCATCTGGCTCGATCAAGAGGACCGGAAGAGATTGAGAAGCAAGTATTCAAACTACATCAGACTGATTGATAAGGGCCGACGCTTCTCCTATCTCAAAATGATGGCTCTCTGCGCAGTCTTTTTCAAGAAAATCGATTTTGCGCTCCCCCCTGTCCGAGATGACGAGACTCGGCATGTGTTGGGCAACGTCATGTATTCTTTGAGCGTCACCGAAAACAAATTCATCAAACCCATCGACGAAGATGGAAGTCTTTCTGTTCTGCAAAAGATTCTGCAACATGACCATTTCGGTAACACAAAGGCCTCCTACACGATTATTGCCGCTTTGCTTCAATCAGAGCCCCAGGCAGGTCTCCTTGACAACATTATCAAAGCGCTGCAAGTCGGTTTGCGACTGTCACCTGCCGACCTTAGCATCCCATTCCTGGAGGCGACATGCATGTTCTGCAAATGGTGTCCAGGGAAGGCCGATGCCGCAGACATAATCAGATTTGTCGCGAAGGGAGTTGAATCGATTGACGGCCGCGCGAGTGTTGATCATCTAGAATTCTTCACCCGGATTTGCACTACATCTAACGAAAGACTGCGCCTGGGAGAAGATTGGTTTTCGGCAATCGTTCAAGATGAGATCCCCAGCTGGGCACCGACCCTCCTCATCGACACTGATCGATCGGTTCGCCAGGGCACCATGGACATACTCAAGACCTTGCTTTTCAGCAACGAGAACATTGGTCTCACCACAGAGTCCCAGGCTCGATACTACCAGATAGGCCGCAACCTCATGATTTCGTGTGTCCAAAGAGTTGAGAAGTCATTCATCCACAGCCAAGTTCAACAAGTCGAATCTAGAATCGTTGACAGCATCATTGAGGTCATCAAGCATTGCCAGGATACCTACTTCGATGATGAGGACGAGGAAGATAGACGGACTCTGGACAGTGCCAATGGTGCGTTAGCCCATACCTTTCTATCCCTCGCATTCCCATCTATTTATTGAAATCTGGACTAACAATCATCCGCAGCAATCCTCGCTCCCATCGAAGACATAACAGTCGAAGTCCAAGACGACCTCGTCTCAGGTACGAGCCCCTACAACGAATGGAACGACGAAGTTTGAATCTGACCCGGGCCCCCAGAATCCGATCTTCCCTCCGCAGACGAATGGGAAGCAACCTCTGCATTAGCCAGTGACTCCGAAATGGGAGTCGCCGGCTCTCCCTAGCCTTCATTCCCAGTTTTTCCCCTTCGCGTGCTCTTTTTGTTTTACTGGCGACCTCAGCGAAGACATGATCAAGCTCACTTATGATTTCATGAAATGCGTGATTTTTTGAGGAGGCGTTGCTTTCGCTTTTGGCCGAGGGCGTGGGCCCGCCATTCATGTTCCCATGTTTCCATGTATTCCGGATGTTACAATAAAAGGCGTCCGGTAGAGCAATAACTCTCAAATTTCATATTTTTGCATACTGTGGCTCCTTGAGCTGCGTTTTACATTGCACTTGTTCTTTCGTGGCCCTGTAATCTGCCGCGTAGAGATGTCTGTAGGTAGGCGCTGTGCTTGAGATGTCTGGACCCAGACACTTCCACCTGTGCAACACCAAAGTTCTTTCGAGCATCAGAAATCCAAGAGAGACATTATGTCCTGCTCAGGTGTGTCACATAGCCAGGTGAGAGGGCGATGAAATATAACTGACATGGCCCATTCATCTCCCCAGAGCCTCCATCTAAAAGCCCAATTCTAATGTATCCGAATACAAATTTGTTTGATTGAAGAAGATAATCAAATTTTTATTCACCATGTCAAAGCATTCTCTACCAGTATCAATGATAGTTTAGATTGTTGATACAGAAAAATTTCCAAAAGAAAGCCTCCGAGCGCCAGCGCCAATGCCTTGGTCCAAAGACCTGTTTTTTTTTCTCATTTGACCCAAGTTTGCGGTGTCATACATCTTCGAACTCTTCTTCGTCTTCATCAGACTCCTCGTCTTTAATTTCAGGCTCGGCCTTTGCGTCGGGATCAGGTTTGATAGCGGGCTCCTCAGTGCCAGGCTCGGTCTTGATCCTCTTCATCGCGGGCCCGTCGTCGGCTGGTGTAGTAGGTGTTCCAATCGATGACGGAGCGGCGCTGGAAGTAGTCTCGTGTTCACGCTTCACACCAGCAATACCAGATGAAGGAGTTGGGGCACTGGTAGGACCAGCTCCTGTGGCTGGGGTTGCTGGACCACTGGGACCGGAGACTCCCACGTCTTCGAATTCCTCGTCAAAGTCATCCGAGTCTTCGGCGCTGGAAGCGTCTTCCTCGGCTTGCAAGGCCTGTTCACGTTCCATCTCAGCGTAGTAGGCTGCAACCTTGTCGTCCAAGGCATCTGGATCGGGTTTTTGGTCCTCATCTTCCTCGGGCTTGACGGGGACACCGGCCTCGTTCTTGGCTTGCGTGGAACCGGCGTTGTTTGCGCTGACTGTGGAATGAGTATGCCAATGAGGAAGGGCATTTTGCTTCTCGAGGGCTGCCTTGCGAGCTGCCTCATCGGCCTGCTCGGCAGCACTTTTCTCTTCGCTGGAAGTGAGCGCGATCTCCAATTGGGCTGCGTCTGTCTTCGCCGTGGTGCGCGTAACGTTTTGTGTCTTGGCGGGTATGGAGATTGCCTGGCGGGTCGGGTGGGTGTGCTGGTTGCGGGGAACCTCGACCTTGTGATCCCAGGCAGTGTCAAAGTCGTTGGGTGGGATTTCGACAGAGTCGATTTGCTTCAACAACTTGAGCATGTTGTCGAGTTGAGCCATGAGCTTGCTGTTCTTCTCGTGGCCGGTACGATCGATTCCCTCCACGCCCTTGACGTCCTCGGTTCGTTCCAGAATGGCACCGCAATTTTGACACTCAAACCCCTCCTCGGAGACTAAACTCAATACATCCAACTCTGTCCATTCTGTGCCGCATCGCAGGCAGATGTACTCCTTGCGCTCTTCGCTTGGGGTGTATTGCGCCTTGATCGTGGACGTCAGTCTGGAGACCTTATACTTGATCGCATCGATGACCGGATGGAGCGGAATGTAGTAGTATTCGCGATTGACAGGACGAGTCGATCCGTCCCGGAATTCGGAGCGTTGGTTTCTGCGGATGAGAAAAGCCACCCAGGTTAGCTTGAACGGATGAATTGTTCCCGCCGCAGCACGGCCAAGGTAAAGCATACACTCCGATGAGACGGTCCTCTCGTAAGCGAGCACAAAGTTTTCGAAGATCCTTCTGCTGCATGCCCATCAGAAAGGCGAGGTCCTCGGCATGGAGACTGTAGCAAGTGTGTCAGATCAGCCTGCGCATTATATCCTCTCTCAAAAAGTATCATACACTGAGTGTAAGAAGAGCGCATCGACGACTAGAATGTGGCGAGTCTCGTAGAAGGCGCGCACCACACTCCGGATGAGGGTGTTGGCGAGATCCATGATTGCGACAGCTGTGAAAGCTCGAAGGCCGGAATGGCTGGGGGGTCGACGACGGGCGATTGGGAAGACGAAGCTTCTAAATGAACGGTTCAAGGAGAGACAGCAATCATCATCACAATTCAGTGCGATGTGAATTCTATGAAACAGCGCTGTGGGCGCTGAGCGAAAGAAATGAGCAAAGCTGAAGTGAATGAACCAAAGCTCGCGCGAATTGAAAGAGGTGTTTCCGCCTGAGGCAGAAAAATGAAGACTAACCAAATTGGGACTAGTGACCTCCGCCGTCAAAAACCTCCGCGGCGCATCGAAGATCTTCGTTTTTCTACTGAGTCGATTTCATGCGCGCCTTTGCTATTTCGCGTCCTTTCGCTGGTGTCTTCTCCCTTAGAAGCCCAATCACTGCCCCATTAACCGTTCGATCGAATTCCCGAACCTTTCACAACAAATCCAACCCTCGCATCGAGCTATCCGAGTTCTTCAACCGGGTACAATGGCCGACGACAAAAGCAGAGAAGGCGGAGCTGGTGGAAGGCGTAAGAACCGCGATATGGGAAGGTCAGAATGGAGGTATGTTATGTGGTTTCCCTGTCAGCGCCGACCTCAGCGGCTAACCAAGGAAGTCGTCAAGCCATAGATAAAAGAGAGCGCACTGAGCGACAAGCCGAGGCCAAGCGCCGGAAGATTGAAAACGGCGAGGAAGTCAAGGCGCCTATCTACGCGACCGAGTTCACCAAGGAGGAAATTGCCAATGAGGAGCGCCGGCCGAAGAAGAAGGTTGCGCTCATGATGGGATATTCTGGAACTGGATATTATGGCATGCAGCTGTACGGACCTCTGAATCATTCTCACGAAAATGTTGTGTACTGACTGAGAATTTATAGAAACGAAAATCAGAAGACCATTGAAGGCGATCTCTTTGCTGCTTTGGTCGCAACTGGGGCTATCTCCAAGGCTAATGCGTCAGACCCTAAGAAGTCGTCATTCGTGCGTTGCGCTCGTACCGACAAGGGCGTGCACGCCGCCGGAAATGTTGTGTCATTGAAGATGATTATCGATGACCCCGATATCGTCCAGAAGATCAACGACAAATTGAGCCCTCAAATTCGCGTCTGGGGGTTTGAGCACACTACTGGCGGCTTTAGTTGCTACCAGCTTTGCGACTCTCGTATTTACGAGTACTTGATGCCCAGTCACTGCCTTTTGCCTCCCCACCCTAGCACCTATATTGGCAAGAAGATCGTCGAGTTCGCCGAAAAGAAGGGCGACCTGGATGCTGTGAACGCCAGGCAAGCGGATGTCGAAGGTTACTGGGCGGATGTCGACGAAAAGTATATCAAGCCCATTCTGGAGAGTGTCCCCGAGGATATTCGTCAGGTCGTTGAAAAGTCCCTCTATCTCGACGAGGAGAGCAAAGAGCCCACGGACAAGGAGGAAGAGGAGGAGCAGACGCCCGCAGCTCCAGAGAATATCGAAGAGCCTACAACAGAGAAGAAGCCATTCGTGATGGATCCTCGCCAACGAAAGACCCTCGATACCATCAAAGCCATCAAGGCAGCTTACACTGCTGCCAGACGCACATATCGTGCTCCTCCCTCGCGCGTCGCTCGTTTGCAAGAGGCCCTAGACCAATACGTCGGCACCAAGAACTTCCACAACTACACTATCCAAAAGACTCACAAGGACCCATCTGCCAAGCGTCATATCAAGTCATTCAATGTCAATCCGAACCCAATTCTTATCAATGGCACTGAGTGGCTTAGCTTGAAGGTGCACGGCCAGAGTTTCATGATGCACCAGATCCGCAAGATGGTAGCCATGGCCACCCTAGTCGTTCGCTCCGGCTGTCCTGCCGACCGTATCGAGGACACCTACGGACCTCACCGCATCGCCATTCCCAAGGCCCCTGGATTGGGTCTTTTACTCGAACGCCCCATCTTCGACAGCTATAACCAAAAGGCAGAGGGCTTGGGCCGTGAGCGTGTTGCATTTGACAAGTTCACTAAGGAGATGGAAGAGTTCAAGCAGCGAGAGATTTATGACCGCATCTTCCGCGAAGAAGAAGAGTCCGCAGCGTAAGTGACCACCTCACTTTACTCTGGTATGATTTACTGACATAAGATACAGATTTGGCTCGTTTTTCAACCACATTGATCACTTCCCTGGTGACTACTTCCTTTATGTTACCTCGGGCGGAGTTGAAGCGGCAGAGATTGTGGCTGCTCCCAACGAGAAGAATGCCGAGAAAAAGGAAGCCGAACAGGTCAAGACCGGAAAGTCTCAGAAAGAAGCTTTAGCTGAAGTCGAGTCCGGATCTGAAGATGAAGCCAACCTTGCTGGCGGTGAAGAGGGTAATTGATTAACTCTCAATCTTGTGATGCGTAAGGATTATATAACAGAATCAAACAAACGTAACGTGTATCAACCATCCTCGAATATCAATTCAGCTGATCGTGAAATGCATTCATATATTTAATTCATCGCCAGGCGCGTCAAAGTATATTACCCTGCTGTCTCAAATGCCTTTCTATTCACAGGTGTCAAAGGCTCCCCTGCAAACCCACCATCCGGTCCCACCACCGCAATGATGTTACGCATAGCATTGAGTTCAAAATTGATTCTTGTGTCCAAAGCCCCTCCACCAATATGCGTAGTGAGCGTGACATTCTCCATACTCGCCAATCTCCGCGACACCTGTGGCTCATGATAATGCACGTCCAGCGCAGCAGCAGAAAGGTGTTCAGTCTCAAGAGCACGAATTAAAGCCTCCTCATTAACAACCGGCCCTCTCGCGGTGTTAACAATCCTGCTCCCAGGTTTCATCAAGGACAATGCCCTTGAATCTATCATGTCATGCGTATGCTTATTGAGTGGCGTGTGTAAAGAAATACAATCAGCCACCTTCAACAGCCCATCCAAAGAATCGTGATAAGTCGCAACCAACTCTTCTTCTTCCTTCGCATCCGCTCGCACAATATCAAAATAGTGAATCTTCATTCCAAGCGCCATCCGTGCCTTGAACGCCAGCTTCTTACTAATATTTCCAAACCCAACGACACCAAGCACATGGCCGCGCGGGTTATGCGAAATCGTCGCAATCAACTTATGAGTCTCCATGAATTTCTCGGGATCCGCAGTTCTAGCTGCCAACTGGGACTGGGTGAAGTTTCGGAATACGCTGAGAATCATGTATAGTGCGGTGTCGGAGACGGCCTCGTCTGATGCGCCGGCGCCATTGGTGTACCAGATCTTTCGCTCTCCGAGAGTGTCCACGTCGGCCCAGTTGAAGCCTGCACCAGCTGATGCAAAGATGCGGACACTTGAGGGTAGTAGTGAGATCAGTTCGGTGTTCCACTGGCCCATAAAGCCGCCTGTTTGGAAATGAGGGCGGAATATTGCGGAGAAGCTACCGTATCTGAGAAAATTGTCAGACTTTTTCCATAGACAGCTCATGATTGACAGGCTTACTTCTTCGATTTGAGGGCCTCTATAAACCCTACACGGTCTGTCTCTGTGAGTTGGATGACATTGAAGAGAGGTAGAAATTCAGTGTTGTAGAAGTCGTGGTTGTACTTGATGGCGTCCCCTATGTGTAGGACAGTAGGTTTAGAAGTAGACTCCATTTTAACGTGCCCTGATAATGATGTACGACGGTGGAAAAAAGAGGGATTCCTTTATACATGGAATGCGAGGAACACGCTTTATCTGTGTCCGGAGAACCTCATCTTGAACGGAGAGAACTCCGAGTCGATTTCTGACATGCCAAAACATTCCAAATCTTGATTGAGACTCACTATAGACGCAGACCACTCGTTCCAGCCTTTTTAAGTCATCCAATAACGCTACTATACGTAATATACCTGAGTCCCTCACCCCCGGCCCATTCTCCCTCTCCTACTTCCGGTTCTCTTTCCGCAACACATACTGATTACCAACATCAATACCCCACAGGCCCCACAACACATGCGAGTACAGTCCCCGCGGGGGCGTATCTTGTTCCTTGTAGTTCGGGATAGAGATAACTCCCATAGATTGAGTAAGAGGTACAAGTCTCAGGAAAGAATTTGATCATGAATGTTTTTTAAATCATCCAGATACAATAGCGAATAGCATGATTGAGGTATACTAAATCCCATATCCGACAGTCCCGAAGTTTGATCGTTCACTCGTCCAATTTAGAATAGAATAAAACGATCAATATTAATTAGACAACAATATTATAGAACGGATTTAATATTTGATGATAAGAAACGGCATTTGACCTTTAGCGTCTCAGATTTGACGGAGAGAGATTAAAATTCACGTCAGGATCTTGCTGTATTGCGAAACAGATTGATTTGCTACTATTGGTAGTTTTAGAAGGGTAACCTTGTAAGATTAGTCTTGATCCCACATTCTGGCCGAGGCCTAATAATAGCAAAGTCAAACAACTCGCCGTCGCACTATGAAGCACACTTTCGTGGCCATCTGGTTGGTCGGATGTTTGCCCAATTGGGTGACCCTATATGGCAGAGACAATACTTGGAGCAGTTTGCGTCGCCTCGCTTATGCTACAGGCCTTTGAAGAAACTATGGATCATGTATCCCGAAGGGTTCGAATTCCTTTTCATGAATTACAATAAAAATGTAAATACTCACGAGCCTTTAGGAGAATGGATTCGACGCATCTCAGTTGTGGCTCAGGGGTGGATGGCTTCATTAGCGTCTGGCGGAGCGGCCTGAATTCCGTGATTGAAGTCCGGTAACTGCCGACCGCGAGATAGCCACGAAGGGTATAAATAGCGGGGTTACGACGAGCTAATAGAGAACGCCTAGATAATTTGCTTTTGCATGAAGTGGAATATACTACTCGCCATGAAGTTTCCGACAAAAGAAGAGACTCAGCAAGCGATCAATAGTTATATCTCAAGCTTGGCCACGCCCCTCCGGGAGTTGAACCAGAAAGTATGTAATCGATGATCTATCAACGCTTCTTTCTCTCACAGAAAACTGATTCTTCTTGTGTAAAAGATCCACGAGGCTCCAGAGTTGGCATATGAAGAACACAGGGCTCATGATGTAATTTGTGATTTTCTCGTGTCGCAGGGAATACCGACAACTCGCCACGCCTATGGTCTCTCTACTGCATTTGAAGCCCTCGTTGGTAAATCCCCTGGGCGCTATATTAATTTCAACGCCGAATATGACGCCTTACCGGACATCGGACACGCATGTGGGCATAATCTGATTGCCACAGCCAGTGTCGCAGGGTTTGTGGCATTGGCGTTCGTGATACAGAAATTCGGGCTCCCGGGCCAAGCCCAATTGTTGGGGACTCCAGCAGAGGAAGATGGCGGGGGCAAGATCGATCTGATCCGGGCCGGAGCTTACGAAAAGGCCGACATTTCATTGATGATGTATGTATTTGTGGATCCTTACCCCATGTTGTGGGGGCCAATAGACTAACATTCGCAGGCATCCCGTTTCCGAGGAGGAATTCACGGCCCACGGCGTCCATGGAATTGGCGGGCGCTCGTCTATCTCGTGCTACGACCTTATTGCTGTCTATCGGGGTGTGAGCGCACATGCAGCCGACAGTCCATGGGATGGTGTCAATGCGCTTGATGCAGTTGTGTCAGCGTACAATAACATCTCAATGCTGCGACAACAGATTCATCCCACGGAGAGAATCCATGGGGCTATCTTGCAGGCGCCGACTATCACAAACGCTATACCCGAACTGACTCGAGTTAAATACACGATTCGCAGTCCGACTGTCGAAAAGACTAGAGCGCTGGGTACTCGTGTGCGGAAATGTCTGGAGGCAGCGGCCCTTGCGACAGGATGCAAGATCGAGCTTGAGGAAACTCGCTTATACGCTGATCTGGTCGTGAATGCACCGCTATGCAAGGCTTTCCAAGAATACATGGGCGACCAAGGAGAACAGATCTGGATTTCCGACGATACTCTGGTGAGCGCGTCCACCGACCAGGGCAATGTTTCACAGATCGTTCCGGCACTCCACGCGATCATCGGTGTTCCAGTCAAGGATGGAGCAAAGAATCACACGCGCCAGTTCACGTTCGCTGCTGGAACCGACAAGGCACATAACAGGACGATTACCGCAGGAAAAGCCATGGCAATGACCGGGTGGAAGGTGCTGATGGACGACGGTTTCAGTCGGGAAGTAAAAGCGGTATTCACACCGGGAAAGCAAAATTGAACGTAGAGTTTAGGCAATCGCACACCCTTATTATACCGCACGTTGATCAATGAAACGTGTCGATAACCCTGCCACTGCTGAGGGACTTGCCCGGTAGAAAGACCAATCAGTATGATTTATGCGGATTCCCGAAAGTGAAGAAAGAATCGAGGCGAGAGTATTATTAGTAGAAGTAAGATACAAGATACCCAACATTTGAAGACAACGATCAAGAATATTTTGCCCGAAATTTCCGCAAATTCGAAAGAGATGGGATTCCCCAACGAGGACCTAGACAATGCTTTAACACGTCCAATAGAATGCAGCTATTATGGAACAGGAGTGAGGATAGCTTGCTCTATGTGCTCCCGAGGTTTGGGACTAAAATATGGGTCGAATCATGCAGCATGCGAGGCTTGGACGCGAAACATTCCTTTAAGGCATTATGAAGTTTGTGATTTCTCTGAACTCGCTTGTTCTTGCTAAGAGTTGGATGGGTATTGAGGCTCAACACAACGCACTGACTTTTCTCTCCAGGTTACACAGGGCTATTGCTGCAAAGACATCAATTACAAAAGACAGTTTACTCCAAGCTCCCATTGCTTGTGCCAAGCTCAACTTTTAGGCAACGATATACGTTGCTGATTTCGCTGCAGATTATTGTACATTTCATCTTATACATGACTCCGGAAGAAAAGCGAGTAGACAACCTTATACAGAGACCAAAAGATATAGGCGAAAGAAGAAGAACGCATCCAAGGCAAAGAAGAGTGTTCCCATGGAGCATACGACTCGCGGCTCTCGACGCAAAGATGAGATCACATGACCTTGCGGCCAGACAATTAACCAGGTGCCGTGTTGGTCCCATTCGAATTTGATTCAAGGACAAGGTGTGCATCGAGTCTTATGAATCTTCCAATCCTCTTTCTGACAGGCCTTGGTGCAGTACCGAGCTTGCTTACAACGACCACAGCGCAAGAGTTCGGTATCCAAAGACGGAGTAAACCCGCACCCGCCACACCACTTGCCCACGTCCTGAGCACCCATGTCTGCTGGAAGACTGCTCATTTGCGTCAAAAGACTCTCGCTCCATTTGGCCCAGAAGATGTCAGAGTCGTGGACTTGCTCCGTAGTTGAAACTGGCACCTGGCACAGTTCACTTCGCACGCCTACTGCCTCTAGTCGGGCAGAGACTGCGCGTGCAAGGGCGTCGTCGGTGGTGCTCCAGCTCCACGGGGCCCAGGGCATCACGTCATGGGGCATAACGTTAATAATCGCATCTCCCTCGTCGAAACGCGTAACAAAAGATTCCAGGAGTAGCGGAACGATGATTGTGGCCTGGTCGTCGGGCGACAGCGGGGTGATTCGAGCGCGGCCTTCGACGTGGTGGTGGCCGCTGAATGGGTTCGCTAGGAAAACGGCATTTCCAGGAACAATGGGTAGAGATTTCACAGAGAAATGATAGTGGTTGGGGGCACCCCACGCATCACGCTCGGGACGGCGGAGAGTGTTGAATTTTTTGACCCGAGACGCGGTGGCGGACATGGCAGTGATACTTGGGGATGGCTTCAAAAGGCGGGAAGAAAGGGTGGTTGTGAGATCGGGAGCAAATTTCAAGGCGGTGATGAAGTTTAGCCGAATGCGGCATATTCAAACCCGCGATAGAATTGCGTCGTTTGCATGGAATCACAGGATATGAGCGATCTTCGGTGTGCGGTTGTCGACACTGTACGCGGAGACATCAACGCGCCATTCGACGCGTTGATGGAAGGCAACCAACCCAGGTAAGAAACTTCAAAATAACATCCAAGCATATGTGCCTGAGGCTATTCTGCCTGATTGAGCTCTATTAAATGTTAAAGAGAAGCATTGATCATGGAAACCGTGGACTCCGTGTCGATCATATCAACTAGATACCGCGTGTGTAGAGGACAATCGGATACTTGACCGCGATGCGATACAGTAGCAACGCCTGTATCGCATCGCGGTCAGTTATCATCGCTGATGCCATTGAATTTGCCCATGGGCTCAGGTTCCAGTAGCAGGTCAAGGCAGAACAGAAAATTCGTCAGTCCTAGATGTGAGATGTCAACGAGTCTTCAGATTATGGCCTGACAGACAGACTAGTTACAAAGCCTACCTGCCAGGTCTTTGTTTATTCGCCGTCGCCGCATACAATAATTCCTCTGATAACGGGCAAATACCTTGTAGTATATTAAGTTTAATAATAAGATTATATAGTCTCTCCCTCCGTGCTAGCTTGGCATCAGCAGTACTTCCCAGTACTAAGTCGATTCAAGGAAGTGATAGAGAAGTGCGAAAGTGTGCGTATCGCTGGGATTTCTAGAGTTCCTGTTCTTAGCGTAAAGGTGAGTTAATGGAAAGCTGGGGTCGATGGATCTATGTATGCATAACGTTGAAAGTGAGAGACATCCAGAAACATTCCCAGAGAGTCTCATGAACAAGTGATGTCATGGTGAAACGCGCATGTTCAATACAAATCTATCTAGATCTCTCGACTCAAGTGCCCTATCCAGAATATTCGACGGTGAACATGGCATTCAAGGTTGTATTTCTTTTGATCAAATCCTACCTGGGCACTAGTAGCAAAAAGAACGGGGGAACCCAGATTCTAGCAAGGGCTGAGAGGGTTTGAAAGGTCAGTGTATATCGTATGTGAATATCGCGAACTTGACCATGCAAATTCCAGCTTGATGTCGCATTTAAATTTCTGTGGCTAGAACAAATTTTCCACACAATTCATGCAGTAAGCCTTGGCATCTCTTTCTTCCGGTGTCGCCTGTTAGTGTCTCGGACATGCCATGGCACACAGACGGAGATTGTAAAGAGCACATGGTCGAACACGAGGTGGATCTTAATGGGGCCGTCCGAGTGGCTGAGAGGAGGAAACTAGAAATTTAGCAGGACTTGGCAACATCTTGGCAGACCGCAAATGGTGCCTGGAAAAGTATCCATAGGCGACCTGCCCATCAGATAAGATGGCTAGCCTCCAAGATACTTTAATTTGTGGCGCCAGAGTCTGGTACCATCAGGCTTTTTCGGCGTCGGCTCAGGCCTTGGCTAGGTCTTGCCCTTCCTCTTCGTTGGGACTTAAAAGATCGCACCTCCCCAGATGGCTTTTTCCCAGGGTATAGTTCTCTGACTCGCGTGCCCACTATGTCCGCTACAATCATCCACGTCGGGGAAAACTCGGAGAAGGACTCTAAGCCCCAGACCGTGTCGGTTCCCGATATCCAACTTTTAGGTGAAGGCAGCCCCGGTGTTCGGAGGATCGAGATTATCACGTCTCACTTCCGCCTGGTTGATCGTATCTTCCTCTTTGCCAGTGTGTTTCTGGTTGCTTATGTTTACGGTCTTGACGGAACTGTTCGCTATACCTACCAGGTTAGTACCGCCAAGATCGTATCCTGCATCTGACTCTTTGAAGCTGATTATAAAATCTTTTACAGCCTTATGCCACACAGAGCTATGGCCAACACAGCTTGCTCGCGACCGTCAATGTTTTGCGGGCCGTTATTGCCGCTGCCGCTCAGGTATGAATTTCATCGCTAGCCGGGGTCTACCGACGCTAATTACCGGATGACTTTAGCCTACAGCAGCCAAAATTGCGGACGTTTTCGGCAGAATCGAACTGATCATCGTTTCAATCTTTTTCTACACCCTCGGTACTATTATTGAGACATTTGCGAAGAATATGGAAACCTTTTGCGCAGGCGCAGTGATCTATCAAGTATGGTGCCTATCTCGATATGTGAACCGAGATTCATTGATCTAACTTCAACTCAGATTGGATACACTTGCATCATGCTCCTTGCCGAAGTACTCGTGGCCGATGTGACTTCCACTCGATCCCGTCTTCTATTCTCCTTCATTCCGGCCCTTCCCTTCATTGTGAGTTTCTCGGCACTATGCCACTATGATTTCTAACACCCTATTTTCCAATTAGATCAACACATGGATAAGCGGAAACTTGACAGCTGCTGTGCTCAAGGTCACTTCATGGCGGTGGGGTATCGGCATGTTCGCGATCATCTACCCCATCTGCACTCTTCCCTTGATCACGGTTCTGCTCATTGTTCAGCGTCGTGCGAGAAAGTCTGGTCAATTGAAGCCCTATAAGAGCTCTTTTGAGCTCCTCGGAGGTCGTCGCCTTCTTATGGAACTGTTCTGGCATCTTGATGTCGTCGGACTCATTTTAATGATTGCCATGCTTGCATGTATTCTCGTTCCCTTCACTATTGCTGGCGGTGTCACGGCACAGTGGAAAACAGCCAAGGTTATCGCACCACTTGTGATTGGTGTTTTGTTGATTCCGGTCTGGGTCTTCTGGGAGAAGACTTGCCAGTATCCTATGCTCCCTTTTAAGCATCTTAAGGATCGTTCTGTCTGGGGCTCTCTTGGAATCGCAGTGATGTTGAACACTGGTAAGTGAACCCCTCTTGCATCAAGGACAATAACTGATATCCTGTAAGCCTGGTACCTCCAGGGTGATTTCCTGTACACCGTGCTCTACGTTAGTTTCGATGAGTCGATCCTGAGTGCTACCCGAATTTCCTCACTCTACAGCTTTACATCGGTCATCGCTGGCGTTATTCTTGGATTCATCGTGATTAGAGTCCGCCAGTTAAAGCCATTCATTGTTTCTGGCACTGTTCTCTTCATGGTAGCCTTCGGGATTCTGATTTATTACCGTGGTGGTGCTGGCAGTTCCAACCATTCCGGAGTAATTGGTGGCCAGATTCTTCTGGGTATTGGTAAGAGGAGTGATCAATCTTCCCTTAGTAGGTAACGCTGACTGTTTGGCAGCTGGTGGTATGTTTTCGTACCCGGCTCAGGCTAGTATCCAAGCCGCATCGAAGCATGAGCGTGAGTTCCACGACGCGATATCGTCATGAAGATATTACTAATTTGAAATATAGACCTGGCCGTTGTGACTGGAATCTACCTCGCTTCGTACAACGTAGGAAGTGCGCTCGGTAACACCATCTCTGGTGCCATTTGGAACCAGGTCCTCCCATCCGAGTTGGAGCACAGACTTGGAAACACAACCCTCGCCGCCCAAGTCTACGCGGAGCCTCTTGTGTTCGCGGCCGCGAATCCAGTCGGCAATCCTGATCGCGACAATGTCATTCTCGCATATCAGCATACCCAGCGTCTGCTTTGCATTACGGGTATTTGTCTGACGATTCCGCTTATTGCATTTGCCCTCTGCATTCGCAACCCTAAGCTTACCAAGGAGCAGACCTTGGCTAAGGCTGAGGAGTACGCCAGTAATGATGCGGACTCTGTTCGTACCTGAAGACCCTGCTTATAAGGGCTTTCTTTCATTTTTTCCTGGATTTGCAATGTATTTTTGGCTGCTCAAATGATTTAGTGTGGGCTTAGGCTACCCAGATCATTTTGTCCCTGACTTTTTTGGACTTTTTTGTTACTTGCCTGTAAATATGTCATAGAGCCAGGCTTTTTTAAGTATAGTTGAATATATGTATAAAAGCAACTTCAATTGAAATTGGGGGCACAACTGGGTAGACATTGAGTTGGCCATCTCGGCTTGGGGGTCACTGAGCGGTGACGGGATACGATTACTGCCGCACGGCTTGGCTCGAAGCGCCCTCAACTCTCACCATCGCCATGGAGAATATTACAAGTAACTCCCTGTGCAGGATGAATAAATTTTGAGCTGAAAATGACAAGGGTTTCGCGAGTTTCTTGATCGTGATAGCTTGGATGTTCACTGATAGGCCAAAAGGTAGCGGGCCGGTCCCCATTGCACCGGCTCCTACCCGGGAAGCCTACGAGGCAACCGACAACGGAGACTCAATACAGAATGTGATGCCCTACACTTGCCAGACCTGTGCCAAGCGAAAGGTCAAATGCGACAAAGTGGTGCCGATCTGTTCCAGATGCCGCAAGGGCGGGTTCGAGTGCATCTACCAGACACCCCAACCACGATCTCGAAAAAGAAAAGTAAGCGACGATGTGCTCGAAAAACTAGCCAAATATGAGCAGATTTTGCAGCAAAATGGTCTGCTAGATGCCGAAACATCGGTCGTCGGAGAAATGTCTCCTCGGGACCAAGTATCGGCCAGTCACGTCAAGCCTGGGGCATCGAAGACCGGTAGGCTTTTGACTGGCCAGGGGAGATCGAGATATATCGACAGCCATATATGGTACAACCTCGGAGATGATGAGATTCAGCACATGTCTGATGATGAGGAAGAGGATGAAATGGCCCCCACTGATGCCGATCTCGTGGGAGGTATCGCACCGGATCCGTTGACGGGTGCGTTCCTAGGCCGTCAGCAAAATCTTCTTCAGTATCATCCAAATCATGTAAATGCCACACTGTTGTGGAAGATACATACTGAAAATGTGGAGCCTATCTGTAAGGTCCTACATGTCCCATCAACTGGCGAAATGATCCAGTCCGTTTCGCAACATCCTGAAATGGCGTCCAAGACCGAGGAATGTCTAATGTTCGCAATCTACCACTGCGCAGTCTTCTCAACGACGGAAGATGAATGCATAAAGCAATTCAGACAGGAGCGATCTACGCTGATGCAGCAATTTCATTCTGCTGCACGACAGGCTCTCGTGAATGCATCATTTCTCAAGACAACAGAAATCTCCGTCTTGCAAGCGCTGTACCTTTTCCTTCTATCCAGCCGTTACGTCTACGATCCACACACGTATTGGATCCTGACGGGAATATCCGCCCGCATAGGACAGCGAATCGGTCTTCACCGAGACGGAGAGAAGCTGGGTCTACCGCCATTTGACGTGGAGCTGAGACGGCGATTGTTTTATCAAGTTTTTCCGCACGATGGTAGAGCAAGCCAATCTGCAGGTATTGACTTTACCAGCCTGCCTGAAGCCTGGGATACAAAACCTCCCCTCAACATCAATGACAATCAAATTTGGCCTGGGATGACAGAGAGACCAGTCGAGCAAAATGGCGCAACCGATATGATTTTCTGTCTGTCCCGCGCATATGTTGGCAAGAGGCTGGCGAGATCGGGAAACCCAATCAATGGCGCAGCACCATGGAGCTTCCCCGATCATCACGAAGCCGAGAAGATCCTTAGCGCAGCGGAAGACGAAGTGGAAGAGAAGTTTATTCGTTACTGCGACATTGTCAATCCGTTGCATTTCCTTACTATTGGACTTGCGAGGTCCGGTCTGACGGCCATGCGGCTCAAACTCCGCCTCCCCAAGATTAGGGATCAAACTGCTAGCGATGAGGAGCGGCAGGATTTGTTCCAGCTCGCGCAGAAGACCCTGGACACTGATGCAGCAGTCCATGCGCATGGGGGCACCAGCCGGTTCCAGTGGCACATCAAACCGTTCTTTCTGTGGGGTACGCGAGACTCGTTCATATTCATCCTGACTACATTGTCGAAACGACGAGACTTACTCTCCCGCGAACAAATTGAAGCCGCCTGGAAAAGCATAGCACAACTCTATCAGAACCACGATGAGCTCTTCGACGGTAAGCAGGCGCTGAATGTGGCTCTTCGACGGCTTGCTCTGCAAGCCTGGGATTCCTATCAGTCGAGCAGTGGTGACCTGCAACCGGAATTCATCGATACATTGCGGAGTCTGCGAGGGAAGAAAGAGAAGGGGCAAAGCCAGCGAGACAAATCGACGTGTCTTCCGCCCGATGCAGCATCATCGAGCGGTCCCTCGCCTATGAGCGATATGATCACATCGCACGACAGTCTGTCAGGGAGCATTACCTTTGACGTGGGTCAGAACCTCGAATTTGATGTGGATGACTGGATATTTTGGGATCAGCTGATTCAGAACCAATCACTGGGTAGTCAACAATGACCTTGCGAACAACAAAGCTTGGAACTATTTGTGACACAACAAGCACCCGAGATAGGGTGGTCTACGGCAGACGTGATTGGCCTACAGCTCGGGTGCTCGGCGTCCGAGCAGAAAGTCAGCCTCCGCCTCTTAACCAATTAGAGGCTGTATTGCTTCGGGTCTCGCTACGTTGATGCGAAGATGCATCGCTGGACCGAAGCTATATAACGACCACTTATTCTTCTCGTCATTATGAATAGAGGTATTAATTTTAAATAAAGGACTCTCTATCAAAACCATCAGCAACACAACCATGTCAAATTTGCGAGTCATGATCGTGGGCGCCTCCATCGCTGGCCCAACAGCTGCCTACTGGTTCGCCAAAACCGGAGCAAAGGTCACAGTCATCGAGCGATTCCCTCAAATGCGAACCAATGGACAAAATATCGACATTCGAACCGCAGGCGTTTCGGTAATGCGGAAGATGCCTGGCATGGAGGAAGCCGTGCGAGCCAATCTGCAGCCAATGGACGGCATCAGTATCGTGCGCGACGATGGCCGGCCTTACGGAACCATGAGTTCCACCGGTAACCCTGATCGTCAGTCGTTGATCTCCGAGTATGAGATTTTGCGAGGTGACCTGTCGCGCATCCTCTTCGACCTGAGCAAGACCCACGAGAATGTCAACTACATTTTCGGTGAGCAAGTTGCCTCCATACGGCATGACGAGAAGCCCGATGGACCTGTTCAAGTCGATTTCATGAATGGAACGCCTTCCGCGGAATATGATCTTGTCGTCGCCTGTGACGGAGCGACGTCAAGGACTCGGGCAATTGGACTTGGCTGTGGCGTGCGCGACTACATCCAACCTGTGAACTCATGGGCGGCCTACTTTTCCACCAAGAAGGACATTCTCAATGGAAGCCAGATCGGCAATGCGTACAGCGCCGTTGGCGGTCGTGCCATCGGCGTTGGTCCCGAACCTTCTGGTGGCAATCGCATCACGCTGATGGGCATCCACCCACGCACCGACCACGACGCAATGACAAAATTCCGCGAAGCAAACAAGCTCGGCTCCGATGCACTTAAAGTCTTTGTTGCTCAACATTTCAAAGGAGCAGGCTGGAAATGCGACGAAGCCGTACAGGGCATGATGGAAGCTGATGACTTCTACGCCAGTGAATGGATGCAAGTCAAAACACCAAATCTATATAAAGGTCGGTTTGTGATGGTCGGTGATGCTGGCTACGCGCCTGGTCCGACTGGTACAGGCACGAGTCTGGCCATTGCTGGGGCCTACATACTGGCAGGCGAGATTGGAAAGCATCGAGGTGATCTGGCGGCAGGATTGCAGGGGTACGAGGAGCAGATGCGGCCGCTTATTAAAGAGATGCAAAAGATTCCACCGCTTGTTCCTGGGATGTTTGCGCCTCAGACGGCTTGGGGGATTTGGGCGAGGAACATGATCTTTGCGTTCATATGCTGGAGCAAACTCCCGTCGCTCTTCGATACATTCTTCGGGAATGCTTCTGCTCATTCCGATGGTTACAAGGTGCCGGAATATGAATGGGCCGCCTGAGGGCTCGCATTGGTGTCCTCTTCTTGTATCTTATTTTTGCGAATTCTCAACTTTCTGAACATAACTAGAATATAGACCAGCCAACCACTCATTTACTCTATTTATGATCTGGCGCATTGTGCGCCTGAGGCACATCGCGTATCATTTATTGAAAATCCAAGACCAAACATCTCCGCAAAATGAATCTTTGGCGCCCGTTTCGGTTATTCGCTTGGATTTCGGTAGGTCCACGCGCATACCTGGCGAGCTGTAACGTTCCATCGTAGACCGGCGAGACCCCGACCAGCAAATCAAGCTCTTGAGCAGTAAAGTGGGGCCTAAACTAACATTTTCGAGGCAAAGTCAATCCAAAATAGGCCTGCATTTTATTTGATGAAATGCAGCTTGGCTAAAAGCTTCTTGGCAGCGGTGTTTAGGTACGGTACTTAAGAATGTCTAAAAAACAGCCGTAATACTATCATTCCCGTATGGAAGGTATCTCAGAACAAACAAAGCAAACATATTCAGCCCCGAGGGTACGTAGCCAGCTTGCAGCCCCGCACCCAAACGTGTCATGGAGGAGCAGAGATCACAGTTGAAAATCGCCCGCTGAACAATGGTGTTCTACATTCGGTCTAAGATACAGATAGTTGTCAAGATTCCTCAGGCCCTGGATGCTTGAACAGCTGATGATTGATATCATAAATAGTCCAAGAACTGCGCTCTCGACTTTTGCGCCAGCCTCTTTCTCTGCAGTATCTCAGTAGACTTCCTAGCCACGGTCCACTGTCAGGTGGTCCCTGAAAATAGCTATAGGCAAGGTTGGTTCGGAAGCCCAAATCCATGGGCTGCAGGGGCCCTCTACCCTTGCCAGCACACCCCCAACATTCAGGCTATGGAGGCTGCGCCAGTGATCGACCAGATGGACCAGTAAGCCTATCGCTGACTAGCTTCTTCAACACAATTCACGTGATTGTATTCCACGTACCGCTCCATAGCGAACACCTACGTCATGTAATAGAACCCATCATCTGCGACTCTGGGGGCTTCTGCGTGAAGAAAAAACTTCTGTCCATTCAATCACCCCGCACCATTTTCAACCAAAGCGACTTTTTATTTAATAGCCGAAAAACCGGGCAACCTAATCTTTACTCACCGGACGAAAGAAAAACACGATTACATACAGGCTATGAATGATTCGGATGCGCAGACTCTCCGTGACCACGATGCCGACCGACAGGCTCGCGAGGTCTACCGGTATTTCCAGCCAGCAAATCCGGCGGCGTTGAACGCATCATGGCTTCCTTTTGGAGACGACTCGGCATCTATACCGGACCTGTCGACGGCTGCTACCTCCGTTGTCCACGACAAGTCAGCTCCAGAGAGTGACCCAGCTGAAGCTAGCAGGTTCTGTAGCCCGAACACGACTTTGACATCATTTGCACAACTTGCAGCCTTACGCCTGAACGCACAGCGTGCCTTTATTACGTGCGTTAAGCTACTGCTCTGAGACCAACTTATGGCTGACTTTTGTTTTGATTAGAATATTGAATCGAGATTTTCAATTCATCTTAGCCGAAGCGACAACAGATACTAATATCGGAAGCTCAAAATTGGCATTTGGGAAGAGAGATCAACTTTTCGCAGGAACATCAACATTGGAAAATAGCTCAAGCTGGAATATATGCCGGGTAAGGCCACTCAGCCAGCGAATGCTATCAGCCATTGTCCGCGCCCCATCTAATCGATATTTTTCAAACAGGAGACAGTTGAAATTTCCTCAGACAAGCAAGATAACGAGCAAGATATACAAGATCGCTTTTTGATTATCAACGACCTTTTGCAGCACGATCGCTTCAGACAATTGCCCTTCGTAAAAGAAGAGCCCCACTCCCGCTTTTATGCCGGAACACCCCTGACAACCGATGATGATATCAATATAGGCTGCTTGTTTGTGTTAGATTCTAAGCCCCGTGAAGGTTTGTCTGAAAATGAAAAGGATGCATTGGGTACAGCAGCAGCAATGGTTATGAACTATCTTCATGTCAGCCGTCAGGCCATAGAAGGGCGCCGAGCCTCGCGTCTGTCGCAGGGCCTCCGTCTTTTCGTCGACGGCAACTCTAGTTTTTCCGATAGCTCTCACATGTCTCGGTCAAATAGTTCCAGTTCCACTCGGTCTTCACGGGTATCTGCTTCCCGTGAAACGAGTCGATCTACAATCTCTCGCAAGAGCGACTTCGAACCTCCCTTGTCACACGCCGAGAACAGTCATACGCGGCTTCAAAATGACCACTTCCGCTCTTTAAGCCCACCTGTAACTGAGTGGGCATACAAAGAAATTTCTACCGCAGCAACATCATTTCCGAACTTGCCGCCAGGCGACAATTCGTCAGTTTCCTCAACAAGCAACGATTGGATTTTTCAACGGGCCGCGAACCTTTTGAGACAAAGCCTGGACTTGGACGGTGCAGGTGGTGTGATGTTCTCAAGAATTACTGACTCCGCACCAGACTATATGGTGGGCAGTCGTCGGAATTCCACTGATTCTACTTTTTCTGCGCCTGTTCTTGCGATATCCACTAGAGATGACCCATTATTTTATAAAGCAGTCTCCAAGGAGTCATTGCCAGCCGCCAATTTGGACAACGACTTTATAACCCAACTGACTGTTCGCTACCCAAGAGGGAGACTTTGGTCATTTCACAATGATGGAACTTTGACCACCTCTGACGAGGAGCAATCTATCAGCGCATCTCGGAAACAGCGAAATAGGTCGAGAGTTTCAGAATCTAGCAAACTGAACAAGTTCTTCCCTGATGCGTGTCAGGTCATGTTTGTCCCGCTATGGAACGCAACGAATTCCCAGTGGTTTGCCGGGTGTTTCTGTTGGACTCCTCAACCAACGCGAATTTTCAATCGCGCTGTTGACCTGAGCTCAATATTTGGTTTCGCTTCATCTCTCATGACCGAGTACAGCCGTGTCGAATCAGTCATTGCGGACCGTCAGAAGGGGGATTTCATAAGCAGCATCTCGCACGAACTGCGCAGCCCCCTGCATGGAGTCTTGGCTGCCACCGAGCTGTTGGAAGATACCGAATTAGATGAATTTCAAGACTCTCTCATTGAGACGATCAATGCATGCGGCCGAACGCTCTTGGATACGATGAATCAAGTCTTGGATTTCAGCAAAATAATGTCATTGGAGAGGCGGAAGCGCAGATCTGGGCGCAGAAGAGATCCGTGGAAACGAAAACAGGCAGAGGAACCCCCAGCGCGCATGGATCCATTCGTGTCGACAGATCTTGCCACCTTGACAGAGGAAGTTGTGGATAGCGTGTGTTTGGGGCATTTTCATGTACAACGGTCATCAACGTTCAGAAACCATTCGCCAACTTTGCATTCCAAGCCGGCCGAAGAGGATGACGAAGCTACAACTCATTCAGGAGTGGACGTTGTCGTCAAAATTAGCAACAGTGACTGGCTCTACAAACTCCAGCCAGGATCACTTAGGCGGCTGATTATGAACCTTCTGGGCAATTCTTTGAAGTACACCAAGGAAGGTCTGGTGACTGTCTGTATTGAAGCTACTCAGCGGTCTTACGCTCGCTCCCAACCTCACGAGCTCGAAGATCTAGTCACTTTGACAATCTCGGACACAGGTAGAGGCATATCCAGTGAATATCTTCGGACACGTCTGTATACTCCATTTGCACAGGAGGATACCTTGTCAGTAGGTACTGGTCTCGGACTGTCAATTGTTCGCGGTATTGTGGAAACGCTTCAAGGATCCATCAACATCCAAAGCCAAGTGGGCCAAGGCACTACTGTGAAGGTGTCAATTCCCCTCGCACGTCCAGGAAAAGAGGACAGCCTGCTACCAACACTTCACATGGAAAGTTTAGTTCAAAAGATACCCGCGACATCCTCTCCATCTCGTCATGTGGAATTTACTGGGAAGCGTGCTGCGATTTGGGGAGTTGACCCTTCTCTCCTAATCAATGATCCGTTCTGGTCTTCGATCATTCAGTATGTCACCGACTGGTATGGCCTACAAATTGTGCCGTGGTCAGCCAATGAGAATGTCGATATTCTATTTGCCGACGAACGCGACTTCTCTGAAGAAAAATTGCAGCACTTCCCCACCGAATTACCACGGTTGATCCTATTTTGTAATGACCCTGGCAGCTCTGGTGACTCCAGGGCCAAATGGTCTCATCTAACTGACTCTTTGGTAATTCTACGTCGACCTTGCGGCCCACGAAGACTCGCCAACGGGATCCTTAGCTGTCTTAACTCAACGCCGACAACTCCCTCGCCGCGCCATTCCAGTCCTGAACAAGGATTTGAGGTCCCAGAGCGACCGAAGCCTTCAAACACGTCTCGGTTTGCCAAAGAACCTACTCTCTCATCGTCTGAACATTTGAGTCCATTGGCCCCTAAATTACTCAATACCAGACCGGTCTCGTGCAATTGGGGAAAATATCCCACCAAACGTGACGTACCTGTACTGTTCTCAGATGCAGAATTGTCCGGTCACGCCATGTCTCGCAATACCCCTACCCCCTCGGCTACGTTCTCATCCTCTGGCAGTCCCGCTGCCATAGATATCTCATCTGCGCGCCAAAGCAGACCCCGGGTGTTGCTGGTAGATGACAATGAGATCAACCTTCGTCTTCTACTAACCTTCATGAAGCACCAGAAAGTCATGACCGTTGACACAGCTGACAATGGCAGAGTAGCGGTTGATGCCGTGGAAAGAAATCTGCAAGGATACGACCTTATCTTTATGGACATTTCTATGCCTATCATGGACGGAATAGAAGCAACTCGCGTCATTCGCGCGCTTGAAAAAGAACGCGAGGGATGTGTTCCCGCGAGAATTGTCGCCCTTACTGGACTCAGCAGCTTGCGTGATGAGACCAAAGCTCTGGATGCAGGAGTGGATTTGTTCCTGACGAAGCCTGTTTCGTTCAAGGAAGTATCGCGTCTGATCGCTGAGTGGGAAACTACATCCTCAAACTGAAACATGGCGATCCGTTTCTTGACTTCGAAGATGCAGGTCTAGCCCAGTTATGTACATAGAAGCTAGGGAGGCAACTTGTCAAACCTGTCGATGGCGTAAGTTTGCCTAAGCACCAAACTATTTAGGTAAGTTATTTGACGCGCGACGAGGAAATACTCACGGAGCAGGCGTCATCAGCAAACAAGTCAAAAAAGAACGCTATCATCCTTCATTCGTAACAGTTCAGCATAGGGCAAAGTGGTCTTACGTACCCATGGCCACATCGCATAGTCTATCTATATTTGAAGACTAAGATATGACGCTAACTATCCAGGATTGCTAACACGCGAGGAAATTCTTCCATTTTTTGAGAACAACATAGGCTCTCGCAACCTTGGACATATCTTCCCAAGTTTCCTCGTGTGCATGGAGATTTATATCGTATAATTTGGATTGTAGACTGAATACCACTTTTGTTATTTGACGGAATCTTGAAATTCATGCTTAGCGAGAAACTGGTAAAGAAGCTTTGGGGTGAGGGGCAAAACCAGGATCTCCCAAATCCCTTGTGTATTTCTTGTAAGATTTACAGTGATGATCACATGATTCATACCGTACGCTTGAGTAATTTAAAATAGTCTAATACAAATATGGACTAGCACGAGGAGAAATATGCAGGGATCAGCTAAGTTCTGAACCAGTGGAAAACAAGTAAACAACCATTTTGGGGGTTTACCTCAAAAATTCCCGTACCATTTTCCAAATAGCCGAGGATTTCGTGTCGCGTGCTAAGTGGGTTGGGAATTAAATGAGTGAATCCTGTTATGAAATTAGCAACCTAGAAAGGAGAAACAAAATGTCTCGCAGCGAAGCCCCTGGTCCAATGCAACGCCGGGAGAGGAACAGGAACCAGCAAACAACAACAGACCAATCGGAATCAACCTAACCAGGCACAAGGTAATATCACGGAGACACATTGGCCTCTTAGCGATGCGGAGGTGTCAAGACAGTTAATGATCGGCAAGAAGAAAGTTGAGAGTGGATAGTCGATCCCACAAGGCCTTGAATTAAACTCCGAGGTAAATCGCGATGCGACCATACCTAAGGTTGGAGCCTTGCTAGGCATTTTCCACTCGCCCGCAATGGCTATAAATGGGCATTTCTTCTCAAAATTTGCTAATTTTGGACTCTGCGCATCTTCAACATGGCCCTATCTTTCGCGGTTCTCAGCCTTGGCCTTGGCCTTGGGGCCGTCGCGGCCCCCACCTCTTCCGGTATGGACAACATCAAGAATGTCGTCGTGCTTGTGCAAGAGAATCGGTCTTTTGATACCCTCGCCGGTGGTCTCACGTACAACCCCGATATCGATGGCTTGGTCAACCAAAAATACTGCAACCCCGCCAATGTCTCGGTTCCGAGCTCAGAGGATGTCTGCGCGGCTGGTATCGCGAAAAACATCGCATCGGACGACCCCGACCACACGATCACTGGCGTAAACATGCAAATTTTTGGGAATTACCACCCGAAAAGCAGCTCCAAGTCAACCATGAGCGGTTTCGTTACCGAGCAGAGCTATATGTACAGTTTGCAAAACGACATGATGGAGGCTGCCGAGGTCATCAATTACTATGAGCCTGATCTTGTGCCTGTCACCAACGCCATGGCTGAGAACTATGTCCTGTTTGATCGCTGGTTCGCTTCGATTCCGGGCCCAACGGACCCCAATCGCGCGTACCTGACCTCGGGGACTTCACACGGCCACGGCGACAATGGAGAAGTGTTCTACAACGCCGGCATGCCCCAGAAATCCATTTTCGAGCAACTTTCTGAGAAGGGGATTTCCTGGATCAACTACGAGAACACAACCAATATTGGGGCAAGCAGTTTCCCGCCTGATGCTATGTTCTATGAGTGGACGGCTAAATCCGCTACGGACAAGATTCTTCCTCTGAGCCAATTCTATGAGGATGCTAAGTCTGGTAACTTGCCTCAGTTCACCTGGATCAATCCCGAGTGCTGCGATTACATGTCCATGCATCCGAAGTCCCCTATCAATATGGGGGAGAACTTCATGAAGGGCATCTACGAGGCGATCCGCAACTCACCCCAGTGGAATGAAACCTTGTTTATCATCACATGGGATGAGCATGGCGGATTTGCGGACCACGTTGCGCCCCCAACTGGAGTTCCCCCGGGTGACAGCCTGCCGTATGTTGAGAAGGCGAACGATGGCAAAGACTATACTTTCAATTTTGACCGTCTTGGTGTTCGCGTTCCGACTTTGTTGATCTCACCTTGGGTTGAGAAGGGCGTTGTTCAAAATAAGCCTGGCCCTGGAGAGAATGAGTTTACTCACACTTCTATCCTGAAGTTTGTATCTGAGCTGTGGGGCTTGGATAGCTTGACGCCTCGTGTGGACTGGTCACCTTCATTTGGGAGCTTGATCACGAATACTTTCCGTGATGATACTCCGGAACAGCTTCCCAATGCCGCTGGATATCCTCTTCAGTGATGGAGAAGAAAGCTTGACACGCTCTGTAATGTGTGTATATAGGCTATGCCATAGTCATAAATGGTGTCATAGACTAGATGTACAGGGATATTGTCCAAATTGAGTCATCAACTTGAAATTAACATTATTCTTGGGATTAGATTGAAATCTCCAAAAAGAGCAAGCAACATGACACTAGCAATTGGGCCCCTCTATGCAGCGATTCCGAACTAAAATTGGAACTAAAAAGTCCCCCTTTAACGTGGCGCAAAACTGCATTTCTAGCGGTGGGAGAGTAGTCGTGAAAGTATTTCATGTTTCATTTTCAAACGTCTGACCATTCTCACCAGGGGCGAAATTGAGACTGGTTTCCAAAGGGCCATTTCGGCCAGATCTTTTTCAAGGGCAACCATAAGGGCCTCTCAGGTGAATATTAATCAACGTGTTGAACCAGGTGGCAAGTTTGAATGCACCAGTACTTACCCGAAATAAAAGGAAACAATGGAGCTCCTGGGCTACGCATCTTTTATTTTCATTCATCTGCCCATCAACATGTTGTTTTACATTCATGTAGTGCCTTTCATCCGTCCGGAGCAACTGTGTAGGAACAAGTACGTTCCCATCGCCGGGGGTGTAGACCTTGGCGACTCGGATCCCCCAGTCAGAGTAACACAGAGCCCTCCAGTCATCAAAGGGGGTCGTAGATGCCGTGTTCTATTGACGATATCATCCAGATACATGATTGCCTTGGCTTTCTCATACGATCAATCATTGAAGCCCGTAGGTATGGCCCCGTCGATTTGACTTTGCAGCTTCCTCAATACTGCAGGGCTCTTGCCAAGTTAGTACAGCGTCGATGCTAAGGCTGTTGCTGTTGTTTCATCGCCAGCAACCGGACAAGTCAATCCATGATTGATATTTTGCCGGTGCACGTTTGTTCTATTGTCTACTCTTTCAGCTCCGCGGCACTCGCCTCAGGGAGCTCCGAAAAGCATTTTTCTTGTCGAAGTGGCCTGCATTTCGCTGGAATTATTGTTTCTTTTCGTTTCTTCTTCTTCCAATGAGAGGTCTTAATTCATATAAACCCGACATAGTGCATTTCTCGAGACCGTGACATGCTGCAGCTTGCAATGAGGTTGCGTTGATTGGCGAGGAAACCTGGAGTCGAAGACACGTCCTGTTGGGGGACCTTACAGTATACCTCGGCCATTGAGCGTCGAGTCCTGCAGCGGGCAAATGTAGCTAGATGGTCTGCTACGTGTTCTCGCGGGGCTGACTAAGACCTCAGTATAATCGAAGCAGATTAGTCGCACTTGGGAGAAGATAAGGGAGAAGATGTACGTAGTGCGGCTGAAGTTGACTGCGAGGCGTTGCGCTCTTTGGCCCCCAATGTATTCCAACCCGAATAACACGGGGGTTCCCCTCTTTTGCCCCCCTGGAGATCTTGAGAATCTTGACAGTTCTGACCATCCCGATACTCCCATTCACCTGTCACACCATGTCGCGCAAGATCGATCAGGTCCGAACCTACTGTCAGGCAACCAATGAAAGTGGTTGTTGCCAGCCCCAGTCGGTAAGTCGTCATTGTTAGGTAGTAAGCAGTCAGCTCACGCTTCCACAGATCGGGGACTTTAGGTCTCTATCGAGCGATGCAGATATTGGGATACAAGGCATACCATATGTTCGAATGTGTCATTGTGAGAGGAAAAGATCACATGGAAATCTGCGAAGAGGCTGTCGTCGCCCAGAACAACCGCTTCTCCGGCATCAAGCGTTATGATCGGGTGGACTTTGATAAATGGTTTGCCGACTACAACGTAAGAAACTTGCAATGAATGGTTGAATGCGCCAAGACTAAGTCGTTGTATTCAGTGTCTGGTCGAAATACCTTCGTTTGTGGGCCCGGCAATTATCGAAGCGTACGTCGAGGAACCCGATGTGAAGTTTATTCTGGTGGAGAGAGAGCCAACGAAATGGGTCACCTCGCTGAACAATTCTGGGGGTAAACTAATAAAAACGCTGCATGGTTTCCCCCTCGTCTTTCTGAAGTACTTCGACGTCGTACTCTACCGCTTTATTACTCTCAACCAAACTTGTTTCTGGTCCTTCTCGGACGGCAATAATCCCAATGATCCGGACTTCGAGGTCGCGCTGCACAGAAATTATGCGGAATAGTATTGTCCAAATCAAAACTGCAAACCTTCAGAAGCTTTAACTGACCTGTCGCAGTATCGAAATGGTGAAGCGGACAGTCCCAGCCGACCGTATATTGCATATTAAGCTGGAGAATGGACTGGGCTGGGAACAGATCTGCCCGTTCCTCGGTGTGCCATTTCCCAAAGAGGACTATCCGGATCGGAACCAGCCTGAAAGATTCCAGGCCATCGCACAGGATTTCCTTCAGCCTCGTATCACTGCAGCTATAGCCCGTTTTGCATTTGTTGCTGTGCCGTCGCTAGGTGTCATTGGCTGGGCGGCAATAAAGTACGGACCATCGCTGGTCAAAGCCATGGGAAGAAACATTTGAAGACCAGAGGGGTAGTCGAAGTCGAAGAAACCCGCCAAGATAGTGACTAAATAGGGCTGTAGCTCGAATGGGAATGCCGGGTTACTTCCCAGAATGAACCCTCACTGTATCGAGAAGATTAAATATTGCTTGTCGCTGGAATGAACTTTTTAAGGGGACTGGCATGACACGTCTTATATGCGTCTACATCTCTGTCCCGTGTGTTATCCAGAAACAATTGCTTGATGGATCGAGCTATGTCATCAGTAACGTCTCCTGATGCTGACTGTCTCTGCTATTTCAGTGGCATCCTCAAAAGGCTGACGAAATCCAGGGACGAAGATAACAACTCATCATGCTTGTTCCAGATGAATCTTTTCTTTCTGGAATGTAAGCTGGAGAGTGAGATACATGCTGCTGGCCGGTCCTGGCATTGGGGTAAGTGAAATTTGATTGGCATCCGATGGAGGCTGTTTTGGGTACGAACGGGTAGGAAAGGCACCTCCAGCCGCCCAACTACTAGAGGCTACACTGCCTCCCCGGTGTAGAACAGGTCAAGCATAATTCACAAATGTTCCATGTACATAGTCCTGTATTATACAACGAAAGTCCCGTGACAGGAACTAACAGTCTAGACATCCCCAGATATACAATCTTAAAACTTAGCGGTTAATACTCCTGCTGGTCATTCCAGTAGAGCGTGCCATGCTGAACCTCACCCATAGGTTCAAGATTCCACCTCAGCACGAGTCTCGTCCACTGCAACAAATGGCTAGCCAACTTGATATGTCCCACATCTGTAGGATGATTCTTCGGGTTTATATCATTATGTTGCAGAATGCCACTTGTATCGAAGTAGTAAACGAACCCGCGGTCACGGAAGTGGTCGTGGACCTTCCGAGTCTCTTCTTCGTATACCTGCGTCGGGACATATGACAGGCCTTCCTTGACCCACTGGCCCCATTGAGACTGTTAAGTGTTAGATTTGTCATCCTAGTAGTGAGGGGGAGACGTACGACGATGAGAACAACGGCGTGCGGCCATGTACTGTGGATGTCATCGATCAAGGCAACGTAGGCGTGGTAGAACTCGTTGCCAGGGATTTCGTTTGGATGGCGGTGGTCGTTGCCACCCATTTGGATCACGACGAGGTCTGCCGGTTGTTCGGCCTTGTTGTCAAATTTCTCAGGCTCGTGGCCGAAGAACTCGTTAGCGCGACTGCCGGGGTCGGAAGCGCGATTCCAATACCATGTCTGTTTGATGGACTGTTAGTTTGCTCGGCCGGGGTTTGGTATGGTTGGGGACATACCATGCCGTGGGCGTTGCCGCCGTAGCACTGAAGATCTGCCAAGCATGCGCCGGGGTAGGCCTGTTTCGAAGCGTGAGTATTGATGTGTATTCTTGGTTTTGTAATGTTTGCCTACTGTAATTGTGTGCTCAGCGTTGCCGAGTCCGGCGGCGAAGAGGTATCCCCACGATGAAATCGTCTCGTAAGTAGCAAATTGGCCGCCAGCGAGGCTGGTACGAGTTAATATAGGTTATCTGAGCCTAGTGATGATCAACTCACGATCCACCGATAACTTCCACCTTCTTCTCAAATCTCTTAGGGACCTGGAGACTTTCATCACTTGCGACGGAGACTCCGGCGATCTGAACTGTGGATGGATGTGAGCGGTGAAAGCGACAGCGGGTAAGAGAGACTTATCCGAAGCCCCAGTTAGTGACTGCGAAAAGGTTAGCGGAGGTATTTTCAAAGTTATGGTGAGTGATAGTACCTCTCATCTCAAAGACCTTGTGCTGCTTCACGAGATCTTCATCCAGCCCCAACTCTGGGCCCACGAACTGGTAGGTGGAGTCGGCGGTCACATTGGAGAATTGCCAGTCGAGCGAGCCAACACTATGAATGTGTTGAGAAGATAGCGTGAATTTTAAGTTTTCAGGTCACTTACCGATATGCGACCAGGACACCATCTGATGTGCTTTGGCCAAAACTTACAGCAAGCTGGCATATTGTTAGCATTGACGAAGCTTGGAAAGGCACGATGACTATCATGTCATGAAAACTTACCTGGCTTCCAGAAAATTCGACCTTGATTCCAGGTGCACTAGTGAAGTCAGGATCAATATCAACGATCGAGACCGGCAAGGGGGAGGGAACACCTACGACCACCCTAGATATCAGTTAGTATGACGAGATCGCACCTTCGAGGGTGATTTCACATACAAGAAACATGGTTGCTATCCCACCGTCCTTTGTAGGATATCTCCTCCGTGTCGGCACCATAACTGTGCCAGGAGTCGTCGAGCTCAATTCGCGGGGCTTGTCCGGGGTAAGGATCCTCCCTCACCTGGCCATTCTGTAGAATCGTAGCCGCGGCATGTAACGACCACAGTAGAGCCGAACCTAACCTCGCAATTCGCATTTTGTGTGATATGGGGTTCCTCGTTCCTAGGTACAAGAACACAAGCACCGTATATTTCTCACAACCGAGTGCTCGTGTGCTGCTCGAAGCGATTGAATGTGGTGAGAATACTAATAATGGCGTGATCTTGGCTGAGTACCCACTCGCCGCATCTGTCGTCCTGGACCACGGTCACCACTTCCCACTCAATTTACGAGCGGAATTTCAGTTCGAAAAAAAAGGGGGGAGGTCCGAGGATACGAAAATAGTCCGCTATTGACCGAATGTATTTCTTCATGGGTTGAGAGGTAATACTGATTTCTTGGCGGGTAGTGCCCAGCCTACGATGTGGGGAGGACGTGGAGCTTAACGGGCCTCTATGGTAAATTTGGGCGTGTGCCCAGCAAATGCCCAGAGCGCCATAGTGCGGCCTAGATGCTGATTTGCTGCAGGCTCCAGGGACCTGAGTCAAAAAGTCTTGGAAATTTGCCATTTCTGGGATCAGGGGTCCCCGTTCCCTGCTCCCCGGAAGTGGGCGAAAAAACTTTCTCTGCAGTGTACTTTAAACGATGCTAAAAGCCTCAATAAGCATCATAGATGCGATCGAACGTGCAAAGATTCACGAACTCAGCTCGTTGATTAGATAGCACCGGGTCAACGGTGATCATTCCCATCTGGACCCTGAGGAGTTCCCCACTTTCGGCTGGGCCGGAGTTCGCAAGTGTCCGAAACCCAGTCTTAGAGCGCTAAGCGCTCCACGGAAACCTTGAGGCGTTGCACTATTGCATGGCGGTTACGGCCGCTGTACCTAGGGCCCGGTTCGGATTTGAGATCGATCCAGGATTGGACTTGAAGAGATTAACCCCTGAACTCAAACCTGTCTAACGAAAACACGGCTATTGTCCCTGCCAAGACCGCCACAACTGAGACCGTCGGCGCTCGGGACGTCATTCAAGCTGAGTGGAGGTGAGACCGGGAGGCCCGCGCATATTCTGCGAATGAGCGGGCTTATTCCTGACTCCAGAGTCTCGTGTCTTGATGGCAAAGCCTGAAGAGGTGTAGACGAACTCATAGTCCAAAGCAGGATTTGCCCCTGCATTCCAGAAACGGATGGGCCTTGTGCCAAGACTGTATCGCATACCCGTGCAAACCCACTAGGGTCCAGGGCTCTGCAGATAGTGCGAATCTCCGCCGATCAAATCGCGTTCACTGCAGCTAGTATTAGGTCAAATTACGCCATTCTGCCACCACCTCATGCCATGATTCGTACAGAATTCCGCTCAAAGAATGAGGATAGATATTTTCCCGGGTACAATTATTGGTTTTCGTTTTTGGGAGCGAACACAGACTCGACAACCTCGTTTTCGCAAATGAAGTAACGCCTCACGACCGGGCACGCTGCCAAGCCAGAGAGTCTGTTCCACTCCACCGCTAAAAGTTGGGTCTCTGGCACCAGACAAATCACATGTTCCGGCACACAACGGTACCCCATAGGGCTGGTGCCAAGTCGTATCGGTGGCGAGATCAGCGCCAAGTTCTTGCGCAATTTTGGATGGCTTTTGGGCCATAGCGGGAGTCGAATCGGACAAGATGGTTCGTCGTAATTCCAAAATTGTTCCTCTGTCTTGGATTCAATCGTCGTAAGCTCGTTTCCCCCGGACCTCGCTCCGGTCGTATCTGGATAGATCGTGGGCGGCTTCAAATGTCCTCTTTTGGGTCATTTGGCCTTGATAGCCACTTTCGTGTCGGTACGAACTCCGGACTTAGTCGGATGATCATGTAAACCTGGGTCGGAGGGGACATCCCCAGATTACGTATCCGTCGGGGTCCCGGTAATTGTAGAGCCTCTCGTGCACAAATGCTTCACTTTGGCATAGCTTCAAGTGGCAGATTAGAAGATGTTACATCTCATGAAACGCCGTATCTGAAGGCTATCCAGGGGTCTAGTCGAATAATGCTTCACAATGGCCGTGGGATAATCCAGTTGTGGCAATAGATCTACTCCCAGTTGGAACAAATTTCTCGCCAGGCCCGCTGTCAAGCCGAGGACTCGGGGGCCTATGCATTGGCATACTCCACTCCGATTCGGCACTCCTATCTATTGCCTTATGAGACGAGAGACCCGCAGTCCATTTCGCGTTCAAAACCCCAGGGCCCCTCCACTCGTATCCCTTCCTTCTTTGTCTTGATCTTTTCCTTCCCTGCCCGTACCAGGCGTACATCCACCCGCCCCATCTTGGCGCGAACCTATTTCTTAAGAGAAGCTGATCGGTTTCGTTTCCTATACACTCGTTTACATTATACGCCTCGCCCTTTCCCCGACAGTCCTTCTCGTGCATATCTCTTCCGGCTAAGAGATTCATGCCTCGATGTTAGATTTTTGATTCGCAACCCCACGCTCACTTAGTCGATTGATCAATATGGAATATATCCAACCGAATTTCCTTTACAGCCGCATTTTGGACAACATACCTTGGAAGAGTGATCCAAATGTCAAGGGTGACCCTAGAAAAAGTGTGAAATGGATCGACGTATGTCTTGAGTTCTTTTTGTACGGTCAAACTACGACGCTAACGTGAACCAGGGCTTAAGAGGAATCGCCTCGTTCCTTGTTGTTCTTACTCACCTCGCGCGTGCATGGGATTACGACCTGTTTGCACCCCGTGATAATGAAGATGCCGCACCGCGCATTCTTCAGTGGCCCGTCCTACGAATCCCATGGCAGGGACGTCTCGGAGTTACCATTTTCGCCTTCTTGACCGGTTACGTGTGCGCTTTGAAGCCTCTCAAACAGGCTCGCAATCGCGACCTACTCGGCTCTTTCACATCTGTAGCCAAAAGCGCATTCCGCCGCCCGCCGCGTCTCATATTCCCTGCGACTATCGCCTTGATCATTTCCTGGGGCATGGCTCAGTGCGGAGCCTTCATTGCTGCCAACCGTTCAGACTGCTGGTGGTGCCGATATGCTTCTCCTGACCTGGCACCGACTTTCTGGGAGGAGTTTGTCCGGTTATTCAAGAACTTCTTGGACGTTTGGACCACCGGCTATATGGCATACGATGATCACCAGTGGGCTTTGCTTCCCCTGCTGAAGGCCTCCATGCTGGTCTACGTGATGCTTTGCATTGTCATGTTTGTCAAGTTCCGCTGGCGTCTGGCCATCTACCTGGGAATGCTTCTCTACTTCCACCAGGATGCTGCCAAAAACACAGGTACGTTTGATTTCCTGTCTCCATCTCCCTTCTGCACAAACACTAATACTCTCCAGAAACCTTCCAAATGCAGGCAATTTACGGCATGTTCCTTAGTGACCTCTCCTACGAGACCGCATTCAAAGAGTTTATCGAAACCCACAAATGGGGCCGCCGTGTCGTCTCGGCAACCCTCGTCTGCACCGGTCTCCTCGTTTGCTCCTACCCAGGTGAACACCCGGAGTGGGCAACCTGGTCAAACTATATGTTCGAAGTGGCCCATTACATCTTCCCACCGGACGTCAACATCGGCAAACGCTACTCCGCCATCGGCGTCGACCTGATCATCTTCGCAATCTACATCTCCCCGTCCACCAAAGACTTCCTCGCGAACCGCCTCCTTCTCTGGCTCGGCAAGCAGAGTTTCGCCGTCTACCTAGTCCACGGCACACTCCTGCGCACCGTGCTTTGTTGGATGCTATACGGCATCACCGGACAGCCTTGGGACGGCGATATAGTCGATGGAAATGGGAACCCCATTCTGGACGAGCATGGCGAGCCGCTTCACCCGCACTGGATCCCTATCCGTGCACCATGGGTCGTGGGGATATCGATCCCAACATGGATTGTACTGGTCTATATTTGCGCCACATTATGGACAACCTATGTTGATCCATTCTGTGCGAAGATGACGCAGAAGTTGGAGAAGATCATGTTTGAGGAGGATGAGAAGTCTGCTGAGACGCTGCCTCTTAATAACATGCCTATGACTGCCATGCCTACTGCATAGGAGGTTTGGTCGGGACGCATATGAATGCATGAAGCATATATTTATCTTTTCATTTCTTTCCTCCTTCTCGGGTGACTGTTCATATTGGCTTGCACTGAGGCGATAGTTGTTTATGCGATGGAGTTTAATTGTATATATAGCATTTCCGGAACATTTAAAACACTATTGAATAAAATTTGCATCTGTGATTGTATATCCATCTTCTGTCTGTCTCAACTGCGCGGTCTCTAACCAACAAAGCCAAGTGCTCAAACCAAGAGGTGACTAGCCGCGGCTTTGGACTCCAAATCCCGGGCCCAAATACCATCGACCGAAGCAGTGACCAATCGGGATATCGGGCTCTCGAAGACCTCAGAAATCCCTATAGGGCAGAAAGAAATCCCCTTCAGCCACCGACGCACGACTACAACTCTAGGCATGACTCGTAAAGATCGACGAACAGCGGAAGGTAGGCAGCAGGCACAGCGTTTTGACCTTGGCACCTGGAAGGGTCTCGCCCCACGTATTATGTCTGAGACGCAACAACTCATGCTCCTCACCCTTCAACTCATCATGTGGCGCTGCGTCTTTTCAGAATCCTTCGACTCATCATGTGGAGCTGCATCTTGTCAGAATCCTTCAGACGACAAGGACGGCCTGGCAAAGGCCCATGCAGCTGACGATGTCGATCGAACTCGGGAAGTGCCCGAGAGCTTCCCCCTGGTGGGTCGGAACGTGTCCCCAGACTGACTCTTTCGGGCCAAGAACCCTGAGCGGAATTTTCGGGCTATGGAAGTGGAGCGCAGGGCTGACAGGAATCTTAGTGTGTCTGTCACTAAGGTCCTCGAGTCGTCGTCTTGGCAGAGTGGTGGGTGGGTCTCGGATATGTACCCTGTTCCTTGATTTTGCGCTGGCTTGCCAAGGAGGCTATTTTGGGAGGCCTGAAGAGACACGTTCCGTTCCCTCATGGATGTGCATAGGAGAATGATGATCTAGCGGCCCTAGTATCGTACAGCAGTCAGTTCATCTTGGCAATGTAACCCCGATAACTGATACTACCCAGACTCCAATGAGTCCCCTTGTGTTCTCTCTCCATGGTCACGAAGTGTAAGATTCAACGCCCCAAGCAGTGAATTCCATCCAACTAGTTCAATTTCTTTTCTGGTGTGATCTCGGGTGTTGGCTTGCAAGGTATTTGCGGGTGGCAAGGTCGAGCTCTGTAGGGGGCAGTCAGGTCAACTGATGATTTCATTGAAAGGATCCCAGAGTTTCGAGATCGTGTTCTGTCTCGTGGCAGGTTGTTGCAACTTGAAGCCAGAATGGGGTGTTTGTGGATGCAGCCAGGCAGCAGGGAGTGACTTCCTATGGTTGTTTTGGACTACTCGGCCATATTCTTGTGAGCGTGGATCGGGGAATAGCTCTGGCCTATGATTTAAACAAAAACTTACTTTTATCTCTACCGCGAGAGGAATGGTGTCTCACGGCGGTATCTAGAAATGCACAGATGCACAAGATCGCACATGAACGGACAGCTACAGAGAGGAGCCCATTCACTACGATGTCTAAGGTATCAATGCCGGGCAGCTGGACAGGACTGTGATAAAATCGGTGTGCAACAATATCTGACTATTGCTGCTAGAAATGCAGCCTGACATTTTCAATCCTTAGTGGTGCTGGCAAACGAAGCGTGGCATATAGACCCGGGATCACCCAAGCCCCCACCCTCGCTCAGCACCACCAGCCGGTGGGCTTAAATGTGGAATACCCTATGTCGTAATCAGGATGATGCAAATGTTCAAGCTCAAGACTTCATGGAAGAGCGCCCGGTATCTGGTACCGGCAAAGGCCAAGTTGAACTCGATCCTGGGGAACATGAAACTATCGAGTCGATTCGTAGTATGCCTCCCCGAGGGTTGCAGTATTTACGCTTGCTCTTGGATCCGGCGACAGATACGGAGCGTTGGACGAAGTGGTCTGTCAATACCCTCGTTCGCGCCTGTCCGGCACTTGTAGGCATAAGGGGAGGTCAGAGGTAGGAAAGAGAGAGGATGAGGGGTTTAACATACATCAATGTCATTGATTCCGATGAGTGACAGCAGGAGGAAAGCGAGGGCAGTCTTTATACTGATGGATGAGACTGGCAGAATTGAAGATAAGGGAGCTTCCGGGATATTTATAGATAATTTGGTGCCTGCAGATAAAAGGTCAATGTCCGATCAGGCCAGATTGATGTGCCGTAGTGTCTGCATATGCCAGCTTCAGATGACTTTTCTCGGTGATAGCTTGCGAGACACCTGGTACGCAAATAGATCTACTCGACAGGGGATCTATCTCGGATAATCACTCCATCAGCTATTCCTTTAGGGAAGTATATGTAATATCCTGCAGTGAATCATTTCCTATACTCCTTCCAGAACCCACTACATCTCATCAAGTTCCAAAGTCTCCGTTGACTTCTAGAAGTCAGTGAAAAAGAGATTCAGCATCTCTGTTCCATCATTGTACCAATATCCGCTCCTAACATAACCGCTGTAAAAGCACCGTGGGATCTGACCATTGTCCGTTGTTGCTGTTACATCTACTGTTCCATCACCATTCAAGTAACAGTCAATGAGAGACGCGTAGTATGCCTTGAGCTCTGTCAGCGTTGAGAAACCGAGAACCAGGGCGGGGAGACTTACCTCCAGGTCAAAGCCATAGGTATCGGTGAGCTTGGTATAAACCCCCGTATCCATCTTGTTGTTTGCTCCATATGGCTGCTCCCAAGCGTCCGACACACACTATTGAGTATTAGCAGCTGATATCCTGGAATATGGGGGCACACAAACAGTGGATGGATCATCATCGCCACAGTCGTGGCTGTCGCTTGGTCGAGTCATGTAGAAGCAGCGGTATTCGCCATTCTTGGCTTCGAGGTAGTATGCTCCAGTCATGGTACAGTCGCTTTCGTCTACATCTTCTTCGCCCACGAGAACATACCAGGCCGTCTTCATGGCCACATCGACGAGTTTCTTTTCCTGTCCGTACGTTAGACCAGGCTCTTCATTGGAGCAGTCGGAATCAGAGACGTACCACATTATCAGCAAAAGTACTGTAGGCAGAGATGAATGAGGAGTTGTCTTTGTTCTCGTCGAGAAGAATGGTGCTGTCCGCGAAGAACCGGGATGTGCCATGCTCGAGGGTCGTGTAGGTGTAGATGGGGAGAGAGTCCGATTCGCCGTTGCCAGTAGCATTCTGAAGAATGCTAGCAACGTAATTACCTGCAGCTCCGACGATGTTCTTGAGGGTGTTTTCTACGGAGGTGGTATCGACACTGTCGGAGCCACTGCTTGTCAAAGAGACGTCAGTAAGGCCGGCAGAAGCAAACCCGATCATGCCTCGAAGTGGTTTGCTAAGGTCAATGCCAGTTGCAATACCACCGGCCATGCTGAAAGCGGCCGCGATCCATTTCGCCCATGTTTGATCTGGAGACACGCTTGAAAAATCTTTGGCAATTTGATCAATAGACAGACCGTCCAACCAGCCGTCCCAGAGTAACTGCTCGTGGACGGCGTTGATCTTGCTGTGCAGCAGACCTACTGATCGAAACACCCAGTAGGCCATAACAGAAGAATAATTAGAGCACATTGAGTCTGGGTCGCAGTCGCCACCAATATCACCACAACCGGTGAGTGGGGACGTACCCTCGTCACGGAAGACAACTTCCCAGATAGCATTCACCCAGTCACTCTCGCCATTCGGCATCGTGTCGAACATGATATCAAGCCAGTCTATCGCGCCAGTTGAATCAAGAATCGCCTGAACGCCATCAGTTGTGGAAGTGTCACCGGCTGTGCAGGTCGAGGCAGCTGAAGTTGTTGTTGTGGAGGTAGCAGCGGCTTTGGCTTTGGCTTCGGTCGGAAGGGCAAGAGAATTGGAAGTACCCATGATGGAGATGCTTCGCGACACTCTATGGGGCGGAGTGGCGAGGGCGCATGCTGCCAGAGATACAGCAAGGATGATGCTAGGTTGCATCGTGATGTGGGCAATAATTTACTTTTCTTTCAGCATACACTGATTGACCAGTTGATATTGAAAACTGGGCTGATTGTTGTTTGAATAGGCCTGATTGTGTCTGCTTTGCAGGGAAACACTTAGATCCCAAGTCCCGGTGCCCCTCTTATACTGGAAGAGGGACTTTTTTAATGAAGCTGCAATTTCCCGATGCTGTAAGTTCGAACAAATCTCCTGTCAGCTTACTGATCGGCATCACCTCCAGGACTACAGGTCAAAATAGATATGAATTAGTTATATTGCAGTCATCTATATCTCATGTCAAGAATCAATTTACACCTCAGGATACGGGTTCCAATTATGCTGGTTTAAATCGAATTGTCTCTCGCATTAGACTTGATAATTGAAAAGGAATTCATTGTACGCGTCGTTCCATCCTAAAAACATACAATTAAATTAGCCCAGGAACCCCCAAAATCAACCTTGAAACTGCATAAAGAAAGTCTCAAATGGTTACAAGATCGGCTGTCGTTCGTTTTTAGATACAAGCTTACAATATAAGCACTAGTGCTAAAGCGCCAGCAAGACAACCTGGGGCTGAGAGATCTCAATTAAATTTGCACGCTTATGGCCACTCTGAATAGATCGCAGCGGCACGTGTTGTCAATTCCAGACCCTTGAAACAATGAAGGAATTGAGGGCTCGAGGAGTTTAAGCTTCGCCCCCAAAGCCCTTGGGGGCGGGTTATCAAATAGAAACCTCCAAACCACTCAAAGAGCCACGCTGAATTCAAAGAACTGCTATTGGTCGGACCATCACATAGCTTCATTGCATTCAGAAAGACGCTATAGATATTCCCGGCGGCACTCCAGCCTAGACAAAGACTTTTCTTTGATTAGCTGAGATTTGATCCGTCCCATCAACCGTTGGATGCAGGTCATTAGATTTCAAAGTTCCCCGTTCTCGGCGCGAGGGAAATTTTCGTTGTGCAGAAATAAAATGGGCAGACTTCCGATTCCGTCATCATGCGAGGATCAACTTAGACTCGACTCGAAGACAAAAGCGCGCTTCAAAACCAGAAGCTTTGAAGTTGAGGTATAATGATATCGAGGCATTGACTACTGTTAATATGTCATTTGATGGATGGAGAATTAACGCTCAACTCTCGACAACGCATATATTCGAAAGCTTATTTGGCTTAGCGCATTGCCAAAGAAGGTTCTTTCCGTCATTCTAAGGTTTCCATCCCAGGAAGACATAACATACGGCCAGAATAGATTATCAATAAGGACCGTCCAGAATAGTCTTATGACCATTGAAAGCATTGGGGAGATCAGCGCACTTGTTCACGCTACCAAGCAAATATACTGATCCTTTACTCGCCTTCTTTGAATTTAGCAACCTTTGATCGCCCTCAAGTCCCTAGTTTGATTCTGTTCGCAGTGAATGGGATTCTACCCCTCTTCACCGCATCCCTTGCCTCAGCCTCCATGATAGATCTAGTTCCATAGCTTCCATCTCTAGAATCTACATCTCTCTCTTTTCCTCCTTCCTTCTTCAAAGATTCAAATCTGCTCACCGCTGAATTTCGACTAAAAATGTCAACAGCAGCCCTTGAGGTATTTTGAGCGACTTCGATGGTAGACACAGACGCGCTAGAGCCAATGAAATTTGAGCTGTGGGATTAGTCTAATGGTTCTTTGATTTAGTTTTTGCTTCATAGTATCTCAGGGCAGACTGAAACAAGAATTGCGTACAGAAAGTCTGACGTGAGACTTGAAGGAGCTCGAGACTGTAAGGGATCTGACTGACCTCCGTCTTAGGGCCATTGGGCGATTTATCAAGAATAGAACGCTGGGAGGTCGACCTTGGGCCAATCTGAACGGAAAGATCAGTCTAACCTTTTCTAAGACGACCTCTACAAAAATATTGTGAGAGCAGCTTGATGTATGAATTAATTTCTATAGTTGGTTGTTACTTTTTTCTATACTTAACAGGCGCCCTTCCCTCATTATCATGCATTATCCGCCCACAGCTTCGCAAACTGTCAAAGCTTCATTTGGAAACGGGGATGGGTGCGAATTTTCGCTCCGTATTTCCAGAAAATGAACGGTACCGCACACATTGCTAGCGCAATGAATGCCAACAGGGAGTTGCCCCATCCTAATCCCAACGCGTCGTACATTGATGGTCCAGCTAGTGGCAGTAGGGCACCGGCAAGCGACCGTAGCGCAGTATTGGCTGCCGTGACGGAGGCCGCATAGCGTAGATACGAGTCAACTAGATAGGTACTGACGGATGAGAACACCGCCATTAACCCAATGGCGAAGCAGCCAGTGCCGATGATGGGCACAATCCAGTGGGTATCCGCCTGTGCTGACCAGCCATACCAGAACAAGCCCGCGGGCATAAACCAACAGCCGACCATCATCGGCAGCAGACGCGACTCTGGTCTAAAGCAGCCCCGTTTCACATGGTTACGGGCGATGCTATTTGCCACAATTCCAGTGATGACGAGCCCGATCATACATCCGACGCCGAAGCCCAGGTACGCAAGACCGGCGATACCAGGTGAGAAGTCATACTTGTCCTCGAAAATTGAAGTGATAGTGGTAAACATGAGATACAGGTAGCCGTATATGGTGGCTGAAAACAGGGCCATCATGGAGACGATAGGGGAGCCGAAGAGCAGCTTCAGCGGACGGCCTAATGCCGACAAGAATAGCTGGGAGATAGGTTCGCCTGTGTCACGGATTGATCGGAGATTAGAATTCCCAGTGGCCTTGCGCAGACGGGCAGCTTTACGCTTGAGTAGCACGGGCGCATAAGTTTCGCGATACCATATCATTGTTAAGATTATCATTACCCCAGTCTGCCTTTGTTAACCTCGATCTATTAAAAAGGAATATCAGGATACATACTGCAATGGCGATCACCCAGAACACCCAGCGCCAGCCTTCCGCTTCGGCCAAAAATCCACCTGCGACAGGCCCAACAACTGGTCCGAGAATTGGACCCATTGACCAGATGGCCATGATGCCGGCGCGCTTCTCTTTCGGGACCATGTCGGCGACTGTACCAGAACCAATGGTCAGGGGACAGACGCCAGCCATACCCGCAAATAGACGGAAAACGATCAGCTGCGGCATAGTTTGAGCGACGGCGCAGGCGATCGTAAATATGAGAAAGATTATGTTGCAGATGTGGTATAATGCAAGGCGGCCATAAATCTCAGAGAGAGGTGCGATAATGAAAGGCCCGAAACAATAGCCCAGGATGTAGACAGAGACAACGAAAGAGCCGATCATGCTACTAGTAACATTGAACTCTTTCATGACATCGCCGACTCCCGGGGCAAACATCGATGAGGCCAAAGGGCTGTTCTGTTTAGTGAGTGTTTTTGACTAGACAATCCATTGCCAATGTAATCGGTGCTACTCACGTAATAAACGTATTGAAAGACATCAGAACCAGCTGACGCGCTTTCTTCTTCGTGGGCCAGTTGAATGGATTCTCTACATCATCGGGGCCTTCAAAATCGACGATGTTGAGTTCCTTCGATATCTCGTCATCCCGAGGAATGACTTGTGCCTCTAACTCTGCCATGATTTAGATTCAGGCTTTAAATCAGGGCAGTTGCGCGAGCATAGAAAAGCTGTATTTTGCCTGAACATATTTGTATGCGCAGCCGGATATCGGCAAGTGCAATTGTTGAGGTGTTCAACTTGCAACCAAAAATATCCGCATGTCACCACCATCCAGATTTATTAGCCAATCAGGTCTCGGAATTTGCCGACCTCTAGCATAAACCTCATTTGTGCACTCTTCGGCTAATCGATGCTCCCCGCCTGGGCCCCTTTTTGCTGGTCCGGAATTTTCATTCCGGCGCCCATCCACTCCTAGTCCTGGCACCACTGCATAAAGCGATAAACATTAGATGCATAATTCGGATAAGGTTTTCAAAACTTCCATGTCACGAAAGGACCACTAGGGCTAGATGACACATCTTGAACGGATTTTGTCCAGAATGTACTTCAAAATAGATAGGCAGGAATATATCCTTGATTGCTTTGATATTATTGAGAACGCCCGCTGTAGCCAATGCCCATTAGCCCATTTTTACATAAAGTCACCCAAAATGGACGCATAACTTTCGGGTCCAACTTCGGAAACCGTACCCGCCAAGAACCCATTTCAGCATAAATATCCTTATTAGCCCATATTAAGACGCACAAAACTGCCGATTAACCATAATAAAATACTGTTGTTTACAGCTGTTCTGGTTATTTCTGCAGTTTTAACTCTGACTCCTCCAAAATTAATGAAATATTAAGAAATTACCCCGTTTCCTAATTAACTAACAGCAGTAATAGAGTTGTTCTCGCTAAGAAGGCGAAACGATATTGTTGTGGCCGTAAAACTAAAATAAGGTAAAACCGCCGTAGGAAGTTTTGAAGTATATATTTACGACAAAAGTTACGGAATATATTTCTCAGCGAGAATAACTATTGGAATATAGACCAATACTACATAGGTGAATCTATCCTCTTATTTAACATAAGAAGAAGGGATTCAAATATGCTTTACCCCTCTTTTAACCCTCTTTTTGTCTGTGTTGCCATCCTGCGCGCAGAAAGCTTTATATATCACGAATGCTAAGTCAGACACCGCCAATTCATGCAGTCAGCGGACCCCCACTACAGTATTTACTTTGATGTATTGCCTCACGGGGATAAACGCAGTTTGACAGAAATCTCTTTCTTTCTCTCCGGTATCTCATTCGCTAATTGCACATTGACATCATTCGATACCAAAATTCCTTGTCGCTCCTAAGTTTAATCTTGAAAGAGAAAATCTAATAGCACTTGAAAAGCTTAGTTTTTACGAGTGAGTCCCTCGTTTTTCATAATATGTTTTACAATTGCGTCGTCGAATCAAAATCAATAAATACAAATAATAAACTCAAAGCATGTACTTCCTTGTTTGCAGTATAGATCTGTCAACTAATGAACCTCTTCGCTTTTTCAAGCTCAAACTATCGTGCGGGCGAGTTCGAAATTTAGAAATCACAGCGCAGCTCGTAACTTCCATAACTCTTGTCTCCAGAAACACATGCTGGAACGGTAGTCACAACATGGTCAGAAAGGTGACATGTCACATCATTGTAGACGTGAACTAAAATTTGGTCAAAATCGGTTTCATAAATAAATGAACCGTGTCAAGACTTACGTGTACATCCAGGAGTATTCGCTTCAAAAGAAACAGATCTGATCGTGTCGATGTCGCCGAAGCTCTGACACTGGTTGATGTCGTAGATGCCAAGCTCGCCTAGGTTCTGCGCGGAACAGCCGGGCTCTCCGTAGAGGCGGAGTTGGGCATACCGAGTGTATGCGGCGGGAGCGGGAGCAGCGCTGGCGCTCATGGCTAGAGCGGCGATGGACGCGATGATGGTGGTGAAGTGCATTTTAATGATGGTATTGGGCTGGTGGATTATTTTGATACTTATTGTAGATTGCTGTTGTTGATGGGTGTTCAGAAGTCGAGAAGTGGTGGTCTTTATATAAATTCTCTCCCACTTTAGAATCGATGAAGATCACGAATCTCTATTTTTGGATCGAGGCAGTGAGCTTAGTCGTTGTCATGAGCATGTATCATACGTTATCAAGATGCTCTAAAATATGACTGCATCGAGATCTGAGATCAGGATGCTACCATCAGCGATGAAAGTCGTTCCGTTGTCTCACTGAGTTGCCTCAATAGACCGGTGTGTGAAGAAATAAGGGCGTCGTAAGGCGACCACGGAATTGAATCTTGAAATTTACAAAACGTTTGATGTTACGCTTTCCAACGTATAAACTCACACATGTTGGCCAATCTACGTCATTCCTGAGCGGCCAGAATGCGAACGACGGGGTTACACTGGAGGGGTTGGTATAACTGTACATGAAGTTTTCTATTTTTGTCTTGTTGGCTAACACTTGACATCCTACTTTTTCCCTGATGACGAACCATATGTATCGCCCCTTCAACTGAGGGTTATGAATGGGATCATCCAAGACAATGATCTACATCGCGAGTGGGGAAACTACACCGCCGAGTCCAGGGTGAGACCCGTGATCTAATTACAACCCACGCATACAGTTCATCAGGCGCCCCGCTTGGGCGCGGATTAGTGCCTGTTCGTATGGAGATCTTGGCAAGGGTCCCGCCACTCATGTTAGGCAACCCACAGACCGAGTTTTGAGACATCCATTGATCAAACCGCGGGAGCCTTAGATCAGGCGATCAGTAGGACCATGGAAAAAACCGAGAAAAAGTGTATTCACCTGCATAATTATCTCATGTAGCCATAATCCGCTCATGCTTTTGGCTGTGCTTCGTCCACAATCATCAATGCATTGTGTTCTTCTTCCCGGGCGCGCTGCACCGTCTGTGAATATTTATTGCCCGCAATTATCCACCACGCGAGCTCGATCAGCAGGAATCCACCGATAACGACACAAGTATAGTTCATGTTTGATGCTAAATATTATCTTAGTATGGTGCTGGATATAGAAGGGAGATTCGACATACATGTCGCAGGCATCTCATATGGGAAAGAGAAGAAAATGATAGCGAAGACTAGCCACAAGACGGATATAATGTTTACTGTCATTCCGGTGACCTGGCTCATATAGAATGGACCCTTCTGCATTGTTTTCCGGAAAAGAATAACATTCGTCAGGATAGGGACAAGATAGGCGAGGTTATTGATGGTACTAGAGACATGTCAACTTTGGGTCCATGCAAAAGCGCAATGAGAGGGATTGTTTCATACACAGCGGAGCTCATCATCGAATTGAATGCGGTTGTGGACCCTAGGTAGATAAGACCTAGCAGTGCGATAATTACACCGACACAGAGCTGGGCGTTGAAAGGGGAACCCAGTCTGGGGTGAACACGCGCCCACCTAGGATGAATCAGTAAGTATCATGGTAGTAATGCATCCTGATCTTACACTCTTGAAAGCGGGAGACCTTCATCGCGGGCAAAGGCCCAAAAGACTCGCCCGGTACCTAAATTTCAGTTAGAATGGGCACCATCAAGTCTTACGACTTGACTTACTGAGCTGTGACCCAATCACACATGGTCCCAATGCAATCCATACCATGAAAACCAGACCGAAGGCACCACCTTTAGTAGAAGTTACCTGGTAAAAGATCTCAGCTAAAGGAAGGCCAGTCTGTGTATCCGCCAATGAGTTGTAGTTCTGGACCGAGAACATCAGAGTGAGAAGATACGCCAATCCAGTTACAAGCGCGATGGAAAGGGTAATAGCTGATTGCTTTTAGTACAAGTTAGAATGTGACAGTTGGAGATCGCTTACCTAGACCCAAAGGCGCGTTTTTACCGGGCTGTAAGTACCATTAGAAGATATAGATTTTCACTTTCCATTTTAACTCACATTAGGCATTTCTTCGGTGATGTGCTTCAGCTTGATTAGTATTCGCACTGGTGTAAGAATGAGAAAATTTCTTACTGAGATGCCATCCAGTCCACCGAGCGAGTATAGCGGATTCACCAAGCCTGTAATGAAGCACATGACATTGTTGTCCCATCCGGTATTATTGATCCAAGTTCGGAAAACAAATTTGCTATCATTATGCACGGGCGCAGCAGCGGCCACGGTGACCATGGTAATGAACCAAGCCAGTTGCAGATATATCACTGTTTGAACCTGTTAAATGACCAATGAATTTGGAGTGGCGATTCAGTTTACTAACACGAAAACTTATTGATCGCAGGAATGAATCGGTTTCCGAACATGACAACGCCGGAAGTCACGATATTCAGAATCTGATAGGCGACAAAAGTCATCCACGGCTTCACAACCAGATCTTCATGATAAAGAGCGATCATAGCCATTACAGTGGTTGCATAGATCAAGTTTGTGGATGCAGTTGTGAAGATCCCTGAAAATAATTAGCGTGATTTCTACTATCGAGTGGCATCATCTCACATCCGAAGACAGTGGACCACCCTGTTGCGAAACTCAATATGCTGTTATAGCGCTTCGGAGCGATGGCAGCGATCCAGTGGTACATGCCTCCCTCGGTTGGATAAGCGGAGACAAATTCGGCGAGAGAGGCGCCGACGAAAGATTGGAGAATCCATACGAGGATGAAGCCGTAGATCACTGGAATGCGGTCAGTCGCGGATTTATTGACAAGAGTTCAGACAAGCCTCACGAGCACCAGGGCCACCAGCATTAATAGCTGTGATCAAACCAAGACCCAAACCTGTCCAGGAGATGGTACAGTTGGCTGCGAGTCCGACCAAACTCCACACGGAGAAATGTCGCGCGAGCTCTTGTTTGTGGCCTATTCTGTTTTAGCATGAATCGAATCGCTCGTAGGTCAAAACTCACCCATCTGGGCCAAACGCAGCTCATCTTCGTTTTGCACCGTGATAATGTCAGAATCCCGACTCTCAGAGCCTGCCGTCTGCCCTCCAGCAACAATGTCAGGGGCACCCATCGTATGAAGCAAGGGTTGAATGAAGTAACTCGATAAAACGAATAAAAAGTATACGCGTCGATCGGCCACGGTCGCATGGGGTTTTTTTAAGTAAAATCAAGCCGTATCTGCTTTATCGTCGGTCCTGTAGCTCTTATCGCTCCACACCGGGCTTTCAAGTAAATTCGCCGGGTTTGCCGGACTGATAGTCGGGGAGGGGGAAGCGGGGACAAATCAGGGCTCACCACGCCCGAGGCCTAGAGTTGAAACCGCAACGCGACCACCGGTGATTAGTGGGTTTTCCCGGAGATGGGTGTAGAGGTAACAGGGGATATCGAGGGTTTCATTTGACAGCTCGGGGGTCGAAAGTAACGTTGATTCAGGACTTTGATCACGAGGATAAACAAGTGTTCATGTTTAGCTGCCAAGGAGTCTGGATCAATATCTTCACCACAAGGCACCATATCATATTACGTGTTAACTAGCCCCCATACATAGATTTGGTTTCACAAACACATGCATGATAAGAGCATGCTTCTGTCGACGTTTTCCATCGGGCCTATAGTACCAAGTACATTTATCGCTATATTCACCGTCCTCATTCGCCGAATCATGCCACCACGGGAAGGCGCCGCGATTATCCTGAGCAGCATCCCGGCCGTGAAAATCAGACTCTCCTCTCTCAGGGACAAATAAAGTTTCAGCTCCAAATAAGGACTCTCTCGGATGATACGGTTGTGAGCGATTGTCCCTCAAGAATACCAATTGCGTTCGCCAGCAGCCAACCCCGGGCCGTTCCTCATTTCAGAGCAGCCAAAATCCATTAATAGAGGTACATTTAAGGTTCCATCTCAGTGGCATGCATCATCTGACACACCCAAAGAACAGCTACCTGCTTTCGGAAGCGTCGGACCCGCACGTCTTGGACCCAGCTTCTCCACCACAGTCTTCCACGAGGTTCCCCACTTATGATGCGCTCATCCTACTTCTCCTAAATTTTATCGATACATTACTGGTCATTGTGGCAATTAAAGCTACCTTATTTACCAGTACCATAGATATAAGAGGAGTGATCACGAGAACCTAGCACTAATCAGGTCATATGATGTCATTCGCCTTATGAGAGGCCAAGCATATATAAGAGGGCTTTTGTAAGAGGTTTGTTCGAAATTAACTCTCTAAGAAGATTAACAATTTTTGAAAATCCTCGGACCAGTGAACCACTCGAATCAATTCATCAAAAACACTTCTATTCCACCATGTCGGACTTCCTTCGCAGGGCATCTGACGCTTTCCACCACCGCCAGCGTCAAGACTCAACAGACTCAACGGACACGCCCAAGGCCCCCGACGCAGCAAATCCTCCCCAGCAAGAGCCAGTCAATCAAAAGTTTGAGTCTGCCCAGCCTGAGTCTCATGTCAACGAGGCTTTTTCTGGTACAGCGACAGGTATCATCTCACTTTCCCTCGCATGGATTTCTGTGTCTGGGATATACTAACGAAGTCATGCAGAAAATGTTGCCAACCCGAAGCAACCCCGTCATTGGGGCTGGGGAAATCGCCAGAGAAATGCTACCGAGACAAAGCAGCAATCTAGCCAGGCGCAAAAAGACGATACTGACTGGGTTGTTGGGACGTAGAGATTTAATATTACTCCACGGCTAAGCTGGGGATCCGGCTTCACCGACTAAGAGTGTGCATGTCAAGGCTGTTTGGCTGACTGATTATTGAAATACCTTCCTGGCCCCGACGCTAAGAATCGCGAGTATTCAAATTGTGCCCCCTTCAATTGTGTAACTGAATCTTATAATTGAATAATGTTTATAATCTCTACCGAGGTCTAGACCCCATGTAAACTACCAACTACCGAGTGGCACCGAGAAAGAATCAAATAGTTTACAAATAGCATAGACGGGAGTTCTACTAACAACTTGAACAGATCTGAGTCTGCTCAAATTTTTTGCAGATGTTAAGTGCTCTCAAGGAATATTTGCATGGCCTATTTCCATGATGAGCCATCAACATGGGGCCTTCATGGGCAGGGAGAAAAAATCAGGACTGTAGGGCAGGGCGTAATGGTGGTGGATTTAGGAATTCTTACTGAATCTCGTATACGTGGATTAAGATCCAGTCCTCTGATTGGGTATACTTTGCATGAAAGGTCCCTCCATTATGCTCTCTTAGCCTCCACTTTACAATTATGAGTTACTAAATCGACGAAAGGGCTCCGTGACGGTTATTGCGTCCTCGCTGCTTGATACCAGTACGAATGTTCTCAAGGCAACAGGCGACATCTTTTGGCGCCCGTATCAAGAATTTGGCCGCGCACATAAAAGCCAGACTCAGCCAACGAGCCCCAAATTTTGCTCTCGATATTCCAGTATCACAGCCATATCTGAGCCATCTCATTAGATTTTTCTCGACGGAAAAGATAGTACAAGATTGCAGACTACAGGCAAAGTAATGGATGGGTTTGTTAAAAGCGCAGGTAAGGTCATAGGTTATTGGTACAGGGGCATGTTGGTTGACAGGCCGCTGAAAGTGAGTGAAGGGTTGAAGGCAATTCCCCAGCTATATAGCGACAAAGACAAGTATCATGGGGCTGTTACAAGTTGGGAATCTGGAGTAATGTTTTTGGGAAAGAACTTTGCCTATGGTATGACCGAAGATTTCACTGATCTGTTCACTCGGTCGTACAAGGGGCGGGGGCAGCAAGATGGAGCGAAGGGAGTGAGAGAAAGTCTTGTAAAAGGAACTCTTGGGGCTACAATTAAATTCTCGCCCGATATGTTCGTATTTTGTGTTCGTTCTGTGACAAATGCTTGATAACCCGCTTCAGGGGCTTTGGGATTAGTAGCGTATCCCGTGCATGGCACGATGAAAAGCCTGCACATCGCGACACACCGCGACACAACCGAAAGAAAAAATTCGCATCGTCCAAATTCGGTCCAGGAAAGCAAGATATTTGGCAGAGAACTGTCGAGTGGTGGGAAAGACCGCCAGCTTGTTCTTCAGAAGTTCGAGGCTTCACTTTTCTACTTGGTTTTGACTTTCTAATGAGCGACCTATGCTAGTTGAAATCACCGGATATGCCGCCAGAATTGATTCCCAAAATAATATTGGAAGCCTATTTCCCTATTGCATCCAGACGGCTTTTATTTTGCTTGCTCCGTCTACATGATGTTGGACCGCCTGGTCCACGTGGACATGGTAAAACATCTCATTATGAGAGGGGCTCCCACGATCTACTGGAGTCGTGGGATCAACTGTCAATTTTCAAACATATGTTAGGGAATTCAACACTTTCCCCATGGTATTCTTTTCAATGGTTATGATTTTTTTCTCACGTGCGATAAAGTTTCATCGTTCTTTTAAAGGACTTGAATCAGTGCCCCTGGGCATTCATGGCTGTCAGAAATGTTCCAGAGTGGACGCTCACCACCTCTCTTCATATCTTTACCTTCACGACATAGCTTCTAGATCAATTTTCGGGGTCGATAGATCTAGCGATTTGGCAACATTAGTATTGAGTTGACCTGCAAAATTGCGACTGAGGACTTCTCCAATGTCTTCGTTAGAAATGAATTACTGGAGAATTGTTGGCACCTGTCATAGTTGATTGTACCGAGTAGCAGATATTCGTAGAATGCCGTCACGTGACTAAATACTGGTGCATTGCAAGGAGCAGAAACCCTGCCCCACGGCGAGAATCACAATTAATAAAGAACAGGCCAAAGTATCGGCAGATCAAGTTACGTGAGCGCTAGCCCTAGTATAGTATCCACCACTAGAATTGCCAAAGAACACCATGTCGAAAGCAAGGTGGCACAAGTCACGTGCTCGCTTACGCTTAAAAGAGAAAGGCGGCAGATCGGGATGTGCGGTTTAAGCTTAGGAATGTCCACTCCCCCGCGCTTCGTGTATGAAGTTACGTACGTGCATATAGCTCTTCGAGCTTCCCCGCACTAGTGCTTCTTTTCAAGGCATATTTCTGCCTTGGATTGTTGTTTCGTTTTCACTGCCACGAACACAATGCCCAGAGCCGTTCAACAATCACACCGCCGTGTTCGATTTGCCCCTTTCCCTCAAGTGCCACCTAGTCCAAGGAATACAAATTCGGTGTCGCCTCTCGATGATCTTACATTCAGTCCCAGCGAGGTCAGTAGAAACCATGACGCTGTCTGCGAAGTGGTGTACTTAGTACTTGCAGGTTGATCAGGCGGTTGTTCTATCCGCGCTGTATGATATCGAGCATCTCAGCCCTACCAACAATTTGGCTCGCTCTACAACAATTGAAAATCATCATAATGAGACTCAGACTCACAGAAATACGATACCACCACGTCCGAGCATTGCGCATATCTTCATCAACAATGAATGCTACATGTCCCGTTCAAAAGAGTGGACGAGAGTCCTTGACCCGGTGAGATGGGGCAAAAATCTTGAGCAAACTTGGTTTAAGATGCTAATTTTCCGTCTGAGTAGGGGACACAGGCTTTGATCTCTAGAGTACCTAATTGTACACATCAGGAGGTACAAAGTGCAGTGAGCGCGGCCCAGGCAGCCCAGCCGGACTGGGAGGCATTGGGGTTTCAAAGCCGAAGGGACTATCTCCTCAAGCTCATTGATGTTTTGAGAGGAATGTCAGATGAAATTGTGAGAGTCGAGATTGCCTTTATTCGCGTAGAGTCTACTAATCGGCCTTCCCATGAATTTAGATAGCAACTCTATCTCGCGAGGTCGGCAAAACGGCCGGAGAGGCAGAGTCAGAAGTGTTTAGAGGCATTGACTGCATCCACGCGGCATGTTCAATAGGTCCTGAAATGGCGGGCATGTTTCTTGGCTCTGATCCTACCATTCTCCAGACCTTCTACGAGCCACTGGGCGTCTGCGTTACAATCACCCCCTTCAGTTTTCCCTTCATGACACCTCTCTGGTCAATTCCATATGCGCTTGCAACTGGAAATACAGTGGTTCTCAAACCCTCCGAGAAAGCCCCTTCTGTGGCATGTCTCCTGAGCGAAGCAGCACTCCGCGCTGGCCTTCCTCCTGGAATCTTCAACCTAGTCCACGGTGGCCACTCGGTTGTCCAGATGCTCATTCTGCAACCGTTGGTACAGGCTGTCAGTTTTGTTGGATCGGAGTCAACAGCAAAACAAGTCCACGATATCTCACGCAAAGCAGGGAAACGGGTCCAGGCGGAATGCGGAGGAAAGAATCATGGTGTTATTTTGGACGATGCGAGCATGATGCCAACGCTATTTGCAGTCGCCGGGAGTGCTTTCGGAGCTGCAGGACAGCGATGCATGTCTCTGAGCGTTGCTGTGTTTGTTGGTGAAACTCGAGAATGGATACCGAAGCTGGTTGAGATAGCCGAATCTATGATCGTGGGATATAGTGGCGACGAAGAAACAAAGGTCGGCCCCCTCATCGATCGGTCGGCAAAGGAGAAAGTGATAGGCTTTATTGATCGTGCGGCCGAGGAAGGCGCTACTCTTCTATGTGATGGACGCGATGTTCTTGTCCCTGGTTATCTTGACGGTAATTTCGTGGGCCCAACGATTATCACAGACGTGGAAACCTATATGGAGTGTTATCAAAGCGAGATATATGGCCCTGTCCTCATCTGCATGCAGGTTGACACACTCGATAATGCTGTTGATTTGATCAACCAAAATAAGTGTGAGACGATGCCAGTTGAAGTATGTCCCATTAAATCGCTGACAATACTGATGTGCATAGATGGGAATGGATGTTCCATATTCACAACCAGTGGAAAGCATGCGAAAACCTTTCAACGCGCTGTCAACGTGGGACAAATTGGAATCAACATTCCTTTGATTGGTAAGTCTAAATACTCAAAATCTTAGGATACATTTACTGAACATTTAGCTCCGTATGGACCCGCGGTGAGAACCAGCAACAAAGCCTCATTCATGGGAGGTAAGCAGTGAGGTCATTTTGCAGAGTACAGTCATTGATATTTTGTAGATCGACACGTTCCAGGGAAGACATACTGGCCTTTCTTCACTACAACTAAAACTGTTTCAGCCCGATGGGACCAATAATTACAGATGGAAAAGAGAAAAAATAGACAAAAGTGGGTTAGATTACACGGGGCTATCTGGAGACCTAACTGCCGAGAAGAACTTCTTCAAACCCTTTCTGAATCCAATTCTTTACTCGATCCATTTCTATACAAGGCGGCGGTTTTTTACTGATGCAAGTTAGAGCTGTCGTACGAGAGACAACTCGAACTGCTCAAGATTTCTGCACCATTCAGTTTGTACAGCCTACTTATTCGGGCCCTGATGATACGTTTTTGTCAGCTATTTCTTTTCTCATGTCCGGAGACCTCTACGCATGGTCTGTTGGATAAGCTCTATCGAACATTACTTTTGAGATTTTCTGTGTCGTCAACTCACCTACCGACACATTTTGAGCTTGCAGGGAAAGAAAGAGTTGACGAAAAGACGTTCAGGTATATCGCAGTGATCAGAGGCTAGTACAAAAAATGTTTTCTGTCTACTGGACTACTCTTGGTGTGGAGACACGGTCTATAAGCCTTGATGATGAGCTGACGGCCAGTTTTCCTTACCTCAGATTGTGAGCGTGAGGTTGAGGATTTGTCCCGAAGGAGATTTGATCTGCACGGGATTGAGCAATTGTCTTCTTTAAAGTCACTGATGGTTGGGCCAGTTCTTCCTCTGGAAAACGTAGAATTGGAGGCTGTTATTTGGAGGTCGCTTTTTTCCTTTCCCAAAATATCACCCTATAGAATACCTCTGGAAGGGATCAATTACGGACGCCTATTTGGAAACACTGATATCTTATACGGAATACAGAGAACAATAGTCTAGTCATGCGAGATGGAGGGTGATCCCGGTAGGCAATAGAGCTAGATCTCAGCAAATAAACGTTTATTCGTACTTGCCCCTAGTCGCTGCTACATTGTTGAGATCAGGATGATCAGGTAACTAGGGCAATGGCATGGAGCTGTCAACTTTAGTATGTCAGGAGAAAACCAAAGCTACATGCTTTGTTTGAGGACTTGAAAGGGGGTATCAGTAATATTTTGGCCCTCAAATTAATAAATACGGTGCATGGCGTTAGCCGCTTGGAAATTACCCGAATAGAACACATTTCATGAGTAAAGCGGGGTTGAGTCGCGGGAACTTGGCGTTACCAATGCCTATCTCTGACACTCATTATGATCCCGATAGGGATAGATTGCTTATCGCCCGGAACGGCTTCTTTCTTCTCCTACATAGGTCTGGCAAATATTTCCAGTTCCAACGAAGTGAAGTGTGCGCACGAAAGAACTCGGCTACTACCTTCGGCCTTGACAACACAAAATCCCTACCTTCCTTACAAGACCAGACATAATGGCTGAGACTCATTTGATGTGGCTGGCTGGTGAAGAGGTCACCGGAAATGCGAAGCCGTAAGTTCTTTTACCAAAATTTCGTGCCAAATTGCTGATGAATTTCCAGAATCCCTATTGAGGATCCTGCGACTGGGGAAACATTTGCCCTGTAAGGCCACCCCACCCTTGCCTCACGATATTTTACGAAATCTAACAGTTGACAGGTGTAATGCAGCATCTTCAGATGATGTCAAGAAAGCAGTAGAAGCTGGCCATGAAGCTTTCAAATCAGGCATCTGGTCTCGGGCGACTCGCCATGATCGCGCCGATGTGCTTGAGAAATCCGCGACCCTTCTCAAAGAAGCACTGTCACGTTTTATACATCTGGAAACGAGACAGACTGGTCGCGCTATTCGCGAAATGAACGCTCAGGTTCCATCGCTAGTGAAATGGTTCAAATACTATGCTTCAATCTTACGCGTCGAGGAACGTTCCGTTCTCCCAACCACGGGCAAACTACACAACTTTGTCGACCGCCGACCATTGGGCGTTGTGGTCCAGATCACTCCATTTAACCATCCTTTGCTCATCGCAGTAAAGAAGCTGGCCCCAGCCCTTGCCGCCGGCAATAGTGTCATTATTAAACCCAGTGAAATGACACCGTTGAGCACCCTTCTTCTGGCGAAGATTCTCCATGAAGCTGGACTCCCGGCTGGAGTTCTCAGTGTACTGCCTGGGCTTGGAGCCATCACTGGAAAGGCTCTAGTCTCCCATCCTCTGGTAAGGAAGGTTGATGTCACGGGGGGGCACTACGGCCGGGAAAGCTATCGGCTCAGTCGTCGGTGGAAATTTGGCAAAGTACACAGCAGAGCTCGGCGGGAAGGCACCACTCGTCGTCTTCGAAAAGGCCAATATAGATGCAGCAGTTAATGGGATCGCTTTTGGAAGCTATATCGCAAGTGGACAAACCTGCGTCGCCAGCACGAGAATCATTGTGCAGAACTCCATCATGTTTGAAGTCATCGAGAAGTTGAAGGCAAAGGTTCAGGGCATAACGAGTCGAATGGGATCTCCAAAAAACCCGGAGTCCATGATGGGATCTATTATCTCCGAGCGACAACTGAAGAATGTGGAAAACTTGGTCAACGAGGCACTGGAGACTGGGCATGCGGTCACCCTCACCGGCGCGAAACGAATGACCGGCATGAGTCCACTGGATGGATTTGACTTTTCCAAAGGATCATTTTATGAGCCCACTGTGCTCCTCTCACAAGACAAAAGTATTCTAAATGCCTCGATTTGGCACGAGGAGGCATTTGGACCTGTGATCGTTGTAATTGGTTTTGATAACGAAGAAGAAGCCATAGGGCTAGCCAATGACTCCGAATTTGGGCTTGGGGCCGGGATCTGGACGCAAGACCTTTCACAAGCTTTCCGAGTCTCTGAGCGGATTGATGCCGGAATTGTGTGGGTGAACACACACCACCGAAATGACCCGAGTAGCCCCTGGGGTGGAGCCAAATCCTCCAGCGGCGTGGGAAGTGAGAATGGAATGGATGCATACAATGCCTATACGACTACCAAAAGCACGATTATCAACTTCGCAACTGCGGAGGAGGCCTTGGAGAAGGAGGACTGGTTTGGAGATGATTCGAAGAACGTCAGATATGGTTGAAGGCAGGGATTGTAAAAGGATGGTGTGCAATTTAAATCCTTCTCCATAACTATCTTCCAGCAAATTAAATGTCCAGGTACGCGATGCAGAAATTGACGGCTAGAGCTGTATTGCGAGCTGGTCAATCCTCTTGATAAAGCGACAGTTTTTGTGATTCCGAAAAAGAATTTCATCTATGAACAATGTACAGGCATCAAAGTACACTAGTGGTCGACATCTTCCCAACTTTGCCATCCGCGCCCCTTGACTTGTGCTAACTCCTCGTCCGTGAATTTCTTACCCATTGTAAAGTATCCAGCATTGATTTTAGCATCAATTTCCACGCGGGAGTCCGAAGGGATCATATCTATTCGTTCCATAGTTAGTCAGAACTGTGCCGGACAAATCTGGTGGATTAAATGGCAACTTACGGTCGGGAATCGGAATGCGTTCTAAAATCGGGATGCCTTGTTCCACGATCGCGTCATGTTTCATATTCGACATGGATAGCATGCGATCAATCTTTTTGATTCCCAGCCACTGAAGAATATCAGGCATGAGAGCCTGGAAGCGCATCTGAGTTAAAGATTGTTAGTCTAGGTTCATTGAACAGTTGAATGAGCAACTCACATCTCTGACACCGGCAATGTTCTCCGTCCTAGTGAAGTATTTATCGGCAGTATCACCACCACGTTTGCGCGCATTGTAGACAAGATATTTCACAACCTCGCCAAGAGCCCGGCCTTCTTTCCGGAAATAGATTACAACACCTGATCCACCTTTCTGCGCTTCCTTGATAGCCTCCTCAATTCCAAATGCTAAATAAGGTCTGCAAGTGCAGATATCAGATTGGAAGACATCGGACCCATTACATTCATCATGAATGCGGAGCGCGAGCTTGACGTCGGGGTTGGACACCTTGTCAGGAGATCCGAAAATATAAACAGTCAGGCCACCGATCGGAGGCAGGAAGACTTTGATATCCGGCCGTGTAATCAACTCTGGGAAACTTCCACCACACTGTTCGAAGAGCGTTCGGCGAAGTGTACCCTCATCGATACCGAATCTTGCCGCCACGCCTGGTAAATACCAAACAGGCTCAACTGCAGCTTTTGTAACTCGCACATCACCTTCTTTGCTAATAACAATGTCGCCATCAACTTCAAGGTTTCCATCTCTGATAGACTCAGTTATCTCAGCCAGTCGCATCGTAGCCTTCGTCACAGCGATCGTAGGACGAACATCGAGCCCCGCATCAAGGTGTCTCTTGTAATGCCGCACAATATCATGACCAAATGGATCCATTGAGACGATCTTGGTCTTGTCGCCCCATGCTGGCTGGGCTGGGAAGTTGAAGATAGGCTGAGTATTTTCAAAGCTTGGTTTAAAGTTTGGAGGAAGGTCGCCCGCGGCGACTGCTAGAGCATTATATACAGAATAACTCCCGCCGTGGGCGCCGATAGCATTTCGTCGTGTGATGGTGTTCGACTCACGAGAGACTAAGACGGGGCCGCGTTCTTCGGGGTTTCCATTGCCCCAGTTCAAGGGGATGGGATCGACGACACTTTGTCCAGGATATGTTGTCAACTATTGTGTGTTGGTTAGGTCTTCGATCATACAAGGGGACATATAGGATATTTGCCATACAATTATGCGATCACCGCTTGAGTAGCCGGATTTGCCCTTTGTTTGGGCGGCGCCATCTGCTTGCTCGACGGCCATGGCGAAGGATTTTAGAGAAGATAAACACTGCACACTATGCAGGAGGCTTGAGGAAGAGATTTGTCAATGCTTGACGGTGACTCTTGAAGGTAAGTGGCAATTTAGATTTAAATACCCAGCTGAAGGACGTTCCCCTCACTTCGATCGATCATTCAATTAATTTGTATGCACTATCCAAGGGGCTGGCATTGTTACGACTGTATCCGCGTCATATCTCACGATAACGCGATAAAGAACATTACGATAGCCGATAAGCCTCGAACTCATTCTTATCAGTCGGTATCGTCTTCTATCGCCTTATCATAATTATCTTTATCGGTGCTATCATGATTTCTCTATCTATCGATCTCAGGTCCAACCTGGAATAACACATTGCGGGGTAAGCTTGGCTGCATACGAAAACATTTGAAATCGCGCCGAGTGCCGACCGGAGCTTCCTTATCATTTATCACACCTGGCGAGGAAAGATCAAAATCTATACCAACAGACATTGCAAGAAACATGACGCGGGAATCGGAGCCAACCCAGAGAAAGATTGTTTTGGAAACGACTTCGACATCATTCCCTAGCTCTCACAAGAAAATAGTGGCGCCAAAGGACACACCCTATTTTGTTGAAAATGAATTCCGACTCTCCAGTGCTGAAAGCTTTATCGATGTCCACGATCCCGCTACCAACAACTTGGTGACGAGAGTTCCGCAGATGAGCAAGCAAGAACTTCAAGAAGTGATCCGTTCTGCGCAAAAGGCATTTTCATCATGGAAAAACACATCCGTAATTGCTCGGCAGCAGGTTATGTTCCGCTATGTCGGTCTTATTCGCGAGAACTGGGACCGACTGGCAGCTGTTATCACCTTGGAGCAAGGAAAGACAGTCGCAGACGCTAAAGGTGACGTCTTGCGCGGTCTTCAAGTTGCTGAAGCGGCCTGCTCTGGGCCCGAGTACATGAAAGGCGAAGTTCTGGAAGTGGCCAAAGATATGGAAACACGGACTTATAGAGAGCCCCTTGGTGTTGTCAGTGTCATCTGTCCATTCAGTAAGTGGCTTGTATTGATACCTTTTACTGCCCATTAACACGACGATGTAGACTTCCCTGCCATGATCCCACTATGGTGCATTCCGGTCGCCGCAATCACAGGAAACACTGTTGTTCTAAAGCCGTCTGAACGAGCCCCCGGAGCTGCAATGATTCTCGCTGAACTAGCTGAAAAGGCCGGGTTCCCCAAGGGTGTGATCAATGTGGTCCATGGTGCCCACGACACAGTCAATTTTTTACTCGACGCACCCGAAATCAAAGCGATTAGTTTTGTCGGTAGTAACAAAGCCGGAGAATACATCTACGAAAGGGGATCTGCCAATGGCAAAAGAGTCCAAGCCAATCTCGGTGCGAAAAATCATGCGCTTATTCTTCCCGACGCTGAAAGGGACCAAACCCTGGATTCCATCATTGCGGCGGCATTTGGAGCCGCCGGCCAGCGCTGCATGGCTTTATCTGTTGCTGTGTTTGTTGGAGAGACAGAAAATTGGCTTCCGGAACTCGTGAAAAGAGCTAAAGCTCTCCGTGTCAATGGAGGATTCGAAGGCGAATCTGATCTTGGACCCGTAGTGACTTTGCAGAGCAAGGCACGTATTGAGAGACTTGTCGCTAGCGCCACCAATGAAGGTGCCACCATACCCCTTGATGGTCGCGGCTTCAAGCCGGACCTCTATCCTAACGGTAACTGGGTCGGTCCGACGATCATCGCGGATGTCAAGCCATCTATGGAGTGCTATAGGGAGGAAATCTTTGGCCCGGTGCTTTCTTGCATTACAGTGAGCTCTATTGACGAGGGCATTGAGTTGATAAATGCGAACGAGTATGGGAACGGTGCTGCTGTCTTCACTTCATCAGGTATTCATGCCGAAAGATTCAGGAAGAATATTGAGGCCGGCCAGGTTGGTGTCAATGTCCCTATTCCTGTCCCGCTCCCTATGTTCTCATTTACTGGAAACAAGAGGAGTGTCGCAGGTGGGGGTTCCAATACGTTTTATGGAAAACCGGGTGTCAATTTCTACACTCAGTTGAAGACCGTGACATCGAAATGGACTAGCAGGGATGTTGGGCCTTCGAAAATGGCACTTTCGATGCCAACACACAGTTAGTTTTACTATCATGTAACAAGATAACTCAACGTAATGGTTCAAATTGAAGACACAATCATATGCTTACCCCTCCCCCACTCAATAGTGGCCACGGTAGGCACTAAGCCTTGAACAGGGGGCCTTAATGGTAAGCACTAGTAGGTACGAACCATATTGAGAATAGAGTATAAATAACTGTGCTACGGCCTAATTTAAATTCTGGCGCTCTTGCACACAATCACCCCACCCTAAGGATTACTCGAAATGGCCCCATCTCTTCCCCCGCAATACGAAATCCGCGTTCTAGGACCGGAGCATGAAGAATGGGCTCGAGCCATTTGCCTCCACACGAACATGTTCCACAGTCCACTTTGGCCGGTCGTATATCCAGAGAATATAACACAGCGACTGTACAAGTCGTTCCAGGCCGCACATTATCTGATCAAACACCAAATAGACTCGGGTTATTCTCTTGGTATTTTCAATAAGAATTACCAATTCAAGCGACCGGAGTCTGTAGCCACAGGTGGCAAGCTATACTGGAATTTTGTCGATGAGAATGCCACCGAAAGCGAGCTAGAGGAGCAGATGGATTTCCCGCTCGTTTCTATCGCTATGGCCTACGATGGCATCAACGAGCTTGACATGAATCAAATCATGCCGCTAGTGGAAACATTGCCCTTGTTCGCGACCATCGTCAAGGTCGTCGAAGATAGAGATACGCGTGATCCTGCCTCGTGGAAGCCCACCGGACCCAGGCAGGTTTTGATGCGTAATGCGACCAACACCATGAAAGCGCATTCGGGTCACGGGCTTATGAGGCTGTTAGCAGAGGAGATGATGCGACAGTCGGCGGCTGCGGGCTTCCGTGGTATCCAGATTGAGAGTGCCAATAATGCGGTATTGAAGGTGTGGTCGAACCCGCCGGAACCTTTTAAAGGGACAATTACCTGTCAGTTTCACACGATGACGTATGAAGAGAAGGCAGAGTCCGGCGAGACTCTGTATCCTTTCCGACCGGCAGATCTGCCTATTGCGAGGATATATGTCGATTTGTGCTGATAGACGGTTGATCTACTTTTCGTTATTACCCTTGTCAAATGAAGCAAATGAACTGGATACTTCTCAAAAGCTATGGTTTCCGAGCTTTAAGTTACAAGTAATTCGGGATAATAACGGGACAAAGAGGAGATAAGAATACCGGCACATTTTGAAATTTACATCTATGGGCTTGCAACGCATCCATCAACAGAAGACAGGCGGCACCACCGGGGACGCGCGAGGTCAAAACCTCCAGGATCGACTCTTATCGTGTTTTATCTGACGATAAGGTACGATAAAGTCCTTATCTATAATATCTTATCGGATCTGTATCTTATCAAGGGTGATAAGTCTCTGTAATCTTTCTTCCTAAGAGCTGATCGATACAGAATGGTCTATGAGGAGTGCGGGGTAGCAAAAGATCATCAACAAAGCTCGGGAGTCTCCAAAATTAGCATTTTCATCTTGATCATGAGATCAATTTCCTTAGATAGTGGCCAAAGAATGATAACAAAGATCTAGTAGTGGACCGCGTTTTATACAGAAGTGGAGACTTACCCAAGGCCTGAATAATTTTGCTCCCCAAACGAAAATTTCTGCATCCACCTGGTCATTGAATCGCATACATTCTCATTCTTACAATTAATCACCTTATCATGCATCACGGCAACGAAAAAGACAACGGGGCTTCTTGCCACACCCAAGATGCATTCGAGCATGAGCGCATGTTTGTGTTACCGCAAGGGAACCATCTCTTGAGCTTGATGACTGTGCTTCGGGATGCGAAGACCAATAGCACATTATTCGCGGAAACAACGGAGCGTGTCGGAGACCAGCTTATTGCTGCCGGTAAGCTCTGTGGTCTGCTTGAGAACGCGATAGGTTATTTTTGACATAAGAAACCCTAGCTCTTGATTTCGTACCGGCAGAAAAAACACCAGTTGTCAGCCCTACTGGTTCCACATATCAGGGAATGCGACACACGGCGCCCGTTTGTGGCGTTAGCATTCTCAGAGCGGGAGCTAGTTTGGAGAACGCTATGCGGCGCGGATATGCGTATGTTTACTGCCCTTTGCATTGATGAACCATGGTTAAATCTTTTTCATTAGTGGCCCTCTGAGCTTTGGTAAGGTTTTGATTCAGCGTGACGAAGAGACTTGTCAACCAAAACTTTTCTACTCGAAGTTTCCACCAAACATTGCGTCTCAAAGTAGGCAAACTCCCTCAACAGCCATGTCAAATGTATCCTTATCTGACCGTAATGTTATCTTTAGGGGTCATGGTTCTTGAACCCATGCTGGCCACAGGAGGATCAGCATGCGCAGCAATCAATGTCATTAAGGCGCAGGGCGTTCCCGAAGAGAACATCATATTCGTCAACGTCTTAGCATCACGTTATGGAGCCAAGACTCTCTTCAGCAGATTCCCTCAAATACGTCTTGTTACTGCTGCTGTCGATGAGGATATGACACTAAGCAAGTGAGTCTTGGTCTAAGGTAGAATCTCAAATTCCACGCTAATAGTTTCTAGCCATATTGACCCTGGGCTCGGGGACTTTGGTGATCGATTTTATGGGACTTATGATTCATAGACTGCGAAGTTTGATATATGATTTAGCAATCATTTCGAATGCAGTAAGGTCTTTGTTTCAGGGATGCCATCTAAGTGTTAGTTCATGTAACTGCTGTGAGAGCTACATTTGGTTTTATCGCCTCCACAAGTAAATGTACACGTAAGCAAATTTTTGATATTTACAAATCATTCGCTAGCAAATTGGTAGTAGGCTTCAAATAATATGCGTTAAGCTATTCCCTATGATTGATCTTTGGACCCCACATGAGGAATATAGGGAATTTGAACGTGTGGAGAGTTCCTCTAAATCCCACTAGCTATAGATGTGGCCTGATAATATTGGAAATCAGAAAAGGGTCCCATCACCTTCAATCAAGATAGGACTAGACTTAGTCAGGGGCCGGAACTTAGCAGCAAGCTCCCTACCACCCTTCCAGGTACCGGCTTCCAGCATTTGTGGCATAGTCAACGAAATTCCTTGTCCAGAGAACTGATCACTAAGAAGCTTGTGAAGCTCATCAAGTAGCGCCACTGTCATCGCACGCCATTCAACGATCACATCTCCAGTGGCATTGAAACTCGGCAATTCTTGCTTAGAAGCATCCAGCCCTTGTTTCAGAGTCTCTTCCTTCAGCTTCAGAATCTCCAGATCGACGAAAAGACCGCCATTTCTGTACTCTGGGAGTCCGGTGCCCAGATCGAGGTTCTTCCATTCGCGTTGTAGAACTCTGATGAAAGGCACTGTTAGTGAATATGCCATCCATTGGGTCAGTTTATGGAATGGTTGGATGCCAAGCGTGTTGTTCTCGCTTTGCTTGCCGGAGTTGATGCGTGCCAGGACCTCAAGTGGCCACGCATCTCCGATTGGAACACCGGCAACATGAGTGCGATCTTTCGGCCAAGCGGGAAGAAGTGTCTTTTGCAAGACTGACCACAATGTTTCAAAGTCCAGAGGCTCCGAATTGTCACCATTTTGGCTCAAGTAGTCTGGGGCAGTCGGTCAGAATCAAAGTTCCGAAGGATAAATGGCTTCCTATGCGTACCAACGAGATTTCCAGGCCTTCCGTCGGTTCCAAAAATGTCGGGTAGAGCCAACAAGGACAAACCGACAGCCTTCAGCAACTTGACACGGGAAGTCTCGCCCACGATCATGTTCTTCGGCTGAAGTTGGAAATGATGATGGAAACTGTCAAATTCCAAACTTGCCAAAGCATTTCCTGGGATCCAATTCAAATGTTAGTTCATTATTATAGTCTGATCGACTGCCGTTACTTACCATCGACTGACTCAGCCTTGCCTTGGTTGCTTGAAAACGCACCAGCCTTGAACATATACAAAGCTGCAACAGCGATACCTTCACTTCGCCCATAGACGTTACCAGTCCCAGGCTCAGTGAAAGACCAAGTATCACCAGCACCAGCATCAAGAAGCACAGCAACGAAAAAGAGATCAATCAAGCGACGTGTGGTTTCTTGTTTATTCAAGCCCTGGAGCTTCCACTCGTGAACGAGCTGGTCAATCCGCGCCACACCGCCAACGTCAAAGTGCTGCCATCTTCCATGAGGCGGAATTTGATCAAATCGGTCAGGTCCAAAGTCTCTCTAATCTTTGTTAGCATGAGCTCTGTTTTGATCTTGAGTACCACGTACAGTTATGATACCCGCAACAAAGTCAGCAGCCTTCGGCATGAGCGAAGCATCGTAGGCAAAATGAGTAAGTTCGTCCTTCTCAGCTGCTTTTAAGACCAACTGAGCTCTGTCACGCACTGCCTGTAGGCTCTTGAGATATTCAATATCAGTCATTGTGGCTTAAGAAGTATATACACCTGGCAGGGATGCTAGGAACGGAGTGTCACTTGGTTGGAGCTCCTTGGAGGTGGCGTATACTGTAATCTTCTCTTCGCCGACCCTTTTCAATATCTCGCCTTGATTTCCCTTACGTAGCAAAAACTGCAAGGTCAGGTGGCGCAAGTTACACTGCAGCTTCCCCGCCGGATGACCCCGACCGCTTATCCGTCGATAAGGATAAGATACCTGGATAAGAAAGGCCTTATCGGATTATCGCATCAAAGATTGGAGTTTATCGGTTTATCGGTTTATCGGTATCGCCCATCAGTGATATCACTGTCAATCACTCCTGTACTCGATGAATGAGGGGTATAGTTTTCTGAGTGAATGGCGCATATATTGCCAGGATCTTTGAAACTCCTTGATCCGTCAATACCTATTTTCTTTCATATCTCCCCTACATAATCGTCTCTTCTATCAAAATGTCAATCTCAAATCTCACATCAATAAACGATGCTGAAGCATCCAAGATCCTTGCACAGCTCCGCGACCAATCTCTCAAACCCATAGCTGTTCGCCGTCTCGTCGCGAAACTCACCGTCACATTGACAAAATACGTCTTGAAGACCCCAGAACCAGAGGAGCAGATTGCAGTGATCGTTGTCCTCCGATCTGGACTAGCAATGGCAGAGCCTTTCCTCGACGCTTTTCCAGAAGATTCAGATGTCGTGACATACCACCTTGGGCTATACCGCGAGAAACAATCTCTCCGCCCCGTTGAATACTATAACAAACTTCCCCGGAAGAATCCCAAGATTAAAAGGGCCTACATCCTTGATCCACTTGTGGCTACTGGAGGAACTGCAAGAGCAGCGATTGATATTTTAAAGTAAGTATATGTTTCACCGATGGGTCGATTTTAAGCGAAGACTAATCTGCCGTCTAGGGACTGGGGAGTGGATCATATCACATTATTTTCTCTGCTTGGCAGTGCCACGGGCCTTGCGAACGTCGCCAGTGCGTATCCCGAGTGCACGGATGTATTTGTGGGCGCGACAGATCCGGAATTAGACGATAAGGGATACGTGAAGCCGGGGCTGGGAGATATTGGAGATCGCCTTTTTGGTACGAGTTTGGAGTGATATAGCATAATTGATCAAATAGAGTTAGGGATTTTTTAATGCCCGTGTGAAGCTTGCTTTATGTCTTCAATCACTCTGAGACAGCCTTCCTGAATACCTCAAAAATCGCACAAGGGTTTGGATTCTTTGAAATGACTCCTAAAGGAGAGCAATTCGGTACAACCCCTCTAGATCAAGCATTGCGCTAGACACGAAGCCAGAAATGTCTGGGGTTTGTCGGGGGAAGAACAAGTAGCACAAAGTGGCAGTGCAACAAGGGAAACCCAATGCGCCACACCGTTCAGAAAACGATCGATTCTGCGGAAACTTCTTCTTTGAGTCGCACTTGATGCTAGCAATTGGGGGCCGCCTTGAGACAATTTTTGAACTCAGTTTCCACGGTGGGTTCTGGAAAGCCCACTAGATCGCCGAGGTTCGCCCGGAGGGTGTTAGTCTATCTCACACCATGTTCCAGGATGAGACCAGTCATTTTACTAGTGCAAAAGCATAATATTAATGCGAACTACGAAGTTATAGGGCGCTGAACGAGTCTTTGAATTTTGGCTACTATTGGTGCGATGTGAAATTGCGAATGGTTTTGCGCCCTACATTTTTGGCCCCTTGAGATGCCAAAATACACATAGACAATATCAGAAACTAAGAAAGTAGACTGCAGCGGCTAAGCCTCAAATGCCAAGAATGACAAGTGTATGTGTCAGACGTCAGATTCTTTCTAGGAATATCAGCACGCGACGTATCATTCGTGGGGGAGATTGTCCTATACTAGCCTTCCTCGTATTCCGACTCAAAGCAAATTTATTCCTACGCAGTGCCATCGGGCGCCCTGTAATTATGCCACAGCCAGAGAAGGTACGGAAAACCGGGGGATTCGGAAGGCGGTGGAGCGCGGAAATGCAGGGTCCACAAATTCAAAATTCAAACGAAAAAAAAAATCCTTGTCTATTCAGAGCCGCACACCCCCTTTTCCAAGCACCCTGAAGTGACACATTTCAGGAAGCTGATCGTGTGCCCGACGACGACCCGCATCGCACTTGGACCGAGAGCTATTGATTCGAGCGGCGCCAGATAAAATTAGCTACAGGCAGCCTCTAGGGGAACAGTCCACAATACTAGGCTGAAAAGATCTCAAATTCGGATCCATCGGGATCTCCGTCTGAGAGGCAATATGATGAAATGATCGAAAATCTTACTATTTTAGTCACCTCCAATTCAGACCCTTTAGATCTCCATGCAACGCTTGCAGGGACATGACCTTCGGTTGTATAGGGGGCGAAAGTTTAACCAAGAACCCCAACCCCTCAAGGCCATAGCCACGTTGCGGTGCATGGGACAGGAGTGAGACTCGTGTGGAGTAGGCTCGCACGGAAGTCAAGCATTGTCCGTGACCCATTGGCCCTGACCCAAGTTACCTAATTAAAAAGCCATACTCTGAACGGCCCCTGGTTTCCCGGTGCTCCGCACATCCTCGTTTGGGAAATGGCCCGCATGACCCTGAAGGCTAAGCAGCCCGAGGATGAAACCTCGTAGGACTCCACTGGCCGTGATGCATTTTGGTCTGGTCAGCAGTTTTCACTGGGGCTCTTGTCGGCGCATCTGGGCGATTGGTCCTTTGCCCGTGCTTTCCCCATAGTCATTCTATTTATTACTGTCCTTTCGCTCCGCTAGGCTTGTGGAAATTTTTACGATTCTGTTCTCTCCATCTGGCTTCTTGTCTGCTCTCTATGCGCCGCTATAACTTATTCTCATGACGGCGTGAGCAGCTTGCTAACATGTTGTCTCAATCTAACCCGGCGTGGGCCACCTCGGGCAAACCTTCCAAGATGTTCACTGGACGGGCCTTGGGCTGCCTCGGATTTGTCTGCTGTGCTCTGCCTGCGCGTGGATTCCATTCGGCGACTAATTGGGAGACGTCGCGGAAGTTTTGGTTCGGATTTCTCTTCATTGCTGTCATTTGCGCCAAGCTTCTGCATATTTACGCTCACTATGACTCCGTCCCCCTCGGAAAATTATTACTCTGGGGGTCAACATTCTTTGGACAAGACGCACTTTTCTTATTATTCGGGCATCTCTTGACTCGCAACTTCCAGCAGAGATGGGCTTGCATTTTAGCGGGAATCGTGGTGGTTTGTGCCAGGTAGGTCGATTCTTGGCTCGGCCGAGGGAATCCGCGCTAAAATGTCTGTTTTCAAATAGCCTCGTTCTTTCCGTCATGGCCGCCGCGAATACCTCTTTCTTTTTCACTACCGGTGCTGAGATCCACTGGCGCCAGGCTGGTGGCTTCAACCGCGATCCCGCATCGATTCACACACTCCTTACCGGTTTGACCGGCCTCGTTATTGTCGAAATTTTATATATTGTCACAGCTGCGGTGACAACGCCTTATATTTACAATGTGGTGGGTTATGTCATTCGCACCTGGGCTTTCGTTCTCGCGGCTGCCTTCAAGCCTCTGGTCAACAAGGTGGTCCACAAGGTGGCTAGTCGATGGGCCCCAGGCAGAAAGGTTTTCGAGCGACTCAAGATCTACGAGCCTGTACCACTGGGTGACTACGATGAAGAGGAGGATAAGGCCGGTCTCCATGCTGCGCCTCTTCTTGATCAACCTGCGCCGCTTCCCGCTGAGAAAACCCGTTCGAAAATCTGGCTCAAGCGTGCCCTCGTTCTCATTCCCACCGGCCTAATCTTCTTCCTCCGCCTTATTCGCCCCTACGACGAGTCATACTGGTTCCTTTCCCAGACAATCGTCGCCTCTCCTTTCGCCGGAGTGGACTCCAAAGGCAAGCTTGCCGGTATGGCCGACCATGCCGAGATCGATGGCAAGTCTACGGCTTTGACTGCAACTCCCAAGTTTGACTGGATGCCCGAGGGTGAATGGCCTGGATTCAGAGACTGGCAGGATGACAAGTATAAGCATTACAACTCATCATATGACCCTCTCCACATCTCAAACCTGGATCAGGACATTCTCGAGCCTCTCCGCGAGGTCCTTGCAAATGGGGATGTCAAGATTAAGCATATTTTAGTCTTCAAGATGGAGAGTACTCGACAGGATGTTTTCCCTTTCAAGAATGGCAGTTACTTCCATGAACGCATCAAGCAGTCCTATGGCGACAAGACCATTCCTAAGAAGGTCCAAAAGCGCTTGGCGAACTTGACTCGCACCGCCGAGCGTCTGACAGGCGCCCAGTCTGGCTTGAATCCCGAAAACCCCGTCAAGCCTTACGGAGGCATCAGTATGACCAACTCATATACCGGTGGCACTTTCACATTGAAGAGTATTGAGGCCACCACCTGCGGTCTTTCCCCCCTTGTTGTCGATTTCAACCACGAATACGAGCACCACATCTACCAACCTTGCATGCCTCACGTTCTTGACGTTCTGAGTGCAAGCACCAATAACAGCAAGAGCAAAGACTTCGTTGACTGGCCGTGGCGCCCGCGCTTTATGCAGACCATCACCGATACTTATGACCACCAAGACCGCCTCACCCCCGCATTGGGCTTCCATGATGAGAATATCCTGACAGTGGAAGTTATTGATAAGCAACACACAAATGATACCACCTGGAAGGCCGAGAAGTATAACTTCTGGGGCTACGCCGACAAGGAGATGGGTAGCTACCTTAAGGACGCAATCCTCGAAGCTGAGCACAAACACGAGCGTCTGTTTGTTACTCACCTCACTGGAATTACCCATCACCCCTGGGACCTACCTCCCCATGTGGATTACCATGAGTTGATCGGATCCCTGACGAACTCTTTTGGCGGGAAGAATGACGGACTGAACCGCTACCTGAACACAGTCGGGTTCAATGACAGATGGTATGCGCGAGTTTTGGAGATCCTTGAGGAGACTGGTATCGCCGACGAGACCCTTTTCGTCCTGACCGGTGATCACGGAATCTCCCTTCTCGAAGACGGCAACGTCACCCCCTACGACAACCCTCTCGTCACCAACTTCCACGTTCCCCTCGTCTTCGCGCACCCCAAACTCCCTGTCATTGAGTTAAACTCCTCCGTGACTTCCGTCCAAATCCTTCCTACTATCCTCGACCTCCTCAAGGAATCTGGATCTCTCGACGAGCACAGCGCCCGCGCGATCAGAGACCTCCTCCCGATGTACGAAGGTCAATCTATCATTCGGCCGATCGTCGAAAAGAAAGACGATAAGTCCTACTGGCAGTTTACAGTCATGAACACGGGCGGTTCCATGGTCGCCATGCGCTCGGCCGACAAACAGTACCGACTCATCGTGCCCCTCGTCCCCGAGGTGGAGTGGCGCTTCACCGACATCGCGAAGGATCCCCAAGAGGACAAGCCCATTAAATCATTCGCATTGGAACCTCTCATCTCTGCCATCGCCACGAGACATGGCAAAGAAGCCGTTGAATGGACTCACGACGCTGCTCGTGCGGCTCAGTGGTGGGTTCGCGATAACTGGCGGCGGTATGAGTTTGACCCATCGGCGTGATCACGAAGCATGACGTTTCGATAAAGGATAATTTTGTCAGGGATTAGCATCGCATTTTGTATGATTATGGATATTCAGTAATTCTGAATTTTCCACCAGCATGGCGCACGGCATTGGGGTTCTGTAAATAGCTTGCATATTAGGGTATAAATATCCATCGACCTTTCCGAGGTTCCCTATCCAAAATTCCGTCTTTCTTATCTATTAATCTTACTAGAATGCGCCTGTTCCAAATCTCAGGCTTACACGGCTTCTTTGTACCAGCTGGGAAATCGAATCCTTGCAAGTGGAGGTTCAAGGGCGGGGGTAGTGTGTTAGCGTCTGCCGGATCAGATCGACGGATCACCCACGTCCACTCCGCGGAGCAACACAATCTAGATAACAGCATCACCAACCCCTCAGAACCTTGAAGACAAGTACGTAGGTCTCTTTAAAGTCTGATTACCGACTATTATGACACGTTCATAATCTGCATGTACAACTGAAGCGAGACACGAATGCGCATACAGTAACCAGGCAGCTGCGCCTCGGCAAGGGCTAATAGGTTGATCAACACGCCGATCATCGTTCATGCACCCGAATCACCCCCACCACCCTCCTTCGGCTTTTCTCGTCGTTTTCACCTCAATTCCCACAATCCAACATGGAGCATCCGCCCAAAGAACCATGGTTGGGGAAGTTTCGGTCGTCGGAGACGTTTATAGTTCTCGTGGTGTCGATCGCTATCTTCACGGTATGGTCGATCTCTTGCAGAACAATGCGATCGCTAACATTCTTAGGATGTATTCATCTACGGCATGGTGAGCTCATTGCCTCCATAATGACTTTTGCTGCGGCAACGAGCTGATTCATATGTCAGATTGTTCCGATTATTCCTGTTGCGCTGGTTGAACGTGCTGGTACTCGTCCGGAAGATGGTATGGCATACCAATTCTACCCCTGCCCCTGTAATGCTGCTAACCAGGCATCAATAACAGCACAATCATGGGTATCGATATTGTTGGCTGTATATGGAGGAAGTCTACTCTTGGGATCGCGTGGGGTTTTTTTTACTCCCTTCCACTAAACCGCGGCTAACGGAAATCCGAACAGCATTGTTTGGGTACTTTGCCGATAATTGTCGAATGAGGAGACTGCCCTTCGTTGTCGGATTAATTGCCCTGGGCGCATCAACCACCTTATTCGTTCTGGCGTCCTCAATGACAGTCCTGATTATCGCACGTGGATTGCAGGGTCTCTCTGCGGCTGCGGTGTGGGTCGTCGGACTTGCTATCGTCGCAGACAACGTCCCGCCGGAGCGCGTCGGTGAAGCAATGGGTCATACCACTATTGCGCTGACATGGGGCTTTGTGCTTGGGCCTATGATTGGCGGTATCATGTATGAAAAGCTGGGTTTTGAAGGGACATTTACAATTCCCGCCGGATTGATTTGTTTGGATGTCGCTTTGCGCTTTGCTATGATTGAAAGGCCTGGTAAGATGTGCCCCCCGCTGGACACTCGTCCAAATTTAAGACTAGGTTCGATTCAGGGATACCCAAACAAGACAAAGCGAATCTCTTTGAACAAGAAACCAATCATCCCCATGGCTACAGCACATTCGGCTGCCCCACCGAGATCAACTCGGCCTCGACATGTCGCGACATGCACAGCGAGCGTGCTCCCCTTCTCCCAACGGCACCCTTTGTTGATCAATGGCTGGATACGAATCAAAGAAACGCCACCATTATTGATCTTCTGAAATCTCCCCGCTTGCCCCTTGCATTAGCCTCGACCGTGATTATGGCGGTCACGTTCGCTGCTCTGGAGACCGTATGTTATCTTCACCCTCTGGTTTCTCTTAGCATGCTAATTCTCATACAGACCCTCCCACTATATGTTATGGAGACATTCGGCTGGTCATCCAGCGGCGCCGGCCTAATTCTCGTCGCCTCTTCAGTGCCAAGCTTCGCGGGCGTCTATATCGGGAGAGCAATCCCACGAGTCGGCATTCGCGCTCTCGGTACAGCGGCCTTCCTACTAGCATCAGGCTCCTGGGTCTTGATGCGCTTCGTCGAAACCTATTCGACAGGCCACGTCATCCTGATGATTATACTCCTGCTCCTCCTCGGCTTATCAATCGTAACAATCGAGATTGTCGCCATGACGGAAGTATTTCAGGTAATTGAGGACTTTGAGTTAGAGTTCCCCGGGGCGTTTGGTGAGAAAAGCCCCGTTGCACAGTCTTATGCGCTTTTCAATATGGCGTTTGCGGGCGGACAGTTGCTTGGACCTATCTTAGCGGGTGGCGTGCGCGTTCATGCGGGCTGGGGTGTTATGACTCTTGTTATCGGGGCTTTGTGTGCTGCTACGGCTTTTCCACTTGCACTGTTTGGGGCTGTGAAAGGAAATGCTGGAGTAGTCGAGTCTGGAGCTGAGGCTTGAGTTAATTTAGATGGAAAATATCCTATTTGATACACGATATTTCGGCAAAATACATTTCATTTTATTTCGTGCAGCGACCAATATCATCGATTAGACTTGCTCCGTTAAGTCCAATATTACCAATGGTGCACGTTATTGAATCATTCAGTCAAAAAGACGCATATTTTTACGTTGGACTACATCAGAATATCACGAATAGACAGTGTCTGGTTTCAATTGCTAAAGTGCTAACAAATCATAACCGAGAAGCAGTACTAGCCGAAGAGAACTCGAATTGAGCGGCTAATTGAGATGTACCGTGCACCGCGGGGACTAGCACTATATTGATAAGAGAGGCAAGGTTACACGGTCCACGTTAGGGCATATCCAGCCTGCTTGCATACATAGTAGATTCTTTCGCCGGCCCACTGCGCCAAGATTGGCCTCAAGTTAACTTCTAAGTATACACAGAATACTTCCCGTACAGTACAGTTCAGCCTCTTTTATTTTGGTCAATTTAGTATCCGGCTATCGGGATTGTGCGATTGATCATCCTAGGCACTGATAAGTTGTCATCCTGGTGCTATCTTGCCTGATGAACTCATCCTGAGCACTCGCAACGGTTGACTAGACAAAAAGAATACATAGTCCAGGTTTTTGAGCAAGAAATACGGTCAAGATGACTTATGATTTATGAAACATTGTGACGACTAACCTTGAGCCGTATTGTGAAACCTATCACAAAAAGGTTTACCAACGGCCCAGCAAACTATGAATTGATGGGTTCCTTTTCTTGTATTGTAGGTAGCCAATTATTGAAGGTTTTCGAGTGAACGCGGGTTTCTGTGCCTTACTGTATGTCAGCTTACAGCAAAAGTCTAAACTCAATACAACATCCCAAGCCTGCTAATGAATCCCTCCCTGGTCTTCCTTCAGTTCCTGCCCTCCAATAACTATGCTATTGGCAGCCTGCAGCACATAAAGCATCCTGGCCCAATTAACTTTGCTCTTATTGTGCCACGCATGATTGGTCCCACGCTGCACGGCCACATCGCCCCTCCTCAGCACCTTGGTCTCGGAGTCCAGCACCAGTTCCACCTCTCCTTCAATGACAATACCAAAGTCACAAGATTTAGTCCTGTGCATTGGCGATGTGTATCCAGGAGGAAAGTCTACCGTACGGCAAACTGTTCCTCCTGGAATGGTGATACCTGGTGCATTGGCTAGGTAGCCCTGGTAGGCGATGATGTCTTGATCGTTGGCCATGGCCACCGGGAAAGTAGGAGTTATGTACATGAGGCTAAACTCCATTTCGCCGCCCCTGATAAGACGAACGGGAGCCTTATCTGGAATATTGTCACAAATATGCGATTTTCCAGTTGCATCATGAGTGGTAATGTATCTCGATAGAGGGCGGAGACTGCTTCGGCAATCCTTCGACATCACGTAATTTGGGAGAGTATATCTGACTGGCTTGAAATCGAATTGCCAGATTGTGATCGTAGGCGATACCGTTGGTTCGACGCCGAAAATGCGTGGATTATGGTTTCCCGAGAAAGAAGCGCTCCCGATTGAGAATGTGTGCTTATGAGCAATTTTTGCTCACTGGCTCCTCTTATATATTTGCAATATCTACTGCGAGAAGGGGGAGAAAGGGCAGTCAGATTGACGTATCATCACAAGGTCCAACTTGATTGTTCTTGTCCCCAACAATAGCCGACATTAACTATGATATCGATAAGACATGAAGCTCCACCCTCCGACAGGTGGAAAAAATTCCCGACGACTACCCCACCCCACCCTCTGAGTGGAGTCAGAATTTGTCGCCTCCTTGATGGAGAACAATAGCCTAGATTTGGTGCAAGTGTTCAAAGTATCAAGCTGCATACAGAGCCTGTCCGGATAGTGTTAACCACTTAAAGTGTTGTTCAGTTCCTTCAAACAACGGTTAAATAGATTCGCACTTCGGGTGTCCAGTTCAATCCTGTTATGAAGCAAAATGAGCGAAGCTGCCGAACGAGACACCAAAAATCACTATCTGCCCATTGCCTCTGCTGTGCCCACTCAATCGGAGAATAACTCGTGATGACACCCTCAAACCCCTTCGATCCCTGGTACCGCGGCTCGTCATCTCTACTTCGCAAGTCTTTTGTAGCTAGAGGCTGAAGATTATAAGGCTCTCAGCGCAGGAAAGAGAATCCAAAGTGAAAAGAGCTCTTAATGAAAAGCAGTATGACTTTGGATAATACCAGCCTAATTATGTGAGATAAGGTACTCTTTATTTCTGCAACGCCGATGTCAAATTTTGATGCAATGTTCACACCTTCCCGCGGAGACATCACTGCGGCGCTCAGTCTGAGGCTCAAGCCGTGCAGAATCATTAATTAAGAACACTGATGCATACAAGGCCTACCTTATGTGCCACAGAAACCATAGCCGGTTGGGCTTTTGGCCGCGTTCCAACATTCCATGAAGTGCTCCATTTCCCATGTTGACTCCAGTTTGTAATCAGAAAATAAGTTTCGCCAAATCGCGCAAGATTAGCATTGGACGAACCCAGATGACGGCTAATATATCAACGGTATGAAATTTACGCGATTACCCGCACTGATGATACTTTCTGCTCCTCAAAAATTTCGACGTAAAAGGTGTTTCATTGCCAGTTACTCATCCTGTAAGGATTGTTGGGCCCACATCTCAGGATACTTTCTAACCCTCGGCGGTAGCAAGTACCGAAAGAGCGATACCCAATTGTTTGGATATAGGAACTCTCAATTTAAACAATAATTGAGAACCAGCCTCAAGGAATGCATCGCCTGGAGAGGTGGTCCCGTTCAATGCTGCCTCCCCAAACCATAGAACCAGTGCCGCGTAATAAATACATAGAGGCAGATGGGGCGCTTGAGTGTGCTCTGGTAGATTTTCTTCGGATGAGGTACGACGATGGGTAGGTACTATATCTTCTCGCGCAAGCTGAAGGATCGTCTTTGCATGCCAACGTGCTATTTCAAAATGGCGACTGTGTCTCCAGGATTGAATCAAGCCTGCACCGGTTTGCCTTAATGAAGATACAGCAGAGTTTCCAGCCCATTGAGTGATAAGTTGAAGGCGCTTTAAATCGGTGTGAAGTGATACCTGCGCAAGGTGGAATAGGAGCAGTTGGGTTAGATCTAGAGATCCAGATGCTTTTGCAACGACTTTTGACCTTATCCACTGGTCAAGTGCAAGCTCGATTAATTCTGGTCTCCACGAAGGGGATCGTGATGAGCTGCCTAAATTGTGCAAGCTCGTCATCCAGACGTGGCATATTATTGTTGCCAGTTGGTGAAGCGTTGCTGCTGCCGGATCCGAGGAACTGCCAGGGCTAGGTATTATAGCCAAAACTCTATCCATATTGCCAGAATTGGGCGTGTCGTCAGATATGTAAGAGTCAAGCGGGGACTCTACTGGTAACGATGGTGGCCGTTGTAGCAACAATACTCTATAACTGTCCAACACAACGATCGCCTCTGAGAGTAATCTGGCTTGCTGAGATTGGGCGGCGGAGGCATCGGTAGGTAATGAGTCCATGCAAAAGTTGGCTATGTGAAACATGTTTGCGTGAAAAGCCTCATAGAGCTCAAAAGCTCTTCTGTTGCCGCTGCAGAGACCGTAAATTTCAAGTAAAATGAATGTCTTGGCAAAACTCAGCAACTCATCAAATGATTCTGACCTATTTTGCAGATATTCATTGAGAAGAAGCCGTCTAGAGTCATGGTATAACTTTTTCGCGACATCTATGGCACCAGGCGTGGCACAATAAAGCCCACCTACAGCAGCCATCGCAAGGAAAAGCTCTGTTCTAGTGCCTCGTTTTGCTTCAAAATCGGAGAATATGGCAAAACTGGCCGAAATGTGTCTTTTGGCCAGGTTCAGAAGTACGTTGATGACGTCTTCGTCATAAATGTTTAACTGTGGCGAGGTCGAATACCACCGCCATTTCTCTTCTTCAGGGAAAGAAGAGTTTCCTTCCGACGGTGTGTGCAAGTGACTTCTCATTGCATCTAGAGCGGTCTTCACCGAATGGTTGCTTGTGTCCATCAGGTCTGAAGTACTGATTGCCCAGATTTCATCCATTGGAGGGAAGTCGTCAAGCCCGTCCAGCCAGTTCCCGAGATACTGGGAAACGGTCAGCATACATTCGACGCTGGGGCATATATACGTGACGAACTGGTTGGTTGAGCAAGTCCTGCATCAAATCCAAGTTCTCCATGATTCCTTCCGTTTGCACAACGTCGCCTGGAAGGCCAAGTTCGACCCAAGGCTCGTTCGCGTTCCCTGAGCCAACCCACTCGTCGGCGGGTGAGGCTGGTACTTCGGAAGCGCGGCAAGAAATGTCCATGCTCGATTGGGAAAACAAAACATTTCCTGGTTCTCTGGATCTGAGCGGCGACTCAACTGAAGACATTCCAAGGTCGCTTGCTGTCTGTGGCGCAGGAGTTGGAGTCATTCTCTGTTCAGATGTCGTGAAATCACCAACAGGTACGGCATTCGAAGAAGTTAGCTCTTTGTTCCGAGGCCTACCAGGAGGTCTACTTGAGCTCGAAATTGTGCACCTTAGTGACTTGGCGTGGCAAGACTCGCAGGGTAGGGTGTTATTGCATTTCAACTTGCGTTTTCGACAATTGTCACAAGCCAGTCGCGACCTTTGTGTTTCCCTATTCTTCGGAATCTGCTGCACTGGAATTTGAAGCAGGGACTCTGTCCGTACGTCGTCTTCTGAATGGAATCTTCTCATATGCCTCGCCTGGACATCTCTGCGAGGGAATCCAATATTACACTGGGCGCATTGAAACGGTCGTTCACCACTATCTGACAAAGTTGTTAGCCTCAACAGCACCAGAAATCACAATAGACTTACTCACGAATTCTTTGATGACGAATTAGATGTTCATTTCGAGCAAAGGATCGCCCGCATATTTCGCACTATGTGCCGATTAGTTGCAGTGAAGCCACATCGGGAGTCGACAACCACCTACTGCTCGGTCTGGGAGACGCTGCTGCTCTATCGACATGATCTCGGTAAGAATGGCGCTGAGCTATGTGGAAAACTGCCTTTATGAAGTATTTTGCGGAGACAAGGATGTCTTCCTACCTCGGCGTCTCCACCTCGGGAATTATGAGTAAGCGAGTTGGGGTATTTCACCGAACACGTCATTGCTTGATGTATAACTTCATCCTTCGACACAGATCAAATCTCTGAGGCATGAACGTCAACTCACACAGCTCACACTGGCCAGTACAGTATAATCCGTCCCACCAAGATGTCACGTCAGCAGCCGAGCTCCCCAACCCAAGTCTTCTTTTGGACTTCAAAAAGGCCCTTATGTCAAGTGAAGATTCAGCCAGATGCGAAAAGTTGTTGCACGTGGACTTTAAGACTTGGGTAACTGGTATCCTGTCATTCTTGAACCTATTCGTTTCTAACGTCAGTTAAAAAGCATCCAGCGCCAGGGTTCACGTATCCCCTAGCACTCTTAGGCAATTTCCCACCACTTCCAAGTGATGACCGCATGACCCAACTGGCTCGAATCTTTTTGGAACGGTCTTCGAAACATATCTTCTTTGATCATCTTCCAAGGTTTGAATCATCTCGCGAAGCTGTTCATCCTCCACTACGTCTTGGAATGGCTTGTCTTGCGTCAATTATAGAGCGCGGTCCAGTTGAAGAACCTTATAATTTATTTTCAGCGGGCGCAAACCTCTGGGCCGTTATGGTGGAAATGGATAATACATTAGCCCGTTCTGTTGAAATGCTTTTAGCGGTATGTCACTCCATTCAAAGGCCGAATAGCGTTATTAATCTTCCTAAAGGCTGTCCTACTCATTCCTTACGGTGTTCTGGCGGACACGAAATCTCATAGAAGGATGACATCTCTCGTGTTGTGTTCAGCTTTAACAGTAAGTCATTTCATTCTTGATACATTTTTACTCATTCTGTTTGAAGATCGCTCGTCGTTTACGATTACACGACCACTCGCATCTGAGGCCTGAGTTTATCCAGCGAGTAGGATCACACGGGTATGTTTACTCATCGGATATGGCCATAGGTGAATTGAGACATCACACACTAACGTCGCGGCAGGGAAATATCATTTATCTGGTTGCTTTGGCTATGGGACGTTCTCTTTGCACTCCGTTCAGGGGCTTCATTGAACTTTGCCTCTCACGAGGTCTTGTCATTCATGCCCTCTACAACAATTTCGTTCCAAGATGTGTATCAGGATCTTCTTCATGAACCGGTCGAGCACAAACAGTCTCTGCTGTCTATCATAAATAGCTATTCGCGGGAACAAGCTGTTTTGTTACTCCTTGCTATTCTCTCCGACTCCATTACAATTCGGCGGTCTCTTGGTCAAGCCATCAACTCTGACAACCCCGCACAGATGGCTGCATCTAAGCACAATCCTTTCGTTCCGTTCTCCACGGAGACGGAGCTTCTTCGTGTGCAGAGCCAGCTTTTGATAGCATTGGATCGATGGCGCAGTAAATTCGAAGACACAATGAGCCCTGATATAATCGCACTCTATCACTATTGCAAGCTTTATCTTGCATGCCCCGTGATCTCCATATTGCCGAAACTTGCTCAATATTCACCTTCTTTTCAAAGTGAAATTCTATTTCCTCGGCATCATTCCAATGATATCATTATTTCGGCCGAATCAGTGAGACATGCATGGGCTTTGCTCGATATGGCGGCCATGTGCTCGAAGTCCGATGATGCAATTTGTTCGGCTTGGATGCCGATTGTTGTATTCCATGCTTCCATGGTGGTGTGGGCGGACATTAGTCTCAGCGAATCTGCTGAGAGAGAAAGAAATCCCAGCACAAGGGCATTAATAGCGTTCAAAGTCGAGCTTCAGGGGATGCCTTGGCCTTGTTGTAAAGTAATGACTGCGACTCTGGATAGGCTTATCTCCGGTAGGACAAAATAATGTGAGCATTTAATAATATATTGTCATGAAATTAATTTTTGTTTTTCTCCAATGGAAACACCCTACGAAGCAGGTCCAAACTTCAAATGGTATTGGGAGATTGGCGTAGCTTTTGACGACCTACTGAAACTTGTTGTATGTGAAGCTGCTCGCAAAAATCGAGATTGAAGCTGAGAAGAGACGAATGGACTAACAACATTTACGTAAACTTGATACAGATTGGGATGCAGGCAATAATATATGCACTCTCATTCACTTGCAATGGTAGGCAAGAAATTCAGGGCATGAAAAGTAGAACAGGAAAAACAAATTTGACTAGAAGAGTAACAGAAAATAATACCAATACCGGAAGCCGCACCCGGATGAATATCCCCCCTAGAATTCATTCAATTCTGAATGTATCTTGGAGGTCGGAGATGCCCTCACCTTCCACAACAACTCCCTCGACGAATTCAATGACTGGCAACTCCTCTAGTCTCTTGACAATATGGTGCATAGTTGGCAGTGCCTCCCAGTCCAACGAGTTAAAACTGATAGCGCCTTTGGTGGCTCGCAAACATTTTCCAATCTGCAAGAGGGCTTTGGGTGTATAGACAGAGTAATCCGCATCGGCGACTCCCTTCATTCCCGTCGCAGGAATATACTTGTGAACGAAAATGCCCTCCTCATCTTCGAGGGGCCCGTCATCCACAGGATATAATCCACTGAGCTCAAATGTAGCAAAACTTGCACCACGCCAATTAGCGTTCATGGAGAATGAGTTGGATGTACGTTTAACATCAATCTCTGCAAAGATTTTGGGCCACCCAAGCTCTTCCCTCCCGGTAAGGATTGGATCTGCAAGGTTTTCAAAGACCACGGGCAGAAAAGTGCCATTGAGGACTGTCCCATCCTGCTTAATGTATTGAACACCATGTAGACCTAGGGATAGAAAATCATAGCCTCTTCCTCCAAGCCAACTCAGGTTTTCGTATGCAGTGTGAGATAACGAAGCATATGCGACAGTGTCAACTGACCGGAAGCGATAGGATTGAGTAGGGAAAAAATTTTGAAGGAGCGTGCGCGATGTTTTGAATTTGAAAGTGGTCGTGACATAGCGAACGCTTCGGGTATCGTGGCGCTGACCTAAGAAGTCTTGTCGTGGCCCTGGAGATGGCCCAAAAGACACCGGCATGCGCCAGAACTGCGCGGGACTTCGCTTATGCATCCACTGCCGCAGGCAGCGGACTGAGTTGTGATGCTCGTCATGTGCCACATTGAAAACAAAATGCTCCATGACTTTCTCCAAGTTGTTGCTAGAGTCAGCCCGAACATCTTCTCCTGAAAGCCTGGTAAGAGATTGGACTTTCTCTGCCCGCTCCTTTCTGATCTCTTGATAAAGCTGAAGCCTGGCTGGTACATCATATCGCTTAGTACCTATGGGTAAAAGGACACCTAAGCACACGGCATCCTCAATGGCCTGAGCGCCCCCTTGGCCTTGGTGAGGTAGGAATGGATGCGCGGCATCCCCTAGTAAGGCGAAATGTCCTTTTGTCCAGCACGATATTTTGCCCATATCCATTAGTCTCCATACCTTCAGGGTGGCAGGGTCAGCCATCTTCAAAAGCTCCAGGACTCGGCTGTCAAACCCCTCAAATGCCTTAAGCAAATCTACCTGATGTCCCAAATCATCCCATGCGCCACTTACAGGATCAGGGTTTTGGTCAGGATATATACATACAAAGTTGAAGACGTCGCCCTTCCGCGTGGGATACATAATTATGCGCCTGCGTTTTTATCAGTTGACCGATAGCTTCCATGAGCAGCAGGGGTTGCAAACCTATCCGTTCCAAACCAAAACGCCAGATTCCCTTCCGTCTTGACAATATTGCGGAGTTTAGGGTTCTGCCACACGTCCTTCTTTTTCAAGAGGAATCTATAAGCACTCTTTCCGGAAGGGAAAGGTCGTTCCTCAGTGAGACCAACGCGGCTTCTCGACTGTGTCAGTGTCAAAAGATGTCCGAATTTTTGCAGAAAAGGCATTACTTACGTGGATCCCGTCTGCACCTATAACCACATCTCCGCTCACAGTAGTACCATCTTCTAGAGTGATAGTGGCGCTCTCCATATCCACATTGATGACCATCGAGGAAGTGTGGATTTTGGCCGGGTTTCCTACCCCCTGGTGGCATCCCGCAGCTTCTTTCAACTGGCTGTGAAGGTCGACTCTGTGCGCGAGAAGCCAAGACTGTAATATATCAGTTTCGAGCAAAGCGTAGATGTGGTCGCTACTTACATGCTGCCAACCCTTGTTCCGAGTGGCAAAGTCCGTGACCTTCATGTGAACCCCGGACTTATCGTATTCTGTTATCTTTTTCTCCAATCAGACTAAGGTCAGAAATCATATTGGATAATTCATACGTATCTCATCTCCACGGCACCGTCTTTAGCTGGGTCAACACCCAAATGCAGCAGTACACCATAGGCATTGGGTGGAACATTGATAGCAGCTCCAAGCTCGCTAATAAATCGCGATTTCTCGAAGACCTAGACGCACTTAGTCATGCCATCATACAAAAGATAATTAGGAACATACGTGGACATCATGTCCTTGCCGACGCAATGCTATGGCAGCGGCAAGTCCTCCCAACCCAGCACCAACGATAAGAACCTTCAGAGGCCCGGCTTCAACTGCTTCAATAACCATCATGAGAAATGCTGTAGATAAAATAGCTGCGGCAGAGCTGAGAGTCACGATAAGGCCCTTTAAATGGGATTTGTTGGGCCTTAAATTGCATGGACTCCGCAACAGTACGTTTCTACCATGACTTTTGTGTCTGGCTGCCCAGTTTCTCCAGACCGGCTTTTAGTGGGGTCATTTTGTCTTTATTCATAATAATGTCCCGGGTAAAAGTGAATAGTAAATGTCCAAAAAGAATCTCACACATTTCCCCACCTGTCTCCGTAACTTACCCGATCCTCCTCCGCTTTCAGATCACTTTTTGTCCAGAAGCATGACTATCTCAATATCTTGTGAGAACAAGAAGTAGCTATACTGGGAACGCTTGGATTGACAAACAAACACTGTGCAAGCAACTCAATATCTTGGGAACGGTAACTAGTGAATGACACTGCTAACCAAGATCCATCCTTGCAACACCAATACGCTAATAACAAAATATCCGGTGTGGAGACGAAGGGGTAACCCCAGGGGGAGTGGAATGTGGAGAGAGAAGAACACCTGGAAGATTTGTGGAGTCGAAGGCTCTGTCCGGGCTTACGCCTTTTAAGATGATAAGATGGCGCCATTATGTGTTCAAAAGCTAAGCAAGTATTTTCACATCAATCCTTCACCGTGTTCCTTTTGACTCCTTCCTAAAATCTCCACACGGCGAACCATGACGAAACAAGTCCAAGACATTTACCGAAAAGACGAAACGTCATTTGATTACATATACGAAGAAAATTCGACGATTGAGCTGAAGGACAATAAGGGCCTAGTGAGATGCAATATTTACCGGCCAAAGGGCCCAAGTGGCGCAACCTACCCTGTGCTGGTTACATACGGGCCATATGGCAAAGACATTCACTATTCACAGTATTATACAACGGCCCATTTCTCCAGGTCTGGTTACTGATGAAATTTTCAGGTTCCATGCTGAATCGTACAAAGATGTGGACGAAGAGCACCATTCACCCCACTCTGCGTGGGAAACTCCGGATCCTGGATTTTGGACTCGAAATGGATATGCAGTGGTACGAGCTGACGAGCTGGGCTTGGGCCAGTCTCCGGGTATCCTGGACACCATGTCTGGCAACACCAGTCGCGCTTTCTTCGACGTAATTGAATGGGCAGCTCGTCAACTGTGGTCAAGTGGAAAGGTCGGATTGCTTGGGATCAGCTACTACGCAGGCAGCCAATGGCGTGTTGCAGCACTAAGACCAAAGGGCTTGGCCTGTATCGTACCATGGGAGGGGATGTCCGATTACTATCGCGATAGATGCCGACATGGTGGTATCCTATCCAACTCCTTCATCGAATTTTGGTGGAACCGCCAGGTAAGTCAAATCTCAGGTTTTCGTGCTTGTGAATTGAGTGGTCCTGACCCTATCTTTATCCAGGTCATTACTAATCAGTATGGTCGCCCTGGAAGAGCGGCGCGGAATTGGGGTCCTGATACCATTGAGGGCGACTTGTCTCCGGGGGAGCTGCAACAGAATTGTAGAGACCAGACAGTGGACAATACTGAAGCTAGCTTCATGGATGACGAGTACTATGCTTCGCGGGAGTACAATATGCAGGATATTCAAGTCCCGTTCCTTTCCGTGGCAAATTGGGGTGGTATCCTTCTGCACCTGAGGGGAAATGTGGAGGGCTTTATCAATGCCGGGTCGCAGCTCAAATACCTTCGATTCGTCACCGGTCGGCATGATCTTCCATTTTATACCAAGGAAGGCGTTGAAATGCAAAAAAGCTTCCTCGATGCCTTCCTTAAGGGGGAAGACAATGCCGGATGGTCAACTGGAAAGGCGCCGAAAGTTGGTCTCGTTTTGCGCAAAGGTGACATTGGGTACAATAACGCGGAATCAGAGGAACTATACCCCAAGCGTTTTGAAACGGATTGGCCCATTCCGGACACGAAATATACCAAGTTCTACTTGACATCGGACCGCAAATGGATTGGCACTGGTCCCTGCCCGAAGACCGAGCATAGGACCCAAGTTTCATACAATGCCCTCGGGAACCTCAAGGCGCAGCATCTCGTTCAGTTTACTACGAGTGCTTTCACTTCAGAAGTTGAGTTTACCGGCCATGTCATGGCTCACCTCAACATTTCGGCGAGCAAGAATAGTCGTTCGTCTAAGTCTGGCCCCAGCGACATAGATCTGTTTCTCACAATTCGACACCTTGACTCGAAAGGCAAGGAGATCTTGTATACGGGCACTGTGGGCGACCCTGTCCCCATCACCAAAGGTTGGCTTCGTGCTAGTCTTCGAATGGTTAACGAGCAAAGTCCTCGCAGCAAACCGTGGTATCCTCACCGAGAGTACCTTTCTACTGAGGAAGCGCCCATTGTTCCCGGAGAGGTTTATCCGGTCGATATTGAAATCTGGCCAACGAACATTGTGGTTCAATGTGGTGAAAAATTGGTGTTTGAAGTCTCCTCTGGAGACACACAGGGTGCAGGCCTTTTCGAGCACACCTCCGCAGCAGATCGATCAGAGAAAAAGCTTCAGGGGATCAATTCCATCGAGTTTGGTCCAGGTCTGGAAAATTGGGTTCTAATGCCTTTGATACCCCCAAGAAAATAAATTTTCTGCTATTTGTGCTCATCAATCAACAAATCAAGTCATTTCAGTATCTGCAAACAGGATTCCCATCTTTCTGATAAAAATGCCATATTTGCCCAGCCCAGCCCGGGCGCCCTTTAGGAAGAATAGATATGCCCTATGAAGCTGTAGATTGAATATAATACGTATCGTTGAGTTTCTGAATATCAAGCGCCTTCTTTTTAAAAGATCTTAGGCCAATGCAGTATAAGTGAATTCAAGATGATATCTGTCTACAAGTGCCTACCCAAGGTTTTGGGAATCAGGCTATGACGGTGCGCTCGTGTCCATGGACTTGAGATCCCAAGTGGAAATAAAGCATGGCAATGGATATTAAAGGGCTGAAGTAATACCCATAAGATGATACTAATGAAGCAAGCGCCCATGTGATTTAGCATTTCGTGAGTCGTACAATAATCAACTAACACGAAAGATTAGGACTAGTACACAGTACGGGAATTTTCCTTCCTCCACATCTACCCCACCAGTTATCCGGATGATGTAAGAGATGGATGGAGCTATACCGTGAACGGCGGGTCCGTTGTCTCCAGTAGCAAGGTATCTGTTTCTCGGACTCAGTATTCGGCAACGAAAAGAATCTCGTATCCCTGGTCCTGTGGATCAGCGCTCGTGTTACCCCACATTGTGCTCCATGGCCCGAAGGAATATCCCGATTGACGACAGTATTTGAAGCACTATCAACCCATAACATGTCTGATCTGATATATCATTCCCCCTGCAAAACATTTACCAAATACCCTTCAAGTCACCTGCAACGATTTTTCGCAAACCATGATCGGCCAAGGCAAGATTCGGCTAGCACGTCTGGCGTATGTCCATTATGAGCATCAGGATCTTGAAAAATTCAAGCAGTTCGCTGGGGACTTTGGCCTGATCGAAGCACAATCTACGAACGATGTAGTTTACTACCGTGGATATGGGCAAGATCCATTCGCCTACATCGGTAGTCGTTCTAAGGATGGAGCCCCCAATGCTTTCAAGGGAGCTGGTTTTGTTGCCAAAACCCGTCAAGACTACGACAATGCTTGTGCGCTTCCTGGCGCTACCATTCGCAATGCTTCTGAGAGACCTGGCGGAGGCCATTTGGTCGTTGTTAAAGACCCAAACGGGTACGAAATGGAGGTTTGCTGGGGACAGACTGAAAATTCGGTGGCTTCTTGCCCCTTGTCGTCCGCCATTGGAGAACCAGCCCCAATGAATGGATCCTTTGACAAACCTAGGAAGGGTACATGATTCTGGTCCATTTAACGAAATATTACTGACGTTATATAGGCCAATTCATGCGATTTGCCCATGGCCCTGCAATGGTACATAAGCTCGGTCATTTTGGCTACATGACCGACAATTACGAGGAAACATGTGCCTGGTACTCTGAGTTGTTCAATTTCATCCCCACTGATATCCTTCTCTCGCCGGAGGACAAGAGTTTGGAAGTGGCGACTTTCTTCCGTCTCGACGTGGGCAAAGAATATGTCGACCACCATTGTCTGCTGCTGACGCGCGAAACTGGAGGCGGCACAAAGATACACCACTCTTCCTTTGAGGTAGAAGACATTGATACTCAAATTCTTGGGCATTACTGGCTTGGTGACCAGGGCTACAAGTCTCTCTGGGGGGTGGGTCGTCACACACATGGGTCCCAAATTTTCGATTATTGGAGAGACACCAGTAATTTTATAGTGGAGCACTACGCAGATGGAGATGTTGTTAATGACGAACTACCTGTGGATTATGCCGTGGCTGGCAATATGGCAGTCTGGGGTCCAGAGCCACCGAAGGAGTTCACAGCAAAGGCCAGCGCTTGATTGCTGGAGTCATGTCATGCTACTGTAGAAGTGAAGTTTATAGGGGATTTTGAATCAGCCAAATACTTTTCCTATACAAGGAGACATGATCAAAGTTTTAAGCAGCCTAAAGGGTTGATCATGTGTATCTATCAAAGATATAAACACTATATAGCAGCTCCATATAACTGATTTACTTCCAGATATAGCATTATTGGTCTTCAATATAGTAGTATTGAAATACAAACAGGATGGCCCCAGCAAGACCCACAACTGTGTTAGTGCATTATGCCTCGCACACATACAAGTCCTAGTCCAAATTTAGCGGCGCTTCCAGAAAACAGCCATGATATCTATTTCCCTCATTTTCCGGCAAGAAATGGCCTCCGACCTCTTTGCAGCGAGGAAATCCAGGCCACATCTTGAAGAAGCGGACTATATAAAAGCCAATCTCCCAATTTCATCGGCAAACAGGCTCTTTCATCAAAAAAAGTCTCATAGAAGATCACAGACCCGTCCACCTTAGGCCCCGGGACTTCTTGTAGGGCGTCGTACGCCAGATCAGAGAAGAAAAGACTAGACTGAAATATTGCGCCACTTATCACACCTGCAACAGGTGCCTATGGTAATGGGCATTGATCATGTCTTTTTTTTATTCTTTCGCTTCTCCATTCGTATCTTCGTTTGCAATCTCGGGTATCGGGATTGGCCCTCCTGGAGAGTTCTTCAGTCTCCCCGTCAAAACCTCCACACCTGTTTCTGTGACAAGCACAGTGTGTTCTAGCAATTCTCAAGTTAGTATCGAGACCCTGCAACTGGGCGCTGGAAAGTCTGAGCCTACCGAATTGTGCTGTCCGTTTGCCGTCCACTGTGACATTTGTCCAGTCATCTGGCCAGTAAACCTCTCGGTTCCTACCCAAAGCCAGGATCGGTTCAATCGTGAATGTCATCCCAGCTTTACATGTTCCCACAGCCTTGTTCTTCGCGTAGTGGGGGATCCAAGGAGGAGGGTGGAATTCCGAGTTAATACCATGACCGCCCCAGGTCTTCATGACGCCAAGGCCCCTGGAGGCTGCGTGCTTCTCAATAATCTTGCCAAATTCTCGAATCGGTACACCTGGCTTGATTATCTCGATAGCCATGTCCAAAGCCTGCCGTGTCGTTTCAATGAGTCTGATGGAGTCCGGGTCGGCTTTGGCCTTGTCACCAATGTAGTAGGTCTCGTTCAGGTCGGCGTGATATCCGCCGTGGTACAAAGAAATATCGAGGTTGAGGATGTCACCATCAAGAAGAACTCGCTGGTCGGGGATGCCGTGGCATACAACCTCATTCGGAGAGGTACACAATGACTTAGGAAAGTGGTTGTAATTGAGTGGGGAAGGATATGACTGCGTCACGGTTAGCCAAGCAACTTAGCATCCTTGACACAGGACTGAACCCCGCTCACCTCTCGCTCAACGCAAGCGTTGTGGCAGATTTCATCCAGATAATCTGTAGTCACACCGGGCTTCATCGCCGCAGCGGTTATGTCGAGTACCTCTCGAGCCAATCTGCACACCTTGCGCATGGCCTCCTGGCCCGTTGCATCTAAGATGTCCCACTTTGACTTGCTCAAGCGCATCTCACGCTTCGGGATGCCAGTCTCGGCCCAGTCGGGATGCTTGATCGATTTGGGTACAGGCCGTCGCGGGGAAAGTGGGTATACGGGTCTAACGGAGCCCGTGTATGGGTATGTGGGAAATGGGTTATAAGGTCCGCTTGCTGTATCGCAATTAGAAAATCAATTCATGGGTCACTGGTGCGTGCCGGCAGGACGAGGTGATTACCATTTTGTGTCTTGTGTATCGTTTTGTGTGTGGGCTGGATGGAATCAACGTTAGATTCCCGGCTCTAAGAAATTTCCGCGTGGATATAACCTGCCCAGTTCCTCTTGAAGCAGTCTTGAGAGCAGAAGTAACTGCTCTTGACGCTCAGCTTCAGACAAGTTGGGCATTGCAAGGTCCCAGCTTCATTGTCGCAATCGGCCCCAGAGCACTTGTTCTCGACATTAGACATCGTCGCGGGGCTTTGAGGCTCGTCCCCTGATGAGTCGCAGGAGAAGAGTTGGTTGTGAGTGTGAGTTTTCAGATTGTAGCTAGCTCATTGCACTTTTCCCAATGAAACTCACTGCGGGCCTGATCCGCTTTCACGTGATCATTGCCTGTGACCCACTTTTTCTAATTATATCATTAGCTCTAAATCCATTCCTGAGTACTTCTCCGTCTGATAGGTGGTTTAAATTATTCAAAGCATGTACCTTAAGTTGAAAGGTCCACTGGGGTGTTGTGATATCCGCTAGTGCGCCTGGCATAGCCGGCCTCAGATCTCAACTCGCCCATTCTACAGTCTTCTGATTCAATATATATAAACACCGACGCGATTAAAGCAACATATGCTAGGTGATAACAATGAGACTGTTTGATGTTAATCAGAATGCACTTTCACATTAGCTGTGCCTAGTCGTATAGATATTGATTTCTCTGCTGTTTCCATCATGCGCTTAGCTTCGAGGGATATCCCAGAGACCTACGCTATCTTGACGAAGCAAAAGAGAGAAAGTTTCAATGTCCACTTTAGTCAGACAAACTGCTTGCTCGCGTAGGGAACACGTTCGCCATGTACAGCGGTGATTGTCGCTTCAGTGTGCTAATGCTGGTAACAGATTTTGTTGCGCGGCAGAATATCAACCATAAGGATTGTGTATCCTAATTAGCGATTTTACTGCAACTTCAAAGGGCCTTCCAACGTAATCTAAATATCGTATTAATTTGCAGCTGTTTTTGAAATTAAATCAAGCATTTTCATCGACTTGTCACCGCTGCCTGATCGGTATCTTGGCATTCAGTCAAACCCGATCAACACATTCTACGCATTAACTTTTCGAGATGGCAGCGCCCTCATTTTGATATAGAGACAGACCCATCATCCTTCAATAAATTAGACTATATCCAGAACATTGTCAAGTGAAGTTCAAAAGGCGATAATGAAGATGAAGACCTTTGAGATGCGAAAACGGATCAGGCACCTCAGGAAGGCAGGAAGATTAGGGTACCCCGCATTGGAGACACCATATCCCTAGACCATTACGTCAAACCCATATCCATTCCATTCAATCCCTCTACATCTATCTGATCACACCAGATGTCTCCTAGAACGATATACTTGATAAGCTCCCGAAATACCGAAGCGCAGCGGTCGCACTTTGCAATATTTGTTCCTGCTGCTGAGCAGCCCGACCGAGGATCGTTAATACAAGCCGTCGGAGCACCTATGACAGGCTATATCCTAGAGTTAAAGCGCAACTATTCACCAAAGGATGATTCTACGGAGAAGTACACGATGATTGAGATTGGCCATGTCGACTCTATAAACATAGTCGATTCTTCCTCGAAAGTGAAAGAGAGCGACGGGGTTCCGCAAGGAAATATCGAGACTGTAGCGTCTCAGATACCTACACCCGGGATCAGCGATAACTTTCTAGCACCAGTCAACGATGTGAGGATTTTTACTTGCTGGCTTGAATAAGTACTGACATGGGTGGATAGATGACCAATAAGCGATGCCAGGAATGGACGATGGAGTATATTCGGCATCTTGTCGGTAAACGCCTTATCGAGCCCGAAGCTATCCAGATAGTTCAGTCCTGGCGGGACCCTCCAACCCACGCTATCGGGTTCCAGCCCACTGTTCGACGTTGACATATCTCGGCAGTACGGGTCGATATGTTATGCTTGAGGCTATGTGGAGTACCTAGTCGGGTTAGGTTCCAGCGTGTACGGAGATCTAGTTCATTTCTTAATAGACCTGATGCCTATTCTCGATTTTTGACATTTCATCTAATTGATTCTCATTGTCGCGCGTAAGCGTCAAGCTGAAAAATCATCAAGACGCGTCGACAAAGTGACGTGACCCGTCATTTTCTTTTCCGCTGGTGTTGGTTGCGATTTAATTCATCATACCTGGCATGCAAAGTTGCAGCCCATGGTATGTCACTTGTAGCCAAGAGAAAATAAGAACCATGGAAATGTAGAAAACGTGGGCATCGTGTTCTAGACGTGACGCCACACGTGAGGTCATTCAGCCCCGCGTGTGCACGTGACCGGTACAGGGCAGAAAGCCTTGAATCAATATCCAAGACCCGACTCGGAGCTGCTCTAGACAATATAAAACGAAACTCCACTCTGACTTAGAATTTCAAGACTTTCGCCCCCAGTTTCTAAATACAGTAGGACCTTTTGCGCGGCCCATAAAACTTGATTTACACCGTTAGCGCTATGCCAAACCTTGTTCGGAGATTTTTTAGCGGGTCAACCCACGCCGCCAACGGTCGCGGATCAATGCTGCCGAGATCGAGCTACGCATATAAAGAGTCTCCTGACACCTACACATGGAGGACACGATATCGCGGAATGTTCAAAAAGATTCCTCCAATAATGATAGTATCAATCCTGCCTTGAATTGGCACCGATGATATCAGTTATCGCTTGGGATGACTTGTGTGGCTGATGGCTCCACTCTAATAGATTAAAAATGATGAATCGCCCGATCGATCATGATCTCATACGGCCGAGACTCCGGTGGCTTGTGCTGCGCTCGACCCTCTTACTCTGCTCGAGTGGTATTTGCAGGGGGGTGCCTGGTCGTTGCGATCGGGCTTACCGTTGGCCCGGTGGAAATTAGCATACTATAAGTAAAGTGGCTATATCGTCATCGGTGCCCGCCTGCAGACTGCTTGCTACCTTGGCTACCTAGGGTATTCAGGTTATTCTCCAGACCGTCTCTCCGGTGTCTGGGGAAAAAGCTAAATCACCACGCGAGAGAGAGTATAGTTGCACTGTCTAACGCCTAGCGCCTACCTGTAACGTCTGATGTAATGATGATCGCAGATATTTAGCTGTGATAGGAAGTCTCGTCAATCAGGGATTCTCAGTTGAGGCAGCGAACCAGTCAGTGAGAATGAGCACTGAGCCACAGTAACAAGGACAGGGGCTGACAGGTTGTGACAGTTTGAGCGGAGGCAAACCAAGGCGGAAAGACTGGGGCAGGGGCCCCTGGAAATGTTCCAATCTCATCATGATTGGGTTACCGTTGTTTCATCAAAAGGGCCAGACTTATTAATTTCCGTGGTTCCCATGGCTTCCAACTTGCCGACCAGTCACTGACATTGAAGATGAATTCTCTTGCTGTGGCAATATGACAGGTTTTTGGAACGGCTTAAGGTACGCGTGTACAATAAAACCTGAATATTTGGCAGTTAGCTCCCCATGAAAATGCCAGAATGTAACATTTATTAAATTCTAATCTACATAGTCTCTACGTGTCGAACAATTTACATCGTAGTACAGAAACACGGGGCAGATCCTACGCAAGAATCCCAATCAGGCAAATAACGCAGACTGGTGCCCCCAAAAAAGAGTGGTACAGCAACAGAGCATCCGCGTCATGTTATACTCCATAGCACCACGTTGTACTCCACCTCCACCATGCTGCCACACCCGGATTTAGCCACAGCCCCATTCTGACACCCTGATTCGCGCTAGCCTACGCTACTTACCCGTATCGGCCCCAAGCGCGTCTCCATTCACCTGCACAGCTGATGGACCCGCTATTATGATGCCAACGATGATAGCAATGGCCACCCTGTGGCTTTGTGGCCACCCCTCACGCAGCTCTGAACCGTGCACCCTGCAGACGATGGATCCATCAACCGCCATCAACCGGGATTGGAGCAGGAGATGAAGCTAGCGATGATATCAATTGCTCATGACGTAGTAGGCTCTAGTCGCTGTGCCTGGTACCAAGGTGCTATGTACATTGTTACTGTGGCTTTGCAGGTTTGCTATGATATCAGAACCCCTGGGAGTTCATTTAAACAGTCGATTTTCTCTCGTGGACTATAATTCCATCAACTACTACTCTCTATTCCCAAAAGAACTTTGCATTAGTCTTGAACCTTACCTTCGGCCTAATTGTACATTATCTGTTACCCTGCCGAAGACTTACTCATATTGATACTTCACGACTTTTACGACGTCACTGTACCTGACACGACTGCTGAACGTTGATATCGAATATCACGAAAGATTTCTATACACATTGGAAATCTAAGACACACACACTTCTTATCCGATCTGCAAACTACACACCGGACTCCGATTTGAAAAACACATACGATCATGTCTTCCCCCGCTGTGAGCAAAGCTCCCCCCAAGCTCGGCTCGAAAGCTGGCACCCCTGCCAAGCTCCGCAAGGGCTCTGGATCCAGCGCCGCATCCAAGCCCTCCAGTGTCGCCGATAGCCCCAAGTCCTTGAAGAAGACCCCCGCGAAGAAGCTCACCCCTAAGGCCCCTAAGCCTATGGACGACGACGAAGATGAGCAATCCATCCCTGAGACGCCCTCTCCCAAGTCCAAGAAGAAGACCGCTCCTTCTGAGCAGCGCCGACCTATGTCTCCCGACGATGCCGCTTCTCAGGCTTCTGGCTCCGCTGCCCCTCTCGGTAAGGCTAAGGGATCCGCTGGAAAGCTTACAGATGGTGTCAACCAAAACGCGGAGACTCAAAAGAACAACCTCCCCAGCATTCCTTTGGACTTGGCCTCTTTGAAGGGTCTTGTTGTTGCCGATGATGGCCAGGTCCTCGGTAAAGAGGGCCAACCCATCGGAAAGGTTGTTGAAGGTGATCCCGAAGATCTCGCTGGCCAGACTGTTGGCGATGACGGAGAGATTGTCGACGAGGATGGAGACCTGATTGGTCGCGTGGACATTCTCCACGACGTCGCTGAGCAGGCTCAGAACCTCCCCGAAGACGCGCAGTCCAAGGCCGATGGGTCCCCGGAGGATGTACAGGCTAAGATCGGCGAGTTGCAAGAAAAGGTTGCCACTGACCTTGCTCAGCTCGAAGGCTTGACTGTCTCCGACGGTGGTGTTATCAAGAACACTGCTGGTCAGGTTGTTGGTAAGATCACCGATGGAAACCCCGAAGATCTCATTGGATACACTCTCAATGACGATGGTGAGATTGTTGATGATGAGGGCGACGCCATCGGTCGCGTTGAGCTTGTTCCTGTCGAGGAGCAGAAGAAGGCTATTGATGAGGCTCTTGGCGGTGGTGCTGAGCTGGTCAACGGCGTCAAGGAGGATGCCGAGGATAACTTCGAAGATGCCGAGGACAACCTTGACGTCGATGAGGCCAAAGACGCTGAGGATGCCGCCGACGTCGACGTTGACGATGCTGCTGATGAGGCTGGCGACGCAGTCGACAAGATTCAGGAAGATGCTCCCGATGTCGATGCCAAGGATGCTTCCGAGGATGCCGTCGATCAGGCTGAAGACGCCGCCGGTGAGGCTGGCGATGCTGCTGATGAGGCTAAGGAGGATGCCCCCGACGTTGATGCCGAAGACGCCGCCGAAGACGCCCAGGGCACTGCCGAGGACGCCGCCGAAGATGCCCAGGACACTGCCGAAGATGCTGCCGAAGATGCCGCCGAAGACGCTGAGGTCCGCATTCCTGACATCAACACTCTCGAGGGTCTCACCTGCAACAAGCGTGGATATGTCATCGACCAGGAAACCGGCAAGCCTGTCGGCGAGCTCATCGAAGGTGACCCCAAGAAGATCTCCCGCCTTGGAGCTACCCTTGATGATAAGGGACAGTTCTGGGACAACAAGGGTAACGTTCTTGGCAAGGTCAAGGCACTCCCCATCGAAGACGGCAAGGATGAAGAGGGACCTTTCACCGGTCTCGAAGGCCTCGTCGTCGCTCAGGACGGCTGGGTCGAGGACGAGAACGGCACCCGCGTGGGCCAGCTCGTTGAAGGTGATGCCAAGAAGCTCCTCGGTCGCGGCGTGGATGAGGATGGCGAAATCCTCGACCGTCACGGCAGTGTTATCGGTCGTGCCGAGCGCTACGAGGAGCCTGAGCCTGAGGCGGAAGAGGAGGAGGCTGGTCCTGATCTCTCTGCTCTGAACGGTCTCTCCTGCAACAAGGCTGGCTATGTCATCGGATCAGAGGGCTTCCCTATCGCTCGCGTTGTCGAGGGTAACCCCAAGGAGCTTGCCGGCAAGAAGATCGAGGATGGTGAGATCTATGACGGCAAGAAGGTTGTCGGCCGTGTTGAACTCATTCCCGAGGACGAGCTCGAGAGCAAGCCCGAAGGTCCGTTCGCTGGCATGGATAGCCTCTTCGTGAACAAGGATGGCTTCGTCGAGGATGACGAGGGTTCCATTGTTGGTCAGCTTGTTGAGGGTGACCCCAAGAAGCTCCGTGGTCGCGCCGTTGACGAGGATGGCGAGATCACCGACAAGTACGGCAACGTGAAGGGCCGAGCTGAGCCCTACGAGGCTCCGCAGGAAGAGGCTCCCGCCGAGACCGACCTTTCCGTTCTTGAAGGCAAGGTTGTTAACAAGTCCGGAAAGGTCGTTGACCCGGCTACTGGCGCTGTCTTCGGTCGCGTTGTCGAGGGTGGCAAAGGCCTTGCTGGTCGCAAAGTTGATGGCAAGGGCCAGATCTGGGGTGACAATGGTCAAGTCATCGGCCGTGCTGAGCTCATCCCCGGCGCTGAGGAGGAGAAGGCTGAGGGTCCCTTCTACGGCTTTGACAACGCTGTTGTCGGCAAGGATGGTAACGTCGTGTCCGGCGAACAGATCATTGGTCGTCTGATTGAAGGCGATGCTAAGCGTCTTGTTGGTCGTCCGGTTGATGAGGATGGTGACATCTCTGACAAGAATGGTAACACCATTGGCAAGGCCGAGCGCTGGGAGCCCGAGGAGAAGAAGCGTGATGTCAACCCCATGTCTGGCCGCAAGGTCAATAAGCAGGGTGAGGTTTACGATGCTGATGGCGAGCTCATTGGTAAACTGACCGATGGCAACCTCGCTACTCTCATCGGTAAGACCATTGATGACAACGGCTATGTTGTTGACAACGATGGTAACCGCATTGGCGAGTGCACTCTTCTCGAGCACATCCCCGAGCCCGAGCCCGAGGCCGAGGAGCCTGAAGAAGAGGAGGGTCCTACTCCTGAGGAGCAGCAGGCCGCCGCTAAGGCTGAACAGGACCGTCAGCTGGCTGAGCGTATGGGCCACATCCTGCGCCAGACCCTGGAGCAGGTCAAGCCTGTTTGCAAAATGATCCAAGAGGTATGTTTCGATCCGAATATTAAGAACTTTAGGAACTGCACTAACATGCACCCCAGAAACTCGCGGCTGCAGAGCGCAAGCCCAAGGAGGAGCTTGATGAGGAGAAACTCGTCAAGGATGTCAAGCCCCTCCTCGAGGAGGCAGGCCGTATGCTCCAGGAGTGTAATGGCTCGATCCGTGCCCTTGATCCCGATGGACGCATCGCCGCCACCGCTAAGGCGCGCGCCCAAACTCGCGATGCTACCCCCGAGGAGTATCAGCTCGCTGAAATGCTGAAAGAGTTGACCGAGACTGTTGTCAAGACCATTGACAACGGCAAGAAAGCCATCGCCGACATGCCCCATGCCAAGAAGAAGTTGAACCCTCTCTTCGCTCTCCTCTCCGAGCCCTTGTTCCAGATTATTGCTGCTGTTGGCTTGCTCCTCAGCGGTGTTCTTGGTCTGGTTGGTCGTCTCCTTGATGGTCTTGGTCTTGGTGGTTTGTTGAAGGGTATCCTTGGCGGCCTTGGTCTTGACAAGTTGATCGATGGCCTTGGTCTTGGTAGCTTGACTGGTGCTCTTGGACTTGGTGGAAAATAAGCAGTCGACTTGATTTATTTGACAACGCTGGCGTCGTTCAAAATGGTTGGCCTGTTGTTTTGATATTTCTGTTCGCTTCTATGCCTTTGTTTCTAGCCTCTGTATATGCGTGACTGTTTTGAATATGTTTGCTTTTTTTCATGTTTGTCTCTTCTTTTACTATCTTAGTGTACGAGATTAATAATTGATTCGACATTTTCACTTTCGAATTTTTTAAAATGAGAATTCCATTCTTAACGAGCTATTCACATCCTTCGCCATTCAATGTTCATGAAATATCCTTCCGCATAAAGATAGCCTTTGTGTCCCACTTCTTCCCATTCCTATCCGTGACATCGAAAAAGTTCTGCACAATCTTGATTCCTCTGTAACCCCGTCTACTATACCAGTCCTGGTTGACAATCTTTATCTTTTAGTATAATTCTCTTTAAAATGACCGCCACACTCTTTCTTACCTTCGGTACAGCCCCATACCTCGCCTTAGCAAACTCCTCCCTAACCTGATCGCCCCCCTCGACGGTAGATAACATCAGTGTCTTAGCCCATAGGGGCTCTTTAACAACCATAGCCTCGACTTCATCCATAGCCGCGCGCCCTGTTCCCTTGCCCTGGACAGAATGCCGAATAAAGAATGATTTGATCCAAAAGACGCCTTCAGTTGGGATGTCGAGGTCAATATGCTCCGCTTCCTTATTTTTTGATTCCAAAGAGATATGCCCAATGGGTATAAAATCTGTCTGCGAAGATTGGCGCGGTACTGCGTTGATGGATGCAGCTGTGTCTATCAGACTCTGGCTTTTCTCTTTCTCTGACTCATCGGATGGAAGGACCTGGTATTCGCTGTCAACATTTCTGATGTTCATAAATCATACTAAACCAGATAGCAGTATATAAAAAGGAACGGACAATCCAGTATATGCACTTCTCGCCTTTGAGCTGTGCATCTTCTCAAATTCCGTGGACCTTATTCAAATCCCAGGAGCATTCCACGCGCTGTTTGTACAGCCACTCCCGGTGGAGCTCTGATAGAGGATCCCAGGGAATCAAGGTCACATTCGATTTTGAGACCATTTTGAGAGTCCAAGGCAGTTGCGCGACGTGAAAAAGAGTATTCTAAGTGTCTTGGAGGGGTTTTCAGTTTCTAATCTGACTGTGTTGCGGACAGGGCGCACTATCGAGACTAAGCCATATCGAGAAGGTAGCATAGATTAGAAATCAATTGGAATGCGGGATCTGGATATCCTTAAGTTGTAGACAAGTATATCTAACAGTATGAGACCTCTGACTCGGGATGGAAATAACCTTGATCAACGAAATACTCGTAGTTCCAATAGTCAGCCTGGGTGCCCTGGCCATCGACGGTCGCATTTCCATAAAACTTCCACGTCCAGTATGCCTCCCCTTGCGTATACTTGTGGAATGCGGCAAGTCCGAAGTTGAAGTTACATTCGCGCAGCGCAAAGCTGTTGTTGTAAAGCGATTGTATTGACCATTCACCAACAAAGACAGGAAATTTGCCATCTCCTGGAGACGTTTTGGCATCCGAGAAAATATAAGATGGCTCGTTCTTGGATGTGGTTTCACGGCCAGCAAAATAGTAATTGTGAACATCAAAGGCGATGTTATCACCTCTGGAAAAATTTCCTGACCAGAACTTCTCTCCTTGGAAACAGTCCTGGAACATGATTGGGATGCGATGGTTGACAGCGGCAACGCGATCGAGAACAGCCTTGTAGTATTTCAACACCCAGCTTGCACCTGATGATGAAAGAGCTGCTGATGTACCAAATACAGACAAGTCATTATTGTCGGCTGCTTCGTTGAGAGGTTCAAAAGTGAAGTATTCAGGGTATCCGGAATTCTGGATGAACGAGAGTACCGCATCAACGACTTTCATCGAGTAGTCAAAATTTGTCTGGTTATGAAACCACCCCCAATGACCAGCAGCTTCACCGATAGTCAATCCATTGATTCCACCAGGCAAACCATGCACATCGACAACGATATGCATGCCATATCGCTTGATAGCATACGTCGCAATCTTCTTCAAATAGGTAGTCTGCTTGCCCGAGTAGAGTTCAGAACCCGGGAGCTTGATCCAAGCAGCATATGTCGTTGGGACTCTCAAAAGTGCGATTCCCGACTTGGCTGCCTTGTCAATATCGGCTGTGGTAATCCAAGTCGCGTAGCGATGCTCCAAGACTGGCCCACATTGTGATCCGAGATTCTCGCAGAGACCCCACTCGTCAGACGCGCCTCCAGAATATCTAGCCCACCAAGTAGTATCAATGGTTGATTCTTGGACGAGCCAGCCTCCCAGGTTGACGCCGTATGCTTTGAAGGTCTTCCAGTCCGTGTATTTTGATTGTTGAGCTTGGTGTGTGGGAACGGCCACGGCAGTAGATATGCCAAGCGCGGCGACAAGGAAAGACAATTTGAGAATTCCCATGGCCGACCTTTATCTTTTTAGATATCGTTTGTATGATGGATAGTCTTTTGAAAGGCTACACAAGGCTTTTATGTTAGGTTGTCTTGGCCAGTGGCGCGAAACGATGGTCCACAACAAACGGCTTTCCCGAGATCGACCATGCCAGGAAATTACAAGACTACGTTAGTGGTGTTTCATATATAAAAGTGTTGGCAACTATGGCAGTCAACTGTGGGAGTATTACAGGCCATGTGAAGTAACGGGAAATGTAGATTGTTTAGTCTGTGCTACTGCTGTCTTGCATGCATGGCATCTGCGATATCTTGAGGTCGAATCCCTCCTCAAGGAACCCACCATGTCAGCAAATGCGGCAAGGAATTTGCTCGCTAGAGAGATAGGCCGCGCAATTAAAATGCGGGGAAAATTGATGCGAACTCTGCAGGGTCCAGGTTGCGGGATGTGGGGAACGCCGAACCGCGGCAAATCTTCGGCATTTTATGTGCTTTTCGCTCTCCTGCTGCCGTTTCTGGTTTTGCAAATTTGATACTCTAGATTGGTTGTGGCGTTTTCTATCCTCGTCAAGCTTACTGTATTTGGTAAGAATGCGCAAAGCTCGGGGTTATTCATTCCGAGCAGCTCGCCGAGCTGACTCCACTCGGGATTCCCGACCTGTCGTGCGCCGTTCGATGATCGCAGGGAAACATCACACAACGATTTTGGTGTTCAAGGGGCTCTCATTCCAGATTTGGCAGTAACATAGGCCACCCTTTCTGTTCATGATGGAGTTTCTTCGGTGCGGCATTCATGGATTTCACGAGGTTCTCGGCATCGACGCCGATGAAATACGCTTCTACTGGGTCCTGGGAAACGGCCACGCCGATGCGGTCCAAATTGCACACCGAGTGATTCTCTCCACGGACTCAAAATCGCTTGAATCCGATATCTCTGAGCCATCCTCCCTCGAATGGGACTCCGGTCGCATTGAAAACAATGAGCAGAGAAACATCCTCTGCAAGCCTTCTGATGGCTTCAAGTCCACATGCAGTTACTTTTGGAAAGTGACAGTATGGGACCAGAACGACTATCCCTATTCCAGCTCAGTCCAGCACTTCTTCACGGGATATCCCCGTTCCCGACTTTTGCCTCCCTATAGCATGAACCAAACATACATGCCACATTCTAGTCTCATATTCCGCACTTGGTTTGAGGATGAGGCGAATCGGTGGAAAGCCGTTTGGATCGGCGATGGAGGGGACAAGCCTATCTATCTTCGAAAGTCTTTCAAGCTCGCAAGACCACCGACTCGAGCCATCCTGTTCGCCTCTGGCTTGGGTCACTTCAATATGAGTGTCAATGGCGACCCCGCTTCAAACCATCGACTAGACCAGGGTTGGACAAACTACCACAGACGAGTCCAGTTCACCTCTTACAATGTGACTGACAAACTTGATGCCGGAGAGAATGTCCTGGGCGCCCATGTAGGCAATGGATTCTACGCCGGTGACAAGGGAGGAGACGATCGCTTTTTCTGGCCGATGTACGAAGATAACACGTACGTCCGGTACGGAAATGAACTCTGCTTCTTCTGTGAGCTGCATCTCTTCTATGAAGATGGAATACATGAGACCATGATCTCAGACCCCACATGGTCAGTTCGGAAGAGCGCAACAACACTGGCGAATATTTATGCATCGGAGAATCACGACCGTCGTCTATACCCTGCAAACTGGGACACACCTGGTTTTGATGCCAGTAGCTGGACACCTGCAAAGCCGTTAACAGGGCCTCGGGGCCATATATTCTACCAAACTCAGCCGCCAGTTGTGCTTCATGAAACATTCGAGCCTGTCAATACATACAGCCCTAGACCTGGAGTCGTGTGTTTTGATCTTAGTCAGAACGCATCGACAATGGTGAAAATAGTCGCCGAAGGACCCGCTGGTTCCGAGATTGTTGTCCGATACTCCGAGACTGTAAGGGAAGACGGAACCGTTCTCATGCCGGACCCATTATTCAAAGAATTCGAGACTGGGGTCTTTTCCAAAATCTACCTTGCCGGTACTAACCAGCCAGAGACCTGGGAACCCGATTTCTGCTTCACCAGCGCGCGCTGGATCCAAGTGGAAGGTGTCTCGCTCAATGCAGGCGAAGGTCTCCCAGTCATCCACTCCGCCGTGGGTCGCCACATTTCTTCCGCAGCCAGGAGACTCGGCACCATGAAGACAGACAGAGAAGACGTCAACTCTCTTCTGAACGCCCTCTACTGGACCTTCAACAGCAACCTTTTTAGCTACCACACAGACTGTCCGCAAATCGAAAAGTTCGGCTGGTTAGAAGTCACCCACCTCCTGGCACCAGCAACTCAATATATTCGAGACATGGAGTCACTATACACCAAGATTCTGGACGACATTCTTGATGCTCAGGAGCCGAGTGGTCTTGTTCCTACTATGGCCCCCGAAATTCGGTATATGTGTGGCCCGCTTCATGACACGATTACCTGGGGTTGTGCGTTGTGTCTGTTACCCGACATTCTTCTTCGCTATTACGGATCCACGCATGTCATTGCAAAGATTTTCCCTGCCGCAGTGCGGTATATGGAGTACATGCATGGCAAAGAACGGAAGGGCGGGCTAATTGAGCATGGCCTTGGAGATTGGGGCCGTGACATCGCCTTCGGAAATCACCAAGCCAATATCGAGACCGCAATTTACTACAAGTGTCTTCAATGCGTGGCAATGATGGCTCGTGAGCTTGGGAAAATGGAAGAAGCGAATCGATTCAAGAAGTGGGCCGCGCGGATTTACGATGTATACAATCGCCATCTCCTCGTGAAGGATGATAGTTCGCGTCCGTACGTGTACTACACATCATTGGATAACTTCCCTTCCCGTGATCGCACCGCTATTGCCCAGGCAATGGCCTTGCAATTTGGTTTGGTTCCTGCTGAGCACAAGAAGGACGTAATGGCTGCATTCATTGATGATGTGTCAGACGGGAAGATCCGGGCAGGAGAGATCGGATTGCGGTTCCTATTCAACACTCTCGCCGATGCCAAACGACCTGATCTCGTGCTACAAATGGCCAGACAGGAAGAACATCCCTCTTACATGCGCTTCCTGCGCCGTGGGGAGACTACATTGCTGGAATTCTGGCAGGATGAGTGTCGAAGCAAGTGCCATGATATGTTGGGAACTATCTATGAATGGTTCTATGCTGCTGTTCTGGGATTGAAGCCGATTGAGAATGCTTATCGGAAGTTTGAGGTTGATCCTCCTTATGGGTCTGAATTTGGCTTTGTTGAGGGATCGGTTGATTGTCCATTTGGAGTGATCAATATTGACTTTACCCAGGATCTTGATAAAAGACTTGTCACTTTGAAGCTCACAGTTCCATTTGGAACTACGGCTGTGGTAAGGCTTCCTGGCCAGGCAAGCCAGGTAGAGATTCTACTGGACGGTGAAGAAAAGCTGGAGAACCTGGCACGAAACGGTCATGTCGAGGTTGGCCATGGGTCTTACACTATCACTATCCAATTATAAAACCAGGAAAATATAGCTCAGTATCTATACTAGTTGTGTAGAATGAAACATCTGCTCTCTATTCAAGCTCTTATTCAATGCTGATGTTTCTACAGCGTGACTAGGAATATGATACAAACGATTCGAAAGAGGCGGTGATGACTTATCCCTTCAGACTTATAACCTTGAAAAGAACAAGAAGAGGTCTTTAACAGATTTGTGAAGATTTAAAGAGCGTTGTCTATAAGGAAAAGCAGAATCAAGTGTGTAGGCCTATTGAGAATTTCTTCTCGGTCGGCTGGTGAACCAATGAATCATCTACCCACTCATCGGTATTTTTTACTTGCTGTTCATTAATTGACATGGCAGTCACCGTAGCCTATTCTCGATTCTTCTCCCTGAGTAGCATCAAATCCGCTCGGGGAGATTACAGAAGAGGTAAATGTTCCGGTGACATACCGCATCATTTTAGACCGAGCCAGGTCGGCACCCGTGGAGGCCAGGTACTGGTAATGTGCCCACATTCCGCAGGTCGCGTAATGTTATACCGTAAAAATATCGGCATGACACCACAGGAACCCTCAAGCGACAATCTGTTGGAGAATTCTACCTGAATTACGAGACCGGGCTTAGCACCGAAGATGTGATTGACTAAGTCTTGGTGGCGTCCCTTGATGTGGACCTATTTTAAACCCCATGGCGGAATTGCAGAGGCCTGGGGGCCCCGGTTCAAGTGCCTTCTAATTCTCAATTTGTCTCACGAGGCCAAGCTCTCGGGGAAATCTGCACCGAAGGCTTGCTTTTTTCCCGAGCAACGGTCTTTTTCTCGGCATCAAAGTAGATTTGTAGTCGGGAATTCCGAATCATATGCCGTGGTCACGCAGACTCGCCCCCCGCTAGCTACACTAGTGTGAAATAGAGTAAAATACAGTCCTATTTTCTGAGTGACCGGGGCCCCCGCTTTCTAGGTTTTTGGGAGCCGTATAAGATATCCCCGTGGGGAGATCAACTTGAGGCCCATCGTGCTGTTTTTTGTTCTACATGCAGATCAGACAGGATGACCAAGATTTCAACGCTACTGTCGGCCGTGTTCTTAGCCATTGGAGGTATGAAGTGTGCTTACATTACAAATATTACATTTTTCTAATATTGAATCTTCCAGGTTTCCTCTTCGGCTATGATAGCGGTATCATCACCTCGACCATCGGCCAGAATGAATTTATCAAATATTTCGACAATCCCAGCGACAATGTCACCGGCGGCATCGTTTCTGCGTTCCAAGGAGGCGCTATCTTGGGTACCATTATCAATGTATTCACTGGTGACCGTCTCGGTCGCAAGCTCTCTGTGTTCGCAGGTGCTTGTGTGTCTTGCTTCGGATGCGCTCTGCAGGCCGGTTCGGTGAATATGGTTATGTTGATCATTGGTCGATTCATCGCCGGTGTCGCTGTTGGTATGCTCACTTCAGTTGTGCCAATGTACGCCGGTGAGATGGCTGAGTCTTCGACTCGTGGTATGATGTCTGGTCTGTTGCAGTGGATGCTGAGCTGGGGTTATCTTATTGCTCAGTGGTTGGGATATGGATGTTCGTTTGTGGACAATCCTTTCCAGTGTAAGTCATTTATATTCCATTATCTCGGTTTCATTACTGACCTGCCACTTATAGGGCGCTTCCCGCTTGCATTCCAGTGCATTCCTGGTATCATCCTGGCCTGTGGTATTTGGTTCTTGAATGAATCACCCCGCTGGCTGATGGAGAAGGACCGACACGATGAGGCTCTTTCTACCCTGCAAAGTCTCCATGGAGATGGAACTGCAGAGAAGGATCAATACATCGAGCTCGAGTTCCAAGAGATTCGCGACGCCATCGAGGCCGAGCGCGCCTCAACCAGTATCACTTGGACTTCAATCCTCACCAAGCCCTCATGGCGTCGTCGCCTTATTCTTGGTTGTGCTGTCCAAGCCTTTGGTCCCTTGTCCGGTATCAACGTGATCAACTACTACGGAACTCGCATCTACGCTGCTTTGGGAATTGACACCCACACTTCACTCATGATCATCGGTATCTCTGGTGCACTGTCCATCGTATACTGCACTGGAGGTCTCTGGGCGCTCGAGCGAGTGGGTCGCATCAAGCCTCTCATCATCGGCTCCGCGGGAATGGCCCTCGCCCTCGTCGCCAACGCCGCCATGTCCCAGCACTACGATGAAACTAACCAAAACCAGCTTCGAGCCATGGTCGCAATGAACTTCGTGTTCAGCTTCTTCTACACTTTCATCGGTATCATCTCCTGGGTGTACCCGGCCGAGATCTTCCCTGTCGATATTCGCAACCAGGGTAACTCCGTTACGACTTTTACGAACTGGACTATCAACTTGGTGTTTGCTCAGTTCTCTCCAACCGCGCTTACCAATATTGGTTTCCGCTATTTCTATGTCTTCTTCGTTTTCAACATCATTGCTGCGATCTGTTATGTCTTCTTCTTCCCGGAGACTAAGGGAAAGACACTGGAGCAGATGGATTTGTTGTTTGGAGATAGCAATACTCCTCCGGAGCTTGATGAGAAAAAGATGGCTCAGGTGGTTGTTGAGCATGCAGAATAAGTCACGCCAGTGAACGAAGTCTAGCTCCCTATAACCTACAGTGCAGTCTTGGCTGATGCAGCGACGCTACTTTTTATGAAGTGCTATGGGTTTTCCTCGGGGTTGAATTCTGTTTCGAATTTTGGAGCTTACAAACATGAGATAGCATTGTTTAGTATAGCATTATTAACGAAGGCATTGACCATTATCAACATCTAGGCATCATACTCCTTCTCAAGAACAACGGGACTAGACCAGTTCTTAAACTCTGCACATGGAAGCTTTGCTTCGAACATCGTATCAATCTCTATGACAGTGCGATCCTTCATCTCCGGGATCATGAACCATGTGACTATCCAGGCAAAGAGGCAAAGACCAGCGTAGATAAACCCAGTCTTGCCTTTCAGATCACCCGCATCTTTGTTATAGATATAAGGCAGCGCGAGACTCAGAACCACATTCGAGAGCATGTAGCACAACACACCAAGGCCCTGGGTTTTAGCTCGAAGGCGCAGGGATGATGCTTCACCGTTGACAGCGTAAGACGCGGGCCATGCGCCCATGCCGCAAATCACGACAACGAGGATCAAGGATATCGCAGTCCACCTAAAAGTCTCATTAGCAAACCGTAAAAAGGTAGACTCGTCTATTAAGCTAGGTCTTACCAAACAACAACATTGCCAGACCAGCACCCGGCGATTCCCATGCTCAGCCACAATATAATCGAGACCGCCAACGTCCAGAGTAGCAAAGGACGTCGACCAAACCGGCTCATAAGCCACACTCCGACACCATTGGCCAAGAGACCCAGCACAATTCCCACAATCAGGACCATGATACTAAGACTCGATGACATGCCGACTACCTGCATGAAATAACTAGCACTCGCAAGAAGCGGGACTCCGAAGAGACTGGGTATCATGAATGAAAACGCCACGACTGTCGTTCTGCGTAGATTGACACCTTTGAAGCAGTCGACATACGCCAGCTCACGGGACATCTCCTCTTCACTGGCAATCGATAAGCGCATCTGAGCAATGAGTGGTATCACGTCCACGCTATCAGTATGAAGGGCTTTCATTGCACTATGCGCCTTTTCATAATCCCCCTTGCGTATCAAGTAAGAGGGACTCTCAGGCAGCACGAACGCCAGGACGAAAGGCAACAGCGTAGTAATCCACTGAGTCCCAAAGGGAATCAAAAACGCAGCTGAGGTTGTCATCTGCTCGCACGCAAAGATCACAACCGCTCCCAGCAGCTCTCCAAGCAACATGAACGTCGGCGAGAGGGCCATAGCAGAACCCCTCAAACTGGTCGGAACAGTCTCAGACAAATACGTTTGCGCACCAGCCATCGCACCACCAACACCCAATCCCTGCACGAACCTTCCCACGAGGAAGGCACCTCGACGGGAGTTCATTTCATCCGGGAGGTTAGAGCAGAACGCAATAGCGATTCCGACGGCACAGACGAAACAGCTAAGAGCAAGGGACCAACGACGACCGATACGATCTTGAAGCCAGCCTGCTACCGGTGCGCCGATAATTGAACCTAAAGGGCTCATTGCACTCCAGACGGATAGCCATGATGCCGGGATGATGTATTCGCCGTTATAGAGTTCGCCAAATTCGTGTTTAAAGTAAGGGACCGCGGTGATTGTGCCGAGGATGACGGTGTCATAGCCGGTGAGAAGGAATGCAAGCGCGAGGCCTACCGAGTAGGCGACTATTTTGGGATAGCGGCGAATTTCTTGGGATAGAAGGGCGTTGTTGGTGGTAGGTTGTGATTGAATGGAGGGTTCATGGATATGTTCCTCGAGTGAGGATGCGAGGTTGGGTGTTCCCATTATAGGTGGGCTCCAAGGTTCCAACTTGTGTGTTGATCACAGTTCGTGGAAGAGAGTCTGTTTCTCGAATAATTGAATGAGAATCTGGGGTCTATTTGAATGGGACATAAAAGACGGCTCCTATCGCGTTTCCTGGGAGTCCAATGATCTGTTGAGGACAGGTGCAAGAGCCCGTTCCCAATCAGAGTCATCCATCGGAAGATCTCCCTGTTTTCCCCAGCTATTCGTCACCCATTGTAACATTACCCCATGTCTTAACTTGCCCAAGATAAACTGGGGGAGGAGATCTATGAAGCCCGAACAGAGTTTCTTAGTGTTTGCCGATATGGCCAATCACAAGGCCGACTTGGCAGGGGCCCTGGCCGGCGATTGGCGGTGTCGGCAGGCATGCGGACCCACCTTGAACTCCGCGACGTCCGCGGGTTCCATTTCATTCTGGTCCTCGCTTCAGCAATAGAATGCTTTCGGAATTTGGCCACGGGCTGTTCAATGCAGCTCATGTCTGCCGAGGTCAGATGTAGTCCGGTGAGGGGTTGTCTAAATAGGCGAGGCGGCCCTCCAGCTGAAATATATCCTCCAATCGCCCCTTAACAACCAAGTATAACCTTTTCATCCTATGTAGGTACCACATCGATTTCCATATTGCCTGACTGAAACTGACTCTGGTACTATTGCAAGCAAAATGGAGGGCTCCAAAATCATCAAGCCGTGGAAACTTAACTCCCACCGAACTCTAGTCTTCATAAACGCAAGCATCATCGACCCCGTCGAAGGACAATTGATCCCCAACGCTACAGTCCGCATCTCCAATGGCCAAATCACCTCGGTCGAGACCAACTCAACACCAAGCAATGCATCTGAGGAAGCAATCGACCTAAACGGCAAGTACCTCTGCCCTGGCCTCATCGACTGTCACGTCCACATCGCCGTCGTCCCCGGCGAAGTCGATCTCCGCGCCTACAAAGACATGACCGAACGCAAGAGTCTCCTCCGCCAGCCCTACGTCCTAAAGACCATGCTCTCGCGCGGCTTCACCTCAATCCGCGACTGTGGTGGCGCAAGCCTAGCCGTGAAAGAAGCCGTCGAGGAAGGTGTCCTCCCCGGCCCCCGTCTTTTCATCGCTGGCTTCGCTCTCTCCCAGACTGGAGGGCATGGAGACATGCGCGGATCCCATGATGAGCAGTTTTGCTGTGGCGGGGCCATTTCGGGTATCAGTCGGATCGTCGACGGAGCCGCGGAATGCTACAAGTACGCGCGCGAGGAGCTGCGACAAGGTGCGGATTTCATTAAGATCATGGGCGGCGGAGGTGTTTCTAGTCCAACGGATCGCATTGAGCATGTGCAGTTCTCTGATGAGGAGATTAAGGCGATCGTGACTGTGGCAAAGAATGCGGGAACTTATGTTACCAGTCATAGCTATACGCCGCAGGCTATTCAGCAGGCGATCAATCTTGGTGTTCGTGGAATTGAGCATGGAAACTTGATTGATCTTGAGACTGCGAAGATGATGGCCGAGAAGGGCTGTTTCCTTACGCCTACTCTAATTGTGCATGTCATGTCTAAGCAGATGAATTTCTTGCCTGCGGATGGCGCGGCGAAGAATGATGAGGTCTTGGAGAAGGGGTTGAGGGCTATGAAGATGGCTGTGGATGCTGGTGTTACTGTCTGTTTTGGAACGGATCTTTTGGGGCCGATGCATTTTGCGCAGAGTAAAGAGTTCTCTGTCCGTAGTCAGGTTTTAACTGCTGTTCAGATTCTGCGCAGTGCTACGGTTAATGCGGCAAGGTTGCTCATGCAGGAGGAGAGGTTGGGTCAGGTTAAGCAGGGCTTTGCGGCGGATTTGTTGGTTCTTGACAAGAATCCATTGGAGGATATTACTGTGTTGGATAGAGTGGAGGAGAACGTCCTTGGTGTCATTAAAGATGGAAGGGTCATGACATCTCGGTGGGAGAAGTTGACGGTTGACGCATAAGCTGTGGAGTATATTATATTATACACAAGTGTCAAACCCCAAATATATCCCATCTTCTTCCCAAGTATGAATCGGTTGGCCGCTACGAGGAATTAATGATTGAAAAGAATTTGGCATTTTTGTTGCATAGTACATATGTACAGGTAAATACGGTGGCATATACCCCAGGACACAATCTGGGGATGCTGTCATGCGATGTCTGATCAATTTGCTATGATCGAATGCTTTCGCATATCATCCGAGGCTGTATAGTGTCGTAATTACAAATGCTTATAGGCATATAAACAACAAGGTCATCAACTGTCGCAGTTGTACCTTGAGGGGAAGGCAGTTTGACGTGATTAGGCCCAATTCCCCATGGAAATTGACATGAAGCTAAGTCATTTAGTGGTCCTTGGGACGGTTATCATCACTCTCGGGGACAAGAGGAACAGAAGACTCGCCACCGAATTCGCGGTAGGCTCTGTCACGCGCAACGCCCTTGTCCTTGCGAATGGTAAGGCAATTGATGCCGAGGAAGGTGGTAATGCGGTTGATGACCAGGACAGCCCAGTGGGAGTACACCACGAATGCGAAGAGAAAATACAAGCGCAGGTACCAGAGCTCCAAAGAAGCCCCCAGCGCAGGGAGACCAATGTAAGGCAAGTTCACCAGGACGGCACCAAGCACGAGGGGAGCTTGCAGAACGGTCCAGTAGGGGAAAGGTTGCTTCAACAGGTGGGCTAGAATGATCATGGTGGTCATACGTCCGAAGACGAAGGAGATGGTGGTGCAGAACAGGACGAGGTGATTATCGGACAAAAGGGTCGAGTAAGGCGAGAAGAGCCAGGCCATGTTGCATGCGGTGAACACGATCATAGGGATCCATTCCTTCAGCAGAGGAGTGAAAGGCAGACCCTGCTTCTTGCGAGCAGCATACACGTTCAGAACACAGCCCGGCAGGTGGCCGAGGAAGAATCCGACCACCAGAACAGGCACCCAAATGTCCTTGACCGAGTTATTGCCGAACAGCGCGGGGATGTTGATCAGATCGGTGATAGGGCGCGACCAGATACCGGGCCCCCAGATTCCAGAGGCGATCATAATGGCAATGGCGATGAGAAGGCCCTCAGTGGGACCGTTGAAGTAGCCCAGGTACAAGGTGTGGGTGTGGAAAGTCTCCCAGGTGGAAAAATACATGGCAAGACACGGTACAAGCGCAGTGTAAGCACCAAGAGTCGACGCACCGAAGCCCATGGCCGCAGTCTCCAATAGACTAGCGAGGGTGCAGTTCAAAGAGTCAATTCCGTGGCTATATAGTTCGTCAGTGACTGGTCCACGGATGGTTCCGGAATGGTACGAACTCAAACAATTCTCCCAGCCCGCTAGAAGTTCCGGTTCGGCGTGCCTGTTTCCCATCGACATTATCCAAAGTTGAGTACCTGCAGGGTGTTAGCTCTGCTGAGGCTCTTCATGCGAGTAATTCGACTAACATCCACATGCCCAATGCGAAGCTAAAGTACAACCACCATGGGCCCTGCAATGAGTAATTAGCAAAGACAGTTTGCACAACATTATATGGACGCGTACCGGTCCCGCAAGATCTGGCATAAAGATCTCGATCAAGAAGACATTGCCTACGATCCACATGAACCCGAGAAGGGTGACCATGTTCGGCGCCATCCACATGGGCAGAAACTCGACAAAGGCATTCCACTGTAGACAGTATGAGCTTTAATCAAATATTTTTGCTGTCTCGTGTTCTTTCAGGGGTCGTACATAGTGCCTCAGAATATAGTTCGAAATAGGGGACTTGTCGACGGCCGAATACTTGTAGGACTTCAGGGGAAGAAGAGCCTCATCGGAAAGGGAATCTTGGGTCTCTGTCGAAGGGAAAGTTGATGTCAGTACTGAAGGCCATAACAAACATTTCCAGGAAGCTCCGATTGAACATACCTTGGACCATGCGGAGAATCGCGTTCATAGTGAAGGTTGGGCCGCGTCGCGTAGCACGTTCAGGAACCGTTAGAAATCAAGCAATATATACCGCCACCACAAGTGATCGGGACGCAAGAAAAAGAAGTGACAAGATATACACGCACGGTCTTGGCCAGAACACCAAGAAATAGTGCAGCAACCCAAAAATAGCGTGGACAAGACAGAAAGATTGAAATGTTTCACAGGGATTTTCAGCCCGCAGTCACATGACCGTCTCCGCATCGGGACGCGAGAGCCTTTGCGGTGGAGCGTCGCAAGGTTGACTCGGTTTATTTTGGTGTCTCAACGTCGCATTGCCAGGTCTCAGATCTCGGGTCTATTCGCTCTCATCTCACTGTCACCGAGATCTCTCGTTATTCACCCTACATCGACTAAACGGGTGACTGTTGATCCGTCAAGGAGCTTCAACACCCAGTCGCGCCAGATCCCGGTTCACGTTATCCTCGCGCCTCAGACAATCGCCGCCCTCTCTCCTGTTATGGTCACCTGCTGAGTTGGACATGAAGGTGGATGGTCTAAGCAGCGCCCCCCGCGCATCTCATCAGTGAGGATTCTTCGCGATGCCGGGCGTCGTCGAAATGCCCGCCGCGGCGGACCCGTTGGAGCTGGGATACAGTGTCGGACACCAGAAGGTCGAGCTGGAAATCGACTTCGTCAGCAAGAGCTTGAAGGGACGGACGGAAATTACGATTCACCCCCACTATAAAACCTTGAAAGATATCCGTTTAGGCTTCCGACAGGGCGAGATCAAGCGAGTGAATGTCAACGGAAAAGTCGCGACGACGAGTTATACGGACCCTTACGACAGTCTTCATCTATACGGAGCACACTATTACGAGAAACTCACCGCACATATCGACAAAAATCTCCTCACAACCCCCCCGAAGCCCGAGCTATCGATCGCGATCCCGAAGAACGTGCGGATTGACGAGTTGGATCCTTTCTCGGCGGAGGCTCAGGAACAGATTGCGCTTCAGGGCGCCGGTGGTGATGTCGATGGACCGGCTAGTATCAAGACAGAGGCCAATCTGCCACAGTTTACAGCTGTGACGGTCAGCATCGAATTCACGATTGATCGGATCCGAGATGGACTGCAGTTCGTAGGGGTCGACACCGGAGACCGTCGATACCCCCATGCCTATACCACGAACTCGCTGGAGTCTAGTGTTGGGTGCCCTCTATTCCCCTGTGTGGACAACCCGTCATCGCGCAACACTTGGGAAATCTCAGTCTCATGTCCTGCATCTTTGGGAGACGTTTTCAACCGCAAGGGACGCGACCATGGCTCTACCACTCCTTCACGATCGCGAGCTCAGAATCGATACGTTTCCTCAGACGATGAGGGGCTGGACATGTCTGTGGTGTGCTCCGGTGAGCTGACAGATGATATCACGGATCCCAAGGACCCGACTCAGAAGACGGTCTCCTTTGCGGCCTACTCGCCCCTCTCCGCTCAACAGATCGGATTCGCCGTCGGCCCATTCGAATATGTGAATCTGGCAGACTTCCGTGAAAGTGATCAGGATGAACAACTCGGACAAAATGCTATCCCTTTGCACGCATTTTGTCTTCCAGGGCGAGGTGATGAGGTTCAAAATACCGCTTTTCCTATGGCGCAAGCCATCGACTTCTTTTCTTTGAACTATGGGTCCTACCCGTTCTCCAGTTACAAGATCTGCTTTGTCGATGACGTCGTAGCCGATACGTTACCTACAGCATGCATGGCCATCTGCAGTAGCCATCTTCTCTTCCCGGCTGAGATTATCGACCCCATGTACGACTCCACCCGGGCCCTCGTGCAGGCTCTCGCCTGCCAGTGGTCAGGAATCAACATTATTCCCTTCGAGCCTGCGGACAGCTGGGTTACTATCGGTGTGGCATGGTACATCACAGATACTTTCATGAAAAAGCTTTGCGGTACCAATGAATATCGATATCGACTCAAGCAGATGTCTGACAGGATCTGCGAGCTGGATTACGAACGTCCCTCTATCTACGACATGGGCAACTTTTTGAAGATTGATCCTTCAGAGTATCGGTTCATTGCGCTGAAGGCACCCCTGGTCCTTTTTATCCTTGACCGTCGCTTGACAAAGGCCAGTGGAAAAGCTACCATGTCCCGAATCATTTCTCGGTTGTTCTTGAACTCGCGCATGGGCGACATCCCTAATGGAGCCGTCACCTCCTTATTATTCCAGAAGACGTGCGAGCGGCTCGGCCATGCCAAGCTCGATGTTTTCTTCGGGCAGTGGGTCTATAACGCTGGATGCCCCCGTTTCCATGCCACGCAGCGATTCAACAAGAAAAAACTTGTGGTTGAAATGATGATCCAACAAATGCAGTCCAATCAGCCAGCCGCTCGTGATCTTGGAAAAGACGCATTCTTGCGAGATCTAAAGGAAGAGGTTCGACATGTCTACGCTGGTACTATTCAGCCCGTCTTTACTGGCTCTATGACACTTCGTATCCATGAGGCCGACGGCACCCCGTATGAACACATTGTTGAGATCAAAGAAGGTACAACGAAGTTCGACATCCCTTACAACACAAAATACAAGCGATTGAAGCGTAACAAGAAACAAAGAGAACGCGCTGTCGCGTCTGGTGAAGCCGATGCCCAGGAAGAAGTCCTTCTCTACTGTCTCGGAGATGTCCTTCAGACAGAGGAAGAGACCGCTCAGTGGCGCTTAGCCGACTGGACCAAGGAAGATGAAGAACGAATGGGACAGGAATCCTACGAGTGGATTCGTATGGATGCTGATTTCGAATGGATTTGCAAACTCTCCCTCGGAATGCCTGGATACATGTATCTCTCGCAGCTCCAACAAGATCGAGATGTCGTTGCTCAGCTGGAGTCCCTTCAGTACATGGCGGCGCAGCGCGAACATCCTCTGATCTCAACCATCTTTGTCCGTACTCTCATGGATAGTCGATATTTCCACGGAATACGAGTGACTGCGGCAGAAGCGTTAATCAAACACGCCAAAGACGAAGTTGATTGGATCGGCCTTTTCCATCTGGAAAAGACCTTTCAAGAGCTTTTCTGTCTCCCAGACTCACCAATGACCAGATCCAATGATTTCTCGGATCGCGCGGCCTATCTCCTGCAGCAGGTCATCCCGGACTGCATCTCGAAGGTGCGGGATAATAGTGGCAAGACACCCCTTAGGGTGAAACGGTTTTTGTTCGATAAACTCAAGTTCAACGACAACTCTAATAATGAGGTATGTGCGATTCCTTCGCCTTTTTCATAATAATGCTAACCAGGACCCAGTACTCGGACAATTACTACGTCGCTTCCCTGATGCGCTCACTTTGCCACGCGATGCTCGGCAGAACAGAACCCCGACTCGAAGATGAAATGACGAATTTCGACATGGAGCGCGTTCTCGAGAACCAAGCCGAAGAGCAACTCGAAAAGGACGCCTTGGCCGAGTTCGATCGATATAGGAGAATGGACGAATGGTCCGGCTCGTTCCAGAACATTTACTCGCGAGCCGCATTGTACTGCCAAATGCAAATGATGCAGGCCAAGGTACAAGAGCTGGACATCATGCTCTTCGTCCCCTACACCCGCTCTGGAACTTATGACCTGCTTCGTGTGAGGGCATTTGAATGTCTTGTGGAGCTTGATATCTCCCAAAACCCCGAGCTCTTCCGCTGGCTCATCTTCACTATGACCAGTGATACATCGGCTTACGTTCGTCATCATTGCCAGCGGCTGTTTGGCCAAGCTTTGGCGCAGATCGCATTTGGACGCCCTGAGCAAACGGAGCCGGCTCAAACGGGCGGGTTGATCATCGAGCAGGAGTCTTCAACGGAATTTCGACAAGCTGATCTTGCTCGTCGTCAAACGGTTCCCGGTGCCATTGAAGCTTTGAAGAAGGAGCTCGCGAGTGATCCATCTATCAAAGATTACATGTGGTCCGCATGTAACTCGATGCAAATCGGAGCCCTCGAGTTGGCTGAGCTACTGGATGTTTGCCGAGTCTTATTCGACCCTGTCACCTCGAAGCGCATAACACTGCGTCTCGGGCGCCACTGGCGAGTCAAGAACCTCGGACATGGCAAGCTTCACTTCACCCGCACAGGATCCTTCCGGGGCAGTCTCAATCCCAAACGGAAGCGCGAGGAGGCTGGAATGGGGCCTCCGCGTCTCGTCTTCAAGCAGTCGAAGACTGGCACTTCAAGCACGCCCTCATCTGCCAGCCTCCCCAAGTTGCACATTCCAAAAGTATCCGCGACACCAACACCTGGCACGCCTACGGCCTCGACACCAGCCACGCCAGCCAGCGGCGGCGGCTTGAAACTCAAGCTCAAGTTCGGGCAGAAAAAATAACCCAGACAGCCCGACTAATCTGACCTGTTCCTGTATTTTACTATTTTACTCATCTTGACCACAATTGGCACGAAAAGGGAAGGAAACAACACATGTTTTTAGGCGCGCAGGCGGTGCATTGTTTTGATCTACTAGAGATAATTTCACATGCTGCAATGCCATATAAAACCCGCACTCCCAATTTCGATAGCCGCTCAACAGCAGATGCCCGATACCAGTGTAGAAGCCAAGCCACACGCAAAAACAAGCGCTACCCACGAGCACACTCCGGTAGCAGTGCAGTGTAAGCCGCACGTAGAAACAAGGTAACCCAGCAAAGCCGTGGCAGCAGTGAGTTTGCAGCAAGTATAATTGCAGTCGAAGCTACAAACGTAAAAGCAAAGAGGTTTTGATTGTCCCCATATGAGCAACCGTCCAGCCCATACGAGCAACCGACCGAAGAACTCCCAGAAACATTATGATTTTGAACGTCCCCAAGCGCGCGGCGCTTTTGTGCCTCGAGCAGAAACAAGAAACAGGAAAAGTCGTAAATGCGTGTTGTTCACTTGGTATCAATGCGCTCAAGGGCCTCGATCATGATGAGTGAGTTGCCGCGAATGCACTGGAGGGAAGTGACCTAGTTAGTTCGGTTCTTGCTGTGAACTGTTGTCGGCGATACTTACACACATGCCCATGGGGACCTTTTCGCCACCGTCCTTCTCTTCGAATGCCTCGTCCAAGACAATGTTCATGAAGACCTGCGAAGTGGGAGAGGTTAGTCGGTCTGTTTTGTATGGGGTCGGGCAAATAGAGGGTAATCGGCGGGTTGTCGAAGCGCAGCACATTCGTCGTTGCTTCAAAGATCAACACGCGCCGTATGATGCCGATTGCTCGTGTGAAATTTGATAGCGCAGCGAAAGGAGCTTTGCATCTGAGCTAACTTCATTCACAAGCTGCGAGACGCGAGTTGAATGCATGCACGGTGCGCGACTTGAGACAAACGTTGTCTGGGATGGGTGAAGCAGGAGATCGCGAGGGCGATGAGAGGGCGATGAGAGGGCGAGGGGTAGAAAGAGCTAACAAACTCACATCGTAGCCACGAAGAATACCGATCACCTTGCGGTTGCCGTTGATTTGGCAGTACACCCGCTTCTCCATGTACTGAGGAATTGTCAGCAAAGGTACGCGCTGAAGGGGACAGCGTTGAGAAGACAGACCTTCTTGAGCTCAGGCTGTGCTTGAGGCATGTTGATCAAATAGCTATGAGGATGCGGGTTCGGAAATTGAGCGTCGTACCAAGCAGAGGCCTCAGCAGTCCGTTCGGCGGAGAAACTGGGTATCGTCGGGTCAAAGTTGTTCCGTAAGACCGACATGCTTCATGAACATCTCTTGGTTCTTTTCATCTTTTTGGCTCGCAGCACGTCGGATAATAATTTCCCAGAGAGTATTTTGCGCCGGTATTCAACCCCATTCGCTGGACGGCAATCGCCTCAACGAGCATACATTGACCACCCATAGCAAGAAGCTCTGTAAATTGCGCCAGATCAGTGTGCTCACCGCCTTTGAAGTGAGCCTCATCCGCGTCCTGCACGTCGACGCCGCATTCCTTAATCTTGATTTCGTCCGCGTTCTCGTCTTTTGGGGCATCAATAATCAAGATGAGCTTTGCGAGCCGCAGAAAGCCCAGGAAGATTGGGGATGATGCGGGAGACGACGATGGAGAAGGCAAAGAGACAGGTACGTTTACATTTAAATACCCTCATGCGCAACCCTTCGTGTGAGTCGCTATGCGATCCTGCGGCCAATGGCGCGATTACGTGCGTGGACTGCACGTATACACGCCGGACCATGCGGACCCAAAACTCAATTTACCTTGATGATGCGATGGATGCGTGGGACCATTCATGTGAACGTTTGCTTATACCATATAGAACCCATCTTGAAGCGCCCAGTTAAGTCGAAGGCCAAGCAGAAGTCAAAATTAAATCTTTCCTTTGGATCTGGCGAGACGTCAATGACAGACGACGGCGAGCAAGAAAGCGAAGTTATTATTCCAAAACGACATGGCCTCGGTCGCCAGGCTATGGAGCGAAATGCCGTACAGCGAAACTTAACACCGTCCAACGCTTCCGAGACACTCTCTGCTCGAGTCGGACATGATCAGGGCCGACCCAGCTATAGCAATGATTATCTCAAGGAGCTTCGAGACTCGACTCCCTCGACCCCAAAGGCCAGCACAGATGACGAAAAAGATCGGGCAATCGATATTGCAGCAAAGTTCGGAGAGGTGATGACAGTCTCTAGCTCCTCTGCAATCCCCAGCGAAGCCGAGATCCGTGAGAAGAAAGCTCGCCGAGCTCGATTGGCATTGGAGCACGGCGCAAAGGAGGAAGATTTTATCTCGTTGGATAACCACATGGCTGACCAAGATGACGATTGGGATGCTGTTGTCCGTAGTGAGAAGGAACAACTATCGGATACCCGACTGGTTCGGGACGACGAGGATTTTGCTGAGGGTTTCGATGAATATGTCGAAGATGGGAAGATATCCCTCGGGAGAAAGGCAGAACGGGACCAGAAACGCAAGGACCGTGATGCAATGCGAGAGCTCATCAATGACGCCGAAGGTGTTTCTGACGATGAAGACTCTGACCTTGAGGAGAAAGCTGCGTATGAGGCCGCTCAAACCAGAGCTGCTATGGGCCACGGCAAACCTTCTGGCCTCGCTCGACCAGGCACTCCCCCTAAGGTGACGTCACTTCCCAAGCTCTCGAACAGTTTAGAGAGACTTCGTTTATCTCTGGCGTCAATGGAAACAGCCAAGACGCAGATGATCAGTAGGATGGAGGAGCTGCGCAAGGAAAAGGCGGACATCGCTGTTCGCGAGGTGGAGATCCAGGGAATGATCAAAGAGGCCGGTGACAACTACGAGCGGCTCAAGATGGAAGCCGGCGTCGATCCTTCTTCGGATGCAAATGCATCGGCAGGAGCTTTGGAACAGTCCCGCGGTCTGGAAAGCATCGGTGCTCCCATCGCAAATTCCGATTCCAGTTCTGGAGAGACCGAGGTATGAGCTTATGGTCCGCTCCTTCTCTTATTTCTAGCATTGCCCTTGGATGTTTGCCAAGGTTCACATCTGGGACTCGAAAGTTCCTCGGAGTCAAAAACTGTTATTGTGATACCCATTACATATTCGCATTCAAAACAACTTATATTCATTATGGCGCCTTATTTTCACTTTCCTACCTTTTGTCTTCCTCTCTGTAAGACCGTGGACCCTAATGGATCTCCCAGGTGAGGCCAGCGCGGTCATGGGACGAATATGCAGTGTTCACTGATCACTCCTGTAGCTATCATGGCTACCTGCCCTGGATATCCAGCCCAGTCGACCAAACAGGTGAGATTGCTCGTCTGTATCAAAAGTCTGACTCGACACCCATCGAGCTGTTCTTTGATTTGTTCTTTGTTGCCAATCTCTCCACGTTTACCGCTACTCATGAGATCAACAACATCCACGGTAGGCCTTTCTCTTGCGCTGAAACCTCAGATGCTAGTTAACCTTCAAATGTTGGGCGCTGATAGCTCTGGGCTCATACGTCGGCTTTCTCGGTGTGATCTGGTTCACATGGTTTCAAGTCACTCTGTTCGATATACGATTCGCGCGAGACTCTGTCTTCGAACGCATCTGCAAAGCCGTACAGCTTGGGGCTATGGTCGGCTTCGCGTCCGCTGGAACGCGCTTCACCACCCGCGTCCAGGATGAAAATGTCTGGGCCTTTCAATCCTTGACGGCAATCCTTGCGGGCAGTCGACTGCTCCTTGCCGCTCAATATACCATCAATGTTGCTTTCATGCGTTCATCGATGAAGCATTCCTCCATAGGGGTGACCTTCACGGCAAGCATTCTCTACTTCACAGGCTCCGTCTACGCTTGTGTCAGTCCTCTTCGCCCACTTGATGGGGTTGATCTCTAACCCTAACACAAGATGTACTTCGCTTTCAGCCCATCAAACCGGCTTCATGGCCAGATCTGGACCGTTTGGTTTGTCGTTTTCGCTCTCGAAATGTGGGCGGTGATGCTATTGTCTTGTCTGTACCCCAAGATTGGATTCCAGGACACCCACCTCAACATCCGAATGGGTCTTTTAACATTGATCATCATTGGAGAAGGCGTTATTGCGATCACTCGAATTGTCAACAAGACGGTGCGGCCCGGCGGATGGACGAAATGGTCGTTTGTCCATATTTTGGGGGTGACAACCAATGTGGTAAGCATTTCTCGTATGTCTACCCGATCAGCCGCACTGACCAAACGAAGTATCTCCTGTGGCAGGTCTACTTTGACATGACCCCGCGGCACAGACTCGGCAAGTTGGCCCAGCAAATTTGGACGCAGTTGCATTTCCCGTTTCATGTCGCACTGATTCTTCTCCTCGAGGGCTCGCAGATCCTCGCGTTGAGTCTAGATGTCACGCTGAAGTTGAAATATCTGAAACAGACGCTGTCTTTCATCTGCGAGGATCCGGTTCCTACTCACAGTAGTGGTGTTGCGTTGATTCGAAGCACGATCACGGACATGGAGATCCCGTTCAGTCGAGGTGCAACGCAAGAATGGACTGCTATCTCTAGTATTCTGGATGATCTGACGCACCAGCCTCTTTGCCCCGAGTCTGGGACATTCAGCTGGATCCACACGGAGGACCTTTTCGGTGACCTGCTGGGAAACGTCACGGCAGCACTTTTCTCGAGTATGGACATAACCCCATCGAACAAGATAGACTACAACCTCTTGGACAACCAAGAATCGCTTCGAATATACATGAAACTCCTCGCCTTCGTCTATGTATACTTCTTCATCGCTGCCAGCATCTCCATGGCCCTATTCAGCGCGTTTCCAATCCTCTCTCGCCGACACACCTTCCGCCTCCACCTAATCCTCTCAACTGCCGTGCGCATTCTCCTCGCTATCTCCTTAGCAGGTTTAGTCTCACTTGCGAGCCATTTCTCGCTAGCTTATGCCTTTATGACCTCACCGATAATCCTCTACGCCTTCACGCTAATCCTCCTTACTGGTCGGTCCTTTTCCCGTGCTCTGTGCGCTCAATTCTAATTGGTTTAGTCCTCCTCGTTGACCGACTTTTGGACTCTCTGGCATCCCGGGGCGACGCAGCTGGCCGGCGGAAGCGGGAAAGCGATGTCAAGCGGCTGAGTCGGGGTATTGTGGCGATGGGGCCACCTCTAACGGAGAGGTCTGATCGACGAGTCACGTTGTCGACTGTGGGGGGAGAGGAGTAGAGGGGTGTAAGTGAGGTTAGCAGTGTTGAGACTGTAGAAAGGAGAGTACGGCGCTGGGGTGGTTCACCTTGGTGTGAGAATAGCGCGCTTATGACTGGTGCTGCTTTGTCGGGGTCAACTATTGTGATTGGGTAGGGGGTTGTCTGCATTTGGGACCCATTGATATGCCTAACAAGATGGAGTTTGTGATGAATCTCTGACATGAGCATTCTACCTTCGTGTTTATCTCGACATTCAAGCCTGTTGAAATCATTCTGCTTCTCTCTTCGTGGTGCTCCGAGAATTTCCTCGTCACATGCCCAAAATCACTCTGGAGAAAGGTTGAAATTGCCAGAGACAACATATTTTCTTCCCGGCTTTAATCTACACAACATCCGCGAAGGCGCGCTTCTATATAATCTAAAACCTGATACCGTTGTGTGATACAGATCTGTGACAAGCCACAGCCATAGAATAAGGTGAACGATCTTTAGACTCGAATGCTATTATAGGATCTTTCGGATGTTAGAGCGCGTCTGAGTTGATTGGATTTTTTACCCTTTTTACTCAAAAATTCTCGTAAATGTGATGTAGTATTGAATACTAATTTATATACCTAAATACGAATCGCCTGCAACATTCGCCCTCGGAAGCATTCAATTCAAAGAAATAGAGACAGAGAGAACAGTGAGCACTTTCGACCGGGAGAGACGAATTAGATGAATATTTCAGATCACCTAACCCTAACATGATCCGAACTATCTATCCCCTCAACCAACCCAACCCTAACCAACCGGGGCCTGTCGGCCCTTTCCCCAGACTTGCCTCAAACTCAAACAAGGCCCAGACTCTCGCACCTCCGCCCTATAAAGAAAAACAAACCAAATCAAGAACCCGGAAAGTGACCTACATATGCAGCCAAAACTCTCATCCCCACGATCCAGACTACCCATCTCCTACTCAAGACCTAGGTAGAGCTTCATATTGCTGACGCAACAAATAATGGATCGATCCCAGGAAGCTTTCCGAATGGATCAGCTGCACCTTTGGTCTATAACCGTTGTGCGTTCGCATTGCTGCGGGTGCCTGCTGGTCTCAACGCCACCTAGACCATCCCAAGCAGGCGGGAGAAGGTTCTTTGAAACGGGGCCAATCGCTGAGGTGCACTGGTCCAGGGATATGTCCGAGGTTGGTCGTGGCCAGGTTGGCTGGATGGGACGGATAGAGGATGGAGGGGATTTTTTCACCTGCTTTATAGAACTAAGTCACCATCTAGAAAAACCCCGAAGTGCTACGTTGGCAGCGAGAAGTACTAACCCCTATTCTTAAGGCTAGTTTTATGCTTATTTTCACTTGTCTTTATCCCATCTTCGTCTGCACCTAACCACCATTAACCTTTCGGTAAATTGCAGTAGACATGTCTCCCCAACCTCCGAACCAGAACCAACCCAGCTGGACTTGCATACCGCTATTCTTCAGCTTTGCTTTTTATCGGCAGGTTGGATCGCGCCGGGGGTTCTTGATTGGCACGGGTGCCAGGGAGGCTCCCCAAAGAGCCCTATGTCGGTATCCGGCAGGATGGAACATTTTCAAAATGGCTAAGCTGATGTCAAAATTGGCAGTAGTGGGTCACAGAAAATCAATAGTACCTGTAAGCCCTGGGTGGCATGGGTTGATCTGCTTTCAGGGCTATGTGTGGGTTGGGGTTGCTACAGCCCGTCTTGATATGAGTTTCTTTTCTGAGGTTGAGAAAGTACCTACCCTTTTCTCAAAATCGAAATTCTATTATTAGGACCTAGAGAAGGTGAGTAGTGTCTTCAATGTTGGAATCTCAATTAAATAGCCAATCCCAAAGACATAGCTGAACCGTCGAAGCCGCAACCCTCTACCCGCAACTTGTCTCACAGCCAGACACGGATACAATTCCATTCCTAGGTGCCACGTCGAGGCCCAAGACAGTTACAATAGAGATACAACCTGAAACGTACGGCAAGTGGATCACAGATCAGCGCCCCGGAGATTTTTCCTCTGGCTAGGGTTAAGGATCATTTCGGGAGGGCCTTTTGTTTCTGGTGCCCCGTTGCTATAAGTGGGTTCGGAAATTTTTCTCGATTCCGAGAAACAGTGCAACGGTTTTCAGGGCCAGACCGAGCGGATGGAATGACCTGGGCGGGATATCAGGATGGATAAGGGGATAGGACGCTCTTAAAAGAGTGGGTTTTGATTCATTGAATCTCGATCATCTTCTCCTAGGCTTGACTATCTTGCTGCTGAGTGTCATTTGTATATTGGAGCCGCGCTGCAAGTAATTTCGTCTTGGCTTTCAACATATTCGGCTGATTTCGACACAGATCCGAGACAGCATTGCATTGATGCTCTAGCCGTGAGCCTGATACCCCCACTCGGTTCCAGAATCATTTGAAGATACTGGTATGATAGAGGTTTGCATGGCCATATATTGTCATTCAAATATTCAAATTGGCTTGACTCAATGACATTTCTTCCGAGTTCATCTACGTTCAAGGTCAGTATCATATCAACTCAGCGGGTAAACCCCGGGTCTGTGGAATACAAGCCTCATATAACGGCCAACCCTGCAGGCCTCCCGATCACAGCAGCCCAACCGTTACGCACTGACAGCCTGCATCGGAGACACAAAAAGGGTCCATGTACCAAGGGTAAACCATACGCGACAAGCCGTGTACAACAAGTAGTTGCGGTGAATCCACGGGGATTGCTTTGTGGTAGATCGTCATGGTCGACGTGGTGATTAGCCCTGGATTTCCGGGGCTTTGGCACGAGAAAGAAAAGGCGATTGTCAATTTATTTTCCGCTCAAATTCCTTTAAACTTGAAACGACCCTTGCCTTTTGACGGTGGCAACTGGAACTCTTTTGACTCTGCATCTGCTTGTCATTCTAAGAAACATTTGACCACAGTTCAAAGGCCAACACATCGCCCCCTCGAGCAGGCAAAGAGATGTCTCATTCTTCGTTGTTTATTCATCGTGCCCCCGAAACCAGGAACAACCACTGCTACTTTCCCGAGCATGTTGAGCCGCCGCGATCATATGCGGACTTGATGAACGGTACAGCTATCAAGAGAACAGCTTCTAGCAGCAGTATTTCAAGTCTGAGGATGGGCAATGGGTCTCTGGATCACCTCTACGTTCCTTCAATGGCCACCACAAGTGACAATTGCGGCAGATTCGTGCCTTATGCCAACTGGGCAGATACTCCGTCCTTTGCCTCTGGCAGCGTTGAGTCGCCCTCGGTCTCCTCGTCCTTTGACTTTAACGGCTTGCCAAAGGACGAGCCTTGTTTCGACAGCCTACTTTTCAACGCAGCTGACCATAAAACGCCCTCTACCCAAAGCCGTAACCTGCAATTCGGCGACTCTCACACCTCTGGCCTTGGCCAGGCATCCCAGTGGACTCCCTGGACTAACGAGCCCGAGCTCTCAAGTCAGTCATATTTCCTTGACAATCCAACCGAGGTACAAAACTGGTCAAACCCACGTCCTTTGACAAACCCAAGTCCGGTTCCCTTCTTTGGATTATCCTACCCAGTGCCGACATTCTCAACTATCCCAGGAGGGCAAACCGGCATGCTCATAGCCGAACTCCCAACGTCCAACGACCACACACAACCTCGCCCTCACTCTCACTCTCAGCCCACAGTTCTGCCCCCAGCTCAAATCAGAGAGCTATTTCAAAGCGAACACCCCTCCCCAACGTCCTCTTCAGGCTCCATAAAAACGAGTCTACACTACAGCGACTCCCGCGACGCCCTCCTAATCGAATGGAAACGCCGTGGTCTCTCCTACAAAGACATAAAGCACATTGGGGGATTCAAAGAAGCGGAGTCGACCCTTCGAGGCCGGTTCCGCACGCTTACGAAGGCGAAGGAGCAGCGGGTTCGGAAGCCGAAATGGACTGAGACAGATGTAGGCCCCCATATAACCTCATAATCACGTAGAAATGCCTTTCCAGGCTAGAAAGTCGTGGCTAATAACCTCTTAAAATAGATCCAACTCCTCATCGAAGCGGTCTCCAACTACTCTGAGTCAGGGTTGAGTGTGTCTGGAAGTCCGCCCAAGGTTTCTTGGAAGAAGGTGGCGCAGCATATCTGGGCTCATGGGGGGAGTTATCAGTTTGGTAATGCGACTTGTAAGAAGAAGTGGTGCGAGATTCACAATTTGAAGGCTTGAGACTGAGGGTTTCTTGGATTGATGATGTGCGTGTTGCGTTGGGCTTGCTGTATTACATGGTATGAGGAGATTGTTAGTTCTTGTTGATTTAGCGGATTGCTATTGTATCAAATGCAAATTTGACTCTTTCAAAATTTCCTAGTGTTGTAATGACCGGATGCTGGTTGAGTAACTTCATCAAGAATATATTTCAGAACTGGAGGTACTCTTCTTGTAGTCTCTTATGCAGAATCCAGTTCTCCTTGCTCGCCACTTCAAAATAGATAAGTGGTATCTTGAGCCACTCTCGCGTTCTATGAAGAATATCAAATTCCATTTTAAGGTAATTTCTTCGCTTGTGTAACCTCAATACCTGGATGGATGGCAAACTCCTGGTCGAGACCCGCGCCCACTGCGCGTGCGAAGAGGCTATCTTCCAAGCAGTTACTGCCATCGATCGATCATTGACCGGAAAACCCTCAAAATCAAGATACGAGAAAGCATATTTAACTAGGTAGCGTCGTATCCATGTCAGTTGTCTCATCCATCTATACCCAACTATTGCAAGCCAGGAATTATAGTATTTGGGCCCACGGATCATCAAAGTGTGTCCCAAAGCGCCCTCTTTTGCATTAACTAGATGCAGTGTGGCAGATTTAATTATATTCGTTCTTCAAGAGCATGTCCATGTGCCAATCGGAGGATGATATTGGATCTAGATTGATGATGGTCACTGCGAGCTAGGTCAAAAAAGTTGAGACTGCTCGAGCATAAAAGACCTACCGAGCTCATAAGAGGACGGCTCCATAATACTCTAAATACTTTTCCTTGCTTCATTTGTACCAAGTTACCCCTGTCAAATACAAGCCATGCTACAGGTAATTAACACACCAGGTCCCCCAAGGCCAAAGTTAACACTCTAGACGAGCCAGGCAAGCTATCCCAAATCATTACTTCCAACAGTCAACTAAGATTTCTCTGGGCTGTGTTGCCCACGATAGCTTCTACGCCATAGCGCTAGTCTTCAGTGCACTTTACATCTCATCTATACCTCGCGCCATCACCCGTATCTTAGCATGGACTATCTACAGGTTCCTCCAAGGTGTCGTGGGAACTGGCATCTGGACTCTCACACATGAGTGTGGCCACGGTGCTTTTTAACCAAGTAATATGCTCAATGATCTAATAGGGTGGATTCTCCAGATTTCACTCTTGGTGCCTTATTTCTCATGGAATATTACGCACGCCTGCCACCATTGCCGTACAGGGCACATGGGTAAAGATACTGTTTTTGTTAATTAGACGGTTGCGGTTAAATGCGGGTGACTGGATGTTGGATTTATGGAAAGGAAGAGGAAGGAAAATCGAGGTCAGATCTTTCTATGTCCAAAGTACTTCAACTTTCGACCATGACCCTTCTACTCTCGAATCTTATAGAGAGAAAAGTATCTTCCATATTCCACACCAACTAAATGTACATATGGATATCCACGCTGTCCAAAATCCCATCCCCAAACCCCCCAAAACGCCAACAGAAACAAGGCCCTCGAGCCACAAGGTACACGCCATGCCAAACTACCTCAATGCTATCATACAAAAATAATACAAAATGTATAAGAGAACAAGTCCAGACCGCATCACTTGGATCCAATCCAGACCCGAAGCCAGACTCAAGCAGCACTCCGCCTTTTCAGCAGACGCCTTTGTCTCCGCGAAGCTTGAATCGCCTCTTCCGTGAGCAATTCTGGATCGGGCTCGAATTCAGCCGTCTCAACTTCAGGGATCGGTTGGCCGAATGCGAGGACGTTGTTTGTGCGACCACGGCGGTTGCCGGTACTAGCGGCGACGGCAACGTCACGAGCATGTCGGTCTTCGAAGAATGATGTGAATGGCTTGTCGGGAACGGTGTAGTAGTAAGGAGCAGGGATGGGAGGGGCGGATGGTTGAGGCTTCGGGCGTTTCGTGTTACCCTTTTCATTGGATGGCGTTTCGTCTGCCTCTGGACGTTTAGGCTTGCGGATTTCTAAGAGTGGTTTGCGGTGTTTGGCATCCGATGCAGAGCGAGCTTCTTGGTGGAGCTGACGCGCTGCTAATGCGTCGACGTCGTTGATATCGGGGGTACTCGGTGTTTCGGGGAGGGGGGAACTGTCTGCGTTGTTGTCCTCTGCTGGCCTGGAGCGCTTTCGAGAGCGTCTGTCGGCTTCGTCGTGTGGGAGTGGTTTCTCTTTTGCTAGTTTGCGTCGTCGTTCTTCGTCTCGCCAGGCTTGGAATTTGTTTACCAGTGCCACCATTTCTTGGATGAGAATTTCGCGCTTGGGTTCGTAGAGCTTTTTCTCGCTATCGTGGACTCCTGGGAGACCCATCACGCGCAGCCAGTCGTGACCGCGGAGGTCTTCGAGGAGTTGTTCGATTTGTTGTTCTTTGTGTTGAGCACGGTCTCGCTCGATGTTGCGGAGCTGTTTCTCCTGGCGCTCGAATTTGCGGTGGGCGCGGAAGTAGAGCTCTTCGCTTAGAGGGTCTTCGCCGGTTGACTTTGATGACGAGGGCAGTTCTATAACCTCGCAATTATAGAGCTTTTCTAGAGGGTTCCCAAAAGGTGTGGGGTTCGGTGTAGATGCCACAGGTAACGTTTCAGACAGGTTATTTATGAGTGTGATAGTAGTGGTCGCACCAAGCACTTCTATACGCTTCGTTAGTTCACGAGTTGGCCATGAGGATTGTTGAAACTTACCAGTCTTGGGGGCCTCGAGGCTGATAATCTGCTCATAGTTGTAAAAGTATTGCGCCAGCTCACTTTTACATCGCGATCCAGTATCTGCCGAGCGCAACGAACGCCTGCCATCTGCTGTCGGCGCATGGTCAGGCTGGTCGCTCTCAACAGTATCGCTGTTGAAATTTGGCTGCGTGGTCACATCGGCTGGAATTACGTCTGCTGCATCCTGTTGCTCTACTTTGACTGTATCGGCTACCTCCGCCGCGTGTTCTGTCTGTCGAGTGGTGCGCGTCGCACTAGGTGAATTATTGGGCTTGTTCTCTGCCTCCGCGGCACCAGAGAACGCCCGTAGGCGCGACTTGACGGTATCTCTACTCGCAGCCGGCGAAATGGTGTCCAATGGGTCCGGGGACTCGCGAGCGCCATGTAGTAAATCTGCAGAGGCTTTTCCGGAGGGGTCATCTCGGTCGGGCGCGCGGGGGCCCTTGAAGGCGCCATTGCCGTTCCCATGGGAATTTCCCAAGGCATTCAATTGAGTGTTCGATGCGACCGTATCGATGGAGGAGGCGGAGACTCTGCGAGTGTGACGGTTGGCTGTCTTCGGTCGCGCGGTCTTCAAGGGAGGGTTGGCGAGTCGCGCGTCGGCAGTCAAGGCCTCATTTGGGGTTGTGTCGAGGCAGTCAGGAGAGCTCTTGCGACGGCGCAAGCCAGTCTCCCACAGAGTGCGCTGTTTCTTGGCTGGCGGTGCGAGATGGTCGTCGAAGGGCTCGTCGGGGGTCCGTCGTACAGAGCCGCGGAGGGACGGCCGCGGCAGGAGAGCCATTCCTCGACAATGGAGAGGTGGAGGGAGTTCAGTCTTGAGTCATACTGGGGTTGTCCGGGGATGGGAGGGGGCTCCTGCTGGGCTCTGTCTGGGTGTCGATTCTAGGGAGTTCGGGCAGGACGTCGGGGATCGCGGAGTTCAAAGGGTCAAAGACTCGCTGTGATGCGAAAACTGATTCTTGGCAGCGCCCGATATTTACTTGATGATAATAACTGTACTGAATACAAATAGAGATCTCTAATCTCAAATGAATTCTGCTTTTCTTTATGTATTGTGTGAAGCTATTGAGAACTCTGGATAAGGTGAAAGCAACCAGGTCTTCACGGCCAAGGCCCCGTCTCTCCCCACCTCGACAACCTGAACACATGAATATTGCATCTGCAGGTATCTTTTCAAGGCAGGAATTGGCAATCATTCCACATGAAACATAACCCAGAACCCAGAACCCAGAACACTCGCCACGAACTCCTATGCCCCCACGCCGAACCACAGTGGTGGGGGGAGTGTTACTGGAGGATCAGACCGGAGTCCTCTATACCCCATGAGAAGGAGTATCCTCGGCGAGATATACGTTTCAACGAATTCCACGGCAATCACGCCGAGTCTGTGTCACATCAAGAGCACTTCAACCCCGCATAGGGCGAAGCGTGGGGGGTTCAGAAGAATGACTGGGGATGCGCCGGACCTCCACTTCACGCGGGGCAGTGTGGTACACGATGACATTGAACGCGTTGTGAACGGCTAATCAGATCACAGTGGGGGGCGTGGGGGGTGAAGATCAGGATTCTTATTTAGCTGCTCAATGCCCAGAATGCGCGGTTCCATTCTTCTCTTCTCGGCTGCTTTGGTAAGTTGAACTGCTCTCCGTCTCGATTCACGCGCTGACCGTATAGATACCCATTTCATCATGTCGACCAACGGAAGCGCCAAGCGCAACACCCTCACTCCGGGCTTCTATGTGCCTACAGTGGCATTCTTCAAGCCCGATGAAGAGGTGGATCTTGCTGCCACTGAGAAGCATGCTGCCTACCTGGCCCACAGTGGCGTCACCGGCTTGGTCGCCCAGGGAAGCAATGGCGAGGCCGTTCACCTCGATCGCGAGGAGCGCAATGCTATTACCGCCGCCACACGCCGCGCAGTAGATGCCGCGGGGTATCCAACCATGCCCGTGATTGCTGGCACTGGTGCTGCATCGACTCGTGAGACCATTCAACTGTCCAAGGACGCCGGTGCCAACGGTGCCGACGCCGTCTTGGTCCTTCCTCCCAGCTACTATAAGGGCTTGGTGAACACCGAGGCTCTGCATGCACACTTCATTGCCGTGGCTGACGCTTCACCTGTTCCTGTTCTCATCTATAACTTCCCCGGTGCATCATCAGGACTTGACTTGTCTTCCGACGACATCCTGACACTATCCAAGCACCCCAACATTCTGGGCTGCAAGCTCACCTGCGGCAACACCGGAAAGCTAGCTCGCGTTGCTGCCGGGTCCAAGGCCGAGTTCTTGACCTTTGGTGGCTCGGCCGACTTCACTCTACAGACCATGATTGCTGGAGGTGACGGTATTATCGGTGGCACTGCCAATCTGATTCCCCGGTCCTGTGTTCGGCTCCTGGACCTCTACCGTAATGGCAAGGTGGAAGAAGCACAGAAGTTGCAATCGGTGGTTGCTCGCGCCGATTGGGTTGCGATTAACCGTGGCTTCATTGCGGTCAAGAGCGGATTGCAATCATACCGCGGATACGGTGGTCTTCCTCGACGTCCGTGTGTGGCTCCCTCTAATGCGACCACGGCGACCATCCAAGAAGAGTTCCGTGAGGGTATGGAGATGGAGCGTGCGCTGGAGAAGTCCGCATAACTTAGCTGTGGACGTTGAAATGAAATCACGATGCATTAACTTATAACCCCGCAATCGATAGTCGTAGATATTCTATCGTGCATTACCGAAACCTGCACGGACGATTGGAATGTGACTGTGTCATTTCCCGTCGCGTGCCATCAACTTTATTTCCGAGATCACCTATCTACGCTGATTCGAGGCGAGAGTTGAAGGTCCAAGGCTTGCAACGTGGGAGGGTCCTGTTTATTGTTCCTAGGGGTAAATACCCCGATGTAGTATGTGGAGGTCGCACTTGCGCCCGCAGCAATCAAGCCTAGTCGCGTGGAGACTTAAGATTAAGAGAGGAGATTAGAGATTAGGGGAGTACCATAGGAGATTGGCAGATTGGACGATCACTAGGCAAGATCGATGTAACCTTTGCGGATGGAACTGAAACATCAAGGGGTTTGTTTAGTGGACTATGCTCCTCAGGCCTCAATTTCGGATGTACATTCTAGAGCCAAGCGATCAGCATGCGATCGGCATGTTCCTACATAAACAAATCACTTCGCCTCTTGCTCTGCCAATTGGCACTCCTTCTCTTCACTCATCTTATAACGATGAAGTTCTCCACCGTTCTAGGCGCTTTGGCGGCCTTGACCACGGTTTCCGCCGTGAAGGTGAATCCACTTCCCGCTCCCCGCAACATCACTTGGGGAAATTCAGGAGCCATCCCCGTCAAACAGCTTAAGCTACGCACCGACTCCCAAGGTGGACAGCACGCTACCCTCAACCTCGCTTGGGAGCGCGCCTGGGATTCTATCATCACTCTTCAATGGGTTCCCGCTGCCATTGAAGCTCCCATTCCTCACTTCCAGCCTTTCCCGACCGGTTCAGCCACCAAGCGCGCCGCAGCCAAAGCCATTCACAACGTCCAAGTCACCGTGGTTGACCCCAACGCCGATCTACAGCATGGAGTCGACGAGTCATACACACTGGAGGTCACAGACTCGGACGGCTATGTCGAGATTCATGCTCAGACGATCTGGGGCGCGATGCACGCGTTTACCACTCTGCAACAGCTGATCATCTCCGACGGCCAGGGCGGTTTGATAATTGAGCAGCCGGTCACGATCCAGGACGCACCTCTGTACCCATATCGTGGTATCATGGTGGACACGGGCCGAAACTTCATCTCGGTCAGGAAGATCCTCGAGCAGATCGATGGCCTGGCTCTGTCTAAGATGAATGTCCTGCATTGGCATTTGGACGATGCGCAGTCGTGGCCTATGCAGATGCGCACCTATCCCGAGATGACCAAGGATGCCTACTCGGCTCGCGAGCAATACTCTCGCTCAGACATGCTCCGTGTCATTGCCTACGCACGGTCCCGTGGGGTTCGTGTCATTCCTGAGGTTGACATGCCCGGGCACTCGGTTTCTGGCTGGCAACAGGTTGATCCCGAGATTGTCGCTTGCGCAAACTCTTGGTGGTCCAATGATAACTGGCCCTTGCACACTGCCGTCGAGCCTAACCCGGGCCAGCTGGATATCATCTACCCCAAGACCTACGAGGTCGTCAAGAACGTGTACTCTGAGCTCTCCGACATCTTCCAGGACAACTGGTTCCACGTCGGTGCCGATGAGATCCAGCCCGGTTGCTATAACTTCAGCTCGCACGTCCAGGACTGGTTTGCCGAGGACCCCTCGCGCACCTACAACGATCTCGCCCAGTACTGGGTCGACCACGCCGTTCCCATCTTCCGCAGCTCCGGCTCCAACCGCCGCATCATGATGTGGGAGGACATTGCTCTGTCCGCCGAAGCCGCCAACGATGTCCCCAAGGACATCGTCCTGCAATCCTGGAACAACGGCCTCGGAAATATCGCCAACCTCACAGCCCGCGGCTACGACGTCGTCGTCTCCTCTTCAGACTTCATGTACCTTGACTGCGGCAAAGGAGGCTTCGTAACCAACGACCCCCGATACGACGTGATGTCCAACCCTTCGGGCGACGTCACATTCAATTATCAGGGCGCCGGCGGCTCCTGGTGCGCCCCCTATAAAACCTGGCAACGTATCTACGACTACGACTTCACCACCAACCTTACAGACACCCAAAAGAAGCACATTCTCGGCGCCGAATCACCCCTTTGGTCCGAGCAAGTCGACGACGTGAGCATCTCCAACGAAATGTGGCCCCGTGCCGCTGCTCTCGCCGAGCTGGTATGGTCCGGTAATCGTGACAAGAACGGCCAGAAGCGTACGACCGAGTTAACCCAGCGTTTGCTCAACTTCCGCGAGTATCTCGTTGCGAACAATGTTATGGCTGGTATGCTTGTGTCGAAGTACTGTCTGCAACATCCCCATGCGTGCGACTTCTACTACAACCAGACAGTCATTACCTAGGTCTATGTTGAAATAGCATCGGGAAGTACATGCTTTCAACATGGTCATAATGCATCATAGCTCTGCTATTAGCTTGTGTCCCTCTTTTCTCGTTTCTTTTTTCTGTATATACTTGAAGCCTTCGGCGGGGATACCCAACCTTGGAATACAATTCTGTAACTCGGGACTGTCTTTCTTTTACCATTTTAGGTAGTAATTACTAAATTCATCCCCAGAATGGTTCTGTCAAATCAATTCAACATTTGTAATCAATCATCTACCACCAGATGTAGATTGATTCCAGGTACCACCGCACATCACGCGAACGAGCACGGCCCTGCCGTTTCAGAATCCGTCCAGCCCGTTCAGGTAATGCTGTGCAACATAGCTGGAAAGCGTGTCTTTTTCTCGTTTTCCTCGGTAAAGATACAGCCACAGTCGCTCCTGCAGGTGAGATGGGAGACTTGCGTTGATCTTAATGGAAACATCGGGTAGGTGTGAGATTTGTCAAGCATTTGTAGTCGGTCAGACGAGAAACTTTTTAGAATGAGAGGTGAAACGATAGAACTCAGATGTCGTGATGGGATTGTAATCTGGTCGTGACATACGTGGAGTCAGGAGTTGAAGTTTGAGGACTTAAGATGTTAGCATTTACCAACCACCTGCTGTTTGGGCCAATGGGCTTTTTTCTTGATATAGTTTTGGCTTTTCTCATACTCTAGATCTTGAATAGATTGTTTCTAGATCCGCAGGCCATATCTTACCTACTCTTTCCCCCTTCCAGGCACCCGGGT